CAACGACAACACCAACGACAACACCAACGACAACACCAACGACAACACCAACGACAACACCAACGACAACACCAACGACAACACCAACGACAACAGCAATGACAACAGCAACAACAACAGGGCTCTCTCTCCAAGCGCTTGCTCAAGGCAAGCGAGTGATGAAAAAGCAAAAACGCCAAACGCCAACGCCAAAACTCCAAAACGCCAAAAAGCAACGCGCGCGAAAAAGCAAACTCGTAGAGACACTCTGCACCGGCGCTCAGCGACGTCTCTGATCGCTCGCCATGCTCACCGCACTGCCACTGCTCGTCGTCTTCTCTCTCTCAAGCCACAACACTCCATCTGCACCACTCTAGCACGCCCTGCGTCACCGGCGAGCGAGTAAGCGATCTTGGTCATCGCCGAGCCATCAGCTCATGTCTGAGGGACAGTAAACTGTCTCCCAGGCAGAGGAGCGATATGGCGTCGACTCGCGTCGATACGCTCTCTCAAGCTCTGCGCGGGTCGGGGGGGTCATGGTCGAGTAGTGGCTACTCGAGTAGGGTGCCCGGGAAGCGCGCCCAGCTGTGAGGTCAACCTCAGGCTGGCGGCCGGGTCCTACTCGGAGCGACGAAGGTGTCGAGGGTCGAGCGGAAGGGGAACGAACAGAAACAGGGCGGGGAGCAGGCTCGCTCTCAACAGACGCCGACTTGGAGCAAAAGCAACCCATCTTGAGAAGTACGAGTGAATTCTTTTCGAAATGGATATGTTGCTTGTGGTGAATGCGGGAGTGTCTGAAGAGAAGAAAGAAAGGGAGAGAGGAGAAGGAGGAAGAGAGAGATACTTATGCACTTCCTCCAGCTGGGCCTTGGCAATGTGAGGTCAGCAACGGCGTTGAAGACGCGCCGAAATCCCTCACGATCCTCATGGTTCGTGAGGTGTTCGTGAGCGTGGGCGTGGGCCTGTCCCCGTCTTGAGCATGGGGTGGTGAGGTTGCCCGGCTGAAAGCGTGCACTCGACTCCATCCGAACCGCGGCGAGGCTGAACAGAGCCCGCTATTATTGGCTGCATGTCCCGCTTGCCACGCTTGCCACGCTCAACGCAGCCACACAGCCACAGCCACGTGCTCGCGTACCGCTCCAGACTGCCCCCAACGCCCCGCCTACTCTGGGATGGAGGGCTCCTCTCCCTGGAGTCTGGAGGAGAGCAACTCCTGTCGTGCGGTGTGCTACTTGGTGCCTACAGGACAAAAGGAAGGGGAAGAGGAAGGGGAAGAGGAAGGGGAAGAGGAAGGGGAAGAGGAAGGGGAAGAGGAAGGGGAAAGACATACGCATGCACGCCAATTGACTGTGCTTCTCTTGTGAAGCTGCAAGTCTCACGCCACGAGGCTCTTCAGCGCCGTGGCTTCAACCACCACGGTGTGCAGCGACGAGACTGTGGGCACCCATCCAACCGAATCCAAACACTAAACCTCCGCGATCGTCATCTCTCTCTCCATGTGTGCCACCAGACACGCGACTCGACGCGACCATGCGGCAATATCAGTCACGGTTGCCCCGACACAGTCTTTGGGACCCGAATCCCCGAGAATAGCAGCGACGCGACGTGACTTCTTTCGCTCTAATTGACGATGTCTCCTTAATATCAGCAAAGGAGAGCAGCAAAGGAGAGTAGCAAAGGATAGCAGCAAAGGAGAGTAGCAAAGGAGGCAACTTGACGCAATTCGCAGGGCCGAGTCTCAGAGTCTTTTACTCGTAGCATCAGCAGTAGGAATCAAACGACATGCAATCAGTATACGCTTGGGCTCTACATGTTTAATGTAACACTGGCAGCTTGTTCGAGGCCTGGATGGTCGGAGGTAAACAGCTTCGTCGAGGCTCGTCGACTCTGCGGCCGACACGATGCATACATGGCGCAAATTGACATTGCAAGATCATGTGTAGACCTATATAGTACTAGAAATGGTGTATGGTGATGGAGGTATGTATATACGAAGTAAAATCTACATAGTATGCATGCTGCGCGCAGCCTGACCCAAGTTCAGCCGTCTAATTCGATCGAAATCTGCTTCCTGTCATCTGCTAACATGTATGATATGGAAATTCCCATTCGCATTCCTATTTCCAGCCGCTGATCTTCATCGTCCCGTTCTCCTGCAGATTCCGGTGCATGTCGAAGGCCTGGAACAGCAAATGCGGCTCGTGGCCCATGCCCTTCTTCAGGCACTCGTACTCGGCCTTGTCGAAGTATTCCTGCAGGATGGGTCGGTAGTCGGGATGGGAGCACTTGTTGATGATCTCGCGCGCCCGTTCGCGGGGACTCATGCCTCGAACATCGGCAAGACCCTGTCCAGGTGGTTTCGCGTCAGTATAGGAACGGACAAGTTCTGGTGTATTCTATTGCAAAGTCTTGCAAGGTCTTGGTCTTCGCGGAAGGAGGCCGCAACAGAAACCGAAACCGCAATAGAAACAGAAACAGCTTGCAAAAGAGCCACTTACAATCTCAGTCACCACCACGTCCAAATCGTGCTCGGTCTGGTCGACGTGTGTGCACATGGGCACAATGCAGGTGATGCCCGTGGGGTCGGTCTTGCTCGGTCGCGTGCTCGGCGTGTGCATGATCGAGTATTTGGCGGAGCGCAGGAAGTCGGCCGAGCCGCCCAGGCCGTTGAGCATGCGCGAGCCCATGACGCAGGTGCTGTTGGCGTGCGCGTAGATGTCGACCTCGACCGGCGTGTTCATGCCAATCACGCCCAGCCGGCGGATGATCTCAGGCGAGTTGGACACTTGCTGTGACCGGAGGAGCAGCTTGGAGTGGTAGTTCTCCCACTGGACACACAGCCTGGGTGAGCAAAGAGCACTGGCAAGAAGGGGGGCGTGGATTGGACTTACTCCGTCGTAGAATCGCTGGAACCCGCCCGGCGAGAATCTGATGGACGTGGCGGTGGCAAAGTCCAGGTTGCCGCTGTCGAACAGATCGAGAAACGAGTCTTGCAGCACTTCCGTCCACACCTTCAGGTTCTTGAAGTCGGCTCCGCCTTTCTGGGATCGGGATACATGTCAGATGGTGTTTTCAGCAAAGCCTCGACTTGACTTCGACTTCTTCCAGGCTCAAGACAGTACTCACAGCCAGCCCACCAATGACGGCATTGGCAATGTTTCCAATTCCCGACTGGATCGGGAGCAGGTTCTTAGGCAGTCGGCCGTGCGTGACCTCATGTTGCAGGAACTCGATCAGGTTCTGTGCGATGGCTTGCGAAGTCGCGTCTTCCGGCGCGTTCTCGGTCGTCTGGTCGGGATAGTCGGACTCGACGAGGGCCACCACACGCTCGGGGTCGACGGGGATGTGCGGCGTGCCGATCCGGTCTTCGGGTGCCATGATCAGGTACGGCTGGGGACGTGGTAGGGTCAGCGCGGCCCAGGCTGTGAGAGTGAGAGTAGAGGGGCTGAAGGAACACTCACCTTTCGCCGCGGAGGGAGCTCGGTCATGGTGATGTCGTGGAGGCCCTCAAAGCTGGGGGTGGCAGTGTTGAGCTCGATGATGATCTATGTAGAGAAAGCAAAGAGGTCAATCGGGGCCCAGCCCAGCCAACAGCAGGAAAAGACAATGGAGAGGAAGCAGACCTTATCGGCCATCTGGATGATTTCCGGCGAGGCGCCCACGCTGGCACCGGGGATGATGCCTCCGTCCTCGGTGATGGCGGAGGCCTCGACGATGGCGACGTCCAGACGGTTGTTGGACTTGTTCTTGGTGTACCAGCCGTACATCAGGTCGACGGGGAACATGCTGAGATGCTTGTCGAAGAACTTGATGTTGCCGTTGTTGATGCCCTTGGCAATCTCCTTGCCCACCTGGTGAGGAGCCCGGCGCTCAATCATGTTCAGGCGCGCCCATCGATTCTCGGTTTCCGCACCCGACGACGCCCCCACGAACAGATTGTACTTGAGCTGGCCTTGGAGCCCGTTCTTCTCGACATAGTCGGCCAGAGCCGTGGGCACTTTCCTGCCGCCAAATCAGCATCCGCAGCACCAGCACCGGCACCAGCATCGGTGAAGAGAGAGCGTATTATCTACTTTGGATATCCTACACCCGTGAAGCCCGACCAACCGATGTACGAGCCGTGAGGGAAGAGGTCGATGAGGTCCTCAGCCTTGGCCAGCTTGTTCAGATAGCTGGGCCGTCGGCACCGGCTCCTGAGCAGCGCAGACGCAGCCATCGTCCAGGATCAAAACAAGGCAGCGGATGACCCAAAAAAAGGAGCAGAGCCACAGCTGCTGGGGACAAGAATCAAGCTTGCAGCCTGAGCTCGAGGACGTGGAGAGAAAGAAAACAAGCCAGGACTGTATCAATTGACAACATAAGAAGAAACAAGACCTGGTTCAGTGTCCAACGTCCACGGCTCCAGACTCCGGGAAGCTCAGACCGGCCACAACAGCTGATGGCCGTGTATTGGCTGCGACAGACCTCAGAGCCCCTCACCGGACACGTCGGGAGCGCGAAGAGGCCACACGCCTGGAATCATACAGTAATCAGCCCCAGGGTGGCATCTCCAGTCTGCAGTCGGCTATTTTACTAGGAGCATTGGCTGGACCCGGCCAGCTTCTCCTGGCGGCCAATGGTGAGCTCTTTGGTACACAGTGACCCCTGTCATGGAGAGATATAAAACTGGCCACCTCCACGCTCTGGAACGGTGGAACCTAAGGAGCCCTACCGACCTACGAGCCCCGAGCCATCTCCGGACCCCCAGCTCTTTGATTTATTGAGCTCCACGACCGGCGTTTTCTCGATGTCTCGACTCTGTATTATTGTACGGAGAACCCGATCTGTCTGGAACTCTCTCCTCTCCCCCGGAGCCAAGCAAGTGGCCTGATCGATGACAAACGTGGAAAAGTGACAAATGCGCCCGCTCCCCCTTATTTACAGTACAATGGTTCCGACAAGTGTTCATATTCAACCTCTTCCCATGGATCATCTGGGTCGGCGTCTTCCACGGGTCCCAGACATGCCCTGTCAAACACCTTTTCGTGGACGTTGATGGCGCCGCTCACGGCCCGTACCAGCTTGACCTGCTGCTGCTCTTGTTCTGCTTTGGACGACTTTTCCAGTGTCACAAAGTACGCACAAGTCCCTTCGTGTGACAGCGCGACCAAGTTGTCCGGCACGTCTCTGCCCGGCCTGGAGCCGGCAAAGATCTGCACGGAATTGATGAGTCGACGGGCATCCGGAGCGTTCCACTCGTTGCCGTAGACGATCTTGAAATGCTCGGTCCAGTGCATGCCGCGCGCCTCCAGTCTCTTGGAGACCTGGCTGGCATAGAAGCTTTGAATGCCGGAGCGTGTTGGGTACAGCCGTGCTGAGACGGTCATCCTCGAGAGGCAGAGTCCGAGCGCGATCACGCTTTCCACCAGGACGGCGAGACAATAGCCGTGAGGCGGCGGAAGCCCTTCTTGCTCTTTTCCCAGCGCCTCCTTTGAGGTACAAATGCCACAGTGGCATGCCTGCCTTATCTTGCTCAAGTGCTCGACGTATGAAGCTGCCGCGTCCGGGTGCGACAGTTTCAGCGGTCTTTCCATTCGCCCTTGGAAGCCCCTGAGCTCTGGCAGCCAGTTGGTGATGGTCTCGACCAAACCGACACCGTACGACGCCGTGTTGCCTCGGTTCTGCGTCGACACCAAGGCGCCGTGCTCTTCGTGGCCTTGGCCCAAAGCCAACCCTTCGAACATCCTGGCCGCACTCCCGATCATGAGTCCGAAAGCCTTGGAGTGCTCATGATCCAAGTAGTGGAAGCTCTTGCCGAAGACTCGAGGTAGGAGGGACTGCCATGGAAGCCGACCTCCAAAGGGCGTAGCGTGAACCGCAGAAGAGTATGTTTGATCCACCAGACTCAACTCCGCGACCGTGACTTGGTCGTGCGCGAACGGCTCGAAGGAAACCCGGATCGCCGGTTCTTGAACATACACGAGATTCAGCTGAGCGTCTTGGTCTGGATGAGTGGCGTGGAGGCGTGCTCCGTTGGCCTGGTAGACGGCGATTCGAAGATCGCACAGCCATTCTGCTATGGCTCCAAACCAGGAGATGACGGCCCCTCCGGTCAAGACCACACTTTTCTCGTGGCCTGCGGTGACGCGCATCAAAGCCTGGAGTGCGTCGGCAACCAGCTTCGGAGGCAGGATGGACTCGACGGTATCGACGGTCCGAATGGCGTACGGATCCAGTCGCAGGTACTCTTCAACCAAGAGTCCAAAGTCTGCCGAAGCGAACACTCCATTGCACGCGTGAACGGCGGCTTTCCACTGCGAAAAGTGAGGCGTGACATCCTCCGGGCCTGCCGCAGCGAGAGCCATCTGTTGGAGGACTTTGGCGGCATAGCTCTCGTAGAAACTCTCGCCCAAGGCCACCATCATGGCCAGATGTTCGTACGAGCCTTCGTGCACAGCCTTGTCTCGGATCACATTCGCCAACCCCCAGCCGAACGATAGCTTGTCGCCCGGCGCCACGGACTGGTACACCGGCAGGTTGGCGAGGGCATTGTTGATGTTTCTCTGGCCGTGCACCGAAATGCCCAGGTCGCGGAACAGCACGTAGGCTACATAGCGGGTGTAGGGGTCGACCCGCGCCCCGGTGAACTTTTTCAGCGTGGCGGAATAGATGGAGACGAATTCGGGGAAGTCATTGGCGACGATGGGCATTTTACAAATGGTCTGAGCCTTGTGACTTGTCCTTTGTCCTTTGTGCCTTGTGCCTTGTCCCTTCTCCCTTCTGAGAGCCTCGTGGTTCAAGCTGCGGGCTTCAGCGGAATTCTTGTGTGAGAGAGAGAGAGAGCGACCAATCCAGAATCCTTAGTTGAAGTTCCCGATGAGTGAGAGAGCGAGAGGGATGAAGTTCCCGATGAGTGAGAGAGAGAGTGTGTGTGTGAAACAGTATGTGGTATGCATGACACTGACTCAGCAAATCTAGACTCTGCTCTAGACTCTAATTAGGTAGATTGTCTTGGACACCTGTAGCTACACCATAGGTACGCAATAGGTACATAGGTAGGCTTAAGGTACTAAGGCTCAATCCTGTATGTTCTGTACTCCGTACTGAACTGTACGATCAAGGGTCCTTTAGGTAGGGTCCTAGGGTCCTAGGGTCCTATTCCCTCCTTCGAAGCTGCGGCCGACGGACGCGGACGCGGACGCGGGGCAGACTCGACTCCCGCTTGTGTATGTACAGTAATAGGTCCGATAGGGATAGGGACAGGGATAGCGAACCGAACGAGGAGAGGAAGGCAGGGTTCTGTGAGTGGAGTTGGTAATGGTATCCGTACAAATATCAGATTCATTATATTTTATTTATCTATTGAGTATCTGCAATGATTCCTTGGTCCGATCAAATAAATATCAAGTATTTTATCTTCAATGATTCCTTGATCCGACCCCAATACCTATACCTAGAGAATCGAATCAGAGCATCGTGAGGTTGTGCTATTGCCGTCGTCGTTGCCATCGCAGTGCAGCACCGCCGTAAAGGGCGGTACGTAGTGTGTATACCGCCTTAATCCTTGGACTATTGTATATACGTAGTGTGTGTACTCCGTACTTCGTACGGTGTCAAGTAGGTCGTAGGTAGTAGGTAGAAGGTAGTAGTACTATGTAGTTAATCTCTCGCAGCCTGACAAGTCAAGGAGGTAGTAGGTACCTAGTAGGTAGTCAATCTCTCGCAGCCCTGTCAAAGGTGGAAATGTTTCATGTTCTCTATCAAAGGGTTGCAGGGAGATCGCAGGCTATAGAGTATAGTGTAGTATGCCTAAGCCGGCCTTCTGGTTGAAGAACAGGGCTGGGAATGCGCTTAAGTTCGACAAGCCCCCGCCAGGTCTAGACGGCAGAAGATTACGAAATGCACCACGTAGTACCATCCCCTAATGCGTTTCCCTCAATACCAATCGCTCTGGCCGGGTCAAACCGGCCCAAGTGGGATTCGAATTCACGATTGGGATGGACGACCACGACGACATTCAGAACGAACTGGGCGGTGAGGTCGAGCCCACTGCCACTGCCACTGCCACCGCCACCGCCGCCTTGCTCCCTGACGGAAGTGGCTGAAATGATGGCGCCGTCATGCACATAACCCTCGGTACCAGACAGGATTAAGACGCACTGCGGCACCAACCGCAACCGCCGGTACTTGTCCAATCTGCGGGTAGGGGGTGAGGCTTCAGCTTCAGCTTCAATGGGCGGTCCTTGGTCGAGCGATTCTCGGGGATCTATTGTTATCCACTCCTCCTTCTCGTCACAACGGAAATAGTAGGACTCGGCATCTTGGTATGAAAAGTCGGCGGGAAACCTGAGAGAATAGCTCGGCCAGGAAGCCGTCAGACCTTCTTGAGAACATATTCCTTCGCGAGACCCACCGAAGATGGTCCCCGTCGGCAGCGGGTACAGGAAAGTGGATGGAGCCCATCTGAATCCCGCATCCTGGAGTTTCGGGCCGGGGAAGAAGACGACATCGGCGGGGATATGCCTGCATTGCAGGAGAAAAGCCTTCATCCGCCCATCGGGCGTATCGTGCCTAAGTATTGACTCGACTGCAAGACCGGCGGTTTCGGCCAGGCAGAATGTTTCGTCCGGCAGCCAGCTCGTGGTGCGGTACCTACACGCGTCTGTGACGACTCGGAGAATCTCCTTTGTGGTGGCGTCCGACGAGCCACGACTGATCCTGGGGAGGACCGACCATGCCGCACTGAGGCTGTGGAAGAGGAGCGGAGACAGCCACGTGGTCTCATCGTTATGCCGACTAAGGTCCGGGAAGGGTTTGGCACCTTCTTTGAACTGGACGAACAGACGAGACCGGGCCAGAAACCCCTCCTTAAATGTCCAGAGCCGCCGCGACCAGGGACATAGGAAGAGCCGGATACAAATCTCCTCCAGCGAGCAGTTGTATGTCTGCCCATAGAGCTCTTGGTCCAGCACCAGCACGTGGCTGGCCTTCGAATATGTCTGGCCCATCATTTTCAACGCCTGCTTTCTTCCTTCCCCGAGAGGAACACATAGTGTGTCTATCCAGACGAGCACACTGTCGTCGTTCTGGGCGACCTCGCCCGCCGAGCCGGCCAGATCCTGTGCTAGCAGACGAAGCCTTGAGAGTTGGCAGGTGGGTAGAGAGTTCGCGGTTGCATTGCCCAGGCCCTGCGCCCATACATGAGAGAAGGCGACATACTTCCCAGAGCCTTGGACGTCAAGTCGGATCGGCGTATCTTGGTCTTCGACTGTGTGGATGCGTATCACCGGGACGCTTCCACTATCTAAGATACGTCTGATTTGTTCGACGTCGACCTCATCGTGCGCGCAGTCGCAACCCGAGTTGACGTGCTGGGTGAGATAGGCGGCTTTATCGACCTGAGATGCGAGGCATTTAGATTCGTTGCACTGGTTGTGCGGCTTCTTGACCACCTGTCTGCTCAGCCTGCTCGCAAAATACCGCCCCGTGGCCGAAAAAGAATTCTCCATCATTGCGATCTCGCTTGTGCACCAGCCTTGCGCTTGCATGCGGGTTCCAGCAAGTCCGGCCCATATGCCGGGTCCGGTGGTCATAGGGACAGGGCCATCGGGATAAATCATCCCCCAGGCATGCAAGAGCGCCTCGAGAAGCAGTTGGATGGATAGGAAGACGACCTCGGACAGAGCCCAGCGCGTCTTGTAGCGGTCATGTTCGAGGTTCCCCGCCACACAGGCGTCGGCTTTCTGAAGAATCTCCCGTATCTTTTCTCCTCGTGCTGTTTTGGCCTGGACGTTCGACGAGCCGCTCTCTGCTTCTGCCCACCTCTTGATCAACTTGCATAGTCCGGCTGTGGTACATAGCTGTACTTCATCCCTCTGTCCCACGAAATCGGCCACCTGAACGTCGAACCCGAGAACGGAAAAGACCTCCAGCAGAGGGCCGAAGAACAGCCATGATTGAATGAAGCAGGCTGCCTGCGCCGGCGTTTTCAATGTGCAATCGTGGCTGGAGGTTGCGTAGTACAGCGCCCAGTCGTCATGGTCTTCGCCGAGCTGTTTTCCAAGCACCAGGCCCTTGGACGTCGGAAAGTCATCAAAGCTGGGCCCGCCGTACTCGTCGGCTGGATCAGTGGCTAAGAATGGCACCTGGTCAAGCGGATAGGCTGGATTTTCAATGTTTGGCAGATGATCCATGTGCGGTAATGGTGGTAATCATCGGCACCAGATTCATTGCTGACTCGGTGCTGTGATCTATGGTACGTGGTACATGGTACATGCGTGGTGCGTGGTGCGTGGTGCGTGGTGCGTGGTGCGTGGTGCGTGGTGCGTGGTGCGTGGTGCGTGGTGCGTGGTGCGTGGTGCGTGGTGCGTGGTGCGTGGTGCGTGGTGCGTGGTGCGTGGTGCGTGGTGCGTGGTGCGTGGTGCGTGGTGCGTGGTGCGTGGTGCGTGGTGCGTGGTGCGTGGGAGGTGCGAGGTTGCGAGGTGCGAGGTGGAAGGACTCATGGCTGACGCCGACGTCGACGTCCGCTGCAGCGGTCACAGAGCCTCCTATAGACCCGAAACCACGTCTGTGATTGGACAATCAAGTGTATCACACCGCAGTCTGGTCAGCAAGGCTGTGTTCTCGGCTAAGTTTCCACCACCCTCCAATAAGTCTTACTGTAATTGTATTAGCGCAATTTATATTACAGTCTTACCTAATATATACTAGCGTGTTACCTCATAATACCACCAGGAGCGCGCCCGCGTCAAAATCACAGCCTTTTTTTATTTCATGAGGCCTCCTTACCTATGGCATTACCAGATTTAAAATCAAGATACCGGATTCAAACCGCATTCAATCGTAAATCGGACCTGGCTTGAGTGAGTGTACCTATCTAGTCGTACTCCTACTCCATCCTTCCTACATAATACATACTAGGCCTTGTAATCGTGACGGCAAAGACAGTATTCAAATATTCTTTCGGGCTCTACACATACCGACCAAGATAGCAATTTTCCCCGCTCGGACCTCTCGCACGGATAGTAGTATCAGATATATCAGGGCCTAAGACCAAGGTTGGGTTCAGTCCGCTTGGCCCGCGCTCCGCCGAACCCATGCTTACTAACCCCGCCGATTCGGCGGAGGAACGATTTGCTCAAGCAATCACATCCCAATCCTGCGAATCTGCCACCTCCGACGGTCGACGGAACTTGAATGAGGGCATAGCAACGTCTGCCACCTTCATCCGGCTCTCTGTGGCCAAGCCATGAATTCTGAAGAGTACGAGCAACGTGACCGTGATGCCAAACGGAGGAGACTGCGCAAAGGCACGCACAGCTGCTGGGAGTGCAAACGGAGAAAGGTCCGGTGCACCTTTGCCTCGGCGACAGATGCAACATGCATCACCTGCCGCCGGCGCGGCACAAAGTGCGTCAGCCAGGAACTCCCTGAAGAAGTCGGCGATGTGGAGGACGGCGCAGGTCGCATGGGACGAGTCGAAGCACTTCTGAACCGACTGGTCCAGCAGATCGACCACGGAGCGATACAGGATGGAGCCGAGTCAATGCGTGGCCAAAGCCAGGAACATGACCTTGCTGCTCTTGAGCCTGCCAGTGTCAGCAGCGCAGACGCAAACCCGACTCCATCCACGTCCTCTTCCTCATCCTCACATGAGTCTTCGTCGGTGGGTTCGACTGCTCCCAAGTTCCGCCCCCGTTACTGACTCGCTCACTCTTGTAGGGAAGGCACTATCCTCGAGGAGCGCAGGATGCGAGTCGTTCTCACTCCAGACCGTCACTCCGCACGCCTACCGTCTTTCAGACATCTCCAGCCGCCAGAAAGGCCGCTCCTGCCGGAAATACACACAATCTTGAACAGATCTCACAAGCACTCCTTACAGCCTTCCCCATCCAGAACGACATTGAGATCCTACTCGAGGCGTGCAATGGGCCTGCGGAGTTTTGTTTCAAGGTCAGCAACATGCTGCACGGCCGAAAGAAGCGCGTGGAAGTGGAAGATGAAGCGCAGCAAGCGAAGATTACCAGTCCTCGCACCCATCCAGTTCTCATAGCCAAGTACATGCTCATACTTTGCTCGCTAACGATGGGGCTCTCGCCACGGCAGCACGTACCGGGTCTAGCTGAGCATCACCGCGTCATCATGGAGAGACTTGCCGACGCGGCCATCAGGCTAGTGACAACAAATGAAGAGCTATTAGGGACGGTGGAGAGCTTGGAATGCATTCTACTCGAGGCACTCTACCACTTGAATTGCATGAACATCCAACGAGCCTGGCTGGCATTCCGAAGAGCCATGGTGTCGGCCCAATTGATCGGCATCTGCCGCCCACACTGTCCTCCGCCGAAGAAACTAGATCCCGACACCAACATTAACCCACAAGTCATGTGGTCCAACATCGTCTACATGGACCGTTTCCTCTCTTTGACACTCGCCCTCCCTCCAGGCCACACCGACGTGAAGCCAGAGACGACGGACACACTCCTGGCAAATGGCACCGCCAGGGACACCCCGAGGGGCTGGTTAGAGGGCCTTCACTCCAAGATCATTGCAAAGATCCTCGAACGCAACCAGCTCGGTCTGTCGGAGCGCACGATGGCCCTGACCCTAGAAATTGACCGGGACCTCCGCAAGGCGGCTGAAAGTCTACCGGCCGACTTCTGGAGGCTGCCGGTTCTTACTGCCGATGGGAAGGACGCAGATGAGACATTCAGAGAGACAATGCGCATCAGGGACCAGGTGACTCACTTCACCTTAGTCAACCAGCTGCATCTGCCGTATTTACTCGGGCCCGACACAACCAACAAGCAGAAGCAGAAGCAGAAGCACGAAAATGAATATTCCCGAAGTTCCTGTGTCTATGCCAGCCGCGAGATCCTGACGCGAATCAATTCCTTCCGTGCCTTTTACGGCATCTCAACATGCTGCGGTCTGGCCGACTACCTCGCTCTCATAGCCGGCGTGACTTTGATTCTCGCCCACCTCGACAACCATCGCTACCAAGAAACAGACCAAGTCTTGACTCATCAGCGGCTGGGGGATCGGGCCACGATGAAGCAAGCCCTGGACGACATGGAGGCGAACTGTGACATCTACGGAGACACGGTGGTCGGGAGGTGCGCTGACCTGCTGCGCCACTTGCTGCGTTTCGAGGCAGACGCCGCCCAGCGGCAGAGTCATCGTCTACACAAAGCTCAAGAGACCGAACCCGAGCCCGAGAGCAACCACGGTGATGCTGGTGGTGATGGTGATGAAGATGAATGCAACGCCTTGTTCATTACCAGCCTTTACTTTGGCAGTATCAAAATCGGCCGCAACGGCATCCAGCCCGTCGACACGCTCGCCCCGGTAGGGGCCCACGTTACACAGACACAGGATCTCGGAGCGGACTTTACGATCGGCGGCATCGGCTCCGTCCACATCGACCATTCCGTGGCACACGTGGCGAAAGATTGTGATTCGGGCCAACCCACTACCAGTGCCCTTGTTCCAGCAGGTCTGCCAATGGGTGACTGGATCACGCCCTCACCGCAATCTGAAGACATACACGCCGGCACTGTATCTGTATCTGACTGTGCGCAGCGGCAGCAGCATCAGCTCCAGCTCACTAATACCATGGCGCCCCATGAGTTCATGATGCAGCCAGATGCAATTTCATACCCGGGTGGTACTGCCGCCATGCCAATGCCAGCCATGGTGGATGACTGGGCCTTCTCGGCCGTAGACACTGCCTTCTTCGACAGGTTGATGATGCCCGGCATGACCGATGTCCAGGCTGGAGCAGGAGCAGGAGCAGGAACTGGAGCCTTGGCCCCCGATTGGGTCCGAGCTGCGCATGCTAATGGTGATCTGGCCGGACCGTAAGAGTCACTCACACTCACGCTCACTCACGTCGAGTTAGGATGGACTCTTGGGATTGGGATTGGGATTCGCCGTGAGTTTGTTTACTTCCCCCCCCCTTAGTTCATGAATGAAGAAATGGAGCTTTGCTTTAGGTATTGTTTCTGTAGTGACATGGTCTCGAATCGGGGTTAGGGGATGACTTCAACTCGAGACCGGTGATATGTATTGTACTGTACAGTTTATCTATATAACATACCTATCTACCTTAGATACCTTAACTCGAGTGTCATTCCAAGCCTCGCCCTTTATATATCTATTCGATTCTATATTCCAAGTTCTATTTATACATCTATAGCGCTCCCCAGCCGGGCCTCTTCAATTAATGGATGGATGGAGAGGAAGAAAAAGAGAAGAACCTTTCAATCAAGTGACTTCAAGGGGGAGCTTTGTCAATACTACGCCGAGAATGTTCCAAGGACAAACATGTCCGTTTCGATGGCTTTGTATCAAGGCCACACTTTTCTCGTGCTCTGCGGTGAGGCGCATCCAAGCCTGAAGTGCGTCGGCAACCAGCTGACCAACTGATTGAAATTGACCAAATCCGATTGCCTTTTTGCATTTGGCTCAATCCATGGCCGATTCAACCGTCGGCGACCAGTCCGAGTCAAATCCCGCCCCAAAAAAGAAGATACTATAGTATGTGCCGTGCCAGGCCAGGCCAGGCCAGGGCACTTAGATTCCGAGTGCGGATGCTCACGCAGCACCTCCCGCTTCTTTCAGACCTTCGGGATCAAGCTTCTTCCAGCCTGCACACGTGGCGAACAGGAAGGCGGTGCCGAAAGTGCCGATGCAGATGGCGAAGACGACCTTGAGCCCCTCCATGTACGCGGCCACCACGCCCGGGACCTGGGCAGCTGTGAAGGCGTCGCGGATCTGCGTGGCGCCGGTGACCAGGACGGTGGCCGGGTCGACGCCCGGAGCCGTGGAGGCCAGGGTGGACAGCATTCTGTTGTTGAATGCCGACTGCGCTGCTGAAAGGGTGAACGATCCACCGATCATTTGGAAGACTGGGCCAAGCAATGACTTGGTTAGCTCAGCTGTTCGTCTTTTTTTCCTGGGTGGAAATGAAAGCTGCGTGGAGAGAGAGAAAGGAGGAAACCTGTGTGGAGAGAGAGAAAGAAGAGGGCGATACTCACAGAAGACAATGGCGGTGACAGCGGCCATATCCTCCGGCTTGGCTTGGACTTGGACGACGGAGATGGGGACCTGGAATGTTCCGCCACTGGCTATGCCGCATAGGATCTGATAGCCGATCCATTTGCCAGCCGAAGTGTGGACATTGAGCATGTAAAAGAGGCCACAGGAAATCGTGCCGAGACCAGCACCGAACAGCAGGAAGGGCGTCGCATACCCGATTTTGGCCAGGAGCGGACCTCCGACGATGGCCGCTATGGTGAGCGCGATGATGAGGGGAAGGTTACGCACGCCCGATCCGACTGCATCGACGTTGAAGACGCTTTGGAAATAGATCGGGAGATAGTAGAGGATGACAAAGTACGAGCCAGCAAAAAAGAATTGGAAGATGGAGCTGACCCATACCGATCGTTGTTTGAACTGTATCGCGGACACAGGAGAGCCAGGTCAGCAGATATCCCGAGGATTGAGTCAAGACAAGGCAACGCAGGTCGGACAAATAATAAACAGGAATTGCGTACCAACCGTGGGATCAACATGGCACGCTCGCCCTGGTAGATCTCCCAACCGATACAGACAACAGTGATGGCGACGAAGCCAACGAGCAGGCCAATGACGGTGCTGCTGCTCCAAGGCTCGGCCTGCCCGCCGCGCTGGAGGGCCAGGATGTAACAGACGATCAGACTCATGACCAGAGCCGCCCCAATGAGATCCAACTGCAGGAATTTCTCTTTCATACTGGCCTGAGCGGGCTTTGCGTGACTCGGGGTGTAAAAGAAGAACAACAGAATGGCAGCGGCCACCCCACCGATGGGTAGGTTGATATAAAAGCACCAGCGCCAGCTGACATTGTCAGTGAAGGCGCCGCCGAGGAGAGGGCCGAGCACGGCAGCGATGCCATACGCTGCCCCGTTGAAGCCTATCACCTGAGGTCGCAGCTTAGGCTCGGCAACGAAGCCGATGATGGTGAATCCGCCTGCGGCTACGCCAGCGCCGCCGACTCCTGCGATGGCCCGGCCAACGATCAATGTCGTAGGCCCCGGAGCAACACCGCAGATGAGACTGCCGATCTCGAAGATGGCGATGGCGGTGAGGAAATAGATTTTCAAGTCGAAGTACTTGAAAATCTTCCCCCAGGTGGACTGGAACCCGCCAAAGGTCATGAAGTAGGCTGAGCTGTACCACGACACCTTGTCGAGGCCATGGAACTCGTCGGTGATTCGTGGAATTGCCGTGGCGATAATAGTCTGGCACAGAAGAGATTAGCTCAAGCTCACAGGTCAGGTCAGACATGTCTTTGTCCAGGCACATTCCACTGACATTGTCCAGAGCTATCAAGAAAGTCCCGAGCAGAAGAGAGACCACGACGATGGCGAGGCGCTTGCCGTGGTAATACGGACTTGTGTCCGGCTCGGCATCGCCGACACCTTTCTCAGCAATATCTGCGTCTAGTGCGTTCGAATCTTGCGAGGGTTCAGGGCTGTCATGGCCTTGTTCGGGCGGTATGTTGGGACTCGTCATAGCAAGTTCTTGGGATCCCTGTGCTGGGTTGAAAATGATATACTCTAGTAAGTAGCAGTGGGAAGGTTATTCCTTGATTTCCGATCCTTTTGTTCTCTTGTGCTGCTTTGCTGTGAGTTGTGGACTTCGAGGGCGAGATGTCAGGGGTCGGTTCGAGCACTTGAAGGAAACCGTGTTCGAGAAAGGAAGAGGCAGCCATCATAAGGCTTCTTAGAGTTTTTTTCTGGCTTGTATCTTCACGTGCAACGCAATGCTGTGATTACGAAGCTGAAGGCTGGCAAGCCATTCTCTTGTTCCGCCGAAGCTCGGGGCGCGCACCTCGGCGGAGTACGGTGAAGACGTCCGGAGTACGGAGTACATCTACCCACAACCCACAGCATTGACAGGCCGGAGGGACTGGAGTGGACCGGAATGAGTTCATTTACCATGAGACCTCCTACTCACCCGATCCGAACCAATTCGAAATTGTAGTGGATGAGTAAGTAGAAAGGTGAGTGAGTGAGTTGGTATGTACGGAGGAGTACGGCGGAGGGAACGGCCTGCTGCTTTAAGAGGGTCTTCTGTATCCGGTTAGGGGGCTCACTACTGCACTAGTAGCACCAGTAGGTATGTATAGTGTACGTACATGTATGTTATGTAATCAAGACACTAGACACTTCAGCCTCATATGTTGGTGTTTTTCAGGCGTACAGACTAGAGCCTAAGGCCTCCTACCTATAGGTAAGGACTACTAGTAACTTGGTGCACAAGGTATACCCTGTACTCTGTACTCTGCTGACCTCGTCTGTATTCCATAGACCAAAGCACCTGTAAGGTATGCTCGATTGCAAAGGTGACTCTGCATAACTACGCCAAGTTACAACCTTCACCCTTCAACGAATGTCCAGTCTTCTCACTCCCATGCCTCTTCTTGATCATGGATCATGACGGCCTAAGGCGTTCGCCTTCCCACCATGTCCCCTTGACATGGCCCATGGTCAGCAACATATGAGCCCGAGAGCAGTTGACCCATGACACATGACCCATGACCCATTCCTGACTTGCCCTCAGCCGCACCAAACACCGATCCAATCCCGCCACTCAGGGGGTTTCAGCTACTCCCAGCTCCCATCTCCCAGGCCTGTCCGGGCCCTTCACCTACAAGTCGAACTCCAACACACGGAAATGGTGAGAGAACTGGCGAACGCCATATGTGTGGCTGGTCCCACAAGTGCCCGTGTTAGGATCATACAGCGCGGCGTCTGTTCAGAAGTCAGATTCAAGAGGGAGAAGCCAATGGGGGCTATCACATACTGTCGACTTCAAGGTTGAAGTCTGGGTTTCTGATGATGGTCTGCTGCGCGTTGGGGGTCAAAGCGTCTTCGCAATTGAACTGCTGCTGACCGCCGTCGACCGTGTTGCTACCGGTCCAGATGTCGATGTGCTGCTTCCCTGATTTCCAGTCGTCGGTACATTGGGCACAGCTGTCTTCGACGCGGCCGTACTTCTTCAGGTACGGGACATAGATGACCTCGCACTGGTTGAGCTCGCCCGGCGCCGTGGCTATGGTGAGAGGGTCGTCATGGGTGCCCGATCCGCCTGCGACGAAGTTGCGTCCTCCGCAGTTGTACGCCGTGCCCGCGCCGGGAGGGGCGTTGTCGGGATAGCCATAGAACGTCAGTTGCACCGAACTCGCCATGCCGGCCAGTGTGAGCGAGCATGACAGGAGACTATGCAGCTTCATGGTCGAACGGTCGCTACAAACAAAACAACCCAGAGAGTTAGTTGCTCGATGAGTCCGAAGACACCGTGGGATTTTGCGTTGGCCAGTTTGATGCTGTCCTGTCGTTGCTGCCGCTGCCTTTTGGGATGGGACAACCTGAGCCAGGGACCATGAACTGATCCCACATTATATAGTTCTGTCCTCGGGCGTCCTCGTTTGCTCATCTTCATGTGGTTATCCATCCGCAGCCATTGCAGGTCAGAGCAGACCAAAGCAAGCTGAATGCACACAGTAAGCCGAACGCTGACCTCGATTGATCAGATTGCAGAAAGCCCCCCGTCATGGCCACAAGCACACCGCTATCTCAGACCGCTACATGCAGGTCAGCACAGCTGGCTCTACACGCGGGAGAGCTCTCAAGCAAGTCTGGCTACTCGCAGAACTCCGGTCAGGGGATGGCATCCGATACACTTGCACTTCGTCATGCTGTGTATAGCTTGGGCTCGCACTCACTGAAGCTAACTGAAGATAGGGTGTCCACCCCCGCCAAAAGAGCGGTATCTTATGAAGGGCTGTGAAAGAAGTGAGAGGAACAGTATCGGTCAGGACTTGCAAGCCTCGCGACTCCGATAGATCACACTGATCTGGGCGGTGTGATCTAAATAGCCTTTCAGCATGGCACAATAGGGCAGGGTAAATGAGGGGTAGAATCATAATCAGAATCGCACTTGGATGAGTAGGGATGAAGAATTTCTGAGCACTGCTTGGACGAAACGTAAACAAGGTAAGTATAGGTAGCTTGGGGAATTTATGGTCAAGTAAGCGCAGGCAGTTTGAGATAATCCTTCTCGATATCATCTAACCTGGCACTAGATGACGGCTGTAAAAGACATCTTGATCTTAGTCAAAGTTTTGACACTGCCCATGTTGAAAGGCTCATAAACGTCATTTCTCATAAACTCTTTTTGTCCATGCCGGGGGGTATCATGTTGAAGTGAGATACTTTTTCTCCAATGCTGCTCCCATGCTGATCCATCACCATCAATTATCTAGATGGAGATGGAGGATTGTTGAAAGACGAACTCCAAAACACCGATTTTTGTTGAACGCGCAGAATTGCCGCTTAGTTTGGCAGACCACCACCGGTCGTCTGGAAGGGGACCTTTTGTTGATCCCTGTTGAGGATACTCTTTTCGACATCAGTCACTGGCGTATCACCTTTAAGAACCTCTCGTGTGCCGTTTTTGTGAAGATCAACAGGAGTGTCTTCGAAGACCGCGTCGAGATCTTGCACCCTCAGGTCTTCAAACACTTTGAAGATCTCATGTGTCTGGTGGAAATCGTTGTTGACGATATTGACGAGGTAGCATTCGTCCATCATCTTCTCAATGAGCTTTCGTGGTCCAGAACCGGCCGGATAACATCTTGACCAATCTTGTCCGAGTCTGAAAGCTTCATCTTTCCACGCCAAGAAGGAAACTGTCTCGACGATGGTGGGCTGAACAATCTCCCTGTTGGGGAAAATGCCCCAAGTCACCGCGTTGGGCCCCTCATCCTTGGTGTTGGTGTGAAGGTCACCTTTGCGGTTGACAGCATAGTACGTTAGATTCTCGTTCGCGTTGAGTCTTTCCAAGACCGTGTTGAAAATGGACGGAAAGACGAGCAACTCGAGGTATGCCTTCTGGTAGACCCAGCCACCAGGCGGCCCCCATCCGTAAACAGGGTGAGATGAAGGGGCACCATCAATTGCTGGTTGCGAATTGATAGTTAGGAGACCCCTTTGATTCAAACCAATCAGGTCTGATTTGATGCTGTCAGCCTCTGCCGAGATGCTGCCTTCACTCCAGGGCAATTTATCCAAATCACCCTGGACGAATCGAACAAAGAGCGTGATGATCTCCTGAAGAGACCTGGGCTTTCCCCATAGCTTGATGTTGGCCTCATTGGTCCCTTTCAACCCAATTCCATATGCGTCTAGCTCACCGAAAGCAGGACTCCTGCTGTCACCCCAGCGTCCATTGGGAAACTCGTCCCAATCGGCGGTTCTCGCCACGTATGAAGTGTTACGGTTCCGCCAGAAAATAGGTCGGACAGTTTCTTCTCTTCTGCCAAACCCAAGAGACTGCCGCCACGGCAGCGGCTTCTCCAGCCGCCGGCCCGAAGTTTCAGGCGTCAAAGCCAGCTCTTCCAATATCATGCGAGTGGCTTGTGCCAAGTTCATGGTATAAAAGTGAAGGTGAAGAATGCCAGCATCCAGAATCCGGCGGCACATTTGCGCGATGAGGACTTTTCCAATGTCTCGAACCGCAGCATCATCGTTTTTCACGGGCTCCAACGCCTCATACCATTCAGGGGGAACATGGCACTTGGTCCAGTTGGCTCTCCTCATGAAGGCGGCGTAGGTCGAAATTGGCATGATGCCAGGGATAATTGGAACGTGGATTCCGCGATCGCGGCACTTTTGCACCCAACCCAAAAAGATATCCACATCGTAAAACATCTGTGTAACAACAAAAGATGCTCCCGCGTCGACTTTCTCTTTGAGATGTTCGACGAGCAGATCAACATCTCGGTGATCGTCACAGCCTTCAGGATAGCCAGCGACTCCAATGTCAAAGTGATTGCCATACCTGGCCCTGATGTATCTCACCAAGTCTTTTGCATAGCGAAAGCCGGCGTCCTTTGCCTCCCATTTTTCCTGGTCTCGGGGTGGATCTCCACGCAGGGCCAGAATATTCGTGCATCCCGCCTTGTAGGCTAGTCGAAGAGCTTCGTCCACCTGAGTGCGTTCCATGTCTGTGCAAGTCAAATGCATGCAGGTCTCCAACCCGTAATGACTTTGTGCCGCATTGACCATTTCGCAGGTCAGTTGTGAGTGTCTCCCTCCTGCGCCCCAAGTAATGTCGATGAAAGCCGGACCAAGATCATGCATGCGGTCCATTCGGTCGTAGAGGTTTTGAACACCCTGGGCGGTCTTGGGCGGAAAGAACTCGAACGAGATGGTTGGTTTCTTGTTCTCGTGCGCCAGGGCGAGCTTTTGGGAGATATGCATCTTGGCTGGATTGAGTAGGAAGCGAGTGTAGGGCAGTGGTGCTGTTTAGCTAACGATCGATGCGAAGGAGAAAGGGACTCGAAATGTGGAAGACGTGCAGCTGTTTGCCAGCCTCTGTTTGCCTCTGGCAATAGCCTGTTGCGTTTTCGTGTAACGCTTCGTCGGGGGGTGGTTTCTTTCCTTTAAATCAACCAAAGTAGCGCTTGCGAGCCCACCTATCGGCCAGCTCTCGATGCATTGAGTACAGGCTGCAGAGGAAGGCCAGACGGGACCTGGATTTGACTCTAGCAGAGTAGGAATTCGAAGGATAGCATGGCAGATTGAGGACCCTCCTCAATGCCGTTGTGTCCCGTGTATATCCAGGATATGAGAGTAATGAGCCTTGCCTTCAGTATGTGGCGGTGACTTGAGGGGAAATTTCTGGACGAGCCTTAGGCCGGTCAATGGAGAATGGAGACGAATCAAGAGGCTGACGGGAACTAGCCATCAACTACTAGTAACGCACCGACACCGAAGGACCCTTCGCCTCTTTTTTTCTCACCTCTCCTCTTAGCTCTAGGTGCCCCCCAAGCTTGGTGGGATTTTTGGCAACGCTTCTCGGCTGCGGCTTGGCAGGAACAGTTGCATCTCTGGCTCCCACTGGCAAGGCTTGCTATCGCCGGCTCCTAGTGCAGGTTTCCCGTGTATTCATCACTCCTTCACTGTTTCTCTGTGTTTTGTCTGCAATACTCCAAACCAAACCAAAAAAGCAGTCACCGAGAATCTCCAGAACCTGCCCGCGAAATCGCACCGATCCAGCCAAACATGGCGACCGAGGATTCCTACAAGAAGACCCTGCTTCCCCTGCTCATACAGGCTTCAGCGTTGTCCTTCGGTTCATATACCCTCAAATCTGGTCGGACCTCGCCCTACTTCCTCACCTCGTCTCTCCTGCACACCTCGGGCTTACTGGGTGCACTGGCGCGTGCCTATGCCTCAGTATTGGCATCTCCTCCGTTCTCGCTGCCGCTGGGAACAGAGGAAGCTGGCTCCGAAGCCGACGGGTCATTTTCTCCTCACTTCGATGTCCTCTTTGGGCCGGCATATAAGGGGATCCCCCTGAGTGCAATCGTGGTCAGAGAGTTGGAGTTCAGTGGAAAACACTTCGCAAATATATCATATTCATTCAACAGAAAAGAGGCCAAGGACCACGGAGAGGGCGGCGTCATCGTTGGAGCCCCGCTCAAAGGCAAGCGTGTCGTAATTATCGACGATGTCATAACCGCAGGAACGGCTCTGCGAGAAGCTGTTTCAATCATCAAGGCACAAGGCGGGATTGTGGTCGGCGTAGTGGTCCTGCTGACGCGACAGGAGAGAGTGAGCGACACCGAGCCGAGAAGTGCAATGAAGGTCGCAGAAGACGAACTTGGTGTTCCAGTCCGGGCAGTACTGAAGTTCGAGGACCTAGTTGAGGCGATTGAAGCCGGTCAAATCGCCGGAGTTGGACCACAACAGTTGGAGCAGATGAAGGCCTATGGTGAGAAGTACGGAAGCAAGGATTGAGCACGACTACTAGCCTCACCTTTTGCATTCGAGAATGCAATCACAGAGAATCCCATTGCTCAGCCGTGTGGGAGCACCAGGGACGAGAGAAATCATCCCGCCAATACTCGATGCTGTACCATCGGCCAGCTAGCTAACGCTACAACATCGATCAGACTGGAATGAGATCTGTCGAACGACAGGCTTACCAAATTTAGGTGGGCATGGGAGTTGCCGTTCCTCCCATTGATGGACGTCTATCCTCCCATTACTCTCCGTTAGTAACAACCTACATAAGTCGACAACGGAGATCGTCATTCACGCCGCCACACGGAACCTGTTCTGAATCTGAGGATGGCATGATATATAGCTTAGATGGGGGCGATGAATGGTCTGAGCCCCACAGGCTGTCGGCAGTCTTGCCTAGGAGTTGACCATCTCACTACCTGATGTATAGACGGCAGCCTTCGCACCCAAACATTGTAGTATATCTCACCGAGTCCCATCGCACAAGCAGGGACGGACGGTGGTTCCCCCGGAAAGGAAATGTCATCCGAATCGATATACCGTATACACGTGTATCCCGTATCCGCTCCACACAGGCGCATTCCAACCGAGGCCGATCCAACCAAACAACCTCAATGGGACGCAGTGTGGTATTCCGTCCCAACACCAAAAGAGACCGGGAAATCTATCGACGTAACTCATAATCCTGAAAGCCAAAGAAAAGGGAAACCATAACATCATAACATCGGCGGGCGGCGTACATAGCAAGCAAACATCGAGATCCGGCAATCACATGTCCTCATAATACCGAGAACGAGACTCCGATTTTCCATTTCCGTTTCCATTTCCATTTCCCTTCCCTCACACCAGATTCATTCTTGAAGTGGTGGTGGTCGTTTCAGTATCCTGTTTCCCATTTTTGGTGGGTTGCCATCTCCCCCGAAGGGCGTGTGCAACACGCCCATAGATCGATCATCACAGTGCGTAAGCATAAGCATAAGCATAAACATAAACATAAGCGTAAAACATAAGCGTAAAGACATTGAGGATTTGCTTCGTTCCAATCTGCGAGCAAGCAGAAGGAGATCCAACATCGGGATAGAATGGTCCGGTCGGGCAGCCCGTCAACTGGCTCGAACGACCAAAGGGGGATCGAGATGGTCGAGCCCCCTAAGTCCGTTCAGTCGGTGTGACTCATGCGCACGCCGTCGTGCTTGTTCGAGTTGGATGGACTGCTAGTGGACATGTATGTTCCGTCACGCTGTAACAGGTCGTGGCTGACTCTCTCATCCGCTCCCCAGTTTCGAAAGGCGTCCAGGTGTGCATCTCCGAGGGTAGGACTGTTGAACAGGCCGTCGCACAGACTTTCGAAATGATCAATATCTAATGCGACGTCGAGGTCTGCGTCGACGAAGAGGCGATCGGCCCCGTTGTGCCATGACGATTCTGGAGCCGGTGGTTCATGAGACAGCGGAGGGTTATGTCGGTCAGGGGTCGGCTGGACCGAACTCGAAGCTTTTTTGGCTGGAGACGGGTTGGGGGACAGAGAAGGAGAGGGGGTCTCCAGGCCATGCTGGGGCTCCGAGCCCGAAAAATTGGAAGATGTCGGCGAAGAGGTCGAGGCGGCGGCGGCAGAGGAAGATTTGAAAGAGGGGCTGGACGTGCGGTCGTCGAGAATAGTAAGCTTTGCAGCCATCGAACCTAAAGTCGTGGAATCGGCTCGTTTCAGTCCGACGTCAACTTCATCCGGCTTTAACCTAATCTGATCCCGGGTTGGACTCGCTTGAATTGCAGGTAAACTCGCAACTCCGGCCGCCGGGAGGTTGGAAGTCCGTCGACCTGGGGCCGAGCTTGTGCGTCTACTCGATGGCTTGAGCAATGAGGAGCGGGCGGAATGCTGTGACGTCGTCGGGGATTGCCATGACTTGGAGCGAGAGTTTTTGGACTGCCGGAGTCCGCTTTCGACCGAGGCGGAAGAAGTGAGTGAGCGAGTTTGCTTTTTAGATCGAGGTTTTCGGAGTGGTGGATCCGACCATGGTTGAGGTGGAGGGGTATGGGCCTCGAGGGCATGAAGGTAGGTCATGCGCATGTCGTCGACAATTTTGCGGAGTTCGTCTCGGCGTGTCACGGGGTCTTCCGCCATGCTCGTCCGGGTGGTGAAGGAGGACGAAGTGCCACTGGAAGAAAGCAGTGAATGTCTTCGGTCAGAGGATCGCTCGGAAAAGTCGTCCTGGTACTCGAACTCAAGATGAGGCGTTGGGGCAAAGTTTCTGGATCCCAGTCCTGGGCGGGCAGACTCAGGCAGCGGTCGAAGTGCTTGATGAAAAGAATGTATGGAAGAATAGGAAGTGTCTTCTCGGGTTGGCACGGGCTGTTGGCCAATGTGAGGCAGTGGCTTGTTTAGATAGTCCCGATTGATCTGAGTGATATTTCGATCGACTCCGGCCTGCCCGTAGATTGAAACAAGGCGACTATATTCGGCCTTCCACAGAGCCTGAATGGTCGGATTGCGTTCCTCATGTGGCTCGAGCAGTGAGCTTGTAGAGGCCATGTGCCGAGGATAGAATGGCTGAGTCGGCGTAGAGATACCAAGACCAACCATGGAAGAATTCGAGCCACAATACACAGGATCCCCAGGGCCGCCAAAGCCATGTCGTCCGGCAGAAGCGCCAAATACGGCATCGTCACTCATGGAGGAGGGAGGCGCCCACCGGGGGCTGGCAAAGGTCGGTTGCGTTCTAGAAGAACTCGGGCCATTCGAGAAGAGTTTCGGATCAAAAGGCTGTGAGGGCTGGGTAGGCGACTTCGGGTTTGATGTGGCTTGAGATGTCCTTCGATCCTTTCCACCGAGAATATAATCACCCTGGCGAATATCATCCAGAGTGCGATCATAGTCTTGCTGAGTGACAAGCAGTTCGCCAGAGCTGAGGCGCCGACTGGTCTGAAGTTTGACGGGCCCATTACCTCGTTGCGGTCTGTCGCCCAGTTGAGGCGGCCTTCCTGGTGCGGTAGATTCATAGGAAAAGGAGCGAAGATCGGACGTTGCATCTGATTTGACCTTGCTCGTGGAAGCCTTCCCTAAGGCATGATTGATGAATACAGGCAGCCGGCCTTGCGCGGGAGCGGTAGTATAGGGAACACTGTGCAGATCCAACTCGGCCACATCGTTCGCCCGTTGCGCATGGATCTTGCGAGGCGAGAGGAGTTTGCGCAGTCTAGATTCCATGCTTCTGCCTCAGATACAAATGTACAAAAGGTTCCTTTGCGCATTGACTCCGAGAGTGCTGCACGTGCACGGGCGGGAATCCCGTGGCAAGCGGGAACGTCAGCGGGAGGTTGACGTGCTTAAGTAGAGTGTTATGGTGGGACCGGAAGCTGGCATACATAGATGAGCTCAGATGCAATCTGCAAAACGAGTGTGGTATGTCGAGATCACAATGTTCTGGTCGACAACAGGAGAAACGTGGAGCAGACGCGAAGAAAAAGAGACTCGTAAGTTTGGCAGAGGGGGGAGGAGCTGCGAGAGAACGGCAGCAAATCTCTCATGATTTGACTGTGGACAAGGATGATGCTGGAAGTTGCGCAAAAGAGGCGTTTTGCGTTGAACAGAAGACAGGCACTAGACTGTGAAATCGGGCAGGGATCCGGGGCCCAGTAAAGTATAGCAACCACGGCCGGAGACGCATAAAAAGCCGGTGGTTGGCTGTTGGATCGACCCACGACAGCCCCGGGGCAATCAGAGAGTGTCATACCAATGCTCCGTACCCCAAAGGCGATGGGCTGATTGCTTGGCTGGAGGAGAGCTGCAGAGGTCCATACAGCTACCGGTAAACACACGGCTCGCGGAGGAGACAAGCGTGCGCCCTGGAAAGCCAAAGTGCTGTGCCTTACTCGTCCACAACAAACAAGAGATAGCAACCCTCGAACGCGTGTTGGCGTTGTCTAGGCTGAACCTTGACGAGCCTGGTCAACCTGTTTGCTTGTCCCGTGTATGTACGGAGTATATACACATGGAAGCGAGATATGTTGTTGGAGCTGTCATCAAGTCAGACTCAGACGCAGACGCAGAGACGCAGATGGTCTGCGACACTCAAGAAACAGCAATGCCTGAGACAAGCACGGTCCCCACAGCCCCAGTGCTTCTCGCTTTTCTGAAGATCCGGCCGAGTCCGGGATTCGGAAACTGACGTGACGCTCGATCGGCCACACTATAATACTGTACGGAGTATACTTAGCCAGGAGAGGAGTTGATTTGATTTTAGGCGAGGAAGAAAGGCGCATCGAGGGCTGCCAGGATGCCAGATGGGACCATAGCTGAAGCCCTAAGCTGAAGGGTGTTCTGATTCATCCTCAATTAGCTCAACGAGCAGGGCGTTCTTTAGCTCAAGGCCCTGGAGCGACCGGGATGTTGCTCAATTGCCGAAACACCAAGCTATTAGCTAAGGGGACCCTGGGGCCCTGGGGCCAGCGGGGCGGGAGAGAGGGTCAATTGTCATCGTATGTACACACCTGAATCGACTTGTTGTCTCACTGCTCGCGATGGAGCGAAGGCATGTTCAGCATAGTCCAGATCGAGGAGCCCGATGCCCACATGTCTGCAATAACACAGCACATATGTGTAAACCGTGTGCGCGGACTTTTACATCCCACCTGGTAGACTCCATGGCAGCATCAATCACTGAGTGCAGAATATTCCAAAATAGCATCGCTGATCCTGCACGCATCCTTCGTAGTAGCAAAATGGTTGCGGTGACTGTCATGTTCGATATAGTAGCTCAGCAGACTGGCGGTCTGGCTTCATCGTGCAATGGTATGCAGACTCGTCACTTCCCTACACCTGGAGGTTGGACTACAGCTGGTCTCGTTCAGAACCAACCGGTGCGGTGCGAGGCCCACGCCACTGACTGTCTGTGTATTTGTCTCAACGGCGCTCTAGTTGGCCAGCAAGAAAGACAGAAAGAAACGGTCTCATGGATGTCTTTACCTTTATCGCGCTGCCCATGCAGTGCCGATGAGTTCAGTTCACATGTCGTAGAACAAGCCGCTGTTCGGCACGACCCATTGTGTCACACTATCGACACGGGAGTCGCTGTTCAGTTTTGCATACATGAACCTGGTGTGTTGTCCCTTCGAATTCCATCTTCTGCCAGACTGAGACAGACTTCCATCCTCGACTGGTCGAACAAGCATCGTTGTCTGTCATACTCGAGGGTCATGGTATTTCAGAAAGTCGAATCTTGAACTTGACCACTTGGGTCTTAGACGGTGTTTGTGCGTGGTCCACTCATCACCCACACCCAGCTCTGGTCTTGACATAGAGCAGTGCGGCTTCGTTGTCAGACACAGATGCCAGAGTGCAACTATGCCTCAGGCATCAGAGCATGTTGAGACTGACAAGAAAAGAGCTTCCGCATCTCAGTTATAGCCTAACATCTTTTCATCACGGTAAGACGTCAGCCAGCTCATGACCGATGACGAGTTCAGCCAATTGCAAAGATGGCTGGCTGAGCAGAGTCGGGCCTGCTTGAGTTTATGATACTAGTCGCTCCCAAGGAGGAAGATCTCTCACGAAGAGACCGAAAGGATCATTTCGAGCGCAGAACTGGGCACATCAGAACGGCCCTTGACATGACGCTACCGTCTCTACAGGGAATTGCAGATTGTATCTGGACCATATCTTCAAGACGCGCCAGGTGTCGGCTGATCAGGCTTGTGGGGGTTGCAGGGCGCAGGAGAGGACTGGACGTCGGACGCTAATTAGCTGGAGGATAGATAGGACGGGAAAACCAGCGAGTTGGCGATCAATTGATATGATAGTTGCATCAACTGAACTGCGTTATCAGAGGGGAGGGAACACGGTCATCGTTCGGGGTGAGTGAGTGGGTGAAGAAGAGAATGTAACTCTGGCGGCACAGAGAATGCTACTGATGTGACCTGACTTGGAAGGCAACTCTACAGTGACATTGATTCACGGTAACATCTAGTTCTATGTGATACTACTTCTGCTATTATGCTACCAGCTACTACTACCACGTTCCTACAGTCTACGTACAGTGGTAGCAGTGGTAGCAGTGGTGGTGGCTGTTGTTCCTCCCCGCCTGCGCCCTCTCTTCCCTCCACTGTATCGCATCTTACTACTGTCTCATTTTTCCGAGTCCCTCGTCACTGTCCATCGGTTGCCATGATAGTCGACTGATCGAATCCATCAATCAATCCATCCATCTATCCACCACTGCGCCGAAATCCTATCGCTATCCCTTCCATCGATCCGGAGGACCACCGTCCTAGCCACCCTCGTCGTTGCCTACTCTACCGTAGTTGCACTCACTCGAGGATCCAATGGTCCTAGGGCCTCACATGTCCCTAGCACCCTCTCTGTTGTTGACGACATCTCCCTAAGGGATACTATGCTACGACCACTACAACCTCTCCAGCCGCTGCCACTCCTCCTACCGTTACTCACTACTCTGACCGACTGACTGCCATGTCACCACGATTCTTCCACAATCTTCCCTGCTCGTGACATATCATGTTCCTTACGTGCATTGGCACAAAGAAGACATTTCTCTAGCCCACCATGATACTGGGACTTGTCCTTCTCGTCCTTCTCGACTAGACTGTTCATTCGAACCTCTACCGACCCAGCGAACACCTCCCTCCTCGCCGCCGTCCCACAGCCATGACGCTCCTCGACTTCTTCCGCAGCATCCTGCGCCATTTGGCTGCAATGCTCCTCATTCCTTCCACCCTTAAACACATGGCGGTCTCGCACAAGCCTCCCAATACAGAAGACACGCTGGTTGAGCCCAAAGACGACATTTGCTTGTTGGATTCTCTCAAGGACGAGATCATGCGGTTGTTCAGAGACCCTTGTACCATGCGTCGAATGCTGTCCATGTCTTCAGCCCTTCGTACTCAGTACAAGACGAAACTGCAAGAGAGCGATGCTTGTATGTTGCCTTCCTATTGTCACTCCCTTCCTACTGGGCAAGAGAAGGGTACATATATCTCACTGGATGTTGGGGGCTCCACGTTCAGGGTGGCTTTGGTGGAGCTTCAGGGGAGAAATGCACGGCCAAGTCCCTTGGTTGTCAAACGGATGACCACGTCCAAGATTGACGAACGAATACGCAGACTTCCTTCCGCACAGTTTTTCGATTGGATGGCTGGTAGGATACAAGAAATGCTGGAACAAGAGGAGGTGACGTTGCCGTCAGATGAACCCCTGCCACTCGGTCTGGCCTGGAGCTTTCCCATTGAACAGACAAGTCACCGTGGGGGTAAAATGCAAGGGATGGGAAAAGGATTTACCTGCCATGAAGACACCATCGGTATGGACTTGGGTACATTAGTCGAAGCTGCCTGTGCTGGGAGGCAATTGAAAGTTCGGGTCGAAGCCATTGTCAACGACTCTTCCGCCACCCTTCTCTCTCAAGCTTACCTTGACCCTGCCACCTCGATGGGCTTAATCCTTGGGACGGGAACGAATGCTGCTGCATACCTCCCAACATCTTGTATGGGAAAGTCCAAGTTTGGATTTCGAGACCCTGCATGGTTCGACAGAGCAGAGAAAGTCATTACGAACACCGAACTATCCATGTTTGGCAAACATATCCTGCCCGAGACTCGATGGGACGAGTTGTTGAACTCACAGCACCAGATGCCGGACTTTCAACCGCTCGAGTATATGACCACCGGTCGTTATCTTGGAGAGCTGCTAAGGTTGATCATTGTCGAGGCCGTTGAAATGGGAGAGTTGTTCCACGGCATCATGCCTGAATCTCTGCTAGAGCGCTACTCACTCGACACCGAAATCTTGGCCAAACTGGAGCAGGATAACTCTTGGAACTTGAAGGATTCTGTGTTCATGATTCAGGATGCTTTTGGACTAAAAGTACCACCCACACGGAAAGAGATCTCGTTTCTCCGAGCCGCGACTGAATCTATCTCCTACCGTGCTTCAGCGTACATTGCCGTTGCTGTCCATGCACTGTGGGCACTGCAAAGGGATCCCGAGATAAACCCAACAGCGTCAGGAGGACCAAGAACATCGATCGCATGCAACGGAAGCGTCATTCTCAAATATCCCGGTTTCAAGGCTCGATGTGAAGGGTTCATCCAACAAATGAGCAAGGCAGGCTCTCTAACAAGGGTATTTTCTTCGCGGAAGGTCGTCCTAGAACCGACTAGCGAGGCCGCTATTCTCGGTGCCGCTGTTGCTGTGGCGCTAGAAAATGTTCCTTGAACTAAAAGTTGTGGAATTCACAAACTCAATGACTCAATTTTGGCGAAGCTGGAAAGAAGCTCCAAATCAGCCAGACTCGATCCCACCGTCCAGAGAGGCATGCCATTGATATACGAAGGATGGCCGCGTACGGGACCTCGGAAGCTTACACCAGCTTCCGGGCGCGTCCCGTATTGTCCCATAAGCTCGAACGGGCAAATCAATCAGAGAACCCGGAGCAGCATAACTGACAGATGTTGCCATCTGCTTCATTTCCCGCCAGATACTCCGGATTTTGTTTGGCAATGCGAATGCATGACGGAACCACAATCTAATGGTTATACACTGTCGATTCCTGTGCTCGAAGTACTCATTAGAGTACGGCGCAGCTCGGTCCGCTGTGTATTTGGGCTCGTCATCACACTGACTGACCCCAATTGTTGATTATCCTGTTTCCTCGAAAAGTTCGGCGAACCTGTTTGCAACCGGCAACGAGGGTTAAATGTCACTATCCATGGACGATGTTTCAACCACTGGAATGGTCCTGGCTATCTCGTCCATAGTCGTCTTTATATGGCTGAACAAATATGGGAGATATCTGCGCTATAGGAAAGTGGGCAAGAGATATAGAGTTGGTAGACGCTATTTGCAAACAACAATGGATACTCGTGACCGAGCGACGCCACTAACCCAGTCCCGCCCTCGTACTCAACCTTTGGCACGCTTCTCCTGCAAGTATATCGAGCTATTAAGCAAAATAGTAACACAAGTATTATGGTATAGGACTTGGTAAGGCGTCCTTTCAATATCTGTGGACCTTGACCTCCAAACCGTATGGCATCCCAACTCGTAGATGATGGTACATGGATGTAAGAAAACCCGAGTCCTAGTCCTGATACAAGTAAACACGACCGACCTCACCTCTATTCCTTGTTGTTGTCCAATACCTCGACCTGATTCGTGGTTCGTAGCTTCATGAATGGCCTGGTTGTCCATCATTGCGCCAACGCGGTCTGCAGTCCGTCGATGTCAGGTCGTCCTGTAGACTCGCAACGGTGCAGATATCGAGCCATCAACTGTATCATATCGTCTCTGGTGATATCTCTCCTGCGCGTGAGCCGAGCAGCAAAACTACCAAACCAGTCTCGGTCTTGGGCGTCTGTGGCGTGTTGCACTCCCAAGCATACCATCCACAGCACAATTTCCTCATCCTGCTCGGTCCAAGTTTGATTATTGTAAATTGGCAGAAGCTGTGCTCGAAGCCGGCCGATATTTGACCATGAAAACATTGTCGGGTCTGACATGGATACTGCGTCCGTCCTGGCATTCCCATTCGGGGCCCTTTCGATGTCTGAAATGACAACCAGAAGAGCCTGTTTGATACTCTCGGCAATTGCGTGGTACAGAATCTCCTGGTGTGACGCGTCAGCAGGATCTGCGGACCACGAAAGAAGACGATGGACCAGGGTGTATACTTGTCGTGATGCCCAGCTTTGGGTGGGCGATCGAGCATAGTTGTGAACATGATGGTGCTGTTGTACATGAAACCACTGAACAGTGTCGACAATAATATCTGAGAGTACCGGATGGACTATGTTCGTATATCGGAGCAAGGCTGAGCCACTGGGTGCAATCCCGGCCCGAGACAAATCGGGGAGAATAGCGCCCACCATTTGTTCGCCGGGGAGGGAGCCATGATCCCACAAAAGAGGCAGCAAAGGAGGTTCTCCTAGTCCTCCAGCCACTGCCAAATCCCATAGCCAGCACAGCGGCCGCATAGATGGTTGGAGCCTTCCAAGGTCGCCCAAGGATCGCACCAGATGCTGGACCATGACAAGATGGGTTCTAGCTCCTTGGAAATTACCCACGTATCTCTCGAAGGCTGCAAGTGTCTCGAGGTCGAAGATAAGGAGTTCATCTACTTCCGGGTTACTCGCCAAGTGGTGCCGTAGATATTGTAGCGCTTTGCCCATACAATATTCTGGAGTGTCATGTCTGTAGTTCTGCAGTCTCAAGACGTATTTCTGGAAGGCAGTGCTGGCTGCAAGCAACGAGAACATATGCATCCTGTTGGCGAGACAGCCTTGGACAATGCGTTCGATCGTGGCCTGTGTTGAAGCAGAAGATGCCAATGTTGCATCTAGTATCTCCACGTCCCGGAACACGGAGGGAAGCCAGACTTGGACGGCGTATTGAAAAGCATTCTGCGACCACTGCGCGTCATCTGGTGTTTCCAAGTAGGTAAACGAATCTGTAGTGTCGCCCATGGTCGGGGCTATAGGAATTGGAGACGGCGCGGAAGAAGTTTCGGCGGAACTGGTCTCTGAGACATTGCCCTGTCTGCCCCAACCTACAATGCTTTGCGCGCGAGTAGCTTCGTGTTGGGCTGCGTACAGCCTCTGCTGGCGTCGTAGACCGGCACGCCATTGCCTAGCATGACTGGTGATGGTTCGAAGTTCGTCTCGTTCTTGTCGGCTTGTGTATAGTCGGTCCGACTCAGGGGTCCGATTCACCCAAAGGAAATCTGGGTTGCTGCTGTTAGATCTTCCTCTACCTCGCCGTGATGACATTGGATTTTGCGGATTCCACAGCCATCACCCATGCTGGACACTCACCTATTTAACAGCGGACACAGGCATGTCCTTGTCTTGCTCTTCAAGCCAACTCCGAACGAAAGCCGCAACACAGCTGTGACCATCGTAGATGGTCAGCCAAGGATAGATGCGGAACTCAAGCCACATTTGTGAGAGTCATTTTCTCAACGATTAGTCCCCGATACTGCTTACTCGATATAAGGCTCGACGCGGTAGCGCAAGGTCGATTTGTGTATCCATCCTATAGACTATACGGAGTACTCACCTTGACCGTGCGAGATCGGCTAACCGCAATAGTGACGTAGCCGAGAGAATATGAACCAACCAGGCGTGGTGATTTCTCAACACCTCGACATTGTTAGCTAAAGAGCGGTGACAAATGCATCTCCGAGGAACTGTGAGGCTCATATCTGGATCACTGGCTTATGGCAGCGTCGAAAATATTTCAAATCTGGATTCGGAGACTTCGTCCTAGGGCTTTCTTCGAGGAAATAGTACTAATCTTGATCGGATGAAAGCGGGCTCCAAGCCGTCGCTAGAGAATTCGATAGGTTGTCCCTGCGAAGAATCATTCTCGCGCGAGGAGGATGGTATTGAATCAGTAGGAGGAAGCGTACTTCAAGGCTTCATGCACGTGTAGAAAGTGGACGGCAAGATGGCATTGGGCTGCTGGCGACAGCCTAGTCTGGGAGGCATGCTCGCAATAGGGATGAAGAGCCATTGTACAACCCTGGCGGACCGACAAATCTCACAGCTGAGTGCGAAGGCTCTCAGACAAAGATGACCAAGAAGCCGTACATGCAACTAAGATGAGAACCGTAGTTGGATGGAATACTAGAAACGGACTTCCCATGAGTATGATTCAGAATGTCTCGTGCGCCTAGACTGCGTCGGAGCAGGAACTATACAGACACATGTTAGTCTTACGCGTCGAATGGAGAGAGAACAGTGGTTAGAGGCGGTCGAGGTCGCTCAATGTTGTCATGGGCGGGTGAACGTTTGAAGATGATGAAGCGAGGCAGCATTGCCGCCGTTGGATGTTTGCTCGGATACATGTCCGAAGGTGCAAGGCACGACCCACCCAATTGTCCAGAGCTGTGAACGACACAGACCGTGCGAATCCATCGACGATCGATGAAGAGTTTCATCCCTGCAGTTGCAGTTGACTAATACCAGCAGAAGCAGCGCTGGTGAAAGGAAGGAGGAAACGGCCTCTCATCACTATGGCCAGCATCAAGTCCAACTGTCGCAAGGTTATTTGCATCGGCCGGAACTATGCGTCTGCCTCTCTCTCCCACCACCAACTGGCGCAGGACAACTTGACTGACGGTGTGCTGCAGTGACCACATTACTGAACTGTCTTCCGCCCGTCCAGCGCAGCCCTTCTTCTTCCTAAAGCCTCCCTCTTCGATCCTGCTGCCGAAGCAGGGCCCGATCGTCCGGCCTAAAGGCGTGACTGTGCACCATGAAGTCGAGCTCGGCCTGGTGATTGGCGAGACTCTCAAGCCGCTGAAGAACCTGCAAGAGTCCGATCCCAAGATCCTCGATCACATCCGATCTTACTTCTTGGGAATCGACCTGACGGCGCGGAATGTGCAAGACGAGGCAAAGAAGAAGGGTCTACCTTGGAGTATAGCCAAGGGCTTTGATACATTCCTGCCCATCAGTCATGAAATTCCTCTGGACCGCCTGCCGGATCCCCACAACGTCCTGCTGTGGCTGAGCGTCAATGGGCAGGTCAAACAGAGAGACAGCACGAACCTGATGTTGTTTAGGATACCCAGGATCCTGAGTGATATCAGCAAAGTCATGGCTCTGGAAGAGGGAGACATCATCCTGACAGGCACACCGAAGGGCGTTGGACCGCTCAAGGGCGGAGATCTCGTCCAGTGCGGTCTAGAGGCCGATGGTAGAGAAGTGGTTGAAGCAAAGATTGAAGTGGAAGTCGTGGATGACCAGACGGAAGGCGGGTATGAATTCAAAGAGACATGATATCAAAATTCCGCAACACCGAGACCTTTCTCGGAGACTTGATATATTCTATCTAGGGCAAAGGATCTGGTGATACCACCGAAAGCAGTCAGTCATACACATTGCCCTCTGAAAGGAACACAGCTCAACGGTCATGCTCCGACTATGAGAATTGCGCTTTCCCCACATATCCTCATGTTTCTACCCGCGGTATTCGTCCTCTATTCCTCACTTGATGTGGGTAGAATGGGGATCTCTGGAGGAGGTGGTAGCGGAAGGTGTCGTTTCTCCTGCTTCTTCTGCTTCGTTCCCTTGATTCCCCAGCCGAGATCTTTCAACGCCTGAGGCTTCCGCAGAAATCCTTCATCGTTGCTACTTTCTCCTGCAGACTCAGCTACCCGCCTTTTGTGTGGCACGAGTCGCGGGATCGATCGCACTGGACCTGCCCTCTTTCGCTGTAGATCAAAAACAGCTGGCTTCGACAGCATCTTTCCCGCTATGATCGGTGGTGGGCGTACTGACTCGGGTACACCACTGTCTTTGCCGGGGGCAGTGTCCGAATTTTGCGCCGGTACCACGATCTCGACCGGCTGGACACCAGCCATAACTTGATCCAATTGACCTTGTCGCTCTACAGCCACTTCAGCTGATGAATCCTGGACTCGGGGAGAAGGATTGTTCTGCTGCATTGCTCGTTGTCTGAGGGCTGGTTGGGCGATCTCAGATCTTGTACCCAACTTCGTCGTACCAGTCATTCCGCAAGCTCTTGGTAAGGGTGCATCAGGCGGCCTCGACCCTGCCCGGGGTTGCTTCGATTGTCTTTGATTTCGGTCCTCTTTTTCTACCAGCCGCTGGCTTCGACGTAACGGTCCAGTATCGGCCCCAGGTTGACATCCCAAAGCCTTTATTTTCCTGTGGGCTCTCTCCTTTCGCTGTGCTTTCGACTTCCCAAGCCTACCCAGGGCCTCTGTGAGTTTTCTCGAGGACTTGGACGCTTCAGCGTTTTCCACCAATGTGCCTGCTTCGCTTCCGGTGGACAGTTGGGAGCATACTTTCCCAAACAGGACTACGTTGTCCCATGTCCACCCCTTCGCGTCCAGCAACTGTTGGCACTGCTTTCGTTGAGCCTCTAGGAACATGCCGTTGATGAAGTTCCGCACAATCGTCTCCTCAAAGGTACGTGGAAGAGCCTCGATGAGCGTCAAGCCCTGAGAGTAATAGTACTCCCAATCGTCAAACCTTCTTTGCCGAAGGAGATTGACTCGGGCTAACTGAGAGGTGTGCATGTCGGGTTGTGGCAATGTTTGCAATGTGTCAATCTCCTCTTGATGGGCCGCTGTTTGGTGGCCAACGTAGCTGAAAGTGTTCGCATTCTCGTCGAGATCCAGGTCGTCTGGTAAGGTCGCCTCTCTTCTATGCAGGTGATCCGGCCAATGTTGCTCGTGCGGTGTCTCTGTCCTTCCTGGAGGCCGGCCGCCTTGCGAATCTCGGATCTGGACCATATTGTTCCCTGCATGGGAAAATGTCAGACAGATCTCGTCCATCGACAGAGGTCAATGATATGCTACCTGGTACACAAGGAGACAACTGAGGCTCGAAGCTATCTTCTATGCGACTGACCGAAGCCGACGAGCCACCTGCTGCTGGTGGCGGCCCCGGGAGCTCGTTGACTTGCACCGCAAGCGCTTCAACGACCGAGGCATCTGCTTTGCCAACCATGGTGTGTTCCAACCTCGTGAGCGAGGCCATGATTCCTTCATGCTTCTGTCGGACGTCTGCGACATTTTGACAATTGGTTCTCACAGTGTCAATCTCTTTGTTGAGCCGTTCCCACTGCGCCTGAGTGTGTTCAAGACCCTGATTGTACGTGGTCTTCAGAGATGAAACCTCACTTTGTATCGTGTCGTACCCTTGTTGGAGAGCCTGAAGACCATCGCCTTGATCAATCAAGCGTATGTTCTGTTCCTCCAACGTGCACCGTGTCTTCTCGGAAGCGTCGTGACTGGCTTGGATAGCCGTCCTGGCATCCTTCACCTTCTCGTGTAGGTTAGCGATCTCTTTGCGACAGCTCTTCAACTCTTCATGCAAAAATAGGTTCTCGCGGCGGATTTGATGGGCTCGAAGCAAGTCAATTGCGTAGCTGACCGTGTGTTTTCGGTCGGAGAGCATACTGGTTGAGCAGCGGTGACCAAAGTGAAGTGGCTCACAATAACTAGAGAATCGACATACTACTAGGTATAGGAACGCGTTCTGCACGTTGGGCCGCTAGTAATTGCGTGACATGAGATATCACTGCAATGAGTATCAGGATCTATCAGAGCGAAAGCAGATGCATGTCAAAACAAAAATGAAAAATTGTGGCCACAGTATCGCAGGAACCATTGACAAGCAGACCTCTTATGAGACTCGCGAAAGCACAGCTTAAAGACAAACAGCAATTTGAAACGGGAATTTCGATTTGAATCAATTTCTCTACCTGTCTATCGCAAGAAGCAAAGGTTCCTCATCCTTCATAACACGTGAGAATGCGTCGAATTCCTTTGTGCAGTAGGAGAGAATGATAGCCAACACTTGCAAGCTAGCAGTAACAAGCAATGGCGCCCGCGACCTCTGCCACATCAAGAACGACCATTAGGTCGCCAGTGTGGAATTACCGCGCTCGTGCCATCAAGCAAAGAGACAATAGTGACAAGAGTGAAAATACATGACTTTTTCGGCGGCGGCAGCTCTGAGCCAAGCAGTCGGAAACAGGCTTCATCCCACTTTTCTCAGGCGGCCACATAGTAGTAGTTGTAGCAACCAACGCCATCCACATGCCGAATTTGGAAAGAATCGGATTCGTTGCCAAAGGAGCCAGTTGGTCCTTTAAATGAGATCTAAAAAATTTGTTAGCACATGTCCACTCGACTTGAGTACTGAAACACTGAAAGAGCTTACCAGCAACGTTCATTGGCATCTCTTCGATTTGAGTGCTGTAGAATTGTTCGATTTCGCGCATCATGCGGACATCATCAGCTGTGACGAAGTTGATGGCAACACCCTTTCGTCCGAAACGACCACCACGACCGATACGGTGAATGTAGTTCTCACGGTTGGCCGGAAGATCGTAGTTGATGACCAGAGAGACCTGCTGAACATCGATACCACGGGCTAGCAAGTCGGTGGCGATGAGCACACGGGAAGAACCAGATCGGAACTCCTTCATGATAACATCACGCTGAGCCTGCTCCATATCACCGTGCATGGCTGAGACAGTGAAGTCACGAGCGGTGAGCTTGTCGGTGAGCCAGTCGACCTTTCTTCTGGTGTTGCAGAAAATGACAGCTTGTGTGATTGTGACCGTCTCGTAGAGATCGGAGAGAGTGTCAAGCTTCCATTCCTCCTTCTCGACGGCGATGTAGAATTGCTTGATACCTTCAAGCGTCAACTCAGCCTTCTTGACGAGAATGCGAACAGGGTCACGCATGAACTTGGTCGTGACCTCAAGGACATCCTGAGGCATGGTGGCGGAGAGAAGGACCACCTGGGTGGACTGGGGGAGGAGCTGGAAAATGTCGTAGATCTGTTCGGTGAATCCACGCGACAGCATTTCATCGGCCTCATCCAAGATGAACATTTTGATGTTGTCGGTCTTCAGCACACGGCGCTGGATCATGTCCTGAACTCGTCCTGGAGTACCCACGACAACTTGTGGTCCTTCTTGGAGCGCCTTCATGTCATCCCGAACGTTGGTGCCACCAATACAAGCGTGACACTCAATATTCATGAAATCACCGATTGCGACGACAACCTTCTGGATTTGTTGAGCAAGCTCACGCGTCGGTGCAAGAATGAGAGCCTGGCACGCCTTGAGGTTCTGATCGATCTTCTGAAGGGCAGAGATGGAGAAGGTGGCGGTCTTTCCAGTACCAGACTGGGCTTGAGCAATGACATCGTTTCCTGCAAAAGATTAGCAAATGTTGTGAATTTTCCCACATACAATGAAAACGTACCTTTGATGACGGGCATGATAGCACGTTGTTGGATCGCAGATGGTCGCTCGAAACCATAGGCATAGATACCTATAAACAGTCAGAAAACAGCTCACTGTGGGGAGATTTTTTTCATTTATTCTACATACCTCGCAGAAGTTCGGGCTTCAGGTTCATCGAATCGAAGGAGTCGATGACTTCATCGTAGTTCGACTCGATCTGGCCTGTTGGTGCGAAAGTTAGTAAATTTCGTGACCCTGATTAGGCTGCGTGTCCCGACGTGTCTATGTCTGTACAGTCGACGCGATCTAGATAGCAGCAGCTCGAATGGGATATGACATACTTTCAGGAACCTCCTCGAGACCTTTGTCCGCCATGATTGCGAAAGAAGTTGGTATCACTGGCGACTTCGCCGGTGATCTGAGAGCGTGGGGAGTTGAAAGTGGCGTGTAAGACTTAGGCGCTTCGCGTGCGTCTAAGTCTGCTGAAACTGGGGTTGTTGTGCGAAGTCTGTCAAAGGATCCTCTCTGTGAGAATCCAAGTGATCAGAGAAGCTGTTGTGGTAGTCTTGTTGTTTGTAGGTGGTAAGAATGAAGGATCAAAATTTTTGGGCTGCTTTGGACGGCGGCTACTACTTGACTTTCGCAGAAGTCTTGGCGTCGCGCTAGAGAAGTTTTGCCATCCTCTCCATCCTCGACGGGCTTTGTCATTAAAACACGCTATAAATCTCATGTGCCGTTCGTTTACCAGTCCAGCCTTGTCCATTCCTTTCCACAGTGGCGCAGTTCTGATCAAAATGCGACTTCTGTACTGATAACTCAACTCTCGTTTCTTCTGGATGCTACTCGGATGATCCCTTTGGTTCAAAGTTATAGCCGGAGTTTGATCACGTGCCGCGCCTTTTTTGCCTCGAGTCTTATTCCAGGCCTGCCTTCTTTTACTATATTGGACGAATGAGCGCAACCACCACTACACAGACCGGAAGACGGGCAGAGATACCGGTACAGGTGGAGGATGGCTCCCCAGATCTACCAACCGAGACCCAGGGGATTGGTCAAGGACAAGATGCCTCCGAGACTCAAACCGACCAACATCCTCTGGGCATCAGACCCGCTGGAAATGCTCTTACCTCTCGGGAAAATGCTCAGGGTTTCATGGGCCTTTTCGCAAACGTGCCAGATGCCCTGTTGCTAATGGTTCTGGAGTATCTTGACCAGCCGAGCCTGGTCAGCTTAGGAAGTACATGTCGAGGTCTGTACGCCTTTTGTTCGTTTGATCAATTATGGAGGGATATTGCGGTCAATAGTATGACCCAGGAATTTTCATGGCGTGGGAGTTGGCGAGCATCTCTGAGACGACTACCTTCAGCCAAACTGGCAAAAGTGGATTGCAGGTATCTCTTCTCTGATGCTCTCCATCGCCCTTTTCTCTGCTCTCAGATTTCTCTCACCCCTTATGTCACGAACATTCCTCTGCACAACGAAATTCCTCGCATGGATGACTTGTCACCTACTGAGTTCAACGAGTCCTGGGCCGACAAACCGTTCATCCTCACATCTCCCGTGAAAAGATGGCAGGTGTTCCACAAATGGAGTGAACAGGATCTTTTGTCGAGGTATGGAGATGTCCTCTTCCGGGCGGAATCAGTGGATTGGCCACTTCGAACGTATGTTGAATACATGAACAACACAAGCGATGAAAGCCCACTGTATCTTTTTGATCGCGGTTTCGTGGAAAAGATGCACCTGGAAGTCGGTAGCCTCGGGGCCTACGAACCTCCACCAGCTTTTCAGGAGGATCTATTCGCGCTCTTGGGCGAAAAGAGACCAGACCACAGGTGGTTGATCATTGGCCCAGAACGGAGCGGCAGCACATTCCACAAAGATCCAAATGCAACTAGTGCTTGGAATGCCGTTATTCGAGGCTCGAAATATTGGATCATGTTTCCTGCTTCTATCCTACCGCCAGGGGTCTATATGAGTGAGGACCAGAGTGAAGTCACATCTCCCTTGAGCATTGCAGAGTGGCTGTTATCCTTCCATGCGGAAGCGAGGAGAACCCCGGGTTGTCTGGAAGGTGTTTGTCGTGAGGGCGAGGTCTTGCATGTCCCATCAGGCTATTGGCATTTGGTTGTCAACCTCGACCCCGCGATCGCCATTACCCAGAACTTTGTGCCTACATCACATGTTGGAGCGACGTACAGATTTCTCAAACACAAGGCTGATCAGGTGTCCGGTTTCAATGACGGTGTCGCCGATCCCTGTGCACTGTTCATGGAGCAGCTACAGCGAGAGTATCCGGATCTAGCGGCAGCTCTTGATGAGTCTAACATCAGGAAGAGAAAATGGGAGGAGGTGGTATCTAATCAGGAGGTCGGCGGAGATCAATCGGGGTTCAGCTTTGGATTTGACGGCGACGTTGATGAAGAGGAAGTCTAAGCAACTAGGCCTGCGCTATCCTGGCCAATCTGGAGACTTCAATGGCAGGCAACCGATTTGGATGACGTGAGGCTGCGGCCGAACGCAAGGTATCCGATGAAAGCACCAACTGCCACCGCCAACATGACCCAGCCGTTATAGGTCATGAATAAAAGCCTGTTTGTGGTCAGTCCTGACCTAAGATCCAAGTTCAATCACCGTACATGATGAAGAAGCTGTAGAAGACTTGTACAGCATACAGAGCTGCTTTGATAATTGTCCCTTGCCGTTCCGCCGACGCCTTCGAGTCTCTTCCTACGACGAGCAATGAGCTTGATTCGTTCAATTGTGCAGGTTCGCCTTGACAGACTCAGTGACAGCTGGGATATGTAGTCGACAAGGGAAACATACTCAAAGCACCAGTGCTGTATGCAGCCATGCGCGCGTTGTGGCTTTGCTCGTATCGTCTACTGATCTCCCGTACACATTCATAGCCGGCAGCCAGGAGGACGATGGCAATCAAGGACAGGATCAGCGAGAGGGGGCCCGTCACTCTCCATTGTCGGAAAACGATGCATAAATTCTTCGAAGACCAAGTGAAGAGCATCTGCTGCAGTCAGCCAACAGCACTCACTGATCTTGCTTCCGGAAGACTTGCATTCATGGAGCACTGCCCTTCACCCATGTCCATATCACCATGATCCATACCGCCATGACCCATATGTGAATGATCCATCATTGTGGACTGAGAATAATACACAGAAGATGACTTCGGTAGATCTAAAGTAGACACTCTATGGTGAAGTGACCACTCCCGTTTGTTGTGATGTGAATCGTTGATTGCAACTTGGAGACGCAGTCTGGCTCCCGCTTGCTGGTTGGCAGTGCAAACACAACAAACAAACCCCCCTCGCTGCCAGTCCTCCGATCTCAAACTGCGCCAATTCCGACACCTTTGGCTCCTCGAGGCACCGTTCTTGCGAGCGCATCGCTCACAATGGCCGAAAATGTCCCTCCAGGCGCTGCCACCAAGGCTGCGGCGATTACTGACCGACCTGGACTCCCATACTACGAGAAACTACGACGAGACCTGCGAGATACAATCCAGAAAAAGCGCCTTCTTGACCGCAACATGGTAAGTTTCGCGCACCCATTGGAGTCAAGCTCTTCGCTCATACGTCACAGGCTGCTATAGAAGACCAGATATATCGTCAGGAGACTGCATACCTTGAAGAAACCTCGGTGGCGGGAAACATTGTGAAAGGCTTCGATAACTACATCAAGGCATCCGCCGTCTCGTCCTCGGCCAATTCCGCAGGAGGTACAGTTTCTGGAAGCGCAGTTGGTGGCGGAGTTGGAGCAGGACGTCGAAAAGCTGTTGTGAACGATTCCGATCGCATATTCTCCCGGAGCTCGGTGTCATATTTGAGAGACTCGGATTCGCCCAGCAGTGCCACCAGTACGCCGAATCACGCCGGAACGCCAACGGGCAGTTTCACTGCCGAGCGAGGAGCAGACAAGAAGAAAAAGAAGAGCATTGCAGCGAACGATGACGAGACAGAGGGAAGGGCAAACAAACGGCAGAAGATCTCATTTGGAAACTCTAGAAAAGCACACGACGATTGAAGGATGATGCAACATCTACATGAGTGGCTTGCCTCGAACTCTGAACAATGCTGGCTGTTGCCATTGGGGACGAAATCATATCTGCTGAGAACGACTCAACTCCATGCTATCTAGCGCTTTCGGCCACCAGTTGTCCATCCAAATCCCAAGAAGATGGCTGCGACATTCACTGAATGAGCGGCCGCTGGTTGTCGACGACTGGGCATATTCCTGTCCAGTCAACTTGCTCTGACTGGGAGCCGGCTACAGCAAAATCTTGGGCTCCGCACATTTCTGCCGAAGCATCCTGACAGGTGAAACCATAGGATGGAGGTATCCTGGTGTGTTCCAGAACACGCCTTTCGGGGCCGGAATACTGTTCAAAGTGAGACACAGTGTGGCAGCGAGTGTCATTTTGGTCGGGCCCTGACGCCCATTCCTCCCCTGGAATCGAAAGACGACAGTATCATGGCGCACTACATGCCACTCGTGTCCATCCGGAGTTGGCGAAGATGAGAACAGCCAGTTCTTTCAGAAAACCTTGCAATTGCAGAGTGTTTGATGTTTCCGCGGATATTGTGCGCAACGGCGGACCAATGCAGGTAACATGCTACGCGGCATCTAAGAAGCCAGGCTAGGATCAAATATAGTCTACCACAAGACATAGTTTCAAGATGATCAGCTCAAAACCAAAATGTGGTTTCTAGTTTTCCAAAGGCGCGTGATAACATGGAGAATTCAGTGTGAGTGGTCCAAAGGAGCCATGTCCGCTGGGTAGTCAATTAGTAGAGGGACAATTGGGGTTCCTTACTATTAGTAGGCTTGAGGCTTGCTGCCTCGGCTGTGTTGGAACTCTCCTCGGATAAGCCTCAGTCAACAGTACTATGACCAACTATTTCCTGTCATTATTGCCCTTTGTGTAATATTCAATCTCTGATTTTTCGCAGACCGATCAATGCTTCGCAGGTGTCTTCAAACTGGCATCCGGTGGCCAGCGCGGTATTTCCTTCCAACGTCTCGAAGCATCGTGTCGCGAAGTCACAGCGACAGGATGGCACCTCTATCACCAGAATCTCTCGTAAGTGCTGGTTCCACTCGAGATCGTAACGATCGTAACCGCTTCAGTAGAGAGCAATCGAGAGGTTGCGAGCGTATCGCGCACCAGAAACCTCATGGGCATCGATGCCGCTGTCACGAAAGGCCGCCGTTCTGATTTTGCTGTTTGCGGATGAAAAGGGCGATCTGAGAGTGGTCATCACGATGCGTGCAAGTACGCTGAGTTCCTATTCCGGCCAAGCAGCGCTGCCAGGAGGCAAAGCCGAACTAGGAGAGACCGCGTTCGAAGCAGCGCGACGTGAGGCCTCTGAAGAGATTGGCCTTCCACAACGGAACGAGGCCTTACCACCGCCTTTTAGAGTCGAGCACCTATGCGAGATGCCCACGAACCTGGCAAAAACAGAACTAGTTGTTCGTCCCTGTGTCGCTTTGCTACATTCGCATGACCCCGAGACAGGACTGAACGCTAACGTTGCTGAAAGGCTGCTTCCCAGACTGGATGCAAGGGAAGTAGCTGCTGTGTTCTCAGCCCCTTTCAAGAACTTCTTGTACCAGGAAGATCTACCCAGTCAACCAGACCTCCCCGGGAAGCCAAGCGATTGGTATAAAGGAGCCTGGACTGATTGGCACCAGAGCCAATGGCGGATGCACAATTTCTTTGTTCCCGTCACAAACCAGATTGTTACTAAACCGAAGAAGAGTGAGGGACAGAAGATTACTGCGAGTCACCTGGACCAGTATGAGAGGTACCGAGTGTTTGGTATGACTGCCAGGATCCTTGTTGATGCTGCTCGCTACGCCTACGACCAAGAGCCGGAGTTCGATCATAACAGTCACTTCGGGGATGAGGACATGATTGTCCGTCTGCGCAAGGTTGGACGATTAGGAGATATAAGGCGTCCTGGTGATGAGCTCACGAAAGAGGATTTGGTGAGAGCTGCAAAGCTCTGAAGAGATCCATATTTGTGGTTGCAAGGGACCCTTTGCTGGCCGGAATGTCAGTGGAATGTGGACGATATTCTCTGCAAAATATCACCACCAGCCAATTCTTCCAACCATCAAGTCCTCCCTTTTCCGGCTTCGGTAATATCGACTGCCTTTGACGGTTCACTACCCGTGGTAGTCAGCGACAATGGCTCTCATCAATGAGACGGTGGACATCAGGTATGCCGCAGCTGAAAACGGCAACCTTTGTTCATTGTCAACCATGCTTCCTGCGGCAGTGCATGTTTTGCACTACAGGAGGCTCGCTGAAGAGGTGCAACCGTGATGGCCTTGTTCTCCCGGCGATTCTGCAACGCCAGCAGGATTGTGGCCCAGTTCCACTTGATTTTGACTGAAGGATGACATTGTGCAGGCTTCTCCAAGCCTTTACTGAAAATGAGCTCACACCCAAGCTTCTCTCAGCGCATGCGAATGACCTCCCCCCCGCCATCCACTGCTCTTCTGAACCTTCAAAAGCAGGGGTTGGAACTGGGAGTCCCACCATCACCGAGCACGTTACATGTCGGCACGAGTCATGCCTCCGCAAGATCGACGCCATCCGATCGGGACAAGCCTCTGCCCCTTGAACCCCGTGAAAAGAGGCGGTCTTCCAGTGTGTATAGCACTGACACAACTATAAGCAATATAATCCACATGTATGGTGGTGGTGGTGGTGGTTACCGTGAGCTGGATGATTTCTCACCAGTACCCACACTTCACCATCCACAGGCCTACCGAGATACGGTGGCACCGTTGCTCATCAAACGTTTGAGCATTAGCCAGTCTCCTTCGTTACAACCGGTTCCCAGTGCCGTCTCTCGCGAAACCGTGTCGAGCCTCTCCCTCAGGTCTGCAGCTCTTCAAACCAGCACGCTGCGAATGGGTAACAAGACCGCCCCGAGCTTTCTCGAATTCTCTCGAAATCTTCAAGATCGCCGGAACGAGCTAATCTCGCCGCTGTCGGGCACGTCATCTGACCATCACCGGCAGGCCGCGTACGACCAATTGTTTCCACCTTCACCTCAAGTTTCTTCTGTCGAACAATCTATTTCTGTCTCGCAAACTCCGCCGCTTCCTGATGCCATGTCCGGGACCATATCAGACATCGATGACTCCGACCTTCTCCCGCCTCCACTGAGGTTGAGCAGTTCCAGTCCACCCAGCCCAATCATGGATGACTGGGAAAGCTATCCTAGTGTGTATCATCCTGCGAGCCTTGATGATCAGGGTGGTGAGCAGGTCCATCACCCTGCTGTTGACGGAAGCTCGTCCGAGGATTGGCTGGATGACGGCGTTGTCAACCAAAGTTTGGTGTCAGACTCGGGTAAACCTGACGCAGCAAGCAGCACCAGAAGCCACATTATATTGTCCGAAAATGAGCAGGAGCGCATCATTTCCTACGCAGAAGCAAAATACCCAGGCATGAACAAAAGTTCGCGAGACAGGATAAAGCCGCGTAACAGCAGCGCCAGAGCCAGCCTGCAACAGGGTGTTAGCAACTTGCTAAGGACTCTCTCCTTGTCCAACCGTGGCGATGAAGAGCCGCCTCGTGAAAGGCAACTAGCTGTTCCAGCAACTCCGTATCAGGTCTATGGTGCAGAAATTTGGTCTAACAAGATGAAAAAGAAGCAGAGGGAGGGACAGCGCGACCACGAGAGGGGGAGGTCTTCGGCCTTTCTGTCCGCCTACCAGAGTGGCCAAAGTCAATTTGTGGGGGTGCTTGAGGGAGCAAAGCGGAAACTGTCCAGGAATACATCACAAAAGCGGCGAAGGAAGCTGAAGCAGAGTATTATCTTGGTGAAGACAGATAGCATGGATGCAATGGAGCGCTTCGCACAAGACAGCGACAGTCCGTGGATCTGACTTCGGGTCGTTGGGTAGAGGAGTCAGGTATCGCTGAAAGGTAGTAGATAGCCTAAGGAGCCCTCTCTCTGCATCGCTTCTTCGACGTAGATCGTGAGGGCCAATCGAATGTCGTAGCATACATGTCCCAGTGGTGCCTGTTCTGAAGATGTTGGCCAGCTCAGCCTTGCCAGGCATCTGTCGGGAGCGCCAAGGCAGGACGAGGCTGCGTACGAAGGTGCTCAGGGTCCTTAAGGGTCCTTTATGTAGTCTCCGCACCTGCACGGAGTACATACTGTACCAGCCTAGGTACCTAAATAAGGAGTTTCTCCAATGCTGTTTGTTATCATCATCGCAGCTTGCCCCCCGCACCCCTTGTATTGTATGAAACATCCGTCGTCCATCTGACCTCCGCCAACCTCCGTCTTCCTCGAGCTCTTCTTTATGCTTGATCTATCTCATTGATATCTTGTCTGTTGGCTGTTGGCTTCTTGCTGCTCTTGGTACTATTCTGCACATACTCCCGCTTACTCTCCTGCCGGCCCATCGCCGTTGCTTGAGCCGCAATCATGGGCGGCGAGACGTCCTCCCGTGTCATGTCCTCATATCCCAAGCTTGCCGCCCGTCCCATCGCGCAGAAAATCAGCAACATATATACGGACCGTTTACGCCAATTTACCTCTGGCGGGCAATATGAGAAGCAATCCCTTCTTGCGTAAGCCCCGGTCTTGTGGTTGAGTTGGTATCGGATCCGCTGACCCTGTCCTCATAGCAAGCTATATCACAATATCTGTGACGACGAGGAGCATGTGAAACTCTCTGTCTACTCCCCGCCAAATCTGACCCGGCCAACCTTCAAAGATGCGACTTCGCATAGTTTCAGGCCTACTCACCGCGGCGAATACTTTGGCCCTTCATGGTCTACCCATTGGTTCAAGATCCAACTCACCGTCCCCGAGGCCATGCGAGATGGCGAACATCTGGAGTTTCACTGGGACGCGAACAATGAGGGCATGGTATGGACACACGACGGAGACCCTCTACAAGGCTTGACTGGCGGTGGCGACCGTACGGAATGGATCCTACCCTCGAGCTGGCGAGACGGAAAAGAGCACACCTTCTATATTGAGATGGCCTGCAATGGGATGTTTGGCAATGCCCCCGGTGGGGACAGCATCCAACCCCCAGACCCAAATAAATACTTTGCGCTGTCAAAGGCCCAGATTGTTGATGTCAACCTTGCGGCCCGGCAGTTGTATGTCGATTTCTGGATCATCGGAGACGCAGCCAGGGAATTTCCAGGCGACAGCTGGCAAAGGCATGAAGCCTTACAGGTCGGCAACCAGATCATTGATGCATTTATCGCGGGAGAAGGCTCCACTGCCTCCATCCAAGAGGGCCGTGAGATCGCTCAGAGATATCTCGGTAAAAATATCGACTCTGCAAAGGTTTACGAGTCGGACGAGAAAAGTATTGTGTTCGCCATCGGACACTGCCACATTGACACCTGTTGGCTTTGGCCCTGGGCCGAAACCAAACGCAAGGTGGCAAGAAGTTGGTCGAACCAATGTGATCTTTTGGACCGATATCCCGAACATCGATTTGCATGCAGCCAAGCACAACAGTACAAGTGGCTGAAGACGTACTATCCATTTGTTTTTGACCGAGTCAAGGCAAAGGTCAAGGAAGGCCGATTCCAGCCGATCGGTGGAAGCTGGGTTGAGCACGACACCAACATGCCTAGCGGAGAGTCCTTGGTCCGACAGTTTCTCTACGGCCAACGATTCTTTGAGAGCAACTTTGGCGAGAGATGCCAGACCTTCTGGCTTCCAGATACATTTGGATATTCTGCTCAACTACCTCAAATTTGTCGCTTAGCTGGGATGTCGTATTTCTTCACCCAGAAACTGAGTTGGAACAATATCAACAACTTCCCACACACCACATTCAACTGGGTCAGCTTGGATGGAAGTCAAGTCATTTGCCATATGGCCCCTAGTGAGACGTACACGGCGGACGCGCATTTTGGAGATGTGAAGAGGAGCGTGTCTCAACACAAGAGCATGGACCAGGACAACACCTCCCTCCTCGTGTTTGGCAAGGGAGATGGTGGCGGAGGTCCCACAAGAGACATGCTCGAAAAATTGAGGAGGTGCCGCGGGCTGAGTGACACCGTCGGGTTACTCCCACGGGTCAAGATGGGCAACTCGGTGGACGATTTCTTCGCCAATCTCGAGAGGAAGGCTGCAGAAGGCACCCAATTCGTTACCTGGTACGGGGAGCTCTACTTTGAACTTCATCGAGGCACATACACGACTCAGGCCAACAACAAACTCAACAATCGAAAACAAGAGATCATGCTGCATGACATTGAATACCTGGCGACGTTGGCCAGCTTGAAGAGCAAAAGCTACAAGTACCCCAAAAAGGAGATTGATGAGATTTGGGAGAAGGTGCTGTTATGTCAGTTCCATGACTGCCTTCCAGGCAGCTCGATTGAGATGTGCTACGATGACTCCGATGCCCTGTACGCTCACAATGCGAAACTAGGAGAGAAGGTAAAAGAGGAAGCACTCACCGTCCTTGGCCTCTCAGGACACATCAAAGCTAACGCCGAAATGGTGGCTGTCAACACAGCTCCGTGGAAGCGATCGGAACTGGTTCCTATTCCGAACGCTCAGGCGAAGTCGCCGCAGCAGCAGCAGTATACTTTTGTCTCCGGCGGCCCAGGTGTCGTCAAGACTCATGCAGCTTCGGCCATCCAATCCACAGCATCTGTGGAGGAGACGAGGAAGGGCGTGTTTGTGCTCAAGAACAGCCTGTTCCACGTGGAAGTCGAGGCAGGCTGCATCACATCGCTCATTGATTTGAAAGCTGATCGCGAAGTTATTGCCAAAGGTGGTAAAGGTAACCAGCTGGTTATCTTTGACGATAAACCGCTATATTGGCAAGCTTGGGATGTGGAAGTTTTCCACCTGGACTCTAGAAAAGAGCTGAGCTCAGGACCGTCTGAAATTGTTGAAGATGGACCGTTCCGAGTCAGTGTGGCTACGAAGACACAAATCAGCAAAGACAGCTGGGTAACAACCACAATCAGTCTCGATGCCAGTGACGGCCAGAGTGAGTCTGGCTATGTGTCTGTGGCAGCGGAAGTCGAATGGCACGAGACCATGAAGTTCTTGAAGGTTGAATTTCCCGTGGATGTGGTCAACACTGAGGCAAGCTACGAAACGCAATACGGGATCATTCGCCGTCCCACCCACTACAATACCAGGTAAGTTTGGGCCATCTGACTCTCAATGGGGCTCTCCAGACTGACAGATCCAGCTGGGACATGGCGAAATTTGAAGTCTGCTGCCACAAGTTTGCCGACCTTTCAGAATCCGACTACGGAGTTTCGGTTCTGAATGACTCCAAGTACGGATTTGCGACGTGTGGCAACCTCATGCGCTTGTCCTTGTTGCGCGCTCCCAAGGCCCCAGATGCACACGCCGACATGGGTCGACACCACATCAAATGGGCGATCTTGCCACACCAAGGCGCGCTGAGCAGCACTACCGTTCGAGCTGCATACAACTTCAACCATCCTCTCAGACTAGCCTCGTTGGTGGACGACAAGCCGGCGAAAGAACTCTTCAACGCTGTTCATCTAACAGGAGCGAAATCACTTGTTCTGGATTGTGTCAAGCGTGGAGAGGACGACGAGGACGTATCGCGAGGAGACTTGGCACAACGGTCTGGCCAGAGCGTAATCCTGAGGATTTACGAGAGTCTCGGGGGCAAGAGTAGGGGGACCATCGAGACCACGCTGCCGGTCAAGAAGGTCTACAAGACCAATGTTCTGGAGGATGATCTGGAAACACTGGAGGTATCTGGCAAGAACAAGATTAGCATTGCCATTGAGCTGCGACCGTTTGAGGTGGCAACCTTTAGGTTGCAGTTGTGATCAGGGGGAGGAAACGAGTGTGCAGCATAGCAGCATAGCAGCATACCTCAAAGAGATGGCGGATGGGATGGCGGGGATTCGACAGGACATATGAGGACATATGAAAAGGGCACGATGTCTGGAAGAATGAAGAAACGCCTTGTTGCACTTGATCTGGATGGAATCTAATGTGATATAGACTCAAAGTATCCGTACACCAAGTATACAAAGTCCACAAAGTACTTATTAGTCTCTTGAGTACTTGCTGTAGTGGGGGAGTTTGATGTTGCTGACCATGGCTGACGAGGCTGGACATAGCAGAACCTCCCTCCATTGTGTGATTGTGGCCTGAGCCTCCTCGATTACATAGAGCCAGAGTGATTCTCCGCACTCCGTAGACGTCCCTGGCACTGATGATGATGTACGGAGGGTTTACTGCCAGTGTATCACTTCTTGACCGGTTGGATGTCGCTGGCTGTGCCTCAAGTGGCCTCTGGCTAAAGGCCCTAGGTTACAGTAGCCTTTAGGCCCCTATACTATTTTAGTACTCCGTACTGGTTCCTCATCCGCACGCTTGAACGGCTGCCGCCCGCCGTGACAGCTCAGAGCCAGCCAGAGCCAGCGACAGGCTAAAACTGTGGTCGGGTTACTGTTCGCCTTACGTCTTTTGTTTACCCGCGCCCATCCCCATCCTTGCCACCAGCAATCAGCAACAAGCCACCAGCAACCTGACCTCCCCTGACCATCACGCCTGGCGGATGCCCCTATCTCGCTCGACGCGACTCTGCGGCTGCTCAACCAGGGACCTGAAGCCCAAATCCTTAATCCTTCCTCCTCCACCTGAGGACTGTCTGCGCAGCCGGCTGCGTACAGAGGTCAGCGCATTGCGACAAAGGCTTGCTATCAGCCAGACCTCCTCCTCTGAATCTTTGCTCTTCGCGTAATCGCAGTATTCTTTCCCAGCCTCGTCCTCGTCCTTCCACCCGCGAGTCGAGCACACGCTCCAATATAAACCGAGACCTAAGATAAACCGGAGATAATCCCCCTGCGCCCATCATGGCCACGATTAATGTTGGGGACACGGTTACAGTCCCGGGCGACATGCACGGCGTGGTCAAGTTCATCGGACCGGTTGCAGGAAAGAAAGGAACATTTGCGGGTGTCCAACTCGCGCCTGAATACGCTCCGAGGGGGAAGAACTCGGGCGAAGTCGATGGCAAACACTACTTCAGAACCACTATACCGGGCTCGGGCATCTTCCTGCCGTTGGAAAAGGCCGTCAAGAGGTCGGGTCTGGGAGTTAGAGCAAGCCCAGGACCAGGCACTCCAACGAGACTGAGCAGTTTCAACCAGGGAGGCAGGACGCCGGGCATGGTCAAGCCCAATTTCAGTCAATCGATCGGCCCTGGCGTGAGGACTGGCGCCGCAAGCCCGGCCCTCAAGCCGCCAGTGAGAAGGGAATCTCTACCGCGGCCAGCAAGCCCACTGCGCAAGGTCAACACACCTACGCCGAAGTCGTTGGGGACGCCCAAAACCAGGCCGAGCGGCATCGGCTTCGCAAAGAGTACAACTGCAGGTCCGGGACACTACAAACCGGGACAGCGGCCCACCACCAACTTCAGCCGGAGTCTGCGACAGAGCTCCTCCACACCGAACCAAACAGGCGCAAGCCCTTCGTTGGGACCGGAATCAAGTTTCGACGAGGCCCGAGAGCAAGAGGCGGAATCGACGCCGACGCCAACACCCCATGCCAGTCGCTCGGCGGATGTTCATGTTGAAAAATACGAGGTCAAGATACGAGAGTTGAATGAAGAGCTCAGTGAAGCAAGACGACAATTACGTGAACAGAGCGGCAATATTGCAGAAATGGACCGCAACTTCAATGAGCTGCAAAAGTTACTGCCAGCATTGGAGGAAGACCAAGCCGGGAAGCGAGGTCGTGCGGATGACGAGGAGGATCTGCCACGAGATGTCGCCTCTCTTCGCGACATCGTACGGGAGAAGAATGAGAAGATCAAGCTGTTGACTGCCGAATTCGACGCACATCGAGCGGACTTCCGCTCCACGATTGACACTCTGGAAATGGCGAGTACTGAAACCGAACGAGTGTACGAGAAGAGGGTCGACGAGCTGCTCGACGAGATCCGGACTCTGCAAGACCGCAGCGAAGATGTCGAGAGCGTGGCCCAGCAACTTAAGCAGTTGGAAGAATTGGTTCAGGAGCTCGAAGAGGGCCTGGAAGACGCTCGGCGCGGCGAGGCCGAAGCACGCAGCGAAGTCGAATTTCTACGAGGCGAGGTGGAGAGATCCCGGTCTGAACTACGGAGGGAAAGGGAACGATTGAGGACAGAAGAGCAATTGAATGGGTATTCACCGGGCAATTTGCAAGATCTGGAAACTCAGTTGAGCGCCAAAGACGACGAAATTCGGGGGTTGAAAGTGATCATCCAGAGCCTCAACGAGTCACAACACAAGGATGACTCGAAGAGGAATGGCACGACCAGTAATGCCAATGGGAATGGAACCGGGAACGGCCACCCTCTGAACGAAAAGACGACGTTTCCGCCCGAGGATGACAACCGCTTCAGCCTACAACAGCAGATCCGCGACCTCGAGGCCCTTCTCCAGCAAAAGAGCGCGCACGAAGAAGAATTGGCGAACGAGGTCAAACAGCTGCGGAACAGCGTCACGCTGTCCAAGTTCCCCCTGCCAGGGTCAGCCTTCGGCATCCACACTGGAATAAGATCCGCCGGACATTCGCGTGGAAACAGCGAGGAATTGGACCGCAAGCATTTGAGCTCTGGCACGACAGGCAGTCAGAGAACCGTTGTCGTCGGCCCCGCTTCTTCGAAGTCGAAGGGGGGTATACACGCCCGGAAGCAAAGCCAACAGACACAAGACTGGCATGACGCCAGCACCTCGCCGGTCAAACATCACCAATACATTGATCGAGACGGCGATGCAGCAGGCTCCGATGACGGCGTGACCGACGTCTCGTCCTCGAGTGCAAATGCAGGTCTGTGGTGTGAGATTTGCGAAGAAGGCGGGCACGACATCCTGAGCTGTTCCAACATGTTCGGCCCTGCGCGCGAAGGCCAGAGCCAAGGCCACGGTCCGGGACACGGCAGCTTAGGGAGCAGAAGCGGCAAGGATGCCGTTCGCGAAGGGCTCAAGCGCAGCGGCGACTACGACCGCGGTCGTGTAGGACCGGGCTTAGGGGGGCTGGAAGAGCCCGACAGACCGGCGCCGCTGATGAGCCGGAAGAACACCAGCAACAGCGCCGCTTCCACCCCATCCAACCCGCCGCCTACCTCGGAACTTCCCTCTCCTCCTGTTCACGACGACACCTCACCGTCGCCGTCGGCATCGCGCCCCAAATCCGACGCCACAGCACCCCCCAGAGTTGCACCTGCACTAATCGAAGGCACTGGTGCGCAAGCAGGTATGCTGGCCGGCCGCACGACAGGCGTCATCGATCCGGAGAAATGGTGCGCCTTGTGCGAGCGTGATGGGCACGACTCGGTCGATTGTCCTCTCGAAGACGCTTTTTAGTGACAAGCATGACCACGACCACAGCCACGACCACGACCGCCATCACAACAAGAGGCGATGCGTCAAACCCCAACAATCACAGTCAGCACCTGCAACAAAGCGACATGAGTTTACTGTCCGTGCAGCGCAGAGTGAGAACGTGTCGAGCAAGCATGCCGAATCGAGGTCATTGCTTTGACTTTTGTTGATGTCTCGCAACTATTGCCTATGTCACGTCCTGTTCCCCATCTCCAGCTCCATTTCAACCTCCTTCTCCTTCTCCTTGTGCCTGTCCCTCTGTCTTGTCCATCATGTCTGGGGATGGGGACTTGACGCAATTTCTCCCACCCTGCGTACGACGAGGAGGAGGAGGAGGAGGAGGAGGAGGAGGAGGAAATTCAGGCGCATTACATGTACATGCCATGCAGGATGCAGATTCGGAGGATGTGTGTGATTGTGGTTGTGACTGGTTGGACTGGACTGCCCTACGAGTAGGCCGCGTTGGGTTGGTGGGGATCTGTGAATTCTGTGGACGCCGACGGCGATGGATCAAAAGCAGACGGTCTGGCCGGCCAGGGCCTCCTTTTTCTTCTCTTTTCCCTGCCTCGTTTTTTGGTTCATGTTGGAGCCTGCCTTTTCAATTCCGTTCAAATATTCACATATTTATATATATACATGTATAATCTTTCAACTCTATTCAGTTCTGGTGGACGTTTACGTTGAGTATCGAGTATCGAGGATCCATCCGTACCTGTACATTAAACAGAGATGACTCTGCTACTACGTATAGATAGAGCAAGAAGACCAGAAAGATGAAAAAGAGAGAGCTCTTAGCACCAGGTTGAGCCCTGGCATGAACCGTTTCAACGGCGCTCGATGCTCCGACAACGAGACTGGATCAACGAGACAATACAAAACTGCTGATCGGATAACCGCTACCCATGCTTCAATTGGATACAAATGCGTGCAGCAAAGAACTGCATGAAACCAACTGTATCATACTCAGAGTCATATCAAACATGCCACCTCAAAACGCTTTGGAATCGTCCCAGTCAACTGCGCAAATGCAACCCGAACCCGCAGAGCAAGAGCAAGATATGCCTTTCCTTCCAATATGCCCATCAATTTCGTGCAGTTCTCCATGCCAACCGTTGTCGTGATGCCTCTCGGAGCGTACCGTGGTCCATTACTGTCATGCCAACCCATGTCGCTGATTGAGCCTCGACGCCTAACAAAAATCGATTGAAATCGTAAAAAAGCATGCAGATCAACAGCACCGTCCTCTCCTGCGAGCCTCATCGGGGTCCCGTGTGCCAAATCCTGAACCTCCGCCCTCCGGCTCACCGAGTCCAACACTGGGTAGCCCGAGCCAGCTTCGTCGTTTGTCTCCGTACCCGACTCTGAAACTGCCAGAATGACCCGGGTGACCTGCAAAGTAGTCCTCACCGGCTTCGCTGCGATAGCCAGGTGTTTGCTGCAACCGTGACAAGTCCGTGGCGTCCTTTTGATGCTTCTGTTCAATTAATTTCCGGGCTATGACCCGGAAAACCTCCTCAATCCCTTCTCCGTCCTTAGCACTCACTTCATGGCAGCTATCCCAGCCAATGTCCTGGTTCCAAAACCCGGAGCTTCGCTTAGAGTCTGGGCTCTGGAGGGTCCCGTTGCCTGGCCTCATGGTCAAAGGCGGGGTCGACGCCGTACTTTGGGCAGTGATACCTCCGATTTGTTCGGCCATATAGGCGATCGTTCTCTCGAACGTCACCTCTCTGCTGGAGGGATCCTCTGCGACGATGTCGCTCTTAGTTCCCACTACGTGAATAATGGGCATCGCATCACCGTCCTCACAGTTTTCCTTCATTTCTGCCAACCAGGTCTTCATTTCCTCCCAGGACCTCTCATTTGTGATATCGTAACATAAGAGGCCTGCATTTGCGCCCCGGTAGTAGAGCCTCGAGATGCTTCGGAATCTTTCTTGCCCGGCAGTATCCCATATCTGCAATCGAACAACGGTGGAGGAATCGGGGTCGGTGATGCGTTTTGTCACAAAGGATGCGCCAATGGTCGACTGTACATTTTTGGACAGCTGTGCGGTCGGGTTTATGAAGCGCGAAACGAGCGAGGTCTTGCCAACGCCTTGTGCCCCAAGCACGACGAGTTTGGCCTCGATCGAGGTTGCAGGGACGGGTTGAGGAGCAGAGGTTGTGGTCAAAGGCGGAGCGGCGTTCATTTTGCCTAGGTTTGGTGGGAAAGCAAGAGAAGAGGAGACCCGAATAGTTGAGAAGAACGTTTTGTTCTGAGCTGAGCTCTCTATCTCATATTTGCAGACGAGGCGACGCAAGAGCAGCGGAGTCAAGTGTGTGATGCCTGCCGTTCCTACTGAGTGAGTCACGCAGGGTGGAAGAACGGATCAGCAGGCGTGGAAAGAGTCTGCCGCCTAGTGACAGTCAATCCTAGACAAAAATCACAACGAGAACGGAAAAAACCAAAAGGAAAAGAAAAAGGCGAAAGAAACCAGGGGAAGGTGTTGAGGACTAACGACGAACTGGACGAGAGGGTACAAGTAGGTTTGCAGCGGTTTGGACGGAAAGGTTCAGCAGTTTGGTCTCGAAGTCAGTTTTCCTTTTTCTCCCTTGCCCGTGTGCCCGTTCAACATATGTAAGAGAGTCAACCATACCCCGCTGGTTGTGCAATTTCCACGCTTAGGCTTATCACCGTTGTGGCTATCGCAGCACGAGCCCATTGATGACCACCGAGGAGAAATATACACAACAAATGCATATCACGAGGACATGACCGTGGTCAAACTGACGGGCTGACGGGCTGACATCCTGGGGACCTGGGGGGTGCAGTCTATTTTATTGCTTTCATTTGCCAATCCGCTGCGTTCCGCACGGTAGATATCGAGCGAACCAGGTAGATACTCTTGTACTGGACATGTCTATTGGCACGACCCTCGAGCACTGATTTGATTAGAAGGCGAAGCATTCCTCTCATTGGCACCTGGGCAGGAAAGTTGGATCCTAATCCTTCAGTACGGAGTGCAGACGCATATTCTTGCCCGAGACTCCAGGGCGCAGGCGCAGGCTAACGAGGCGCAACAATGATACTCCGAGGCCAGGGGACGATGTTAGCCACCTGCAATCACTAGGCCCCTGCTAGGCACCTGCTACTGTAGGTACCTTATCTATTTAACACCTATTCAACTAGGTAGGTACCTGGATACTCCGAGTACCGAACCTAACAGACATATGAAGGCACATCAATTCAGTATACCTTCAGTCCTGTGGTGACACGCTGGGAGGAGCAGACCTCTAGATCCCAACCAAACCCCAAAGCTCCTCTTCTTTCACACTGCATCGGCTTCATAGCCCCTACCATTCGGCGAAGACGGTCTCTGGTGCTACAAAGAGCAAAGAATCAGATTTCTCCAAGTCAGTAATAAATCCCCAAACCCAGAAATGCCGGGTGGACGGCAATATCTCAAACCCGGTCACCAGCTCGGCGCGAACTCCATCGATCTTGTCCCCGCCTCCAGAGTTCGGATAAACAGTTCATGTCCCAAGCGTCACGTCTCGGTCCAATCGCCGACCTCATGGATCTCCATTACGCACTCCATACAGCTGCCGTCCTCGGTGATGCTCTCTTCAGCAGAATCGGCCCTGCTTTGATAATTATCTTCTGCATCCTTGTGGTCCTCGCTTTCTACCTCGCATTCTTCTCTCCTCCTTCATCCCGTACCACTGCTCCAGAACCGGATTCCGAGAGACAACCCCTCCTGTCCCCCAATTGTGATTGAGACGCCGTCAAGATGAACAGAGATAAAGGCGAGCGGCCAGATGTTGGCGCTCTCACTGGAGACGAAGTGGCGAAACACAACTCGCGCGAGTCTTGCTGGGTCATTGTTCACGGGAAAGCATATGATGTGACAGAATTCTTGCCGGGTACGTATTGTGCCATACACTGGTCCGCATCTTTATTGACCAGCATGTGCAGAACATCCGGGAGGTCCCAAAATTATCCTCAAGTATGCCGGCAAAGATGCCACTGAAGAATTTGACCCGATTCATCCACCCGACACTCTGGACAAGTTTCTGCCCAAGGAAAAGCATCTCGGACCGGTAAACATGCAGACGGTCGCGCAGGAGGAGAAGATAGAGTCTCCGGAAGAAAAGGCCAGACAAGAGCGCATCAAGAACATGCCCCCGCTAGAGGCGTGCTATAACCTGATGGATTTCGAAAGTGTGGCCAGGGAAGTCATGAAGAGGCCAGCTTGGGCATACTACAGCTCGGCCGCTGACGACGAGATCACCATGAGGGAGAATCATTCTGCTTTTCACAGGATATGGTTTCGCCCGAGGGTTCTGGTGGATGTTGAGGAAGTCGATTACAGTACTACCATGCTGGGAACGAAGTGCGACATCCCCTTCTACGTCACCGCTACCGCTCTGGGCAAACTGGGCCATCCGGAAGGAGAAGTGCTTTTGACAAGAGGTGCAAAGAAACACAATGTCATACAGATGATCCCAACATTGGCGTCATGCAGCTTCGACGAGATTTGTGATGCCAAAGAAGGCGATCAGTGCCAGTGGCTGCAGCTATACGTGAACAAGGATCGAGAGATCACTAAAAAGATTGTTCAACATGCAGAATCCCGAGGTTGCAAAGGTCTCTTCATCACGGTTGACGCTCCTCAGCTGGGCCGAAGAGAAAAAGACATGCGAAGCAAATTCGAAGACGTCGGTTCTAACGTCCAGAACACGAGTGGGCAAAACGTCGATCGGTCACAAGGTGCCGCGAGAGCCATCTCAAGCTTCATTGATCCCAGTCTCAGCTGGAAGGACATTCCTTGGTTCCTGAGTATCACAAAAATGCCCATCATCCTCAAGGGTGTGCAAAGAGTTGAGGATGTGTTAAAGGCTATCGAGGCCGGAGTTCACGGTGTCGTGCTCTCAAATCACGGCGGTCGCCAGTTGGACTTTGCTCGATCTGGCATCGAGGTCCTCGCCGAAGTGATGCCTATCCTCCGGGAACGCGGACTCCAAGACAAGATTGAGATATTCATAGATGGTGGTGTTCGACGAGCAACGGATATCATCAAAGCTTTATGCTTAGGCGCCAAGGGTGTAGGGATCGGACGACCTTTCCTATTCGCCATGTCTGCGTATGGCCTGGCCGGTGTTGATCGAGCAATGCAGCTGCTGAAAGATGAAATGGAGATGAACATGAGACTTATCGGAGCGTCTAAGGTTGAGGATTTAACGCCAGACATGGTTGACACGACCGGGCTGAAAGCCCACATTGCTTCTGTGCCCCAGGACACCCTCGGGCTTCGAGCCTACGATCCTCTGATCACTCCGCACGACATGGTGAAATCACGGCTGTGATTAAAGGACGAGGAGGACCAGACACCAAGATATGGCGGTTTTGGATCGTCAATCGCTCTGACTGCCGAGTGTGTAAACACGTTCAGAACAACTGATCCATAATGTGTAGGGCGTGTTGGGCCAGGCTCAGCCGAGACGTTGGTATAAAGAACGATACTGCATGGGAAGGAATCAATCTGCGTTGCTGAGGTTACCTCTGAACTTTTGCTAAAACCTGACTGCACCGCCTGTCCACATAACCTTTTCACCTTCAGCAATGCCTGTACCTTATGAGAATGTCGCCTGCTCTGAATCCTACCTCCACCTTAGGCATCACCCGACGTAACCCTTCCGGCAATCGCCCAAGCACCGCCCCTGCCACCAGGCCGCCTTCCTTGGCCAGAATCGGCCTAATCTCTATCACCGCGCAGGAAAAGTCCCCGCTAGAAAAGCAGTTCGAAGCAGACTATCACACGAAACACCTCGAGTTGACCCTCAAGTATGGAGCTCCCTTGGTGGATCGTTGCGGAAATGACTTTCCGATTTACAGCTGCTCTAAGCTGGAGGAAGGAATCGAGTTTGACAAGATGGAGGACATGGCACAAATTGACCGTGCTGTCACAGAAGGGCGTTCACCACACAATGTTGGCCTTGTTCAACTCCTGGAGGTGGAGAGAAGGATGAAACTGCGCTCGACCACGGTTCGAATCACAGCATATGGAGTCGCCTGCGTCGCAATCGGCTTATATGCCTTCGATACACAACTCAAAGATATCATCCCGGCTTTCCTCCTCGGTTCCATCTTGGGATGGTTGCAACTGGTCGTGACTACAAGGTCTAAAACGGTGGCGGACCTGTTTCCCTTCCTGGCGGGCCTTCTTCTGACCAGCGTTTCTCTTGCTCTGGGCTCGCTTTCACTCAATGGAAGCCCACTCTTTTGCTGGACGGCCCTTGCAGAGGGGACCATCGCCATCATCTTGCCGTCCTACACCATGCTGGTTGCAACCTCGGAGGTGTTGCGTGGCCAGCATAAGAAGGGAGCCGTTCGGTTCGCAGGTGCAACCCTCTACGCAATAATGTTGAGCTTCGGCATGGGTTGTGGCAAACTACTATACGGCATGTTCGCATGGTCTCAGCCACCCCAACCGCTTGGCTGCTTCGATGGTTAGAGCCCCTTGTTTCAGCTCACCGAAGCACGCACTGCAGGCTTGGATGCTTTTGCCATAGCGCTATTCACGGTATGCAATGGTCTCGTACTTCAAGTACGTTGGAAGCAACTTCCGGGGATGGTGCTGGTGGCCGTATCGTTTGTACTGACTGCGTTCTGGGTGAATGTGAAATTTGGCCTGAGCGGTCCTGCGTTGTTCCTGGTCAGCTCTTTCTTTGCATGCCTTCTCGCACAAAACTATGGTCCGTGGACGAACAATACGGTGACCATCGTGCTGACGCCCACATTGTTTTTCTCTGTCCCGGGAGGGCTGCTGGCAAAGTACAACGGTGCGATGGATTTGGCGACTGGCGATGTTCTCTTGATCGAGCTGGACACGATATTGGTCATTGTACAAGCCTCGGTCGGGGTGTGGGTTGGGTTGGGGCTGGCATCGCTACTGGTGAACCCTTTTCCCAAGCCGAGAGTGTGTGTCTGTGGAAAGGAGTTGTGATTACTGTCTTCTGTGTTGTGCTCTACGCCGCTTCAGTGACGAGCCTTTCGAGGGCTTAGATAACAACCCCGAGAAGATATATAGTTGAGCAGACTCATATAGATTCACTTTCTCACATCGCAGCAATGGGCAATAATAGGATAGCTTTCTACCTGCATTCTCTCCGAGAGCACTAGATAATCATAATCCGCCCTTGTGCCAGGACCAGGATGAAACCCTTCTAGTTGCCCTACGATTAATCAGCAACTCTCTCTCTCCTAATTAGTGCTTGGAAGAGGACAGATGATGACGGGTTGAAAGCATCCACGTTACCTGTGGTTGATAAGTCATCGGCGTGCGGGCGTGACACAGAGCCGAAGTTATGTCATATGTACTCTCGTCCTCTCACAACGCAGCTGCGGCTGTCCACCTCAGTGTGATCGGCCGGCCCTCGTTGTTGTCCGTTCTCCGTCAAAGGTCAAAGGCGCCAAAGGCATCCAACGTTCGCTACCCTGCGGTGTGCATGTGAAAGCCTTAGCCTGCTGGACAACATGGCTCGTCTCAGACTCATCGCGATTTTCCTCCAGTTCCCAAGTCAAGTATTGCGGTCGATGCCGGTGTAAACGAACAAGGCCTGCCAGTGGTATCCGCCCCGCGCCGAGATCAGACACGAGACACGATGTTGCTCCTGCACCAAACCGGAGCGGTCAAGGTTGGGGAAGTCGTCCGGTAGGCATTGATCGGTGTTTTTGACGACAATGGCTGTCCTGCTGATAGGTCTCGACCTCTAGATATACGTTGACCTACACTCCCAGCCATGACCGCATCCTTCCTCCCCCGGCCCATCTCTATGTCAAGATCAAGAACACGGCTGCGATCCCGCTGCGCGCCGCCTACCTCCACGGCCCTTATACTCTATACGTTGCCTGCTACCCTTCGACTTTCAATCCCTACAAGAAGCATGAAAGATACAAGGAATATGGAGCTCCGGATTTCGAACCGCAGCTGAAGGCCGGGGGCCAATGGTATGCGAAACTGACTGTCCCAGAAGAAGTACGGAACGACACCTACCATGCTGGAGCGAACCGGAATGAGGCCGACAAGGCCGAGCGGAAGAGTTTTACCTGGATCATTGAGGTAGCTTCACAAGTCATCTTCTCCAGGACGGCTACTGTGTCTTTTGAAGTCCTGGTAGGGCGTGATGAGAAGTCGCTAGAACTCGGCTTCCAGGGAATCGCCGCGTCGAGCCAAGGTACCCCGGGGATGCTGCAGGATCATCAACAAGGCAAAGGCAGACAAGCCGCGCAGCCCAAAGGCGTGTTTTCCAAGGCCGTCAGGCTGGCGGTTGACGACACCGAAAGTCTTTGGAATACACCCCCGTTCCCCGAATGGGAAGACAGCGGCGAGGTCGAGGTCGGAGTGGAAGAAGGCCCTCAGCACGGCGATAAGCGCGACGCTGCCGCAAAGAGCAAGACCAAGCAACGCAGACCAAAGAAAGTCCATCTCGTCCTCCTCACCCATGGTCTTCACAGCAACCTGGGCGCAGATATGCTCTATATGAAAGAGACCATCGACACAGCGGCCAAGCAGGCACGAGAAGACAGTAAGAAGCAACGGTCAGAACGGAGAGCACGACGAATGGCGGAATCTACCCAATTGGGACCGGACCCGGGTGATCGGAGGTCAAAGTCTCTAGGTGATGAAGCGACCGCAAAGAATGACGATGAGGAGGAGCAAGAGGAGGAACAAGTATTAGTCCGAGGATTCAATGGCAATGCCGTCAGGACAGAACGCGGAATCCAATATCTCGGCAAGCGCCTCGCAAAATACGTGCTTTCGCTCACCTATCCAGATCAACCTTACCTACCGGCTAAGAGCCCGAAAGGGAAGATTCTTACAAAGTCTAGGACAGGCTCGAAGTCGACGGTGCAGGGCGCCACGGAACCGGCGCACAAGAACAGCAGTATCATCAAAGACGAACACCACCATCACCACCATCTACCTTATCGAATTACCAGCATCAGCTTCGTGGGCCACTCCCTAGGCGGAGTTGTACAGACATATGCCATCGCCTACATCCAAAAGCACTCTCCGGAGTTCTTCGACCTGATTAAGCCGATCAACTTTATCGCACTCGCCACCCCTTTCCTCGGCTTGAGCAACGAGAATCCTGTCTATGTCAAGTTTGCGCTTGATTTTGGCCTTGTGGGCCGGACAGGGCAAGATCTGGGTCTGACCTGGCGCGCCCCGACCTTGGCAAAGAGTGGATGGGGCGCCGTCATCAATGGCTTGACGAGTGAAGCTCAGAAAGCACAGAAAGAGCCGGATCCTGGGGCAAAGCCGTTATTACGCGTACTGCCGACAGGCCCAGCGCACGTTGCTCTCAAGAAATTTCGAAACCGAACCGTCTATTCAAATGTCGTTAACGATGGGATAGTGCCCTTGAGAACATCTTGCCTTCTTTTCCTCGACTGGCGAGGGCTAGGACGAGTGGAGAAAGCTAGGCGAGAAAACGGCTTGGTGGGCACGATGGTAAGCTGGGGTTGGGCAGAAGTGACGGGTCAAAACGCGGCGACTCCTCGGAAGTCACTGGCTAGTGGCGAGTTCTACAGTGGCAGTGGTAGTGGCGACGAGAGCAGCCACGATGACAAGTCGTCATCCGATCCTCAGTCAAGTGTACCCCAGGCAGAGGCAAGTCAGGGGTTTGACGACGACCAAAGAGCAGAACCGAAAGCGAGTCAGTTCATGGGGAAGCAAACAGTCCAGGATTCCACGCAAGGTCGGGATGGTTCCACCACGACATTGTCGGCGCCAAACCTGTGGACTGGGCTCCTGAATCTTTTCCGACCACAAGCCGGTCACCAGAAGTCCGAGGTGAAAAGTCCACGAAAGGTGCAAAAGATATATCGACGAGGCCAGACAATGCATCACGACGATCCAGATGGCCCACAACGCTCAAGCGAGCCTTCCCAAGAAGGACAAGAGGAAGGACCCGACAACGACGGGGTCGATGATGGGAAAGGGGTGGTCCGAGGCTCTTCTTTGTATACGAATGGCTCGGAGAACGGCGAACTCGAAGCTCCCCCCAAAACATCATTCTTTGAATCCGCCGGTGATCTGCTCAGCCCCCCATTACCGACGCGAGAGTTCATTATGGATCCCAGTGCTCGACCCAGGACGATCTGGCACGACCGCGTCTATCATCCTGAGGATATCCCGCCCCCGCCAGCCAAACGTCCACGAACGTTCATGGTGATGCGGTCAGGTTCGCGTGATGAGCCCGTCAAGTCTCCTGAATCACCCAGCGACCTCCCCGCTGCAGAGTCAAGTCAGTCCTCTGCAGCGCCCCAGGCAGTTGGGGCCATGAAAATCGAAGAAAAGATTGCACGTGCCTATCACAAGGACTTATCATGGCGCAAGGTACTCGTGCAGCTGGAGCCTGATGCTCACAACAACATAATTGTGCGTCGTATGTTCGCCAATGCGTACGGATGGCCTGTTGTCAAGCATTTGTGTGACACCCACTTTGCATATACTGCCGCGGCGAGGACTCGAGACGAGGACGAACCCAATACGGAGCGAGCGAAGCCAAGCATGGTCGCTGTCCGAGAGGATGGGGAACATGTCGAAGGCCAGACGGACTTGCCAGTCGAGGAAGATGTGGATAAGCACGGCCAGGATGAGAGTAAAGAAGGTGACGCCGACCGGTCGCGAAGTGCCGAGGCTATATCTGTGATGACTGCAAGTCCGGCGGAAGTGGAGCATGCTCATCAGGATCTGCAGAGGCTGCACACGCGGTGGGAGGTTCGCCAGCGCGCAGTCCGCACCGAGTCTGAGGTTCGAGAGTCTCGCGATGACTTGTCTGAGCTGGTGTCGAAGATTAGCGTTGGCGGCGAGAGCAGCTACAACAGCTACAGCAGCATGAACTCGGGCAAGGCCGCTCTGTCGCGGCTAGCTCGTCAAGACAGTGCCAGATGGAGTGATCGGTTCTTCGAGGGCAGTGACGACGGTCACGACGATGGGGATGACGACTCTGTGCTTGCGAACGAGATTAGGAAGGCTCAGGCCCGAGCTGAGATGGACAAGTCGGATGACTGTTCTGAAGTCACAGGCGCCACCATCGCAACGACCTTGACCTCCAGCCCTCAGAGCACGAACCTCGTGCCGGCCAAGGAAGAAGCTGAACCAGATATAATTCTAGAGCCAGAGCTGCCGTTGACGGCAGAGCCGGCCGAATTGGAACCTTTGTCGCATTCGTCGGGGTCGAGCACACCCCAGGCGCACCCGGATACAGACTCGCCACTGGGTTCGATAGCATCGACCAGTACACCAGGGACAGGAATTGGATTATCGCTCGGGGTGCCTGCCGAAGAGAGGTGGCTCCCCGAGACGCGTGGGGTCAGTAGGAATGCAGTAGATGCCGGGAGTGAAGGACAGGGAAGTGTGGGAATAGCCGAACAAGTTGCTTTGGCGCAGGTCAAGGAGCAGCAAGGCGTGGAACCGGAACAGGGCGTTTGAGCAGTGCCAGGGAGCTCAGACACGAGTCATCATAGATGCATACGTTGAGAAGTATGCAAAGAAATACCAATTGAGTTGGTATGGTACGGCCAGTTCTCTCTCATCTCCTCTCATCCCATCTCATTGTCGTCGTGACCATTGCCAGTTCCTAGTCCCGACTCCCGGAAGCTGGCAAGGCTGAGTCTCCTGTCCAGCACTGGTTTCTGCTTATGTAACGCGGTGCGGACTAGCGACCAATAACCAATAACCATATCTATACTTATACTCTAGACTTTATACTCTATAACTCTATACTTACTCCAAATGAGGTTCGCAGCGACGACGACCGATGGCAGCTGAACCTAAACCTGATCCTAAAGCGCAAGTCCCAGGCCCAGCCAGCATCCCAATCAGATGGTGAGTCCAGTCTTCTGTCATGTCATGTCATCAGTCTGGTTTGGGTGGATGAGTGATGTGAGTGTGAGTGTGAGTACTCACAGTGAGTGTAAGTGGGCGAGTGGGCGAGTGGGTGCCTGCACTTACATAGGCCCTTAGTACCTATACCTGTAGAGCAAATACTAGATACTAGATACCTCAGGCATGGACAGAGTCAGTAGGTAGCTACTAGGTAGTAGGTAGGTAGGCATTGACTGGCATCGCTGCAGGGCACAGTGTAGTCGTAGTCGTAGTCGTAGTCTTAGTGAATTCATCTCAAAGAACCAGGTACCTTAAGGTAGTCAGACCAGTCGACATGACAATAAGAATCCCTACTACTAGTAACAATCACACCATGGTCCGTTAATAGCTGCGTGTGAATCACAACACTAGCTACCATGATTCGTTGTTCGTTGTTCTGGTTCGTGGCTGTTGTTTGCATTTCTGCCGCCACCTCACGCATGGACCTCGTGTGGCAAACCTACATGTTACATAGTCACCATCTACAATACCAGTGAATACTATCACTACTACTCCCACTACTATTGTCAGGTCCCTCACCCGCGGAGTCAGAGTCAGAGATTCAGAGAGTCAGGAAACCTTCAGTCTGCGCCTAGTCCCTACCCGAGTACTGACTTGGGAACTCGAATTCGTCCTCTTCCTCTTTCTCTTGCTTTCTTCTCTTCATTCCTCGCCTTCTCCTTCTCGTCCACTTTCATCATAACCATCATAATCATCATCATCCTCCTCTTCTTCTTCTCCTTCTTCTCGTCCTCGCCGTCGTTGAAAAGAAGAACACAAGGAACAACAGCCGGTCAGAGAACCTCTTAAACACAACAACAGCCGGTAAAACAACCTCTTCTTGACACCGCGCGGTATTTGCACTTCGTTTCGCGTTCCCAATTCCACAAGATGGCCAATTTGAAGACGGAGACCAAGTCGTTCGACTACATCACAAACCTGCCGGTGCCGGTGAAGGTCAAGAGGTTAGATTAGTTCTTACTGCTACTACACAAGAACACTACACACTACACATTACACACTACACACTACACATTACACACTACACACTACACAACCACTACACCCTACCCACTATACCCTGCCCACTGCTCGTTGCGCATGTATATTGTCTATCATGAATTGACTAACACTTGATTTCTCTTGTTGTCCAATCTCATCTCATCTCATCTCTTCCCATCTCTTCCACTCTCTTCCCATCTCTTCCACTCTCTTCCACTCTCTTCCACTCTCTTCCACTCTCTTCCACTCTCTTCCACTCTCTTCCACTCTCATCCTTACACTCTCATCTCCTCTGCCAAGAAGGTATACACCCTGAAATCTCCTCTACACTTCAGCGTGTACACCCTGAAGCGAAACTCTCCAGACTGACCTTTACACTTCAAGTGACAACCCCCAAGCCTCTTCCATCTCCAACGACGATGATACCCGCCCTACCACATGCGAACTGGTCGAGGAGCTCTTGGGGGCGCTGCAGTCCGAAGCTCATCCTTGGAACGCGCAGCAGAATCGGCCGGCGATCGACACCATGTTGGCCAACATCTCTCAGGCAGTCAAGACTAGAGCCAACACCCAGACACACATCTACATCAACCGATACGACATCGGCCACGCGCGAAACCGATACGAGCTCAAGATAGCACACACCCAGCGCAAGCAACATCTCACTCGGATCAAGCTCGAAATGAAGAGGGCTTTGCAGCATCTTGAGGCTGTCGAAGAGGCTGAAGACCAGCCAGCCAGTGTCATGGACGCAATGGCACGGAAGCGCATGGCCAGTGAAGCCTTCTGTGGACAGGTCGATGTCATTGAGAAGTTGAGCAAGCGACTCAAGCCTTTTTGCAGCGAAAAGGGACCGGAATATGGACATGGGCAGGAATCGGTAGTGGAAAAGGAAGACAAACATGAACACCAACACGAACACGAACATGAACACGAACAGGAAGATGAACACCACTACGAAGACGAACACCACTCCGAAAACGAAGAGGATCTGCATGAACACGAACACGAACACGAACATGAAAACGAGCCAGATCTGATCGATGGTATCAAACAAGAAGACTACGAGCGCTTCTTCTTTGCTTAACCAGCTCTAGAACTGTGAGATTGAGATTCGAGATGGGACATACGAGATTCGGGATTCGAGATTACAGACTGGAGGGATCAGTGTCAGATGGTGTTGGAATCTCGAATCTGGAATCTGGATCTGCGAGGGCGCACATACATGCTTTCAAGTGAGCTTTGTCCAGAGACTCAAGTGATAGTATTGCACACTTGGACAGCAACCCTGTTGTAATTGTAATTGCAAATGTCGCGGAGGCGGAGACGGAGGCGGACGGCGCACGACGACCTGGCGAGATAGTGGCCATCAGAGCAGTTACTGTAGAGTTCGAAGTTAGGACCAAGTGTCCGGCTCCACTGGAGCATAGAGTCGCAGTCAGCGGCGCAGTCAAATATGGTATCCATGTTGCCTGGTGAGAATGATATGCGATGTGATGTGATGTGTATTTGATTTGATGTGATGTGTGTTTGATTTGATGTGATGTGTGTTTGATTTTATTCGAGACATAAGTGTAGATTCCGAATGGTGTATATGAGGGTGTATGTACTTGATGGTTTAGACGATGATGTAGGAGTAGGTGTAGATGATGGTGTGGGTGTAGATGTAGATGGATATGTTCATGCTACGTAGTCTGAAGAGTTCGTTCAAGTTTGAACCTACTTGTTAGTTTGAAGGGTGTGCAAAAACCTACTTGTCAATGGTGAGAGTAGAGTATTTATTGTACACACTACACAGGCCATATCAATCGTGACTTGCAATCGTGACTTGCATCCCGCTGCGTGGCGATTGTCCTGGATACAGTACCGACGCATTTGATACCTAGATGAGCCCGGTACAGTAGTTCGGCAATCAGCCATGCAGCAAATAGAACCAGTGATTGAGTCGTGCCATCCCAACATCCCTCTCTTGTCTTGTCAAATACACCACAGGTGAGGTGTATCAACCTGACACTTCATACATGACAAGGCTGACGAGGCTGACAAGGGTGACAAGGGTGACAATGCCGACAAGGCTGACTCTGTTCTATGGCGCTGGTTGAGACGGAGACCGGCTCTTTTTCACCCTCAGATCCCTCCACCCTAGCCCCCATCCGGAACAAAAAGCGCAGACTGCCACTCCACAGACCAGGTAAAAGACATGGGTAATGCTCGTGCAGTAGGCGTCAAGGACGCCCTTCAGTTGCGCACTCGAGACTACGGTCCGGAACGCGGTGGCGCCAGCTGCCACGATTGCTTCGACGTTGGCGCCGGGAACATTCGTCGAAATGGCATCTCTCAGGCTGTTGCTGAACACCGTCTGCGCAACGGTGAGGAAGATGGATCCGCCAAAGTTCTGACAGAAGAGCAGGAGGGCCATGGTAATGGGAGTTTGAGCGGGTGCGGCGAGGTTTTGGATCGATATATAAGGCTGTGCTCCCGGAAGTACGCAGCCCCGTCAATAAGGCCGTCTAGGAACAGAAGAAATGTCAGGTATAGGTATTGGGATTCTTACCATGCTCAATACACATCCACCGCCAATCCCGAACAAGATCTGGTATCCAATGCGTGCGCCGGTCGAGTACGTTGGAGTCAGCAACGAGAGGAGGCCGAACCCCACGGCGCAGAACGTGGTGCCAGCTACTACCCAAGGTAGACAGTATCCGACTTTTTGAACTGCATAACACGTGGTGTTAGTCCGGTCCGGCGTAGGGAGATTAGCTTTGGCCATCCACTCACCAAGGCCACCGGATACCAAGGCCATGAGGATCTGGAAACAAATGTTGGGAAGCATATAGACACCACTCATCAGTGGCGACGCATTTTTGACCGCCTGGAAGTAGATGGGAAGGTAGTAGGCTGCACAGACCAGCACCCCCATTTGGAAGAACAGGACCGCACAGCTCGACCACACGATACGCTGGCGCAGGATTGAAGAGGGAACCATGGCCGCGTCGCCCCTGCGGTATTCCCACCCGAGGAAAAGGATAAGGGTGACGCCGGCTCCGCAGAACAGGCCAATGACGGTGGGACTATTCCAGGGATACTGGTTACCGCCATATTGTAGCGCGAGGAAAAACTGAATGGACGCAGGGGCGAAGATTGCAAATCCCAGAAGATCCAAGGACTCGACGGCAGTACCGAGGACCTTTCGTAGCTGTGGTTTCGCAATCCGTTCCGGGACGTGAATGCGGGTGAGAAGCGCGGCGATAATGCCGCCGATGGGAAGGTTGATGTAGAAGCCTGTCGAGTTCCGTCATCTCAGGGGCCGGAACGGACAGAGAAGAAAGCCTTAGCTCCCAGACACTTACACCAGCGCCATGACACGTACTCGGTAAATGCTCCTCCGATGAGGGGACCGCAGGCCTGACCAAGTTGTCCGACTAGGAACATCGACAAAGTCAGTCGAGACGCCTTCAAACCGTTTCACCAACACATCACATTGTACCCACTCACTTGCTATCATGACTCCTAAGATTGCTGTTTGTTTGTGAGCTGTAGGCATCTAGTCAAGGAATAGGACATACTCGGCCGTCGATCTTCTGGAAGACAGGCCGCGACGATGGTGAGGCCACCGGTCAACACGCCTGACGCGCCCATACCGGTAACGGCTCGGCCGACAATCAACATTGTGGAGGATGTGGCTACCGCGCAGAGCAATGATCCTAGCTCGAAGAGGAGGAAGTATGCGAAAAACGTCCACTGGTGCTCCGAAAATGTCTTTGTCAGCGAGGGGGGCCATTGGAAGGGCCAGAAATACAGGGAGATAGGAAACATACCTTGGTCCTGAAGAATGTGTATATCTTGCCGGTCAAGGGCTGCAAAGATGCACTGGTTCCTATGTCAGACTGCCAGTCCAATCTGGAAGAAAGAAGACACGACAGGGTGACAAACCTCGCGAGTTGGTATGCGCTTCCGTACCATCCCACATCGAGAAGGGAGTTGAAGGTATTGGTGATCCGGGGAATGGCCTAGCATCGGCAGTCGCAATCAGTGCGAGTCATTGTCATCAGCCTGGAAAGGCTTCTTGGTCGTACCGTGGCCATGATGGATATATCGAGCATCACCACAAACTGAGCAAGGACCAGAGCAGCCAATATCATGTACAGCTTGATCCCCGTGACATATTCCTCCTCGTGTTTGGTTGCATATGTCGCATCATCTGTCTGCAACGTGTCTTTCTCAGGCTTCCTGGGAAGATCGGACCGTGAAGACATCGACCGGGGCAGGTCTGGTGTTTCGTGAGCACCACACGGAAGGATTTGAGGGTCGATCGGCTCCGGTATTGGAGGTTCCATGTTCTTCACGGTGATCGAGGAGCGATCAGGGTTGAATTGAGGGTTGTAATGAAAGACAGGTGCCTGATAGAGCAATATGGGCCATATTTAACTGAACGGCCGGTCGGGAACGGGAACGGGAACGGGATCCGAACCCCGATCACAAGCATCAACCGGTCCAAGATCCCAGGACATCTCTCAACCACACGTCGTCCAGATCGTCCAAAATCATGGGCTCCTGCAAAAGGCTATTCTCATCTGCCATGGGAAAGGCAGAGTCGTCAGACTGGACAGGATCTGCTACCCGTTTTGCAGCGTACCACGATTTAACAGACATGAACATCTTGGCGGTTTTGGCATAGATGCCGTTCACGGAGCCATCTTCACCGGTGGCGCTCGCCTGGTTCAGGTTGTGAATAAACTGATCCAGGACCAGGCCCAGGTCGACCGTGGACCGGACGAGTCCAGTGTCCCACGCTGGATCATCGAGGGTGGTGAGTTTGAACAAAATCACGATACTGTGGCAAACCTGGGCGAAGTAGGGAAAGGACACGTAGGGGTATTCGGACAGGGGCAAGGAGAAAAAGTTGTCCAATGCCAATTTGACAGTGCTCAGACACTTGTAGAGAGCCTCCAGTCGCCGGAACCCGGGGCCGTCCACGGTGATGGGCGTCTTCTGGAGTGCCACCTCGTGGATACTCAGTTCGGAATGATACACGGATGCAAGAAGAATCCCTAATGAGTTGGAGTCGTTGGTGACATGATTTCTCTCCACAACCGGGGGGCCGGGGGAGCACTTACTGTCGTGCTGGAGCCGAGGAGAGAAAGCGCTCTTCAATTCCCCTAATTTCCACTGAAGGGTCTGTAAATAGAAACTGGGGGGCACAGTCGGCCCGTCGGCCAGTTCCCCTTCTCCAGCTGGCCACATGACTTGTCGTACGCGGTGGGAGAACAGTTGTAGCCGGACCTGGTGCGCAAATATTTCGTCGGACGGGGCTTCCTGACTTCTGCCGAGGAGGTCCAGGCACTCGTCCAAGTAGGGTGTCCATCGCATGGCGTCGGTCTGTGCAAAGAATGAAGAAACGCTGGACATGTCAATCGTTCAGGTCGCAGAGGGAGGGACGGGGCTACACACCATGAGCTCATCAGAAAGCAAGCCAGGACTGCCCGTCGCTCCTCCATGGTATGAGTAGCCGGTGCGGGGACATTGACGGCGGAGAGCATGTTTGTGTCTTTCGGCGGCCACGGCTTGTTCAGACGGAGCTCGAACACCATGATCATTGCAAAGTGAGTGAAGCGGAACAAGATCTTTCGGTTTATATTGTATAATTGATCGTTTCCCCTAGGCCCAAGTTAGCTTCCACACATGGCGAGTACTTGATGGTGAATTGTGGATTTCTCACCACGCCAAGAAGACCAGAAGGCCGAGCAGCAGGTCGATGTCGATGTCGATGTTTTGTCCGTCCTCGATTAACATGCGCCGTGCTATCGTCTGCCTGACCTCGTGACCAAACGCCTGTCTCTTTTCGGTCGACTTTGTAGTGACAGTGGTGATGCAGAGAAATAGAAACGGCCGTTGTGCGTGGAGCTGCTGAGCAGACATGTCGGGCGGAAGATGAAGAAAGGCCAAGTATCTCAACATCTGGGTCCGGAAGATGGCCAGGCATTCTTCGGCCTCCTCTGGAGATGGAGATAGAGATGGTTCGCCGCCAGTGTCCATGTTAGGTACAGACGAGCTTGCTGTCATAGTGACGGCACTCGACGAGGTTGACGTCTGAGCGATGCCGGCCAAACGAGACGGGGAGGTGGTGCCCTGGGCCTGAGCCTGGTCATGGTCGACAGAGTTGTCTCTCACATGGAGTCTCAGATCCAACAGCGCCGATGCAACCGAGTCTCTGTTGGTAGCGGACTGAGAGGCGCATTGCAACAGAGAGACAAGACCATCGAGCTTCCCCTCCAAATTGGCGATTCTGGACTCGACCCTGCTTTCCGTATTGCGTGGGCGTGGTCGTATCGAGTCAGCCGGGCGGCACGGTTTGTTGAGACGATGACATCTTTCACAGGTGTTGTTGCTTGGGCGCTGGACGCACTTGCATTTGGAGCGGGAACAATTCATGCACGCGCGGCCATACGGGCCTGACGAGGCTGGAATTGGATCTGGGATGGAATCCATGCCCGTGCCAGAGGGCTCGACCATGCTCAGCTCTGAGGGCAAGAGATCAGAGACAGACAGCGGCAGCAGCAGCGGTGGCCGACGGGACCGGCGACTACCTACTACTACTACCTGCCACCACCACCACCACCACCACCACCACATCAGGTTGGTAGGTATATACTCGGTATGCGGACATGTCACGTACTCCGTCCGTACATGACGTGTGCACGGCATTCGGCCCCGAATCCCGGTTGGCGTTGGATTGGTTGACGGATACGAAATACGAAATACTAGAGGAGGTTCGGATGCTCGCTCCGGACCGGGACCGGGCTGCACTGGCCGTTGTGCTAAATACATCCTTTCAAGACCTGAGACAGTGACAGTGGTGACAGCACTACCTAAATACCTACCTCAGATAATTACCTGGTAGGTAGGTAGGTACCTGGTAGGCTGATACTACAGAGTAAGCAAGTCTCTTCTCCCTCAACTTCAATCTTCTCCCATTTTACTCGGGCGTAACTACCACAACCACAAAAGAAGCCAGGCCACTCACTGCCTGTCTATCAATCATGACGGCTGTGCAGGGAGCATGCTGATTCGGGCTGGAGTATGTCGTGATTTCAGGCGCCCGACACACCAGACGGGTTACAGGTTGTGTAACCTCAGAATGGAAGCAATATTGCCCGGCAAATGCATAGCCTTGCGGCACATATCCCCATCCCCTGTTCCCGGCCACCCTCAGCTCTACTCTGCCAACAGCCATGACACTGCACTCATCATGTGCTGTAGTTGGCCGATATCAACTTCAACTGCCATAAGTGGTTGCTCTGCTGGGTTGTGATCGCAAGGCACAGTAACACAACCCCCTAACTAGGTAGTCAGTACCACCTCTGGCTCTGGCTCTGGCTCTGGCTCTGTCGCCCATACTTGGACTAGGATATACTATGGCATTCCTAGAGTCCCTTCGAGGTATATTATCCCCTCTCCCCTCTCCCCCGCCTTCTTGGTTGCATCACCGCCCTAGGTCTGTTCCAGAGCAGCTTGCGAACCCCGTACCCGTACCTGTGACTATTCGCCTCCAGATCGATCTCATTCCGAACTCCCCAATGACAAGCACTCTCAGCTAGCTAGAATGGGATCCCACAACAAGTCCTACAGGCTGCCAGAAGTAGATATCATTGATATCCAATCAGACGCCGAGAAGCTGTCTTTATCAAGAGACACCCAGGAGTTGCTGAAAGCCCACCCGCCGAGTTTCTCCTCCCTCCTACTGTGGGACGAGCAGGGCTTGAAACGCTTCGAATCAATCACTTACACAGAGGAGTATTACCCTACCAAGTCCGAAATCGAGCTTCTCGAGCGGCACAGCCACGAAATAGCACACCGGATCGCGCCTGGCTCTCTTATCGTCGAATTGGGTAGTGGATGTCTCCGAAAGATCAAGATCCTACTACAAGCACTGGACAACCTCAAGAAGTCCGTTGACTACTACGCGCTTGATCTGTCTCGCTCAGAGCTTGAGAGAACACTGCAGTCTGTGTGCCAAGGCACGTTCAAGCATGTTACATGCCACGGTCTCCTGGGCACCTATGAAGACGGGTTGCATTGGTTGCAAAGACCTGAAAACGCTCCCAGGCTCAGAGTCGTGCTCTCGTTGGGTTCGTCGCTTGGTAGCTTTACCCGGCCCGATGCCGCGGGATTCCTGGCCGGATTCGTCCATGCTCTTGATCATGGCCCGTCTCGAAGTGGAAGTGAGCCATTGTTCATCATCGGCCTGGATGGCTGCAAGGACGGGGAAAGTGTGTGGCACGCATACAACGACCCGCAGAATCGAAACGAGGAGTTCATACGAAATGTGCTTGACCATGCAAATCGTATTCTCGGCAAGGATATATTTCATCAGGTTGAATGGCAGCGTCATGGAGAGTGGAATGACAAGCTGGGACGGCATGAACAGTACCTGATACCACGCAAGGATGTCTGGTTTGAAGGTCACTGCCTTAAAGCAGGTGAGAAGATCTTTGTCGTCTCCAGCCACAAATATGATGGCGGGGAACGACAGAAACTCTGGCAGGGTGCAGGGCTTTGCGAGCTCCAGGGCTGGCAGACTTTGGAACAGAACTATGGTGAGTGGTGTTGGAGCAATTTAATGGATTTACTGACTCAGAACTAACTCGATTGCAGGGCTCTATGTCCTGTCCAAAACACCTGCCAATTCAGCCCGAGGAATATAAACAGATTCACGGCATTTTGGATACCGACACTATCTCATGTGGATTGGTATCTGGATTGGGGCCTTGCATAATGTCCGACACGCAGCAGTAAAATTGGGCAGGGCTTCGGAGTGGCTGTCAAGCTGGGTGCAACACAACAGGGATTTGACAATCTTGAGTCTGCAAACGCCGAAGAACATATAGATCTCTATATCATAAGATAAAAAATGAGTTTAAGGAAGACTGCTGTGCCCATGGCAGTGTTCGGTGGTGTTGGGGCGCAGGGAGGTTGCTGGTGTTGGCGAGAGAGATATGATGCTGTGCAGAACCATTAATCACCTAACACTCTGGAAGAATCCAAGTCCTCCCTGATATTCTGCCTGGCCCCATATGACAGGTACGTTAATGACGGGGTGAGGATGAGGATGAGGCAATACGGTGAAGTTACTTCTCTGGAGGATTGTCTTCGCTCTTGATTTCTCACAGAGCTTCAACCGCGCCCTTTCTTTCTCTTTCTTGTCCTTGTCCTTGTCCTCTATCTAATCCTCATCCGAGTCCAAAACTTTCTCGACCTAGTACAACAAGTACAAAGCACAAAGAAGACGCCAGTACTACTGATCATTCTATTCGTCACGTAAGTCCCGTCCCTTGAAGCGATTGGCTTTTGTGTCGCCAGAACTAAGGTCCTAACACATGCAGCAGCAGCAGCGCAGCGCCACAATGCCGCTCGACCCATCCAACCAGCTCAAGATCGGTCGGCATACGATCTCACTCATCTATCAGCTCCTTACCACAGCAGAACTCGCCGTCCCCAACCCAGAAAATTCAGATAATCCAGAATTCAAGGTTCTCAGTGAAGTGAGCGGCGAACTCTACCTGGAGATGGAGCCCTTGATGGAGAAAGTGGCCAACAGTGATCTTTTATGCGACGAGCACATCAGGGCCCTCGAGCAAGGCGAGAGGCTGGTAAAAGAGAGAATACGCAGGCATAAACGTCTGATCATCCTCAAGAAGATGAAGCTCGCCGCCAACCTCGCCAGTGAGCTCCTCGACAACCCTCCAGGGCTTGATCTGAAGGATCTTTATGATGAAAACAAGGCAATTGATGACCACGGCAACAACAACGACGACGCTGAAACGGTCAATCAGGATCTGGACGAGGATCCGGGTTTGCCACGCCGGAGCAAGAGAAAGTGGGAGAAAGAACTTGACATCAAGATCCAGGATCTCGAGCATCTCCGAAAGAGATTGCGCGAGTTCAAGGAGTAACTGTCCTTCGAGACCGCCAGTCATGGATGTGCAGGCTGGCAACGACTACGGTCTATCCAGAAAAATTGGCGAAGACTCCCTGCTAAGTGTGAGGCCTGGTAATCGAGGGTGTTGTACTGAATCAGCAACAGTGGTTTGGCATGGCATGGCATGGCATTGAATGAGAGTGTGTAGATGCCATCTCTCCAGAGCCACAGTCCCTAGAGAGTCGTGGATGTAGGTAGTGATTGAGTTACTCTTGCTTGCTCTCGATCGACCATGCATATCAACAATAAATTAAGTCTTGAGGATGAGACCCTCCCTTCTTCATTGTGATTCTATCAACACACACCTGAGCCCTTGTGTTTGTGATTGAATCTGGTATCCGGTCTATCTCACTCAGCCTAACTTCGACCTACTCCATCGAATCTGACACTCTTCAATGCTTTTCACTATCCACCATTCCTGGCAAGTCTCTTCTTAAAGCCTCAACAACAAAATAGTCTCCGCCGGTAGTCTAAAATCCACCATTTCCGTGTACCCGGTCAAGCAAACCTCTGAGGACACCTGAGTTTACAGTAAGGTCCATCCTGAAATATACTTACAGCTGCATGCATCGTAACGCTGAACAGCTATAGAATCAGCATGGCGAAACAACCCGACCACAGCCAGCACTCCAGCGAAGAGGCCATTGCAGACCTCTGCAAAGTGCTGGTCCTCCAAGAGTTTGAGGAATCGACAGCAAAATACGCACTACCACAACTCACCCACGAAATCCGCGCAGCTGCATTTGCAAGTCTTATGAGGTTGGGAATGGAGACGTACCATCACAACATGGCCAAGGCCAGACACTTCGTCGAGCACAGAAAGCAAGAGCTCGAGAGTGAACTGCGACGTGAGAAATTCTTGGAGGAGTTGAAGAATGCGGTCAAACACCTTGATGCCGCGCTATCGTCGTATGATGGAGAGAAGCCGGATTTCTCGCCGGCTCCTAAGATCAATAGTACCGACAAGAGGAAGAAGAAGTCAGATACGGTGGAAACTGAGCTGTCTAAGTTGGAAGGCTTGACTGAGAAACTCAAAGCAAATCTTTCTCCACACCGCAACAAGCGACCGAAACTGGGTTGAAATTGGTCCTTCATGACTTTAGGAAGATGATGGGTACTCAATTACGGACTCGGAAAGATTGTGTGACATACAGAATCGATGTCTGGCCTCGAGAGAAGATATTCGACCAGGACATCATCGAAGGAGAGGTGACATTGGGAAGAGAAACGGTCTGTATCATGTATCATACCAAGTCGTCTCTATCTGGCTATACATGAAGGTCTTTGGCTTACTCGCAGGATAGTGGGCTTTCCACCTAGAATCACTGCAACCGAGGGCTCATGGACTACCAATTCAGGGAAGTCTCAATTGACTGATCTGCCTCTAGACGCGATCATCAATGATCTCTGTTCTAACTTCACATTTCCTTCTTCTGTCTTTTATTTTATTGATCCTCCCCCTCCCCATATACCTCACATCTCACCTTTACTACGTTACTTCCATTTCCACTTCCGTGGCCTAGAGCGTCGAGCGTCGAGAGCCACAGGACAAGAGGACTGTGAGACCATCCCAACGCTACTAGAAGAGAACTCGCAATGATGGCCGAAGATTTGATACGAAAGTTTCATAACCTCTTCTACGAATTCATCGTTATCCTCAAAGACTCAGATATTGGAGAGTGCAGCCTGGATACCGCGGTAGGCATTGTGCTGGAAATGGAAAAAGTCTTTCAAGCTCATCCTACCTATCATGGTCGACATGAACCCGAACTTGAGAAAGCCAAGGCAAGAGTGATGCTGAAGGCCAAGCACATGGAAGAGGTGCGGCGACTACAGAGGAAACGAAGAGAACTCGATGACAAGTTGGAGGCACTACTTGATCACCAGGTCGATCATAACGAGTCGGTCCGCGGTGATGGTGACGACAGACACCGTTCTACACTAGGGCGAAAGAGGTATGCTGAGTCCACTGATGAATCCGACACCGAGACTGAGTCAGAGTCAGAGACAAGTAGCTGTAAGAAGCTCAAAAAGGACATGGACACCGTCAAGATTAAGACCGAATCGACAGACCAACCAGCAAAAGCAACCCAGCAGAATAAGCGGAAGAAGCTCAAGGAGGACATGGTCACCGTAAAGACCGAATCCACAGACCAACAAGAGATCCAGTGGGAGACTGAAAAGTTCGTCTGCTACGATTGCATGCATGTGTGGAAGAAGTCGCAAGGTGGACTGCTCTGTCCTCATTGCAGGAGTGATTTCATCGTAATTGTAAGTCAGATTCTCTTACATCAGATTCAGATTCCATCAACACTGACATCTGAACCAGCTTGAGCCGGGGAAATCTGATCCATGGCACGGTGATAGCGATATCGCTCATCCCTCCCCTTCCCCAATCCAAAAGTCAGCCCCTCTCCGTGGCAATCCATCTGGACACCTGACCGAGCCCAAAGGAGACAGTCTCAAGAGCCTCAGGAAAGCTACGAGGGACTCAATAGCTAGTTTGATGACGCTGAGTAAGAAACGCTCAGGCATTGGCTCCAGCTCCAATACTCGGAAGCATCTTCACCTTCAGGAAAAACACCATGCCTGAGGGAACAAAATCAGCATCCAGAGCGAAAGCGCCACTCACTTTGGAGACGGACGTGCATATGTGTTGGATACATCGGAGCTGTCTTTTCCGACTTCAATACAGATATGTCTACAAGAGCTGAGTGTTGTGAGTCCCACGACTCAAACACAGACTCAAACACAGACACAGAAACAGACACAGAAACAGACACAGAAACAGACACAGAAACAGACACAGAAACAGACACAGAAACAGACACAGAAACAGACACAGACACAGACACAGACTCAGTCTTCCTCGGCCGTATGGCATAGCACAGAAATATGAGACGAGACGAGCAAGATGCCAGCAGTAGGAGTGGGCGTCTCAAAAGCCTTGCTTACCTACCTCAGCATTTATCGTATCGTTCTCAACATCGACATCACTTTCTACTACTTACTGGCTTGAGCAGAGATAGATTGGAATCGATCTTGATTTAGTAGCAGACATAACACTCCTCCTCTCGAATCGGCTTCCTCAAGGCGGAAGGAAGCAGGGTGTGACAGTGGTACGGGCAGGACACATGTACTAGTTACTAACTTGCCCATAAAGTGCTCACTCTACGTGAAAGTGATATATGTAGCAAAGTCGGTGTCATCTCGTCACAATTAGTAGTAAACCAGCCGAAGTGCCAACTAACGTGGATGGGATGAATTTCCTTCGACCGAGTTATATGTTCTTCACTTCTGTCTCTTCACTTCTGCCTCTTCATTTCTGCCTCTTCACTTCTGCCTCTTCACTTCTATCTCTTCACTTCTGTCTCTCCACGTTCAAGCACCATCATCTTACTCCAGACTGTCTTCTGTATCTCAAGCACTCCAACAACTCTCGGCAAGTCTACATGTCGCAGTAGCAGTAGCATATGCTCAGCGTTTAACCAAAACCACGAATTGATAATTACTGAAACTCCCTCTCCCTCACCTTAGACATCAGCGACACCGACACCACACTCGGCGACTGAAAAACGGAATCGGAATCGAAATCAGAACAACGGCGAAAATGCCATTACTACTAGTGACCAAGGATCAAGAGAATCAACTTTTAGAATGCCTCGTCGAGCTCGAGAAAGACACCGACAAAGGGAAGATGGTCGAGAAGCTTACGACAGTGGTGCTCGCACTCGGGGACAATCTCAAATTGGGACAGAGCACAGAGCAATACGACGACAAGATCCGTGAGGCCAGACGTAGAATCGATCAGCGCATGAAGCAACAAGACTATCTGGAAGTGAAAGATATGATGACAAAAGGTGCCCAACAGTTGGTTGATGCGTTGTCGCAGGAGCAGGAAGGACAAGAGATTCCGGACGAGCAGGCACAACGCGGAACAAAGAGGAAGTTGGCTGAGGAAGTGGAGGGCCAGCTTAAGATGCTGGAGAGGATGAGCAAGAAGATGCGCTGTCACGTCGAAAAGGAGACTGAGGCCGCAGAAAGTCTCCTTGACGGCAACAGGATGCGCCGTCACGTCGTGGAAGAAGAGACTGAGGCGGCACAAAGTCTCTTTGGTGAGGAACCCGACCATGCCGCGATCGCTGCCATTCTCGGCAACATCAACGCCACCAGCACAAGCGGAAAGGCACGGAGTACATCCGAGACAGCTAGAGCATCAAGCACAGCCGAATCGTTGTTCGCCTATTGGCCAGACACGCCGGATAGGTCGACGGCAGTGAAGAAGATGGCACCAGGCACAGCCGTGTCTGCGTCCATGCCAAAGGCCAAATCAGGACGCAGATATGTGTCCAATTCCTACTTTCGATGTCTTGTCAATCCGAGCTCGCCTGCACGACACGACGCTGAAGATGCAAGAAAAGGACAAGACAGCGACAAGCGACAAGCGAAAAACCAAAACTAGCCCTTGTGAGTTGTTATCGATTATTGAATCGACATCCACATCCACAACAGAGAACACGATTTTTCAAGACAAAAGTCACGCGGCAAAGTCTCTCAGATATCCATGGTTATCATCCTGGATACATTACACTTTCCAGAACTGGCTTGCCCGGGCGAAGGGTGGAAGGAAAATCAACCTTCAGGGTTAGGGTTAGGGAATCCGCTCTCAGCTATGGGGCTGAGGAGGCTGTCGATGTCACGGAAGCGTTGAGCCATGCAGAGAGACAGAGACACAGAGCTTGAACACGGGTCACAGGCTACAAGCCACAGGCCTCACATGCATTCAGGATAGTTAGCTAGCTAGCTCGTCAGCTATGTAGCTACCTTAGTTAGCTAACCAACCACTTGATTGACTTGAATGTTTGAGTACGTACCTACCTATATAGCACCAGGTCTTCCGATGTCAAACCTACCTAGGCACTGATATTACTGTAGGCATTGAAGAAGGCTCTTCGAGGGTGGGGCATATGTGGATCTCAGACCAGTATAGGCAATCGATGGAAGCAGATTGATTGCCTTTCGCAAACGTACTAAGTAGAGCTTACCAGTATGAGGAGGTGGTCTATGGATACCGAGAATACGAAGAAGGCTCCAGTTGTCAGCGCTATTCTAGAAGATCCACATTTGGCCCACCCTTATATCTTGATTTCACGTTCCAACCGTAAATATGTCGATCTTCATGTTTCATGTACTTTGCGGGCTGACAACGTCAACGATGATTATGGAATCGCGGGTCTTGAGGTTTACGATCAATGTTTTACCGGATCCTACCTAACGTCAAGGTTGTAATAGGCTCTCTAGTACGTGCAGGTGTAATTTCGCATCGCATGTTCAGGTACTTAGGCTAATTACGAGGAAAGAGTGGACAAGAGGACGGTGAGATGTTGACGTGAGCAATTGTGGTCCCGCGTCAGCATGAAGTAGTATACACTCTGTCCTTGGGGCCTATAAAGAGCTGTAGCAATCGGCTTGGAAGAGAAAGAATCATTCGCCTTTCTTTCAAAGCTGTACACCATCTATTATCTATACCTTCTCCAATCAATCACTATCTATACCTTCTCCAATCAATCACCATCTATACCTTCTCCAATCAATCAAACAAAATGCTTGCTTCGGTCGGCAAAACTATCCTTCTCGGACTTGCCCTGGCATCCGCGGGAGTCCAGGCCTGCGGTCAGGTACAATGCAGTGGCGGTCACGGATACGACTACAACGGCAACGGTTACACTGGCAACACCTTTCGAATTGAGTTCAACCAAATCGACGCCGGACGGAACAGCAATGCTTGTGGACAATTCGACAAATGTATGCGAGAGCAAGCTCCGAGCCGTGGCATTTCCTACCGCGGCACTAGCTGTGCATTTCCCTCCAATGCACAAGGCGACTTCGTGGCGACTGTCAGCGTTGATAAACAGTCTCCGGGCACCCAGGAGGAATTGATCCTGGAGTGCATGAGCGCGGTGATCGAAGGTGGCTGCATCACCAATGCGGGCGCATGTTCCTGCAACGGCTGCTGAACACGAGAAGAGAACACGGTGCGAGGTGGCCCAGTGGCGGTCGACCAAGGTTGGAAAAGGAGAACATTCGGGCCCAAATTGGCAAAATGATCTGGTGGTCGCAGGCTTCCGGCCTTAGCGAAGGAACCTGGAATGTTCAACCCGATGACTTGGCATGGATGCTAGGGTACCACTGGAACTATGTGAGGCGAGCGTGATATGCTCAGTATCATTCGCATGAGTGAGAGAGCAAAGTTGATTAAGCAAGGGGAGGAATGTTTGGCACCCACTATATAGATTCGCTCTTTACCCAATATCCAAACGGAACCTTCCCCTAAAGATGATTTTATAGGTCGGACTCTTACGGATCGACGCTCCTTTATGTGCTGCGATCTGAGTGCCACTTTACAGCGTCGTAGCGTTCGCAGACATGTCTACTCCTCCTCCGCCAGGTTTCATTAGTCGGCACAGAGGCCGTCTGTAGAGAGAGAAATCCAGTCCAGTCCAGTCCAGTCCGTTTACTTTCCCTTGTAAATATATACATGTGTGTGTGTGTGTGTGTATATATTAAATAGGGAATAGGGCCTATATTAGAAGTTCAGTTCGTGGGCAAGAAAAGGGCAAGAAAAGGGCAAGAAAACGTCCTAATTCAAGATCTTTCAGATTTCTTCCCCCACACTCCTGGATGTGCTAGCCTTGTACTCCGTACGGAGACCCATCTTTCAGGAGGATCAGGCTGAACACGTGACACCACGAACTGCGGGTCTGCAGTATTTACGTATCCTCCACTCCACTCCGTACGAGTATAGATACCTACACACCCAAGGTACACACCTACTTACCTACCTACCTAGGTATCTACACATACTATAGGTAATTAGCACCCCCCCGAAATCCCCAAGTGTCGGAGTGCCAGAGTGCCAGAGCCAGAGTGCCAGAGCCAGAGTGCCAGAGCCAGAGTGCCAGAGCCAGAGTGCCAGAGCCAGAGTGCCAGAGCCAGAGTGCCAGAGCCAGAGTGCCAGAGCCAGAGTGCCAGAGCCAGAGTGCCAGAGCCAGAGTGCCAGAGTGCCAGAGTCCCGGCCGTCCGACCGAAACAAAGAGCTTCATTCTTACTCTCTCGCTCTTTAGCTCTCTCCCTCTCTCCCTCTCTCCCTCTTCCTGTTTCGTTTCAGCCGGAGAGAACCAATAGCACGGGTATGGACACGAACACGGACACGGACACGCCAGAACAAACCCGATCGAGCAATCGTGAATCAGTATGTAGCGTGATTGCATATATTAGCTACTCTGTGGGCGAGATGGGCAGAGGAATGCGGTAGGAGTATCAGTACCCAGTACGTAGTATCAGCATCCCGTCCTATATTCACTGTCCCTTGCTTCCATCCATCTAATCGAACCATCCCACTGACTGGCTCGAGCATTTCCCCACCAACTCTCAAAAATTATGTATCAGATTATATCCCAACTGTCCTGTCCATATCCGAACCTAGTGAACAACCCCCGACGCGACCTTTTCGCTCATCATTCCTTCTGCACCTACGATCGCACTTGGCGGGGCAACGTCAGCCAAGGTTTCGTCGGTGAACTTCAAGTCCTCCTCGATATTTACTGTATCTTGGACCTTGAGCCAGATGACGGGAGCGGCGACAACCAGTGAGCCAGCAAGCATACCCCAGTTGACAGCGAACTGGGTCATGTAGGCCACATAGTTTGAGTCTAGGACAGGGGAGATGACGGCACCGGCAGATTGAATGCCTTTGTAGAAGCCAGTGAAGTTGGCAAGCTTGCGACCGTTGTTGGTCAGCGAGCCCATGAGCCTGATTGAAGGTCAGTTAGTTGAAAACGAATGCCCGGGAAAACGTAGAGCTTACCAGTATGAGGTGGTCTGCCACACCGAATCGTAGAATCCGTAGAACATAAAGAGGAACATAGGACCAATATAGCCGGAGTCGGTCCAGTCGAGTTTGACGTAGCCGTCGGCAGATACCTCTGCACGATTATACTGCTTCTGAAAGGCGTAGCCACCGCCCCAGATGACGAAGGTGAGCACAAACAGGCTACCGACGGCCATTTTGGCGCGTGTAGAGCGACGGAAGTATGTGGTGTCGAGACCAAAACCGAAGACCCATGCGCCGATTATTTGGCTGATGTAGTACAAGACGCTGTTGAGGGCACGAGTTCGGATGTTGAATTTGGCCAGATTGACATCTTGGAAGTGGTAGGTATAGAACCAGTTGCTGGCGAAGAACATAGGGAACAGGAAGAGAATGTACCAGTCTGAGCGGAGGGTCTCGAAAAGGCCAAAAATCTCGGATTTCCAGGTTGGATGTTTCATCAAGATGATACGGGACCCGTCAGACCGCTGGACGAGAAGCGGGTTGCACAGGAAACCTGCAAGAATGAAGCCAGCAGCCATGAGGACGATGAAGGCAATGTAAGTCCCATCATTGACCGAATTGCTCTTGGAATGGATGTTCTCTCCCAAAGGCACCAAGCCGCCAATAACGGCGCCGAGATTGAAGATCATCCAGAAGACGGCAATGTACCGGCCCTTGGACTGTTCAGGAGGATAGGACATCATGATCGCGCCTTGGGCGGTCCAAAGCAGACCGGCGCAGATACCCAGCAGGGCAGCTGCGAAATAGAGGAAACCGGTATTTTGGTTGTGGTTGTACGACAAGATCGAGGCGATGTAGAGAGTGTATCCAAACCCTCCAAAACCCAAAGTCAAGCGGAGACCAATTCTGTTTGCGATACTGCCTGCAAAGAACCCGACACTCGCAAAGGTCGAGTAAAGAGCTGTGTTGGCGTTGTTGATATCATGGGCGCTGACTAGACCGGCAGCACCGAGGCCGTTGACCGCATTGAACATGCCAGGGCATAGGAAGCAGACGAACGCGACGAAAACGATCTGGAACTCGGGACTGGCATATGCAGGGAGAGTGACAGGACCAAGTTTGAGTCTCTTATACATCCACGGTTTGCCCAAGGGCTTGACCTCTTCCCCAACGATCCCCGGTGGCGGAGTGTCGGTGCGAGCGGAGCCAGCGGAGTCAGCAGATGTGGTTGCCATCTTCTCGTTTGTATTGTCCGACATACTGGGCGTGGTAGAGGACAGGAAGGGAGACGCAGAGGGCGAAGGTGGTCAGGTCAGCACGAGATGGCGAGACCTGCGGACTGGGAAAGGATCGAAAGCGCAGTGAGCTTGAGGTGTGTTTAGTAGCAAAGCTGTGGCCGGTGGAGAGCCCTTACAGTCCGGGGTCTGTCTCGGGGCAAAGTCCTAGTGGGGTCTGGCGTCGTTGGTCGCGGAGCCTCGAGTGTCGTGTTGCTCTCTGGAGGGCTTGGAGGACGAAGGACAGGGGAGAGAGGGGATTGAAGTAGTTCGTGACCATGCAGAGGGTAGGATGAGAAACAGACGTCCGGTCTGAAGACACCTAGAGTCACGATGTCGCGCTAATCAATGGTTACCATGAGTATCAGCAGATATTGAGAGAGAGATAGAGCAGTGACATCGTAGCATACCGACACAGCGACAGCAACATTTGATATCGGCAACGCACAGCAACCAGTTACAATCCCTCGTTCGGTTGCACGGCTGATACTTCAGGAGCCTCTGGACTATGCGTAGATCAGAGAGTCGTACTCCACGCAGCGGAGGAGGGAGTATCCGTAGTAGAGGAGATTCGAGATTGACTGGCGCCAGGGATGGGAATTGAGGTCCCCCTTTGGACGCATTCAGGGATCCAGATAGGATCTCGCTGTATGTTTGGCCATGTCCGGGGCTTGATAGCAGAGCCGACAACGAGGAGGCAGGCCTAGGGACAGAGGGTGGAGTGAGAGGTTGGTTGGATGAGGCATGGTGTACGCAGATAGTCGCTCTGTAGACCGGAGGGTGGTTAGGGTGCAGTGGCGGAGGCGGAGCGCAGGCAGCGCACGTGACCTGATAAGAGAGTAGCATTTTCTCCGCCTCAGGGTTACATACGCTGACCAGCCATCACTGCTACCCTGCGAACTGCAACCTGCGACCTGCGACCTGCGACCTGCCTGCCATGCCACCTGCGCACCTGCGACGACGTCTCATCCCATCGAGAGGGAGCCTGAGTGTCACCCATACTCCATATGTATTTCCGGACTGCCATCGTTGCATCCGATCCCTCACCCTCACCCTCACACAGCGTCCTACTACCCATCCTCTCGCAGCGCCTTTGACTGCCTCTGAAGATCATGAGTAACAGTAACAGCATCTCGTCCTCTCCTATGGAAGACGAAGATGCCAGGATGCCATCACAGCCCACCGCAGTCCAGGCCGAACCTGCTGCCACAGTGCGACTTGACAGGCCTGGCGCTTTTCATTCGACGCCTAATTAGCTGTCCATCAACGTCGCGGTCAGGTTCCTCAGCTATGCCTTTTATCTATTTCGCGCTCAATTCCGTCGGAGCCGTTCCCCAGGTCTTCAAGGCCAGTAGAATCTGCAACTCGCCTCACGATCCCAAAGCAGATGACGTGACCCTGTCCCGGTCCACAGCATTTTCCTACCATATCATTCATAGTCGTGTCTTCCCTTCTGCTGGATCCTTTCCTTCATTCTTGTAGGACTATCCTACAAGCAATCGTCCCTTCCTTTGTTCGACCTAAATTCAGTTTCAGTTGCAGTTCATTGTTACTGGCATGCCTGCATCAACAATGCGGGTGACAAAGTTTACCAATGGTTATCTCTTGAGAGATGGCCAACTCGTACCCGGAGATCTTTGGATATCTTCGGAAACAGGTCGAATTATCAGCCCGCAATCGGCCTTTTACTCTGCTCATTTGACCCCAGACAAAGTCATTGACCTGGACGGAAAAATCCTCTCTCCGGGGTTTATCGATGTCCAAATAAACGGCTGTTACAATATCGACTTTTCCACGCCTGACCCAGCATATGCGTCAAAATTGGCACATACACACCGGCAAATGATCAAGAGCGGGCTCACCTCCTACACCCCAACAGTGATCAGTACAAAGCCAGACTCATATCATTCCGTGTTACCTCATCTCGGCCCTTCTGGGAAGGATCGGGATGCCAGTAAGGGATGCGAGAGCTTGGGCGCGCATGTTGAAGGGCCCTTTCTCTCCCTCATTCGAAATGGAATCCACAACCGTGAGGTGTTGCGCGAGGCTCATTCATGGTCCGATATTGAAGACTGCTATGGCGCGTCAAACCTCCAGAACGTCCGATACATCACGGCTGCACCAGAGCGCGGAAATATGATGTCTCTGATCCCCGAATTCGTGTCCAGAGGCATAGGGTTCGCCATAGGACACTCCGATGCTACCTTTGAGCAGGCACAAGCAGCCATTGTTGCCGGGGCCTCGATGATCACACATCTATTCAATGCCATGCGCCCCTTTGCGCACAGAGAGCCAGGGATATTTGGGCTGCTGGGCCAATCGGCCCCTCCCACACCTGTCACAACACCCAAGCACAGTCGATCCGGCAGCGCATCGACCTCTCCCCGAGGCTCGCCAAAGTCTTCAAGGCGGTCCACGCCCCGCTCTAGCCTGAGCATCAGCACATCCATAGCAGACTTGGAGGACGAGGCCCGATACGTGCAGCCTTTCTTTGGCCTGATTGCTGACGGCATACATCTATCGGCTCAAGCACTCAAAATCGCGTACTCGGCTCATCCAGAAGGCGCCATTCTGGTCACTGATGCACAAAAGTTTGCCGGATGTCCAGATGGAGTGTACGATTGGCGGGGAGAGGACCGTTTCGTCAAAGAAGGTAAAGTCCTAAAGCTGGAAAGCAATGGGCGCATTGCCGGCAGTGTTGTGGATCTGATCGACTGTATCAACAATTTCAGACGATTTACCGGGTGCGGCTCGGCTAAGGCACTAGAATGTGTTACCAGCACACCGGCCAAGATGTTGGGCAAAGATATCGAGAAGAGCAAAGGCAAACTCGACGTGGGTATGGATGCAGACCTTGTGGTCCTTGAAGAAGGGCCGGACGGGGATCTGTCTGTGCAACAAGTCTGGAAATTCGGAGTTCAAGTTGTCTGATGTAGCGAGTGTTTTTATGTCTACCCGACCGCTTTCTCACTTTGGGACACGTTTCTGTCAAGGATGGCGCAAACAAAAGTGCTTCCCGTTGGGCGTTTCGACCTTCATGGTGACTTTTGGGCGTCGTCGAAGCGGTGCTCAGGAATGTGACGGACGATATGTTTATAGAGTGAACTTGATTGAGCAGTCTCACGCGAGACATGTTTGCATGGGAAGAGACCTTTTAGAAGAGCGAATGGATTTTAGACTGCCGTCATGCCAGTGTAGTATGGTGTACGGAGTACAATGATATCAGAATGACTTTTCTGCGTACAACTATTTCGTGCTCTGTACCCCCGGTCCTGTCCTCCGTATCCGTACTTCGTATCCGCGTGTTTAGCAGGTATTTGCACTTGCCGGAGAAACACATTTTCCGAACCCGCCGGACCAAGGCTAAGAGGCTTAATTAAGGCTTCTCTCTACTCCGTAGGCACGCACCTGAAGCGTTCCTATTTCACCCGCCATCTGTCTCCCTTGCAACCGAGTTAGTTCTCCGTGAATATTTCGTGGTCAGAGCCTTGTGAGTTGACCTGCTTGCCACCCAGACTCCTCCTTTGCGGCCATCTCAACAGCGTATCTGAAACACAGCACTATGGCAGACCCATTTGTCACTGCCGCACTCGCTGCAAAGGCTCGTCACGTGCGAGAGCACGGAACGGGTCTAGACCGCTCATTCCCCCACGATCTTCGCTGGGTCTGGAACAAAAGAAAGCTCAGACTCCTTGGAGTCAATTTCAACTCAACCACATTCTCTCAGCCTACAATCCGTCATTGACCTCGTCTGGTGCGCTGGATCCTGTTCAGGGTCGGTGATTTCCATAGCGTCCATTTCAGCTCGATCTTGTCCGTGGCCATCGAAGCCATGACGGTCCGAAAGAAATATACACCTGAGTAAGCCCAAAGTGCTCACCTTGCTGATATATGACATGAGTTCACCCTGGCAGGGTTCTCTTGAGTGCTCCAAGGAGGTCAGCTGCCCTTCCCAGCCCGGATGGGAAGCTTGCATTGTACACACAATCCACCTACTCTTTCGACACGCATTCCCGGACAAGTGAAATATGTGTCCTAGATCTGACCACCGGTCAGTCGGTCACCGTCAGCAAAGACGCCAAAGCGACAGAGCCGCGATGGACGGGGACAGGCTTTGAAGTAGTTTGGTTGAAGGAATGCGAAAATGGAAATACAAGCTTTGTCGTTACCGACGCCACCCTTCCAGGGAAATGCTACACTGCCGGTACCGTACCCGGCACAGTATCAAATCTCAAGCTCTTCATCACCGAACCTGGTAAGGTGGCTGTTGCTGTTTCGGGGCAGGCCAATCCTGATGGAAGCCTCCACAATCCAAAAGGTGCCCAGAAACAGCATAGTTCCGCACGCCTCTACGATTCGCTCTTCGTCCGGCATTGGGACACTTATGTCACCGACCAGCGCAACACCATTTTTACAGGATTGCTGCAGAAATCACAGCCCATGGTTACGTCGCGACAAGGGCGTTATAGCTTGCTTGGCTTCCACAATGCTCTCCAGGGGACCGGTCTGGAATGCCCAATTCCGCCCTTTGGAGGGAGCGACCACTTCGACATCGGGTCGACCGGACTAACCATCGTGGCTAAGGATCCTACTCTTGACCCAGCAACGCATACCAAGTGTGATTGCTATTTCATCCCCAAGAAAGATGTCATGGACATGAGCCCACCAAACTTTCGCAAAATCCATATCCCTGGATTCTATGGTGCCGCCTCCTCTCCCGTGTTCTCACCTAGTGGCGAATCCTTGGCATATCTTCACATGGCGACTGACGGCTATGAAAGCGATAAGAGCCGGATTGTCTTTGTCCATGGGCTCGACAAGACCGATATCGTGGCCAGGGAGTTGATGCGAACGACTGAAACCCCGGATGGCTGGGACAGATCCCCTTCCGCTCTGAAATGGTCTGTCGATGGAAGATATCTACTAATAGAAGCCGAAGATGTGGGGCGAGGATGTCTTTTTTCCCTCGATCTGGAAACGGAAGCTCCTGGACCTGAATGGCGTCCTCTCCAGTTGACCAAAAGTGGATATATCATCGATGTGGCTCCCTTGTCGTCAGACTCCAACCTGCTCCTTGTCTCAAGCAACAGCCTTGTCGACAATAGCACCTACACGATTATTGATCCTTTGGGCGAGGCTGCTCCTGTGGTGGTCTCATCCCTCAGCCGCATGGGTTCGATGTTTGGTCTTTCACCCGAGCAAGTCTCATCAGTGTGGTGGAAAGGAGCCAACGAGCACCCAGTCCATGCTTGGATGATGAAGCCGTCATTCTTCCGAGCGGATCAGAAATACCCTCTGGCCTATCTGATCCATGGCGGTCCTCAAGGCGCCTGGAACGACCAGTGGTCGACTCGCTGGAATCCTGCCGTGTTCGCAGAGCAAGGATATGTCGTGATTTGTCCCAATCCAACCGGGTCAACAGGTTATGGGCAACAGTTTACCGATGCCATTCGGAATCAGTGGGGCGGGCTACCTTACGAGGACCTTGTCAAAGGATTCGAGTTCATCGAGTCAGAGCTGGACTTTGTGGATTCATCTCGAGCCGTCGCTTTGGGTGCCAGCTACGGTGGTTACATGATGAATTGGTTTCAAGGACATGATTTGGGCCGCAAGTTCAAGGCCCTCGTTTGCCATGATGGCGTTTTCAGCATGACCGGCCAATTGGCCTCGGAAGAACAGTATTTCCCGATCCATGACCTAGGCGGGCCACTCTGGGAGAGACAAGAACTCTACGACAAATGGGATCCGAGTCGTTTCACCAAGCACTGGGCGACCCCTATGCTTGTGGTCCACAATGAACTGGACTACCGACTGACCATCTCAGAGGGTCTATCAGCATTCAACGTGCTGCAGATGAGGAACATCGAAAGTCGGTTCCTGAGCTTCCCGGACGAGAACCACTGGGTGCTGAAGCCAGAAAACAGTCTTGTCTGGCACCTAGTCGTCATCAACTGGATCAACAAGTTTGTTGGGTTACCTAAGCTGGTTGATCGCCAGGGCAGAGATGGATCGGCGTTCTGTCGGCAGCAAGGGCGCAGAAGACAGGCTACTATGCGTAGGGGCTCATCGCGCATCGAACAGTAAAGTGACACGGGCAACGGGAGTGCTGGCATGCTGAGCGTAGGAAACTTTTATTATGTTGGAGCGGGTTGGACTGGACGCCCATCTTGATAGATAATCGTACACAAGAATACAAGGGAGAGCACGACAGCGATGGTGCTCATGGTCAAACTCTCACGAAGGGTTGTGATTGCTCGCGAGTTCTTCCTTTACCACATCCGCCAGGACTTTCTTGTCCAGCGGCTTGTCCGCCAACTCTCCGTCGGGTTTCAGCAACTCTTTGAGAACCACACCCTGTTTTAGATCTCCTGATACCGTGCCCCTCAGTGTTTCGATGGTAGCTCTTACAATGTTCCTCAAATCCTGAGGATCCATTACTTTCACAGAGCCCACCAGCTCCTCAATGACTGTCACCTCCTTCTCCAGCTTCTCCACCAGGTCCGGTCTACCAGCTTCGTGTGCCTCTTTCTCAGCCGCCTCCGATGCAGCTCTGCGTTTCCGCAGCAGGGCAAGGATCTGCATGTCGGTTCTAATTGGATTGGAGCCACTGGCCGCCTGATTGATCTCGGAAATCGTGCCACGCAGGACGGTCAAACTACCCGGCACTCAGCACCATGATGGAAATAGAATCTGGAGAGTGTTATGGCATGATCAAGGTGCTGCTTACCGAGCAGTGTCCTTTGCACGCATGGCGGCCTTCAGCTGTTCCCGAATTCTGGAGTGGAGGGTGGATGAAGGAGCAGTGGACGACGAACTCCATCGCAAGCCCAAGGCCGCAGCTGCGCTCCGCTGCAGACATCGCACGCAAAGAGGCGGTTCAGCGGTAGAAAACAGTCTTGACACGCGTGCCGTCGCCATTCTGTCCAGGGATGCGAGGAAAATGTTTAGGTTGGCTTCACTGATCAAGTTGGAGATCCATCGGGGACGCACCTTAACATAAGAGGTTCCTGAGTCTAACGCCAATGCACCCAGAACGGATGCCGCTTTAGAGGGCACCTGGGGGCAGATCCAATCATCTCAGAGGCTTGGCGCGTAGCCCAGAGAGCGCAGCGCGTTTGCGGTTCAAGAAGTTGTGCGGAGCTCGTGCATTTCGCATGTTGTAGACGTTGGAATTGTACGCTCTCTCACAGACGGCGCCCTCTGCGTCCCACTGTCTCTCTTGATAAGATCCTGCGCTTCTCTTTATTCGCGCGGAGTATATCCAAAGGAGCTTCTTGTCGCCCGCTTTCGGCGGTCACCGTCATTGATGCAGTTTTCTCACTAGTCTCACCGGGCGCTGCAACGCGACATGGCCTCCTCGGCTGTTCAACAGACGCCAGCACGACCTGTACCAGGAATCTGGCCTCAAACACCTGCGGCGCGACCTGGGATACCAGCCCCCTCGTTCCAGTCCCCTGGGACGCCATTCCGCAGGGCTTCCTTGGTCCCTCAGGCCTCTGCCTCAACTGCCCTTACGACAGCCGCCCAACCGCATGAGCCTCCCGCTCGATCCTCAATTAGGCAGCCCGAATCCCTCGAACCCCTTGAAAGAGCATCCCGTACAATCAATGAGGCTTTGGCGAACCAGTCCCGCTTCCCAGATGTTGATAGTTATCTCTCGCAGGGGTATTCTGCCGATTACGACATTCAGTCCTCCACAACATGGGCACCTTTTCAAAAGGCAGGGGTTCGCAGAATTCCGGACGAAATATTTGAACAGTACAACAATGCACAGCTGTCTACCAGCATGGGGCTCTTCGCAGAGCTGGGACATGCTTGGATAACCATTGACAATGCTTTGTACATGTGGGATTATACTTCGTCTAAACCCGAGCTGCTGGGGTTTGAAGGACAACCACATTGTATCCTTGCCGTCAAACTGGGGGTGCCTCGTGTAGGCGTTTTCCTCCCCAATATCAAGCACATCATTGTTCTGGCTACGACGACCGACATATCTCTTCTGGGCTTGGGGCTAGATCTTAGTCCTGGTGCCTCCAGTGCGTTGTCCCTCTTTCAGACAGGAATGTCCGTCTCAGTCAAGGGCCTTGATATCAGCGTCATAGCTTGCTCAGAAAAGACGGGAAGGGTCTTCTTTGGCGGCCGGACCGAGAATGAAATCTACGAGCTGACTTACCAGCAGGAGGACCGGTGGTTTTCAAGTCGCTGTTCAAAAATCTGTCACACCAGTGGAGCCGCAAAGTCTTTGGCTCTGACTTTCAGCAGCCTGGCGGGCGGTCACAAAGAGTACGTGGAGCAGATCGTAGTGGATGACAGCCGAGATCTGTTGTATACCCTGTCTTCGGCATCGAACATCCGCGTCTTCCATATCAAACCAGACGCCGGACTGCCTCTTCTCATCACCAAGCCAGCGAGTGAGATTTATGCCAACATCGGTCACATCATTACCCAGAGCGAATCTCTCAACGTTCGGGTCAAAATTGTCGCAATATCAGCCATTCCTGCCTCAGAGGCCTCGAGATACCACCTCGTGGCAACCACAGCCACAGGCTATCGCATATACCTGAGCGCAACAAGTTCCGGCTACTGGTCAACGACAAAATCTGGTGCGCCTATCAGCATGCAGGCTCAACACGTGAAAATCCCACCCATGAATTTGAACCTGGGTACCTCTTCGACAGCCCAGGCGTCGGAACCGTCCATCAACGTGCACCAACCTATTAAAACCTTGACAATGACTCGGCTTGCCGCGAGATACCCCCCCGGGTTTTTCTTTTGCTTTACCGCCCGAGATGCGAATGCGCCCACGGACCAGTTGTTCATCTCGGCCCCAGATGCTGGGAGGCTGTCGAGACCGGCCGAACCTGGCCAGCCTAGTCGCACAAGTGAATCCGCCATGTGGCTATCATTGGGCAGCCGGGCAGAAGATATCGGTTTGGCTGTTCCTTACTCGGCCCCAACGTCGACGCCCGCCGGGTACGGCAATGACCTAGCTGTGCAATTCGACAAGCCTATTCCGGAAGTCGCAATCTTGACCAATACCGGCGTCCATATCCTTAAACGGCGTCGCTTGGCCGACATTTTCGCTGCCCTCAGTCGTCAAGGTGGTGGCACAGAAGGTTTTCAGAACGAGGTCAACAACTTGATCCGTGCTTACGGAAGAACTGAAACTCTTGCCACCGCCCTTGCTGTCGCCTGCGGCCAAGGAGTTGAAGTGACCAAAGACGCACATCCGGTGCGGGTGAACGACCCTGAAATCCTTGAGCTCGCCCGAAAGACCTTCATCGAATATGGCGGCAAACCAAGCATCAATCAGAATTCCATCACAGATAAATCTGTATCCTTGATCGACGCGGTTCGTCCCTCTCCTCGACACGCAGCCATTGCCCTGTATCTCTCACGTCTACTGAGATCTACTTGGAAGAACGTGATCGCGGTTGGGTCAACCACCCCCTCTGGATACCAGGTCATTCCTGCGGTGCCGTTACAAAAACTTCGGGATGTCCAAGAGTCCTTGTCGGCACTGCAACGGTTTTTCAAGACCAACAAGAGCTTCATCAAAGGCCTCAGTGGGCCGGATGATCTTTCGAGTGCGAGTACCAAGGATGATGAAATCGCGCTGAAGGGTGAGCATCGTGCTCTTCACTCCCTGGTCAAATTCACATCCGACACGATCGAAGGTCTCTCTTTCATCCTGGTGCTTTTTGAAGAAAAGGTGGCTGAAATCATCCCGCTTCTTCCAGAGGCGTCTCGACCTCATATGTTGAGACTGACCTTCGAAGAACTCTTTACCACGAAGACAGGCTACGAACTAGCCAAGGAACTCGTCAAGGCCATCGTTAATCGCAATATTGCCAAGGGTTCCAATGTCGAGACGGTGGCCGAGGCTCTGCGGCGAAAGTGCGGAAGCTTCTGCAGTGCCGAGGATGTAGTGATATTCAAAGCACAGGAACAGCTGAAGCGAGCGGCGGAAGCTGGAGGAAACGCAGAGCTGTCACGAAATCTGTTGAATGAAAGCCTCAAACTCTTTGAACAGGTGGCGCACAGTCTCCCGAGTGACTACCTCGAGTCCGCTGTGAAGCAATACACCGAGCTGCATTTCTTTGCTGGAGCCATTCAACTGGCTCTGAAGGTGGCTCACGAGAAAGACAAAGCCAATGAGGCGTTGTCTTGGATGGCAGACGGTCGGCCCGATCCAGATGCCAGAAAGAACAAGTTTGACATCCGGAGCCAATGCTACGACTTGATTCACGACGTGATTGCTGCCGTGGACAGGAGCACCGAGCAGAGTCCTGGCTTTGTCGATGGGCGCCCGACACTTGCTGTGACGAGAAGGAATGAAGCCTACGACGTAATCAGCCGGTCGAAGGACGAGGCTTTCCTGACGAACCTGTATGATTGGTATGTCCAGCAAGGGTGGTACGACAGACTGTTGGCCACCGAGTCCGCTTTCATCGTCACCTATCTGCAGCGCAAGTCCTCGGAGGATATTACGTATGCGGATCTGTTGTGGAAATACTACGGTCAGACCGATCAGTTCACGGAGGCGGCCAAGATCCAGTTGCAGCTTGCACGCAGCCCGTTCCCCCTGACACTGGAGAAGAGGATTGAGTACCTGAGCCGAGCTAGAGCGAACGCTTCCACGTATAGCCAAGGAGGCAACCGCAAGACCAAGCAGCAATTGCTGCAAGAAATCTCGGACTTGCTCGATATCGCGACCATCCAAGACGAGGTCCTGCAACGTCTGAGAGACGATCCACGATTAGGGCCGGAACGAAGACGAGAAGTGCTCGATCAGGTCAACGGGGTGATTTTGGACATCAACACCCTGTTCAACAATTACGCCGATAATGCCGGCTACTACGACCTTTGCCTGATGATTTACCAGGTGGCCGACCACCGAGACGCATCGCAAATCAAACAGACGTGGCAACAGTTGTTACAATCGGTGCATGACAAGACCACCGAGGATGATCAGATCCAGCCGTTTGAAGCTATTTCCGAGGAGGTGCGAAGTCTGGGCAGCAAGCTTCGAGCGTCTGAAACCACGTTTCCGGTCCATATACTGCTACCGATCCTCGAAAAGTATTCGTTTGAGCATCAACGCACTGTGGCGCCGGCCCATTGGGTAGTGGATATCTTTGTCGACCTGGAAATCCCACATGAGCGGCTGTTCGAGGTACTGGAAACGATCTTCTTCTCGGGCGACGCGCCGTTTATTGGTTCGAGCCGAAAATACATTGCGTCGGAGCTCGTGTATGTGGTGGGCAAGTGGTTCCACGATTCCATGAGAGCCGGGACGGTGATCTTTGGCAGCGAAGCTGGAGCGGCGCGTGTGGAGGAGACGATTCAAACGATCTTGCAGCAGAGTAAGTCGGCTGGTTTGGATGATGAGACGACGCAGGTCTGTCGAGCCATCGTGGAGAAGATTGCCCAGCTTTTGGGGTGAAACTTGTGAAAGTGGTGAAACTGGTCAAGGGAGGAAGAGGAAAGGGATCGAGTGGAAGTGTTTCCCCAAGATTGCACTGAAATGGAGATTTTTGCTGGGATTGCTTGCTGCATTTAGCGACATGAGGCTCGACCGGGTTGGCAATTAAGGAGAGGTAAAAGTCTGGACTGGAGCGGTAGTTTGCGCGGGAAGATGCTAGACAGATGATCTGGATGGACTGACAGACTGTGTTTTGGCCCTCACTCGATTTGGAAATGCGAGGACAGACAGTGACCGTGGTGTATGGTATGTAGAGAATGTAGAGTATGTGAATAGGGGAAGGGGATGTGATCCTGGTCCTGGTACCCTGTGTACACTGTACTGAGTACAGTCCCTAAAGTACCTAGGTGCCTACGCAGTTATGTAATACTTAGTACTTACTACAGGGATCCTTACTACAGTACCTGAGGTACCTAGTAGGTGCATACTAGGTAGGTAATACTTATGTATGTACGGAGTACTGTATGTGCTGCAACCTCCACAGTACAAGTCTGCCTCCTCCAAAACCCCCTTTTCCCTTTCCAGCTGCCCCGAGAGCTTCACCCATCACCATCACCTACCCAGGTTCCCAGGTAGGTATAGTATTGAATTACTATTTAATACTGCCTGAACGGAACGATATCAAGATCAACAAGAAGTCCCCAGTACCGAGCACCGAGTCTTCCAATTCAAGATGCCGCCTCCGAAGCAACAGCAACAGCAAGAGCAACACCATCACCGCCCCCGCCGCCCTCTGACAGCCAGGAAGTTGGACATCGTATACCTCGCCTTCTTTGTCATTCATATCCCAGTCATGCTATGTAAGTTCTCTCGTTCCCATCTGCACAGGGATCCAAGTCGGTCGGTCGGTCGGTCGGTCAGTCAGTCAGTCAGTCAGTCGAGTTTCTCTATCTCCATCGACATCCACATCCACACTCATAGGAGCGCTCACTCTACATGACCGGAGCGCTCACTCTCCATGACTATTCTGACCTCTTCCCCTGATACTTATCTAGTGGTCGACCTCGCGCCTCTGCAGCCAGCTTTCCTGCGTCCGCAAATCTCCTATACACTGCGCCAGTTCTACCGCGATCACTATCGGGACCGGTACTTCGAGGCCCCGCCAGCCTGGTTCACCGCGTACATGTATCTCGAGGCGAGCTATCATTTGCCGCTGAGCCTGTGGATGGTGTGGAATATTCCGAAAGGTGTGTGCTACTACCTACTACCTATTACCTACTATCTGTTGTACCTATTGTCTCCCCCTTTTTGAGGTTTGGGGGGTTCAGTTCCCTTTCCCCCAAGGTAGAGTGCAGTACTGCATCTGCATCTTTGACCATGGCCCATGGCACTGCATGCATAGCATGACCAAATCAAACATCTTGCTGGACTGTGCTTGACTGCTCACTGCTCACTGCTCACTGCTCACTGCTCACTTCTCACTGCTCACTGCTGACGGGACCCGTTTCATCCCTCCTGGATCACAGACCACATCCTCGTCCCTCTCCATCTCCTCGTCTTTGCCGTCGAAACCGCCCTCACCACCCTGACTTGCGTCGTTGACGTCCGCGCCTGGGAGGGATACACGGCGCCGCAACGTAACGATCTGTATGCGCTGTACGTGCCGTATTTGGTTGTTGGTGAGTCTTTGTCCCGGGTCCTGAGTTCCGAGTCCCGAGTCCTGTCTGTACCTACCTACCTACCTACACCGACATCCAGCCAGCCTACAGGGGGTTGGTTTGGTTTTGGTTTGGTTTGTCTATAATATCCTACCACTATTACTACTACCGCTACTACCACTACTACCACTACTACCACTACTACCTCTATTACTATCCTACCACTACCACTACCACTACCACCACCACCACCACCACCACTACCACTACCACTACTACTACCACCAATATATCACCTAATGAACTGCTACTAACGCTGACCACCTATCCAGCTTGTTTCATGGGCTCCGACGCTTTTCTGCGCGTCAAGCGACAGATTATGTCTGCAAACTCGAACTCGAACTCGAATTCGAACTCCACTACGGAAACTACGAATACTACGACTGTTGCCGTCGATAAAGGGAAGAGAGCATAGACATAAGGCATATCGAACAACCACACACACACACACACTCTCTCTCTCTCTCTCTCTCTCTCTCTCTCTTAGGTACCCAAAATACCTAGGAGCACTATACGCCGAGTAGGGTAGGGTAGGGCGGCATATCCTACCATACCAGGCTGTCCATGTTCCATGTTCTCGTCGTCGCTGAGCTGCCATTCTGGTTCTGGTTCTGGTTCTGGTTCTTGCCATAATTCCACAAAGAACACAGACATATACTGTAGACTTGATATTAGTGGGAGATGCTAGGGTAGGCATCAGGCAAGTCACCAACTCTGGATCAGAATCAAGATCAGAATCAAGATCAGAATCAGAATCAGAATCAGAATCAAGATCAGAATTAAGACCAGAATTAGAACCAAGATCAGAATCAGAATTGCCTAGCCCAAGTCAGGCCAATTCTAAAAAACACGAATTCTCAACTCATCGGACCTGGCTTATATCCTTCCTAGTGCCAATCAGGGCCGCACCGCACCGTCTCTCTTTGATACTCAGATCCAAGAAGGTTGTCTGTCACAGGCCCACATGCCCAAAAGGCTGACTTGACTAAAACTGCAAGATCTGTGCTGCGTGTCGTCCGACCGTCTACCTGCAGGTGACCATTCCGCAAGGCTAGGCGCAATGCACAATGCACAATTCGCAATTCCGACTCAATTCTGCTTTGCAACTCCTTGACGCCATGCATGATTTCGGCTCTCTCCTCTCCTTCAGCTGATAGTTATCCCATGACTACTCCCTCCAGCTCGATTCGTGCGCTCTGTGACGTCCTCCCTAACTCGGTGACGGGGCCGGTTCGCATCGACACCGGCGTAAGAGATGGCCAACCGCTCACTCCTCAGCCAACGTCTGTCCTTCCCTTAACCCCTCCACCTTCAATTCCTCGCCCACGGCTCGGCGGTAAATGTCCCTCACATTTTCCGTCACCGTCTCAAAGTGAGTGGACGGATCGAAGCTGTTGGAGATGAAAACCCGATCGTTGACTCCACTCTCCAGAGGCTGGTACAATGGAATGGGCGGGCCCACGAATTTCTCCTCAATGCGGCCCAACCTCTCCAACCCTGGTTGAAGCTCGAGGTGATGATTTGCTGACGTCTCGGCGACCGTCGACACAATTGCAATGTAGTAACCCTTGGGGCAGACGTTGTGAGCTGAGGATACCATAGCAATGTAGATGTCATGTTTCCGGCCGACTTGCGATTGTGGGATAATCAACTGGAGAGAGTCGGAGTCGTTGGTCTTGTCAAGTGGATGGTTGAGAATGCAGATGGCTTTGAGCAGGTGGCCCACCACTTGGACCTTGCCAGGAAAGTATGTAGGATCGCCCAAGATCATCTTGGTCTTTGTGCTAAATTTCAGACCATCGCCTTCTTCACCCCGCTCTCGCATCGTAGCCTTGATGCCGCTAATCTTGCCGCCTTCGTATTCGAACTCGTCGACCGACGTATTGAGCATGTAAGTTCCGCCGTAGATGGCGGACAGACGGGCGAAGCCTTGAGGAAGTTCACCGAGGCCATACAGAGGGTAGATGTAGGGAGATTTGCCGTAGCGAGCCATCGAGTTGACGTAGAGACGGATTCTCTCCACAGTTTCCTTTGCCATGCCAGGCGTGTTAATGTACTCGTCGGTGGGAAAGAGCGCCATCGCGTGGCCGATGAAGTCTCGGGTTGTTGCTTCAAGTCCAAACTTGTCGTAGACTTCTCTCATGGTGCACCTGTTCAGGTTGAATCCTATTCAGAAAGGCCGCGTCAGTGTCGGACAGATGTCGGCCCTGGTATCTGGCACCCACCATTGTGTGTAGCTGGATCACTGTCTTCGAAAGCACCCACCCATTCCAAAAACTTCTTTGCTCTCCTCTTTTCAAACAAGCCCATCAATGGTGAACTCAAGGCTTCGCCGGCAGTGGAGGGGACTTTGGCTACTGTAGCCCTGGGTCCAGAGCCCTGCTGCACAAAGCTCCCTGCAATTTGCTTGAATTCGAGGTATCGAGTGACGTCGGTGGAGACGAGGATGTTTGTGAGCTCTCCATTTGCCATGAGGAATTTGGGCACTAAGTCGATGTTCCAATCATTGACCCGTCCATATTTCTTCCAAGGCTCCTCTCCTGGTCGAAAGTTGCCGTATTTCTTGAATAACTGTTGTCAAGATGTTAGAATAGGCGTCTACTCCTTTGACCATTTCAGAGAGGACGGTGATTGGGACGGGACGGGACGGTGTCTTGTGTCTTGCTTACGGCCTCAATGTTCAACGAAGCTGCCTCTCTGTATATTTCAATCAGTATGACTTCACTTCGTCGCCGGTTCATACAGGAAAGATGGTGATCTCGTACCCGCCGTAGTGGTCATTTCGGTCAATGTGGAGGACTTTCTTCCCTTTGACGGAAAGCACCCTATCTTCCGGTCAGCGATCTGGTTCTGGAGCAGCTGCTTACGGTGTGCGCACATACCCAGACAGAACACATTCGGTCAAGCCTGCAGAGATCGGGGTCAAATCAGCACCCGCATCAACATAAACACGGGGTTTGGTGAGTTAGGAGACACGACACCACGGTCGCTGTCCCGTCGCAGTCATACCTGTGCCGAGGACAATAACATCATACTCAGGCGCGATTTCATCCATTGTGGCAGGATCAGAGTTAGGCAGCGGGCACCAGACGTTCGTTGTCTAGACAGCGCGACGAAGGGTCGAGGTCAAAGGTCAAGGGTCAAGGGTCGGTGAAGATGAAGCACGGGGTACTCTAAGTGTCTGCACTAAACAATGCCGCAGACAGACGGCGTCAGTCGGTGCCAGAGTCAGTGTCAGTCAGGCTCCAGATGAGGTCATGGCCGCCAAGGCTGCGGTTCATTTGGTGCATAGATGGTCCACCGTACAAGTCAGAAGTTCTCAGCCTTGTGCAGCCTCGGTCAACGTTTAACGAAAGAGTTCTAGCCGTGACTGTGAGTGAGAAAAGTGTTGAGGACATGATACCTCATAGTCTAGTTTGTCCGTACAGCATATAGATGCTGCTATGATACATATCACGGGCATGCTACAGCAAGGCGAGGGTGTGGAATGATAGCTAGTTGCCGATACCGCATCCTTCCCCCATGACTCAAGATGCTTTCCGCCCACAGAAAGGCACTCTAGACAAATTCCCGTGTTTTACGACGAGGAAGAGGTAGCCTTCTTCATCCGTTCTCGTGTAATGTCAACCTGCGTGCTCAGTCTCCAAGGGTAATCGAATTTGTCCATGTGGATTTCACAAAGCTAGACAGACACGAGCGTCAGCTGATCGTCCAACAAGACGCACATTCCAAAGTGACGACTTACCTGGATACTGTCACCATTCCCAAAGTCCTCATCATTCAACACCGCTTCAAGTTCTTCTATTGTCTTTGCGGCTTGGCTCTTTGCCCTGCCTCCCTTGTCTTGTCTAGCGCCAAAGAATTCGAGCATCTTCTGGTAATCCCAAATCAAGCTCACGTCATTGTACTCCTGCTCGGGTCCGTGGATGGCTCGTTCAATGGAGTAGCCTTTGTTGTTGACCACAAAGATGATGGGCTTGAACCCATATCGAATATAGGTCCCAATCTCTTGGACTGTCATCTGTAGGCTTCCTTCGCCGACAATGAGGATCACGCGTCCCGGATGGCGCAACTCTTTGGCAGCAACGAGTGCCCCGAGACAGGCCCCGACTGTATACCCGATGGATGACCAGAAGATCTGCGTAATGTACTTCGCGTTCGGCGGGAACGTGGCGTCAGGTGCCCCGAACTGCGCGGTCCCCGATTCCGTCAGGATGATATCATTTTCTTTGAAGAACCGGCCCAGTCGTTGCCAGATGTATGACTGTCTGATCTCTCCCGAACTAGCTTTGCTCAGCACGGGAGGCTCGAGACGCGGCTTTTGCTGAGGACGAGGGACGTTGTAATTTTGGGACTGTGATTCCAGCTCCCCAACAATTCGTTTCAGGATGGGCAGGAAATGGACGCCATCAAACTTCTCCCCCTTAACTTGACAGTAAGCGTGACCAAGATAGATTAGGTTCTCGTCTCTGATCGTCCGTGTGAACCCTCCTGTGTTGGAGTCCGACAGTAAAGGACCGAGATTCAAGACCAGATCGGAGCTTTCGACTCCTTCTGCGACTCCCGGAAATGACACTTTGGTCTGTCAGTCAAATTCAACGAAAAAGGGATGTACTGGAGCCCCACCTTTGCCATTATACACACCGTTATAGTAGGGTGCGTTTTCGTCAATGATACCTTTGGATAGTGGTGTAGAGTAGCTTGGGAACTGCGTGATTTCTGCCAGCTTTCTCGTCAACTCTAGCCCCCCGTGGCGTATGGTTAGGACATCCGCCAGAATCACGGGGTGAGAGGCTTTTTCTATTTCCGAAAGAACCAAGCTGATGATGTGATCCTCGATGCCGCTGTTGGAATTGCGAACTGCTGTGTCCAAAGGGGTGTCGAGCCGTTTTGCATCCAAGGGGACAGACACGACATCAGCAGGCACATAGATATAAGCAGGGAGTCTGCTCTGGACACAAGCCACAATGACGCGGTCTATTTCTTCTGCCATGGTCTTGTCGTCCATCAAATATGCATAGGTCTTCCGGATAGGGGCAGCCATCCGAATGTAAACAGCAGGATCCATGTTTGGCTCCATGGTATGGTGCAACATCGCGCGGGCCTTCTGGACTGGTTTGTGGACACAGGTTGTCAGCTGGACCCCTGTAGGGGTTCATTAAAAGGAGAGATGACTGTCGGTAGCAGCATCAAATCAACTTACGCATCCTTGCTGGCATGCCTACAATGTGGATCATTCCAGCATGCTCAGCATAAGCACCTGCAACCCCGTTCATGGCTGACAATTCTCCCACGGCGTAAGTCGTCACAAGCACGGCTGGAGACCCTTTGATTCGGGCGTAGCCATCGGCGGCGTAGGCGGCATTGAGTTCGTTGCAGCAGCCCACCCACCTCAAGCCAGGGACATTGTAGATCTCGTCAAGAAGAGTGACTGGGGGGTGGACAGAGTCAGTCAGCTATGCACACCAAGGTAGGCAGCACTCTGCGGCTCGAGGACTATAACTCACGGTTGAAGTCACCGGGGACCCCAAGTATATGTTCGGTTCCCAAGTCCTTGATTCTCCTAAAGAGATACTGGCCCAAGGGCACTGTTGCTGACATTGTGGCCTGGGAAGTCTGCGTGGAATGTGGGCAATAAGCAGTCTGATCCACCAGTGGGACTGTGCAAAGGCTTAATAGACGGTGCTAGTGAGCAGAAGATGGGAAGATGGGAAGACACCTTCTGTATACTGCTATCGTAGTATTTTGTTGTCGTCGGGCAAACGGCCGAGGCAACGTCACGTCGCGACACGACATCGGCAACTGCCCCCGGGGTGGAATTCCGCTGTCTGGCGGGGCAACAACGATCTGGTCACAAGCTCAGTTCTGGCACAATTTATGTAAATTCTAGCGCCAACTGTGTCATACAAAATGCAACGCAGTCAAGCAGTGCGAAGACGTGACTATCCTCGTGCTTCACCGGCCCCTATCAAGGGAAGCTAATGCCACCATCCACCCCAATGACCTGCCCCGTGATGTAGCTGCTGGCAGGACTCGCCAGGAACAAGACCGTGTCGGCGGTCTCCCTTGGTGTTCCCTCCCTCTTGATATGCTGGTTGTTGCCCAGCCTTGTTCCAATGGGCGTTCCCTGCATGCTCATGTCTGTTTTAATGGGCCCAGGAGCGACGACGTTGATGGTGATCCCTCTTGGGCCGAGTTCGTCAGATAACGCCACCGTTAGGGAGTTCAAGGCCCCTTTGGATGCGCCGTAGGTTATCAGCATCTTCGACCCGAGCCGGGCAATGATGCTGGAAATGTTGATGATGCGTGCGCCTGCCCTCAAGTATGGGAGGGCCGCTTGAATGAGCACAAACGGTCCGCGGACATTGACTTGGAAGACTTCGTCCCATTCTTCGAAAGCTGCAGATGCAATGCCTCCAGATTGAATGGGCGCTATTGCAGCGTTGTTGACAATGATATCGATGCTGTCGGTCTTGAATGCTTTCAATGCGCCATCAACCAGGACCCGACCAAATTCCTCCGCTGCGGCATTGGCTTGAACGGCGGCGGCTTGGACCCCGAGGCTCTTGATTTTGGCGACCACCTCTTCCGCTGCAGCTGCTGAACTGTTGTAATGAATCAAGACCTGTTCTCTGGTCATTGTCTCCGTACGAATCAGGGCAAATTGCAGCTGGACAAACATTGGCGCCCTGCTCAGCAAGGGCAATGGCAGATGCTGCACCAATGCCGTTGATTTTACCAGCACCAGTGACGATGGCTGTTTTGCCTTTGAGGTACTGTTGCGCCATTTCTCTTGAGTTATTTGTGGCAAGTGACTTGGGATTCTTTGAGATGTTCGTAGATTACGCCTGCGAAACGATGCTTGCTTGGTACTGTATCACCCGACGGAAAACTGGAATCAGAAGGGGTTCTTTATACTCCAGCGCCGGAGGCACAACCCCTCATGAGGCCCTAAGGCTTCAATACGATGCTCATCGCTGACGAACGCAGAGACGTCGGGCCTTTGACGGCGGTGATGTGTTGGGCGACCGTGGATTTCGAAGCAGAACAACGCAAGGAGGGAGCCATGGCGTTCGATTGACGTCTCTGTGCGGGGTCTAAGGCCTGTTGGCTGACGCTACAGATACAGATCCAATTCAGGAGACTCTTTGCCAGGCGGAGACCTCGCTGCCAGAGCTGGCTGTTGTGGTGTGAGCAGATTAAAGCGGCCTTGGGGTCGCAGTTCATTGTCGCATGCGAAGTGGGTGACAGTCATAGCAATTAGAACCCTTTCATTGGCTCGCTCGCTCGGCGAGCACTCACCTCGCCGAGCGAGGCCAAGGGCGCCTTAGGCTTAATGTAGCCTGGATGACATACCTGGACTACCTGCCTACTTGGGCGGTTTAGGCTCCTCAGGCTGACCTAAAGCCTCCTGAACCCCCCCGGAGCATTATTCATCACAGCCAGTCGTCTCCATAACTCTCAAAACAGCGCTGTCCTCGTCATTGCATCTCCACATGTCCGCACAGTTGTTGTTCTGTTTTCGAGCATGCTCTCGCTGGACAGTGCAAACATCACCAGGTGTGGACTTGCAATGTCATCCAGCTCAGATATCGGGAGGCTTACAAATGACACGCATGCCATGGCTAACAGCAGCGAGCGTGCCCTGAGAGCATGGTATTTATATGGGCTGTGAGGCCCTGCTGTAGGTATTCGGAATCTGCAATCTTCTGCAACGAACCTCGAACTACCTCAGCACTCGACAGGACAAGTCACAAAGCCGTCCATTTAGACCCCGAACACCATGCCTTCAGTCCTCCTTTTCGGCGCCACCGGCCTCATTGGATGTATGTGCTACCATGAACAACGATCGCAGAGACGCTGACCTGTTTTTGAAGCTCGATTGGCAGTTGATCTCAAGACTGCGCATCCCGAATGGCCTCTCACCGTCTTCGTACGCAGCCCAGCTGCGGAAAGCTACTTCAAGTCGGCGGCAGTTGACCGGATCGTGTACGGGTCCTTTTCTGACACCGACTTGGTGCGGTCATTGAGCAAGGAACATGACATTGTCATCAACGCGGCGACCTCGTTCGACGGAGACTTCATCACCCAGGTCATTGCGGCCATGGAAGAGAAGCCTGAGCACTCCAAGGGCACGCTCATCCACTTGAGCGGCACAGGCAACTTCATCGACCATGGGACTACGGGAAGCTTCAATCCCGATAGCAAAGTCTGGAATGTGTGTTTTGTACCCCCCCAAAGACAAGACCAGACCACTTGTGATGTGGTATAATACAACAGGGCTGACTGCTGCAACAGGACGACAATGAAGAGGACATCAAGCTCATCAACCGTAACATGCTGAACGGGCCAAGCGACACTCCGTAAGCCAGACGATGGTCTCTCCTTCTGTTGCTGTCCGTTTAATTGACTGTGTGTGAAATGCAGGGTCCTCGAGGCCGGAGAACGAGGAAAGATTGTGACCTACGTCGTCTGCGTGGCAGCGACATATGGACCAAACATCGGACCATCCTCCAGTCTGGGTCTCATCTACACCATTCTCACATCCAATTCCAAACAGTTGGGGTATGTTCCCTACGTGGGAGACGGGACCTCTGTCGTCAGCACGGTACGTTATCACCGATAGCCTGTATTGTTCGGCATCTAACTCTTCTACCAGATCCATGTTGCAGACGTCGTCCCATTCGTCACGAAGGTCGTCGGCATCGCAGGAACGCAGGAGCCCCAAGGCAGCGCCTACTCCAGATACTACATGCTTCACGGTGAGAGAGTCGCCTGGAAAGACTTGGCAGCGGCTCTGGCAAAAACGCTGTATGCCAAAGGCGTGGTGGGATCCCCGGAGCCAAAGAGTGTGCCAATGGAACAAGCTGGAGAAGGGCCCAAGGGCTTGATTGCCTCGAACATGCTTATCCGGGGAGACCGGGCGGCGAGGCTAGGATTCAAAGCGACGCAGCCATCGATGCTGGTCTCGATTGATGAGGACCTCGCACGCTATTCTCTCTGAGCGTAGGGCGGCACAACCCCCACTTCAAGGTTCACGTTGGATCAAGCTTGATAAGACCGTTCAGGCGGCGGGAGGAATTTAGCAAGGAGCGGTATCCAGTAGTGTCAGATTTCGGTGGTTAGCAGTTGATCAAGAGACTACTATAGGCTCGACTATGGGCGGGTTTGAACACAGACCACTGTTACATACACACATATATTTGTACTTTTCGTCCAATGGAGACAGTGCGGCATTTGCCAAACCGGGAAGTAGATCCTCTCTCCACAGAACCCATATCTTTCGACTCAGACATCCATCCTTTCCGATGAAGTGTTTGAAGATGCTTCTCATCCCCCCAAGGCTTCGCTGAATGCCGACGTCGGACACACAATGGGGGCGCTCAGCAACAGTGACTCCAGCCGCGGTGGCTCGTCGCAAATCCCTTTGGCGTCCCAAGACCTCCCATGCGTCGTATGCCGGAAGCGCAAAGTACGATGCTCCAAGACGGAGCCTTGCACCAACTGTGAACGCTCCGGCTTCCAATGCAGTTATACAGACTCAAGCCGCCTGGTCAACAGGCGCACGCCCAAGCCAGCCGAGTATCTTGCGAGGAGAGTGGCGGAGCTAGAAGAAGTCGTGCGGAACTTGAGCCAACAAGGGCTAGAGCAAGGTACATACATACGCGAGAGCGGCTCCTAGAGAAGGCAGACGGTCCCGGTGACCCAGAAAACACGATTACTGAAATTACTGACCCGTTCCGTTGGCATGATCAGGGCATCCGGTGGCCAACATAACCCAAAGCATCGTACACAAGTCGCCCGGCCTGGCTCGAGCAAGAGATAGAGACGCCGACTCGACGCAGGGCAAACTGGTGCTGGACGGCGACCGATCGAGATACTTGCACGAGGGATTCTGGGCTGCCATGTACGATGAGGTATGGTTGGGGAGCTTTGTTCTGGCACTCTCACCGGCAACACCGGCCACATATAGGTGGCTAGTGCTCACCATCCCAGGTCCGCGACTTGAAGTTTACTCTCCGAGCAGAGCCGCAGCTATCGGGAAATTCTTTTCTATTCCCCAACCTCGACAGCGACCGCGCACTCAGCCGAGCTCATCCTCCGATCCTGGAAAGTGACTTTTTGATCCAGACCTTCGTTGACAAGGTCGATTCATTTGTGCGGATCCTACACAAGCCGACACTGCTTCAAGACCTGAACCATTTCCGCCGCGGGATTCTGCCGGCGGCGACCGAGTTTGAATGCAGCCTCTTCACCGTCTACGCCCTGGCGCTTCTCCCCCTGTGTCCGACAGTGGTAGAATACCGGCTCCACGAACCCAAACAAGTCCTGCTAGCCAAGTATCGCACCTATGTGGAACACGGCATGAGTCGGTTGAATCTCACCACGACCCAGTCCTTGTCCACACTCCAGACGTTCGTGTTGTACATCGTGAGTGATGCATCTTGAATCTCTCGGAGCGCGCATGTGAGGGCTGACAAAGGACCGGTGTCGATCGGCCCTGTGCAGACGTTGCTGTTCTGGACCGGCGAAATGCTGCACGTTAGCACCCTGCTAGCCGTGGCATTTGCCATAGCACGACGAATGGGCCTCAATCGCGACGGGTCACACTTTTCACTGCGCCCCTGGCAGACCGAACTCCGCCGGCGTCTGTGGCATCAGCTCGTGCTTCTCGATGCCTGGTGCGTGGAGAACCACGGGCTACAGCCCACGATCCATTCCGACCAGTCGGACACAGGCCTGCCTCAGAATTCAAACGACTCTGCCTGGGACACGTCGGAGTTTGCATCGGTCCGCCCTGAAGCCCAAACAGGCTTCACCGAGATGACACCGGCGCTCATCCAATACGAGATCGGATCGCTGATCACTTTTGTCCTCAGCCATCCGTACACATCTTCGGGAACCACGGCTGTTCGAGACCACCTCGATCTCCAATCCGAGGTAGTACGGCAGACGAGGCAACGCCTGGAGATCGCATACCTGCGGACTTTGAACCCTGACGATCTCCTCCAGAGATTGACCCGAGATCTCCACGAACACGCCTTCCGGAGGATCAGGTTGATGCAACTGGCGCCCATTCTGAACGCGAGAGGATTGGATGAGCGGGAACGAGCGGGTTTGGAGGCAAAGTAAGCTACTTATTACACATCTTTCCATATTCCAGTACCGTACCCAACTGGCCCGTGCTGTCACCAACAGACTGCGCATGAAGCTCACTCACAATGTCGCCCCAGGATGTACCAGCTCGCCATCGACTACTGCAAGACATCGCAGCGGCTCATCGAATTCTACACACCACACAGCATGGACTGGGCCGTCGTCCGCGCCTTTTCCTGGCACTCGGTTGCGACCATGCTCTCGATGGTTTTGCGCCACGAAGCCCTGAACTGCAGCCCCGAAGCCCGTGCCGCGAGACAGCGGATCGAGCGCCTGTTCCAGAATCGGCCGTCCATCGATTTCCTCGCCGTCAACGATAACCTGTGGGAGCCGCTGCAGAAGCTGAGGGACGAGCTCGCGGCTAGAGAAGACAGCGTGGGCTCGGCAGGAGGCTATGAAGCTTTCGGCGCTGCGGAAGATGTAGAACCTGTCTCGATGACTTCCACGACCATCGACCCGTTACTTTTCGGCATGGTTGACGATGCCATTCCTGGCCTGGAAATTTGGACGGATGGTACAGTGACCGAGAGCTTTGATTTCCAAACGTCCGCCCAGGGATTCTGAGATTTCGAGGGTTGCGCGCGGGTTAAGAGGCCTCGTACAGCATTTTCTTGGGTCTGCAGGCGAGTAGATCAAAAAACTGTTGCTTCTGAAAAGAGTTTGATCTACGTGTTTTGATTCCCAAATTCCCTCGTTCATTGCCGACTGGCCATGTGCACAACTTGGCTGTAGAAACTCCCATGCGTGAAGCTTGCATGCTGAATGAGACATACGCCAAAGAACCATAATTGCATAAAACTGTTCTGTACATGAAACGTGCCCTGACCGAGGTTCCAAGCCCAACGAGTAGATGATAAACGCGATGCTCGACAACAGTATTTTCAATTGCCCTGTTCCTATGGAGCGGCTGCGGGCGGAGACTGAGAGTCCTGTTCAGCTTCGGTAGAGGGAAGCTGTTCGAAATTGTCCTGAGAACCCGGCCCTTCCAATATTTCGGTCACCTCCAGTTGTTTGAGGAGCAAATGGGCTTGATCATACGAGAGTTGTCGATCGGCAAGTACTTCGCGAATGAGTGTCATGGTTTCTCGAATCTGCAAGAAAGGATTGATCAGCAAGGCTCAATCAAGTCGAAGCCGGAATTCAGTCCACAGAGAACAGACAGGAGACCAAGACGTTTTCCAGTACAGATGTCCATAGTGAAGGATGACGTCGTCCCTAGGGCAGAGATATTGCCGAGTGGGAGGGTTGGATTTGACATGGAACAAAGGTGCAGCTAAATCACGCTGAACTTACAGCATCCACTCTCTCCTCACTTTCCAGAGCGCCGTAGCCTGCTCTCACACGTTTCCTTTCTTTTTCTCTCGTTAGAGCCCGATTTTGTTCCTTCACGCACACCCAATAAAGCTTGTGTAGATCTTCAAAAGACTTGACGGATAGCTCCTGGTAAGTCCACGCTCGACCTGTGTTGTAAATGTTAGTTACATATGGTATGGTATGGTCTGGGATGTCTGGGCGTTGGTGGTGACCATACCATGGCTCGACTCTTCATCTGGTGGCAACATTGATTGCCTCTTCTGGTCGAAGAACCCCCAGAGCCCGTGATCCTCGGAACCCGCATATTCTGCAGCAGTCGTCCTGTGATCTCTAGCAACAGGTACGGGGAGAGGATGCTGCCATAAGCCCCTGGTGGACCTTGGGCCGGTACGACGGATGGCAGACACGCCTCTTTGCTTATTTTTGTCCTTTTTGGGCCTTCGGTCTAGACGAGCAGCATAAGATCTCGACTGTGACGCTAAGGCGGCAATGGGCTGAGGTCGTGAGAAAGCTGGAGCCAGGAAGAGAGGAACACTGGTAGGAGCCGAAGCAGGGGTGAAGCTCCGTGCGAGCGAGGCCATGTTGTACTGTAGCACACTCAGAACATATAGCGGTGCCGGTTGGAGCGAGGATGATCTCGAGTTGGGTTGTGCAGCGATGGACTTGGAGCTCCTACACAGACCCTGAAGTTTCGGTCATTGAGAGCGGAAAACGCGCCAAGCCTGCGGAGGAGCATGGCAGCAAAAAGTCCCTCGCCGCACCTTCCATTCTCGGTGTTGATTCCGTCTAACCTTATCGAGCAAGATAAACAACCTGGACCACCACCTCAACCTCGACTTCAGCCCGCTGGCCAGCTTGCGCCTGCGCGTCCATTGTCTCTGTATCGAAGGCCACGCGCCGCTAACAAGATGAAGATAATAGAATTGGTTATCGATGGGTAAGCCTTCGGGTACCATGACTGCCCAAGAGACGCGGCTAACGAATGTCCACAGGTTCAAGTCCTACAGCCAGAGGACTGTCATAGCTGGATGGGATCAAAGTTTCAACGCAGTCACCGGCCTCAATGGGTCCGGAAAATCCAACATCCTCGATTCGATATGCTTCGTACTGGGCATCACGAACATGTCCACTGTGCGAGCGCAGAACTTGCAAGATCTCATATACAAACGTGGTCAAGCCGGCGTGACCAAAGCCAGTGTAACCATAGTTTTCGATAACAGCGACAAAAGCACAAGTCCGATCGGCTTTGAAGAGTATGGACAGATCAGTGTCACACGACAGATTGTCATGGGAGGGACAAGCAAGTATCTCATCAACGGGCATCGAGCGCAACAAACGACAGTGCAGAATTTATTTCAGAGCGTCGGCCTGAACATCAATAATCCCAATTTCATCATTATGCAGGGCCGGATCACCAAAGTCCTGAATATGAAACCCGCCGAGATTCTGGCCATGATTGAAGAAGCCGCAGGAACGCGCATGTTCGAGGACCGGAAAGAAAAGGCCACGAAAACAATGGCCAAAAAGGAAATGAAAGTGGTGGAAATCGAAGGCCTGTTGAGGGAAGAGATCGAGCCCAAGCTGGACAAGCTGCGGGGCGAGAAGCGAGCGTGGCTTGACTATCAAAAAACGCAGAGCGAGCTGGAGCGACTGACGCGAGTCGTGGTGGCAGCAGACTACGTTCGCGCGGGAGAAAAGATGCGGACGGCTTCGGAAGAGCACGAAGCTAAACGAGCCAAAGTCCAGCATTTGGAGGAGAATGCTTTGAAGCTGAAGCGCGAAATAGAGAATCTCGACGAAGACGCTCAGAGGGTTCGCGCCGTTCAAGAGAAGGAAATGCGTAAGGGTGGGCGGTTTCAAGCAATCGAGGCGCAGGTTAAAGAACTCAGCCACGAGCTCGTCCGATTGGCGACTGTACTGGATCTAAAGCAATCCAGTGTGGCAGAGGAAGAGCAGAAGAAGAAGGAGATCGCGAAAAACGTCAAAGGCCTCGAAAAGCAAGTCAACGATAAGAAGGCGAGCCTTGAAAAGCTCCAGTCCCGGTGGGACAGCGCAAAGTCAGAGCTTGATGCTCAAACCGCGGAGGTAGAGAAGAAAGAAGAACTCCTTTCGACGCTTCAGACAGGTGTTGCCTCGCGGGAAGGGCAGGAGAGTGGCTATCAAGGACAGCTACAAGAGGCGCGAAACCGGCTGACGACAGCGGGTACCCAACAAGAGCAGGCGAAGCTGAAAATCTCGCATCTAGAACAACGCATCAAAGAGGACGAACCACGCGCCAAAAAGGCTCGAGAACAAAACGCCGACTTTCTACAGGGTCTAGAACTGCTTCGCAAGCAAGCTCAGAAACTGGAGAGTAGCTTGCAGAAGCTGGGGTTCGAGCCTGGCCAGGAAGAGACGATGCGGGAACAGCAAGCCGTTCTTCAGAAAAATATCCGAGTGTTGACGAAGGAAGCGGATGAGCTCAAGCGCAAAGTGGCCAACGTCGACTTCCACTTCAGTGACCCGTCACCCAATTTCGACCGGTCCAAGGTCAAGGGGCTTGTGGCGCAACTCTTCTCGCTCGACAAAGACAAATCGATTGCAGGCACTGCTTTGGAAATTTGCGCGGGTGGCAGACTGTACAACGTTGTGGTCGACACAGCGGAGACCGGCACGCAACTATTACAGAATGGAAAGCTGAAAAAGAGAGTGACCATCATCCCCCTGAACAAGATCTCGGCCTTTAGAGCATCAGCAGAGAAGGTCGGCGCCGCGCAACGAATAGCCCCTGGCAAGGTCGATCTCGCCCTGTCGCTGATTGGGTATGATCACGAGGTCTCTGCAGCAATGGACTATGTTTTCGGTACCACTTTGATCTGCCACGACGCAGAGACGGCAAAGAGGGTGACCTTCGACCCCGCCGTCCGACTGAAAAGTGTGACGCTCGAAGGAGATGTCTATGACCCGTCAGGAACACTCTCGGGGGGCAGCTCTCCGAACTCGAGTGGCGTTCTTGTCATCCTTCAGAAACTGAACGAGGTCACAAAAGAACTCCAAAAGAATGAAGCAGAGCTTCATGGGCTACAAGAGACGATGAAGAACGAACAAAACAAGCTGGCCAACATCAAGGCAGTCAAGCAGGAACTGGATCTCAAAACGCACGAGATCAAGCTCAGCGAAGAACAGATCTCCGGGAATTCGTCGTCATCAATCATCCAGGCTATCGAAGAAATGAAAACGTCCATTGTGCAACTCAAACAAGATATGTTGGATGCAAAGGCCCGACAAGCAGAGGCTGCCAAAGATGTCAAGCGAATTGAGAAGGACATGGAAGACTTCAGCAAGAACAAGGACAGCAAGCTCAAGGAGCTGGAAAAGTCGCTGGCTGATCTGAAACAGTCTCTCAGCAAGACTTCGGCAGCGATCAAATCTCTCCAAAAGGAACTGCAGGATGCAAGAATTGATTGTGAGCAGGCCGAGAGTGACTTGAGTACCGCTCAAGAGCAGCTTGCTGAGACCAGTAATGCTATCGAAAGCCAGCAGGAGGAGCTCCAGACGCTGAGACAGGAGGAAGCCGCCATCAAGAGCAAACACGACATTGCTCAGGCCGAACTGGCCGACGAGCGGGCGAAGTTGACGGGATTTGACGAGGAGCTTCGCGAACTGGAACAAGCCAAGTCCAAGAAGTCCAAACAGATTACCGAAGAGGCTCTGGAGGTGCAGACACTCGGGCACGCCGTGGGTAAGGCGCAAAAGGACGCCCAAGCAGCGGCACAGCTGGTGGCGGCGCTCGAAAAGGAGCACGACTGGATCGAAGACAACAAGGATCAATTTGGCCGCACAGGCACGCCGTACGACTTTCATGGCAAGAATCTGGCGGAGAGCCGGGCGACGCTGAAGAATGTCACGGAGAGGTTCCAAGGCATGAAGAAGAAAATCAACCCCAAGGTGATGCCCATGATCGATAGTGTCGAGAAGAAAGAGGCCAGCCTGAAGAATATGCTGCGGACAGTGGTGCGAGACAAGAAGAAGATCGAGGAAACCATCAGCACGCTCGACGAGTACAAAAAAGAGGCACTCTTGAAAACCTGGCGCAAAGTCACCGAAGACTTTGGCAACATCTTTTCCGACCTCTTGCCTGGGAACAACACGGCTAAGCTGGTACCGCTGGATGACAATATCGACCGGATCCAAGAAGGCTTGGAGGTCAAGGTGTGCTTGGGCAAGGTGTGGAAACAGAGTCTTACCGAGCTCTCCGGCGGTCAAAGGTACAGTAGCGACTTGTCCCAGCTTCTTTTCCACCCGCAAACACTGACAGCCTTGATAGATCGCTGATCGCCCTCTCTCTCATTCTCGCTCTCTTGCAATTCAAGCCGGCGCCCATGTATATCTTGGACGAGGTGGATGCCGCTTTGGATCTTTCGCATACTCAAAACATAGGCCGGATCATCAAGAATCGGTTTAAGGGATCTCAATTCATCGTGGTCAGCCTCAAGGACGGCATGTTCCAGAATGCCAACCGGGTGTTCCGGACGAGGTTCAGCGAAGGCACCAGTGTTGTTTCGGTCATGACTCCGGGCGAGTTGAAGGGATGAACCGCCACGAAGGGTCACGGGTCAGTAGGCGGTGTCTGGCGTTTATGTGCCTGTATATATCTGCATTGGGGGGCCATCTGAATTGGACGAGTTCATGACATGACGAGAGCATAATGCTGTTATTGTCCAACATGGCATTTCGACTGTCATGGGACAGACAGCTGGTGGGCTGGTGACTGGTGGCAGGCTCGGCGTATCATCTCGATCCAGATATCAATATACGAATGACTCCTCCTTTTTCAACTAGCTCTTGCTCAAACTCTCCACCACCTCTTCCACGACGGCACGAACGCCCGAGATGTGATGGGCAAATCTGCCCAAGAACAAGCCATCCACCCACTTGCCTAGCCCGTTCCCTCCGTTCGCTTTCCCGCTCCACAGACCGGGCCCGGCGCTGCCGCCGTAGACGACCTTGACCTCGGCGGTGCGGCCGGGCACGGCGCGCCTGGCAATCTCGCGGATGGCCTGGACGACAGGACCGACGTAGTCGACGCCAGCAGGCTCAGCGGCGCCGATGGCCCAGACAGGCTCGTAGGCGAAGATGACGGGAGCATCGAGCGGCACGGCGCGAAGGACAGGCTCGATCTGCGGAGTCAGCTGGTCGATGGCGAGGCCGACCGACCGACTCAACGGGCCGTGGGCGCTGTCGCTGGGTCGATCGACCTCGCCGACACACACCAAGGGGACCATGCCCAGAGCGCAGACGGCGGCGGCTTTGGCGGCGGCGGACTCGTCGGTCTCGCCCAGCAACCGGCGGCGCTCGGCGTGGTTCAGCTCGACCACGGAGCATCCCAGCTCTTGGAGGGCCGGTGCCACCACTTCGCCTGTATATGCGCCGTAGGTGGTCGATTGGAACGCGTTTTGGGCGCCCAATGCGATGGGCCACGAGGAATTCGATATCGTGGTGGCTGGTGCTGGTGCTGGTGCTCGTGCTGTTGCTGGTGCTGTTGCCGGTGCTGTTGGTGCTGTTGCTGGTGCTGTTGCTGATGCTGCTGCTGCTCCAGAGGAAGAGGAAGAGGCAGAGGGAGGGAATCTGGCAGTCAAAGTCTGCGCGGAGGGATAGATGGTCAAGAAATCCGGGATGAGGACGAAGAGGACCTGATCGCGATGCGCAGCAAGAAGAGGCAGGATCTTGTTTTCCGGGTCCAGGATCGAGTCTAGGTACGCGATGGTCCGGGACGGTGAGAAGTACGCCTTGGTGGATGTCAGGACCAGTTTCGCCGGGAGAGAAGGATAGGTGGGCGAGGATATTGTCGTCGTCGTCGTCGTCGTCGTCGTCATGATGTCGACTACCTGCTACGAGTAGTGTCACTGTCTGGGGAGTGTGCTGCCGGACACGAAGGTGGAGGTGGAGGTCGAGATCGAGGTCGAGGTCGAGGTTTCGCCTTCTCTATGGATGGAGTTCGAACAGCTGAGTTACGTAGTTGTCTCTGGTAGGTTGGTAGGTACCTAGGTGCCTAGTACCAAAGTATGTAGGTAACAAGTTTGGTGGGAGGTAGGTCGAGAGTATACGTATACGTGAACGGTATACTAGTCAAGGAAACAAGGTAATTGGGATTGGGATCTATGTCGGATCCATAGTCACTGGCCTCGGTACATTTTATCCGTATGTAGAACAAGGATACAGTAGGTAGGTCTAGGTAGTACGGAGTAGATGGTAGTGAGTGCTCTATACTATACCTCAGTTACTGTACATAGGTACGGATACGTACCTCACACGTGTCCAGCTCCCTGCAGTAAGTCCCCCTCTTTCCCTGCGCTATTTCTGATTTCTCCCCCCCCACTGGCACGTCAAACGCGCAGCCCACAAGCTCGGCGGGATGCCCGGATGTGGCAATCCGCATTCCTAGCCCTCGGCCTGTCACCGATGGTATCGGCGAGGTTTCGTGCAGAGGCCTCTGGACCTGAGGATCCCTGACTATGGGGACCCTTGCTGGGTCTTAGGAGTCTCTGGCTAGGTGCCTGGCTACCTACGGCACCTACGGCACCTACGAGTACAGTCTCCAGTACTCGTAGTATGACGCCAGTCCTCCGGTCCCCATCTCGCGGCATGATCGCCGTCGATGCCGTTCAGCACCATCATGTGCTGTAGTGGCGGTTGTTGAACTCGGCGTAAATAAAAGACTTTTTGCCTTCATGGACAGACACTACTACTACTAGTTACTAGTCTGTAGATTTCTCCATAGGTATCTCCTCAACAGTACTCCGTACTCTGTCCACGTTCCTCTGCCACGGTCACGAATCGACTCCAAACTCCAGTCTCTCCGTCCAAACCCAACCAACCAACGGGTTGCCGCATCCTGCCCTACATACGGAGTACACATTGACGGGATAGACCAGACAGCAGTGACGGTGGCAGTGACAGTGACAGAAACAGAGAGCTCAGTCTCTTTTTTTTGATACCCTGTCGTGAGCTTCCTCCCGCATACCAGTACCAGTACCAGTGCCATACGCTACATAACCTACACAACGCAAACATGGCCACCAACGGAACCAACAACACCAAAGCGCCGCTCCGGATCGTCGTGGGCAGCGACAACGCCGGCCACGCTTACAAGACGGCGCTGAAAGAGACTCTCAAGAAACACCGGGGTGTGACCCAGGTTCTGGACGTGGGCGTGCTCGACGCCGACGACGGCACAGCGTATCCGCATCTGGCGGTCGACGCAGCCAAGAAGATCAAGTCGGGAGAGGTACGTACATGTACCTATCTGTACCTGTCCATGATGGTGATGTGGGTCGCAACCTGAACACGACTTCACGACTTCAGGAGGGAAGGAGGAAGGAGGTGGGACGAAGGAGGAGGGATGAAGGATGAAGGAGGAGGGGACTTTGATTTCGGGGGTCCATTGTGGTTCTCGCGCTTCAACTTCTTCCGTCCAAGGCTTACTTACTAACGTCTTCTTGTGTCTTGTTTCTCAACAGGCCGACCGCGCACTTCTGATTTGCGGCACCGGGCTCGGCGTCGCCATCTCGGCCAACAAGGTCGAGGGCATCCGCGCCGTGACCGCCCACGACCCGTACAGCGTCGAGCGAAGCGTGCTGTCCAACAACGCCCAGGTCCTGTGTTTCGGCCAGCGCGTCATCGGCCTCGAGTTGGCCAAGAAGCTCGTCGACGAGTGGGTCGAATTGCGCTTCGACGAGCAGAGCGCGAGCGCCGAGAAGGTCGCGCATATCTCCAAGTATGAGGAGAAGTTCGGTGAGCTGTAAGATGCTTGTCCGAAGCAGGACGCCCGTGGCAGTGGCAGGACGAGGAGGGGGTGGATGCAAAAAGGGAAGACATGCTTGTTGAGCTCGGAGCACCCTCCCGACGGAAACAGGAGTCCCAGAAAGAAGAGAAGAGGCTGATCTTCTTTATCCGAGCGAGTGGGAAAAAATGAATACTGGTCATTTATTTGCGGTGTGTATGTCAAGAAGTAGCCCGAGGAGAAACAGGACACCACGCCACAGCATTTCTGCCTGCGGGATATACTGGATGCCTACGTACGTACGTACGTGGTGTACTACCTGATCCTGGAGATACCACATCCTTCATTTACAGACCAAGAGAAACTCCCATTCTGTCACTTCTTCTGGTCGGAACGATAGTATGAAGGATACCTTGCCATCCTCTGCAATCTGCTGTCTGCTCTCTAGAACAGAAGTCTCAGGCCTCCTGTCTCGGTGGCAATGAATGCCCGTTCATAACTCAGTTCATGTGTCATCTTCCCCATCCCCTTCTTCCTCCTGTTCACGTTCATGATCATGACCATTATACACCCCCACCCCGTGCATCCAACAGCCCCTGAATTGACTGCCTTTCCCCGCCACAACACGCCAGTATCGATGATTTCTCGGACACAGAGGACTGCTCGGTAGATGTTCCGGTATTGTCAGATCAAAGTGGCGTTCTCCTCTCCTCCGTTGCCCTTTCGACAGCCCCTCCAGCGTGGTCAAATTCACGCGTCTCTCCTCTTCTTTAGCATTGATTGTCTCGCTCCAACTCGATGGGTTCCCCAGCTCGAGTTCTGCCAATTTCACGTCGTACCAATCTCCTCCCATGATCCGCTTTCTATTTTTGCCCTTGCATAGCGCTTCTTTCCTCCCGAAAGCAGTCGAAGCACTCGGTGACTCGCTGACGACACTTTCTGGACTCGTGCCATCGCTATGCGTTGCCACCCTCCCTATACCAACGTTTCGCAGCTTGCCCGCTCGTCCTGGAGCGTTGTAGTCAAAGAAAAACCCTCTCCACCGACCGTCTATACCCTCTTCAGGGAGTGGTGGAGTGTGGATTCGACGTGCCTCGCTCGGTAGATAGCTGGTGCCTCCTCGTATGCTGATGTCCACTTTGAGAAACTCTTCGGTTTCTGCACTGGCGCTTCGTTTGACCCGGTACGTCGCCTGCTCAGCAGGGCTATTGTTCGGCTGCCGTCCCATTAGGAGGTTCCTTTCGCTCGACGTGTACGATCGAGTATCGGAGAGCTGCTCGATACTCTTTCTCTGTTGTGCAGTGAGGTGATCGGTAACTCCAGGTACCATAAGATGATCTTTGTCAGCTCTCATCGAATTCCACTTGTCAGAGAATGTCCTCCATCTCAGCGGCTTGATGACCGCCGATGGCCGTAAGGAGCCTTGGGGAGAATGCTTCATCTCCTGCAGTATCGCGCTTACGCGGCTGAGAGCTTCAGATGTGTAATTCCTCTTCAACAAGCTACGGTGGTCAGCAAGGAGCGGATCCTCGGGCTCGGGGGGAGTGATTCGGGCTTCGGCCACCTTGGTTTTGCTCTGTCGTTTCAAGAGGCTCGAGCGACGAACGAGTAGGAAAGGAGCCGAAAAGAAATGCAAGGGATTGAAGGAACCTTTGCGAGCTGTCGCGTCGCCTAGGAGCTCAGCCGGCTGCGTCACTGGCCTTTGTTGCTTTGGATCTGAATCCGTGAATTCAGTCTCAACTTTTATAGCACTGAGTGTGGAGCGACCGGCAGCGGTACTGCTGCTGGACGCAGCTGGGGGTCTCAACGGTGTCTGGTCTGTACGTACGATGAGCCTCTCAGAGTCAGTCTGGCTGAGCAGTGGCCGATCGACTTCGCTGGACGACTGTTTGATCCTGAACCAAACACTTCCTGAAGTCGACCTGGCCCATCCGTGGCCTATTGGTGGTCGACTCGGAGTGTGTGGAGGGCTCTTATCATGAGCATCAAGGCCAGTGCCTGGAGCAGCCTTGCCGAAATCGACAGGGACACTTTCGGCAGATTCCTCGAGGGAGGATTTAGCAACTGGATGGCGTCTGTCGCGTCGATCCCTACCAACGGTGGCACTCGACGCACGCTTGCCCGCTCGAGGCCGACTCGAGCCTTGGATGGGTACAGAATGGCTGCCCTGATCCTCGGAAATTGTTCGAACACGGATTCTTTTCTGTACTGCCCCGTACTCCGACGGAGATCGCGCGCTGCCGCGTCCAGGTTTTGAGAGCGGTGTTACTTTGCGTGAGCTGCCAGGGCTGATGGGCTCTGAGCTAGGCGTGTGGGCCTCCGACGATGCAGGCCTCCAGGGCGTATAGTCAAAGTAAGACGGAGCATCTTTGAGTAAAGGTTGCATCGTGAGACGTGTTCGAGGTTTCGTCGTCACCTAAATACGGTATGAGCACCAGCATCACATGAAACCGGTATTGATAATGGCTTGATATAGCAATCCACTGGACGAGCTAATGCTGAAGAGGAGGAAAACACAACAGGCGGGACCATGTCGTCGTTGAGCTCATTCAGGCGCTACTGCTGTCAGTGATCAAAAGTCTCGAACTGTGTTCATTGTTGAGCAAGAGCGATCGACGCCTTATGCTGAAGCAGCCGAGGGTTTTGCTCATCCCTGGTAGCTTCCACTGAAAGCCAGATTTCCCAGACTCAGATCAATATCAAAACCTCTCCTGTGGCGGGCCAAGCCATTCAGTCAGTGATCCTGCAGTGTCAATTTCGTGATGTCTTCCTCGACAGAGAGCAAGCCTAGTGCCCAGTGAACTCTGCTGGAACCGGATCGGTCGATTAAGCTGCGATCATGATGGACAAATTCGGACTCGTGTTCGGCCTCGGCCTCGGATCTATACCTGCCCTCACCTTGTGCTGCCGCGGGACTGCTTGTCGTCCTTGCACCACTCACGCGAGCGTCTTTGTCGTGTACGTTTAGCGTACGATCGTAAGGTGGCGCCTTGCCTGCTTGTCCCATTTTTTCCCAGGCCGTCTCACAAGCAGCCGCAATGGCATCAGATGTTCGCCAGCCGCACCTCGTTGCCACATCTTGAAGTTTGCTGATTGTCCACCCTCGCTGGCTAGCATCCACGTATTGAATACCAGCAAACAGAAGCGTGAGCGTGCTCTCCATCAGTGCACCACCAAAGCTAGGCTCCAGGGCGCCACTTTGGCCATATTGCTGTATAGAATAGAGTGCGGCACAAATCTTGCCCACGTTTTGAGCATATTCTCGAGTGAGATGCGCGGTGACACCGGCAGAGATCATGGCAGCAGGAGGCATTTCCGGATGCAAACGATGTAGCAGGATCCGACCGACGTTGTAGAACGCCCATATACAAGCCACTTCTGCATTCCTATACATCAAGGCAGGGCCGAAGGGCGTCGCTATTCGCGACTCGGAAGTTGGCAAGGGCTCAAACTCGGGGCCGAGCGATTTCTTGAATATTTCAAATGCTTTCGTAATCCCAGCATGCTCAGCAAACGCTTTTGTGGTCTCATCCCCAAGATCTCCTGGCGGGGATGCTTCTTTTGGCTGCTGTCTCACAGCGAATGCTGGGTCTTTAATGCTGGCGTCCAAAGTTCGGAACGCCGAATTCACTTGGAGAGGCTCGCTAGCCGGAGGCATCATACCGAACATAGGCGGGCTGGTCGTCGGCCTCGAGCCTGGACCTGGCTTACTCTGTCTGACTCTGCCCTCGTTAGCACTGGGGGCTGGTGCAGGCTTTGCACCGGCTTCGCCAGCGGACCTCACTGATGCACCAGGTTTTCTAGTGTTGGAGCCAGATGGCTTGCGGACTGGTCCTGACTCGGCTTTGCCTTTGCCCGCCGGGGTTCCAGGCGGCCCATGAGGCCCAAAGAGCCACTGGGGAGGTTTCCATTGGCCTCCTTGGGCGGCAACTGCTCGTTGCTTACGGTATCGGTCTTTCCCACCAAAGTCGGCCAGCCGTGCCATGATCAGAAGCAAATGATCGAAAGTGGCGTACGACTTGTTGACACGCCCGATCTGTCCTCTGGGAGGGCAGTATCTCCAAACTTCGAAAGGCATCAGAAGCCGGTCGCCACTGATCAAACTCTGAAACACGTCTTGTTTGCAGTACCACCACCTCAGGTCCATCTTGGTCTTGAAATCTTCGATATCCTTCTCAGTCAGATCAATCGAGCGCACTTGCGGTTCGAAGGTCGGCTGTGCCTGATGGTCATAGTCCACATTAAACCCCGTCAGCCGGGAGACTAAAGCAGAGTCAACTTCCCAATCCATGTCATCCATGAGCGAAAGCGGTATCCCTGCCACACGCGCATAGTTTTCCTGCGTCAAGGCAAAGTGTGTGGTCCACTGAGTGACTCTTGCTTTGGCACTATTTCGCATGCGCCTGGCGTGACGAGTCGTTCCGGCATAATCATGTTCCAACACCAGCTTGGTGGCGCCTGACAAATGCAAACTCCAGCGCGAGTGGTCGCCGCTCAACACCTCGTAGTACCCGAGAACAAGCACCGTCGCCAGCGTCGCAATCTCGTGGCGTCGGTTCGGAAGACCAAGAAGCTTTCCTACTCTTCGGACCGCGTACGTAAAATGCTTGACGGCTGGGTCCTCGGATGTATTGGTCAACTTGGCCAAATGCAATCCACCCAGAGCCAAAATGGCGTGCGCAAGGGCAGGATGCGACAAGGCCAGGGCTGGGATTGTAAAATTCCATGGTGTCCTCGCCGGGGCGGCTACGGAGCTGAAGAGATGCCTCTCGTATATGGACATGCATTGGCTTGTAATCTCGACGAAGTGCCGAAAGATGCGCTCGTTTCTTTCATCGTGTAACGGCGACATAGTCATCGCGGGGCGGAAGCTTGCGACTGCCCGGTCTTGCATCTTTCGGGAAGTGTCTGGTCTATGATCCCAGTAACCGCGTTGACCCGACTGACCAAGTACTTGTGTAAGATTATTCGCAGCATCTTGAAACGAAATGTCATTCTCGTCCATCTCCACGTCGAACGGGTCATCAGGGTCTTCAAAGATATCATCACCAGTCGCAACACCGGCACTCACGGCTGCAGCAAGCGTGGAAGGAAGGGCCGAAGGTGTATGGTAGGGAGGTTGTAGGAAACCATAGAGACTGTGTTGACTCGCCACATTTTCTATCGAGATCTTAGCAGCGGACATATGTCTCATTGAATAACTACTATCCTCGTCTACGTACCGTCTATGCTTTCATACATGCCCCCTGGTGGACGCGCGAGGGCAACTGGTTGCTGGCGGAAATATTCTGGGGTTGATTGTCCTTGTGAAAACCTGGGATCACTTGTAGGATATGGAGGAAATGGTCTCTGATACTGTGCTGAGAGGGCTTGTGGGCCTGGATATCCCCGTGGGTCTATCAACTGCGGGTCAAAAGGACGAGAAGATGTTGGAAATGTTCCGGCCTGGACATATGTCGTGGGCAGTCCAGGTACACTTCTTCCCGTGCGTTCAGATGTTCCCAAGTATGGCGGACCCGAGGCGTACTGAACATTTTGCCATCCATCAGAGCCTCCCGCTTGAGGAGCGGTCGGGTAAGGTACGCCGCCAGAGGGCAACGGCGGTACCGCATGGTAACTGGCACCGAAAGGCAGTTGTTGGTAAGGAGGCGGGATCGAGGAATCGAGGCCGTGATACGGCGCCAGATACTGCTGCTCCGGCGGCAAGCGTAGGTTGAGGAAACCGCTAGGGGGGGCACCTTCGTCCTGTTGCGACAGAAATCGCTCGGAAGGATCATGGAAGGCGGTAGGAGGGCCTTGAGTCTGTTGTTTATAAACGAGAGGTTGCACGTAGCCGGCGCATTCGCGTTTTGATTTTGTGCAGTTTTTGCACACCTGGGAGGATGTGAGAATTGGCGAAAGCGCAGAGGTGGTCAAAAGATGGAGAGACTCACCGGCTTTTCCTCCCCACATTTGATTCGCCTTTTCCGACATGCTGAAGTATCGTCAGGATCGATGCCAGCCAGAGAGTCCAGTCTTGTGTGGCGTTGTAATAATGGAACTCACTTAAACAGCCAGTCTTGGTCCTCCTCTTAGCGGCCTGCCGCTTTGTGGCGTCGGACGCCCCAGTCTCGTCTGTCTTGAAACCGGAATTCTTCACATCGACAGGATCTTCCTCTTCTGGTGTCGGAGACATTGAACCTACTTCCGAAGCATCGGAGGCCTCTCACCAATGATGGGATTCCGGCGCGTTAGGCAAATGCGACCTTCTCGAGCTGTGCCCAATCACTCATGATAACATGACGGAAGCTCCTGAATGCAACGTCCCTGATCGTGGATGGTTGAAGAGTATATAGCACGATAAAGAGGTCACTAAGGGAGAGATCTGGAATGACACTGTTGGCACCTGTCGTGGTTACGAATGGCGGCGTGTTGGACGTGTTGGTTGATATCAATGAAGCTCGCGCATACGCTCGGCTCAACGCATACACTCAACCCCCCTGGTCTGCCGCAATTCCGACCACCATCCGACAAGAGGAGTGCGAAGCAACGCTGGCTTGGAGCTTGCGGCTCTAGAACGTTACCGGGGTCAGGTGTGCCTCCACCGGACGCACACAGTGGTGAAAGGTCTTCTGCATGTAAAATGAAAGACTTGTGAGAGTGGTTCTCTGTAGCCGCATATGCAGAGTGATGCTAAAGCAAGCAATAATTGGCGGGTCTGTTATGGAGGACAGGAGGCCCCTCAAGTCGCACAAAGGCATACAGGAATGGAACCTTGCAAGATCCTAGCCGTATCCGCGCTGGACATGCCGTATGCCGGTTAGCAGCACCTGCACCTGTGGGTTTGAAAGAAGGAAGAAATGACCTGACCAGCCTAGGTACATATAATTGGTACCTCGCAGCAAGCCGCTGTCAGAAAGAAATCCTAGCGGCTTCGGGGCGGCTCAATGGGCATCAAAACACCGAGTAATAGGGCTGATTCTCGTCACAGTTGCTCGACTGTTGAGATTCGGTTCAGCGGAGCGCAGCATGAAGTGGCCCTTGGGGCAAACAGGAGGGTGGTCGGATCTTCGTGGGGCTTGTGAGCTTGCCCTGTTTGGTGTGAGGTTCATAATTGAAGCTCCAAGCCTGCGAGGGTGCGGAAGGAAGCGGCCAAGCCAGGTCACTGGCATGATGCTTTAGGTTAGTAGTAGTGATGCTTAGTATTAGTACAGCTCCCTCGAGGCCGACACATGTTTCCTTGGAACAGGTACTCCGTAATCTATACGGAATCTTGACAGCTCCTTCCGAGATAGGCTAGGTACTGCTCGCCGCCCTGGCCGCATCAACTGTTACCAGGCCTGTAAGGATCAAACCAGCATGAACGTCTTCCCCGAGGTTACATTGATGTTAATGTACCGGATCGCGTGAGTCTCAAGGGTCATCCGTCACTTGTTGGGATGGGAAGGATGGGATGTCGTCAATCTGAAGAATCGCGCGGCGAGGGCTCCCGAGGAGCCGTCGTGATATTGCAGCATCCACACCACATGGTTTCAGCTGCCCCGCCGGATCACAAAAGCAATTTTTGGAAAACTAGAGCGACGATCTGTGCTGGGCAGCGACCCGGCAGGGTGTGTGTGGCCAGTGACTGACCATGCGAGCGACCATGCGAGCGACGTGCGTTGGTAGCCTGGCTTTGGAGGCGGCAAGAGATTCCTCAGTTTCATTTTAGTGGATGGCTCGTGAGACAACCCTCTTTCTTCGGGCGCACCGAGTAACCCCCGACGACACATGGGGCCTGCAGTGGTGGTGTGCTCCGTATTTATCTGCTAATAGGCAGCGCGCTGTTCTCTCAGGTAATCTGCGATTTTGACATTTTATGAACCACATCCTAGTATGGCGGTGGCTTAACAGTACTGCTGGCCTCATACTCGGAGATCTAACTTTCAGTCGGGTCGATGTTTCTTTCCCTCCCAGAGGAAGGTCGTTCAGGTCGTTCATGTGGGATTGTTGTTACGAGAAGCTCTCGAGCAGTGGGTCGCTTCTTAACGGGCGGAGTGATCATGCGCTCTGACAGCGGTCGTAGGGGGTACTCGTAACTCTGTAGACTTGATGAGGTTAGCCATCCGCTGCAGAAGAATCCGTATGGCCAACAAGCTCGCCGAGAGAATTAGGTCCCAGTGGTGAGCGGGAGATTCTGAGAGCAGCATGTATTGCCGATGCAACCACTGACTCGACTCAACCGTCCTCTAATGACCAGGAGGCTGATCACCGCTAGAGAAAGTACGGATAGTAGATATTACTCCATAGATTAGTAGGTAGCGAAAGAAACGTGGCATGTGTATGGAGTAATACGATAGAGGTCCAGCGGGGATGTCGGGAGGAGAGAACGAGGAGGATGGTTAGCACTGGATTACGATTATCATTGGAAGCAACCTGGAAAGTAGCTGTAATAGTGCCCTACTCCATATGACAACCGCCGACATGCCTTAAGTTAGGCCTAATCGCCCTTGAGGGAGCCCCCGCAGTCAAGTGACAGGGCCCTAAACCGCCTCCGGACGGGCTTAAGCTTCTCTAAAAGTCTCTGCTGACTACCCGGGACACTAGCCCGAGGTACCTACTAGTAGGTGCCTACTAAGAGGGTAAGCTAGGGAGGCCAGAATTAGCAGCCCCGATAATTACCCCTCGGGGATATCAACCCAAAAAATTTGGAGTTGTACGTACAGCCGACTACCAGCAGACTATTCAGCTGCAAGACGCACCCTGTTGTTTGGGACTCGGATGTCGAACTGAATAGTGTCTAACTACGAACGGCTCTCACCTAATTCCTGCCGCCTATCCAAACCTGGGTATGTTCGCCGTTCCAGGTTGGGCGGTCTCTCCGGCTTCCCTCGTGCAGGAATCGCGGTCCTCAAACAACGAAAAGCGGTCTTCTTCGAAAACCTCCACAGGAGCATCCAGGAAGAGAAAAATCACACACACCTCTAGCGATGAGCCCTCCAAGGTCACCGGAAGCGAGCTCGAGAACTTATGGAATCAACGCAGCGGCTCCAAGGTCGCCTCGACTGCCAACGGTGCTGACCGAAAGCGAGACCGTGCTGATGACTCCTTGAAGATCAAGCAGGAGGAAACCGGCGCAGGGCGGGCACAGGGCGAGGAGGTACCTAGTGCGATCAAGAATAAGAAAGGGAAAAAGCAGCACAAAGACACTCCTCAGCGACAGCAACAGCCTGAACAGTCCAGGGTCTCTCAAGATGACGGGAAACGAAAATTGCGCAAGGCTGACCACACAAATGGAAATGGCAAGACTCTACCTTCGACTGCTTTTTCCAAGACAATCAAGGAAGCCCTCCCTCCTGCACCGACACCTAGCAAGTTGACGCCGCTGCAAGCCAAAATGCGCAGCAAACTCACCTCGGCGCGATTCCGGCACCTGAATGAGACCCTGTATACGACATCGTCCTCTGCCGCGATGGACCTTTTCTCAAGCTCACCTGACCTCTTCGCCGAATATCACGCGGGATTTTCTCAGCAGGTAAAAGAATCATGGCCGCAGAATCCAGTCGACCAGTACATATCTACCATCAAAAGGCGAGGCCAAGTCCAAACTAACGACACGGAGCCGTCGTCAAGTACGGCAAGTCTTGGGCTGGCACCTCTTCCCCGTCGGAAAACAGGTACCTGCACAATCGCCGACCTGGGCTGCGGAGATGCACCTCTAGCACGAGGCTGTCAATCACAGATCAAGAACCTGAAGCTCAAATTCCACAATTTTGATCTGCACGCCCCGAACAGCCACGTCACCAAAGCCGACATTTCGAACGTACCGCTTCGCGATGGCGAAGTCGACGTGGCCGTCTTCTGCCTGAGCCTGATGGGCACCAACTGGCTTTCTTTCGTGGAGGAAGCATGGCGGATCCTTCGTGGCGACGGCAAGGGCGAAGTGTGGATCTCGGAGGTGAAGTCTCGCTTCGGACGAGTCACCAAAGGGCCAGGGCATGTGGTGGAGAACAGCGTGGGCAAGAAGCGAAAGAAGCCCAAGCAGAAAAAGTCGGATTCTGAGGACCAGCTGGATGGAGAGGAGGTTTTTGTCGAGCAATCCGACTCGGCCACCACAGACGAGACAGACATCTCGGCGTTCGTGAAAGTCTTCTCCCGGCGTGGCTTTGTTTTGCGCGAAGAGTCGGTCGACAAGAGCAACAAGATGTTTGTCAGCATGATGTTTGTCAAGTCTGGCGTGCCGAGTGCAGGGAAATATAAATGGCTGAAATGGAACGGCCGTGAATACGTGAAAGTGCATGATGGCAAGATGAGATTCATCTCTGGCCAGGGCGGCAAGGGCAACGTGGACGACGACAACGTGTCGCCCGAAGAGGAAGCCAAGGTCTTGAAGCCTTGTGTCTACAAGACCAGATGAAGGAGGGATCTTGCTGTTCCGAATTCCGACGGCAGGAGTTGAGATGAGATGAGATGACATATCAGACATGACATGACATATCACACAGGGAACAGAGAACAGAAAACAGAGAACCCGGTTGGGTAGATTGGTTAGGTCTCAACGACCAGTCAGTGACTGCAGTACATACACGGTTGAACCCCGGTCTTCTGATATTGCGTGCGTGCCGGTAATTCAGTTCTCATCTCCTCTCTCCTAGTAGTCTGCCATGGTGCGCCAGGACGAAGTACTAGGATGTACATACAGTAAGTACCTCAACTAGGGCTAAGGGCTACTTGGTCCAGGGTGATCGTGGTCGTGGTCGCGATCGAGTCCATGAAACTACAGACACAAGAGTACAGATATCAGGCAGGTGCCAGGTAGCGAGCGAGAGAGCCTCTGGAGGCCGGCCGGCTCTTTCAATATGGGTATCATTTTGATCTCTTCATACACATCACATACAATTCATCAATGTCATGAACCCGGCCTAGAGCCAACTAACCATAGCCAACTGCACTCTCTAGGCGCGAAGCTGTTCACGCTTTCAACACCAGACCAGACACTAGTACTCCATACAAGCCCATCAATCTCAAAGAAACAGATCGTCCCGTTTCTGCACTTCCGCATTGGTCAGCCGCCCGCAGAGGCTGAGCAAGGACACGGTCTCGGTGGTTGCAAACCAGTTGAGAGCGTCGATCAATATCTTCAGGTGCCGGTTGAAATGCTCCTCGTATTTCCTGATCGACTCTTCTATCCTCTTCATTCGGGCCGGGTCGGTGGGCGGTGGTGGTTGAGACACCGTTCCTTTCGACTTGGCTGGGCCGGACTGGATGCTCGGGTCGGCCTCGTACAGCGTCTTTGTGATGTGGTCGACGTAGGCGGCAAACATTCCACAGCCTGTCATCAATTTGGCGTGCAATCGCAGGAGTTTCGCCTGCGTGAGCCCGAGGTCTTTCATGCATGAATCCAGCATGTCAACGTGGTCCTGCATCAGTTCGTCCACGGTCGGCTTGGATTTGCGATGCAGACCGGGCTTCATCTCCAACTCTTCCGTTTCATCCCGCTCGGCATCATCAACCTTGACCATGAGCTTTTGCCAATTAGGCTCCATCACCTCGGCCGTGGCGAAGAAGAGCATTTGTTGGACAAAGACGAGCATGCGAGACCGAAGCGTCCACACTCGCCGTTTCCAGAGCTCAAACCTTCGGTCCGAGGACTTGTGGATCCACGCTTTCTCTTTGGTATGCGTGGCCCAGCATCCCACCAGTTGGGTCTCGAGATGCCGCAGAGCTAGCGTGTATCGAAAAATCAGCTGGTACCGCATCACCGTCTTGCGGCTGATGATCAGCGACAACGGGAACGGAACTGTATAGTCGAGTTCGAGGGCGTCGAATCCAATGATCTCTTTCTCTTCGTCTTCCTTCTTGTCCTTTCGAGGCTTTTCCGCCGATGGGGCTTGCGCCGTCGCCGGAGTCTTGTACTGGTCCATCATGGACTCTGGATTGTCCTGGTCCATGCCTTGCACATTGACGACCTTGATCAACCATTGCGTCAAACCCACCGAGTTCATCTTCACCTTGACATCTTCTTTGAATGGATCTGCCACGGCTATGCTACCAGGCTGGTGGAGTACCAGATCGAGGAGCGACTGCAGTTTGCCGAGGTTGACGTCCTTGTGCTTTTTCCGCAGCTCTGATTCACTCAATTCGAGGAAATACAGGAAAAATTCGGCGCGGTCCTGGAAGAAATAATGCTTCATCGACCGCAGTCGGCTTCGAAGCGAGTTCTTGGTCAGAAGGAGGTGGAGGAGCTCCTTGTTTGCGAAGGAATAAGCGTTGTTGACATTGTCGAGGAAACGTGGATCGTCAAATGTCGCCGGAGTGTCGACTATTTTGCTGGAGACATTGACACCACCGCACTCACGGACCACGTTGAGATACTTCCCGGCCAACAAAACCTTGTCCTTAACCGCCTCGAGCTGTGGAGGAATCTCTTTTTCCCGGATGTAGTAGCGTTTCTCCCAGTATTCGTCGGTGTAATCTTCGTCCAGCCGCTCTCGTTTGATGCTTGCTCTCTCTCCAATCAGGAATTCCGAATGGGGGTCATTTATGCCACCATGATGAAGCCATTCATTTAGCATGACCATGTATGGTCTGCTAGATTCTCGTAACAGCATCTCGAGGATTCGTCGGGCGGCGGGGTCTCCAGAGAAGGTAGAAAGACGGTGTGTCAAGAGGCCCAAGACATTGCCCCCGGTGCATTTCTTATGGCTGAGACTTCCTGGTAGTAAATCACCCCCCTCCTTGAGCCGCTCGATGATGTTGTCCGGGTCAAAGTCGTCAATAGAATCATCGATATCTTCATCAAGAAGAGAATTCTTTTTAAGCAGCTCCTGCGCTAACGAATACAGTTGCGCCAGACATTGCATCGTTGGGATGATGGCAATGTGCATTTGGTGAAGGGTAAAAGCCGAGTCATTCAAGACTTTCATCTCCAGCTGAGCAACGAGAATAAGAAAGTCTTTTAGGAGGTTTCGAATCGCTGCGCAAAGGGCGTGATTCACTGAGCCAAACTCCTCTCTGCTTTGGATCTCGACAAAAGCTTCTAGTGCGCAATGATGGGTGGCCATAGAGAGCATTGATCTTGTCAAGTCCCTCAGACTGGGGTCCAAGCCCGGGAGTGGATCGAAAGGAGGCCCATTGAGGCGCTCTTTCTCATCGGCCGGATTGTAACTGTCTCGAAAGCGGATATATTGTCCTTCAAACCCCAGAAAGACATAGAGCATATCGTCTAATATTGCTCGTTCCTGCTCTTGCATTGACATGGTCTCCAGCGCCACCGGGTCTAAGGCGGAGGGCGCATTGCGAGATACCGGCGGCGCCGGTATTCTGGTCGCTAGTGGCGCAGAGGAGTGTGGAATCAGCGACACAGAAGGAGTCCATGGTCCTAGAGAAGTATGAGCATCGGTCACTACCGTCTATGCAAAAGTGCGCACCAGTGTCTTCCTCCTTAGATGGTGGTTTAGGGACGGCACTGCCAGCACTTTGTCGGTGATCGACATTGTTCTTTCGGCCATCCCCATTCAGAGTCTCCTTCCTTGGACTTCGTCGGGTCAACAGCGTCTCAGTTGTAGTCACAGTAGACTTTTCCCGCCGTCGTTCAAGTCCACTGAACCTGTTCTCGCTTTTGGAATGCTTGTGCGACCCTTCGCCGGCCTCGCTGTAGCCGGTGGGGTATATGGGAGAGCCAGTGTCGCGGGCAAAGGGTCTTTCATAGTCTCTGGCTCGAGTCGAATTCACACGAGATGAGCCACCGGGAAGATGAGTGCTTCGTCGGTCGGTGGCTGAAGCACTCCTGTAATGTAGGGAGGCCATGTTGGCCCACGCTTCATCCTTCTGCCAGTGCGGTATGGAAGCGCAGTATGCCGGGGGCCAGGGGACCAGGGGACCAGTCGACTATGCGTTTTCTAGACTCCCCTCATGGTAGTTTGCTTCTTGCAGTGATGCGTGGGTGTGGGTGTGGGCGCACTTCATCTCATCGGCGCGGGCGCGTCGGCGATACACGCGACTTTGCTTGGCGGCACAAGACCGTATCGATCGGGGACCAATCATCACCTGGGATGGTCCATTTCCTGTTTGAGACGCCGATTGTTAACGAGACCACATGGGCTGGGAGTATTTCGCACCTATAGGTGTTTATTTCGCACCCACGCTAAACTAGAATTAGTTATAACTTAGCTTACAGACTACCCCTATTATAGTGCCTATAGCTACCCCGGTAACCTCGCCTACAGCGACGCCTAAGGGCCTATAACCACGCCTATAACCACGCCTATAACCACGCCTAAGCCTATAACCACGCCTATACCTAGCCTATACTATATATATAGCTATACCTATAACTATACCTATTCTTTATTTACCCGGGTGGTGCTCGCGTGCTCTCGTAGCCTAAATTACTTTAGGGGTTGTTTTAGGAGTAGCTATAGGCGTGACTATAGGCGTGACTATAGGCGTGGTTATAGATATAGGTAAGGATAGTACTAATAGTATACTTTCGTAATAATTGCGGAGGTATAAGCCTCTTTAGGAAATAATAAAAGAAAGAGAGCTAATTATATAAGTACTAATAAGAATATAGTTTAGCGTGGGTGCGAAATAAACACCCATGGGTGCGAAATACTCATAGCCGACCACATGGGCTGTCCCTACACTATACAGTGCTGCCTTCGGGCTTTAACTAACAGCTTCCAAGGGATTCAGCTTATTCCCCCAAATTTGACATTAGATGCAATGGACGGAGGCAGCTAACTGAGTTCTTGACCACTGACGACGACCTTGCTGTTCTCTCTCGACGACTCTGACCACAACAATGGACTCGACAATCACCACTGAGTTGAAGAGAATAAACCAGAGCCAGCTTCCAAATTATCTGAGTGATGAAATGGATTTCCTTGACACCTCATTTTTCAAGATAGCAGGTCGGAAGCTGCCATGTCCCCAACAGCTCGGCGCCTCACGAGAAGGGATTACCGTCATCTCCGAAATGCAGCTTGTGATCAAATTCGGACAACATGTGACGATCGACGAAGCAGTGACAATGTGGGTAGTTAGGAAGTATCTTGGCCATCAAGTTCCGGTCCCAAAGCTTTTTGGATGGCGTGTCTATCAAGGCACCGTTTATATCTACATGGAACTCATAGCTGGGGTGACTCTAGAAGAACGTTGGAAAGACATGGACCTCTCTGATAAGGCATCTGTCTGTGGTCAACTTCGCAACATGCTTTGCTCCCTACAACAACTCCAACAAGAGAATCCGTTTATCGATGAGCGAGAAATCCACGATTTGAAAAGGCTTTTACACTAATTGTTACCTCTTAGGATCTATTACTCGGGGTCCGTTGATTGACAGAGTCTTTTATGATCGCCCAAAGGTTGGACCATTTAATACCATTGACGACTTTTATCAGTGGCTCGAATGGCTTCCCCAACGGTTCTTGTCATCTTCTCAGAGATACAAAGATCCATATCTTACTCTAATGCCAAAAGACACAGCCATTAAATTCACACATGCTGATGTGCATCCTACGAACATAATTGTCTCTACATCGGGCTTCGGTCCAGCGCGAGTACTTGCGTTGATCGACTGGGGACAATCTGGGTGGTATCCAGACTATTGGGAATACTTCAAAATATGTTACACCACACATTGGGAAGGCGAGTGGCGTAAGACATTCATCCCAAAGATGATTGAGCCTCAAGAGGACGAAAAATATCTCATGGATGAATATACCGCGACTATTGGAGCTGTATGATCAGGGCTCGTTGTAACGGCTCGAGAGCATCACGCTCCTTGAAACGAATTTTGATGACGGTTTCCCAAGGGAAGAATGAACTTCTTGTACGACGTTTACCGGAGTTGGGTCGACGGTGGCAAATGCTACAAAGGTCAAACTTGAGAGCAAACCTACTCAAGTGATCAGAACTGTAGGGCCACGTACAAGAAATATGTATATGACTCCCTCAACTTCTGGGGAGGAGATCATAAAGCGATGGATGGGAGGCTCCTGAGGCCTATGAACTATCTCGATCACAAATACTGTTACTTATGGTGCTACCTCTGTCCCAGTGATCTTCTTGAAATCATCTGCAACGGAATCCCAAACTTTCTGGGCTGTGCCGCTCTCTCTAAACTCAGCCAGCAACGTCTCGACCTTGGCCGGAGCGCTCTCGCATTTGGCACCCAGCGAATACACGCCGCTCCCTTCACGTCCGAGGGTCCCCCTGGCGAGTACTAGGCTCCTATGTAATGATACGCCCGCCACGGCCGCTTCATTCCGACCTGGAGGATACCTGGCACTTGTGGCCAGAAAGAGATGTCGCTCGCCAGACTCCAGAGGAGGGGTTTCGATCAAGGGAGCCAGGAGGCGGGATATAGCGATCAAAATGGTCATGCGTAGCCCTTTCGCCTCCCGCTGGATGCCACTCTTGACCACACCCGGCACATCGTGAATGAAACTGACATCGGGGGCTCGTCGCATAGCTTCCTCTAGCAGCAGCGTCTCGATAGATGCGATCTGGTTGCGCCACTGCATCAAGGGGACGTTTTGTGCGAGCATGTTATCCATGTCGATGGGTCCCTCACATGTCGCCGCCCCGACACTAACCACACGGCGGAGGGACTGTGCATTCTGGAGGAGAGGGAGAAGATTAAGGATGAATCGCATGCGCGAGTGAAGTATAAGCGCCGAGGCAAGAGGTAGGCCATCAGATGTTTCTGAGAGGAGGGAATTAGCTAGATTCCGGAAGTTTGTATCCCACCAGGAGGCAAGATCCCGGCCCAGCCCAGCCCAGACCTACTTTTGTCGAAAGCCATGGTGCCTTGACTTTCGAAAAGGATGTTTATTGCAGTTTCCTTGCTCTTGATCTGGCGACAGACATCGTCGACGGTTTTCAGGACGCTCACGTCGGCTTTGATGAACTCGAATGTGCCGCTGGGATTCGACTGTTTGCATTCCCTGATGATACGATCCGCCGCATCTTGGGACCGACCGACGATGTAGGCCCGCGGCTTGGTGGCATATTTGGCCAACGCCTTCAACGTGTATTCGCCGATGCCGCTGGTCGCTCCGACGAAGACGGCGACCAGGCCGTGAGGAAAAGTGGAGTCGATGCGTTGGTTGGAGGCGACGACGTCAGAGAGAGCGACAGCCATTCTCCTATGTAGCTCAGTTCTGAGCAAGTAGGTACAGAGCGACTCTGGCCCTGCCCTTGGCCTTGGACAATGTCGGGTTTGGTTGTTGGTGTTCAGTACACGGAGTACTAGTATTCACTATGTCGGGGGCTCCGTCGGGTTCTAAATCGACACTCGAGTCTGCAGCTGCCTAGAGGGGACTGACACGATGAATATGACTGACGCTTTCCTTAGGAAGTAGATTGACTTGGATCTTGCTGCCTTTTTATGCTGTACAAAGAAATATACCTCTCCAATATCTAGTTCAGGCCTTGGAGCCAATCAATTCCGCCGTACCTCTGGGGAAGAGTGCGCTAAACCAAGTTGAATCATACGGGACGGATGAGGAAGCAGGGCGGGTCAGTTCAGCATCCGACTATTCCATTTCAGGCACCTTTCGTCATATTCGGCTTAGTATCACCAGTGTCATGTCGGTCTTTCGGATTTTAACGTTGCCTCCAGTTTATCGAAAGAACATCAGAACGTCGCCGTCTGTTCCTGGCCAGTCTCCTCGCGAGACACAGCTCTTTCTCACCCAGAACATCTATACGGGCGCAATTGGGATGCCACCTTCTTCGGTCATGGGCTCGGGCCTACCTAACACCGTGGACTCGGCGAAAGGTGTGGATCACCTCCAGAACTTCACGAATACCTTCGTCCTCTCGTCGGCTCAGAACTCGGGACAGGTCCTTGTCGAGATTCCCAAGGCCTTGGTGGTCGATCCGCATAGGCAACGGCGGGCTCACAAGAAGTCTAGGGTGGTGTGTGAGAACTGCAGGAGGCGGCGGGTCAAGGTCGAGATGTCCTTTCGCGTCCTATCGCAGGCTCATATAAGCTAACTGACAAGTCTCAAGTGCAATGAGGCCACACCCTGTGAAAGTTGCACCCAGAGAGGAGAACGCTGTAAGCCACCCGTACGATCCAAGAGGGTGGCCACAAACCTATCCATGCCAGCCCAGACTAGGCTTTTCGGGTCCGAGTCAACGGATACCCCAGTAAACCTCCTCCATATGAGATTATTTCACCATTTCGGGACAAGCACGTCCCAGACGCTTCTGTTTGTGCCAGAGGTCTGGGACTGTACGCTCCAGCTTTGCTTCCAGTTCGACTTCTTGATGGACGCCGTTCTATGTGTCGCAGCAAGACACCTTGCCGTCCTACTGCCGGACGACCCGATATTCCCAAAAGCGGCCAACAGTCACCGGTGTCGGGCTGTGTCCCGTTTCTGCGATCAGCTGTCCAACAACTTCAGTTCCATTCACATCGACGCCTTTATGGCGACCTCGTTTCTGCTTCAGTACGAAGTGTGGACTAATACCGACTTTTTCTCGCCTCAGGACACCGGGGCGTCGACGTTCAACCCATCGAAAGACCGCATCTTTGCATTAAGCTCGAGCATGAAGCAAGTCTTCCTCAAGAGCGTCCCGCTCATTTCTCATCAGCCGTCGATATTCATCCCGCATGTCCAGCACAGTCCCGAGGACGTGCTCGTTAGGGCTGCACAGATCAGCAACATCACATTGGCAAATTATCATGACTTTTTCTCCTACCATCGTCCTCTCAGCACAGAGCTGCTCAACCCTCCTCTTCCGTATACACGAGAAACAGACTCAGCCATATCCAATGTGCGGCGATTTCACATCCACAAGACCAAAGGCGAGACCGAATCAACGGAAGACAGTTATGAGACCGTCGTCAGCGCACTATGTCTCATTCAGTCCTTCCTTCCCGAAGCACAGCCGTTCACCTCTCTCGACACCGACTCACCCCTATTACCGGAGTTAGCAAGATACGTTTTCTCCTTTCCTATTCAATGCCGTGGTCATTTCGCCTCGATGTTTGAGCGGTGTGATCCTCACGCTTTGCTCCTGCTCTATCATTTCTATCGCGCCGTGAGGATATTGTTCGCTTCAACGAAGTTCTGGTGGGCACAAAAGCGGGCAGCTGCGTCCGAAGCAGCCTTGAAAGAGTGGTTGACTAGGGAATGTGCTGAGCAGGACCCTGCAGCATTTTGGAGTGCCTTGCTTTAGCGTCTCTAGGAGAAAATGTGGCCGAGTAGGGACACGAACATGGTAAAAGCTCTGGGAGTCAGGACGAACTTGAGAGCAAACCTACTTAAGTGATCAGAATTGTAGGGCCACGTCCAAGAGATATGTACATGACTCCCTCAACTTCTGGGAAGGAGATCATAAAGCGGTGGATGGGAGGCCTAAGGCTCCTGAGGCCTAAGGCGGCGCGACCCTCGTCCCCAAAGGAGGGCTGAAGGATACTCTTGGCAAGCTGCGCCGGTGGTACTAGCACTCCGTCGTAGTAGTACCTCACCGCGCGATTGTGTTGCGCATGCTCAACGTGCCTGATTTCCGAACTACAGTTGTACGTCTTCCTCTCGCAGTCCTTCAAGTTTGGAGCTTCTGTCTCCCTTTACACCCCTAGGCCGTATCTTGCATATTTGCAGATTGCTCGCTTCGCCCTCTCCAGGTCACCGCAGTTCCACCTCTATCGTCTTCTTGCATGGTTCGGCATTCTTCTAAGCTACTTCCTGTTCAAACCCCGGCAAAATGTTCATTGCGAGGAGCGAATACGATCGAGGGATCAAGTGAGCAGACAGTCGTCCTGATTGACACAACATGACTGATTTGCAATAGCACTTTCTCGCCTGAAGGCCGTCTTTTCCAGGTCGAATACTCGTTAGAAGCCATCAAACTTGGATCAACGGCAATTGGAGTATGGACATACCATCTCGCTCGGTATAGGCACTTGCTTACTGTTACAGGTTGCTACATCCCATGGCGTTCTCCTTGGAGTCGAGAAACGCGTCACGTCGCCCCTGCTGGTTTCCTCCAGCATAGAGAAGATTGTCGAGATTGACAGACACATTGGCTGCGCCATGTCCGGCCTCCAAGCAGATGCACGTAGCATGATCGAGCACGCCCGAGTCGAGTCCCAGAACCACGCCTTCAACTTCAACGAGAGACTGAGAGTGGAGAGCTGTACCCAAGCCATTTGCGACTTGGCGCTGAGATTCGGCGAGGGAGCGCAGGGAGAAGAATCGATCATGAGTCGGCCCTTTGGTGTTGCCTTATTGATCGCTGGGTGGGACGAGGATAACGGGCCACAACTGTGAGCATTTCCGTGTCCTATCTCTGCCCCGGACATTGACTGATTGCCCTAGGTACCATGCCGAACCCTCGGGCACATTCTACCGCTACGACGCCAAGGCCATCGGGTCAGGCAGCGAAGGCGCGCAAGCAGAGCTACAATCAGAATACCACCGATCTCTGACGCTGGAAGAAGCCGAGACTCTGGTGCTCAAGACGTTGAAGCAGGTCATGGAGGAGAAACTGGACTCGAAGAATGTGCAATTAGCCAGTGTCACCAAAGAGAAGGGGTTCCAAATCTACGGCGATGAACAGATGGCTACGGTGGTGGCGAGACTGGAAGGCGACTGAACACTTCTGGATAGTTGACGTTTGCAATATAAATCATCCAGGCACGAGCATGGTACCGGAGTCGAGGCGCGGCGCGGCACGGCACGGCAGGGATGCATCTGCTTTAACCAGCAGGCTTCCCGAGTCTTCAGTCACAAAATGGAAATGGACATGTCTGAACAAAGAGTCAAATACGCCTTTCTTCTTGCAGTTTTATGGATTTATATGCTACTGAGGAGATGTAGGTCGGTCTAGTTTTCGAAGCCGTCCGGCCAGCAATCGAGCGGCATGCGGCATTCAACACATGGCCCGCCGCAGCGTTCTAATTGTACGCGATCCCAACGGCTTTTTTGATAGATGTCATGCCTGAGGAGCGACTTCAACTTCAACTTCACTCGGTGGGACGCTCGGCCTGTGGAGTGATGCGGGCAATGTGTCGTCGCTGGCCATCCTCCCAGTCGATGGTGGCAGAGTGCGCTAAGTGCGAGTCAGCCGAGGAACGGTCGACGGTCGCATATCATATCGAACGGATGTGGAAAGACTAAAACTAAGACTCACCTGTCACGCGGTTGTCCCAAACGACGACGGTGTTGGGCTTCCATCTAACTCTGGCTTGCAGGTCTTGACTCAAGGCGATGTGGTCGTACAAAAACTTGAGGAGATAGTCGCTCTCCTCTTGTTTAAAGCCGACAATGTAGCGGGTGAACTGGGGGTTGACGAACAGAGCCTTTTCCCCCGTGGCTGGGTGAGTTCTCACGATAGGATGGATGGAGCTGCGGGGGTTCCAAGTCAGCCGGCGGCGCTCCTTGACCAGAATGACACTCAATACGGGGAGGGGAGTCCCCAAAAGACACTCAACACGGGGAGGGGAGTCCCTAGAAAGACTTGCAAGTCACTTACGAGACGGGGTTTCGCCGCACAGTGCTGCCCCTGTTAATGGCGCTCGTGGCTTGTTCGTATCCCGAATGGACGGCCTGGAGACCGGCGAGACGCTCGCGGAAAGCGGGAGACAGTCGTTCATATGCCTTTGCCTGGTTGACGAAGAGAGTGTCGCCGCCAGCGGAGGGCACGTCGAGCGCATACAGGAACGTCGTCCCCGGCGGCTGGTTCTCATAGGTGACGTCGCTGTGCCAGGCGATCGAGTTGGTTCGGCTGTCGAGGAAGTCTAAGAACGAGTGGTCGTCGGCCCCGCGGTGCACCAGGTGGACTTCGGGATATGCGGCGGGAGCGCCACTGGACCGCGTCAGTACCAGATCCATACAGCCCCGAGGTATGATTTGAAGTGGGAGAACCCCGAGGTTTGATTTGAAGTGGGAATCAGGAGAAGGGAGAAGTGGTTGATGGGCTGGGCTGGGCTTTACCTGGTCGGGTGGATGTGCAGACGGCCAAAGTATCGGCCAAACTCCAGCGCCTTTTCGATGGGAAGGGAGGCGAAGTCCTGGTCTCGGAAGGCAACCACCTTTCTCTGGGCCACCAACAGAGCCAGCTCGTCTTTGCCCTTGTTGTCCAACTGTGACAGCTGGACGCCCGTCACTTCGGCCCCGATGGACGCGGTGATGTTTTCCAGGTGGCTTCCCTCCTTCAACAGGTTGGGGAAGGACGGGTCGGCATCTTTTCCGTGTTCATAATGCTCGAACGGCTCGAGAGGAGGGTATCTGGATAGGGGGGTGGGTGTCAGTTTCTCTCTCTCTGTGGGTGTGTGTGTCTGTTCTTTCTCTGTGTGTATCTGTGTGTGCCTTTGCCTGTCTCCTTTTGTCTCCCTCCCTCCCTCCCTCCCTCTCTCTCTCTCTCTCTCACACACACACAGACGGGAAGGATATTATTGGTAGCTTACTTTTCTCCTTTCTCATTGTCCCACACCGGCAGATAACTGTAGACAGACGGTCAACACGAGCGGCAAGTCGAGTCTCTTGATCAGATACTCACTGAGGATATGTCGCTGCGGCGAAATTGGCCGTACCCTTCAGCTCGTTTTCCTTGTCAAATTGGCCGGGGGCCAGTTCCTTGTAGGCGCCAACGCCGCCCTTGGGCTGCGCGGGGGTTTGTGTAGAGGAAGCGGTCGCCATGGTTTGGGTTGGTTTGGTTTGGTTTGGTGGTCGGAAATCTCCTAAACCTCTAGGGAGGGACGGAATGGGGAAACGAGGATGACTGTGGCTCGTTATATACAACCAGTCCGAGTCCCAGGCCCAGTCTCAGGCCCAGGCTTCAAATATAGTGGAAGAGGAAATTCGGCACCGCAGTGGGCTTCGACATGAATGGGGTCCTAAGGGTCCCGAATGTCGAATCCCGATTGCACAGGGCATGTCGATTGTCGAGTGGTTCGTGGTTCGTGGTTTGTGGTTCGTGGTCTGCGGTTTCGCCAGTTTGGCCGTTTCTCGCATCACATCATATCAGTCCAAGTCGGCGCACAACCCCGCAACCCGCAAGCAGTGATATGATGAGCAATGCGCCATCGGCCGGATTGGTTGGCGGGCAGGCTTGGGCAGGCGTCTAAGCCATTCGCGACGGGCATAGCGCACGCCTTCGGGAGGCGAATTGCGTGATCTGCCCTAAAACATGATTAGAACATGCGTGTATCCATACTCTGTACCCGTACTGACAAGCAAAAGGGCGTCCGCGTCCGCATTCTAGAGAGACATCCAGTATCCGACGTCCCTACACAGAATAGAGTAAATCCTGGCGGGCTTGGGCGTGGGCGCAGGTGGAACTGCGGGATAAACAACCTCTCGCTGAATCTCGCGCCATACATAGCCTCGTCTCATCATTCAGATCCAGTTCTTGCTCAGTGCACACGAGTACAGGCTGACGTTCAGACATCACACATCACACATCACACAACCAGCCACTGCATCGGGCATTCGCATGGCTGGCGGGATTTGGGATTTGCTTCTTCTTGAACCCTGCAGAGTCAGACTCCAGACTTCAGACCAAGCAGTCGGTCGGACCAAGCACGCAATAAATGACAATGCAATGCAGACGTCGTGGACTGGACTACATCACATTCACGTCACGACGGTAGGCTTTAGTACACAGACACAGACACAGACACACGTACAATATACACATAGGTCACTAGGTAATGGTACGTCTTCTGACCTGACCGATATCGCAACAACCGCAACCGCAATCGAGTCTCTCAAGCGAATCCAGTCACTCACTACCTTATACAGCTACCCCGTTAAGTACTAATACTAGTATCTTCACCCGCCCATCGATCGGGTCGACATCGACAGCGACTTCAACTGCAACATCTTGATCACTAATCTCCGTACTGAACAGGACATGTAGGGCCCGGCTATCGTCGTACCGGACCCGAACCCGAACTCGTCGGCAAGCAAGAGAAAGAAAGAGAGGGGGGGTGTGGGGGAGGAGGGAGAGGGAGAGAGAGGGAGAGAGAGAGAGAGAGAGAGAGCTAAACGCTGACCTCAAACGAGCTGGAGATGGCGTGCCTGGCAGTGGCAGTGGCAGTGTCCATCTCCACCATTACCGCCGAGGATATGGCCGGGTCTCAACACCTCCGGAGAGGAATTCTACTCTGTACAGTACAGTGTACGGAGTATGTACGTGCCTATGGAGGGTGCGGTGCGAGCTCACATACCTACGAAGACCGGCACTGTTTGCGCTGGGGATTCCGTCTCCCAACTTGAATCAATAATGATGGGATCCGGTGGAAGAGAGGGAGTAGTGGCTGGTGCATAAGACAGTGAGAAGTGAGAAGTGAGAAGTGAGATCGGACCTAATAGACCTCCATAGTCCGAATCTGCACCTAAGTCTACTTCATTCGCTATATATATACCTATATGTATGTATGTATGTATGTATGTATGTATGTATGTATGTATGTATGTATGTATGTACCTTATGTATACACCACAATACACGCCCGTCGTCGGTCCACGATACAGTCGCTCACTGGCGCTGTATATTGTATATTATACACTGTTCTCACAGATGATCTATCTTCTATATCCTACATAGACTCTCCACTTCATATATCGATCCTCGACCTCAGTTGCCGTCTGAATTCTGATTTATGCCGCCGCCTCACTTTTGCCCGCTTCTGGTTCATTGTCATAGTTTGTCTCATCGACGTGCATGCCGTGCAGCTCCGGCTGTGCATCGCGATCCTGGCCTCCCGGTCCCGAAGGCCTCGTTGGTTCTTCCGCCTCGTCTTCCACGGGTTCGTTGGCCTTGGCTTGATTCATCTCCTCGACGCGCTTGGCTTCGGCCTCGGCTTCGGCCTCGATGTTTTCTGCTCGTCTTCTCTCGCGGAAAGACCTCCAGTACGCGTCGTCCTCATTGAGCATTTTCACTACCGAGTCGACCACAACCCTTTGAAGCTCGGCGTTGAGGAGCCCTCGACCAGATGACGGGACCTTGATCGAGCCTCGAGCACTTTTCTCCCCGGACAGGTCGAGCAAGCCGAGGTCCTCCCATGCCAGGCCTACAAATCGATCGACCGTCTTTCTCAGTTCCATCAAGATCCGTGCACTCTGCTCAGCTACCACCGGTGGTGTGCCTTCTTCGGCGTTGAGCTTGAGCCTGAGCCAGTCGTTGATCATCACTATTTGAGGACTCGACAGCGTGACATTGCGGCTGAACAAAACGGACATCAGTGGCGTCACCATCGAGGTCTGCTCAAGCCAGATGCCCTTGGGACTTGACTCGGGAGTATCATGCTTCCATGAATACGCGACCAGCCGGCCTCCGGATCGGTATTTTCGGGCGAACCTGGCCGATTTCTTCGTCGCCTTCTCGTTCACGCTGTCTCGCGAAATCAGACCCGTGGCGGTCGGGTCATCCAGACTCCAGAGTTTCTTCAGTGGTCCTTTCTCCCGCCATGCGGCTAGCTCGGGAGTAATAGTATTCACGGCGAGAGCTTTCACCAGCACCATATTGTTGCGATTCGAGTTCATCGAAGCCGGCAGGATCTCAAACACACTCCGTCCTGCTTCAGCACCGGGCAAAAAGCCAACATCTGACAAGATCTGATGGATGGCGACGCTTGCGACCATCATGTCCAGATATACGTGATGCCTGATCAGCCTTCTGTCACGTAGGTCTTTCATTTGGTCGGCGTCACCAGCTCGGTAGGCGGTGTGGTAATCTCTGAAAGCTTCGACTATCGACACAAGATCACTTTCATAGTCTGATGTGTGCTGCTGCTTCATCACCGAAAGCTGCCTCGCCGTGAATTCTGGGTGTGAAATCAGTGAGTCGGTAGAGCTGTGGTAAGCAAGAATTAGCATCGGCTCGAGACACCCGAAAAGGGCTCCCAGCAAAATGCCTTTGGCCGCTGCTGGGTGTAAAGCAAAGCGAGCCAGTAGCCGGCCTAGACTGGTGACTTCCTCGCTTTCAGTCAAGGCATGCAAACTCTTCAAATCCTTGAGCGCACTCTCGATGGCCTGTGGAGGAGGTGGCTCTATGGTTTCGCGCAGGAATTCCCGGACGTCGACTCGCTGTGGGTAAGCCTTCAACTGCAGGACGACAGTCACCAGGTCAGCTACTGCGATTTCGGGACGGCGCATCGCGATAAATGAGTCGTGCCGTTCTTTCGTGAAGAGGGCATAGTAGTGGCCGTCTCGGACACGCCCCGCGCGGCCTCGTCTTTGAATCAGGCTGGTCTTGCTGATCCACTCGTAAGGCAAGCTTCTCAGGCGTGTGAGCGGATCAAAGGTGTTGCTCCGGAGCAGACCGCTGTCCACAACGTAAACCACTTCTGGCAGCGTCACTGATGTCTCAGCGATGTTGGTAGTCAGAATAATCCGTCGGCACCCTGGGGCTACCGGTTTAAAGACCTCGTCGTTAGAATCGCGCAAATTAGAATGAAGCTTGAAGAGCTTGAATCTGTTCGTGTTGGTAAAGTTCACACCAAGTGGTCTTAAATCGATCAGAAGATTGAAGATTTCGTCGATGTCTGCCCTTCCAGGCAGGAACACCAATATATCGCCTCCCAGTTTACTGTCCGCTAGGTGGGCAATCACAGACGTTGCCAGGCCGATATACCTGCGGTCTCCTGCTTGAACAGTAGAATCCAATGTACCAGTCTCCGCCAGCTGGCTGCTTAGACCACTGCTGTCGGGCCGAAGGCCTACAGATTGCTTGGTAGCGAAGCGCATCTCACTCCGAATATATTCTGCACTGGAAATGCCCGAGGCTTTCCCCTGCAAAAGAGCGTGCATGGTGGTGTGTAGCTCCCCGGCTTGCGTGAGCTCTGACAGAATCTCGGGCAGATAGTGTGTTTCAACATGATGTGCAGAGCCTTCAACTTGGAGGCTCTCCGCGAGAAGGGATACCCCAGTATGCGTCGGCTGCCTGAAGTATTCGAGGAACATGGTTGGGTCAATGGTGGCGCTCATTAGAATGATTTTGGGAAATCGTTGGCCCGTAGCCTTCCTGCTTTGCAAAGCTCCTCGAAGAATTGCCAATACCAGATCGATTTGTATATTCCGTTCATGTACTTCGTCAATGATGATGTGTGAATGAGACTGCAAAGTACTCCATTCGTCGGCAATCAAGCGATTTAGAAGAATCCCCGTAGTGCAGTAGGTTATGCTCCCTTGTTGTCGTGAAGGCCACTTGTCATTCCGAATGTGGTAGCCTACAGAGTCTTGCAAGGCCTCACCTCGCTCATAAGCCACCCTTCGAGCGGTGGACGTGGCTGCAAGCCGGCGAGGTTGTGTGCAGAGAATGCTCGTTACCGGTCCAAACCCGTGAGTTACCTGGTCGTCCAGAATTATCTGAGGAATCTGAGTCGTCTTGCCGGAACCCGTCTTGGACAAGATAATGGTCACGTCACAGTCCTTGATAAGTTCCAATATTTTCGGCCGTGTCGTGTCAGACATCAAAGGCAACTTGTGTCTCGCAGCGAGTATCTTTTGCATCCGGGCCTTCTGTCGGCCCTTCTCCAGAGCCAACTTCATCTTCGCAGCGAGAGCTTGATTGCTTCGCAATATGTCTCTCACCCATCCACGACTAGATTCCGCAGCATATGGGGTCGATACGACCTCATCATCTGTGAGCCCATACTGTCGAGCTAGCTTGATCGTTTCAATAGCGTCAAGAAGATTCGATGCTGGAAGGTTGACGTCAAAATATTTGCGCCTTTTGGCAACACAGCTTCCTGGCACGCCACTATCTTCCTCGGGTGCCAGGGCGTCATATGCAGCGCTCTCGGCCTCCTGCTCAGAATGCTCGACATCAACTTGGGAGTTCGCCGCATCTTCTGCATTGCCATTGATTGCAGAGGCTGCCTCCTCACAGCGTTGTGATCTTCCTCCGAGCTCCACATTATGAGACGTCGTGTCCTTCAAATGCAAGAGACGGGCGCTAGAAACAGGTCCTTGTAACTTTGCCTGCCGACATTGACTCAATGCCACACCACTACGTCCAGAAAGTCCGGTGAACTTGAGGCGGGCTCGATGGACACCTCTGACATGGGTAGTTGTACGTGGGAACAGAGGAATTATCCGACAGGCTTCATGAGGGACCGCGGGCCACTGATGGTGCAGGAGTCTCTATGTATCCGACCATTTGTTAGCGACCACGCTGTGGCGACGCAGGGATCCAAATATACTTGTGTGAAAGACCGAACCCGCATGCTGATCGGTAGAGCTAGTCATCTTCGCGACATATGTAGTTGTCTGAGACTAGCAGAAAACCAGGTCGGCTCTAATAATAAACGAGTGACTGTGCCGGGTCAAGCAACGTGCTTGAAACCCAGGTGGTTTCTTTCTCAATGGAATCAGTCTGTCGAGCAGACGCAGTTGGAGATGCACTTTCTGGGGAAATTTGCTGGAACCAATGACAGAAGGGAGATGGAAATATCACGTGACGACAGCCTCGCAGACCACTATCGCGTTTCGGCAAGGCTCTGGCAGGAAAGGACAATGACCATACGTACTACAATGAGAGAGACCTCAAGTTAAGCATGGCACAAATGTGTTCTTTGCATGTGGTGTAGCACCCTTTTGGACGGTATTCCTCAAGATTGGTCTACTTGCCGATCATGCTCTTGTTTCTCAGAACAATCCTCGCTGCAGGGATGGACCACCCCCCTAGGTGCCCCCCTACCATGCCCACATTAGCTTGTGTGCGAGAACTCGCTCTCCCAGTCTCTCATACAAGAAACCGCTGACCCAGCTATCATTTGTCCGACTCATGCGGCCAAACACAGCCCCGCCCTTCCACACTACGACCTGTGGATCAAGCTCCCTCGGTGGACGGCCGATTATGATGTCTTTGCTGTACCCAGGTAGGATACCTTTGAGGTGTTCTTCCAGATGCGACGCCAACCCTGGAATGATGCTTGTGCCACCTGTGATCATGATGCCACCCAGGAGATCGCTCGTCCTCTGCGAGGAATTACGCGCCGCATGTGTTATAGATGCCACCACTGCATTAGGAAGTGGGTAGATTGGCAGCAGATCATCGCGTCTCTCGATGCTGACGGGCTCTTCCTCCTCCTCTTCGACTTTGGGCTTTTCGTCCCGCTGAGGGACGACGTCATTCTCGTCGGGTTGCGGGGTCCCGTCAAGGTTGCGAGCTGGAGAACTCGCGGTTGATGGCTGTGGCGTCGCATCCATTTCTTTGATGTTACTGAATGAAGGGCGGCGAGAGCCATTGAACTGTTCCTCCTTCGCGCCGTTGGTCACGCCGTTGGCAACGCCGTTGGCTTTTGCACCGGGCTTCTTGGTGGAAGTCAACACCTCCTCGGGTGCGATCGAGGTCAGGATCTCTGCTTGGGCAGATGAGCTTGGGTCGTTCGGCTTGCCATCGTAGATGTCGTAAGATTTGTCGACCAGCTTGCGGCGACCGTCCAATTTACCAGTGTCGTCGAAGATGTGAGGCTTGAACAATCCCATAGGAGCAAGGATCACCTCGTCGTAGATCTTGAATGTGTACTTTCTGGTGTCCTGATCGGGAGCTCGAAGGTGGAAATCATAGAGCTGGACAGAAATATCGGCCTCGTTCATGGTGCAGAACTTTTGCTTCAGTTCTTCGACCAGTTGGAAATCATACCGTCGATTTAGGTTGATCTCTGAATATGGGAAGTGATTGTAGATGACCATTTTGACAAATGCTTCAGTGATGTCCTTCCCCCCGTACTTCAGATTGACCCGTGAATTGTCTATGACCATCCCGTCCTCGACGCAAGATATCGATGTCTTTTGAGCGCCGATGTCAACGATGCAGCAGGTGGTGAAACCTGCTCCGAAGGAAGCCGCCAGGCTTTCTTGGATGAAACAGACTCGTGCGAAGCCGAACTCTGTTATCGCCATGTCCAGGAGACTCGAAACATAGGTCCTTTCATAATAGTCCGGGATGACAAGGACACAGCTGTATTGATTCCAGTCGGTGCGCGTACGGATTTTGAGTTCGAGTTGGGTTTTGATAGCATCTTCAACGATGATGCGTATATCCTCCCACAATAGGCGCTTCGACTTGTAGTCGCGCTCGTTGATCAATCCTAAACGAATGGGCCAGAATAATTTGTAACGAGGCGTGGACTGATCAGGAATGCGAAGAGCGGCTTTGCCGGTGATGTACTCGGGGGCGTCCTTTTCCCCGTCTGTCGTGTCTGTCCATTCGATTCGCATAGTATCGTTGTGTTCTGTGATTGTCTCATAGGTGCTCCTCCGATTATAACTGGTGACCATATCCCTGGACTGCGGCAGCACCTTTCTCTTGTTCATTCTCATCCTCACTTTCAGATCATGGGACATGGCGGCGAATTTTTGGGCAAAGTCTTCGCCAAAACGCTTCTCCGGTTCTGGCGGCGGCAGTCCATTGTCCAGTTTGGCTCGTTTTGGAGCTGGCTCTCCGTCTCCTTCTTCGCTTTCCGACCTAGGTGCGCGACGTGCGATGACCATGGGGACTGTCTTTGGAAGCGCATCGTTGGCGAGTCCGACTCTCAGATTCTGCGATCCGATATGAATAACAATAGTTTTAGCACCGCTAGACGCTTCATCTTCAGCCTGTTCCTCTCCTTCTTCCATTTCAATGTCACCATCTGGGCCGACAGCCTTGCCCTGTGCCAGTGCTCTATCCCTGTCCTTGGCTTCTTTGATCATTCTGATGCGAGCTTCCTCCTGCTGCGATCGAAATGCCAGGATCTGCTCGTCTCTTTTGAGATATTCTAGGGGTCTGTTAGCGCAATACCTGGGCTTGACCTTTGTGTCGCACCTGTGTAATAGTTCTTCTGGTTTATAGCCGTGATTTGAGGCCAGGATGTGAGCTCCATGTTGTTATCAGTTCTCTCCAGCCCCTCCTCTCTGAGGAGAGCCTTTCCGCTCTTTTTCCCAACCATTGTGTTGCTATTGTCGGCTTCGAAATATTTATAGGTCAGGATCTAGAGGACGGATTCGCGCACGAGCTGCGATGGAGGGTCGTGTATCGTTGTGTCATCCCAGGCGTGGCGTGAAAGGGCGATGTTAGGTAGGAGGGCCCAACTTTGACAATATTTCTTAGTGATAATACCGAGCTTTGCGTGTACTGGTGAATTACCTATACAGTCGAAGACACCTGGGCGACAATGCCCATCCTCACTTGCGGAACGCGACACAAACTTTACTAAAGCAGCGAGAGTGCCAGTGCACCCACGTGACCCTTCTGTTTCTCAAGGCTCCGGCGGCATCGGGCCATAATAAACACTCTGCCTTCTTCATATTTGTCGACTTGTTGAACTTTGCACTGTTGTATTCGGGGGACTCGGCTCAGCTCAAGAGCGAACAGTGCTTCTAGAAACCAACCGTCCCATTAGACGATCAGAAGGCAGAAGTCGTCACTAGTTGGCGGCATGATTTGCTGATCGCTTTTTTTCATTTCTTCTGACCTGCTGCTTGTCGACCTTGCTCAGCCATAATGGGAGGCACCGTCTCTAAATATTTCTCCAAGTTAATTTGGGGCAAGAAAGATATTCGAATATTGATCCTGGGCCTTGTACGTTGCTCTCAATCTCTCCTGTCAACCATGGGAGACTGACCGATGCACCCAGGATAATGCTGGCAAAACAACACTCTTGTACAGATTGAAGGTAGGCCATTTTCCACAACAGCCGTACATACTTTCTCATCAAATCAGATTGGTGAAGTGGTGACAACGATACCAACAATCGGATTCAACGTCGAGTCAGTTTTCCCGACCCTTGGCCCGGGCACAACTAATGAAGCTACTAAGATCTGTACAATATGGGAATCTAAACTTGGACGTCTGGGATCTCGGTGGGCAGACGTCTATACGACCATACTGGCGGTCATACTATGCCAACACAGCAGCTGTCATTTTCGTCATCGACTCCACGGATATCGAAAGACTAGAGATTGCTGCCGATGAATTGAGGTCTATGTTAAACGAGGACGAGTTGAAAGACGCAGCTTTGTTAGTCTTTGCCAATAAGCAGGATCAGGTAAGGCCCATCAGACTATCTCTACAGTGGTGATTGGCTGATGGTGAATAGCCAGGAGCACAAGGCGCAGGCGAGATCTCCGAGGCATTGAAACTGGGCGAGCTGAGAGATCGAAATTGGAGCATCGTTGCTTGCTCGGTGATTGATGGCAAAGGTATCAATGAGGGCATGGACTGGCTTTCGTGAGTCTACCAACAGGAACAAGTGGGCGCCAATTGCTGACGAGGAAAAGACAAACGGTTCAATCAGAATCATGAGGCCACTATGAGAAATACCCATTCATTCACGGCGCCATATGTCAAGGCAGTCTCTGATTAGCTCCTGATCCGGCCTGGTGGCCGCTTTTTGGGAAGTATAGGCATTTGGCGATCTCACCAAGCCAACTGAGCCATTCCGCGACGCAACGCCCACGCTGGTCGAGTGCTTCGTCTATCAGGCATCGTCAAGCACGATGTGGGCACATCTTGGATGACCAAGACGGACTGTGCAAGAAGACGAGGGGGGAGTGATTGGGATAAAGAACCTTTGGCCGACCTGGCTGGTTCCGAGGACCACCGAGAGCGTGGGAGCTGTCTGGTTGAGGCCGCCACATTTATATGGTCCAGCAATGCTGTAGAAGGGAGGCCGGTGGATTCTGCAGGGCGGCTTTGTTCCTTCCAGGCCGCAGCTCGAGACAGGGCTGTAGAGAGTATAGTATGGTGTGGCCACTGAGATGATCTGCAAATGGTAGTTTATGATGCGCAGTCTCTTCCTTCCGGCGCATCTCATCTTCAGGGCATGAGGATCAGGTGGTTCGAGCGTAGAGACTTGAAGAATCGTAGACGGGCGTGGATGAGGCGGAGTGAGTGAGTGATTGAGAGAGAGTGTGTGTACATATGTGTGTGGATGCATTGACCGAAACGCTCGCCAAACAGATGAAGCGGAAGCTCGTTCGGGTTGCAAACACTCCACGTTCGCACTCGAAACACTCCAACGTCCACGTCCTCGTGCTCCGTGACAGGTCTACCATCTTCTTTGCCCGACCAAACCAGGCTCACCAGGCACCATCAGCTGCGCAACTCCCTTCATTCATGCCTTAAAGTCATACCTGTCATTGCTGTCATCCTGGCTCGCCCAAAGTCCGTCCTCCTCCTCCTCTCCTCCGTCGCCCTCTTCTCCGTCGTGTGCCTCGTCATTCTGGCTCCGTTTCGTGCTTCTAGCCGGCTAGGCTCGCTCTTGACCCAAATCCGACCTGTGAAGCCGGCGGCCTCCTCCATCAGCCCCTTCAGACCGGTGACTACTTCGAGCATGGCGCCGGGAAAGTTTCGCAAGCCACCACAGGCACCCCCGAGCTTCACCGCGACCCCCGACTCCGTGGTCGAAGATACCAAGAAGTTACTGGCCAGTTCGAAAAAGGTCACGGATGATATCGTCGCGTCCATCCAAGCGAAGGATGCCAGCTTCCACAACGTGCTGCTGCCCTTGGCCTACGATGAAAACCAGCAGTCGCTAAAGACACATATCCTGGGCTTTTACCAATCCGTGTCTACAGACCAAACATTGCGCGATGCCTCAACCGAAGCCGAAAAACTCATGGACGATTTCAGCATCGAGGCCGCCATGCGGGAGGATGTTTTCGAACTGGTCGATGCCGCGCTGAAGAGAGGAGACAAGCTGGACCCCGAATCGCAGAGACTACTCGAAAAGGAACACAAGAGCTACGTGCGAAACGGGTTGAATATCCCTGCAGGGCCTAAACGAGACCGATTCAAGGAAATCAAGAAGAGACTCAGTCAACTGAGCATCGCCTTTTCCAAGAGCCTGAACGAAGAGAAGGGCGGCCTGTGGTTTACCGCGGAAGAACTGGCTGGCGTCCCCGAAGATGTCGTCTCTCTGTTGAAGAAGGAAGGTGACAAATACTGGTTGACATTCAAGTATCCTGACCTTTTCCCAACCCTCAAATACGCCACCAATAGTGCTACTCGACAAAAGGTCTTTGTCGCCAACGAGAACAAGATCAACCAAAATGTCCCACTTTTCAGGGAAGCCATTCTCTTGCGAGATGAGGCTGCTCGCTTACTGGGTTACCCGAACCACGCTGCCTTCCGGATTGAAGACAAGATGGCCAAGACACCGAAAACCGTGGACGACTTTTTGGGCGACTTACGCAACAGATTGAGCCAGGGTGGCCTGGACGAGATCGAGACGCTGAAAGCCTTGAAAAAGGCAGACTTGGAATCTAGAGGAGAGCAATTTGACGGTCGTTACTACCTGTGGGACCATCGTTTCTACGATCGGATGATGGAAGAAAAGGACTACCAGCTCGATCAGCAGTTGATCTCCGAGTACTTCCCTCTGCAGACGACGATCCAAGGCATGCTTGAGATCTTTGAGCAATTGTTTGGGTTAGTGTTTGTCGAGATCGTGGGCGAGGACCGTGACACCGTCTCTGCATCCGGAAAGGGTGCGGACATTGTCTGGCACGACGAGGTTCAAGTATTCAGCGTTTGGGACGACGAGGGTGAAGGTAACGGATTCGTGGGCTACCTGTACCTCGACCTTTTCCCGCGAACTGGCAAGTATGGACACGCCGCCAATTTCAACCTCCAACCTGGCTTCATCACGGAGAACGGCACGAGAAGATATCCAGCCACAGCCCTCGTGTGCAACTTTTCCAAGCCCACAGCCAAGAAGCCGAGCTTACTGAAACACGATGAAGTCACCACTCTCTTCCATGAACTTGGTCACGGCATTCACGATCTCGTTTCTCGCACGACATACTCCCGGTTCCACGGCACCAACACCGTCAGGGACTTTGTAGAGGCACCAAGTCAGATGCTAGAGAATTGGTGCTGGACTCCATCTCAGCTGAAAGCATTGAGCAAACACTATTCGACATTGTCGCCCGAATACTACGCTGCATGGAAAGAAGCTTCAGGCGCCAACGCAGGAAGCACCGAGGAGCGCATCCCGGATGATCTCATAGAGAAGTTGATCAAGACCAAGAACCTCAACGGCGCACTGTTCAACCTTCGTCAGTTACATTTTGGCATTTTCGACATGGCCATCCACGAGCCCAAAGACCACGAGAGCCTCGAGGCAATGAAGATTTCCGAGACATACAATTGGCTGAGAAAAGACATCAGCAAGATTGATGGGCCCGAAGTGCTAGGAGAAGGCTATGACTGGGGGAACGGTCAAGCCACCTTTGGTCATTTGATGGGTGGTTACGATGCCGGTAAGTCACGAGCCGATCTTTCTGCCGACGATGTGCAAGGCAAGACTAACTCTTTTTTTTTTCTACCAGGTTACTACGGCTACCTCAGCTCTCAAGTCTATTCGACCGACATGTTCTACTCGGTCTTCAAAAAGAATCCCATGGACCCCAAGGAAGGCCGACGATACCGCCACACGGTGCTCGAAAAGGGGGGGAGCCAGGACGAGATGACGACGCTGATTGATTTCCTCGGCAGGGAGCCTAAGACCGATGCCTTTTACGAGGAACTCGGCCTCACCAAGGGTACACAGTCGGGGGCTACTGCCAGTTAAATGGTGTCCAGCGAGCGGTCCAGCGAATGGAACCCAGCAGACGAGGAGTAGTGTAACAGTCAGTTGACATGGCCTACATCAGTCCAATATGGCGAATGCACAGTACGGAGTACTCAGTATAGTGTCCTCCCTATTGTGAATACTATCCCTTGTGGCGAAGGTTGTTCCTCAGGCCCCCCTGTCGTGGAGGCGGTCAGATATGTACATGCAGAACTCATTTGTATATACAACACTTGAACACCTCAGGTGTCTAGTCGTCCCCGACACCGCCACTCACTCACTCACTATAGGTATGTACACATGTAATAGTCTGTATTTTCTACACATGTGACAGTAGATTTTCTGCCCACACATTCTCATTCACAAGCTTAGTAAGGTAGGCTGCCATACCATAATTCCGTTAAACTTAGACATCCCCAGCCTTGTTCTTTAACCAGAAGGCTAGTCCAGGCGTCCTATACACCAAGGTATATAGCCTGCGCTCCCCCCATGCCCATACCCCTTTGGTAGAGAAGATGGACCATTTCAACTCTTGACAACCTAATTCACTATAATTCACCTTGGACATTTCAACCTCTGACGAATTCACCATAATTCCGAATACCTTGTCAAGATACCATGTATCTATCATTCCGCCATATTTCCCCTTCCCCTCAACAATTAGAAGCAACCTGAAGCTGCCTTGTTTGGACTTAGGTCCGCTGGTGGGCCCGCAACACCTCAGGCGACGGCAAGGAGGCTCTTCTAATCGTGTTCGAAAAACTCTCGTTCGTGTTCGTGTTCGTGTTCGTGTTCGTGGTTGTGGTTTCACTTCCCTCCAAGTCCTGTGGGTGTGGGTGCTTGGAGGAAAAGGTTTTGGGGAACTTGTTCTTGTTGTTGTTCTTGTTCTTGTTCTTGGTTTTGCTTTCGAATCGGGAACGTGTTGTTTATTAGATGAGTAGATCGTTCTATGTGTTGTTGTGTTGTGTTCTGTTGTGGGAATCTACGTGGTCTTGTCAAAGGTTGAAATATTCCATATCCTCTATCAAAGGGTCGCAGAGGGAGCGCATGCTATATAAGGTAGTGTAGTATAGCCTAAACCGGCCTTCTGGTTAAAGGGCAAGGCTGGGAATGCCAATGTTTGACAGTTGTAACGCTCGTTTATGTGGTCGTGTGTTGTGGTCGGTGGTGTATGTATATATATACTAATATACTACTCTACTGCTATATAGAAAACCATAGAGGATACCTATGTACCATACTACCTACCTACCTACCTACAAACCTACCCAGGACTATGTACTGCATATACAGTATGAATGAATACTCGGTCCACGTATCGATTCCTCTCGGCAAACATCTCTCCTAGACTGGAGAATCTGAATCAACAGGCGATGCTGAATCGATGGTCTGCACTTAGGTAAGGATAGACCATGTATGTATGTATCTCTTAGAGATTCTAATTCAGGGGACGAGACAGTGCTGGCTAGATGCAGTGGTAACATGGAGAGATCAGATCAAGGGATTAAGATAGGAGTAGGGGACCTGCAGTATTTGTCTTATAATAAAGTACGTATACTATCGGTGTAACATAACTTCTCTCTCCACGTTCGTGGCCCTCACGGCCGAGCGTCGTCATCATGTTCTTAGAGTTCCTCAACATGTCTCATGGTTGCTCAACGCAGAGTCCCTCAACATGTCTCATGGTTGCTCCTCAGAGTCCCAAGGCCTCCTCGACTCTCTCCCGCTCTCGTTCGAAGAATTCCTTGACCCCGCCCAGGGCGATGCCATAAGCTCGGACTTTGTCCAAATCGACGGTGGTCGGGTTCTGGTTCTGGAAGATCTGAGCGTTATAGAAAGGGTTGTCCTTGGCCGCCTCGGCCTCTTCGGGAGATAGGTGGTCGACACGCACAACCTTGCGGCGGCCTACGGCTTCCGACAGTAGGTCCGCAATCTCGGACATGGTCAGGTGGACGCTAGCGATAGGGACGATCTCGTTGGCGAACTTGAGCCGTGCGAGGTCGGCAGGACTCGAGAAGGTTATGTGTGCCACGAAGCGGCCGATGTCAGCCGGGTCGAGGTATGACAGACGAAGCGAGGGGTTCAGGGCAGTCTGGATGCTGGGCTCGGCCGCTGACAGATTCGGATACATAATGCGCTGGCCCGGCGGGAGGAAGTTCGTGAGAAAGCCGGCCGGCTGGAGAATGGTGTATGTGTAGCCCTCTGGCCGCGGGACGGGCGGGTCCTTGACCAGATCGATGATGGAGGCCTTGCTGACCCAGTACTGTCCCATCCAGGAGTCCAGTGGCAAGTTGTTGAACGTCTTGTACTCGTGCGCCGCCGTGACCGAGGCCAGGATGATGTGCTTGACGCCGGCGGAGAGGGAGGCGGTCAGAATGTTTCGTGCATGTCGGCGTTCGGCCTCCGGGTCCGTGAACGACGGGGTGACGTTGAGAAAGGTAGACGTGCAGGATTCGGCCGCTCGGGAAAGACTGTCCGAGTCCTCGAAGTCGCCTTGGAAGAGCTTGACGGTTTGGGGGTCGAGAGCCAGGAGGGCCTGGGAGGCTTGAGAAGCTTGGTCACGGACAAAGGCGTGAATGGTCACGGTGAATCCTGATCCTATGGATTTGGAGGCTGAAAGGAGTTCCCGGATGACATGGCCGCCTTGAGTGCCAGTTGCACCTGTGACGAGGATGGTTCGATGTTGGGAAGACATTCTGGGTCAACAATTGAGATTTGCTCGGTTAAGAAGTTCCTCCGGGATGGACCCAAGCTGCTTATATATACTTGTTATCCATCCCACTTTCAACTCGTCAACTCGTCCCAAAGTGGTCTGTTCCAAAGCTATCGGCCGAGAAGTTTCCTCCGGGATGGACCCAAGCTGCTTATATATACTTGTTATCTATCCTACTTTCAACTCGTCAACTCGTCCCAAAGTGGTCTGTTCCAAAGCTATCGGCCGAGAGAGAGGGAGAGGGGGGACCCGCCTTTCAGATACAAGACCAAGACCAATCAAAATGGAGAATGGTGCCAGGCCCACGGCTGGCACGAAGGCGGACGACAACGAATTGCTTAGGCTCCAGGGGAAAGGAATGCTAGAGGGCCATCAAGCGAGAGCGCTGTCGCCTCGAAGACCCTCATTGGAAGGTGGTGGTGGAACAGGCCCAGTCTGGAGTCTGCTAGGCAATAGACAGCCCTTCCCGGCCAGAGTAGCACACCGAGGAGCCATTAATCAGCCCAAGGTCAAGGGACAGATGTGGAAGGATTGAGCTGTGAGCGAGTTGCAGTGCGTTCAATCGAAGGACAAATCGGCTACTCACCGTAATCACTAGTAGACACAAGAAGCTAATCACCGGAAAGGGAATAGAAGACCTGCACGGGCTGGTTGTGATGAGGAGGTTTCTGTGGCTTCAGTGGGCTGGTCTTTCGTTTGCTTACCGCCAGGAGCAAGGAGGAATGGTAAACCCGCGTCTCCACTAATCTCCAGCCCTGCAGGGAAGATCTGGCAAGGCAACTCTGCGGTGCAAGGAGATGGAGGGTTGGTGTGACTCAAGACGGCGTTTGGATAGCGCTTGTTCACGACACTCACTGGGAGCAAAGGGTTTGAATCTAATCCTGCTGCTCATGTCAAATGCAGTGAATCCGCTGACAAGCAAAATTTCCCACCCGATCCACTAACAGCGCAACCACCTTTTCCACAAGGCCGCTCCGAACTAGGTGCTGTGAACGAGTAAATTCCCTGGCAGGTGTTTACTCCGAATGTCATTGGTTGCCATCTAACTGGAAGGATAATAGATTGATTTTGTCACCGGGACTGCGTCTGGAGGAACAAGGTCTAGCTCGATATATGTCGCCAGGCTGCTGAGTGACTCGAATCGGTCGAAATGGTTGCCGACAGGCTGCCGGGCGCCTGGCTCTGGTACCAGTCCGACCAGACCCTGCAGAGGATTTTTCAACAGAGATTTAGGTGTTTCTGCAACCTCCGGGGTGCAGTGAATGTGGCCATTGTAAGCTGAGAGTATCGAGTCTTTCTCTCGGTGAAGTGACCTCGCGGGTCTGGGTTCAAGGCGTCTTTTCCTTGGGTTTGATCTTCCACAGCTGGAATATCTTTGTGAAGTACCAGTCGAAAACACCGGACCAGGTATAGCCGCCAGCGAGGTAATAAACCAACCAACTCTTGTTGCCCTCCCAGATCCATTTCTTTCTGGCATCTCTCAACAGCCACCTCCACGGCCACGGTCCAGCACCGGGAAGGATCTGCTTGACGACACTCTCGGCATAAGCTTCGTTTGGCATCGCACCCTCCTGTGAATGGCCTTGACGTCGGAGGAAATTTTGTTCCACGGCCGTGTAAGCACTATTTTCCGGCAAGACACGGGTGACGTGTGCTGCGATCCTGGATTTCACGCCGCCGGTGACGATGGTGATGACCTTGACGCCGAGTGGAGCCATTTCGACTCGCAGGGTATTGGCGTACGCATGCAAGGCGGCTTTGGAAGCATTGTACACGCTTCCAAAGACATAGGGGATCACAGCCGCCAGGCTGCCTATCATCACGATGGTTCCTTTTGCCTTGATAAGAAGGGGCGAGAAGACTTGACTTAACCGCATCACGGCAAAAATATTGACGTCGAATATCTGCTTGACATGTTCGAGATTGATGTCAAGGGCTGGCATGACATAGGAAACGCCCGCGTTGTTGACTAGGTGGTTCGATCGTTAGCACAAAGAGTCTCGCGACTTGGCTCTTTCCCATACCCAGGTAGTCAAGGCCACGGCCGCCTGTCAATTGCTCAACGCTGGCTGCACATTCGCGGATGGACTTGTCATCGTCGACAACCAAGGGTAAGGTCTCAATCCCGCGTTCGGACAGACTGGTAAGCTGCTCTGTTGAACGGGCGGTGGCAAGGACTCGCAATCCTCTGTTGTGAAACGCCAGGCAGAGAGCATGACCGATCCCTCCAGGAGCACAGCCTGTGATGAGGACGGTTTTTCGCTGGTCTGTGGAAGCCATTGTCGGTGGGCTGGCAGGACAATGCAAGGCTGGAAGATGGAAGATGGAAGATGGGAGACGTACAGTAACTGGTACCACTAATAGTAAGGGACCTAAGGTACCCTAACCCTAACCCTAACCCTAACCCTAACCTATCTAGCAGGTGCCTGGTACTGTAGACATAGTACGGAGTACCCCGTACGGTGTCGCCCTCACTTCCAGCGCAGGCTGAGGCTGCGCTGCTTACCTGGTACAGGTTAGCGTTCGGTGTAGGGCTTACTGTTAGCCTAACGGTCGTACGTACATACAACGGGAAACACCTCGACACGGGCCTTAGCCCTTTGCTTCGGCGTAACTGACTGGTAGCTGGTGGCTTGGGTTCTGGTGGCTTCCGCTAGAAGCCTGCATCATTACAGTACATGGAAAAACACGGGTCATCACATAACCATTCATGGAATATTTACTAGTTGTACTATCTTGAAACCCAAATTCCCCCAGTGGCAGTTCCCCTTTTCCCACCCACCGAACAAGACCCTAGTAGATGTACCTGAAATGGTCCATTTCGCGGTCGGTGCGATCGTCCTCGAGCTCGGTGGCAAGCGCCTGGTCCTCGACGGGCCCGCTGATGCGATCCTTCTTCTTGTTGCACCAGATGAGGTAAAGGCGCAGGGCGAAGGTTGCAAGGATGGTGACACAGAAGCAGACCAGCATGGCGGCAAAGCCGGAAGGGTAGTTGGGGGCCTCGGAGTCAAAGAACAGCTGGGGACCGACGATGTTTCCAACGCAGTATGCGACGAACGACTATTGTTGTTTAAAAAGTCCAAGTTAGCCATGCTATCTGATAATGCTGGAAGGATTTTTGGGTGAATTTTGGGGTTTTTAAAAAAACATACCATGGCGTTGACGGTCGTCTTCTTGGTGATGCCTGCGTTGTTGGACGTGTTCATCACCAGGATCATGGGGAAGTTGGTCGTGTAGGCCGACAGGAGACAGTAGCCCGAGTAGCGAGCCCAGATGTTGGAGTTGTCCAGTTGTCGGATGACGACGGCCCCGATCAGGCCAATGGTCGAGCCAGCCATCATGAAGTACGTGCGACTGTTGGGCAGGTAGGTGCTGCCGATGGTGACGACGAGGACGAAGAAGCCCTGGAAGGCAGTGACAATCATGTTGACCAGGAAGGTCTCGTTGACGCTGAAGCCGAAGCCGTGGATGACGATGGCCGCAAACTAACAATCAAACAACAGCGTCAGTGGCTGAAAACGCCGTTTTGTTGCGGGCTGGACCAGCTGGGGAGCCTCGGGGGGGGGAAATTCAACTCACGTTGCTGATGCCGCCGTTGGGGATGTTGGTGGCGAGCATGAGAAGGGCCGTGAACCAGGCCTTGGGGTCGCACAAGGCCTCCCAGAACTGGTCCATCTTCCACTTGTTGTGCTTGACGCCCGTCGAGTCGGCGTTGATGCGGAGCACGGCCTTGGGCCGATCCTCCGGGCGGAAGAACCACGCCTTTCCCGGCGCGTCGGGGAGGATGAAGAACATGACGGCGCCCCACACCACAGTCAGGCCGCCAAAGGTCAGGAAGACAATCTGTCCAAGTCAGGTGCGTCAGTGGCTGTTTTCTCGGCTGTGCGGAGGCGGAGGCTGGTGAGTAGACCTCGGGACAGATAGGCTCACCTTCCAGGCCGGGTAAGAGTGGATGTGCCCGAAGGCGTACATGAGCGGTCCGGCAAAGAAGCCGGAGACGATGTTGCCCAAGAACCAGACCCCGGTTCGCAGCGGCTGCTCGGATCGCTTGTACCACAGCGAGACGATGATACTGAATCCCGGCGCGACGGCTGCCTCCATGAAGCCGAGGAAGAAACGGGTGGCGATGAGTCCCGACGAGTTCTTGGTGGCCGCCATGCACATCAGGACGGCTCCCCACAACAGCCTTGGAGACGAATGTGTGAGTCATGGCCAGCCATACCAGCGACGGGGTGTGACTTACACCGAGACGGACATGAACTTGCCAATTGGCAGGCGAACAATGATGAAGGCGATGGGCCCCGAGGCCGCAAGGTATCCGAAGTTGAACACGCTCGACGCCCACGAGTAGTCCTGGCCCTGGAGATGGAGGTCGGAGCGCAGCCCGAGGATGGCCGCGTTGGCCATGGTGGACTTGTCGAGGTATTGGAACATGTAGGTGACGAAGAGAACCGGCAGCAACCTGGCCAGTCTGGGGTCAGCACGGGCTGAGCTGAGGCTGTAACTATTGTTTTGGGGGAGGGTTCAGCCACCTACCACATGTCTGCGCGGCGGAGAAGCCTGCGGTCCTCCGCCGGCGACAGGGCCTCGGAGGCCGCCACGGCCTCGAACGAGGCCTCCTTCTGCATCAAGACGTCGGCCACCTTGGTCTTGTCCTCGATGTCGGCCATGGATGCGAAGGTGGTGGTGGCGTGATATAGATTGATCCTCCGCGACGTCGCGCCTGATCTGATGATATATGTGTGTGGTTGGCGCCGGTGACAGCCGCTGTTTCTGCAACAGGAGTTTTCTCAGATGTGTGTTGTTCCAGACCCCGAGCTCGACGACTCTTCTTATACCGCTTCTCGCGGGACTTGTAAGGGGACAAGGAGTCCCCAAAACTAGCGGACTTGAGTTTAGAGCATGGACCCATGGGTATCTAGATATCTCTCTATCTTGTCCTTCTACGCCATGCCTGATAAGCCACTGATAATACACTCTTGGACGGGGCCCACAGCCATTCCACAAGAGACCTGATGAAGTTATCAACCGCCAAAAGCAAAATCGCAAATAGCCGACCTGGTGGGCCCCCCCCGCCGGTCGGCAAATTCGGGGCCTGGATCTAGACCCGAGAAGAATTCTCTCCCTCTCTCTGAGTCGCACGACGTCTTCTCTCTGAGAAGGGCCGTGGGGCCCACCGTCAAATGACAAACTTGTCGATGTTGCTTTCGGCGAGGACATCCAGGTAACTCTGTCGTGGAACGCCGTCCGCATCTTCAGCCTGGCTGGCCCTCAACAATACGGCGTACGCCCTCCGGTAGTTCTCGCCGCGCTGGCGCAGCCGCGAGAAGCGGGTCAAGATCCAATCGCGATGCACGAGATCGGTCGTCTCGAGCGCGGCGATGAACAGAGGCCAGGCGATGCGCGCCATGGCGTCGTCGCCCTCGTCCGCGTAGGCCCGGTACGCCAGCACCATGATCTGCTGCAGGGCGTCGAGCTGGCCGGTCTCGGGCGGCGAGTGGCGCCGTGTGATGCGGAAGTAACAGGTGACGACGGCGTGGTAGTACGGGATGATGAACCTCAGGTTGCTGATGAACCTCTTCTCTCTGCCCGTGGCCGAGCGGAAGTCCAGCCGCGGCGCCACCTCGACGAGCTCCGAGTACTTCTCGCCGACGACGCGCAACGCACGGGCGGCGTTCTGGGCCAGGTCGCCGAAGGTCGCCTCGTCGTCTTGGGCCCGATGCGCCGCGGCCAGCTGGGAGATGATGAAGCGGAGCTGGCCGATCTGGCCGTAAAAGTAAAACGACTCCCGGTTCTCGAGGTCCTCGAGCAGCTGCTCCTGCGGGTAGGCGGCGCCCCAGATGGTCGAGCTCGTCAAGGCCGAGTAGCGGTGGATGCAGGCGAAGCCCCGGAGTCGCGACACGGTCGGGTCTTCGGCCAGGCCGCCCATCACCTCGCCGAGGGACTGGTTGAAGTCGCCGCCGAATCCGAAGAAGGCGGCGCCCGCGTCCAGGAAGGAGATCCAGACGATCAGGCGACCGCTGAACGGCGAGATGCCCCACCGGTTGACGGGGGACTGATCGAGGAACGACGACCGGGTGATGAACTCCTCGTCCCGGTCCGGGAGGGCGTGCAGGGTCTTCAGGTTCCCCAGCCTCGACCGCAAGACCGACGCGGCCCCGATGAGATGGGTGTTGAGTCCCTCGCCCCAGCCGTCGCCAAACTTTTGCTCGTAGATGATCATGAGCCACAGGGTGGCCAGGGTCGCGTCCAGGAGGGACGACTCGCTCGTGTCGTGGATGGCGTGGGCGAGAAGCCTCATGCTCGTCCCGTAGTGCCGGGCGCCGGCCACGCGCAGCTGATGACCCAGCTCCTCCGTCTGGGACGTGGCTTGATAGGAAAGCTGGAGAGAGCCTAGGGCACAGATCATGTGGAGAACCATAGGTCGAGACTTTGCAATCCCCCAGATGATGGTGGGCATCGAGTACTGCGCGTCCTTGCTGTCGACGGTGCCGCCGATGACGGTGCGATAGCAGTCGATGGCCTCGCGTTCCGCCGGTCCGACGATGGAGAGACAGCTGGGAGACAGCCCCTCGACCAGCAACGGGTCGTAGGAACAGTCAGTCTCGATGTGGCCGCCGTCGCCGTCTCGCGGCGTGGGGGGTAAGGTGTGCCAGGGCACTGGGGTTGCCGGCGCCGCATGCTCGACCGGCGCGGGTTCCTGGCCTTGGGTCGTCGAGGGCGTGACTGGGTCGATGGACGCCGACGCCGTCGCCGACCGTGTGTCGTCTGCTGCAGCCTGAGCCTGGGCCTTGGGCGGATGTCGCCTGGTGTACCTCTTGCGCGGCCGGTAGCTGTAGTCGCAGTGCAGGGCGAGACGGGTGCAGCGCTGGCACTCTGGACGCGCCTCGTCACACTTGACCTTCTTGTCCCGGCAAGTCCAGCAACCATTTCGAGACCGGCCTGCCCGCTCTTGGTCCCTCCCGGCCATGTGACATGCTATCGCGGCGCGCGGCGGCGTGCTGTGGTCGATATCGAGCCGGTCGTAGAGCAGAGGGGGTCATTTGGCGAGGGCTTAGGGGCTGGTTTCGCACAACAAGGAGAAAGCGTTGTCAGCCGAGCAGAGCGGAATAGCCCGACGAAACATTAGAATTAGGCGCCTATCAAGCGGCGTGATGAATTGCCGGCCACCACGAGGCGGGGCAGGCGGTGGCGGTGGCGGAATAAGATTGGATAGGGGATGCTGTATCGGCTCCTCCACCGGCATCTCACTCGGTCAGTAAATTGCCGACCGGGGCGAAATTGCCGACCGGGCGCTGTTGCCCAGCTTCTCGGAGCATCTGGTGGGCCTAAGGAGCCCAAGAGGAATATGATTCGGTATTTCACTGAGGAGCCTGAGCCCAGGGCAAATCAGCTTCGTACCAGTCAGGCGGTACCGACTGGGAATTTGGCGGCCGGCTAAAGGCACGACAAAGCTGCTTGGGAGTCAGAGATATCTACCTAGAACTCAACAAACACCAAGCTTTCATGCGCGTGGCCATGGCCCCTTGCCAGCACCCGTCCCAAAACCCCCCATGCCTGTGAGACCATCTCTCAGCGCCCAACCTACTTTCCCGGTAGAAACCAAGGCACAAGAAAACAGTCCACCATGGTCAGCATCAGCGACGCCCGCGGCACCATCTCCACAGCCATCGACAACGACGATGGCGGACTGCGCGCGCTGAACCTGGACATCCATAGCCACCCGGAAACGGCGTACGAGGAGCGCCACGCCCACGATGCCATCTGCGCGTTTCTCGAGGCGCGGGGCTTCACGGTCAAGCGCCACACGTACGGCCTCGAGACATCTTTCGAGGCCACCGTCGGTCAGGGAGGCCGCCTGGTCGTCTTCTGTGCCGAGTACGACGCCCTGCCCGGCATCGGCCACGGCTGCGGACACAACTTGATCGCCACCAGCTCGATTGCCGCCTTTGTCGGCCTGGCCACGGCCGTGGTCAAGGCCGGCGTCGCTGGCCGCGTCAGGCTCCTCGGCACGCCCGCCGAGGAGGGCGGCGGCGGCAAGGCCAAGCTCATTGACGCCGGGGCCTTCGACGACGACATTGTCGGGGCTATCATGGCTCATCCGGCATCCCAACACATGTTCCAGCCCGGATTCCAAGGGATCGCCGGGTTCCGCACCATCGCCAGCCACAAGCTCCGCGTCGAGTACCACGGACGAGGGGCGCATGCCGGTGGTGAGCCCTGGAAGGGCCTCAACGCCCTGGACGCCGCCGTCGCGGCTTACAACGGCATCTCCATGCTCCGGCAGCACATCAAGCCCGACGAGAGGATCCACGGTGTCATCGAGAAGGGCGGCGAGGTGCCCAACGTCATCCCCCACTATACCCGCATGAATTGGTACGTCAGGAGCCCGACCGTGGCCTCCGGCGACCTTCTCCTGGCCAGGGTAAAGGCGTGCCTCGAAGCGGCAGCGACTACCGCGGGGTGCACGATGAATTATATCTTGTGAGTCCAGGCCCCCCGCGCAGCCCCCATGATGGCGGACGATTGTTTGCCGTTGCTGATGGCGCTGTTTCCTAGTGCCCCTACGTACGAGGATCTCCTGATCGTCGACAGCCTCTGCGCGGCCTACTCTGACGAGATGGCGGCGCTGGGTCGCAGTGTCCAAGTCAAGCAGATCGAGGCCGGGACGATATCGACCGACATGGGTAAGCAAAGTCTCATCTGTTCGAGTGCGGGGCGCCACGAGGGCTAATACAGCTGGGTAATAGGCAATGTGTCACACAAGATCCCCAGCTTCCATGGCGTCTTCGGGATCCCCTGCGACAAAGACGTGCCTGGCCACGATGTCCGGTTCGCCGCGGCCGCGGAGAAGGGACAGGCCCACACGGAATGTGTGCTGAGCGGAAAGGCCATGGCGATGCTGGGGTGGAAACTGCTCACTGACGATGCCTTCGCCGCGGCGGTAAGGCGAGATTTTGAAGAGGCACTGGAGAAGGCGGCTGAAGGATAGACCACTGTAACCTGGACACTGCAATATCATTAGGGCACGATACCATGTGTGGCATTAAAAATGAACGTGAGCGGAACACAGCGACCGGAGCAACTGGGATGCATCATGTCCTGCTTTCCATATCTTGGTAGAATCGCTTTGGCATCAAAAGATCTGGGGTTTCCTTTTTCATGACAACACAGCAGTAGTAACAGTAGTAGTCACCTAGTAGTGGTAACAGAGCCTCAGGGGATAGCTGCCCGTGTGCCTCGCGAAAAGGGGAACTTGCCGGCGCCTGAGGCCCCTGATCAGACACAAGAGTACACCCACATCTATATCATCATTACGCCCCTATCTACGGATCCGCTGGCCCCACGGCAGTCGGGGGGTCTGTCTCCTCTGTAGTCCAAGGCTCGGGGGCGGGATCTGGCCACAGAGACAGAGACGTGGGAGATTTACCGATCGCCTATTTGGCACTCCGTCCGTCCAGCCAGCCGGCTGAAGCCAGCCATTGCGGCCACAGGCTTGGGAGAGCTACCAAGTGGTAATGGGTTTCTTGTTCTAGCCGACATCCGGATTCCCTGTTCGGGACTTTTGCCTGCTTTATTCAACTTACGGGGCCCTTCGTGGCCAAGCCAAAAGACGGCTGCTGCGGCCAGACCATCTCCTATTAAAAAGAAACATACGGCGTGTGCGATTTCCTGTCCAGCGTTGCGTGCCCTCTCTGCGCATCGGCATCTACCTTCACGCCGTCGTCGTAGTTGTCAACCCACGTGTTTTTGTCCTGTTGATCATGGAGCGACTCGAGAGAGCGTCAACCGAGAATGCCGGCCAGCCTTTCTCTACAGTGAAAAGCCACAGCGTTGCGGCCGCGGCACCACTGTCCGACGACACTGACCTCGTTGACTTCATGGGCGATAACGACCCCCATCATCCGTATAATTGGACGCGGAGAAGAAAGTGAGATCTGCCGCCGCCCTTTCCTCCCATCCCCTCACGTTAAATAAAAGCGACCCCGGGTGTTAATCATTGGGACATCAAATATAGGATGCTGACCAGCGCCGTCCTGGCAGTCTCGACATTCATCGTCGCGCTCAGCTCGGCCCTGTTCTCCGCCGCCGTTGGCCCGTTTGCCGCCCACTTTGGCGTGTCGCACGAGGTCGGGACGCTGGGCGTGTCGCTCTACGTGCTCGGCTTCGCGACCGGCCCGATCTTCTGGGCGCCCTTCTCTGAGATCAAGGGCCGGTGGTCTCCCATCGTCCTCGGCATGGCGGGCTTCTCCATCTTCGGGCTGGGCGTCGCCTCGGGCAAGGACGTCCAGACGGTGCTGATCTGCCGCTTCTGGTGCGGCATCTTCGGGGCCTCTCCCATGACCGTCGTGGCCGGCGTCTTCGCCGACATGTTCGACGGCCGGTCCAGAGGCGCGGCCACCACGGTCTTCTCCATGACCATCTTGATGGGCCCGACCATGGCGCCCTTTGTCGGCGGCTTCATTGTCGAGTCCTCGCTCGGTTGGAGGTGGGTCGGCTGGATCTCCAGTATCGCGGGCTTCACGAGTCTGCTGCTCGACTGCATTCTGCTTGAGGAGACCTTCGGGCCCTGCATCCTCCAACGGAGAGCCGCCCGGCTACGGATCGAGACGGGCAACTGGGCTCTTCACTCCGCCCACGATTGCGTCCAGTTAGATGTTCGGACGTTCTTGTCCGAGTACCTCTTGCGGCCCTTCCGACTCCTCTTCACCGAGCCGCTGGTCTTTCTCATCTCGCTGTATCTTGCGTTCGTGTACGGTCTCGTCTACCTCTTCCTCACCGCCTACCCGATGGTGTTCCAGGGGGTCCACGGCATGAGCCCGGGCGTTGGCGGACTGGGATACCTCGGCATGGTGGTCGGCATCATCGTGGGCGGCCTGTATCTCATTGTCATTGTACAGCCCAGCTACCGACGCAAGCTCGCAGCCAACAACAACATCGCCCTGCCTGAGTGGCGTCTGCAGCCGGCCATCGCCGGGGCCGTCTCTTTCGCCGTGGGCATTCTCTGGTTCGGATGGACGGGCTACCGAGAGGACATCCACTGGATCTTGCCCGCGCTCTCTGGGATCCTGACGGGTCTGGGCATCATCGTCATCTTCCAACAGCTCGGAAACTACCTCATCGACGTATATCTGCCCGTGGCGGCCTCCGTCTTCGCCGGGAGCGCCGTCATCCGCTCGCTCTGCGGTGCTGGCTTTCCGCTCTTCGCCAAGGCCATGTTTCAGAGTTTGGGCATCAACTACGCCTCGACGGTGCTGGGTGGAGTGGCGGTTCTGGGCATTCCCATCCCGGTGGCCTTCTACTTGCGCGGGGCGGCATTGCGGTCAAAGACACAGATGAAGACGTGCCTGAGTGATGCCTCGGAGGAGCTCTAGATTGGGGCCTTTGTCAATACACTGTTGATTGCTCCGGGACCGTGCGAATTTGTTGACCGTACCTGTATACTATGGCGGGACGTCGCCACTGATGAAAACTTGCATGATGGAAGGAAAAGCAGCGGGTGCCATTCACACCGCGTTAGTTGAAGCTGATAGTATTATGCAATCTCAAAATACGGTGTTTGACACAGTGCGTGGTCGAGATGATGAGCGTCTGCCGGGTGGAATTATCTGGTCACGTGCCATCTCCGCCAGGCATCCACGTCCCCCACAGCCCATTCCAGAGGAGAAAGCCGCACCGTCCGGTGTCGCCCCTCACTTCCAACGCAGCCACAGCGCAGCCGGGCAGAGACTGCGCTGCTTTCTCCACTGCAGCCCACGTCAGTGCCCCGCCTTCCCAGGCCCTGAGGCCCTTAAGTCTAAGGAGCTAGTCTCCCGTCCGCCTAAACTAAGCTGATCAACAGGGACCTAAGGACCAGTGACGCAGCATCTCTCACCTGCTCGTCGATCAACTGATATGCCTGCGCTGCGCTGCGCTGCCCAGGGCCAGGACTGGGCACTGGCACCTACCAGGTATACTCCTGACATTATTGCTGCGACTTCATCTCAGCCATTCTCAACCTGACGCAAGATATCTCCTGCATTACTTTATGATAATAAGGTCGTACAGACCTCCTCGCATTCTGTCATTGGAAACCCCGTCTTACCTCTTCCGCACTTCAGCCTCACCATTCTCCCCGAGCCAGAAGCCTTTTGGACTTCGGGCAGCTCTCCATCATGTCGAATCTAACCACCGTCACCACTTCGCCAGACAAGGCCTTTCTGGACACCTTCATCTCCCTCCTCTCGCGGTCCTACCTGGCCACCCCGCTCACCACGGCCTTCATCACCGAAATCGACAACACCCCTCCCACCGCCAACCCTGCCCATGTCATTACCCCCGAGCGGCTGACCCAGCACTTTACGCTAGGCATCACCGCCGCGGCGCAGAGTAATGTTGTACTGATTGAGGCGGGTGGCTTCACTGCCGCGGCGCTATGGGAACCGCCTGACTTCTGTGGGATACCCCCCTCTCAGGCCCGTCGAAATCCCGGCCCCATCCTCCAGGAGTTCCGTAGTAACGCACGAAGACTGAAGGCAAGGCATCTCTCCCTGCCCGACCAAGGCCCCAGAAGCTACGACCAACCCGCCGCCCCGAGCCAGTCGTCTGGCGCCCCGTCCGAAGACCCCTACCCGGCGGACTTCAACAAGGACGTGGATTTCGAAACTCGTCCATTCTACCACCTTGCCATGCTCGCCAGAGACCCTGATGCAGAACCAGATAAAGCCTTGGCAGCGCTCAAGGCCTGCATGGACCCCTTCTTGAAGAAGGCCAAGGAGGAGGATGTGCCCGTGTGGTTGGAGACGGCCAGTGAGTCCTCGAAGAAGGAGTATGAGGACTTGGGCTTTAGAGTATGTGAAGAGGTGGTGATTGGCAGTGGAAGGGTGAATGCCAAGGGGTGGCCTGAGGAAGGGGGTGAGGGAGTCAAGACTTGGGCTTTGATGTATGATAACCATCTAAATTGATTTGCAGTCGATTTGCCATATGAATATTTGAAGATATAGTCCGGAATGGCCGGTGCGGTGCGCCTTGCAACATATGGTCAGATATAGTGGTCTACGTCTGAACGGTGTCAACAGTTGTCCGCCCAATTTGTCCTAACCCACTTCGCGATAAGAGTTGTCATATTATCGTCAGGCGCATATTTGTCCACATCTTCGTCGGAATAGTTGAGACCTAAGAACCTCAACCCTAGCAGGATCCACGGCTGAATGAACTCATTGAACACGACATCCACCACTTCATCCTTCAAGTCAATATCTCGCGGGTTGACCACCGACTGGATGCAGTTTGGCACGCGGTAAAACGATATGGGCGAATGGATGGTGTCGTCCCCGTCGTCACCTGCATCGTCCACTGTAGTGTAGCCGGGAGTAAGGGCTCTGTCGACGGATCCTAAGATCGGAGTCTGGCTGTTGCCGAATGGGTGGTCCGGTGGCAATTGCTCCGGAACAACAATATCTTCCGGTATACCCAGTTGGTGGGGAGGAGACATCTTCCATGCCGCCAGCGAAGGGTCGGAGGTTTCGAATATCTCGCCGGCTCTGTTCAAGAGGAAAATGAGCTTCCGCGCTCTATTGTAGGGCACGTCTTTGAGATAGTGGAAACCGCTGGTGAAAGGACACACGATAAATGTAGAGTCCTTGGTGAAAGGGCCTTTGAAAATATCAAAGCGAATGGCTCCCGTATTGGATATGATCAGTCTTGGTCGATCGCCACGCCGGGTATCGTTCACAACGCCGGGAAACACGTGCTCTTCGAGCCAGCTGAAGATGCTGCTGTTACTGGGATATTTGGCGCGGCTCATCCATAGATCTCTCTTTGCGCATCCGAATGTCTCATCAAGGCTGAGCGCGTCTCGAGCCTCCTCGATGGCTTTGGTAATGTTTCGACCTCGCTCAGAATGGAAGGTCGACGCGTTATGGCCGGAGTGATGATACAGGGAATAAAGGTTGTTGTCGATAAATCTTCGAAAGAAAGTTGGCGAAGTGTTGGCGCTGTTTTTCGAGGAGAGGCCATCGATGGATTGGAATCCAATGGTCTCCATGAATCGGCCGCTCGCCAGACCGTACGACTTGCTGTCGAACTTGTGGTAGTCGCGGATGTGATAGTGTCCGCCGAAGAACTGAATAGGTGTATCCCATTGGACTGAGCGAATAGCCCTAAAGATCATGTCGAACTCTTCGGAGCGGACTGCAGAATGTCCAATGACCACAAACAAGTCAATGTCCCGGTCACGGATAGCTTGCTGAAACCAATCTTCTTGTATGGTTTGTTCCACCCTCTGTACAATTGTGTTGTTGTAGTTTCGGTCAAAATTATATAAAAATCCGAATGCCATGATTCGTATTCCTTGCAGTCTTGTGGTGAACTTTTTGTATCTAGGTGCCAGAGGGACAACCTCTCCGGTGGTAGGATTGAGGATGTCAATGTTCGAGGCCAGGTAGCTGTCTGCGTATGCAGGAGCGGTGATCAAGTATTCATTCTCGGATGAGTTCTGCTGATATAGCTCATGGTTGCCGGAGCAGATAATGTCCATATGTTGCGCGCGGAAGATGTCGAACGTGAACAGGCCTTTGGGGTCGGAAGCGTCATACAATCCGTTTCCCTCAATGCGATCACCGGTATCAATCAACAGCAAGTCTCGTCCTTCTCCTTCCAGCTTCTCTCTTAATCGCGCAGCAAAGTCAACGTAATCGCCCCAGTCTGCACTAAACGACGGCTCAAGCAAATGCCCAGCATGCCAGCCGTGTGTGTCTGTGGTGTGTAAGAAGTTGAGCTGACCGTATTTCAGGTCGCGTAGAGGGGCCTCGAGAGGTTCGGGTGCATTTGGCTGCGCTGCGAAGGCATGCGATGCCAGCAACGCAAAGGCGAGCCATGATCGCGAGACCATGATTCAACAATGGTGATTTCGATTCCAGGAGCCTAGAGGCTTCTAACAAAGAGCAATCGGAGTGTGAGACCCATTCCCACCCGCAGAAGAAGCCCTCCCGCACTGGCTCATGTGAGGACGTTGTCTCTGTTCGTCGTCTCTGAATGCCGTCGATGGTCGTTTGGGGCAAACTTGCCAAGCACCCGCTCGGGGTTGAATATCCCTGAAACCCGAGAATGAACTAGCACTTAGTTGTACTAGCGCCACATCAGCTTTCCCAACGGCAAGCTTTCACTCGACGGATCCCCGATCGGCCTTCCCTCCTCGGACCTCAAGAAGCGTAGAGTTGTGATTTTATTGAGCCAGCCGATATTGCTGTCTGCCCAGCTTGTCTCTGTACTCTGTACACTTTTCATATTCACACTTGAGACTCTTTCGAGATGTCGGTCTCACGATTGCTCAGGCCTGCCTCGAGGCTCCTCTCACAGCGCCCAGCAGGCTCTTCCTTGTTACGTCCGGCGTTCCGTAGAGTCGCGCCAATCTCACTACCTACGATTCGAGGATATGCGTCAGAATCCAGCCAGACCTTCACAGTTCGAGATGCCCTGAATGAAGCTCTGGCCGAAGAGCTTGAGGCGAATGACAAGGTCTTCGTCATTGGAGAAGAGGTCGCTCAATACAATGGTTGGTACTCTAGGTCAAGGGAAGGTTGAAACATATATTAAACCCGCTTGTCACAGGCGCATACAAGGTCACAAAGGGACTCCTGGATCGTTTCGGACCCAAAAGAGTGATCGATACCCCCATCACCGAATCTGGCTTTTGCGGGTTGGCTGTTGGTGCGGCATTGGCTGGTCTGCAACCTGTCTGCGAGTAAGTTGAGCCTCATGCTCGTCGTCTGCCGTGCCCCATCCTCTTTGCAGATGATATCTCAAACATTGCTGATGGCTGGCGTAGGTTTATGACCATGAACTTTGCCATGCAGGCAATTGACCAAATCATCAACTCGGCAGCGAAGACACATTACATGTCCGGCGGTATCCAGCCTTGCCCGATCGTGTTCCGAGGCCCCAACGGTTTCGCCGCTGGTGTTGCAGCTCAGCATTCACAAGACTACTCCGCTTGGTATGGGAGCATCCCAGGCTTGAAGGTGGTAGCTCCCTGGAGTGCAGAGGACGCAAAGGGTCTCTTGAAGGCTGCAATCCGAGACCCTAACCCGGTGGTGGTGTTGGAGAACGAGTACGTGCTATCTCCAGAGCGGGAATAAACTAGCTGACATGAATAGACTCCTTTACGGCCAAGCGTTCCCCATGAGTGCGGAAGCGCAAAAGAATGATTTTGTCATCCCTTTCGGCAAGGCTAAAATTGAACGACCGGGCAAAGATCTGACGATCGTCACACTCTCGCGTTGCGTCGGTCTATCACTTGAGGCTGCCGAGCAGCTGAAGAAGAACTATGGTGTGGAAGCTGAGGTGATCAACTTGCGCTCGGTCAAACCTCTGGACGTTGAGGCAATCGTCAAGTCAATCAAGAAGACAGGCCACCTTCTGGCCGTGGAATCAGGATTCCCTTCTTTTGGTGTTTCGTCCGAAATCCTCGCCTTGGGCTGCGAATATGCATTCGACTATCTCCAGGCACCTCCTGTGCGTGTGACTGGCGCAGAGGTGCCCACGCCGTATGCACAGAAGCTGGAAGAGATGGCCTTTCCTCAAGTTGACACCATCACCACCTACGCAGCGAAGCTACTGAGGGTGTAGGACAAGGAGGAGGATTAAGCTGTCCGAAAAGCATTCTGTATGTGTATTAGCGCCAGCGTTTCTTCGATGAATCTGGGGACTGGATCCGGTGAATTTGGGGTCTAGGCATGGTGGCTACCACATGGCCACTAAGATATATATTATAGTTTCAGGCTCGAATACTCGGGGCGTTGCATGAATAAAAAGGCCCATCACTGCTTTCCGTGCGTCTGGCTATTCTTGCACAGGGCTTCCGAAACCCGGCGTACGGATACTACGGAACCAACCAGGACCTCGTCGTATCGTATCCAGGATGGAGAATGCAGAATCTCAACTAGCCAAGCAACAGCTTCCTGCGGTCATGGCTGCCGCTGTGCAGTCCTCGAGGCGTAGAGGGAAGAAGACGTATCCAATCTAGGACTGTTACAGCCAGACCAAACCAGCAATAGAATGGTGGTAGAAGAGTGCTTCATGTCACGATTGACATCGATAGCGTGGGGAGCTACCATTCCAAGCCAGAGTAGGGCTGATGTGCAAGATTCGCTACAGTCCCAGTTGGATCATGGAGGCGAAGGTATACGTGCACACACACACATATATATAGTACATTGGGCGTGCCCCGAAAGAGATGAGACGAGCTCATGTAGGATGCTCTGACTCGGGCATCAGACTTTGTGGGTTAGGTGATTAGTCACCAAGTCCAGCATGCTCCCTGCGAAGCGATGCGAGGCGACCCTGGTTCCATCCTTCCAGGACGTTAAGAGCCTCAGGACTATCAGCCGTCGGGCGGAACGCCGCTCAGCTTCGGCTTCCGCCTCCTGCTGACATCCTGTTGTGAGGCTTGAAGATCTTGTGGGTTCGGGTGAAACTCGACCATCGAAGGGCCTAGCAGATGCCTTGTACGCCCTTTCCCAGCGCAGGCAGCATCGCATGCTATCCAAGACATGGAAACCCCCGCATCCGATACTGTACCGCTACACTTGCCAGGGCCCGAGCGGAGCTGGGACCGAAGGAAGTCGGATACCTCACTGGACAGTTGTGTGGCTTGTTCGCAGCCGCACGGAAAATCGCCTGCTGGCATAGGAGAGGTATATTCTGCGCGCCGTAAAAACTCCCACATTCACAGAGGCCCCTTTGCTGGGCTTTCTTCAAGTGATCCCAACCCCAAATTGCGACCTGGCCGCTGGTTATCTGAACATGGCCCCAACAAGCGGCACCGCTTCATAGATTTTGTCCCAGTTCTTGGCTTCCCAGCCTGTGCCTGTGCCGGCGCGACCGACGACGCCTAAGCCTCCAGCAATCCATACAGCGGCGACGGTGGCAGCAACTGCATTGATGAATCTCGACCGCCACTTCCGCCTCAGGGTGCCGTCGTGGCCTCCTTCGGTGATATAATCCCGCGAGAGCTTGAGATACTTGGCGGCGCCCGTGACGAAGTGCCAGCTCGCGATGGTCACGAAGGTGGCATAGCCCAAATTCCCAATCAGCGGGTTATGCGCGATTCCGTGCGCAAAGTAGCGCAGCCCAACACCGGCCGAGCTGCCGTCGACCTTGTTCGGCGTGATACGCATCACCAGCACATGGCCCACAAGCAGCGGGTACAAGAGGTAGCCGAGCGCCGAGGTCAGCGAGACCTTGGGCCAGGGGACGGATTTGCGCTGGGCATGGGTTTCGGCGCCGTGGCGTTTCGCGATGATGCGGCGTCTATAAATCCGCAGCGCGATGCCCGACGCGACGTGGAGCGCGACCGGCGCGAATACCAGCAGCGGTTCGAGCGGGAAGGACTGGTAGTATGGCCGCGTGAGCAAGAGGTAGCTGTCGGCCTCGCGCACGTTGCGCGTCACCAGCGGGATCAAGGCGGTGTTTGTGTAGTGCATGGCGAGAAAGAGTGTTGGGGGGAATGTAGTATATTTCTGCACCGCCGAGAGTATGTGTAGTGTTCGCGCGGGCGCGAGGCCGAGGAAATTCGTTGTCGTTCTGGTCGAGAAGGGAAGTTTCTCCACGTCAATGTCGGATGGGTTTGTTGACACTGGAGTGTCGGACACATCGAGGCCATTGTCGCCGTTGCTCCTCCACTGGTATTCGGTGGTGTTGACCTTGTCGTCGTCGTCGTCGACCGGGCTAGGCTCGACTTCGTGCAGTGGTATGGCGGAGATGGAGCCGCGAGTGTCGATTGTGGTCAAGGGCGAGAGGTCTGCTTCTGCGGTAGGCATTGTGAGGGATGGAGGTCTGCAGTTCCGAAGGAGGGAGAAGGAGGTGGAACAGGAACAGATCTTGACGAGGTTATCGCTGCATGCTCCGTGGTAGCAGAGTGTTCGATCAAGTTCAAGCAGATGTCAGATGTCATATACCTACCTGGCTAAAGTAAAGTACTAGTACGGTGCGCGGAGCCTTGTGGTAAACTGGCCAATACACGTCGAGCTGATTATGTACCGGGTGGAATCTACTCTTAAAACTATCATCCCTCTCTCTTCCCCATCTCTCTAGTGTAGAAACTCAGGCGACTTGGCCAAAGAGCGTCCTGCCTTGTACGGCCGATCACTAAGCGCATCTGAATGGTATGCCTTGAAAGTGCCACGCAACAACAAGACGTTCTGTCCTGGTGCTTCATCAGACCTGCATTTCTCGCAGGAGGGAAACTCCCTCGGAGCCATTTCTCGTTCAGCTGCTTCTCCGGTCCAGCAGTGTACCTTCCATCATGGCCCCGGTAAGTCCTATTGGCGCTCATACCGAGTCGCAATATTCATCAGTGCTGTACTGTTCCATTGCTTGTCGGCATTATTGACTAGTACCTGCATCATCCAGCGAGGATTCACCCTTCCTCCCGCAAACACCCAATCTGCCAGGCAGGCACGTAGTGCGTTCTTCTGCTCTCTGTGCCAAAAAGGCTACAGTCGCATGAACGAATTCGAAGCGCATGAATCGTCCTATGACCACCAACATAAGAAGAGATTGAAGGAGATGAAAGAGATGCAGAGACAGGTACAGCCGAAGAAAGAAGAGAAGGGGCCGCTGATGCAGATAAAGCTGGGCACTGCCATCAAGAGTTCGACGGCAGGGGGTGGCGGATTCAAAAAGGGCGGGTTCAAGAATGCCTTTGCTGCGGTCGAGGACGAGGGCATTGTTAAGACCGAAAAGAAGGATGGAGGCGACGACCCTGTCGATAAGAAGCAAGAGGTGGATGACGAAGACAGCGACGTGACCGACGAGGATGATTACTATGATCCACGGAGACCGACTGGATGCATGCCTGGGTGTGGGAGCCGTGTCGCCACAGGCGCTTGATCAGGCGGACCGCATAATTGTGTGGTGGCCAACCGTCACTGAAGAATCAAGCACTGCACACCTTTTAACAGCCTGCACTCCCGTTCATGCCTTGCGCCTAGAACCAGGGTGCTGCCGAGCCATTGTTGACCTTTGCCATATCTCCGCAGTACGGCGCCGCCGTCTTGGAAACCCCCTAGGTAGGGGTTCTTGCAGGCCATGGAAGCAGTCACGAGATTGCCTCGATTGGAGACGAGTCAAGGGGCCACATCCGGGAGGATCAAGGCGATATCTGCGCCCAGACACTCAAGACTAGCTACACGTGGGGCAGGTACAAGATCCAGAGGGAACCATGAGTTGATTGAGCCCAACTAGTGGCCCGGGCCTGACAAAAGGATACTCATATGACCGTGTTCTTACTGCTTAGCAGACACAGGGCTAGTATTGGGCGGTACGAACCGTTCGCAAGGCGTGCCATGCGAATTGTACCTACAAAGGTACCAGGTAGTCATCGAGTCACATAATGCTGCGACCGAGGGGGTCCTTATTTGGTTGCACACAGCAGCAGGTAGTCCTCAATAAGGATAAAGTGTATCCGTATAGCTGTATACGCTCTCCGACTGGTATATATATAGTAAATGGTAGCACTCCGAGTCTGTATGGACACTTTGTACTACTTATGTGGCCGCAAACCCGGTCCAGAAGATACGATCACGGAGAGGTTTGTTGCTAACGCTGCAATGGGCCTTTGGTGACGGGATGCAGCGTAGCTGATCGATATAGCTTGTGATCTTTGCCGAAATTGCTTCCTTTTCAATGTAGCGCAAAGAAGGCCATATATCTCCCAGACTGGTACCCGTCACTCGTTCCATAATGATATAGCTTTTGCCGGTGACACCGGCTTGAAAGAGGGAGTAGACATTTGGTATTGGGACGGTCGTCCGTTCTCTGATATAAATCATAGTTTGCCCTTCTTCAAGATCAATCCGTGGCCCATGCTTGACAATAAAGTGGGCTCCAACTCCAACAACCTTATGGGAAGTTTGGTGAATCAGAACATCTTACGAGTTCTCAATTTGAATTATAGTTGGCAAGCACGATGGCAAAGTCTCCACCGCTGTATAGAATGCTAAGTCCATCACAAGATGAGTCTAGGTCAGAAGGAGGGCCACACGCGAGCCGTAGGAGCTGTCAGGCTTGGGCGACCGAGTGAGCCCGAAAGTAAAGGACTACGACGACGGCAACGACGGCGACGGAAGCTTAGACTATCAAAGCTGGAAGAAGGGAGGAGAAAGTCCGCTCTAGATCTATTACGGAGTATTTGCGAAGGACTTGGAGAGAGCACGGCAGACTCGTCGCCAGTGAGTGAGCGACGCTATATCTACATTAATAGGTACTTTTGAGGTGGGTGGCACAGTTTAGAACGACCAACTACAGTAAAGCGGGAGCAAAGTTGCTAGTAGGGCTAAGGGGCTAATCATGGCCTTAGGAGCCGTCAGACACTGCAGGCCCCCCCGGATGAGCAATCCCGGTGGCTTAGGCTAAGGCGTACCATTGGCGAGCCGGGGGTCAGCACAGGGCGGCATTACCCTAGTCTCGATCGGGGGTGAGCCGCGAGTAGGTAGTTTTTCCTCATCTTGGCAGTAATAGCAGAAGAGCCAGCCGTGCCTGCCAGTGTTGAAGTTGACCTTGAAATCTACGCCCAACTTGCACTCACCTTCGCACTTGCCTCTTTTATCCTACCATTCCTTCCATTTTGGATATTGATTCATTTTTTGATTAATACGTAAAATTTCTATGGATCCCGAACCTTTCCTTGTAAGTCATGGCCATCAAAGATGTCCGGCGACCAAGACGTCGCGCAAGAAGCCCGTAGTGACTCTAAGAAGCAAACAGGCGACTACTCAATTTCTGATACGGTAGTGCAACCGCCTACCTTCTTCTCTGCAAATTCACCGAAAGGTGAAGCAACAAAAGTCGACCTCGCCATCGAGCAAGAACGGACTAAGCGAGCTGCATACTATTCTGGAGCCTTCACAGTTCTTACGATCGCAACAACTCTCATTGTGTCTCGCCTCACCCGGCAATTACCTAAGTCGCCGGCAGTCCCGCCCAAGCCTTTCCCTCCTTTTGACAGAAAACATTAGTCTGAGTGAGTTTCACAGCTGTCGTCTTTCTCGGAGTTCCCGGGGTCAGGGTATGAGGTTGTTCCGTTATTTTAATGCAACCAAGACTAGTCTCCAGACCTCACGCCATCCCCCGACCTGCAGATCTGTCCTCATACCCCAGCGAGGGATTTCTACGACCATGTCCCGCCCCAGCATGGCCTCTCCAGAACACTTGACCACTGTCATTGACGGCAGGAAATATCGAAATGTTCGAGAAGGTCGAGCATCAATTCTTGCTCCGTATGGCCAAGAAAAGCCATCATCGACCGGGAAACAAGTCCGAAACAACGACGAGGGAAGCCAAGCCGTTTTTTACAATCCAATCCAACAGTTCAATCGGGATCTGACCGTACTCGCAATCACAATCTACGGTGAAGGAGCCGTCCTTGAGAAGGAGGAGCGGTTCCGCCAGAAGGCCCAGCATGGAAAGACCAAGAAGCAGAACAAAAATGAAAGGACCGCAGCCAATGGAGGCATGATTGAACCTGACAGTGCATCGGAAAAGATCAACCCGCTCAAGCGTAATGCTGATCACTTGGAAGAACTTGGCGCAAACGAGAACCCGGCTGAGCCCCCCAAGAAATCGAAAACAGGTGATGAGTTCGAAGACGCGGATGAAGAATTGCTCGTGATGGAACTGAGCGCTGATCCTGCTACTGGTCAAAAAGGCGGAGGCGATGAAAGCAAGAGCAACGGTGTGACTGGTAGCAAGACGCAAGAAGGCAAGGCGACAGAGACGGCAAAATCTGTGCAGAAACAACTGCCCTTCGCCATCCTAGATGCACTCTCTGCAACTGGTCTTCGTGCGCTGCGATATGCCAAAGAGATACCCTTTGCTACACACATTGTGGCCAACGACCTTTCCTCCGAATCTGTGCAGAACATTGAACTCAACATCCAACACAACGAGGTCAAGGACCGAGTGCACTCCAATCTGGGCGACGCCAGAGGTTTCATGTACAGCAAAGTTGGAAACCAGAGGCCACGACAAGGCCCTGGATACGTCCATCGGTTTGATGTCGTTGACCTCGACCCTTATGGCACAGCTGCTCCCTTCTTCGACGCCAGCCTGCAGGCCCTTCAAGACGGGGGACTGTTGTGCGTCACTTGCACAGACGCAGGCGTGTTTGCCTCTACCGGCTATCCCGAAAAGACCTACGCTCTGTACGGAGGCATGCCCGTCAAAGGCCCGCATTCACATGAGGGTGGACTGAGACTGATTCTCAACGCGGTGGCTCTCGCTGCAGCAAAGTACAGCCTCGCCATCGAACCCCTTCTCTCACTCTACATCGACTATTATGCGCGACTGTTCATTCGAGTGCATCGCAAACAACAAGACGTCAAACTGCTGGCCGGTACAACCATGACTGTTTACAACTGCGGGCACGGGTGCGGATCGTGGACCACGCAACCCCTGCTACGGAACCAGGCACAAGTCTCTCGGAGCGGCGAGACGTTCTTCAAGTTTGCCTTCGCCCAAGCACCGCTGACGACTCCCAATTGCGAACATTGTGGATCGAAGCAGCACCTTTGCGGCCCTATGTGGGCTGGCCCTCTGCATAACCCATACTTCGTACAGAAGATGTTGGACAGGGTGCCATCTCTGGACAAAGAGACTTACGGCACGGCAGATCGGATTCAAGGAATGCTCACACTCGCTCTTGAGGAGGACCTGACCCTTCAAAACTGGCCATCGGGGCCCTCGACACCATCAGAGGCCAAGGACCAGATCCTCTCCGGCCCAGATCCCCGAATCATCCCACGCCTCCCGGCCAAGACGATCGACAGCAGCCCATTTTTCATCATGCCCACTCAATTGGCCAAGGTCATCCACTGTAGCACACCTTCGGAAGACATGATGCGTGGTGCGCTTCTCGGACTTGGCTACCGCGTCACCCGCTCGCATTGTAAGCCAGGGAGCGTGAAGACGAATGCACCTTGGAGCGTGCTTTGGGAGATCATCCGAGAATTCATGCGCACAAAAGCACCCATCAAAGAGGGAGCAGTAAAGAAGGGCTCGGCTGGATGGAACATTCTCGCACGGGTCAGAGGCACCGAGAGAGCGCAGGTGTCGGAGCTCAAGGATGGCGCAAGAGACCAGCTTGCGAGATGTGAGACCAAGGATGACCTGAAGACCGTGTTACAGGGTATCATGTGGAGACTGGAGAACGAGAAGCAGCCGTCTCATGCCCAAGAAGACTCCTCCGCAGCGCAGCCGCCAACCACCAGCCATGACAATGAATCGAACTCCGAACTTGAAGCTGAACCTGCTGTCGGCGAGAAACAACAAGCCCCAGCGCGTCCCCAGGCCCGTCGATCACGGTCGCAAAGTCCTCCCGCCCCGGTGCCGAGCAAACTCAACATCATTTTCGACGAGAAGTTGGGCAAAGAGAAGCCTCGCGGGAAACTGGTCCGGTATCAAATAAACCCAAGAGAGAACTGGGGCCCCATGAGCCGGGCTGGGCGGAGTGGCTGAGATTCTGATGCGACTGTGGATGAGTATCTTCCACTCTGGTGCTTGAAGAGATAGCGTGATACAAGGGTATCGTGGTTACAAGGTCCATGGAGGTACTTGTGTGAAGATGTGGCCTCGAATCCTGGGACCTGATGATTCTGCCCTAGCAGGCTCGCTGTGGTTGACAGTACTTGAGATCAACGCAGACAAGCTATGCTAAAACCAAAAGAAAGGACAATGAGGCCGACATCCGACACTGGCGCGTACGGCGAAAAGGAGACGGGTGTTGCGGTAACATGTCTAGGATGCAGAGAGGAGAGAAACAGTGCACTGCAAACCCACGACTTCATAGGTCAAGTGTGAAGTAGGTATACTTCAACAGTAGTAGTATCATTCAATATCAAAGCTTGTCCCACACCCGCAACTGCTCGTTGCTCTGGGGTTGCCGACAATCTTGAATTGGCTACCAATCAATTCGGTGGTGAAGTCGACGGTGCTTCCCTGCAGTAATTCCAGTGACGGTTGATCCATGACCACCTTGGCCTGTCCGCCCTCTGTCTCTTCACTTGCAGCAAACACTGTATCTTCCTCCGGATCGATCTTGGACGCATCCTCCAGGGACATGAGATATTGGAAGCCATGGCAGCCGCCCGACGTGACGGTCACTCTGAGATGCGAATCTTGCGGAGTAGTTGGCGACGAGGCCAGAGTATTCCTCTGAGGAGGGGCGGTTGTGATTTGTTTGAGGCGCTGGACAAAGTGCAAAACCAATATTAGCTAGTGCTGCCCTCCCTTCCACCTGTATCATGCTACTCGGAACGAGTTAAAAGTGTCTTCGGGCCCTCGTACTCACTTTGGCTGCCCGGTCGGAGATCTCAATGGTCATTTCTTTGCCGTCGTCGTCGGCTCGGGGGTTGCGTAGAACCACAGTCGCCTGTAGGGTCCTGGTGTTGGACATCGACCTCGTCACGTACGGGTACGGGTACGGGGCCAGCGGGACATTTGCGTGTCTCTTTGTCCGTTGCATCAGGTCTGGTCCGCGGCAAATGGTTCGGGTTTGGGTTCGACATGCTTGGAAATACGATCGCGCGTCACGGTCGCTCTGTCGACGGAACGGCTGCGCAGCCCGGAATGCGAGTCGCAGGGGACTTTGAGACATTGTCTGAGAGTGAGAGTGAGAGTGCGAGTGGGCTTGAGTGGGTGGTATATGCAGCGGTCGCTGGGGAGTTGTTCGGAGAGACGACACAGAGCTGTGACGCAGAGTGAGAGAGGCAGATGCAGATACAGGCTTGGAGTAATAGGTCGGTGCGTAGTATGTAATTACATATTACTGAAGGGTTTGTGGAGAATCTTCGGCCGCTGACAATTGCACCCACGCTTATTTCTCATTTCTCCGAGAAGCCTCGTCTCCGATCCGCCACTGAGAGGGAGAGACTGGCACATTATTGTATTGACCTCGACCGACACCAGACTCGGAAACCGCTCGAGCCTAGCAGACAGCTGGAGAAGAGATGGGATAGTAGACGATCAAGTCAGCTGCTTTCTTATTCTCCCTCGTTAATCCTGGGCCGCGGCCTCGACTCTCCCGCGCCTGCGGCGAATATCGGTGACTGCTGCTAGTGCTCCCCTCAATTTTCCTCATTGGAGTCATCGACGACTCGCGGCCGACAAGTCCATTTGGACAGTCTGCACTACTACTGGACGGATAGGCTACGAAGTTTTTCAGAATTCAGAACAGTATGGCTCAACAACCTGGAGATCTCTTGGATCCCTTCACCAAAGACCACGCAGCTTCCTTGGATGCCGCCGACCCCCTGTCACATTTCCGTTCAGACTTCTATATTCCAACTCTAGCAGACCTGACGAGGCCGACGCTGGCCACACCCCCTGAAGAACAGCCTTCACCACCGTGCACTTACCTGTGCGGCAATTCCCTCGGCGTCCAACCCGTCCGGACAGCAGACCTCATCAACGCCTTTTTGACCCAATGGCGCACCAAAGCCGTCATCGGCCACTTTGTCGAGCAGGCCGATTCTCCCTTACCACCGTTCCTGCATATCGACGATCACGCGGCAAAGCTCATGGCGCCGGTCGTGGGCGCACGCGAACACGAGGTCGCTGTCATGGGCTCGTTGACTGCGAACCTGCATCTTCTGATGTCAAGCTTCTATCGTCCGAGTAGGAAGGGAGAGGGCCGGTGGAAGATCCTGCTTGAGGGCAAGGCTTTCCCGAGCGACCATGTGGGACACGCCCCCCTTTGGTATCTCTCTGACTAGGTACCTAGACTGACATGCCCATAGTACGCCGTGGAGTCGCAAATTGTGCATCACGGCCTGGACCCCGCCGAGGCCATGGTCCTGTTGGAACCGGCAGATGCCCGTTTTCCAACCTTGCCTACGGAACAGATCCTACAGACCATCGACCATCATGCTTCAGAACTTGCGTTGATCCTTCTTCCCGGCATTCAGTTCTACACTGGCCAATACTTCGACATCCAAACCATCACTGCTCATGCCCATTCACATGGGATCTTGATAGGTTGGGACTGTGCCCATGCCGCCGGAAACGTCGATCTGAAACTTCACGACTGGGACGTCGACTTTGCCGCTTGGTGCAATTACAAATATCTCAACTCGGGCCCGGGAGCAATGGCTGGCATCTTTGTCAACGAACGATTCGGGAACGTCGACATGGAGAGTCCCGCAGAAAAATTCTGGCCGCGTTTAACGGGCTGGTGGGGAGACGATAAGTCCAGCAGATTCCAAATGACGAACAGTATGTTCCTTTCCTGTGGTTTGAACTCGGCACTGACTCGCCCAGAATTCGTCCCCAGACCCGGGGCTGCAGGTTACCAGGTTTCCAACCCAAGCGCGCTTGACCTTGCCGCAGTCGTTGCTTCACTACAAGTGTTCAATGAGACGTCCATGGAACAGTTGCGAGAGAGGTCTGTAAGGTTGACCCTCTATCTAGAGCAACTCTTGGACGCGATGGCCCTGAGAAAGCCTGGTGTTTTCGACATCATTACTCCCAGAAATCCCAGAGCGAGAGGGGCACAGCTGAGCATTCGATTGGCGCCTGGCCTGCTTGATACTGTGCTGGAGCACCTTGAACGGGAGGGTGTTGTAGTGGATGAGAGAAAACCCGACGTTATCAGAGTCGCGCCAGCTCCGTTGTACAACTCCTTCACAGACGTGCTCCGCTTTTCCCAGATCTTGGAAGCTGCTCTAGAGAAGGCATCGGGCTGACGGGAGCCGGGGCCCTGAACATGAACAGACGCTGCAGAAACGACATTCTTCAATCATCTTCGCTATCGCTCGGGTCGGCCTCGCGCCACAACACAAAATCAAACCGGCCATCAAGATTCGCGCGAATATATTCGCGGATGATATCCAGCTCCGTTTCGCTCAGGTCGTACTCGGGATCGGCAGCCATCAGAGACAAGTTGAAGCCTCTCTGGGTCTCGGGATTGAGGCTCGTCAAGAAATCCAAGATGGCATCTGAGGTAAACTGGGTCATGGCGTATAGGTTCAAATTCCTCAGATGTTTCAGGTTCGCAAGGGCTGGCAATATATCCGCCGAGACTTCACCGCCGCTTGTCCAGAAATCCTCGAGGAGTGGGAGGCTCAAGGCCAGCGAGACAATGTGGTCTTCGGAAAACTCATCCGAAACATCTTTAAGAACAAGCTCTCGCAAATTGGTCAGGTTGCATAGCCCTTCCACCATGATTTGAAGGTCATCCGCCGTGGTGTCTTCCCCGTTACCCTTGAGCCACACCGATTCCAGCGACTTTTGCTCGGCCAGTGCGCTGTGAAATAGCTGGGCGCTCGTCTGTCGCACCGTGTACCCTTCCAGAGATAGCTTGGTCAATTTGACGTTGGGAGAATACGAGATCCGGGAGAGGATGGCGGGCCCATCGACGAACTTCTTCAGACTGAGATCGCGAAGCTTTGTGCACGAACTCAACCATTCCACCACTTCAAGGAATACGTCGTTGTTGAGGGCCTCGAGCTGGACCGTGCCGTAGTTGTCGCCCAGCTTGAGCGTGTGTATCTCGGTACATTCTTTCAGTGCATTCAGGTTTTGCATGGCTTCTTGAGTGAGGTTGCCCAGATCCAGTTGTTTCAGCGTCTTGTGACGGCCTAGAGCTTCAAAGGAGCGCTTTCCAAGGTTGTTGTAGCTGATCATCTCAAAGTATCCCAGCGTGTCTGGCTTCAATTCGTCTAGGAAGGTTGCGAAAGCCTCGTCGGCGTCTGGAGAGAGCCACTCGTGAATGGTCAGGTTCCGGAAATTCTCGCAGTGGTCTCGGATTGTAGCCCCAGCACCGTCCGCCAGAGCATCACCCTTCCACAGAACCATAGTTTCCAGCTTTGGAGAGCGGGCAATCCACCTCGGCAAGAACCCAGGACTAATATGGCCATCAATCTCTTCAAGGAGAGTTGTTTTGGCCGTGACTGCTTCTCCTATGGCGTTGACTGTGGCGACGGTGTCGATACCTTGCCTGTTATATTCCCGCTTAGGGAAATGGAAAGTCTGGAGGCCGTCGGCGAAGAAGGCCTTTCGGACGTTACCCGTGAATTTGGGGTCTTCCAACATGGCAGACAGGTTACGGACGTCCAGAGTCTTGATGTAGCGACAATACGGCTTGTAGGTGTTGTGATCGTCAAGACCGGACAGCACGATCGACCGCCACAACAACGTCCACTTGCGGTAGAACTGAGCCTGCTCGGCAGCCTTGGTGGCATAGTTCATCGGACGTTGGCGGACGTCGAGCTCGTCTCTCTGCTCAAACACCGGGGAATTCTGGTGCAGCCTGGACCGGACCGTCTTAGCGAGGGAGGAACGGCAGAAAGCTCTCGCTTTCGCGACGATTTGACTTCACTTACTGATACATGGTCCGCAGCGCAGGATCGGCGAATGATCTCGAGCTCAGCGCGCATCGGTATAGTGATGCAAAGTCCCCATCCTTTCCAAGCTCCTGACATATCATAGACAGGATCTCATCAGGTAAAGTCGCGTCGTGGTAGAAGGACATGGTAGATAGCAGATAGCTCGAGTATCGTATCGGCGCCGGGTATCCAAGTCACGGACAAGGAAACAGACTGCTAGCAATACGTCGAGGGTTGGCGGCAGGCAGGGGGTGTGATAACGATGTTGAAACCGGCTTCCATTCAATACAACCACAAACCCAGACAAGGAACCTGGAAGTCAACAATCAATTGATACAGGTACCGATGAGTACGTACAGTACAGACCGTGGTTCTGTGGTTCTGTGGTTCTGAGGTTCCGTGGTTCTATGGTTCCCGAACCGACCAATGACATTCCCCTCCATCTGCCACTTTACGCGTCTGGAGCGCGTCGGAGAAAGACACCCACAAACGCAGTCTCGGTGGCAGGCGCAGGCCAGGATTAGGTGATTATCAAACCGCAGACGCCAGATACTACTACTCCGTAATTACTGAAGCAATAGTAACATCGGTCGTCCACCCACGATGCCATTGTTCCAAATCCAATATTGATGCCGACGCTGCTGTTCATCGTCGGCCCCCCTGGGGCGGCCTCGATCCACGACCTGTTGACCTGTCTGGCCAAATTCGACGAGGATGTCTCCCTTGAAGCAACACCTCAATTCGTGGGTACCCCATCTGAACTCTACCCATCGTATCGTCGACCTTTTCCATTGACATTGACATTGACGAAACCAGCTTCGCATCTCTAGTCTAAACATCTCCAAAACCACCCATGCCGCTTTCACGCTCAACTCGTCCTTCTTCGACAGGTACCATTTCTCCCCCGGTCCGGCTCAGCCACAGCCACAGCCAAAGATCTGGACCTGCAAGATCCAGAATCGGGTTCGTGTGCCCCAGCCTCTTTATCTGGCTGGCTTGACTGGCTGTTCAAACAATTACAGTTGCTAACCGTCACAGGCTTTACTTGCCATCTTCAGACGGCGTCTAGGCGACCAGCGGGACCGGGACCGGGACACTGGCCTTGAAACGTGCGAGTGCGAGCTGCAAGCCAATGCGGACCAAGCAGAGTGTCGATTGATCTTTCGACTCAATTGCCGCCAGGGCGTCGTGAAAACGTACCGACTCTTCTACGAGTCCGCCGAAATTCTCCATGCGGCGTTTGACCGGGTCGGATCGACCAACTATTGGTCGGTCTCGTCGCGGACGTTGCGTGATGTCGTGGAATACTTTGGTCCAAAGACCGACCAGCTGGACTGGTATTTCCAGAACGGCAAGGTGACATTTACAAGCTACACGGAGAAGATCCAAAGTGGAAAGGAAATCCTCAAACAGCCCATGCACACGTCTGTGGCCCTCGAAAGAAAAGACTTTGACGACTTCAATGTCCAGGAAGGCCTCCATATCGGCACTATGGTCAAGGACTTCCGTGCAATCGTTGCACATGCCGAAGCTATGCGGGTTCAGGTCACAGCAAGATACTCGCGCGGTAACCGACCCATGCAGATCACCTACGAAGAGAACGGGCTCCTTGCCGAATTCACCTTGATGACCAGAGGCACCACAAACCTGCCCATCCCTTCCAGTGGAAGCAGAGGCACACCGGCACGAGATCTGTCCATGCGTCCAGTGTCTCGTCCGCCTGAGAGCCAGACAGCGACGGCGACGGCGACGGTGGCAGCAGATTCTTTTGCTACGGCCGCCAGACCTTCGGCGACAGATGCGAGCATGCCTCCTCCCGCACGCACCTCCATGCGACACGGCGAATCCGCAGCTTCCACGCTGGCAAAACCAAATTCGACAGAGTCGACGCTGGCACCAGCCGGGAGCATGAATCCGAACAGCCTGTTCATCCCGGCTGACGACGATGACCTGCAATGGGACGCACCCAACTTCGAGGAAGAGCCAGACATTGTGACGTGGGACAACACCGCCGACGACGGGTCGGCATTGAGCTCCACGCGACGTGTCCGCGATTCAGCCCTCCATTCTTGGGCCTCGATGCAGGAGCAAGAGCGTCGAGCATCACGGGTGGCGAGGACAGAGATGGAGATCCCACACGAGATCGCGCCGACGCAGCGTCTTTCTCAGGTCCGGGGGATCTTTGATTGAAAAGAAACCAGAAGCCAGAATTCTCCTCTCCAATCCAAGCACAGATGATCTCATCTCATCGGCCCTTGATACCACAGACCACGAAACTCGTGGCACATCCTGCCGAGACACCTTTCACAGTCAAGCTTAAGCTTTCATCTGCCAGTCGAGGAGTCTCAATCACATTCCACCTGCCCGCGACATTGCCCTTTTCGTCCAGCTCTCCGCCACAGTTGCCATGCTCACCCCAGCCCCACGCAATGACTTGATTGTCTGTGGTCAGAGCGATGCAGTGCTCACTTCCTGCAGCCAGATCCTGGATGGCTGGGAGCCCAGACGGCGCCAGTTGGCCGCGATGGTTTCTGCCAGCACTGTGCACCGATCCTCGCCGCGGCGAATAGACGTGGATCGAACCCCAAGCCGAAACCACGCGGTCACCGTCTTCAAGTGGCCGCTTCAGCAACTCTGACTCTCCGTCGATGAACCTGGTGTCTCCCCAGACCACAGGTGTCTCGCCTGTCTTGAGGAAAACGGTATACTCCCTACCCACCACCACCCTCTCTGGGGTCCAGGCTGGCCAGCCACTCCCTGCGGAGTCCCGACTAACCTTGATGGCTGCATCAAGATCATGATCAATCCTCGTGGGGGTCCATAGGACCTTTCGGTTCTTGACTCGCTCCCCCAGCTGTCCTTTGCGACAATTTCCCCAGCCAAAGACATGTCCATTTGACAGAAGCACCACGACATGGGCCATGCACGCTGCAATGGCGCGGATTCGGATTCGAACTCCGGCATGCTTGTCATTACCATTGCCATTGCCATCACCACTCCGAGAGCTACCGTCAGTCGTGTCATGATCGAACTCGAACCCGGCAACATCAAACACTTTGGTGATGGTTTCTGCGCGTTCGACCCCTTCACCGAGCCCCAGTTCGCCCTTGGATCCTGTTCCACAGACAAACACGACTTTGTGGTCAACTACGACGAATGAAGCGTCCCATGTCGCCGCGATGTCTGTGATCCTCCCAGAAAGTGTCTGCACGGATCCAGAGGTCGTCAATGCCTGCAAGTGGTTGGGATCTGACAATGGCGACCCCTCAGGCTTGCTTGGCGTGAAGAAGTGCGCTCGAACATGACTATCATTGGTCCTGAAATCGAAATGGCGCTGCACAAAGACAGTCGTCGATTCCTCAGAAGCTTCACACCCGAACTTGCCTGCGCTGAAAACCTGGCCGTCCTTCGTCAGGAGGAGCGTGTGATTCCCTCCGGCGACAATCTTTTTCACATCCACATACTCTGGAGCCATGGTCAAGGGCGCTTCTCTGGCACGGTCGCCATCATCATCATCATCGTCATCCTCCTTATCTTCACCATCCTTCACGCCCTCAACTCCGCCCGCCCTACAGCGAGACTGGAACCTGCATTCCTGCAACCACGCCGTGTCCTCTGTATGGCCTATCCCCAACTGTCCTGACCCGTTGGATCCGAGTGCATATACCGCGGGAACGGGTCCAGGTGCAGATCCTCCTCGTTTCCGTCCTGCCTCTGCCTCTGCCTCTGCCTGCTTCGTCGAGGCCGACATCGACATCGACATGTTCAAGATCAGTGTGACTGTGTTGGATTATGGTCTCGACTGTACATGTAGTGCGCGCCACCCTGGCATAATAGACAGATAGACGGATGGACAGATAGACCTTCTCGCACAATATAGAGATGGACAGATAGACCTTCTCGCACAAAAGACAGAATCTAGACAGACCTTCTCACGTCTCAGGTCTCACATCTTGATCAGATCATGAGGATCCGTGCCGCATTGACCCCGTGGTCCGTAAGACCCAGTGTGAAAGTCGGAGATAAGGGGATGATGGATGGAGGGTAAGCCTGGATGATGGATGAACTATGTGTATGGGTTAGTTAATGTTTCCATTTCCATTTCCATTTCCTAGGTGCCAGGCCATCTTCGATCTCACGTCTTAAAATAAGACAATGTCTGTCTGTCATGATATGATCCACAGTAAGGTAGTCTTGGCTCTCTTCAGAAATCATATTCGGCGGAGCAAATATGCCTAAATGCAAGCAACAACACCAGATCAGAACCTACGACTTACAAGTCCAAAGCCTGTATCCGTATACTCCGTATTGTCACCAAGAATAATGTACACCAGTTTAGCGATTGTGAGGCACAAGTCATATCCTTGGTTCTATTTGACGCTCAGATATTGTATGGGCTCCCCGTATCTTCGGTTCTCCGGCGGAACCCCAACAGTCAATCTAGTCCTCCTATCAACCTCGGCCATCTGGAGTACTTGGTATCTATTTCGTTCATTCCCCCGTCCCAAGAACAGACTTGACCAGCTGGACAGGACAGTCCAGGCAACAAACAAACTCCCATGGATGTCGTGTCCTCATAACGTCGTGTCGCCATTATACTCCGTTCCACCATGAAGTTTCGTGCACCTGGAAATTGCCTTTCAAAGGCGTCGAAGCGCTAGAATCACCGACAAGAACGTCGTAAACGTCCTTCTCCATCACCCACGCATCCCGTGCTTCATCCCAGAAACTTGCGGCGTACTTTTTGGAGATGACAGTATCGACAATCTCGGTGCCTCCTGCTTTGACAAACACTTTGGAAAAGCCCTTCAACTCCTTCTTGGGCCGGTTAATGCTAGGGTGGTGCTGTGAGATGTACACCTGGACAACTTGAGCACCGTCAACCTCGCCGGTATTCGATACCGACGCGGATACCACAATGTCGACTCCGTCGTCATTGACAGAGAGAAGTTTGATATCGAAAGAAGTGTAACTCAGTCCATGGCCGAAAGGGAAGGCAACCTCTTTCCTGGTCTTTTCGTAAAATCGATACCCAATATATACGTCTTCTCCGTACAGGGCCCGGTTTCGCTCCGACTTGTAGTTCAAGAACGCTGGATTATCCTCGTTTCTGACCGGAAAGCTCAAGGGCAACTTGCCACTGGGGTTCGTCTCGCCGAAGACAACATCTGCAATGGCATTGCCGGTTTCATTACCACCGTACCATGCTTGTAGTAGGGCCGGTGCTTCTTTCGCCCAGGGCATGGTGACGGGGGTTCCAGATTGGATGACAATGGCGGTGTTCGGGTTGGCCGCGAGAACGGCTTTGATCAAGGCGTCACTTCCTGGCGGAAGGTCCATATGGTCACGGTCGTAACCTTCTGATTCCCAGTCCTTGTTAAGCCCAGCACAGATGACGACTTGGCCGACCTCTTTAGCAAGCTTGACAGCTCGCACGATTTCCGTGTCAATCGACGCTTTGCGCTCGAGTCCGATTCTGAGCCCACCCGAACCGAAGCCGGTGGTGCCAGGGCTCGTGAACTTCATAGTCGGGAAAGTGCCAAAGGTGATCTTGATGTCGTATGTGACGCCTCTCTCCAATCTGAGAGTTCCAATTTCCTCCGCCGTCCCTGCGCCGAAGAACGAGGGACCCGGTCGTTGATGTGTCTCGTTATCCACCACACAATCTCCGTTGACGAAGATCTTGCCGGTTCCTGCACAGCAGAGACTAAAATCGTACTCGGTCGACTCTTCAGGAGTAAAAGTGCCGTCGAGCTCAAGCCAGTAGAGATAGGTTTTGACGAGAGGATGTTTATAATCAACGAGCAGAATATCAGAGTAGGACACGTACACCTCATCGATGGGTTTTCGATCCCTCACTGAAGGGGGATCCAGGAAGACCTTCATGGTCAGCCCGTCTTTGTTGCCAGATGTTTTCGTCAAGCGGCTCATGAGTGGGAGATCTTTCCAGCCAGGAGCACCAAGCTCGTACTTGGCGTGTGGAACCTGGGCTCGGATACCCTCAAGAGGGCTTATGGCATAGTATGGTAGGAGCGAGGCAGAGCCACCACCGCAGTACGCAGCGTATGCGGCGTTGGGCCCAATAACAGCGGTGGATTTCTCCTTGCTGAACGGCAGGATGTTGTTCTCGTTCTTCATCAAAACAATGCCGCTGGATGACAAGGCTCGGAGCAGGGCTGAAGTCTCTGGGGTGTCGACGGTGGTTTCAGGCGCATTTTCTGGGATGCCCAGAGGTTCGACTCTCTTGACAAGCTTGAGGACTTCCCGGACTCTCTGGTCCACGTCGTGCACGCCGAGCTTGCCACATCCCAGGGCTTGGTTGACAAGTTTTCCGCGGACGTACGTAGGACCGGGCATTTCCAAGTCCAGACCTGCTTTGATAGCCTCGGAGGTCGAGTAAGTTCCGAACCTGTCGTGGTCAACCCTCATCCATCACCAGCAGTCTAGAGCCAAACATACCAATCGCTCATCACCAGACCATCAAAGCCCCATTCGCCACGAAGAACATCTTCGATAAGCCTAGGGTGCTCGCTGGCATGGATCCCGTTGACTCTGTTGTACGCTGTCATGTAGCACCACGGCTTGGAATCTCGCTGGGCAATCATGAAAGGCATAAGGTAGATTTCGCGTAATGCGCGTTCAGTCAAGATACTGTCGACCGACTGTCTCTGGTCCTCCTGGTCATTGCAGACATAGTGCTTGATGGTAGCGGCCACACCAGTCGATTGGATGCCATTGATGGTGGCTGCACTCATGGCTCCGGCGAGATAGGGGTCCTCACTGAAGCTCTCGAAGCCACGGCCGCCCAGTGGGGATCTCTGCATGTTCGTAGTAGGACCTAGAATGACCGAAGCACCTTTGGCAATAGCTTCTGCGCCCTGCAAAGCACCGCCTTTCTTGACCAGGCTGGTATCCCACGTTGCTGCCAGCCCCGTTCCTAGCCAGTGTCAGAGATGTCTCCAGTCTTAGCAGCGGAATCCGCACTCACCACAAGGGAGACAGGCAGCAGGGACTCCGTTGAAGAAGCGAGTTCCACGGACACCATTGGGGCCATCAGACAACCGAATGGATGGAACACCAAGCCTATGGACAGGAGCAGTGTGCCAAAAGTCGATGCCTGACAACAATGCGACTTTCTCGGCAATATTCAGTTGTGAAAGAACATCTTCAACATCAAGACTGGCCCGCTGCACGGGCATGGACCCCATAATGGCGGTAGTGTAGTTTGCAAGACTCTGGACGAGAAGAAAGAAGAGAACGAGGTATAGATGAAAGCAAAACTGCCCCGACAAGGAATGTCAGGTTTACAGCATGAAAAGAGCAGACTTTTCTAAGATGAAGGGGACTGGAAATGGACCAAAGAATAAGATGGAATGGAAAGCTGGATATAACATGAGAGAGGAAGACCTGGGAGAACTTCGGCAGTGCAGTCCCACCAAAATGAAGAAGTGAAGATAGCAATAAAATCACGTTGTGTACTCCGTCCGATGTAGACACCACCATGGACACGGAAGGAGAAGTGGCGACCGACAACCGAGGCGAGGCGCAAGAGCATTCCGAAGGAGATCGGGGAGAAAGACCCACTGTACCGTGCAGATCTAGCAGGCATCATCGACCAGCAGCAGCATCCCGGGGTGCTATGGCTCGTGTAGTGAGTGACAAGGCATATCCTGAGGAGGACAGGACATGGATGATTCGTGAATGGCAAAGGCCGCTCAGCATCTCCGTCTCCGTGTCTGCCGCAGACGCACGGAGGGTCGGAGAAGGAAGCGAGTGAAACTCAATGATGGACGATTCATCAAACGATAGGAGTCATGGTGTTGACGGCGGGATGGTCAAGGGGAAGAGGGTGAAGGACTGATGGAGAATGGAGAATTGGAGCATGGAGCATGGGCCGCTTTGAGCCGAGAGCCGCGTGTCGCCCGTGATTGGACTGACGGCTAAACATCGGTGCACTAGAAGGCTTAGAGCGGTCTTGGCAACTGCTAAATTGTACCCCGCTGCTCACCAGTCTGGCGCTAAGCTGGATCCAGTTGGCGTGCATTTTGTGCGTATACGGATCATGTGCGTGTCCGGAGATATCAGATTTCCCAAACATCCAACATCCTGGAGGATAGAGCCAGCTCATATGCACAGATGATTCTCCCTTGGTCGTGCTCTGGGATCAGCCGATCACAATTGGACAATTGGGATTGGGTTGCATTCCACTGGCAGAGTCTTGCAGGTTACTTGCTCACTGTCCTCTATAGACAATCACATCTGGTTGTGGTACGTTCTGCTTCCTGGCTTCAAAAAGGGAACCCAACAGACTGGTTCAAGGTTCAAGCGCTATTCAACCTCGACCGTAATCCCCTTCTGGCATGATTTGTCTCCATCCTTGACGAGGAAGTTAGGTTGCGGCTAGCCACTGCCCCTGCCCCTGACCCTGCCACCGCTACAGTACACTCGAGGCGGTCTCGGATGTTCATAGTCCTCAAGAGAAAGGGGCCACGCGTTGGCTAAATCCTCAATCACGCCTGGCCTCGATCTCGATCTCGTTCGTGACTGAAGCACTGCTTCTGCTGCGATTCAAGTAGTCAGACTATCCCACTTCCACCACCGACCAGGTGACACCGTGTATCACAATCTGATCTCCAAGTTTCCTATCGTCCATGCACGTCCATAGAGATGGGATCGAGGCCTCGCCTTCGGGAGTATTGCTGCGCCAGTCCATGAGCCACTCCGTGGGCTGATGGCTGTCTCCAGCGTCTCGGCTCTGGCTCTCAGAGAGAGCGGGATTCCTCTGGACCGGGAGCTTCTGCCACCGCTCCACCAGCACTCCCCGGGGTGATCCGTCGTGCTCGCATTGCTGAACGATGCCTTGACAGTAGTCTCCCACACGAATGACAACCCCGCTCCCGTTTCGAGCCGCTCTGTGTACTCCCAGCTCCAGCGTCCTCGCCACGACACAAGGTGACCGACGAAGATCTCCGGACCCGGGCTCGGCAGGCGGCGTGCTCCAGTATTCCTTGTACAGCTCGACCTGTTTAGTTTGGGGATTCTGCATCATCCCGACCTCGATACAATCGTCATTGGGGAGGAGAAACATGTCTCCCTCATCGCTGATGCCTGACCCTTTTGAATCAATCTCGTGTGCCCACACCGCATGTGCTGAATAGGGCATCGAGACCTCCGATGTGTCCGGAGAGAACGTTGTGCGGGAGGTGCCCGAGAACGCCCAGAATGCTGGGTTTCCGGTCAGTGGCCTGGAAGAGTCTGGCTGCAGTGGAAATCGTATGTCGACGAAGACGGCATTCGGAGACGTGAGAACCAGTGTAGATGTGTCCTCATATGGAGGAGAGAACCCCTGTACACATGTCCAGAGAGGTTAGAAGGAGCAGAGCTTTCTCGCATCGTGATTTTTCCTACAGACACCACAGACACCACAGACACCGCAACCATCCATGCAATGTGTGAGTGCAGAGAACATCTAGCACACCGGACTCCGTAGTTGGAATAGAAGCTCACCCAAGCAATGCCCTTGCGGATTGATATTGAAGGCTTCTCTAAGAAGGCCTTCTTCCATCGAGGCAGGTCGGCCCCCTTGGCTCCCTTTTCCTCCACCTGCCCGATCGTGCCCAACTTCTCTCCAGTCATGCCGTAAAATTCCATCGTCCGACAGGATTCGTGCTGCCCAGTGGGAGCTGAGCTAAGCTGATACCGTCAGTACCTCAGCTTCCCACCTCTCGATGCGGAGGGAGGTCGAAGTGAAGTTAGACGATGCTCAAGGCGGATTTGATGATGATTGATAAAACATTGAAGTGTAATCCTCCAAGACTCTACCCGATACATCCGCAACATCAACAACGATCGATATTCGAGACATAGCCAAGCCGACTTTCCATATCCATGGTTTATATTTATCTAACTCTCAGGTTCCTTCCTTCCGTCATCACATAATTATCGACAGGCGGAACAACTTCATGATTGACTGCTTGTCAATCGTTGGGAGGATCTCAACTCCAGCTTCAGCCGTCCAGCATGGCAGGGCCGGGTCTATCCACACGTTCCTCTCATTGTTTGTCCTCCCGCCTAAGGTATGGCCCCTTGGGCTTGACGATATGTGTCACAATCGAATGATCGGCTCAAGTAAGCCCCAGTTGCCACTATAGCCTATTCTCCAGCCAGTGAAGGGAGGGCCAGGCTAATTTCGCATCGTCTTTTTGTCATGCTCGTGGGCACTCTTTTTCCTCACATCACTTTCCCTTGCAGCATGCCGCTCCCTCTGGAGGAGAAAATGCCCATGATCCCAAACCCCAGATAGAACAAAGCAAGAGGATACGCCACCAAGCCTCGCATGCCCTTCATCCTCCCTACACTGACGAACATACCCGAACTGCTATATGTGCACCAACCCACCGCAGCGGCAGTCAAGACATACCCCATTGCCGTGTCCATGGGGAGCAACACTCCAAAAAGCGCGGTAAAGACCAGTGGCAGAAAACAATAGCCGAGGACGCTTGCGCTCCGGGAGAAGGTTAACGTGCTTGAAAAGTGACCACCACCATGGCCTGAGCTGCCAGGTCCATGGTCTGGCTGCGCCTGCGAAATCTGGTCCGAGTCGTTTGGATCTAGGGGTGGGGTCATCAGGGCGAACATCCAATGCAGCGCGATTGACCCGAACAACGCGATCCCGTAGATGTACCCGTAGAAGAACTTGCCGGAGAGAGCGAGAAAGGTCCCGTACAAAATCAGGAACAGGAGCCCTCCATATAAATCGCTGTCGTCCATGATGTGGGGTGAGGGTCGTGTCAACGGGTTGAGCACCGTGAGCGTCTGTCCCCCATAGTAGTCAGAAACTTCTCTTTTAATTTCCCCCCTCAGACCAGAGAGCACTCACCTTTGTTTTGATGTGTGAAAAATTCACCCCAAGCTCTTCCATCAACCCTGGCTCCCCTTCATAACCTTCGGTCCCAAAAGCAGCCAGCCAGCCGGTTCTTAGTCCTCCGGAGTCTCCCATACGGCCACTAACCCCTGGAATTCCCGCACCTCCACCGAACGCGCCGGACGAGCTTGCGCCGTACCCAGCATACGCGGTCGCGCTGTTACCGGCGCCATAGCCGCCAAAGGACGCCTGTGACGGCGTGGTGTGGCCGGAGACGGTGGCATAGGACGATGGGTAGAATTGGAGGTTTGATGCAGCTGCGCTGTTGCTCTGCCCATACGGTTGATTGTAGTAGGACATTGTCGAAGGCCCTGGTGGCCGTTTCGTGATGTTGTGGGCAGGTTCGTGGAATGGTGAGGTGGTCTGGTCTTCTCCAAACGCTCGCTACATGCACATCCAAGGAGTGGCTGAGGTGTTTCTGGATGCTGCGCAGGCGTTATCCTCCAAGGTTGTCGGGTAGAAATCGAGATCGAGATCGTGCTGTAGATGCCTGTAGAAAATGCTGATGTGTTCGAGTTCCAGGAGTCTGTCGTGTCTCCGGTTCTCCAACTGTCGTGAGCCGCAGGTGCGGAGGCCTAAAGCGGCCTCCTTGGCCTTTAATAATATGGCGAACACCAGCAGTATACGGTAAAGAGTAGACATATAGCATAGCACCCAGTGTCGCATGCAACTAATTTTCCGGGCTTTGTAGCTACTATGTACAAGTCTTCTATGTCATTACTACAAGAAGTTTATCCCGATGCCGAAGGATACTCCTTTCCTGGCTTCCTCGTATTTCCGCACCACAAGAGGTAACGAGAAATTGAGTTCAAACCGCGCCACAGGGTGAGCATAAACCAGGCCAAAGCCGGCTGAGATGGTGGGCAATCCATTGCTGAGCTCGTGAATAGCATTGGACACACTCTGCTTGACCTCCTGGTGTGTCATTGGGCCCTCTTTTTCCGGGTTTCGTACAGCCAACAATCTCCCACCATTGACGAAGGCTTGAAATCGAAGGGGCTTATCCTTTCCAACCTTGGGGAGTGGTAGAAGCAGATTTGCGCTCCCAGCGGCATAGATATCCCCACCCACTGCATCAGGTCCGTCATGAGGCCCCAAGCCCGACAGCCGGAACCCTCGAACGTCGTTCGGTCCACCGAGCTGGAATCTATCGTTTATTCGGGACGGCTCAGGGTTTGGACTTGAGCCCAGAGCCAACGGATACAAAAGCCCTGCACGGAATCCAGTTGTCAGACTAATCCCGCTGTCACCTTTCACGCCTGGTAGCGGGATTGGCAAGGCAGACTGGGTCTCGAGTTCGCTTTTGAAAAATGCGACATCTCCTCGCAGCGGGCCCCAACCAGCCAACTCAGCCGTCGTTTTGGCATAGTATCCTCTCGAAGGGAGCGAGGGGTTGTCTCTCCAGTCGGCCGACCACGAATGTGATATACTGCTCTTAAAGGAATCCCCAGCTTCACTTTTGACCGTCGTAGAGGCATTCTGCGAAAGACCCGTGATTTGCCGCCACAAGCCGTTGTAGCCTATTTCGTGGAGTGAGCCTGTTGATGTAACCCAGCGGAGCTTGCTCCAACCGCCTTTGAGTACCTCTTCATGGCTAGCAAAAACTTTCTGAGTTGCACTTTGGACTCCCGCGGCCTGGAAATGTATGTCAGGGTTGCTCAGTACCGGCGTATCAAAGAGAGCTTGGTATGACGACCGCGTCCGTGTCCCAACGGATGCATTCACGTCGAGGGTCTCCGCGCCGCCAAATAGGTTCCTCCATTGCACATTGGCGTAGGCCGAACCTTCAGCATTGCCGAGATCCGTTCCAGTCTTTGCGAATATTCGACTCCTCTCCTTCACGGAATAGTAGACAGCAACATCGGTTGGAGTGGTCGTAGGGTCGGTTTTCGCCGGCTTGTCAAGGTATACGGAGATGGGTTCGTGGTAGATACCTGCAAAGCTATAAGTCTGGCTTAGACGCCTGTTCGACCGAGAAACATACCAAATCTTCTCAACCTTGTTGCTGCGTTGGCGACCTCGTGTATCAGCTCTGATTGTGTATACGGCCGGCTGCGATTGGCACTCAACAAAGGATCAACCACCCTTTTGAGGAAACCATGTCGGGTATTAGAAGCACCAAGGACGGTGACAGAAGAAACAGTGGTTGGCAACGTTGAATTTTGGTCGATGAGCTCAGCGAGGCGCTGTTGGGTCAGCTCGAAGGTCTTGTGTCGTTTCTCGTTGATAGCTTGTTGGCGTTGCTCAAGCTCTTTCGGATCTGCCTTTTTCAGCAGCTGGAATATGGTCTCCTCGGAGGCAGCGCCCGAGTCGGCCATTGAGGCCAGTGCTGTTGCGCAGACTAAATACAAGTTTATAAGGCAGTGGAGGTCGTAGAGCTCCCTTCAAGATACTCTAGGTGAAGCTGCTTAGCCTCCCTGGTTGGTGGTTGTTAAAACCTGGCCCTCCCGACAAAGTCCCAAATTGGAAGAGGCTGCCGCCGCCCTGTATCCCACCCCTCAGCCTGGTTACGGCGGGCACTATCCGTACAGAGTACTTTCACACCACCATTACACAGTATAAGGAGAAAGGTAGCAGATGTTTCAGGTAATTAGGCATGTATCGCAACTCTAGGGCAAGGTGAAGTTGTATTGCTACATCTAATATTCACAGAAGTCAAATTTGTCGGACTTTGATCATCCAGACTAGGCCCGCGTATTGATTGTCCTCACACGAGAATATCCCCTTCTGCGAAAGACGGGGGAGGCTGAATACCCGGGCTAAATGTTCCTCTTTCAGAGCACGGTGCCCTTGTTCTGCTTCTTGTCGACATTGTAATTCTTCCAGATTGCAATAGAAGGGATGGCCAAAACGAGGATGCAAGTGGCGGAGATAGCTCCGTACTTCTGACTCTCGCCCCAAGCATAGTCGATCGCGTCCCTGATTGGACTGCCAACCGGATATGTCATTTGAGTCAAATAACCACCCATATAGATGGTGGTGTAGTCGTCCTTTGCATCGGCCGGTAAACTGTTTAAAAGTTTTTGGGGGAAGGTGTTATTGTAGATCGCTGATGACACCGCATAACCGACGGCACCACCGACGCTGGACATTAGTCCAATCAGTGAAAGCATCATGGGGACACCATCACGATCGGCCGCAGCCATGACAGCCATATCTTCGCCAATGACCAGAGTACCACCGCCGAAGGCGATGAAGATCTGGCACATGACAAGGTAGCCAATGCCATGGTCCCGGCCTCGGAAGTAGATCATAAGACCTGCACCCAGGAACATAAGAGGAAGACCGAAGAATAGGCATGAATATTTGAACCTCTTGGTGTAGCGAATCCAAAGCCCGAAGACTACACCCCAGAAAGTCGAGCCGACATTCCAAATCTGAGTCATGTAGCCTGCGTCGCTGATGTCGAGATCGTACACAACCAGGACGAAAGAATAATAGTAGAGATCCCACGAGTAGAAGGAGAAATAGAGGATAGCAGCCAGACAGCAGGCTCCGAGAACAGTTCGTTGTCTGAAGAGCTCCCATCGTATGAAGTGGGTCCGCGCGAAGTATTTCTCCCACACGGCGAAGATCGGAAAGAGGAGACCACCCACGACTATCATGGCGATGAAGCTGGCGGAGTGATATTGTGTCTTGCCATAGGTTTTTAGAGTGAATGGAAGCAAGATGAGCACAAATGCAGCCATGAGTAGGCAGGCTCCGATGATGTCGAATTCGTGAAAGTAATGGAGGAGCGACCGGAAGACGGTTCGTCCGCTAGCTGGGCGTTTGTAGTAACCCATCTTCTCAGCTTTGACCTGATAGAATTTGAAGACAACAACGAGCGGCATGAAGATGAAGAACATGATGATACAAAAGGCACCTGGTGATTGGTCAGTGATCGATGCAGGATTTGGGCCGCCTCACAGCGTCACCAGGACACCTTCAAGTTTGACAAGGGATACACACCATAACCCCATCTCCAAGTGGTCGCAGAAAGAAATGCTTGGCCTAACTTTGGCGCAGTGAAAGCGGTGCAGATGAAGGGAGTGCCGACGAACGCAAAGGCGAAAGCTCGATTCCTAAGGCCAGAAGTGTCTGCGACGAACACGTCCATAATCAGGTATATCGCGTCGTATCCGATCCAATAGAGGACGTAACCAGCCGCATACGTACTCGGACCCTTGGACGCGGCGATGACGACCATACCGACAAGGTAGACACATACAAAGATGAAGAAACCCTCCGCACGACCCCATATGTTGAGGACTTTGGCTATAGGTAGTTTCACCACGCCGCCAATCACGCTGGCAAGGACGTTGGCTGTCGTGAGCTGGGGAGCGGTAGCGAAATCGGCGTATGCGGCAGCATTGAAGATGGTGGTGGTTCCTTGCTGAAGGGCAAGCATGAAAAATGCGACCCAGATCCAAAGGTAGGTCGCATAGACAGCCGCCTTCGGCCAGACGAGAGCCACCGCTTCTGCCTTTTGGACACCAAGCTGAGCATGCTCGGTGACCCGGTTGGGGTTCTGGATAACCTCTTTCTCGTTCTGCTCCTCGAGACTCAGACCATCCGAATCGGTGTCACTTTGCGAGGATACATTTTTGTCATTTTCTGACTGGGCTGCTTTGCGCACTATAGTGTGAGTTTCGAGCCCTTTGAACTTCGCAAAGAAGCTCATAGTGTGAGAGATCGGTTAGTTGGGTCGATAGAGGTCTGATCGAGATTCAACTAGAACTGACAGCCGCAGCTTTTAAACAGGGGGGAAGAACGAGCTCTACCGGGATGGAGGGCCAGGTCATCTTTATAAGCTTCATGGATCTGGGTCCGCCTCGCCTTCGTTGGAAGAAGCTTCACCCTTAGCCATGCTTGCTTTGCTTGCTTGAGCAAGTAACGTTGGTGTCGCAGTGGGAACTTCTGGATGGGCGGAAATTCTCGGCCGAGGTCCCGCTATCGACACCCACCATAGCTGTAGTGTAGCATCTGATTAGATGAAAATTTGGAGGTGACATGGTATCTGATTAGATTGTCCGCAACTAGTGGGCCGCGCTGTATTTACGCCAATTGCGTTTGCGAAAGAGAGGTTAGTAGGAAATAGAAGTGTGGTGGACAACAAGAAATCAACAGTGAGAGACGGAGGGCCCGAGCAAGGGGTTTGTGAGGGTTTTGCACAAAGCATCTACTTTTCTCGGGCCTGTGACCTGTGATGCGCACGTGCTAGAATGGGCAGTTATCAAGGCTCTAACCCTCAACTCCTCGCAGCATTCAGTCTTGACAACAGGAGCCACCCACAATTCCTAGGTTACAGGTAGCTATGGTACCTGCTGAAATGCTGGAGTGAAGCATGGCGATGAGGGAGCTGGGAGCTGCTGCTCGATGTGTCGCATGATGTAGTGGAGATGACTGGGAGCAGGATTGCCATGTATCATTTCTCGGCATATCTTTGCCAGGCGCCGCGTGTAAGGTCTCAAGGTGCATGTCACACTGAATGTCGATGCGATACTCCGTATTTCGATCTCGATCTCGATGAAGTCACATCAGATTATTGCCGGCCCGGGAAGGCGAGATGAGACCTGGCGTCATCACGTGATCATCCCGCTTCTCCGCCGCTGGCAAAAGGTCACGGTGTAGGTGCGGTGGACCATCATCGCTGCATTATACGTACTCCGTCCGAGTGAGCAGTCACATTGTCGCAGCCAGAAGATCTTGAACCCGGCTCAACTGCTCACTATCTCCCCTCTCCCTTATCCTATACGGCGATCTAAGTACCAAATCACAATCTGGTGTCGTTACTGTCAACTCCTTCCGTTATCCATACTTCTCCGAAAGCCTGACCTGTCGCCTCCTTCCCTCAACCCCTCGCCGAAAGAGGAAGAGTTGTCATCACATTTCGCTCTCTACACTCCGGGAGCCTTGGGCAGCTATGGCCACCAGGGCAGCTCACAAAAGGTTGACCAGAGAATATCAGAACATCCAAGCAAATCCTCCACCTTACATCGTTGCACATCCTTCCGAATCGAATATCTTAGAATGGCACTACATCCTTACCGGGGCGCCCAACACGCCGTATGAAGGCGGCCAGTATTGGGGCTCGCTGGTATTCCCGCCCGACTACCCCTTCGCACCACCCGCTATCCGGATGCACACTCCTAGTGGCCGATTTCAACCGTCCACAAGACTATGTCTGAGCATCAGTGATTTCCACCCCAAATCGTTCAACCCGGCCTGGTCAGTGTCAACTATCTTGATCGGTCTTATGTCATTCATGAACAGCGAGGAGATGACGGCCGGCAGTACAGGGGGGACTCCTGCCGAGCGAAAATGGTACGCTGCAAGATCGAGGTGGTGGAATTCTACTGGCGGCGGATCGGCTTCCAAACCGGTCCCAGGCGTCCATGCCAGTGCAAGAGGAGTAGGGAATATAAAAGCTGGGGACGGTGGCATCAAATTCAGAGCAGAATGGCCTGACGAAGACAGAGAGAACTGGGCGTGGATCAAACAACACCGCATTGATCCTGCGACAGGGCAAATGCTCCCCGATGCAGAAGGTGAAAACATCAATTGCTCTCCGGAAACCAAAGCACTGCGGCGGATATTGGGAGGTAGTACTACGGGTGTTGGAGCGGTGGTTCAAGGAGGCCAGGCTGCCCGAAACGCAGGACAAGGCTGGGTTGGGCGAAACAAAATGTGGTTGGTGGCCGGCTGCTTGGTGGTGTATTTCATGATAGCCCGCATATTGGGTGAGGATGATGGTGTATCATGACACACTGCACGTCGACAGATTTTGCTAGCCTTACGGCGCACACCTGTGCAAATCCTGGCTTCTTACTCATTCATGTTACATGGTTTCTGTGATGGCAGCCGGGTCTGGGGGTCCGGGAGGATAGGGAGAGTCTATCCTTCCGCTTCCACTGGATGAGCGCTCAAAGTATGCATCTTGACGTTGACAACCATTATTATTCGTTTAAAACTGGGTTGTAAGGTTTGAGGGTAGTACTAGGGCCGTTTCGTAGTAGTTGCTCTCTTCTTGTGCGCACTTCGATGACCGATCTTCAGGTCTTCAAGTCTTCAGGCCGACTGGGGGAGAGGAGTCTAAAAGACTGCACTTATAGCAGCTAGGCCCAAGCCCGCCTGTTGCTAACCGGACGTAAGGGAGTCCTTCTGAAGATAGAACGTGCTGTACGGAGAAACACACAAGTATCCGAACGTGAGTGCTTGAAGCGGAGCACGCGGGTCTAGAGTCTTTGGTCTGCTGGGTCTGGGCATTATTACTGACACTGACAGGTGGGCGGGAGATCCAGCGCCTAGACTGAGATGGAGACGACGAGTCTCCTGGATGAACATCGACCACTCCCTCTCGGCCCCCGTGCATGCACCTTTTCGTCTGTCTTTGCTAGACATGGTCCTCGCCCAGGTTCACCCTGGCTGCGTGCCTCGAGCTAAGCCCTAAGCCTGCACTGAAGATTCCCGCCTGGTCTGAGAGTCGTCAGAACACCCTCCGAGAGAAAACGGAGGCATGTCGCTTTCCTTAACCCCATAATAAAGGCTCTCCGCCGACGAAGTCTCGAGAGCAGCCTTCCACCATGCAATGACACGTCTGTCGTTATACCTCTTGCGCCGGGAAGTCCACTGTCCACTTGACCGCTTCATCGGGTTTCCTAAGCCCGAACCTCGCGCTTTCGTAGTGATGGATTGGAAAGATGGGCCGCAGTTCCCTTGATTCAGGTGAATCTAGTCCCGGAATCGTCGTTCAAGAAACTCATTACTGAACTATATAGGCAAGGCTCATGACCTCAAGCCTGCAGTCTCCCCAGCAGCTTCTCCCAACTTCGCCTTTGTGAACCTAGCCGATGATTTGGTGTCTCTGAATGCCCGCAAGATCACCAACCAACATCAACGCTATGTCATTCGATCCCATGTGATGAAAAACGTTCGCCAGGAGTTGGTAAGAGGTAGAAAGAGAACCATAGGAGAAAGATCCAACTCGGACAAATCTGTAAGCACTGCCAGCGACGCGGACTCTTCTGGAACGAATGAATCGCGATTGCCCTTGACGGTCACCATCAAACAAGAGTTCCAGGAGCCTACGAATCATGCGCTCACACCTGGCCGCAAGGCCGGAAGTTCTTGCGCTATGGAGTTTGCTGAGCCTGGCTCGAACGTGACTATGAGCTATACGCCGGCCATCAGCCAGATTGATCCTTTTCTTACCCTACCCTGTAGATCACTGGCGCCCAAGAGCTTGGACGGAATCTTGCGATTCGGTAAGTGACAAGATTGCCACAAGCTGAGCCGAGCATTAACTGTTGTGGTCGCAGGGTTTGATGTTCTTATACCCTTGACTTTCTCTTCGGAGCGTCAGGACCGGCTTACTCGACAAGGTCTAGTGTTGCAGACCAAGATTGCAGACCCTCCTACGTTTTGGGGAATGATAGGCGTATTTGCTGCTCACAAGGCTATCTTCCAAGGCGATCACAAAGACCTCGCTCCGTCCGACGTCAACCACGACGACCTCATCACTGATCCGGATTACAAAAAGGTCAAACATGAAGCGCTCGTGGCTGTCCGGCGGAAAATTGAGCGACGTGAACGGATGGACCAATTCATGATCGAGGCGTGCTTCGGACTTAGTGCGACGGCCACTGTTGTGGGCAATTTTGAAGAAGCGCGAATGCACTTGAAAGGGGTCGCTCAGTTAATGTCGATGTTTGGCGTCGCCCAAGATTCCGTGTCGTGGCTTCCGCTCTCAATCGTCAAGGTCTCGGTCGGATTGTTATCAATGCCCATCTTCGAACTTCCCTGGACCCGATGTCCGCTGCCACGCGAAATAGAGCAACGCATTACACCTACTCCTGATTCTGGGATGACACGTTTGGCTTCTGCCTTCCAACACATGGACGAGCTAAGCCAGCCGTTGAGGGTTCTTTTACTAACCAGCCGGGACATCTGCAACTTTTGTGAGTTGAATGCCACGGACCCCTCTGGGCTGTCGTCCGCCGAGAGTGCCGCTCTCGATCGGAAGGCCACTGAACTTGAATTCGACCTGCTGGCCTACCCCTACAAATTTGACAGCTTCCATGGCGAGTATGCGACAGAGCCCCAACTGCCACCGCTCGAAGCAGTTGTCCGGCTAGCTGCGCTGGGATTCCTATCTTTTACTCCGCACACCATCTTCCCACCGACGGGGTTGGGCAGGGCTCTGACTCACCACCAGAAACGAGCATTTAAACGATGGCTCCAGGCGAGGAGTACCACCTGCGGCGTTCCAGAATTGAAAGCTATCACCTGGGCACTGTTCACATTCACGCAAGGTTCGTTGATGCAGCCAGAGGAGGTCTTTTTCAGCAGACACCTGTTGAGGTTGACTCGGCAATTGTCGTTGGTCAGCTGGCAAGACATTGAAACTATCCTCTCCGGATTTCTCTACATCCCAAGTCTCCAATCATCCCTGTGGAGGACTATTTGGACGGCAAGCTTCAAAGACTGCACACCGGCATAGTCTCTGCTGTTAAGTCCCTGACTACCGTGGAAGAAATTGCAACCAAAATCTCGGGGTCTGTCATGTTTCTTCCCAAGAGCCAAGCCCTGCCCAGAACGCCCCTGGTGGGTATCAGCTGCTACAGATCAAGCAGGCGGGAACTCTTGGTGTACATGGACTGTCTACACACATCATCATTCGTAGAGAAGAGACAATCAGAACGCGCAAAGATCAAAAGATCCGCGTCAACCCTTGAATACTGTACAACACCAGCGCACTCAAGCGCTAGGCTACCATGGGGACAACCCAGCCCACAATAGGACTTCAGAAAGTCATGAATGTACCCTGTTCGCCAGGACACCCAAGACACCACACGTGAATATCTAATCTCGTGCAGTCTCTACCTCACAATCCAATGGTCATGATCAACTTGCGTTGCCATCGGAACCTTTGCTCCTCGCCTCTGCTTCTCGGGCAGCACCGCCGCTAGCGCGATGCCAGAGATCGCCGCCCCATCTCATTGCTCGCTCAACCGCGGCGGTTGGAGTGTCTAGAGCGGGCCTGATGTCCAAATAGAAGACAGGCTCGCCGGTCTCCTGGACACCGCCGCTGTAATAGTCAATCACATAGCGGACCTGCTTGACAGAACCATCCGGCATTTTGCGTGACACATACCAGTCATGTCGATCAAAGGGCGGTTCCCCCCCGAACTTTTCTGGCATCACATATCCCAAAGCAGAGAGAATGCGGGCCTTGGGAGTCGGTTCGCCCGGACGGCCCATAAAGCGTATAAGTTTAGGACGAGACTCGTCGTCGGGATCCGACAAGCCCAAGGCTTTCCTGCGCTCGGCAAGCATTTCACGTTTTGCACGCTCCATCGCGATGCCTTGTTCGCCCCGACTGCATACCTGCCAGCCGTGCATGAGACCTTTGCTGAATACTTGCTCCCACTCTTCGATTTCGTTCCAGGCGCCCTCGTTGAGGAAGTTGTGCACAGCGACCATCGACTCGACGGCGTCGGCAGGCGTGTCAGTGTATCCTTTGCGCAGCATCGCGTTGTACATTTGTTGCGGGGATGGGTATTCCCAGTTCGAGTCCGAGTCGCCTCGGGGGATGGAGGAGATTTCTCGATCAAGTGGGAGAGATACCTCTTGTGGTGAATCGGCAGGGCGAATGTTAGAAAGTGAAGGCATGTAGTTCAGCGGGTTCAGTTTGGACAGCGCAAGAGACGATCGGGAAGTTTGCTGTGGTTCAGAGGATTGAGGTGTGTCGGGTGAGGGCTGCTGCTCGCGGGATTTTACTGGACATGACGATGGTGACGGCGAGGATTGATCTCGGTGTGGAAGGAATGGCATTGGTGCATTTGCGCCTGGCTTGTGCATAGGACATCCTGCCTATACAGCTGTTAGACACCTTAAAGTTGCACTGACGGTTTTCGGAGAGAAGTTTACAGGAGGAGTGGCGTCAGATCGAGGTAGAGGATGCGGCGCAACGAGCGATGCACTTGGCCTCGGCTGGTCTGCCCAGAACCAACCCATCGTCGGCACAAAGTGAGAGGATTAGATGCTATAGAGCGCTGTAGGAGGTGATGGAATTGGTACGACAGCCCTTCAACAAGGCCTGTCGGATGGATAGAGTGATGGATGGTCTGAGCCCGCAGACATCTTTGACTCTGTTCCGCTCCGCGGCCGTGTATTAGTATTTCTCTCTCGCTCGCTTAACTTTCCCAAAACGCCTTCAAAAGTTCGCGACGCCATCCATCCGGTGGGAGACATGTTAAGAGACGACGACACCAGCCCTAGTTACCAGGAGTGGGCATCTATTCCGCTGGACTTCAAACGCCTGTGTCTGGGAGCCCTGCTAAGCTGCTCATTGAAATAAGTGTGTCAGATAGGCAATATGTCATTCTGTTGTCGATAGTGCTCCCGTCTGTTGACTGTCGTCGCCCACACTCAGGTACCTGCGACCTCGCCGAACACTCAACCTACATCCACAACAACCTTGAAGGCGAACCGCTCTTGCCAAGATGGCTACTTCTACCGATGCAAAGGGCTTCAAGCAGGACATGGTGGTGTCGATACGATACCGAAATGACCTGCCTCCTCCGCCCATGCCCCCAAAGCTCCTCGACATCGACACAGGCGGTCTCGCACAATACCTCACTACGGGCTATGCGTCGGGGTTGGCAAAGCGCGAGGATCCAAACATTGAAGTTGACGCGGAGGGGGGAATGCCCATCGACATGATCGGTGTCCCTGGTTACTTTCTCGGCGACGAGAGCGCGATCATGGCTCCCGAGATCCAACCGGTGCTCGACCCTGCGGATCACGCCCTCATGATGTCTGTTGAACAATTAAAGAGTCAGGGTGCTAAGAACAACGTCTCTTTCTTGCGCAAAACACAGTACATGACCTCCAGCCAGATGGCTCGGGCGGCCACCGACCCCTTCGTACGAGCTACTCCCCGGTCGCGGAAGGTGTCCGAGCACAGCCAAATTGCACCTCCCCCCGTTTCTCGCGACGACCCTGAAAACATCAAACGGCATATTCAGAAAGGTTTCGATATTGCCTATCCTGATAGTATTCCCTTCAATCCTCCCGAAGCCAAAGCGAACCCAATCACGCCGCAAGAGCGTGATGCTTGGAAGAACCCCGTACACCCCGACAATCCGCGACTGAAACCTGTCGAGTTCTACCCCATACTCCCAGACCTCGATGCTGTCACTGACATGGCTGGGAATTGGCAAGCACTCAAGTTCGAAAAGCCTCCTCTACCACCACACCATGGCCGGAGAGATGATCGTGTCGACGTAGGTCTATTAATGGCGTCGGAGAATGCGGCCGAGATGCCCAAATACCAAGCCAAGAAGAAGGCGTTTGAAGAACATCCTCAACTCTACGAAGATCCAGGTCCGGAGCCCTACGTCTGGTCGCTCTTGGTGCCCAAGCAAGTCGACTCGGTCCCTCGAATCCGCAAGATATTCAACGACTCGGATCCCAACAAAGATGACCCGGCCTTGTACGCTCCGCTTCTCGAAGAGTCGGCTGATGGGTCTCAACGTCTACCTTTCGAGCGTGTCCGCGTCTACCAGTCAGCCACGCAGATCACGGTCGACCCGCGCCGAGTCATGGGCGTGTCCCTCGTCAATGCCGACAGGTTGTCTCCGGAGTCACGTTTCAGCAAGCAAGGTTCGGCCGCGTACTTCTATCCCATCCTTGAACGTGTGCGTATGAAGGCGGACCGCGGAAACCTCAGCAAAGCGCAGGCTCACAGCAGTCAAGCCGCCGATGATGAGGCTACTGCAAACATCCCCGATCAACTGATGGTGCTGTTCAAAGACCCCAGCGCCACGGAGAAACAGTCTCGGTACCAGTTCCGCGGCGAGTATGACGAAGCATTCGCCGAGGAGTTTCAGGAGATCTTGCGCGCGGCCGAGGCTGAGCAAGAGGAGCAACGAGCACAAGATATCTTGGAAGAGCAGGGCGAGCTCCATGAAGGGGCGCAGGATGTCTCGATGCATGAAGTCGCAGACGCGGAGGGCGCAGATATTGCTACAAACGGTGTTGGCCATAAGGACCGAGACGACGACAGAAATACCCCCGCTGTCAATGGAGGCGACGCAGGGGCCGAGTACGACAGTGATGGGATGCGCGACGATTGACATTAGCAGTAGCTCGATACTCGCCCTTGTTGGCTCGCAAACCAGGCCTCTGGGGAACGGGCTTGAGAGCGTTGGGCGTTTGAGAGGACAAGAAAGTGTGCCAACATGTATGGAACAATCTTGAAAAGTGTCATCACTCAATGCATAGTCTAACTCTTCATGGAGATGAATACTGTCGAGCTGTTGGATTTATTCTCGACAAACCCATGTCCTTTTTGGTGTTTCTTCTTGGCTACCTTCCCAGTGCACGAATGAGACCAGGTGCCCCATCAACAAGCGAACACGCCTTACACAACATCCCTTTCTGTTTTGTCTGCGCAGCCCAACCTTTTTCTGATGAAGAGCTGTCCACTGCGCCGGTAGAGCCTGGTGATTGAATCTAACTATGGTGGAGGTGGCCACCATAGACTCTGCGCGTGAACTCCGGCTCTAGTGGTCCCGACACAAATGCCATTCCACACTCAGTAAGCTCTAGCCAGATTCCTGAGATACCAATCGACCAGTCTGCGACCCTGCTTGGCCTCACTGATATGGATCAAGTCGCCCTCGATGGCGTAATCCAGTTCACTGCTGTTGGCGGTCTCGCCTTCCAACAGGCCGCCTTCGGACCATCGGATCTGCCTGCTGCGCTGTTTGTTGACCAACAGCCAACTGCGCAGTTTCTCGGGGTCAACGTCGAGGAAGCTTGACAGCTTCTTGAGGTCCATGGTCGTGTAGAGTTTCAGGTACGACTTGACGGTGGGGTTGTAGAGGGTGTTCTTCACCTCATCCATGAAGATGTCGGTGTGGTGGTCCACCGGGTCGATGTTGAGGGACGGGTTGTCGAAATCCGGAGGGGTCGGGTTGATGAACTTGGGGCAGGCAGATTGGAAGAGCTCCTTGTAGACAGGCAGAGACTCGGGCCCGCCGCGCTGGAGGCGGGCGAACTTCTCACCGTACTTCTCCCGCAGGGCAGTGTGGATGGTGTCGTCCAGACGCGTGGGCGCGAAAGACACGCAGATGGCAATCAAGGCATACATCTGCTCCGTCTTCTTGGCGATGGCGTCGAACTGCTGGTTGCCCTTCTGGAAGTTCTTGGTGCGCGAGACATAGACCAGGATGTGGCTGAACATGCGAACGGCGTCGGCGTAGCGGCGCAGCATCATGTAGGAGAAGCCAACGTAGTAGTATGTGTTGAGGTGGGCGGCCATGACGCGGGCAAACATGGCCTTCTTGTTCATCTCGATGTCGTCCAGCGTCTTGAGTGCCAGGCTAAAGTCGCCCAGCAAGCAGTGCACCCGCAGCAGCCCGATGATGGAGAAGTAACCGAGCATACGGTACAGAGGTCGAGAGCCGTATTCACCGGCGACCGCGTTGCCATCTTCGCCTCTCTTCTGCGCAGCGAGTTGTTCGTTGATTTGCGACCGTTGAATGAGAGAATATAGCACGTTCAGGACGGAGTAGCAGCCCCAGACATTTGGGTTTTCCCGCAGGACTTGTGCCTCCTCTTCAGTCGGGGAGGTTCGTGCCACCCGGTTCCTGTATCTGCAGAAGGACTCGAATTGGTAGATGAATTCGTCGATCAGGTCCCAGCAAAATCCTAACCCGGGCTGTTCAACGTCCACTGGCCCTTCCGAGTTCAGGATGTAGTGGAAGAGACTGCAGTAGTTGTCGTAGCTGGCGATCTTAGACTCGATGCTCGCTTGGTACTCGAGTGGCTGAGCGGCAGCATCAAGTTGTGCCTTCAGGTCAGGGGCGCCCACACCGAGGGTGTCGATTCTGTCAAGATCTGCTCCATCCGCCTCGTAGTTGACTTGTTCCTGGTAGTCGGCGACCAGGGTCTCTTCTTGCAGGTCATCATCCATGGCGGTGGGTTCGGTGGGGAGGGAGTGAAGCTGTTAGCTGTTAACTGTCGAGTCGCACCGGTTCTGCTTCACCAGGAGCAGAAGAAGCAGTTTGATGTTCTTTCTGCAAGGTCTTTGGAAAGGTTGGCTTCGTTGCCATTTTTGGCGTCCTCGGCTGAATTTCCCCATCTGTCAATTTCAATATGCTGTCACGTGCCAAAATGTGGGCTTGGCGTTGCTTACTGCGGAGTATTCGACTTTCTTTTCAGCCTCGTCATACTAATCATGGCCGGGAACATATACCCCTCCTCTGAGCCCTACATGATATATGATTAATAGCAGTAGTGGCCATGTCCGAAGATTGCTAAGCATCCGCCAGAAGAAAAAGGTTTAATATCCTCATATCAAGACTGTGATTTCAGAGCGCAGTCAATCGCCATATATCTCTCACTGTGTCTATACCAACCAGTACCATGGCGACGTCCTACGAAACCTTCTCACAGGGCTTCAAAGTGGCTTTGATCCAGCTTCACCCCAAGGTGTGAAATCCTTGGAACTCTCGCCATTACCATCCATTGCTAACATCCGTGACCAGCCTCTCGATCTAGAATACAACTTCTCCGCCGCCGCAGCGTATATTCGCGATGCAGCGACCCAAGGCGCCTCTTTGGCTGTGTTGCCCGAGTACCATCTCTCTGGCTGGGTTCCGGAAGACCCGCAGTTCAGCGTACTGGCGCAGACCGCGTACCAATATGTCGGAAAGTATCAGGACCTGGCCAAGGAGCTGAAAATCAACATCGTCCCGGGCACCATTGTCATGGTCGATCCGAAGTCCAACTCGTCACCTTCCGCCCCAGGAGCGACGACCAATGGAACAACACCAGAGATCAGCACGCAAACTCCTGCTCTCCTGAACATCGCTTATTTCATTGCCTATACAGGTGAGATTTTGGGTAGCTACACAAAAGCCAATCTATGGCATCCCGAACGCACAGTCTTGACTTCAGGCCCGCACGCCACAAGGGCTGCAACCCACCACGACCACGCTTCCGCTCCCGTCTCAAGCGAAGGGCCCCCTCCACCGCATACGATGATCGAGACGCCTCTAGGTCCTGTCGGCCTGGTCATCTGCTGGGATATCGCCTTTCCCGAGGCATTCCGCGCACTAGTCAGGCAAGGCGCGCGCCTCATCATTGTCCCGACATACTGGACGACGGATGACCTGACGGAAGAGGCGCGTAACTACGGTCCGGATGTGGACGTCATGTTCCTGAAGTCGGTCCTCATTGCGCGATCTTTCGAGAACACGTGCGCCGTTATTTTCTGCAACGTCGGCGGACCGGCGGACGAAGGCTACTCTGGCTTGAGTCGCGTCGTTCTCCCCTTGGTGGGGCCGGTTGAGGGTAGTTTTGACTCTGGTGAACCGGGTATGAGAATTGTAGAGGTCGATATGCGCACCGTCGATGCTGCAGAGGAGAATTACAAGATTAGGGAGGATCTGGCGAGGGAAGACTGGCATTATGGGTATAGTCATGGGATATAGAGAACGGAACTGCATTGGTCATGAGATGAACATTCCCCAATCAAAGCTCCCAGGTATCCTACATATAATGGAAGAGGACTTTAGTGCAGTCATGGAACACGACGCTGGTCGGTTTGATAGGTAAAGGCTCCTTTCTTTGCACTCTGCGTAGCAACCATTCCCTACGGTAGTCTTCAGGTGCCTCTGCCTCTCGAGCGCCATCGTTGTCTCTGAAGCAGGTGTCATTTGTAACTGGGCACTCAACTTCTTCTCCATTCTCTGCTGGAGTAGAGTGCACAGTCCGACCAGGACGAACAGCCCCTGTCGGCTGCTGAAGCCACCCCCGAATGCGAGCCGTTTTGACGGGTGGCCACTCTGAGGATTCTTTCACCGCTGTGTGGCTCGACGTAAACCGGTCCATCGGATGCAAGAGTCCTCGCCCAAGGGGAACCGCACATTATCGTTGCTGACAACGTGATCCAGCAACTCAATAATGACGCCTCTGTTGACAAGAGCCCGCCGAGGCGCAATGAGCTCTTGGTTTGACTGCACCTGCGCTGGCTATCAGTCTAGAAATGTTGTGAATAGAGGCCAGTCCGACTTTGGTAGATCACCTATCGAGCTTTCCAGTTTGATTAGACGTTGTTGGTAAGCACCAACATTCGGGTCTTCGAGAAAAGTTTTGTCTCCTCTTTCCGGCATCAGATGGGTAAGCATCACAGTGTTCCGATTGTCAGCGTAGTGACGGCGCAGTAGTTCCGGAGCTTATAATCCAAGGCAGGGCACGCAGAAGCCCTTCCTATCCCGCAACCGTGGTTGTCTCCGACAATAGGTCCGACTCGTCTTAAAATTGGGGGTAGGGTCAAGCTTTTGGCTAGCCGGTCAATTAGGGATTTCGCTGGGATTCTCGGCGAACTCTTCTCCATGTTCTTTCAAAATTTGCTCCGCCATGTCGACGCTTGGCTTGATCAGACGAGCTCTCTCTTCTGGATGGAGATCTAAAAACTCTTGGAACTCTCGGAACCAGATATCGTCCTTCGCCGGACCTTTGCCATCATAACCCACAACCGCCTCGGCGATAACGGCTAGTGCGACACGAATGGCTGTATCCCCGCCATAGCTTGTGGGAAGCTCTGCTTGATTGATGGGCTTGAATATAGACTCTGGACTGTCTTTGTCGATGGCTAACAAGAGGCATTCCACGCGATCCTCGAATCTCCACCACTTGGGCAGGATATGGGTGCCTTCAATCAGATCAAGGAACCGCTGAAAGTCATCAATGGCTGTTGAACACAGGAGTTAGTACGGAACATCTAGAGAGGGGGGTCAACAGGCTAGAGACAAGGACAGGGAAAAACTCACCGTCGCCTTTGGCCCAGACCAAGCCATCGATAGGCTTTCCTGGGTAGTATATACCATGATCCTCATCCCGCGAGGTATGGTCGGTTTCCACCCTAAGGCGGTAGGCATCGATGACAATCCGAAGCACTTCATCATGCTCCTTGGACGAAAGGTATGCATCTGGAGCTCCTTTCCCTTGGGCCAGGTTGCAAAAGGGCTTGTGTTTGGGCCAATGAGCTTTCTGGCACCTAGGTCTGATCAGCACAGGCAGCAAGTCCAGAGAGTAGAAGCCGGACATACTCCTTCGAGCAATAGTCAACCAACAGACAGCCGTTGCAACGTCTCAGAGGCTTCTGAAATCCTAGAGCTAAGCAATTCGCACACACCGAGAGCTTCTTCTGGTGGAGATACTCGTGCTCAATCTGGCTCACATATGTCACGCCACAAATGGGAAAGGTTTTCTTTGTGGCCATCTTGATGGTAATGTTATCAGGTTATCACACTCTCTTAAAATCCCAACAGGGTGAGCGAGAAAGGATGAGGAAATAGAGAACAACTTTGGAATGTAATCGAAGATGGGTTCATGTATGAGGTGCCATGATTTAAATGTACGTAGATGTTATACTTGCGTCCTATGGCAGGTTTGCCGACCCTTGTCGCACCCTGACAACACAGCCTTGTCATCAGATCTACACTGTTGGACGTGGTTAGGATACAATGCAGATCAAGATATAAATCTTGAACAATGTTAAGATATACTCAAAAGTCACAGTGCTGCTGTATCTCTCTACACACATGCTGCAGTATTCCGGACCCGGAGCAACCTCCGCAACAAGTCTGTCCATCAACTCGCTAGCACAAAGAAAGGGTCTCCTAGCCCATAGGCTCGTTGACGAGATTGATCTTTGTGCTGACCCAGTGACCGGGAGTGTGGACTATGGGTCTGGAAGGCCCGTCCGAATAGTGGTCGCCACATAAACTTGATGCTATGTTCAGAATCAGGGCATTGCAACGACGGTCCCGCAGCAGTCGGGGTGTATTCGAAGTCCATAGTCTGCCGCAAACTTTTGGGATGCAGAAGACAGTTCCCCAAGCTGCGTGACGCCGGCGTCCATGTCCATCATTAGAATTGGATAGCTGTGCTCTTGCATCCATGGCACGTAGATGACCAACTAAGCCTCTAGGTTCTGAGCCATAGGAAGCTCTCATAAGAGTGTGTGCGAATTAGTGACCTTTGTTTGTAGCCGTTCTGAAGAAGGACCGGTTCTCCTCAGCACAAGTTCACAGCCACAAATCTGGGTGATAATCGACCGTCAACCGTGGATCCTCACCGTAGAGCGCCTGCCACGAGCCAAACCCGCCTTCCAAGATACAGATTTCCTGAGCCACAGGCTTCTTCTGTTCTTGTTTCTGGTCGTGGTCGTGTGCCGACTCCTTGTCCTCAGACGCCCGCTCTTTTGCTTCAGCCCTCTGCTTTGCTCTTGCATAGCTCAATGCAGCTTTCGGGCCCCTCTGCTGACTCAACATGCAGTGGAAGACTACCTTTTCTTTGTCTTTCAGCGTCCTCACGAGTTCGGGCATTCGAGCGTCCAACTCGTGCAGCGGGACCCAGGTGCTGTCTTTGATGTTGCCACCGATGTGGTCTGAATCTCGGACATCGATGATAGCAATCTTGGATTGTTCCGAAGGTTCGAGGAGAAGAGGAGCCAGGGTTGTTGGCTGCAGAGAGGTTAGGGATGAAAGGGTAATGGGCGCTGAATTAGTGGCCATCCTTCGAATCTGGGGCGACGAGGAGGCTAAGGCCAGGGAGCTGGGCTGCACGGCGAGATTTGGCTGTCCTGGTCTGCAAAACTGGCGAAGTAGATTGCTCGGCCCGCTTCGAGCAAGCATGAAGAACGCCAGTTACCCAGCACATAAAAGGTCAGGGCGACTGTTGTAAGAATGAAACGTAGAAGAATGCTGGTGGTGTACACTGTACAGTATTCCGTAAAGTAGTGGCCCCCGTCCGCTTCTGATTGGCGGGCAGTTCGCCGAGCTTCAAGTTGAGAATTGCAATTCAATGTCTCTCTGGGCGACAACGACGACGACATTACTTGTGAATTCGACGATTGAACCACCCACTTGGGCATCTGTCTACCATCATCCCTTCTGCGGGCTGCATCGCACGAATTGCCATCGTAACTCCGGGTACGCAACGGCAGGATGGAGTCTGCTCAACCAATGCAGAGATGCGCCCGTTGTTTACTATCTCCAACCTCGAGACACATTCTCGCCTCTAATGCTCCCCTCCGACAACAAAGTACACGACGGCTCCTGTCAACACGTACATTCTCGACCTCGCAGACCGCGCACGATGCTCCATCTCCTCGATCGGCCTCGACTCCTAAGACCGCAACGACAGCCGCAGGCGCAGCTCCACAGCGGCCCTCGATCAAAGACCTTCTACGCGATCTACGGGCACGGGAAGAGCCAAGAAGCGGCCAGACAGTGCACGATCGAATGGACGCACTGATGGGCAAGAGACAAACCGGTGCAAGCTCGGGACGGGCGAGTTTCGCCGACATCATGGGCCGCCGAGCAGGAGGCGGCGGAGTCGACCAGAACAAGATGCTGGACGATCTGAGCCAGGAACTGCACGAGACCTCGTCGATCTCGTTACGGCTGAGGCCGACGCTGGGCCGCACGGTCGATGGCTTGAACGGCGATCCGTCCAGGGGGTTCCGAATCCTGGAGCGCAAGTGCGCCGAAAATAAGATCAGACAGGACGCGAGGAAGCAGCTGTTCCACGTCCGAAGTGGCCAGGCCAGAAAGGACATCCGGAGGGTGAGATGGAGGAAGCTTTTCCTGGAAGGATTCATTGCCGAGTGTGGGAGGGTCCGCCGCATGAGGAAGCAAGGCTGGTAGCTGGTAGCTGGTAACTGGCAATGTGTCGTTCTGTCACAACTGAATGCTTGGTGGGCAGGGTTGCGGGAGGCATAGTCATGTATGCACAGAATCAATGTCAAGTATTGATATTGGCTCCAGAGCCAGCGGGCTGTAGATGCTCTATCTGGTTTCTGGATTGGACTATGCTGAGGCTCTAGCAGAAGACTGCACTGCAGGGTGGTCTTCAGGGCTCCTGTAAGACTGGATAACACACACCGTTCACGCAGCTGGGACTGGAGGGCTACTGTGTAGTCCCTACACTGACGGCTTAGGCTACTGCCAGCTCATGTGCTACTGCTAACCTGGGTCCAACCAAGGATGTCGCATGCATTACAAAGTTCGAGTCCTGCTGCTTTCTCCTTTCTATCGAAATCAAAGGCTGGGGAAATTCACAGGGACAAGTTGCCGCCTTGCATTCTTATTAGCTGTAGCTGAGACTGAGTCTGAGTCTGGATGTAGACTAAGCTCAAGGACCATGACTCCTGCAAAGCCTCGATGACGACGATGATGGTCTCCCCTCGTGTTCCAATGCTGTTCACCCGTTCCCATGTCCTCCAGCAAAGCCGACCAGGGACGCCTTTGCGTCGCAGCCCAGGCAACAAGCAGGCAAAGAAAAACACTAGAAACAAGCAATCTGCAAACGCGTGCTGTCCCTCGCTGGGAACATCGTGCATGCTGTCCTCCATAGCGCAGGCGAGGGACTGGAAAAAAAAGAAGCACTAAGAAAATTGATAGCACAACATAATCGACCGCTTTTGAAGGCTGGAATCATCATCCACCATTTCGTTTGTTTGTTGTCGGGGTTCAAGTCAAGCCTTCGTTTGTTTCTTGTCGGGTTTCATGTCAAGCCCTCAGGTCAACACCCCTCTGTGCCGTCATGGCATATCCCATCATCACGTACTCGGCGATCGACCGGGTCCACTTTCTCTTTTCTCCTGAGAAGCACCTCCACGAGTCGATTGCTTCTGGACGGTCGCGAGCGCGAGGGCGAGCTTGACGGTCTGGCTCAGTACGGTTTCCTGGCCAACTTGACCAGCTGGAGCAAGTTACATCGCACATCCGGCTGAGCGGTGAGTCTGAACTTGTTGATCTGGGCGTGGACGACGTTTAATTTGCGCTCGATTTCCGGGTCGTCGGGGAACTCGTCGAGGGCGCCATTGAGGACGTGGAGCTGTGCCGCGGTGGAGGTCAAGTCGGCGGGCTGCTCATCGTACCATTTCAAGAAAGCCATTGCTTCGCTCTCCACCACCGATGTCTTCCCGCTGACCAAGCCGTTGCAATCAGGCTTGACGCAGAAGGCCCGAAAGCCCGTCACGGGGTTGCCCTTTTCCGCCTCAGCCCGAAGTGTCAGCACACACTTATGGCAGTAGAGATGCATGCAGACGAGGATGCGGCATTTCGGCTTGAATTGTTGGCAGCGCGAGCATTTGATCAGCTCGGTGATGGGCTTGCCTTCCACATGGACGGTCTCCAGTTGTTTGATGAAGGCCGCGAACGTTGGAGTATATGCTGGTTTGTGTCATATATGTCAGTAAAGATTCCTTCGATTCCTTTGCCTAGGTATCCAAGACCGGGGAGCGTCGCTTACCTGGCTCTTTCTCCAGTCTCTGCTTCTTCACCTGCTTGGTTGGAGGGTCGTTTGCTGGGGTCGCACCGGTTTCGACGGATTCGCGTGCACGTTTCAGATTGGCAGCCGGGGTGTTTTTGGGACGAAGCATCTCTTGGCCCTTGAGAAGAGAGCCTAGAAGACCAGGGAAATTCTTTTCGGCACGAGACATGTGTGCAGGATCTGGGGCTTCGGACTCGCTGCCGGCGGCTGGTACAGCGCGAAACTGGGCATGTGGACGAGGACGAGAGCCAGGGCCGGGTCCGATGGGTTGAACAAGACGGCTGTGAGTCTGAGTTCGAGCGCCTCGCGCCAGCGGCGCAGGTGCTGCAGCTGCAGCTGCGGTGAGGGTGGTTGACATGGATTGCGCGGTGGTGGGTAGAGTCTGGACCGAGCTGGGTTCGGACTTGACACTGGGCGATCGCATGGACATCGCTGGAGGCATGGAGCACAGTCGCTGTGGCTCGTCAGCTGCGGAAGGCATGGCGGTTTCTCCGTCATCGACCGACGGGGCTTTCAACGTGGCGGCGTCGATGTCGTTGTCGCACTCCAGAACCTGAGTGGCCACCTCATGCAGGAAGGGCAAGACGTCTCCAGACAACTCGGTCATCAGGGCCGCCCCGACCACGTTGTTGTCGTCATGCTTGGCCCGGTTGGTGACGATGGCCAGGAGCGCGCTCTTGAAGTCGGCCTCGTCGCCGGCCTTGCGCCGAAGGGCCTCGACGACATTGTCATCATCGAGCACGGTGGCTCGGAAGGCGGACTGGCGCTCGGCGCGCTGGTCGATGAAGGCTTGCTGGTCGAGTTGCTTCATCATGCCCTGAATCACGCTGTCGTTGGCGGCGATTCGGTTGCGGATGCCCTTGAGTTGCGCCTCGAGCTGCGCTTGGTTGGTCCGGAGGCTCTTGGCTTCGGTATCGAGGTCCTCGAGTCGTTGGCGAAGGTCCCCTGTCTTGAGCACAGGTTGTTGTTGGCCTGTTGGGGGGATAGAAGGAGGAGGAGAAAATGAAGGAAAGTGAGGTTGAGGTGCGAGTGAACCCGCGTTCGAAGACATCGTGGGAACAACAACAACAACAACAGCTCACGTGCTCTGCAAGTGTTGTTAGAGCACGAGATAACGCAAAAAAAGAGAGAGAAGGGTAGGTTGAGCGAGGGCGGTGAAGAGGTTTTTAAATCTCTGTATCAACAAACCCACGTGCGGTGTTATACTGACTAACAGGTGTTGTGAATGTCACACTAGCAAGCAGTGAAGCAGTGAAGCGAGAGAAAGAAGATGCAGAAATTGAGAAAGACGGGCGCCCTCTTGATTCACAGACTCTGCTATTATACTGACTGGTGAACGACATCCTTTAACCCACCCATACAGAACAGGGCACGACTGATTTGTTCATGTCGTGGCCTCCTCCACCACAAAGTGCATGTAACAGGTTGGCCTTCCTTTCCAACCCCAGGCTGATGGCGGTTGTCAAGGTCGAAGCGCAGGTACAACATCATGATGCCTTGCTGATATCAATGAAGCGTAGCTGATCACTTTGACAGGAGGCAGCCTTCGATGTCAAAGAATACTTAGAAACGTAACAGCTCTTATAAGCTGAGCGCTGATCAGCGTCATATATTCGTACATCTCAAAGGTTGCGTCGCCAGGGAGCTATGTTTCCATCAATTCGGTTTCCACATCGACTGTCGGAGCTGTCCAGATTCATCGAGGCAAAGAGAGCTTTCTGCTTGACGTTAGACAAGTGGAGGGATGGTGGAATGGTCTTCTCCGATGGCCGCTTCGATTGGGACGACGAGCACGTCGACCATGACAAACAATATGACCAGAGACCTCCTGAAGTGAAGGGGGAAGGAAGGAGACAGGAGGTGTGCCACGTGGTCAGGAACAAAGGGATCAGCATAACAGAGGTGTGGTGCTCACCTAGAGTATTTGACCGGTGTCGACCTTGAACATAAGGTCCCTCTTCAAGGCTCGGCGTCCTTCATATCGCTCTTGAATCTCTCCAGCGCTCGCTGCTTTGTCTCATGCCAATCGACATAGGGCTTTGGGTACCCCAGCTTCTCAAATTCGTCTTTGTCCAGGCGATGGAAAGGATCAAAGACCGCCTTGCCCTTGACGCTTCTCAACTCTGGCACCCATTTGCGGATATACTCACCGTCGGGATCGTTCTTCTCGGCCTGGCTGATGGGGTTGAACACGGTGTAGCTGGGCTCCCAGCCCTGGGTGTTGTTGCTGAGGTCCCAGTCGATGAGCGTTTCGGCAAAGTAGCGTTCGCCACGACGGTAGTCGACGAGTAAGTTACAGTAGAGGTATGACGACACGTTCATTCGCAGTCGGTTGTGCATGTACGCCTCGGCCTTGATCTGGCGCATGCCCGCGTCGATAAAAGGCACGCCCAGCGTCCCCTTCTCCCACCGGTCATATCCTTCCTCGTCGTCCTCCCACTGCACAAAGTCGAATTTCAGGTTCTGTGGCAAGTTCATTACCGTGTGTGGCGTCGTCAGCGTCGTCTGCCGGTATAGTTCCCGAAAGACGAGTTCGCGAACCCAGCCTGATAGGCCGGCATCGGCCCCCATCGATGAAAAGTCCGCCGAGCCTCCGTTGTGCTTGCGCACTTCGATCAGCACTTCGCGCACCGATATCACCCCGGCACTGAGGTACGCTGATAGCCGTGATGTCGAGTCCTTTGCCGGGTTGGAACGTGTCACTGCGTAGTCGACTAGCTTGTCCGAGAGGAACTCGTTGAGGCGTTGCATGGCTGCAGCGTGGCCCGCAGGCCAGAGAGCGCGGATCCGTGATTTTTCCTTTTCACCAGAGAATTCTTTCTCCTTTGGAGGAGTGGGCACCGGGCTGTTGAAGAAGGATTGCAGGCTTTTTTTGGCGCCTGGGAGGTTTTTGGCAGGAGGGTGCACAGAGTCGAGCAAACTCGGATCGGCCTTTACCCTGGCCAACCAAGCCTTGTGATAAGGAGTAAATATTTTCATGGCTGTGCCGCTGCCTGTGAGCATGCTGCCTGGTTCCATGACTGTTTGGTCATGATGCAGCGAGACATGAAAGCCGGCCGGGCGGGACCCTTGCGCGTTGTTGGCTTCTTTCAAGACTTTGACGTCGCGGCGAAGCTCGTCGATTTCATACTCGTAGTTTGCAAACACGTGCGAAATGCTGTTATCCCGCACGAACCGGACAATCGTTGGCACCAGGTCGGCCCGGTTGTTTGCCTCGAGGAAGACCAGCGGGATATCCAGATTCTCCAGTTCGGATCTGATCAGGCGCAGGTTCTCGAGGATGAAGTCCGTCCTAGCCGGAGAGGTACCATGATTTCGAAATTCGGCCGGACAGTTCAGGTAGGCACAGAGCAAGGGTGCCTTGGACTCCTTAGCCAAGGTTGATGCGGCATTCAATGCCCGGTTGTCGTGGATGCGAAGGTCTTTGCTCCGGAACCAGTGGAGAACTGTCCTGGTTTCTTTGGGCGACTCTTGTGAGGCTAGGAGAGCGCTCAATTGGTCGTACGGGGTGTGTGCGTCGATTTCTTTGGCTCGTTTTGTGCTTGGGTGTCGGAGCTCTGGGTGTGGCGGGTGGCTTCTCTTGGACATTTTCTGATCTGTCAATGTGGTACTTCCAAGACTGCAAGGAAGAGAATGGCTAGCAGTGAGAGGAGGAGACGGTGGGAGTAAGGAAGAAAGGCTGGCGCTGTCCCGTCGACAGGTCGAGGTGGCTCGTTTTGAAACCTACCTAACTTGGGCACCTACCATACCACAGGTCAATTGCACGGTCATAGAAGATCGACGGAGATCGGATCTCCCACCAAACAGATCTGGCACCTTGCGCAGAAAGCCAATCCGTTTCCAGCGATCCTCACCCGATCCTCATCCCCTGGAGACGTGGAGGCTCGGAGGCTCCTTAGAAGGAGGCTGGACTCACGCATCACATTGGTGACATTGGTGACATGGCGGAAGTCATGACGTAGTAGAGACCGGAAAGGGGACGCCTCCCGCCAAGGTGAAGGTGCACTGCAGCCTGACACTGCTGATAGAACTCGCAATTGAAGTGTACGGAGTACATGTCCGGAGTACGCAACGGAAGATGCCAGGGATGCAGACCCGGAGTCCAAGGCATGTGCATGTATAGAGAAACACCTTGGTTGCCCGTTTCGCGCCGAGCTGGGCGAGAGTGTCGGCCACGGAAACCTGCAGCACTCAAGAACGACCTCCTACTCGTACCTTGTTGACGTGGCGGACAGGATTATTGACCCATCAAAATTGCCCACTTCAGACCGGCCTGTATACGGCGGTTGATTACCTATACTGGCCTGTAGAGGTGAGTTGGTATTCGAGCCATACGCACGGATGGGATGCAATTGTCAGAATCGAGGATTCATAGGGTCCAAGAGCTCGAACAGATGAACGATCGCACCTCCCCTCTCCTACGATTGCCTTAGGACAAAGTAAATGTGCACTCGCCGGCCTTTCTGACGACGACGACGACGACGACGACGCCTTTGCCGTTTCATTTGGATGGTTGGGAGCACCGGCTGGATTGAGAAGCCTCCAATATAGTGGCCGCCGCGCGGCAAACCACACATGAGCGCGTTGGGTTACGAGCCTTTGAGCAGGTTCATCGCAACGACGAATCCGAGTACGGGTGACTTCTGCTGTGTACAATAATGCACCAGACCATTACAGAGTAATTAGTTCAATTAGGACTGGAAAAGTGGGCTAAGGAGGCATGCCGGTTCGAGAAGTTATGGATCAACCATGAAAGCGCCCGGGAGATTCATCTTTGACCCTCCTGAACGGGGAGCCTGAGCCCCTAAGGGCCTAAGCCCTCCGAAGACCCGGATGGTGGTGAAGTGGCTCACCCGGCCGTTGGTGGGCTCCTCTAGGCTCCTTAGGCTCCTGAAAAGGCCGGTCGTCGGTCGAGTCTGCGCAGAGGGTCGCCGGGCTTAGTCCAGGGATCAGCCAGGGATCACCACCAGCTGGGGTCCCTGAGACCGCAACGGTCAAAGCTTCGGATATCTCAGTGTCAAGACTCAAGTCAAAGACTCAAGTCAAAATCCAAGACCCAAGAGTCCAAGTGAGATGAAACATGAGACATAAGACACAGGATTTCCTGGAAAAGAAGGCAAGCCTGCCCTTACATTATTGTACTCCGTACAAATCTTGTGCCTGACTTCGGAGATTAGAGTGCCGCGCTATGCGAACAAACTGGTTCACATGTTAGTGAGGCGATAGTCGCAACCTTTACCAGTCAAGCAGGAATCCTTTGGTGAACTTCCTTCAATTTGGTTAGGTTCAGATGAAACTTGTTCTTGTTGGCGGCGGACGACATTCCTCACTTGCATATCTACCGGCAATTCAACCGCGGCGCCCGCCAGCAAAGAAACCAGACTGGTTGGCGATAGCCGTAGTGTCTGTCTACGGCGTACAGATACAAAGTGGCACGCGGTAAGGTTTTCAGGTGGCATCTTGGCTGCATTATTAATGACATGAAATATTTAACCGCAATCTCTGGCCTGGCTCAGTCCCGACGAAGAGGGCAAGCAACCGCGAGGAGCCAGTTGACGAGGACGCAGTTCGTGAAGTCTCTGAGGGTGTTGCAATCATGTTTGGTCTCAAGCCCAGCTCTCTCCTTCTACTAACGGCAGCAAAGCCGGGCATCCGTGTATCCGACTCGAATGCATCCCATTCACTACTTGTTGGCTGCACCTGGACCTGGTTGGGTGTAATAATGACGTGCTTGGTGTCGGCCTCCAGCTTCCAGCTTGCAGCTTGTTCATTCGAAGCAGTCCATTCCTTGTCCTGCAAGGAAGCACGAAGAGCCTGATGCCACTGGTCTCTTCAAGTTGGGCGTTGATCCCCGACTCGGGCACTACATACTGACTACTGACTATGAATCCTCTGTGGCACCATCCGACATTGACATGGCTGCGGCTTCCAGAACCGCCAGGAACCAAACGTGTGGATGGAGTCGACGCAGCGGCCTGGTGCTCCCTACGCCGCGACGTCATGGCGGGGCGCCGCCGCTGCCGCCAGCGCCTTGCGTTTTGTATGCGCCTTCAACACGTGGATAGCGGAGCTTGCTCAGTCTGGTGGATATGGTCACTGGGCGCTGGTCACACAAACGAGCCCAGTTTCGTCTCTTTCGGAGTACGGACTACGAGTACAAAGGAGACTGTGTGGGAGAAAAAAAATTAAATGTGGCCGGGCGTAAAAGTCAACAGCTAAAGCCCACGCCCTGGTGTCCAAAGGCCGAACAGCCGGGAGGTGTCTTCGAGAGGTCGAAGCCCGAGGCTAAGGAGCTACTCATTCGCTCAATTTTGATGGCAGGCAGATCACTTGGCTCTGGAGTGGAACACAGACACACACACATACACAAACCCTGCACCTTGTCCTTGGACGGGAAGTAACGACAGTTGGATTCGACTTGCGAGGCACCCTGTCGTTTTCTCTTTTGGTTTTGTCTAAATAATGGCCTGACACCCACCAAATGATCGTCGCGGCAGTGCCGTCTTGGGAGAGCAGCTGACTACTGGCTCGACCAGAGGCAACGCACAAGACATGGGAGGAAGCACGGCAGAAGCTACAGACTGACGGCCTGGCCTCCCTGATTCTAAGTATTGGTATTTGACTTTCGGGACATGATAGGCTTTGATGCCCCATTCGAGATTAAGCATGCCCCGAGTCTGCCGGCACCGTGGCACGAGCATCTGATGAGACCAAACAGGAGGTTAACCCGTGAAACGCACAGGTTCACAGTGCACGTTTTGGTGCTTGCTTTCAGCATGCCGAGAACTTCCGAGACACAGGGCCACGCATAACGCAATAACATGACTACCTACCTACCTTTCCCTAGCCTTGGCCATGTCTTCGTTGGTCTCTGCGGCTTGGAGGGCTCGTGATAGCATAATTTATTTATCATTGAACCGAAAATCCGAGACGTCAAGGCTGGTCCTTGAACAAACACCTACAAGTGTGATTGGCCGGCGCAAGGTCGAAGGTCGAAGGCTGGAACTTAAAGGCCAGGTTACTGTCTAGCCGAATCTCGCTTGGAAGGTTTGACCAGGTGGGAATGATGATCATACGGACGATCCTTACTCGAGAGGTACGTACCGCGTCGCGCCAGTGTCGACTGGCCAATGCTGGTCAGTAATATCTTAGACCGGGTGGGCGAGAAGACGAGTGCTGAAACGGCTGGCCAAGGGGTGACACCTTGTCTTGGGCCATGTCAGAGCATCTCCAGCTGTGCCTGGTGCGAGGGCTGTCGAGGTCGAGGTTGCATTCGACTGCAGAGGTCTGACCAAGGCAATTAATTGATTACTATTGGGCTTTGGAGGCAACCGAAGTAAAGAGAGATGAGAGGTGCAGTAAGACCGCGACGTGGCCTCGAAAGAAAAGGGACGCCGCTGCCGCTGCTACTATTACTACTACTTCGCAAAAAGGCAAGCCCGCGACAGAGTGGCGGCGCTCTTTTCTAGACTTGGGAACCTGCTGCCTAGGTACTCTGTACCATTGTGACTGTTTATTATTAATATTTGTACTAGGTAGGTAGTATTTTACTGTTCATGGAGCGAGAATCGACCTCCTGCGGTGCCGCGGTCGGTGGTGCTCCTGCGCAGCGTTTCAGACACTAGGGTGCCCGTGACCATCCGGTCGGAGGAGAGCGCCGTGTGGCGCCTCAGCTACACACAGACGGATAAAGTAGTACGGGTGGTGCACAGGCGAATCGGGCATCAAGATTGCTGGTCGGAATAGCGGCTGCTATAATTTCCTATCCAGGAAACCGATACCGCCTCGGCGTCTGAGACCCCGATGTTACAGTACGAGTACGTCCTTTCCCCCAGGAAGATTACTAGGTACCTTAGGTACGCGCACGCCTTCAGTGTCTCTGCGGTGTCGTGTGTATCGTGAGAGTTGAAGGAGGAGTTACATCGGCATCGTCGCAGGAGCAGGTACCTAGATAGAAGAATGGAATGGTGGCCGCCCTCGACTCGAACAAGGTAAGGTCACGATTTGGAGATTTTGACTTTCTGACTTTCTGTTAGTACCCCCGTCACCGCTAGGCAGCTTTCGGGCGCAATTGAGAGAGGATTACATGGTTACCTGGTATTATTGAGTAATCCGTACGGAGTATCCGTACAACCAAGGCTGAAATTCAATCACTTGCAGCCTCTCTAGCAGAAATACGAGGTACGGATACTCACGCTTCTGCTTTCGACGTGATCGGTTCCGACGCGTCTACGGTGTACACAATGCACATACACACACACACACACACACACACACACACACACACACACACACACACACAATACGACTGTGCGGCCTCAGCTAGGTACCTACTACTGTCAACCAACCTGACTCGACAACTCAGCCAGAAGTCTCGAGTCGAGGCTGACGCTTCTGTCGGGTGCCAAGAAGGCTGCAAAATGATCGCGGTACTAGTCCCAGTATCGTGGCGGTAATCCGTGGAAACTTCATTATTATCATCATTACTACACTGAGTGAACGCTATGTTGAGACACGAGCACTGTTAATAGTTATGCCTGCAGAATTTTCAGCTCCCCTCCGGCATGCTCGACGCGTATTTCTCTGACCGACCGCAGCGCTGGGTAAATTGCTCCGTCAGAGGCCTTGTCCCTGGAATTAGGCTGATTCGTCTGGACTACAGGCACAAGCACAGCACGATGCTCTGATTTCCTGTATCCGTATAGCTGTCTGCCTGCCTGGGCCCTTTTCCCACACATCGCCCATATGGTCCTGTTGCCAGCAGGGTGCTTTAGTGGTGCCCCCTGTCTCCAGTGCTGAGGACGGAGTATGGCAGTCCACCCTCTAGGATCCTACCCAGGCTCTCAGGCGCAGCGAAACCCACACCATAACAGAGGATCGCAGTCTAGCCATCGTATCTGGCTGCGAGGTAAAACCTAGCAGGCGTAGCCTGTAGGTGGGTGGCCCATCGGTGGCCCCGGGGCACTTGGGGGTGCTTGCGTAACGGCGGGCTCTTTTGGATCTCATGGGACGTGTTCATCCACACTAACGAGTCAGACCCGGCGACCCTGGCCCCTGACGCCGCCACCGACACGCCCTGTTGGGAGCTGTTCCCGATCGACAAGCTGTGGACCGGCTGCAGAGGCCGGATTAATTGGGTGGTCGGGCAACATGGAACGGGGGGTGGCAGAAGTGGCAGAACAAGTGGATTCACCATCACAGCGGCGGCTGCGCACCGACACTAACACACCACTACTGGACGCTACGCCTGGCACGCTGCTCATGCTACGTAGGCAAATCCCGATTATTGATGAACTTGAATGGGATCAATCAATCAATCAATCCCTCGTAGCAATATCAATGAATCATTTGAATCTCGCCGCCTCGGGCCAACGTCGTGCCCAAATCCAGCAGTCACATCATCATCCTCACCCTCCTCCTCCTCTTCTCCTGGCGGAAAAATCCATCTCCTAGCGTGATCACCCACCAGAGTACGGACAAGCAATACTTCTCCGGAATACTGCCTGGCCCTGGCTCTGCCTTTGCCGAAACTGCGCTGCACAATTTTGTTCGCCCTCGCTCTTGACTCCCCGAGATAGTTAATCTCTCACATTTTTTCACACCTGACCACCATCAGTCCTCTCGCCTTCACCTAACTCATCCACCCTTCTTCTGACAATTTTTCATCTTCTCTATTCCACCTTTATCTTTGCCTCCTACCGCGTTTCGGCAACAGTTCCTAGATCCCGATTCTCGTTTTCGGCAACCGATCCAGCATATCCACTGCGGCCGCGGCAGCACAATCCTCCAGACCTAAAATCATCCACCCCCAACCCAACCCAAGACAAAACCTTCCCACCTTCCTCCCACGCCCGCCGCGCCAGACCCAGCAAAGCAGCCATCCTCTCCTGCGAGTCAATCATCCTACCCGAGAAGCTAGATCAAGGGACCCAGCGACCCTCATCTATACTCGCCTGTCCTCCTCTTCGCGTGTTGCACACAATAACAATACCACGCCCTTTCTCCCCTCCACTCTCGACAGTAGCATACACTGCCTGCAAAGCCTCCGTCAACCAGCTGCAGCCGCCTTGTCGCGTGTTCAGACGCCCTCAAGCGCTACCAGCTGCCACCCAGATACTCCGCTAAACCTTTTCCCGACTTGCGGTGTCTCCGGCTTCCCTGCGTTGCAGACATTGTTCGCTCCTCAACTCACCATTATTCTCCCTCCGAAAAATTTCAACCTGTCCTGTCCTTACTGACACCACCACCACACCACACCATCGACCCGCTTCTCATTGATACTCGAGTCTCCATCGCCCAGTATCGTCTTCCTACCTCTGTCCCTTCATCCTCACTCCATCGTCCATGATCGATTGAGATCATACTCCACCTGCATCTTCTATCCCGGTAATGGACCCCAGACAATCACTGTCACGGACAACGTCGTCCAACGTTGGAACGCCTCAAAACGCCTACAATCCCAACAACATGGCCTCTGCATATGCCATGCCTCCCTACCAGAGCAACACCCACCTTCCACCCATCAACTACTCTCAGCTGCCCCCCGCGAATCAGAGCTACATGCAGCAGCAATACCGCAACGATGTGCCGCGCTACACTTCTGCCCCCAACACTGCGCCAGTTGCTTCCCCTGCTCCAGACAATAGGTACAATTCCCACTTGAACCCACAAGGCACCATGGGTGGGCTTCCCCCGTCTTCGGTTCTGCCGCAACCCCAATCTCAGCAGCAGCAGCAGCAACAGCCGCCACCTCATCAAGGTTACCAGGGACAGCAACCGACGCGTCAAACTTACCCCCAGCCTCTTGCTCCTGCACCGCCTCGCCCCAATCTCGATTCCCTGGGCCCTGCTTACGGCCAACCCGACAATCGTCAACAGGCGTGGTCCGGCGCTGAGTCGATACCCGGCATGGGTGCGGATGTTGGTCGAGACCCTACAAGAACACACGTGGTGGGATCACAAGGAAGAAGAGGCATTTTGCCCAGTGCCCCAGGTCGTCCTCCTGTCATGCCAAACGGGGTTAACGGCTCCCCGAAGAGTGCTGTTCCCCAGAAGGATGCCGACGGCAAATTCCCTTGCCCCAATTGCACTAAGACTTATCTCCATGCAAAACATTTGAAGCGGCACATGTTGAGACGTAGGTTTACCCTCTCCCAAGTCGTGGTGACTAGCTGACAAGCGTTATAGATACCGGTGACCGGCCATACATGTGTGTTCTGTGCAATGATACGTTCTCCAGGAGTGATATCCTGAAGCGTCACTTTCAGAAATGTTCGGTCCGGCGTGGAAATCCCACAGGAGCGAGTCATTTGTCCAACCCGGCCGCCCACATCAAAAAGTCCCAGCAGGCTGCTGCTAAGGCGGCCACAGCGTCACCAGCCAGCGCAAACACGCCCTCCAGTGCAGTCATGACCAACCCTCCATTCACTTCCGCCCCCATGGGCAGCACCTCCGCGCCTACGACCAGCGCACCCGCACCCGGAATGGGCTATGCCATGCAACCTAACGGCCAGGCCGACATGCAACGCCAAGCGCAGTCAATGCAACCAGGTTCGGGTCCGGGGGGCATGGATCCCAATGCTAACAGCTCCTGGTCGATGCACAATCCAAGAAACAGTCAAATGATGTACCACTCGACTTCGACTCCTCCAGACCACTATGGCATGCAGCCAGGAGGGGGGGATGATAAGCGCAATGTCATGCCCCAACCTCACCACATGGGGGATGAGTGGAACCACATGTTTCAGCCTGGCGGCAACGAAGGGTACATGAACCCCATGTTTGGAGGTTATGACCAATCCCAGAATGATGTAAAGAAAGAGTTTGAGACTCATGAAGGTGGATCGAATGGCTACTACATTCCCTCTACGAGCCTTGGAGCTGATGGTACGCTTGGACCCCCTCTCTGGAATCTGCATGCATCTCAGCAAGACTTGTTCCAAACCAAGGTGAACTCTCTGTTAACGTTTGTTTTCCCTGGTGGAATACAGGAATCGCTCCAAGAGCAACAAAATAATCTCAACATTCAATCTTGCCTGACCGTCGAAGCCATCCAACATTTCCTCAATCTCTTCCCAAACTACCAAGGTCATTTCCCTTGGCTCCATCTACCGACCTTCAACCTCTTGACTGCCTATGACGGCCTCATCCTTGTGATCATCTGTAGTGGGGCGGTGTACTCTGACCGTGTTTCTCAAAGTCAGGTGCGAGCTCTAATGCAACTAGTGAAGCGCGCCATCGAACGAAATTCGCAAATCCTCAAAGTCCTGGAACTGGGATCTGCACGGACACCATTTCCCCCATCAGCAGTGGAGTTTGAAGAGCTTCTCGCCCTTTCAATTTTACAGTCCTTGTTTGTCTGGCATGGAGGTCCGGATGAGCGAGCCCAGGCGCGTGCGGAAAGTCGAAGAGTGTTGTACTTGGTCCGTCATTTCAATATGTTGACATTGGCTGGCCCGGACGATCCCTTCTCATACAGCTATCTTCACAACCTTCAACCAGGCGAGGAGGCCGATCCATCTTTGTGGGAATGGCGCTCATGGGTGGAACAAGAAAAACGATCTAGACTGATGTTCATGGTGTATCTTTGGGACGCAGCCCTGTGTATCTACTTCAATATGGCGCCTCAGTTTTCGTCGGCCGAGATCAAATTACCACTTCCTTGTGATGATGCGGCCTGGGAAGCTCCAGATGCGGAGACTTGCGCCCAAGCACTGGGGCTTCGAGGTCCGGCTGCCCAATCCCGGATCAACACCAGCGGCTCACTCCGACTCAAACAACTGGAGATGCACCATGCAATGAGCGCTTTACATAGTACGTCAGTACTCATGCAACCACAGACCACCAACGTCTACTCCAAGTTCATCCTAATTCATGCACTCCACGTGGAAATATGGCAACTTCAACGTCAAAGATCGTTGGCCGGTCCATCCGCTTCTTTTCAAGGTACCGGTCCTGGTGGCCCCTCTTTTGACCAGACGAACAGTATGTACAATTCAGTGGATCTCGCTCTCGCGCGATGGAAACAAGCCTGGGACGAGGATTTTTCTTTACAGTACCCACCAGACAATGGTCATCACACAGTTCCAAAGCGTCTTGGCTTCTGCCGAGATGGCATCCTTTTCTACTGGCTTGCTCGTGCCTTGATGCAGCCCAACCGGATTCATGATTGGCAGTTGCCTGCCGACCAACGACTCCAACAAGTTCTTCATGGGCTGAAGAAGGCCCGAGCATGGAGCAGCACTGATTCGGCCAAAAGAGGCGAAGAGCCCGGCAGTGTAGCCTACATTGACGATGATTATGCTTCTGCATCAGTGGAGCTGGACATGAGGAAGTTATTCCGTCCCCTGCAAACGATCTACGACAGTCCAGCCCCATCGGTCTAACAATAGCAAGCTCGCCAGCAATGATGGGGAGTACCGACATGGAGACAGTCCTATATTGACGGCTATTTGCATCGGCTGGTACTGGTTGAGGGCATTGGCAGTGACCATACGCACATCTGCTCCAGATGTCATGAAACTCGGTGGCTTCTTCTCGACCCTTTCACAACGAAAAAGCACTGCACATAGACAGGATTTACACTCTGGCTGCTCGTCCTGGACTGCAAAGCTTACGGCTTTTGCGATTCCTCGACAGAGACAGTCACAGTCCAAACGTTACCTATTTTGGCATGGAACGGCGCGATTGATTTGCATTTCTCAAGCGAGGAGAGTCTGGTTACATCATTTTCTTCCTGTTATCTGGTCAGAACGGACAAGGATATAGACGGTCAGGGTCAGGTTACAAGTACTCGGATTCGAAAACACTGGGAGGTTTCTTTAGTGTCCATGGTCTTTGCCATTCGTGACAAAGAGAGCGGGTAAAATTCAGGCAGGGTTTTTACAAAAAAAAAGCGGCAAGATGATGGATCGGCGATGGATCTTTATGGAAAGGACATGAGGTGTTCAAGCTTTTCAGGAGGATCGGGATGGCTTCGACATTGATGGCGAGGGAATGCCGTGTTACTGTTTGTACGAGGGCGTTGCGGTTGGCTTTGATGGCTTAACGTTATGGCTCCATGGCTCGAATGGCTCTTTTGCATTGTTGATTGTTGTTTTTTCGCGCCTGCATCCTGCATCGATTCACGGGGATACTTTTTTCAACGACCGAAACATGTCCTGAGGGCTGAGGCATCGAGATTCATAGGGGGCTGGGTCGTGTTGACTGAGTTCGGTTCTATTTCTGTTCTTATGGTCAGAGGAGAGGAACAGACTAGGGTGGGAGAGTTTGATACGATGGAATGGCGGTGACGGACGAGACAGGAGAGTCGAGAGCGGATGCTTGTTGCCTACTTACTATTCAGTCAGTCGCGAAACAGAACGAAAAGATTGAGGAAGACTCCTCGAGCCACACGAGCTCTGACGGAGAGGGAAAAAAACAAAAAAAACCCCAAGAAAAACGCAACAGATTTTGAGGAGCTTACTTTTTTCGAGCACATAGATAGAGGCAAAAACGCGACGCAATGAATGAACCACTTTACCCTTTTAAACAAAACTGTGTTCGTTCTCTTCCGTCAGGCTTGACGTTTTGAAATGCCTGAGAGACGAGGCCGATGTCAATTGTCTACGGTGACAATCACATCACTATCGACAGCCGCTCCGATACGTTGCGGCTTGAAGTCGCAAGGTATGAGACTCCGTCGCAGTTCAGATACTTCGCCACTTCATTGGTATATGCATCATGGCGATGGTCTCGTCAGCAATGAAGTCCGTGTAAGCAGGTGTAGTGGTCAGTCGTAATAATGATCTTTTCGCTCCCCTGGGGATTCGATGAGACCATTGCGAGTTGTGACGACCAAATCACAAATGACACTGACGCCGCCCAACTAGCCAATGAGCCCACACATATTCACGTTGCTCGAGTACTCCCAGATGACCGGTATAGTTCGCTTACCAGGGCAAGCCACGAGAATGTGGGCGGAGAGGAGCATCTTGATGTTGGCAGCGAACAAGGCCGGATCAACCAACATAGACATCCAAACGAGGCTTTAGGCTGGGGTGGAAGCTCAAGCCATTCCCAAAGCTGAACATGCCTTGAGTGCATGCAGATTATAACCCAAAGGCCATGGCTTGGTCTGTACCGTTGAGGATGACAATCGTCGTGGAGGGTTATGATACCAGCTCGATCAACATCCTCTATGCCCTTCGGTCTTTCGACGCTCTTGTGGGGCACCTTGGATCTCGATGCTTCTCCGATGGTAACCAGGCCTCAAAGGAATTCAGAAGATGAGGTATGTGGCTGGAGGGTTGCGGTCTGTCGAGATCGCGACTTGTGCTGCTTGCGCCTCTCGTGGCTGTGACTGCGCCTGATTCATCATAGCATTAGATACCTGTACTTGTCAAGTGGGACAAGACAAGACGAAGGTGGCCAAGGAGGCCAGTACACAGACATACCTAGGTTGATGGGCAAAGCCGCGGCGCGGACAGAGCAATACTAACCATCTGAGGACAGGAGGAGTGGGCGACCGGGATCTGGCCGAGCAGGCAGCGTGGTGCGGTGTGGTGCAGGATCGGGTCATGTGAAGCGAGCGGGTGGGTGGCTAAGGGCTTAGGAGGCTCCTGCTGTATCCGTAACCTGAACCAACAGGAGCCATTTAGAACTATCCGTACATGTACCCCAGAATTCCGGAAGTCCATCGTCTCCGTTCGTCGCACTAGACAAAACACCTTCCTTGCGACTCCATCACGATCGCTCTAACTTAGCTTCTTATCTGGGATGGAGTATGGAGTATAGAGTATGGAGTACGGATACTCCGTCCTGTACTCCGTACTCCGTAACCCGCTCATCATGGTGGTCGTGCCTACCGTCCTTGTGCGCCCACTTCCATCCCCGCTCGTTATCATCAATACCGGGCCCATCGCCATCTGGCATCTGGCATCTGGCGCTATCATGCCCGCATCCGCCTCCACTACCTAGCAGCATCCCCTACCTGTGTGATGATAGTGATGGTCCACTCCTCCTGCCCACTCTCTTCGGTGTCCAGACCCGGTCTGCCACAGTATTGGATAGCGGCCTCCATTTGGCATCTTCAACCAGGTCGCCGCCAAAAGTCACTCTGCTCGGCGACACCGTATTTCGTCCCCCAATTGTGCCAGATACGACAGGAACAACGACCGGACTCCACACCATGTGGCAGCAATATATTGTTCTTTGGATGGAGTGGGCAGCGTTGTACTCGGTAGCTGGGATCCGTTTCGGAGCAGTGTACGGGTTGGTTTGATATGTTATAATTAGTGATGGGTCGGCCACATCAAACGGAAGGGCCTCGATAATCGTTTCATTGTAATCACCAGCCCTGAGTGCCTCAACACCTCTAGAATGCATGGCCTTGCGGGAGAAGGTCTTATAAAGATAGACAGGCCTCGATAGCTGGACATCACAGCAGGACTACTCGCCAGTGAGACATTGGGCCCGCGTGCAGTCGCAATTGAGCATGAGTGCAAGACAAAGGCCAGAGTCGAAGAAGCAACCCACGTTTGTTCAGGGAATCACAGATCAGTTTTATATAGCCCTTTCTGCGTTCCGACAGGATTTAAGCAGCTCTTCGACTCGAGCATGAGGTCAACGCTTCGGACGATAATCTGTAGGAGTACTACTCTGGTACCGTCACTGCCGGAAGAGGCAACTGTGCCGGCGCGTCGACGGCGCGTCGCGCGTTAAGTGCCTGCATTGCGGCCGCTTTTCCTGCACACCACTCAGCCTACTCTGTACAGTCCTGCGTCGATTCAAGCGCACAACCATGCTTGTTGAAGATTAGACATGGGTTCCTTCGACACTTCTCCTCGAGCATCGAAACGTAGACGAACAGGCACCTACGCAACTAGACGGACGACATTGAACACGCTCCCTTCCGACCCAACAGACGACTCGAAGAAGAACGCCCAGAGACCTGGAAAAGGGCCCGGGCGTAACCCGCATGTGGTGTCGAACGTCTCCACGGAAAGGGAAGAAGATGACGAGGGCATTACACCCAGCGATACGTCAGCAGAAAATCGGCAACTAGCCCCAGAAAACAAGAATGCAGAGGCATGGGTGGACCGTCTACCATCCTACAATGAAGCGAAGACTCGAAAAAGGGGGATTGTAACGGAAACAAACGACGGACCAATAGAAGAAGTTTTGCAGCTGTCCGATGCTGCTGAGGCCAACGATGAAGATAAGGCTGATGAAGAGGAGCCTCCCGCGAAAGAAGATCTAGCTGTCGGACGCCCGCCTCGATCCAGTGGGAGGACCAGGCGACCACCACCACGATTTTCCTCCCCACAGGCGCGCATTGAAGTCTCGAGCTCCCGGAAGCAGTCAGCACAGAAAAGCCCCGCGAAATCTAAGCCCGCTGCTATCTCTTACGGGAATGACGTTGGAGCTGAAGCTGAGTCGCCCCAGCCAAAAAGTATACTTACGCCCTCTAGACATGGGCGCGACAAGAAAACAGGACCTCGCAAATCAGTGGCATTCGACGAAGATGAGAGACGGATCGGGGAACATTTTGGCTTCAAGGACATTGACAGGTCAACCGCCAAACCAACCAGAAAAAATAAGACCACCTCCACGTCCAAACCGTCTCCGCCTAAGAAATCGTCCATTGAAAATCGAGCAGCATCTGCACGACAAACAAGGCTAGCTGAAACATCAAGTGGAAGCGATGAGGACGGAGAAGCCAACGCTGATGGTGACGATGATGATGAAACGACATTTGACGCGGCGCCTGATGTGAGTGAGGTTCTTTCTCTGCCTACAGCCATGGAAATCCACCTTGGTGTGCAAACGGAAAAGTCAATTGAACAGGAGGACAACTTGCACGTAAAGAAAATCAAGAGCCAGATCCTCAGACAAATGACCAACCACACTCTCTGCCCCATGTCGCACCTTCAGCCCCAGTACGGCGCGCTGCACTCCTTACTCACCGCAACCATCACCGCGGGTGAATCAAACTCCATTCTTCTGCTCGGCTCTCGAGGCAGCGGGAAATCACTTCTTCTCTCACACGCCATTTCCGACTTAACCAAGTCTCACGGCGACGACTTCCACGTCGTCCGCCTTAACGGCTTTTTCCAGACTGACGACAAGCTGGCCCTCCGCGAGATCTGGCGGCAGTTGGGTCGTGAGATGGCCGTACCCGAAGACGAGACGGGCGAAGTCTCCAGCTACGCAGATACCATGGCAAGTCTGTTAAGTCTACTGTCCCACCCAGAAGAACTTGTCGATCCCGACAGCATGAGGCTTGACGAAGACCACGAACAACAAACGAATAGGGCGGCGAAAAGTGTAATCTTTATTCTTGACGAATTCGACCTCTTCACCACGCACCCGCGCCAAACACTGCTGTACAACCTGTTTGATATCGCGCAGGCCAAGAAGGCTCCCATCGCTGTCATCGGATGCTCTTGTCGTATGGACGTCGTTGATTGTCTGGAAAAACGTGTCAAGAGCCGCTTCAGCCATCGCTGGCTGCATATACCCGGTGCGAAAAGCTTGAGTGCGTTTGAAGACGCGGTCGCAAGTGTTCTATGCGTCTCTGTGGAAGGGAAAGAGGCGCTTGGTCTGACCCAGGAGGAACTGGAATGGAGGACTAGATGGAACCAGACGATCCAGGTAAGGCATGCGGAAGCACCGTCATTTCGCCGTTAGCATTGAGAATGATCAGACTAACCAGGACGGTGTAGACTCGACTGCTCCATTCGTCGACGGGTCAGGACTTGCTGAAGAAGACATTTTACAGCACCAAATCTATCTCGGACGTCCTTGCAGCGGTGTACATACCAATCGCAATGCTTAACGTACCTCCCTCGAGCGAAGAAACCCCGGTCAGCGATCAGCAGGCTCCGGGTATTCCTGGTCTTGGTGTGAGCAGCGCAGCGTCGTTGTCTCCGCCATCGCTCTTGACCTTGCTACCGCACCTGCCTACCCTGCATCTCACCCTCCTTATCTGCGCCGCTCGCCTTGAGACGATCCATAGCCTTCCGGCCCTGAATTTCACCCTCGTACATTCCCACTACACCGAACTTATCACCCGGTCGAGGATGCAGCGCTCCGTACTGTCTTCGCTGACCCGGGGCGGTGCCGTTACAGGCGCGGCTCTCAGGTCATGGAGCAAGGACACCGTGCGTGCAGCATGGGAGGAATTGGTTCAGTGGGAGCTCCTCGTGCCAGTCTCGGGTTTGGGTGGTGGAGCTTCGGGTGGCAGATTGGGTGACGAAGGTCTCGGCGGCGACGGAGTGGCAACCAGAATGTTCCGGGTCGACGTGACACTTGACGAGGTTGCATGGGCTGTCAAAGAGAAGTTGGGTCATGTAGGCACTGGTGAGGTGTTGGAGAAATGGTGTAAAGAAATGTGAAAATGCACGTCTATAAATCAATGAGCGGAAAGGATGAATCCAAACCAGAGACTCCTTTCGCTGTCGCTGATTGTAGCTAAAGAAAACGCAGCTAGTTGTTGGCCATTGGCATTTGGCCATACCAGACGGTGCAGAGAGTCGGCTGATTGAGGTTTCGGTCTCGTTTACGTACTCACCTGGATGACGGAATGGGCACCAGCACTACATTACCCTCCTCTAAATTGTAACGGGCAGCTACCTTAGGTGATGGAAACGGCCCTCTTATCTAAAGCTGACTACCTGCTTAGGGAACCCACCATCGTTTCTGCAACCTGATTCAGGTCCTGGCAAGTTGTAGACAGCCGGGAGACCTGGTGGTGATACTGGCAAGATAACCTGGATCAGCGGAACGCTTCTTCCTGCTCTGGCGTGGAAGACCGATCCTACGGAAACATTTGACCGTCGCGACGAGTAGAAAGGTGTCAATTCTCAAGCGTTCTCTCTCGTTCGGGCTCAGTGCCTCTCGCTCGTGCTATTTCAGACTAAAGGTAGCCCTCCAGCCGTGTTCAGATTTTCAGAAAGGGCTTCTTCGGCAGCACTTGCGCTGGTGAAGCAAATCCGCGTCCTGCAATGTCTCGGGTCATCTGGCAGCAACGCTTGATTGTGCATCGCCTCATCTGTCACCCCTATCACCCAATGTGTGGCACTTCCTTCTTCATCTCAATGCTCTGGCTAGGACCGTAAGCGAGCTGTGATATTGGACGTAAGATAACATCAACGTCATTTGAAACGCAGCCATAGGGGGAGTGTGATATCTTGCCCCGCGGGCGCCCAAACATGAATTTAGCGTGAAGCAGGGAACGCTGGCTGCGACCGGTACACCTTTTACCACAATCCATGATCAGACTGCTTCTCAAAACTCAAGGTAAGACCTCACAATAAGGACTTCAAAGTGTCCTTTGCTGTCTGAACATGCTCCCTTGCAGCTCCCGTGCAAAGCGGAGAATTGCCGATGCAGGATCGAAGGTCTCGAGGGCCGTTCGTACCTCAGAGGGCGGCATCGACGGTCGGGTAGTGAGGAAGGCCAATAGGTTTTTGTGCGATAACTATGGGACGCAAGGGGGGACGCAGGGGGCGTGACTCAAGCTCCATGCACGCCTTAACCAGTGGTGTTGCTGTTGGTCGAGAGGTGGCACGGCCAGAAGATGTGGTTGGCTTCAGGGTCAGTGCGTTCCGTGTGATGAGGGAGGGAGCATGCCGGGGTATCACTGCTGGAGCCACACTATAAAAGTACAGTCCGCCCATCAGCGGGAACACCGACACCTCACGACCTGCGGACGTATTGAAGTAGCGGTCCGCAGTCCTGCCGCACACGCTTGTGTCATCGTACAGAGAAGAGCAGCAGGGGACTCGGAGGGAGGTGATAGCTGCCTCACGGTCGAGTAGACCCCCTCCCTAGTCGGAGTGGTTTTGGTTAGGCACCGTTGACGACAGTTGGCTGCGGCCCTGGAGTTTGCGGCCACCTGGTAGAGGAGGAGCACCGACTGCAAGAAAGCCATCTACTCCGTACTACCAGGCCAGTTGTTCCTAAGAGAGATTAACTTTCACTGACTCTCCTTAGGCCTTGCCCACGGTGCTGGTCCGTGTTGGTGCCGCTTTAGGTTCAAAAACACTCAACTTTATTCTGTCCTCGTCCAACTCATTTTGTCGTCTCTTCCCCATCGCCTCGGCTCATGGTGGCTCTCGGTGTGTTCCTGCCTCTTCCTGGCATCCTCGATGTCAAGTCATGAATCTCAAACGCCCTCACTGCCCGCACGGGAAGCACGTCGCCCAGTCAGCCACATTGCCCCTGTCGTCTATCATCGGTGCACACAAACTCACCGCATTGAAACATCACAGGGCCAATCAATCATGAAATAGAGCCTGTCTGGTAGACCAGTGCTGGATGCTCCTGTCAGAGAAACCCGGGTGGTCCAGCTGCAAGGCACGCTCTCACTAAAATGCCACGAACAATGGACAGTTTTCAGCAGGCAAAACAGGCATCCAGACTCTCGACCAGATCAAGGGTGCTCTGACTTCCATGCTTCTGCCAGGTGGTTCCCATGTACTCGCTCATGGAGTCTCAGCTACCTTTCAGTCGGCTGTGCGGACATTCATCATTCCTGTCTCTCAAAAAGAGGTTGCATCATTTAGCGGCAGAATGAACAGGGTGAGACACCATTCTGTTGGATCTCAAGCGGCGATGGCTGTTGACAGAGGTCGTCTAAGGTCGTGGATATACTCCTCGGTATTGGTCCATTCGGCACATTTCTATGTCATCATTGTTGCACTGAGCAATGTTAGCCAAGCACCTCAGGTTCGCTGGCGCAGAGCCGCATCTGACCATTGCGCCTGGCACGTCGACATCCCTCATCGGCGTGGATTTGCTCTACGAACTTCTGCCATACTACGGAAAAGAGTGTCGAAGTACATTTGACCCTTCTAGCATCAGTGCATAGCAAAACGCACGTGGCTGGGAGATTCTTATTTGATGGAAATCCAGCACATGCGACGAATATCTCTGCCGGATCGACCAAGGACTTGAAGCAGGGATATGAAGTGAGAGATCGGCTTCGTTCCGCGTCCCCCGGCCAATCCAGGGTCACTTTGATGATGAATACCTATTCGAATAACTTGAGTGGTCTATGACTCGGCAAAGTTCTTGTGGATGAACCGTGCAGGTTGGCAGGTATGCGCTCCAGACTCTTCGAAGCAAGCCACGAAGGAAGCCTGGGTGCATGAGTGGAAGGAATGGCCTGATACTGTCTCCCTACCAAAGCCCGATGCTGGACTGGGTAAGGCGTATCCGGCGAGGACCGTGGGAGCTGAATCCAGATGCCAGAAGTTTCCCATTTAAGGCCTGGAGGCCCCTCCGTCGAGCCCGTGAATTCATTTCAGGTCTTTGTTTATCTAGCACATCGAATCGGGCTTGGCTCTGGGTTTCTGACGAACGTTATAGGAATCCTTTGCCGTGGGAACACAGCACATTTCGGGCCCTGACCTAAGTCTACGTGTTTTGACGTACAGGGTTTGATAAATGGCTACAGGTTTGTACTACCAGATCTATATCTGACACCTTTGGCCTTACTGCTTTAGTTGTACGACATGGCTCACTGACAGGTGTTGATAGTCATTGGAAGCTCGAATATCTCCCGACCCCAGCCTGTCACTGGCAAGTGCAGCGTGCTTCCTCCCATTGCCGGTGCGTGCAGAATCTCTTCACGTGAAATCGTTTCTAATCAACAGTAGCAAATGGTGCGGCAGTCGCACATGGGGCGGTCTGCGGTCCAAGACGTCTAGATGAGAGATTTCTAGGCTATCGCCAACCTTTTGGAGGGGGCGATTCCGAAGGTGATGGCAAGCCTCCCCCTCCTCGGCCACCTCCCAAACCTCCCAAACCTCAAGAACCGCGACCATTGCCAGGGGTATCATGAGGCTGGCGCGGCCATGTCGATACTACCTTGCAATAAACATTTTCGAAACGCGCATCGAAGAAGACTTGTCTGCCGCGCGACTGCTTGCAATAGCCGAGGCACGTCAGGATGAACCAGCAGATCTTGGTAAGGGTCGCAGGCGGAAGTTCAGCGCGGCACTTCTGGACCGAGACAACGATGACATCTAGTGCGCTATGCTTCCGACGGCCTAACGTTCAAATAAACAAGGACACACATTCCATTACGAGGCTATCTTTGGGCTGAAGTGCCAATTTCTTCTAAGGGCTGTTTTCCTTCGCTTCAAGAATGAATCTTGGAAGTCTCTCTCTTCCCGGATTTCACAGTGATGCAAAGCTGATTCTGGCAAGCATTCCGGTCTTTTACTTCTTTTACTCTATCTGCGAGCCTGCTTGGTATGTTTGGGAAGGCGAGGCAAGACGTTATCAATCGACAACAGCCGGGGAATAGATTGCCACGTGAGGGCCTCATTTCGCAATATACCTGCTTGTCTTACTTTCCAAGCTGCAAACAGTTACATAGGGACATAGACAGTTTGACATAGCCATCTGAAACTTGAAAGGGAAGGGCTTCTGGAATCTCCTCAGGCTGCGGAATCCATCGGGATTGTTCCAACCTCATCGAACTCACAACTAGAGTCGCAACATGAAAAGACCCCCCGAAAATGCCGGTACAGAGACCTGATGGCTGGGACATGCATCCGGCATCGTGATTTGTCCAGGAGATGCGCAACAGTCAGGGGTGCTGTCGATACATCAATAGATTAGCGCTGTGAGCCCGAGTTGACTTTCTAGTGTATATGTAGGCTAAGTGGCCCTGTGCAGAGGTAGAGTAGGGTGTCAGTGTGCCAATGGTTGAGATATCAGACCCATGCATTAGTCCCTCCTGCCCGGCTTTTCAGCTTGGGAATTGCCTCAGTCAACCCCCAACAGAGAACGCCACGGGCGAACGGTGACAGCGGCAGACTGAGGAGGCAAGGCACTTGATGGGAGCGGTGTGGTACACGGACTGCTTCGAACACCTCAAGCTGGAATGAAATCTCGATACCTAGCAGCCCGGAGCTGCAGGAGAGGCTCTAGGCCCTTGGCCAGTGTTGAAATAGAGGGCAGGAGATGCAATGCAAGGATGGACAAGCCAGGAAGAAGCATGCAGCGCAAGTGCTAGGCACCGACTAGGATGACAATTTGATGGAACAAGGACGGGAGCGGACTGTTCGAAGTAGGTATGAATTAGCTTGCAGTTCACCGCTACGAGCTACGAGCAACGAGCAACAAGGCGATCAGCGATCAGCGCAGCGCAGTCTAGGAGCGGGGCAGTGGCGCCGCCTCAGGAGCCTTAGGCCCTTCCAGTCAACCTCACAACATTTCAGCTTCAAGAACTCTCCCCTGCTGCTGGTGCTGCCGCTGCTGCTAGGTGCTGCTAGGTTGCCTCCCTGACAACCTCTGGAGTCCGGAGTACTACCATTCCATCTCTTGCTCGACGACACGACTGGTCGAATCCTCCTCCCCTCCCCGTGTTGCCTGCGCGTAGTTTCCTGACTGCGTCGACCTGAGAAGGCCTGTTCCCCGTCGTCACACTCCTCCATCTGCATCTCAATCAAGCATATCACATCTGATCCCTGATTTTCAGCCCCCTTCAGCTCATCCTGCCCTGTCACCACCACAGTCGCCGTTACACAACGCTCAGCTCGTCGCCCATTCTTTCCTCCGTCGTTCCCAGTCTTGCTCTTTCGACCAAAAGTCAAATGCCCGCCCCCGTCGAACTACACATACGAGATGCACATGCCTGGCCTAATCGCCACCCTTGGAACTCCTTTTCTCGTCTTGCTTTGCTGGATGGATTTGCAAAAGGTCCATATCTCTCTCGTGATCTAGGATCTCACAGGCCCAACTGATCGTCAGCCATCCGAGATACAGCGATATTGCTTACACCTTTCCTGTCCCCACTTCTCCTTCGCCCTGCCAACCGTCAAGTTACACGTTTGCAAGGCCCATATCTAGCTAGTCAACCACAAAATGCCCAGTTCTACGGCTTGGAGTCGGGCCCTGGAGCAGCTCAACATTGATCGACAAGGAGCAGACCGTGCCTAGCGCTGGTCTGCAGCACTGTCATGTATGCGCATCCATGTCCTGACTCCGCTTGACCGCCTGGACACGTGTCTCCCCCTCCTTTGGCTGTCACGCAATGCCTGATAATACGCTATAGAAATCAGCTCGAGAAGTCCCTCCGCACAGTGAAGAGTGGCCGTCTTCCATGTCCGATGGCTAGCCCTCGGGCCCAGCACCCTTCAAAGGAAGCATGGGAGGAGAAAAAGGCTGTAATTCGTGAAATGTACTTATGTGAAAATCGCACCTGTGCTCAAGTTCAGGAATATCTTGAAGAAAATGACTTCCACGTCAACACACGCCAGATCAAGAACAGGTTGAATGAATGGAAGTTTGAGTGCAAGAAGACCCGGGCCGATCAATATCTTGCTATGCTGTATGTTGCCGACTTCCACGCCGCCGAAGGTTACGACGTTATTTTCAGTGTGCCGAAACGGGAGGAAAGGGAGAACTATAGCACCCGGAAGGTGAGAAAGGAGTGTGACCGTATCAGAAAGAAGCGCGACCCAGACCGATCCCTTTCTGAGCCCAATACTCTGGATGAGGCTGAAAAGATCTTGATCGACGCCGATATCAAGTGGAAACAAACCGCCGACCCCAGCAGTTCGCAGCGGTCTCGCCAGCCGTTCCCGGCCAGTCCCGGATCTTCTCTGCGAGACAGCGCTATGGGCACCAGACGGGCCTCCAGCACCGATGACATGTGCTCTTCATCAGACTCGAAGCGGGTGTCTACCGATACCGACTCAGAAACTGCTCTTCCTCCCAACTCTACAAGTGTTCAACCGAAGCGGTCCTCACCCCGAGGCTTTCCTCGTCAGCGTTTCAGCCTTAGACAGCATAAATTGAACGCAGGCAAATGGGTCGAACCTTATTATACACAGTGTTTTGAAACCCCCGTCAGCAATGAGGTGTTTGAGCGACACAGACGTCGAGCGATGCAGGTGCTTGAGTCCATCCTGAGGCAGGACAATCAATACATCTTTCCAACACTCGCCGAGATGGTGATGATATTCGGATCAAATCACCGGGCAACAGAGTTAGCCGAGTTCCTGGCTGACAGCTGTACTGTCATTGATGCTTGCCCTGGCTTACGCGGAAGTTTCACCTACGACGCACCGTTCCGATATGCACTGGCCTTCACTACCAACAATCCCCATATGATGAGAGAATATGGCCTACAGCTAAAACGATCAATGGCAGAGATTCGACAGATATGGGGCGAGGAACATCCCAACTACCTGGTCAATGCAAACTTCTGTGCCTGGCACTTCATCCACAACCGCGATTACCACCTCGCCGTCCCACTGCTGAGGCACTGTTTACCAATATGTGAGCGTGTCATGGGCCTGACTAGTCTGGTGACTATCAACTGTCTCGTTATAACGTCCCGTGCTCATGCAGAGATACGCAATGATGTCTGGGCGAAGAATAGTCTTGAGTTAGCGATGTCGCGCATCGACGAGCAACGCCATGATTTGGAACAGTTTCGCCTCGTGCTCTTACACAGGTTAGCAGAGCTGAACCTTAAGACCGGCGACTTCCAAACTACCGAGATGCAATTTTGGAGAGTCCTTCAAGACCGGGCTGAGGTGTGCGGTCTCGACGCGGAGGCTACGTGGTCTGCAGCGCAAAGCCTGCGCGATCTGTTTTTGAAAACGGGACGAGAGGATCATGCCGAAGACCTCATGAATTACATGCACGCTCGGCTCGACTGGGAGCGCCGCTGCATCGAGAAGGGCGAGGAGAGCGCGCAATGTCCGCAGCCGCCCTGGTGGTGGCCATATGGGACCGAGGATTCGGCCCATGATTTTGTCTTTCCGGGGACCTCCCGTCTTTGAGACAGTCTCGCCTGATGTTGGCGCCAATCTGTCGGCCGACGCCGTGCGAATGCTGTATCATCTTATTCTCACCCCGGAAACCATCGGACCCGGTCTCAAATCGGCTAGGCTGTCTGAGAACACTTGTCGGATTGTCTTGTTGCGAATCTCTTTTTGGGTCGGAACGCTTTGTCTTTGATGCATGGTCAGACACCTTCCAATCCGTCGATGACGGGCATGCCACATAGCCGGGTGCCTGGACGATGGTAGCTGCAGATAGTCTATGCAGCAGCTCATAGGAGGTCTCTTGATATTGCTGTTTCTTCCCCCTTTTTTGATGCTGTACTGGGAGGTAATTATTACGATCCATGAGAGTGGACTCTGGATCTTGTTCGGAGAGGCGGCGATCATTGATCGACAGCAGCGACTCAATACGCTTTTGCAGAGCCAGATACGTAGGACCCCGGTACATTACTCCTGAGGGAAGAAGCGGCCAGCTGGCTAGTTGATCGAAAAAATATCCCTCCAGACAAAGTTCCTGAGTCTACAAGAGCGCACGTATATAGCCCTATGCAAACACACGGCTAAGACTGACCATACTCTGCTTTGCTTTCCGGGATTTCATATTCGGCAGATCCTATCTGCTTCTTCTTGTCCACTTCGGCCTCCCGCCGACATATAAGAGAGACAACAATGCCGTGAGCGCTGACAGGGCAGCAACCACATTGTTCATGTTGGCATAGCCAACCGAGTCTCTCAAAGCCCCACTGACAACGGGGCCGATGCTCAGTCCGGCGCTGAACACCAGAGAATTGAAGCCGTATAGTTGGGCGTACGGGCCATTTTCGCCAAAGAGGCCTGGGTTGGCCTGGTCGTATTTCCGCACCACGTCGCTAGCTTCGACGATACTGGGGGAGCCAATGACAGCAAGCCCGACCCCATTCAGAGCTAGAAGGCCACAGTAAAGGACAATATTCTCAGTGCGACCGGGCGTGACATGATCCGTAGGGAGGCGGAGGAGAATGAGTGCGGGAACAAGATAGCCAAACCCGAACATTGAGGCAGGTTTGGTGCCGTATCTATCCACTGCCCAGCCTGCCAAAGGGCCAAGAAGGAGATACGGAACGTCAAGAGCGATGAAGAGAAGGCCTGCTTGTAGAGAGTCGAAGGCGAACAGAGTCTGGGCCTCGGTGGGAATGGTGGCGTCGAAGGTGGCTAGTAAGAATGCTTGGACAAAGGCCAGCAGCAGTGCCACCAGGAGCCGTGGATCGGACAAGCAAGCAAGGATAGGCAGAGTTCGGATGAGTCTGTTTTGGCCTTCGGGGAGTCGGTGGTCTTCGTCCTCTGTCTTCGGCAACAGAGCTTCCTCTTCGCTGCCGGCACCGTTGCGGTCAGTCTCGCGTTCCCCGGCTTCACTTTCGCGTGCGCTGTCGGCCGTTTGCAATGAACTGTCGTATTTGGCCGCGACCTTCTTTTCAATCACCAGGATTCTGAGGATGAAATCGACGGCGAGTAATGCTGACCCCAGTCCAAAGACTCCGGCGTAGCCCATTTTACTATAGAGGACTCCGCCGAGCACGGGGGCAGCCAGTTCGCCAATTGATATAAAGGAGAAAATCTTGGAGGGTCCATCAGCATTGTTTGGTCGTCCCGGAACAATGACATGGGATGCTCACCGTTCCAACCACCTTTCCCAGATGTTTGGGCCCGACAGTGTCAAGCACCATAGCCATCCCCACGGTCCAAACCACCGCTGCGCTGGTACCTTGAAGGATTCTGGCGACGACAAGCATGGAGATGTTCTGGCCGAAGCCCAACATGAGGGTAGCAGCCAGGAGCGCCGCAAGGCCGCAGAGGAAAGGCGTCCGGCGCGCATTGGTCTTGTCGGCGATGATTCCAATGGGAATGGAAAAGATGACACTAGCACCTGCGTACGCAGCCAGAAGTGCAGAGACGTAGGATTGGACTTTGTCGTCGGAGAGGTTGATGCGCTCTTTGAGCATAAACGGCAGTACAGGGACGACGAGTCCGTAAAGAAACAAGTCGGTAAACAGACCTACAGCGACAGTGGTAAGGATGAAAAGGGTGTTGGCGCGCCATCGTAGGGCGAATGGTGGATTCTTGGATAACATAATGAGGGATATTCAAGAGACGGAAGCGCCACTAGTAGTGTACTGGAAGGAGGAAGCCCTCGGATGGTAAATGGAATGGATACTAGGTAGGTACCTGGTAGGTACGGAGTACAGAGTACAGAGTATTGTGTCAGGAGTGATGGTGCATGTTGCATTTTGATGGTGGTGATGGTACCTGCGCATAGCGTCAGAGGTCTGTTGCACGATGACCTCATCAGCCTTGGGGCCCAGCCTTGTGTGCTTGTATAAGGTACCTAGCTAAGGTATACCTGCCACCTTGGTGCCTGCGCATATATGTATCCGTACATGCCACATAATCATGGTACATAAGGTAGCGTACATAACGTCCCTCATAAAATACATCCACCACCAACCAGCTCCGCCAGAACCACTGTACCGCCCTGTCCAGCATGCACCGGCAAATGCAAACGAGTCCGTCTATCCAGAGACATGGTGCTTCTGCCAAAGTTCACCGGCAAATCCACCCTAGTCAAGGCTGACGGTAGATAGCGTCGGCCATCTTTGTGACCTCAACCATTTCTTTTACATCGTGGATCCGCACAATCTCGGCTCCTCCTTCGATGCTGGTGGTCACCGTAGCAGCAGTACCATAGCTTCGGTCAGATGCTTCTTCCACCCCGGTAACCTTGCCGATAAAGCCCTTTCGACTCGGTCCCATAAGCCATGGAAAGTTCTTCAAGGGGACTGATGCATCGGGATGCTCTCGGACATCTCGAAGCCTCCGGAGCAGCTCGAGGTTTTGCTGCTGATCTTTAGCAAAACCTAATCCTGGATCTAGAATGATGCGCCATGGAGCGATCCCGGCGGCCAATGCAGCCTCAACACGTTCACTGATCTCTTGAGACACGCCCTTGACGACACCTTCGGGATAGTCGGTCAGCTTTGTCATTGTATGGGGATTGCCTCTCATGTGCATAAGGATGATGCTCTTCCCAAGAGTTGCAACGGTGGTAAGCATTCGCTCATCGAGAAGACCAGCTGAGACGTCGTTGATAATGTCAGCTCCGGCAAGGCTGGTTTGTCGAGCAACATCGGCGTGAAAGGTATCGATGCTGATGGCGACCCTTTCGGCTTCTTTCATCTCGCGGATAGCACGGACAACTGGAAGGATCCGTTTCAGCTCCTCTTCTGGACCAAGATACTCCGCCCTGGGTCGTGTACTCTGTCCGCCGATGTCAATAATGGTGGCACCTAAGGCTATGTAGTCGCGGACAGTCGATTTGATTGTCTCAAGGTCTTTAGCCGTGTGGAAACCTCCGTCTGAGAAGGAGTCTGGGGTGAGATTTAAAATTGCCATAACATGAGTCTTGCGGGTCGCATCTCTCGTGCGGATCAACGGTAACCGAGGGTTCAAAACGAAAACGGGAGACATGCTGCTATCCCGTTCAGCGATGGCCCGTAACAACTGGTGGATTGAACGTTTCGAGGCTATAGGAGAGAAACTAGGGGGTAAGTGCGCATTGGGGAGTATACTAGACGAGGTCAGTCATTGAATGAGGCGCTCGAGTTGCAGCTTACTCGGCAAGAGGCCTCAGCACAAATTCTCTCTCGAGCATCAACTTGTGGGGTATTTCGAGCCGCGGTTTCTGGATATGCTCTTGATTGTAGAGGATGATATCCAAATCGATGGTTCTAGGCCCTTTGTCAATTATACGCCTCCGGCCAAGGTCATTCTCAATGGTCTGGAGCAGATCCAGGAGTGGTAATGGCTCCAGGGCCGTCTCAACCAGGCAGACACCGTTCAAAAAGGAGTCTTGGTCGTTGTAATACATGGGCTCTGTCTCATATAGGTGGCTCAGCTTGACGATCTTGAGCCCTTCTCTTTTCATCCTTGCTAATGCGGCCTCGATATTGGCAATTCTATCACCCATGTTGCTACCAAACGCCACGGTAGCTTTGTTGACTCCTTCTGCAACCGAATCCAAAGTCTTCATTTTCACGGTTGATTGATGGAAAGATCTTTTTTGAACCGATTTCTTTCCGAAGTTCTTTGGCCGGGTGCCCATTCCCGCCAGACCGGGAAGCAGGAACCCAGATCTCAGGCTAGGACACAGTCGGACCCCAGGCCATAAGGCCAGACTAGGAGGGGTCCTGGGTTTGTGGTGGGTGATCAAAAGATGACCTGAAGTCGAAGTTTGAGGGGCTCCTATGCTTCGAACCAGCGTGATAAAGGTCATCGAGGTTTTTCCCTTTTTTTTTTTCACTTGTTTGAAATGGCGCTTCAAGCCAGGACAGAAGGGAAAGGCTGGGTAGGAAGGATTCAATCCAATAGCATGCCAGTCCATCCACGCCTAGCGAGAAGAAATTCAGTGCTTACCTTAGCAAACAAGTCCAGTCTAACCGTTCTTGTAATGCTGGAGTATTGGCCTTGCAAATAATCTCTATTATTGTTGCCATCCATCCACTGGGGCCACCTACATTGTACGTACCTCACTTTGCCAGAGTCGATTCATCTCCCACTGCAACTCGCGTCTTCCAAACAATGGAACAAGGGCGGTGGTGTAATCAGGCTTGGATGAGTTTGCCTACCGCCTCTGCTGTCGGATGTATGCTACCCCATGTTCACGGGAAGGGCGCAGTCTGACCGAGGCGTCCTATTACTATTACTACACAGTACGGATATTGGAGCGCATGGCTGGCACAAGATACCTCGGTACTACAGTAACAACAATGCATTTGCCTCCGCATCCGGCTGATGCTCACCACCAGCCGTTCCCCGTCTTTCGATTTCTCTGATCACCTGCGTCTTCATCGTGGTCTGATTCTCTCATCTCTGTATTCTCGCTGTCATCTCTCACAACCTTCCGCTCTAGCTTCTCCCGATCAACCTCTCTGCCTGCTTGTTTCTAGCCATCCAATACCGCTCGAATTTACACATTAGACACCAGGACAAGATGTCGTCTCCTCAGAAACTCAGGACGACCACCACCGACCTTCTCAACATCAAACACCCGGTGCTACTTGCTGGCATGAACGTCGCTGCGGGTCCTAAACTGGCCGCCGCAGTCACCAATGCCGGAGGTCTGGGAGTCATTGGAGGTGTAAGAAGAGATTGACACATGATATATACTGGTCACAAGCTGATATTTGGAAAGGTCGGATACACCCCAGACATGCTCAGGGAGCAGATCGCCGAAATTAAGAGTTACCTGAACGACAAGAACGCCCCTTTCGGTGTCGATCTTCTTCTTCCGCAGGTCGGAGGCAACGCGAGGAAAACAAAGTACGCCAGGCACAAGTCAGAAATCGATGTCAGCGGCTGACACGCACCTAGCTATGACTATACTAAGGGCAAACTGAACGAGTTGATTGACATCATTATCGATTCCGGTGTCAAACTCTTCGGTGAGATTCCTTCTCGACAAATCCCCGAGCCAGAGTGTAGATACTAATTGCTCGAATGCAGTCTCTGCTGTCGGTGTGCCTCCCAAGGCGGTGGTTGATAAACTCCACAAACATGGAATTCTGTACATGGTAAGTTGCCCCGATTGTCCACTCTTTACAATTGCATCAGGTGGTTGTTTCATCCCTGAGCAAGCGTCGCCATGGATTGTCCCGTCCTCGCTCGCTCACGGCATCCTGCTTTCGCCTTATGTTGAGTGATTACCGTTGAGTCAGTGACTAATTCGCCTCGAACTAGAACATGATCGGCCACGTCAAGCACGTGAAAAAGTGCCTCGATCTTGGGGTCGACTTAATCTGCGCGCAGGGAGGCGAGGGTGGTGGCCACACTGTGAGTGTCTCATCCCGTTGCGATATCTGCCGATTCACCAGGCTGACGATTACATAGGGCGATATTCCAACCAGCGTGCTCATCCCCGCCGTGGCTAAAATTCTGGCCGACGCTCCGCCATCCAAATTCACTGGCAAACCCGTCCAGCTCGTTGCTGCCGGTGGAATATTCAACGGACAATCTCTCGCCAGCGCTCTGATGCTGGGTGCTTCTGCTGTCTGGGTTGGCACGCGATTCGTTCTGTCCGAGGAGGCCGGCGCTCCCAAGGCACACCAGGAGGCGGTCCGGACTGCAGGCTTTGATGACAACGTGCGCACCATCATCTTCACAGGAAGACCACTCCGGGTTCGTAACAACGAATACATCCGCAACTGGGAGGAAAACCGACAAGCGGAGATCAAGGCCTTGACAGAAAAAGGAGTCATTCCAGTATGTGTTGCCATTCCTTGTACAGGATATTCTTAGGATCCCGTAACACTAACCACGATGTATTTTCTTAGGTGGAGCACGATTTTGAAGAGAAAGGTGATGACTTGACTGATGAGGACATGGAGAACGCCCGCCCCTTCCTCATGGGCAAGGCTGCTGCGGTCGTCAATGAGAGGAAGCCCGCCCGGGAGATCGTCGACGAGTTCGTCAATCAAGCCGTCGAGCGCCTGCAACTGGGGAATGCATTGATCGTCTCACAGAGCAAGCTATAGTTGTACACGAGCAACTCTAGGACAGGCAGATCAAAGTAGCTGAGATATCTTATTTAGGACCGGAGTTGGAGTGATGAAATTGGTGTTCGACTCCATTCTCTCTCTTTTGATCGGCTCTGGACCCAAGAGTGTATACATGATTCCATGATTCTCTTAAGCCTCGTTTCTGCTGCTATTTGGATCCAGTCGACGACTCAGCGACAAGTTCTTCAACACGTGCGCATCGTGCCGCAAGTCGATAGATGCATCTTGCTCCACCCAAGGTCGCAACATATACTAAGAACTAATATTCTCTGGATGTAAATAGTGGTGTGTCCGCGCTCGAGAGGATGTTGGTGTAGGTGCGGAGTAGGACTTGGGAGCAGATATTGAGTAACCTTGGCGGCAAATTGGGCTAAACCATTTTTGGACGGATATGGCGAACCTTGAAATGTGCGATTTGCAGCGGACCACGGTATGATTTTGCCGCCCATTTCCCTTGACTTCATCATCATAAGATATCTACTAGATTCCTGAAGGTCACTTCCGAAACAGAGGACTTTGAGGTGAACGGTTTTGACACAAAGCAACACAATGTCGAAGACGGCAAGGTATGTCCTCTCCTCCCACGCACAGTCTCGATTTCCGAGCGCCCAAAACGAGGAAACCTTTTGGCTGACTATAGATTCACGACGCCACAGCCGCCCAGACTGGGCCGACGATGTTTCGGACTCCGAACAGATCAACGACCCTACAGCGCTGCCGCCCCCAGTGACGACGGTGAACAAGGACGGAACGAAAACCACCGTGTTGTATCGCCTCGACGACCTAGGCCGCAAGGTCAAAGTGACCCGCAAAACCCGCACGACGGTGCACAAGGAACGAGTGAACCCCGTGGTTGCAGAACGCAGGGAATGGGCCAAGTTCGGGCTCGAGAAGGGCAAGTCCAAGGGCCCGCAGCCGGACACGACGTCCGTGGGCGAGAACATCGTGTTCCGACCCAGCAGGGACTGGAAGAACGTGCAGGCCGAAGAGGCCAAGACCGGCGGCGGCAGGGCCGAGGAGAAGAGTCTGAAGGAACAGCTGCGCGACAAGAAGGTCAAGTGCCGGATCTGCTCGGGCGAGCATTTCACCGCCAGATGTCCCTTCAAGGATACCATGGCCCCGGCGGACGAAGGGGCAAACCCTGCCGCGGACCCCTTGGCCGACGACGAAGAGGCCAAGGCAGCTGGCGGCCTCGGTGTCGGTGGCTCTAGCTATGTCCCTCCGCATCTCAGAAAGGGTGGTGCCCAAGCCGCCGGTGAGAGAATGGGTGGCAAGTACGAGAGAGATGATCTGGCTACGCTGCGTGTCACGAATGTGAGTTGCCTAAGTCCCTTCCTTCCGCCTCGTGTCAGCCTACCGGCAATGTCTTGTTTGTGAATACTCTGCTGACCGAATCTACCACTAACTAGGTCTCCGAAATGGCCGAGGAGCAAGAACTCCGCGACCTCTTTGAGCGCTTCGGCCGCGTCACCCGTGTCTTCCTTGCCAAAGATAGAGACACTGGGCGGGCCAAGGGCTTCGCGTTCATCTCATTCGTTGACAGGGCTGATGCTGCCCGAGCGTGCGAGAAGATGGACGGCTTTGGTTACAGGCATTTGATTTTGAGAGTCGAGTTTGCAAAGCGGACGACCTGATGCGGCCATCAATGAGCGAGTAGGCTCTCCAAAGATTTGCCACCATCACCGCGAGTGAGTGACACACGGTGACTATAGGGGTTGATTAGGCTGATAAATATCCCCCTCGGCTGCTGTATGATTTTATTAAACCTGGACACAATGTTGACGAGAGGAAAATGCATTTTATGGCGTTTAGTAGAGGGTTCAGTCTCTGGGCACGGAGCTAAATGAGTATCGCGCTGAGAATATGTGTGCTCGATTACGACTGTGCTTCTCATTACTGAGCCATACCTGTCGTCCGTCCCCAAGCTGGCTGGATCCTACGCCAGGGGTGGATGTGAACATGAGCTTGGATGTCGTGAAGGAAAAGGCCTCCCCAGCGGACCCGATGACTCTGCACATTCTCATTCAATCGCTGAGTGATGGAGGCTTGTTAAAAGGGCCTTATAGACCTTAGAAAACACGGAGGGTAACTCGAAACAATGCCAATGAGGGCCTGAGGAGGGGCAGAAAAGTGACCGACTGGGGCCCTGCTGAGCAGATACATCTGGACCAGGCGAACGTCACAGATGCCAGGGGTGTTTTGCCTGTCAACGAAGGAGCATGTTAGCAACAGCTTTGAGATACCAGATCGAGTATTGAAAGGCCGCACGGCGGTGTCAGGCCGCCTTCTGCGATTGCCCTTGCAAGTCGAGTTTTTGTGCAGTGCATGGGCCTGACAGGTCTGGAGCCCAGCGGAGCCGCCATCGACGAGGCCTGACATCTGTGGATCATGGTCCAGGTCGGAGCATAATTGTTTTGTTGAAGGCGGTCGAGATCAAAATGGCCTGATGGGGAAAAGCAATCCAGCGCGGCTGGGGCGTGGATATGTCTTGAAAAGGGTACCCTTATTCATCCTCAGGGCCAAAGATTTTGCAAGATCCCAGTCCTGTCTCAGGACCTGCGTCGGGGAAACACAAGCTGTCGGCACCCGTTTTTGAGGCGCAGAAGCAAATGGAATGATCGCTGTGGCAGTGAACGGCAATACCCGTCCCTGGAGAGCAACGTTCTTCAAAGATCACGATGTTAGCCAATATGCAACATGCATAGCATTGCCTAATCCTTGCATCTGAAACAATTCCAAATCGAGGGGTATCAGATGGCCCACGGAGGACGAAGAACGGCGATCGGAAGAGTGAGGTTGTCTTCCGGACCATTATCAGCGCCGTTGGCAGATCCAAGACAGCCACTATCAATGTCGCACCAGTGTCAAGATCAACGATGAACCGATGGTCCAAGCTGTGGAATAGGCAGTCGTCGCGGTGCGACCTGTCATGGTTGCAGGATTTGTCAGGCCAACAAGGGCCTCAAAACCAGACCGCTTGCAAACCATGGAACTTAGATGGCGGAGATCACATCGAAGGAAAGTTCTCTTGAGCATTTTGTGAGAAGACTCCTTTCCTGGACAAATTCTGCGCGGACTCGCATTTGTCCCGGCAGGCGTGCCTCTGCGCATCATTACAATCCCTGTCCATTGGTTTCCGCACAGAGTCGAGCAATCGACATAGATCGGAATGGGCGTATGGGTATCGAGTGAGAGTTCGAGGCCACGGAGTACGCACGTTAGCGGGTGGCAAGAGGTAGTCTTCTAGAGAATAGCATTGGCGTGCCTGGTGTGCAAGCATTCTCTGGGGGCACTCAAGCGAGCATGGCATTGGTGGCATCGGGATATCAAGGCATCAAACTTTGGAAGGGCGCTGCTAAGGCAACAAGGCATTCAAACATCGGAACGAGACAGGTGTTGTAAGAAGCTGGATGGCAGAACGTCACCGGTAGAGAAATGACCTCGAGACTAGACAAAACGTCAGCCTGGTTTTGTCAATCATGAGCCAGATATGGGGGAGGACTAGTTACCTAGTCAACCCATTGGGTGCGATCCCAGACACAGGTAGTACCTACCTGGCCTCGGGGGAAGGTGGTGGTGGTGGTGGTGGTGGTGGTGGTGGTGTAGAATTCTCGAGAGCCAGACTTAGAGGGCAATTGCAAGGAAGGATTAGTTGTCGAGAAGCAACTTTAGGCTGGAATACTGGAGACGTGTCGCACGTAGGAACAGCCGAGAGAGGTACTGCAATAGATGTCACATACTGGTGGTGGATGTCGCAGTCAGTTAACTCGAACTGCTAGTGATGGATGGATGACATTGTGGTCTCGCAACCGCAGGTCCAGGAGTTTCCTACCTACCTGGGTACCTCCTACCGCTTGACCTTGAACTCCCTCCGCTCCGGTTCTCTCTGGCTGTTTCTCGCCCTCAACTTTCGCACCCACAGACCACCACCACCGCCGCCACCACAACCATCACCACCACCAGCCCATCATCACCCACTAAACGAGCACCGGCCAGCCGGCTGCCCTGATCGTCATCAACGCCAGCTTGACCTGTTTTCAGCAGCCCTGGACCACGCGGCTCCGTCTCGAAACCCTGCTCGATTCAAAACGCTCTCGCTGCCTCTCGCTGCCTCTCCCTGCCTCTCCCGCAGACGTGCACAACACACTTGCAGGTGACAGGAGGCCGCGGCCCGCTACCCACTCTGGGTATACCGTCCCAATACCCAATCGCTGGTGACCTCCTGCTCCATCCTCCCTATAGTGGCCAGATGTTTTCGGAACCTCCTCGTTTTGGTCGGCACCGCCAGCACAGCCCATCGCTCGTCTGCCGAGGGTGATTGGTGGCTCTGACATGTTCCGACCCGCTTGAGCCTTGGTTGGTTGTGGGTTTCATTTGGCCGGCAAGAAGAAGGTCAATTGAACAACAGAGCGGCACTCGTTCTCTGTTTCGACAGACTTCTTGCCATAGCTACTGTCCCTTCACGCGACTGCCGAACCTTATCAATGGACCGCCAGTCGGAACATTGCCTCTTTCGCTTCAAGCGTTACCGTGGATCGAGGCGGGAGCTCCAGGAGCCCTACCGGCATGATCCTAGCCGTTGATCTGAAGCCATTGGCTTATTTGCAAGCCGCCCGATGATCAGTCCGTCAGCAGACGGCTTCTCGCACTCGACTCTCTTCCCTGGGCTCAGACATCCACCATGTTAGGTTTCCGTCGTCGAACCCTGGCCTTTGGTTGATTTCAACCGTGGGCAGGTCCACGAGGCGCCAGGCCGGCTCAACTTCGCTTCTCATCAGTATTAGGAGGGTGCTCCATAACGCCACATGGCTCTTGTTCGGTTGCAAACAAAGGCGTCCCAAGCAGGATTGTATGCCAAAGGCGTTTTCTTGTCGCTGCCGCTGATACTCGGCTCTCTCAGCCACGTGCCGTAAGAAGCATCTCAAGCGTGCGCTCATGGACAGTATTTTCGGATTGTGGCAGGCCTCAGATGAAACAGCCCATTTACAAGGCTTGTTGGTGAATGCAGTCTCTGTTCCTGCGTCCGGCTCCAAGTTGATTCGTGTCTTCCAAATCTTCTTCGCTATCGCGCGCAGGGCAATGATACGATGGCCAAGTCAGCGCTGTGGCAATTTTTAGTCTCAAGCTGGGGCATATGAAGAAGGCCGCCTGCAGGAGAGTCGGGCGGTCTCAAGGCTCAGATGGCAGCTCTTGCACATTCATTGGCTTCTGTATATGCAGCCATCCTTTGAATGGTCCTTGCCAACATCGTCTGGCTAATCCACATCCTCACCGAATACTGGTAGTCAAGTGTCAGATGTTGAGACCGCCCCGATGGCTGAGCTAGTGTTTTCTACATTCGAGGAGGATATTCCGATCTGCAATGCTAACCTGGGAAACCGGGCCAGGAGATGGTCTAAGGCGGGTGCGGGACCCCCAAATCCTCATGGTTAACTGCTGGATGCGCGCACATTTCAGGACCTCTTCGACCCTTCTGAATGTTCAAGACGTCTCTCCCTCTTCTCAACGCAGTTTTGTTCCTGGCGAAAAGCGAGCCTTTCTTCGCAACCATATCTTGTGACTTACTTGCAAGATCTCTTCTCTCTGGACTGCTATTAGGCACCGAGGCACTGCATACTCCTCCGCGAACGCCCGTCTAGCAGTGCAGCTGGGTGCTGGCGCTGCCCTGGGGTGCTTCGACGATAAGTGCACGGCAACCTGCCTCGCCGCGCTTGCAGCATTGTTACTGTCCAAGCGGCCTGTCTGAGGAAGCCTCGACAGACGCCGCCCATGATCAATTGAGGTCACGCTGTGTTCAGTAAGATCCAAGGGACTGGTGTCGGGATACATAAGCTCGGTGATCTGGACAAATTATAGTGAGTTTCTTCTGCCGTGTCGTTGGGATGGCGAAGGCTTACTTACCATCGGCTTGCAGCACGATTCGAAGCAGAAGGTTGACCCATACGAGGAAACAGCAACTGTCCTTGCTCTGAGTAGGTCTACCACGCTACTGCCCCGATGCCTCAGCATGAACTTGACAGCCCATGCGCACAAAGAAGATCGTATCTTCACCAGCCCGCAGCCTGCTCTGTGCTGACGATCCGACAGGTGTGACACCCCTTGCATTTACGCAGTCACCTACCTTCTTCGGCGACCTTGCTATTGGCAGGACCCCCTGCAAAAGAACAGGACTTTCCACGACTGGACCCTAGCCACACGAGTCCACACTGCTTCAACCCATCAATCACCTTGGAGATCACATTGAAGAGCACCTTCACAGTGGACTAGGTCACCGCTAGACAGAGCCACGACGCCCGCAGTACCGCCGACCGGCGACAAGGATAAGCATCAGCTCCGTTCTGCACGGTTGCAGCTCGAGCGAACTCTAAGACACATCCACCCGTGCTGATTCAGCCTTGCTATTTGCTCAGCTGCGAGCAGTTTGTGACAGCATGGATCCAAGTACGTACTATGTCGAGCGTGTGCATCAGCACGCCTTGCTTGTTTCATTCCACACTCTCTTTCTGCCCATGGTCAGATCAAATCAGCGCAGCCGCACCGCGCCTCGGCAATCTGGCATTGACGCTGTGTCAACCCGGGCTGCCAAACTTGCGGTCACAGTGCTTTTGTCTCATGCCGTGGTTGCCACATTCGTTGGCTTGACCAGGATGCCCCGCTCGTCCTACGTTGCTTGCCAAATTGACGTCCGTTTGGCAATTGTGAACGATGAGCCCCCCCTCATCCCAGCCGAAATGCATGGCTTTGTGCCAGGATCTTCTTTTATCAAATCCTGCCCTTGAACACTCTTTCATCACTACCGGCTAATGATCTGGCTTGCAGCGTTGCTACAGCATTCTTCCCCCTTCGACTTTCCAATCTCTTCGGAATCCAAATATCTCGGCCAGGAGCGTCCCTTTTCAAATCCCTCCTACTCCGCCAATGACTATTCGTTTTCCAACCGAAGGCCGCAGGGCACCCTAACAAATGGTGCTCCTGGACCCGGAGTGGCGCTATCCTCCAATTCCAATCTCGACTTCAATAGCAGCTCGCTACTGAACGATACACCGTGAGTATCCGAATGCAAAACTTTCCCCGCTGACTCATGCTTCATGTATTGTCCAATGATCTGCCCTAGCCAGTCTGACAGAAGGTCGGAGAGCCTTTGAGATTGGGCATCGGCGGACAACTTCGTCCACTGTGGGAAACTTGGAGGTTGCTAGAGAAGAAGGCCGTGGATAGGCCGTCTTCCCTTGGAGAATGTGCTGGCTTCCCTCCTAGCCTGACCCTTGTCGTCGCACTTGCAAGGTTTCACATATAACCCGAATGCAAGCTCCGCTGATTCCTTCGTCTTACTGACACTTGAGATGGCTTTTGCAGGTATCACTCAAATTCGCAGCTGCTGCTGAGCCCCCCTGACTCTACTACTGGCTCAGCGACTGCGAGCGGCAATCCAACAACTTCTTCCATTGTTTTTACGACTCTCCCAAAGCCATTTCCCAGCAATGCAAGCTCGACAGACCAGTATTCCAACGCACCTCCATCGGTTCTCTCATCCAACTGGACTGGGTCCTCAATGACGGTTATGGACCGTCCTCGGTTGTAAGCGTCCTCTCTCAGGCCTTCTATTCTGTATCATCTGGATTAGTGCTGATCTGCGTGGTACAGTCCTCCGCCTTTGTCACCTCCTTTGAACTACAACCCGGCAAACGGCATTGGAACTGCACTGTTGAGCAATAGGCCTATGATTGACAGGCTGCCACCCACCTATCACCCCAATGGGCATTCTTCAATAAGTCCAGGACTATTCCAACAACCAGGGCATAGGTATCCACCTAGCACTTATCATCGCAATAGCATCAGCCACTCTTACATCCCTGACGGTCTATATTCCGGGCAAAACATGTCAGCTTCTACACATGAAGGTTCAAACGCTGCCAAACTTGAGGGTCCGCCATTTGGTGACACGATTGTCTTTTACCCTGTACTCACCGTACGCAACCAACAACTGATTCCTGACCTCTCGGCCAGCATACAGAAGGGCTTCTTTCAAGTTGACCACAAGTGGACCTGTTACCGGCGGAATTACTTTGCGGTCTCTTGCTCCTTCGTGTTGAAGAACCATGGGGCCGAAGGGCCATTTTACCTCCAGAGAAACGGCCACGAAGAACAAATTCATCAATTTTCGGTTGCCCTCTCCGCCAAAACTGCCCCGACAGGAAATGGCGAGAGTGAAAGCCGTGGCCTTGTTCAGCACACTCCCAAGCGAGACAAGGCGACGGAGTCTATCCCCGGAAGACACTTGATTTCACCAACACCTAACCAGGCGATGGGGCCAAACGGTGTGTTTTTGGGAGCTGGCTCATTGTACGGTGGTTCGCAGCATATGCCACCCGCATTGATGGGAAATTATGGCGTGTTCGACAATTCTGGCACAAACTCGATTCCTACAACACACACCTTCGAGAGGATCCAGTTCCAAAAGGCTACCGCCAACAATGGGAAACGCCGAGCCCAGCAGCAGTATTTTTTGGTGGTTGTCGAGCTGTCTGCTAACATAGCGCGAACACCTGGTGAGGAGAACTGGGTTGTGATTGCGAGCAAAGAGTCAGACCCAATGGTGGTTCGTGGTAGGTCCCCTGGGCATTATAAAGACAATGGACGACGGGACAGTCATTCGAGCATGGATCCTGACCGAGGACCCGGCACTGGGGGAGAGGGGACCCCGGCGTCACTTCCACCAGGCAGCTATGGACATCATGCAATGGACTGGATGGCCACCCATCGACAAGCCACGCATTTCAGTGGTCCTACCTACCGCCAGGCGGTGAAAACCAAACGCTCGCGCACAAGCGTGGCATCATCGAGCATAATGACCGGGTCTCCCCAAGAGGTCGAGCTTCATCTCTCTGATACGCTCTCGAAAAAGTCATCATGCACTTTCTCATCTGACCAATCTGTATCAACTCCGCTATCAGAAAGTAGTGAGGATCTGGTGTTCAGCTTTGACCGACATCACCACAATCTCACCCGGAAACGAGCCTACGAGGACGACGACGGGGATGATCACCTGCGCTTCAATCTCCCGGTTCCGTTCACGGACAGTGTCTCATCACTTAATGACTTCTCAGCCACCCCGTACTCCAAACTTCTCTGTGCTTCCTCATGATACAGCTGGCTACACATGCCATGGCAGTGATGTGAGGGTGCACAGCATTGACATGAGCTCTTTGTCTGTTTATGGTAACGGGAACCCCCAAGTCCGAGTTTGTGATATCCTTAATTCAACATTTCGGGTGACATCATATACGAGGCGAAGGAATTGCACCGGTCGAGATGGGAAGAAAACACAAGATCTTGAGATACACACGTTCCCTTTGAGAGAGGGTGCCAGGCGCATGGACTGGCCTTTGGAAGGGCATGGAACACGACGGGTTTCGTTCGTTTGACAACTGCTCACAAACGTGTGAGGTATGGAGTTACATGGCTAGGTATGGGCAAGATACCGACAAGCGGCAAAAACCCCAAAAAAAGCCCCCCAGGAGGTGTGACGACCAATTTGGCCTGTGTTAGGCATCAATCGGGCAGGATCTCGCAGGGTCCGATCGGAGCACAGCATGAGTACAGAGCAAGCATGTGGACACGAGGACTACATTTGGCCAAAGGAACACGAGGCACCCATGGTATGACACGCGGATATGACAGGCACATAGCCCACGGTTTCGTTATTATGATTGATATTTGTAGTATGGAGGGCCTCATGGCGTCAACACGCTGCCAGAGGACTGGTATGAAATGGGAGCGAAGTGGAAAGGCCTACCCACTGCACACAAGTTCGTGGGAGCGATAGGATAGGGGAGGACTCGGCGTGCGTGGTGGACATGGACTTTACTTCTCATGATTCCAGATAGTAGCAGTAGGAGCCTGAGGCTCATAACATTCGTTGTGTCTTGCTTCTCCATGCTTCATCCTAATAATGATTGATTGATGAGCTTACACCTCACTCCCTAGGCTGTGAAGTCGTCGCCGTTGTTACACAGTCGCTTCTCGCGGTTGATGCCGCTTGTGCTCGAAGATCTGGTGCAACTGTTCTGTGCAACATTGGCGTTGCTGTTTGCAGCATACCCGACTTACCTGGCTCGCCTCCCCAAGATTGCTGCCCGAACAATGGGTTGGAGCCTACCCCTGCACGCGTCTGTTCAAACGATCTCATAGGCGTCTGGGCCTGCCATCCGAAGAGAGCACAGTGGCTGCCAGGTGCATGCGGCATGATGGGAATCACAGACAGTAGATGCAACTCCCCTCACAACAACTTGCAGCACACCATGGCAGCGACGCAGCCTAACCGGCCCCTCCTTCAGAGGAGCGGCATGCGTAAAGCACGGTCTCCGCTAGCCACAGACGATGACTACCATTTGGCCCCTCCATCAAGACATGGATCAGGGCAGGGGCACAAAAACACGCAGGCTGGGTTGAACAAGATCACCTGGTGAGCTGAAGGTGGGCTAACTAGACTCCATGGTGGTTGTCTTTCCCGGAAAACCAGGACCAGCGCGTGCACTGCCGGCCACCCCTGCCATGATAGATGTCTGCGGCCTCTCCATCCCTCTCCATCCTCCATCCTCCAAGTTGCACCCTTCGTCGAAAACGCGGAAGTTGGACCACACTCGAGCTATACAGTCAGATGACATCCACATTTCGGTTAGGTTGAATATAATACAACCCGCATTTGCAAGCCAGTGACTTGTTCTGCGGCCCTTTGCAAAATGTCCAAGCAGGGGGCCAAACGCCCATCGACGTCATGCTGAAGCCATCGATTCCTCCCTCCAGACACTTCCGAGACACGTCAGCCACCTCATCCTCCATCCAAGACAAACATGAACCGCCCCGGCTGGCGAGGCGGGAAGAGGAGGAGGAGAAAGAAGATCTCACACGACGCCACCGGACACACTAAGGCCCATGGACACACTCAACACTTGGAGACCGGCACTAGTGCAATTTATTGCCTGCCTTACCAGGTGATTCACAACGCCTGCCGCGTGAGATTATGGCTAGCATACCGCCGGTGGCCGGGCCGTGATTACATACAGATGCATTGTCACAAAGGACTGTCGACGGATCAAGGTTCAAGAACTAGGGTGATCGTCCTCCACTCTTTCCCGATGTCTCGACACCGCCCCAGTACAACACGGCATGGTCTGTGCGTCCGGACATGGGGGGTTGTCAGCCGTCCGTGGTTGTGAGTCGAAAGATCGTCCTCGATAGAGAGATGTGAGAGATGAGAGATGAGAAAAACGCTGGCTTTGCCGTCTTTTCCATGTCACTCTTGGTGCAATTCTCTAGCTCTAGTCTGTGGCCCAATCACGGCAGCTCAAAGCCTGACAAGAGAGTGCTGCGCTGCGAGGTCTTCAGCTCTGCGGCCGGCTCCTAGGGAGTGACAGTGTCCAGGATGGCCAGTGCTGATCTCTGCTTTCGTGACTAGGACCCTCTTCGATGGCACCTGAGGCCGGTGTGCTTGTTCCCATCCCCCAGCCTGCAGCAGGTGCTGACCGCATTCCACCTGCGCATGCTTTCCGAACCTTGGCAGCCCATGGACGGATACCTCGTACTTGGGAAAATGGACGTCCCCTGACCCGGTCTCAATCGAGCAACTGCCAGATTCGGCGAGTTTCTGCTCAAGATTGAATTTACTAGGTCGACAGGGCAATTGAAGTCGATCCTACACGCCACGCGACCAGCTGAAGCGTACTTCTACTCCCGAAAAGAGAAACTTGGGAAATCCTGCCCACGGTAAGCGGATTATGCAGCTTTCACCCTCAAATATTACCACGTACGCCCTATTTCGACAACTTTTGGAAACGAACAGGGGATTGGGCGTTCGAGGGTTAGACCGAAGAGCATTCCTCTGACCGAATACGACCCTGTTCATACTGGTTATGGTGAGTACGGTACGCTGCTGTTGAAGCCCCTGTTTGCAGTTCTCAAGACAGTGATCTCGGCTCTGCACATGATCCTCCATAGGACTAGTAATATACAACCACCACCACCACCACCACCACGACAATGGTACTGTCTCAACCGGGGTGAAAATTGAACGATAGATTTCATCGCTCGCCGCCGTCAATGTCCTAGAGGGTTGACTCGGAGACTGATTTGCTGGGTCTCATAAATCGGCCGATCCCTAACAAACCAGCGCCATCCCTCCGGTCTCATTTGCAAGCCTCTCTCTGCGCTCCTCCCCAGGTGGTCCAGGATCACACTTCGCAACCGCAACCGTGTTCCACTTCGGCTAGGATTTATGGCCGATAGAACTTTGACTCCACAAACGGCATCTTGGCCACCTCGGCCTTTCTGACATTCTTTCGAACTTTGATTCCTACTTTTGTCCCCTTCTTATGGAAACCATTCTTGATGTAACCCATGGCAATGTTCTGCCCACCCAAACTGGGACTGGGACATCCAGAGGTGACATGCCCAATGACATGATCTTCGTTTTCTAGATCAACGATCTCTGCTCCCTCACGTGCGGCCGGACCCTTTTCAACAAGAAACCCGACACGGCGCTCCGGCATGGTCTTAGGAGAGGCCAACTGCTTATTGATGATTTCGTGCCCATTGAACGGTGGCGTGGGGTTTTCGACCCTTCGAGACTTACCCACCAGCCAGCCCAGAGCGGCCACAGGCGGGGTGATTGTATCATTGAGATCATGCCCGTAAAGGCACATGCCAGCTTCCAAGCGAAGCGAATCCCGGGCACCTAGGCCTGCCCAACGAACCTTAGAGCCATCGGCCGTGAGCGCCTTTGCAATCGAAGTTGCCAATTCCGTGGCATCGCCATTTTCAGGCGGAATCGAGATCTCGAACCCGTCTTCGCCTGTGTAGCCTGTGCGGCTGATGAGGAGGGATGGCGTGTTCATGCCGGACTCTGGCAGTGTCAACTGCAGCCATCGACTGGTGCCGAAGTAGAGAGTGTCAAGCGAGGAGTCGTAGCTCTCGTCCTCAGTGTCGTTGAAGACCAGAGACTGGAGCAGCGGTGCCGACGCCGGCCCTTGCAAAGCCACTAAAGCGTGGTGGTCCAAGATGTGCCAGTTGATTTTGTCCTTGGGAGCGGACTTTGATTCCAAGAATTCAGACATCTCGGCCTGGATAAAGGCCAGGTCCCCCTCGCGACAACCTGCGTTGGTGACGAAATAGAAACTGTCCTTGCCGATACGGGTGATGACGGTGTCGTCGACAATGCCGCCGTTCTTGTTCAGCAGGCAAGATAGCGTCGAGTGGTGTTTCTCAATCTCGTTGATCGCGCTCGGGGTGATGGTCATCAAGAATTCCTCGGCTAATTCGCCTGACAGCTTATGTTGCACCATGTGTGAGACGTCGAAAAGCGAGCCGTTCGTCCGTGTCCACAGATGCGAGTCACGGTGCGATTGGCCGGGGTATTCCAGTGGCATTGAGAAGTTGGCGAACGGAACCATTTTGGCGCCCAGCGAGGTGTGCACATTGTACAGCGGCGTGTACTTGAGCTCTTTCTCTGGTTCGGAAACCGATGAGGAGGCATGCCGATATTGAGAGACGATTGCTTGTCGCCTCGACAATTGCAGCAGCCTTGATGTCGTTGTTGGTGTCGATATCGACTGGGATTGACGTTCTCGTGAACGCTGTTGGTGGTCGGTTGATAAACACGAAGTTTGCCGCGGAGAGCTGAGAAGATTACTCAGTTCTCTCCTTGGTGCGTACGAGGGAGCTCTGCTTCCTCGCGAGCTCACAGCCAGTAGTGGCCTCAAGGTCTGGTAACGAGGCATGCCGGCTGAAAATCTGGACACCAAGTCTTTGATAGATAAAGTCAACAGATATTATCGGGCTTCACCGGCGGATTGCATCAAATGTCCTCCTCCACAGCCTATCTCAAATCGCAAACATGCCGTACAACTGAGACACTCGAAACTGACTGTCCAGACTGAAGCGTCGCGGGTATCTGGCTCTCTGCTCTTATGAAGACTGTGAGGGTGCAAAGGCCGGAGACAGGGCCGCGAGGTCGGAGACATGGGCGGGAAGGAGTTGGGCGACGCTAACCAATTGTAGGGTTAGTACTGCTCTTGGCAGCACTTCTCAAGACTCTGATTCAAGTTTGTTCGCTGAGACGCGGATTTTCCTCTCTTCTTTTCCTTCCTCCTGCACGGTCTCCGCGTTCAAAGAGTCGCATTCAAAGCTTACGCACAGCAGAGACGGACTATCGCAGTCCTTGTCTCCTGCATACCCTTCGTTTCCGTCCTCATGGACGAAACTAGCTTTGGGAGAAAGTCCCCGGACCGCCCTACCCTTCGAGATTCTCATTTCGAGGAACGTTAGGACTTGCCGAAAGGCGCCGCCATCAAAGCATTTTCACTGCGGCTTCTATTCTCTGCCTCCCACTCTCCTCTGAAGACCCTGTCTTCCCGATCTCCGACCTCGTTGTCGTTTGTACTCTGTGCAGGTTCTTGATCTGTTGTCCCTGTTCGACGCTGACAGACATCTGGACGGACGACGATATGAGTCCGTCCTTTGGGTTTCGGCTAGATGCTCTGATGCCGAGGCTGGGACTTGATCGTGGTCATCTGCCGGAAGAGACGGTGAGGGTTCACTGGGAGTCGGGTCCAGGACACTGTCTACGAGGGAACAAGAGTCGCACCTGGAGGTTGCGCAATTCGTCACATGCACATAGTTATGCGATTGCTCAGCACATGCCCTCTTCTTGCTTCGGTGACAAAGAAGAGCGCTGCGGAGTAACTCGACGGGGCTTATTCTTGAGGCGCGGAGCACCACTACTCTCTCTTTTGGATCTGTAGCTTATGGTAAAGCGGCGGCCCGAGCTCCCTCAGGGATCTAGGCTTGCAGATGTCCTTTCGAAGGGACCAGACCCGTCTACAGTGTGGATGCCGAACCAAGGAAAACGGAAGGATACGAGAACAAACAGACAAGCAAGCAAACCAACATACAACGGCCTGCCTGGAAGAGACGGATGGTGAAACACATGGCAAGGTTGAGGGAGAGTGGTTTCAAATGATGACATTTCAATCAATAGAGTCAAGCACTTAAGCCTCCATGACCTCGAAATGAGCATGGCTGGTTAGTGACGAGAAATGGTTGTATATCTCTGATGAAGCATACACAAGCCCTTCCTGCTGGAACTCGACTTGTAGTACAGAAAATAGGAAGAACATGCCAGCAACAGAGGCAGTTGATCAATTCTAGCCTGTCCTATCGTTGTTTCATCTGTTCTTCTCTCCCACTGACGCCGGCACTCTGACCTTTTGCTTCTCGGCCACCTGGATCCCGCGCGCGTATTGTATAATGTAGACTGCCACATCCCATACTAGTGCAATGACTGTGGCGCAAGCGACGGTCCAGACATTGATGCTCACGCCACCGTATGGGCATCTGGGAAACCCGAGCAACCATTCGATGTACCAGGGGAACCAGCCCCGCGGATAGGTGAAAACAGGCGTCTTCGCATGCCAGAACTGCAGCGCAAAGCGCAGCCCGCTCGTGCATGTCCATCGGATCGCCGTAGCTTTAGTGTCGAAGGACGTTCGTGCGGACGAGACAGCGGCAGCTGGCGACTCATGTCAGTGGGAAGGCCCATGCTACTGTTTGCGCGTATTCAGGATCCCTCACCTTGCTTGTCGTATTTTTCCAGGGCCTTGTCATGTTGTCTTCGCAATTTCGCCCACTTGGAGAACTCGTCTTGGGCACTGACAGCGTTCATTTCTCTTTTCAGACGGACCACTTCACGGCGGAGACGAGTCTGTTCTTGGATATCGTGAGAGGACTGGAATGGCAGCCGACAGTAGAGTTGCCATAGCTTCAAGCCACGCATGTCAGCAAGGGGACTTAGGGCAGAGACAACGGCCAGAACGGGCTCTGTACGTACCAGGTCGTTGAAAGGTTTGGATCCGATGGTCAGTATCAGGTGGCAGACCAACTGGATGAGGAAGACGGTGACGAGGAGGGAGACCATGATGGCGAGGGAATTGTGTATTCTGTCCAAAGCTGGAGATTCATCAGGGATGTCTGCTGGCCTTAAAGGAAATGGCTGCGCGTGTTTAAATACTGTTCCTAGTTGCCCGTGAGGACCTGTGAGGACCTGTGCAAACTGAGGGACGCCCGCCCAGGTGGGCGCCTGCCACAATTTCGACTTCTGCCTTGGCGAGTCAGGGATGACGTGGGGAATCCCTGGGCTGACTCGGACATCAAGCTCTCCCAACTACGAGTACCTAGGTACCTTGTATACCTGTGGTACTACTCCACTAGTTGCTGCATGTCTCTGGGTGCATGAACCTCTCAACTAGACAAGGCCAGGTGTACTGAGCCTGGGCAAAGGGTTGGACTAACATAGGATTGCAGGCACTCAAGTGTCAGCAAGCCAAGCAGAGTCTAGGCGGATCACATAACGTTCCAGACATGCTACACATGACAGAAGAGAAACTGCCTCCGAGAATATATTAAATCGTCAGGATACTTCTTCAGGGTTGAATGTAAGTGTTGCGTCACCAACTTGTCCCCAATGCTGTTCAATCATGCAATGAATTGGCCATCTGTGTCCAGGCACGCACCGATTGCCGTGAGCGATGATACGAAGAGGCCATGACCTACAGCAAGAGGTCTCCGTTGCCGGCAACCCCGGCTTGAGGATGGTACACCTGCTGCGGAGCATTCTGACTGACGACATAAGGATTCCCTGCTACACCGCCTGTGGTAGGGCTGGTGAGGATGTCTCCACCGCTATTATCACTCAGGCTCAAGTTTTTGAAGTATTCATCTGCTGCCTCGATTGCGGCCTGGTGCCCTCCGAGCGGTGTGCCGCCTGGCGTCGTAACAGTCGTGTTCAAGAGCGACGGAAACGCCAGATTCATTCCGGGCGACCCGAGCGCACGGCTCAAATCCTCTTTCTTACGCTGTAGAGCCGGTGAATCTTGCAGCCGACGAGGCCGTGCAGCGCGGAATACTTGTTGTACGGGTTTCAAGTAAATGGTCGCAAGAGTGCCAATGCCCAAACAGAGTTCTTCCAGGGTCGTGGGGTCAAGCTTCTCGCTCTCCGCAGAGATGGGTGGTTTTGTGCCCATGACCACCTTCTTGGCCGTCACCGGGTCGCTAGACAAAAGCCGCCAGTACATGTATCCTCGATCGCGGAGGTCCGGGTCATCGGTCTCCTCGGTGCACCATTTGAGCACTTGAGGGACGAGGGAAGAACCCTTCGTCGGTCGATGCAGGAACAATTTGACCGTCGCGGTCAGCAGGGCGAGTTGGACCTCGATAGATTCCTCGTGAAACGTGGAAAGGTAGTCTTGAAGCAGTGCATCGGCATTCTCAATCCGATCTGCGTACTCTCCAATGATCCAGATGATTGCTGCTTTTGCCTCGGGCTCATCAAGCTCGTCAATCTGCCCGATCACAGTGGAAATGACGGATTCATACTGATTGGGGTATTTGCGAAAGATATTCTTGATCACCACAGTCGCTTCCTGGACGATGTATGGGATCTTCGCATTCACGAGGTCGAGGAGTGTATCAATGCATAACCGGGCTGCCGATTCGATCTTGATCGCAAGCTTCCCAATTGCGCGAACAGCCTTACGCACGAACTGGACATCAATCTCGGTCGCGTATTCCCGTAGCTCGTTAAGTACCACCGAGATATTACTCTTGTTCGCCAGCATGAAAATCAACTCAAGTTTGGTGACTTTGACATAGATAGGGTCGTTGTACTTGCAGAAAAAGACGCGGATGTCATTCTGGAGAACCTCAGGTCGTTGCTGAAGTATGAGGATGGCGTTTCTCAACGCGAGATACTGGATCTCCGGGGGCTTGGACAGGAGGGTGATGAGCGGGGGCGATAATTTGCGCGACAGTTCCTCCACTTTTCTCTGGTCGGAAATGTAATTCATCAAGTACATGATGACACGGATGCAGGTAAGAACCACGGCCGAATTGGAATGAGCAAGCCGAGAGGCTATGCGCTCCGCTAACAGGAGTGCTTCTCCGGACTCTTGGGGTACATAGGAGGTCAAGGCCTCAAGCACATATGTCTGGGACCACTCATTGCAGTCCGGGAGAATGGAGACAATCTTCGACGCACTGGTATAATCGATCGTCAGTTTGATGTTTTCGTTCCTCTCCCAGATATCTTGCAGTGCCGATAGTGCACTTGCAACAACGGTCGGATTGTCGTCCTTCAGCATTCTGTTGAGTCTGTCGATGAGATCTGACACTTCGATGAGACGTTTATCATGATCGTAGACTTTGGCAACGGTGATGGCCGCAGTCTTTCTCACGTATGGATCTTGATCCATCATCAACTTCTTCAGTGGCTCGATGGTACCTTCAACGAATTCTCGAACATGAACATAGGATATCGTCCGTAAGGCGAGCGCGCGAATCAACGGGTTTGTATCTTGCATATCCTGCAAAATTAGTGCTATCAAAGGGAAGGATAATGAAGGTTGCTCACCTCTTGCAAGACAGGCAGCGCCCGGAGAGCAATATCAGGCTTCAAGCGAGCGTAATGTTGAAGGTACAGGAAACACCTGAGAGTTGTTTAGGGACCAGCGAAACTTGGGATGAGGTGCTGGACGTACATTTTCTTGATCTCAAGCACTGGAATTTGCATACAGGCTATAATGTCGGGAAACAGTGCGATCATATCGTTGTTGCTCATCGTCATGTTGGCAACAATCTTCTTGAGAGCATTCTTCTTTGCCGCATGGTTCTTATCTTTTTTGCCCGAGTTGACTAGCTCTTGCCGAAGCTCAGCCACTTTACCCTGTTCATTCATGTAAGCGTGTACTCTCCAGAATAGCTAGATAGATCACCGCTTCAGCACCATCTATCTTGTGAGGCTTTCCGTGATTTGGTCCCCAGTTGCATCGCTTCCCTTCAGACGTAGGCATATGTTGAACTTGACCTCTCTGTCTTGAGATTCAGGGATATGAGGCTCTGGCAAAAGGGGCCGACAGAGGGATAGCCCACGGACGAGAGATGGCAACGTGGAAGCAAGTGACCTTTCCACCAACCGGTGGAGACTGCATAGAGACGTTGACACATTCGACTTACCCTTGCGAAGAGTTTCGCGTCTCCATGCCCAGAAGACATGTTCGGCGGTGCTTCAAGTCAATTTAGACACAGTATCTCCGTGCGGGTGACCACGGCTTCGGTTGTTGGGTGTGATGGAGTGGGAACTCAGTCAAGGGCTATTCAAAAAGGTTGGTGGCGTTAAATTCATTATGATAACGTCGACAGGACCAAAAGGCATCCACAAAGACAGAAAAGACCTCGTCGTAAATTGGCTAAAGTCAACCGGTTTATAGCAGGTCAAGTATGAAGCAGGGCTCGACAACATGGAAGTGGTCATAATAGGAGTCGCGTACGACGGAGGACGGATCCTCGCCGGGGTTGCCAAGGGGCCGGAGGCTTGTTTCTCCGATCCTGCCTGCGGGCGCAGCATGTAACATCAAGAGACGGACAACCGACAACTCCAACTCCTCAGGTTCTCGCTTGTATCGCCTCGTCTTGCCGCGACAACTCAAACAAGATGGTTGCTCCACAGCCCAAATGGGTTCTTGAATTGAACAGCGGCCTCCCTGCAAAATCGAAACATGCAACTAGCATACCCGATCCTCCCGGCCTTTCAGCTTCCAAACCCATGACAGGGAAACAGGTTGGTAAAGCCATCCTCTAGAACGACATCTACTGACCAGGCCAAGAAATCACAAGCTGCCGGAAGGAAAATACCAACCACAGAAGAGACCGAGACGTTGAAACTAAAGAAGGCATGGGAGGTTGCCCTTGCACCTGCGAAGCAACTACCAATGCAGGCTATCATGGGATACATGTCTGGAAATTCACTCCAAATTTTCTCCATCATGATGGTCTTCATGCTGTGAGCCTCCTTGTATGATTCCATCTCCGGTTCAGCACTGATCAAGAGCAGTTTCAAGAATCCCATCCAAGCCATTTCGCAAACAAACCTAGCCTTTTCCAGATTCGAGAGCCCGGGGACCCGTTCACAAATGCTGGGGATCAAGGCGGTCTATGTGCTAATGCAATGCCTCCTCCTCGGCCTGGGTATCTACAAGGTGAACAGTATGGGCTTATTACCCACCACAAGAAGTGACTGGTTGGCTTGGGAAACTGAAAGGCAACCTCTAGAGAGAGCATATTTTGCATTCGGTCAATGATATGGAAAGGTCCGGCAGCAATCATGCATTGTTCTAGAACTCCTCACTTTACTCCACGACTCTTCGCTGCGGATTCTCTGCGGCTGTTCCCATGATTTTGACGTTTTGCAGTCCTGGCGTTCGCTTTTGTTCATTCTCCGGATCGCACCATCAAGATCCCTTTTATCCTCAGATTCTGATTGTGCTCTTCCCTACCGAGTTGGGCATCCTCGCGGTTGAAGGGGCAGAAAACACGAATACAGAAGTCGAACTCATTATATTGACAGTTCGTCAGCTTTAGGCTTCCAATATCTTCCCAGCTTTGGTTCTTTTGCCATGATAGAGTCTCTAGGGTTTCGAAAACCGAACTTTCCGTGGATGGTGACCTTCAACACTATCTTGCTGCTCCTCAAGCTGAGGGGGCTTCGGGGTGTATTCGCTTGAGTTTTCCACAATAGCTACCGGTTCCTGATTTCCGGCAACATGGGGTTCTCCACGTTCGAGCGCAAGCGCTTGCAGTCTTCCAGCCAGCCCTTCACCGGTGCCTTTGGAGAGAGATAGTGCCTGTAAGAGTTAGCGGTGTTGTGGTAGACTGTTAGTACCTAAGCGGACTGAAGGCGAGATGGTCAAGGTGGCATTGTGGAAATCAGGCAGTCCTCAGAAGGCAATACTTACATGGAACGAGTCGGAGAGGCTCTCAGGACTGAATTCTTCTAGCAATCTGACCTCAACTGCTTGGACCTCTCGAAGCCAAGCGGGCTCTGTTCCAAGTTGAGCTCGAACAAACATTGTCCTATCCCGGCAACTTTTCGAGCACCATTTCTCCATCTCCGCCTTATCGATGAGAGCAAAATCTTTCCCTCCTTTCCTGTTCCAAATCTTTTGACCGTTGTGGGCCAGTTTTTGATTTGGTCTTGGGCAAAGTGCATAGCCGCATCGATTGTCTACATTCCGTTCATAGATCAGATCATCGAGGTCTGCCGCTTGAAACAGCCCCAGGCACTCTTTGAACAAGGTGGCATCTGAGGGCTGGGGACGTGCTGGGTCAGCATCCGGCTTGGACGGCAAGTCAAACGCTTCTACTACGAGATCTGCGATTCGAGCTTGTAGTTTCTTTCTGTCTTCGATATCCAAAGCATGTCTGAGAGCCGTTGCACGAGCACGACTTTCACGATCGTCTCTGGACGTCGAGTCTGCCATCACCTGCCGAGTGCAACGCGTTGGTTTCCAGAATGGCAGGTCTCCGTCCAAAGAGAGGTGATCTCATGCGCAATCACATTTAGTTGGAGTACTGTCAGCTTGTGTACAAACATTTCCAAAGGATGGTGGCAGATATTTTATCTGCTATTAGTAGTAGAGCGGAGGTGGATTCACGACTGAGGACCTACAGTAGGGTAACGGTTGTCCTGCCCCACGTCAACTGCACGGTCAAGGCTACACTTGAGCGCCCGCTGCTCCGTAGGCAGCTCTACCAGCTCCGTCCATCTCTCTTCACTTCTTTTACTCGGGAATCGTCTCACCATAGGTTTATGCGTACTAGAGGCTTATGATTACTAGTACAACTGCCTTGGTTTCTAGGTACACCCTCATCTTGGCACAGCCCTCCGCGTAAGGTGGCGCAGATCCTGCGTCACCGCTTTGTCGAGTAAGATCAGTCGATCAACAACCTTCTACACTACAAAGATACCCATCTGCGGTTGAGGAGCTTCTCACAAGCAAAGATGCCTTCCCTACCCTTCAAGGTTAAGGCGGTATTCGAATACAAGTCCGAAGTGCCGGATGATCTGAACTTTGAAAATGGCCAGATAATCACTGTCACAGAGGAGGAGGATGAAGATTGGTACACCGGGGAATACGTTAACGCGGCTGGAGAGAAATTTGAAGGCATGTTTCCCAAGAACTTCGTCGAGAAGTATGAGCCGGCCATTCCTTCACGCCCGGTGCGAGCACAGAAACGTGTACCGGTTGTTCCAGACGCCTCCGAGCAAGCCCCAGAACTTCCAGGCTCGCAGCCTGTCCCTCCGCCCGCCGAGCATGCTGAAGCCGTCCAACCCGCCGAGACCCATCAGGAGGAGGAATCAGAGAGATCCAAGGAGTCAGAAATGGGGCGTGGAGAGGGGCGGGTCGCAGCCCCGGCAGTGAGACAACTAGCAGAACATGAGAGCGTCGCCCCCGTAGCGGAATCTCATCCCCCAGCGTCGGTCTCGAAGTCTCCCCCAGCAGTTGCAGAGAAGCCAATATCGAATTCGTTCAGAGATCGAATTGCTGCATTCAACAAACCCGCTGCCGCGCCAATAACGCCTTACAAACCAGGAGGAAGTTCAACTTCTGGGTTTATTAAGAAGCCGTTTGTTGCTCCTCCACCTAGCAGGAACGCCTTTGTCCCGCCTCCACGGGACACCCCCATCCAAAAACCATACCAGCGTGAGGAGGATCCAAGTCACAGTGAGCCGGAGCCAAGAGAGACGCTGGAAGCTCCTACTTCTCAAGAGACGCAGGCAGACGATCAACCCAAACCACAAAGTCTCAAGGACAGGATAGCTCTCTTGCAAAAGCAGCAGTTGGAACAAGCTGCCCGGAATGCCGAGAAGAAGGACAAGCCAAAGAAACCGCCCAAAAGACGCGTAGAGCCCACTGAATCTACTGAGCAAGCCCCACCACCTGAAGCAGCCTTATCCAAGGTCGACACCAATGAAACTGTCGGACGCTCATCTGCAGATTTGGGCGAGGAGCATCATGAAATGCCTCATGGACCTCCACCTCGCCGTCCATCCAACCTGGCCAGCGTCACGCCTCAACCTCAGCCGTCGCGTGAATTGGTGAGCGACACCAACGATGCCGATGACTCTGGGGCTGGGGACGACGAAGACGCACCAGAGACCTCTACTGAAGAGGAAAGACCGAGATCTCAAGACACCGGCCAACCTCTCAGAGAAGCTACCCAGGAGAAATCCTTCGAGGAAGAGCCAGATGTTACAAATGAAGACGAAGAAGGCGAAGAGGGCGAAGAGGAAGATCCTGAGGTTCGTCGCAGACGAGAACTTAGGGACCGAATGGCCAAAATGAGTGGAGGGATGGGAATGATGGGAATGTTTGGCGGACCCGGGCCAATGGGGCTGCCTGGACCCGGTAGAAAGCCAAAGCCAACCGAGCCCAGTCGGCAGTCCTCCGAGGTGCATCAACAGGAGGAATCCCAAGAAAGAGCACCAGTGCGCATTATGGCTCTTCCAGGGTTGTCAAACGCTGGGCCGAGGCGGCAAGAAGAGCCTGTAGAGTCAGAAGACAGCGACGGGGACGAGACCGCTCAAGCTACGCCTCAAGTATCTGCACCACAGGTTGAAGCCGATGATTATGTTTCTCGACCACCGCAGCGACGTTCCACAGACCGTGCTGCTCCACCACCGCCTCCTCAAGGTAAGCCGACTGTCATAGGAGAGTGAGTTCGACATACTAAGCAGGTACAGAACGCGCGCCTCCCCTTACGCCGGCGCGTGAGACCCGAGTTGCACCACCACCTCCTCCTCCAAGCACGAGAGCCGTGCCTCAACCGCCTCAGTCTCCGACATGTAAGTCACGTTACCGCTCTGCTAGTATTTGACTGACTCTTCTAGCTCGGCCACCACCTCCGATTCCACAAGGAGGCTCTCCGACCCCAGAAGAGTTGTCCGATCAAGAAGATGAGGACAGTGGCGGTGTCCCTGGTGACAGTTTTCCCAACGAGTCGGCCGTTTCTGAGACTCTTGCCAGTCCAACTAGCATTCCACCACCACCACCTCCGCAGACGAGAGTACCAGACCTTCCAAGGCTAGACACAGGCGAGACGCCCGCTTCTCTCGCAGCTGAGAAGCGAGCTAGTCGACCTCCCCCTCCAATACCAGTCAGCCCGACAGTTGCGTCTCCCCAGTCCAGGGCTCCTCCGCCTCCTCCACCAGGACTGGCCCCTAGTCGCCGTTCAACCAGCGATTCACGGGGTTTTGCTGCTGTACCGTCATCTAGCGCCGGTTCAACTGACGAAGAAGAGGTTACGGAGTACGATGGAGATTATGACACTGACATTGCTTCAAGCGCGAAACACAAAGATGCCTTGAAATCTCATAACCGGAACTCCAGTATAGACGGTGGAATGCTAACGGACGATGCGACGAAGCCACCAAAGAGCCCGCCTGCTCGTTCTGCGCCTCCGTTACCCCCAGTTCCTGCACCTCGTGATGTGCCACCTCCGCCCCCTCCTCAATCTGCTCCCAGGGCGAGGAAATCCCTTGATGCTCCTCGCTCGGCTCCTCCGCCTATCCCGACCGCCAAAGTAGACGATGATGATGGCTACGATCCTTATCGATATTCTGCACCTCAACACCCTGCTCCACCCACTCATAGTAAAAGTCACTATACAACAGTGCTCCAATCTCCGAAAGAGGAGCTTGAAGAAGACGACCTGTACGATGCTACCCCCGTGCAAACTTCGATACCACCCCCACCCGCGGAGAGAAATCCTCCTCCTCCTCCACCACCGGAAAAGTCGGAATATCTACCGCCTCTGTCCCATGTTCCGCCGCCGCTGCCGACAATATCGCCGCGCCAGTCTCTCGATGCGAAAAGAGTCGGCACAGGCCCTAGGCGCTCGATGGAGCAATCGCGGGCCGGAAGCGAACAAGGCTTCATTGCTCACGATATCGACTTAGGAAAGGAGACGATGTGGTGGACTCAAGAAAACACACTTCCTCCGTCATTACAGGGCAGATCCGATATTCTGTACGAGATGGAGACTTCTTCGTCGACCAAGCGTGGTGGTAGAACCGCCATCTCTCGAGATGTTTATGTCCTATACATGGACTATTCTCAGACCACAATTAACGCTAGTTTCGATGCAGCTGATCCATCCCACATCACACTCGAACAGAATCACGAGCGACCACCGTCCGCCCCACGACGCGACCAACTTGAAACTGCGTCGGGCCAGTACGGCGCGCAGATAGCTAGGGCTGCAGGAGCACTGCTTGGAGCTACGGTTGGCGATGGTAGCGCGCGAGCATTAGTTCTTGAACTCCTCAGGCCGCATCCTACGGCCCTGCTGCCAGTTGGGACAAGAGCTTATGGCGCTCTCGTGTATGCCAATCTCGGCAACGCTTCGACACAGCAGTACGATGAAATCCGACCTGGGGACATTGTGACATTCCGCAACGCCAGGTTCTCCGGCCATAAAGGGGGTTTGCACTCCAAATACAGCGTTGACGTCGGTAAGCCGGAGCACGTGGCTGTGGTGATCGATTGGGACGGGACAAAGAAGAAGATACGTGCGTGGGAACAAGGCCGAGATCTAGAGAAGGGTAAGAGATCCAAGGTCAGAGAGGAGAGCTTCAAGGTAGGAGATTTGAAGAGCGGAGAGGTCATGGTCTGGAGAGTGATGCCTAGAACTTGGGTCGGATGGGATACTCCCAAGTCGTGATGCGGACAGGCTGTTCGAGGTAGTGCGGGCCCTGGGTATTGTGACGAGCATGCTTCCAGAAATTGACCAGGACGCTACATCTCTTCCAAAGTGGTTGACTAGAGCCGTAGCCGTTCCCCGGAGTAGAAGTAGATGGTCCATTGACTCAACATGTTCACGACATTCAGATACATTATCAAACGGCTCTTCAGGTGTGTTGAGGCCAATGTCCTCCCTCTCCTAGGGGATTCAGAAGTCAGAAGCAAACTTATTAATCCGGGGCAACTGGGAACATAGAGCATTGTATTTGCGTTGAGGTGCTGGAATGGGGGTTGATGGTAGAAACTTGAAAGCCATGAGATCAGACGAGGCTGAGAGCCAACTGCACCTTACCTTTTATTAGCCTCAGGACTCCTTGGCCTGAGACTTCAGGGCGGCGGCAAATATTATGTAGCGGCCTGAGCAGCCATCACTTGCCGAGCACACCACCCACTGCACTTCAAGCCACTTGGGTCTTGGGACCTGGCTCTTTGCATCGTTCACGCGCTCCAGCTGGACATTGTACACACTACTCCATATACTGTCTTGTATCTTCTGGACGGCCGTGCCAGCTGGTCTCAGACTCTGCCTCGTTCCCAAAGCCCTCACCCACTCCATCCTCGGGATCACGAGCCCTCTCGATCATGTCTTCCTCCCTCGACGAAGAGGCCAGCATCTCTATCCCCAGCCTCGCCTTCGTTGCCGTCCTCGGCTACTTCATCTATCGATATTTCCTCTCAGGTCCAAGATCAAGGACAGATGGCAGCCAGACTTCCTCGTCCCGAAATACAGGCCTCCGATTTACCCCGGCCCAAGTCGACCAGATCGCGCAGATGTTTCCGCAACTGAACCGTCGCGACATCATGTGGGATCTCCATCGGAACAGGGGCAGTGTGCAAGCCACCACGGAAAGAGTTCTTATGGGACGAGGCTTGGACCCGGTAGGTCACCCGCGAGCATGCCGGTGTCGCGAGCGTGGGCAGATAAGACATTTATTAACCCTGGGAATAGGCACCGCCATCTTTCCAGCCGCCTGTTTCATTCCTGACCACGTCGTCCGAGCCTACTTCCCCTCCTTCCACCACATCGGCCAAGCCGGTGACTCCAGATCTGATCACACGATACAATCTACAGTCTAAAGTGAACTCCAAAGGGAAAGAAAAAGAGGAAGATTCCCCGCCGCCTGGATGGACAAGTAACAAAGATGCACGGCAAAAGATGCTCCAGCGACGGAGAGAGGAAATGATATTGGCAGCCAGGAGGAAACTTCAGGAGAAAGATGCAGTCGGCGCTGCGCCTCCACTAACGTGATCAGAGTCTCTTCCTGCTTTACTGGGGAATTCATGAACATTCGTCCACAAGCCAATGCGACGGGTTGTTGTTTATGCATGATCAATGAACATAATTTCTTTATACGTTATGAAGGGTCATCTCATGTCATCTCGTCGTCTTCGTCGTCGTCATCATCATTATCCCTCCTGTTCTCTCTTTCCTCTTCTTCACGATCTCGCCTCGCCTGTTCTCTGCTAGCATCAATCTTTCGGAGCCCGCCTATCACTCCCGTGAGAAAGCCTCGGGATTCGGACAGCTCCATGGCGCCTACGCCATCTAAGCGCGTACCTTCCCCGTCGCCGGCCAAGGTTTCCACCTCTTTGCGTATCTTGGCCAGTCGAACTTCTCGCAGATCTCTGAGTAGCTGTCGTACCCTGTCGGGCTGGGCGACATCGTCGCTCGCGGCTTCCAGCAACATTTCGGAAATCTCATACCAATGGTATGGTAGCGCATTGGGAGTGGCGGACGCAGTGCACGATTCGACAAACGGGGTTGTGGCGTAGAACGACTTCCCTGCAAAGTCTGCCTGTCTCGTAGGAGGTATTGTAGGAGGTAGAGAAAATGAGTCTTGGAAGTGCTTGGTCTCTAGTTCGAGGATCTCTTCCAGACTTTCCGGATACAGCCAGGGAGGAGGGACGATGTTGGCACGTCGTTGGCGTTTTAATAGAATTGCAAGCCACAGGGGAAGCGTTGTTTTCTGCGGGGGAATGAGAGGCCGTGTGGTGCCCTGTGCAGAGAAGCGATAGCATGTCAGTTCTCTTCTTTGGGTCACCGAGAGCATGCCTCGCACCTCATGTGTTGCAGAGGTCGCGGGACTGACTTACGCCCAGTAAGTCGAGGCGATCAAGGCGCTGGCGCGGGACGATGGTTACTTGTTCCATTTCGCACAGAAACGCCACTTCGGCGGGGAGGAGACCAGGAGGGTTGGGGAGCGCCATTGGTACTATGAGCACTGCCTTATGTCTCCAGGCTCCTTATACTAGGGTTCGTTTCGAATAGAGCAGGAGACGTCGGACTGGAACCGATGCCATAGGAAGCCAACTTGAACTCGAGTCTGCGTTGCGCGACGCGCCGAGCAGTTGGGCCAGAATGGGCGTAGTGTCATGCCGCTATAACGTTTCAAGACGGACAAGGCTGAGTGAGGGCAAGACGTGTCTTCAAGGCCACGGGCATGTTATTTTGTACATGTGTTCGGGAAAGTTGTATCGCCGTTTGTTCCCAGCTTTGCCCACTCCAGAATCAGTGCCTTAGTCGAGTGTGTCTTACAACCCAACCCGTCCTTGTCATTCAACGCCTGCGAAACATAATCGGCCAAACAAACTCTCGCGGGACTCCTCCTCGAACCTCAAATCAAAGTACGGAGTACTAGTCCAGCAGTCCCGTCTCTTCCCTGGACTTCGCTCCCCTCCTCGCCATGTCATATTTTGTTAGCCCAGAATTCCTTCGTGTCCTCGTTCTAGGCTTCATCACCAGCCTGCACATGACATGGCGACGGCTCGTCAACCAGCTAGTCCCGGTCCCATACCTGGATGAGTTCTTCCATGTACCTCAGGTGCAAGCCTACTGGTCCGGGAAGTGGTCACATTGGGATCCGAAGATCACCACTCCGCCGGGGCTGTATATCTTTTCCTACGGGCTCAACTCGTTTCGGGACCTCTTCTACCTAGACTTCAAGCCGTCCCTCAACGAATGGAGATTCACCAACGTCCTGCTACTCTACATGTTGCTTGTTGCATTGTATATCCTCACAGCTGTGGAAAAGAAGACCGTTAACCATGCAGGCATTCTTCAGCGAGAGTTCAGCATTGTTATGTTCCCCTTGATCTTTTTCTTCTCCGCCCTATATTACACCGACCTATTCAGCGTCTTCACAGTCGTCCTCACTCACATCTTCTGGTCCGCCAGGAGCTCGGCGGATGGGGGCAGGAAAGTGCTGTACCAAGCCCTCCACCTTGTGGCTGGCCTAGTGAGTCTTGCGACCCGACAGACGAACATCTTCTGGGTAGCTGTCTACCTGGGAGGGCTGCAGGTTGTTGAGAGCGTCAAGCATCAGATCGGGCCTGACAAGGTCCACGATCCTCCCGTGTCTGAAGCATCCTTTGAAGGTTAGATCAATGGCTCCCATTTTGCAATCTATCAAATTCCTCTGCACAAGTGTCTCTAACTGCGGGTCCAGATTACGCTACCACAAGCATCTCTCTTGCCCAGGCTGGCATCGCAATGATCCCACCACTCCTTCTCGACCTGTGGCCGCAGGTCTCCCTTCTTGCCGCTTTCACGGCCTTCGTCATTTGGAACGGTGGCGTCGTCCTAGGTGATAAAGACAACCATATCGCAACCATGCACCTCCCTCAGATGCTCTACATTTGGCCCTTGATCATCTTCTTCTCCTGGCCCGTCATGCTCCCTCAACTGTCCTATATTCCCGCCCTACGGACACGTCCACCTAGACTGAGCACGAGTCTCACCTTACTCGCTCTCATGCTCGTCACGGTCAACCTGAACACCGTCATCCACCCGTTCACACTCGCTGATAATCGACATTACACGTTCTACATCTTCCGAATCCTTCGACAACACTGGTTTCTCAAATATGCCGCCGTGCCTGTCTACTATATCTGCGCTTGTCTGGTCATCGGGGCCCTCGGCGGAGCTACTAGGGAGCCGAGGCCAGTGCCGCCACAGAAATCCCAAATTCGCCTTTTATACGGACACGATACCGTGCGCGTGAGTTGGATACTCGTATGGCTTGCTGCTACGTCCTTGTCGCTAGTCACGGCCCCCCTGGTTGAGCCTCGATACTTCCTCCTGCCTTGGTTGACCTGGCGGCTGGCGGTGCCGGAATCTACCCCCGTACCTGTCCAGCAGAGTACGGCTCCGGCGCGGCAGATTAAAGACTCTTCTCATGGTGCTCCTGCGTCGCGCTTCACGTGCAGCTTGCAGGCTGTGTTACGTTTGGCGGCTTCATACTCGACCGCTCTTGAGCTGGTATGGTACCTACTAGTCAATATGGTCACATGCTACGTGTTCTTGTATAAGGGCTTCGAATGGCCGCAGGAGCCGGGGAACACGCAGCGGTTCATGTGGTAGTTGCTGGTTCATGGTTTTCATCTATGCAATCTGACTGACCTGCCCGCCCTTGCAGTGCAGCCGCCGATATGTAGATTTGGGTATCTATATATATGCATTTGCAAATATATACAGCAGACTTTTATAAACCTGCGCCACTTGCCGGTGATCGAAGCGTCGACCGACCGGTCGAACGGGGCTGCATCCAAATAAAGGCAGATCCTGATGTCCCCAGCTCCTCAAGATCAGGCTGGAGATGCGCGACATTCATGAAGAGCGCCCATGTGCTTGCTCATTGCATCTGTTCGAATGCCTCCTTTCTGTACCCCGGAGCGCAGGAGATAGATAATACATCCCGCGTGTTCAATAGCTGCGTACCCAGCTCTGGGCTTAAACATGGACCACGCTGCCGAGTCTCATCACAGCCGCGACCTCGTCGTCGATCAACGGTCCTTTGTACTCCTTCCTCCCTCGGATATAGTACCAGACAATACTGAAGATGACCACGCCGCCCGTCACGACGACCGAGTAGTTCATCGTCTGGTAGTCGACCGGCGTCGCGGGCGGCCATACGCTCCAGAAAATGACGAATATCATGTACACGCAGGCATAGGCGTTATTGATGGTGCCCAGAATTCCCGGAATATGCCACGGGCCCCAGACCAACTGCGCCTGGACGACGGAGACCTGGCGGTCCCGTGCCACTGGAGGTTCGATGGCGGCGACATCCGCATCCCGGTCCGCGTGCGGAGATGCTTTCGGTTCCGAGCTGTCCTTGGGGGTAACATGTTTCTCGAACGGACCCGAGGCAGCGTCGGCGTCATCCTCGCCGAGCGGAACTCCTGGAGTGTCTTGCTTGTGGGGCAGCACATGGCCCTTGACTCGGTGGTAAAGCAAGAATGCAGCAGGGAGGAAATACGAGCAGTAGAAGCCGGTGATTGTGAGCGAGATGACGTCGTTGAACGCAGTAGGTGAGCCGATGTAGATCAGTGTGAGCAGGGCAGCAAAACCCGTGACCACGGCGACACCGACGATGGGGATTCTGCTCGCCGGCGTGACGTAGCTGATGGTTTTGCTGAAGGGCGTGCCCCGGTCACGGGCAAACGACCATGTCATCCGGCTGGCGGTGGTAATGATACCGGTCGCGCAAGCCCATGTCAATATGAGGACAACGGCAACCATGACTGTGGCGCCAGCGACAGATTGGACGCTATCTATGCGGCAATGTCAGCGGACTTCTGTTGATGAATCATACTGTGTCCCTGGACAGCTCAGCCTTACCGTAGAAGACCTGGATAAACGGATAGCCAGTGGCTGTGTCTAGAACAGTGTCCACGTCACCAATACAAAACAGAACAGTCAACATCATGACGAACCCCACCATGCCGTTGATGATCATGCTGAAACAGATTGCGCGTGGAATATTTTTGGCTGCGTTCGCCACTTCCTCGGCCATGTGGACGGAAGCATCTGCACCGACAAACGTCGCGACGTTACCTGTTGGTGGTTCAGAGTCAGCGAACATCCCAAGCGTAACCAGCAGCAAGCTCAGAAAACTACTTACCCAGAAAGCCGACGCAATAAGACAAGCCTTGGGTTGGCCAGCCGCCCTCGTTGAGAGAGGTGGTAAAGACGAAAGAGGCCGAATTGTGAGGAGAGTAGACCCAGAGAAGAGTCAGAATGGTGATGAAACCGGCGATATGGAAGACGATGATGAAGATCTCGAATCTAGGAAGAACGCCGGGGATGACGACGTTGATGAAGATGGCCACGGCAATCACCAGCCAGGCCAGGAGCGTGCCTTGCCATTCCTTTGCGATATAGTCTGGGTAATCGAGAATGATTATACCCTGAAGCATAGTCCCGGCGAAGATGGTCTCGGTCGCAACGGTCGCGATCCACGCCAGCGAGGTCAGCCAGCCAATGATGTAGCTGCAGAACACCTTGTATCCCGGTGGGGCGAGCATGTAGACCCAGTAGTACTGGCCTCCGGCGATTGGGGCCATAGAGGCGAGCTCGGAGATGACCATGTACACCGAGAGAGTCGATGACCAGGCTATGATGAAGCCATAGACCAACCCTGCCGGACCGCCATTGTCGAAGCCCTGGCTGAACAGAGCCAGGACTGTCTCCCAGGTGATCAATTCACAGACGGCAAAGCCGAACAGCGACCAAAAGCCAAACCGTCGCTTGAGGACTTGTTTCTTGCCCAGCTGGGCTAAGGTGGTGCTGTCGGTATCTGAGGCGGTTCGAGACATGTTGACAGGTGCTTCTGGGAGGTCGTGCTAGTTTCCGCAGAGAGAAGCGTTGTTGGGCGCAGTCGCGTGCAGGCTGGTAGAGAGCTCACGGCGACAGATTTGGGGTGAGAAAGGAACAAGCAAACAAACAGTGATGCGGTCCTTTTGGGTCAGAGATCATATCCTCAGGTTCGGATCCGAAGTGAGTGGATATCTAACCCGAGTGAGGCACAATTTCCTTTCTATCAAGAAGCCTCGTATCTCCCTGTGAGGCTCATCGACGGGGAGGAGAGGCAGGAAGGAAAAGTGCGCTGGGTGTCGAAAGACGAGTGGGGATCTGGGCGGAGACTGACGACGGGCGACGATTGTACAACGTACGGGGACTGGACACTGGGACACTGGACGCTGGACGCCTGGATCGATTTGCCCACGCCTCTTGGAAGGGGTCCATGTTGCATCGTCGGTACTAAGGTAAGTAGTTAGCTGTGTAGATACTAGATAGCGGTACTAGTAGACGGTATGGGGTCAGATGATGGGACCGGCTCTTGGGGGCAGGGGCAGGGAGCAAGCAGCCATACGTACTCCGTACTGACCATTATTACCCATGGCAAAGTACCGCAGGCAAAGGAGGAATTTGTGCGGGTGATGTCTCCAATGATCCAATCCCCGGGCTGGGAAAAACATTTATCGCCCAGCCGGTCCGCTTGGCGCCACCCGATCATCCGGCCCGGCTCATTGGTCAGCAGGAAGCCGGAAAAGCTTACTGGAGCTTGTCCTGAAGCGGACTGTCTTTCCTCGACAGAGATAACCATATCTTGATATCAAATTGTTGTCGTCGTCGTTAGCATGCCGGGCACCCGGAGAGGGCTGTGAGTCTTAGTCTTTCCATTGATGATATACAAGCTGAAGCTGTCCTCGGAGAGACCGGAACAGTAGATAACGGGGAGACTTAGACCTGACAACGCCGCTACCCTACCCGCCTGCAGCTCTCGAGTAACATGAGAACATCAACTGGACTCCGGCTGCTACAGAGTTAGTAGCGCCACGTGCGCACACCCAAACAACAGAAACAGTCACTCAGGTGGAAAGGCTAGGTATGTACGGACAGCGTATACTCCCTACCTCGGTACGCACCTGCAGCAGACTGCTGTCGTATTTCGTATCCGCCGGACGAATGAGGCGCAAACGTGGCGCAGTACCGTGTGGCGCAGGCAGGTTCGTGGCTGCTTCGCGAAGGTGGGGGAAAGCCATGGTGGCCAACTTGCGTGGGAGTGACGTCGGGTTGCCTCACTGCGCCTTCATCCTGACCTGCCTTATAAAGGACTCAGTACAACACAACATTATCTCGAGGATAGTCACTCCCCCAAATATACTTTCTCATTAAACTCCGTCTCGAACTCGAACATCCCTTATTCCACCCAACGCCTCCACCACCCGCTTCAAAATGTCGACCACTGTCCACGTCAAGAACATCTCTCCTGAGACCAGCGAAAAGGAGGTCAAGGACTTCTTCAGTTTCTGGTGAGCATGAACAAATGACGCCTACTGTACATTGACCGAAGCTCACTTTGTATCAGCGGAAAGATCACCTCGATCTCTGTTACTCCTGAATCCTCTACCCCAGATGCACCCAAATCGGCCACAGTAACCTTCGAGAAGGAAAGGTAAGCCAGAACTGTACAGCAAAAACAATTTGCACCATAAACTGACAGATTGATAGTGCCGCTAAGACCGCGCTCCTTCTTGACAACACTCAACTTGGGAAGTCACAAGTTCACGTTTCCACTGCAAGCACCATCGATGACGTTGCCGCCAAAGCTGGCGCTGCCGTCTCATCCTCGACAGGAGACGACCATATTGCTCAAGAAGACAAGCCTCGATCAAGGATTGTTGCGGAATACCTGGCTCATGGCTACGCGCTCTCGGATAATGTCATCCATAAGGCTATAGATTTGGATAACAAGCATGGCTTCAGCTCACGATTCACCGAGGCTTTGCACAAGTTCGACGACAAATACAAGGCAACTGACACGGCAAAATCCGTGGATACCAAATACGGTGTGACAGATAAAGCCCTCAGCGCTTGGGGTGGGTTCAATTCATACTTTGAAAAGGCCTTGGGCACCCCTACCGGTCAAAAGGTCCGAGATTTTTACAGGCAGACGGATAAGCAGGTCCGGGATGTTCACTCGGAAGCCAGACGTCTTGCAGATCTCAAAGCTGGTAAGACTCAGGAACCAGAGCAAGTGGAAGGAACCGACAAGACAGTTTGCAAATGCGGCGGCTCGGAGGGTGCATGCGCTTGTCCAGCTGGCCATTGCGCATGTGCCAATTGCGCAAAGAGCAGCGACTCAGCAACCAGCGAGGTTAAGGAGGCTGCTCAAGCCAGCGGGCAACAGTTGCCATCCGGGAGTGTTTGAATGAAATGGCATGGACAGCAATCATTGCTCGAGTATCATCGGGTGCACCATCGGGTGCACAAAGATTCCCAAACAGTGTAACTGCTCTTGGTTCGCTTCAAGATGGCCTTGAGCTATGACGACGTTGATGAGATGATGGATGAGCTCAAAGGAGCTACGGTAGTGTTATCCTAGCTAGTCTTCCAAATGGAGTATTAGGCAACCTCATGGTTTCTATCGCGCATTGCATTTTCTGCCCTTCTAGTTTCCTCTATTGAAATCAAAGGTTAAAATTGACATGCGCGTGCTAAGCCATCCTGCAATGCGTTCTGTCTTTGGTATTCGTACATGCCAGCACCTCTTGCAATGCCAACCCCGGCCAACTAGAAGGTGAACTGCATCAGTCCAGGATTGAGCACGAGCGGCATCAAAAAGTGAAACGCCACCAAGATGGCCAAAGGAAAAATGGCCGTGAACGTCGTAATTCTCCAGTCGTATGGCACGAGGGCACCCGCAGGCCCAATCCCAGCCAGGGCAAGCATGACAAAGATCATGGCGATACAGTAACAAAAGGTGAATTTAAACCTTTTCAGGATGACGGGGACTTCCCTGAAGAAGGAAGTTGACTCGGCTTCTTTGGCGGTCGCGCCCCAGCTCATATTGACGCTGAAGAGATAGCAGAGGATGGCCTGGGACACGTGCACGGAGATGCCGCCGAGAAAGACGGTCAGGATGAGAATCCACGTAAAGTTTTCCAACAAGGCGCCGAGTAGCGAGCGGTTCTCGACCCGGTATCGTAGGACCGCCAAGCTGACGGTACCTAAGCCCTGAAAGACGACGACGATGCCGAAGTAGACTTCGAACGAGGTGACGTAGGCGTGGTCGAGATATCCGTTGAACCAGCCGATGAGGAAATAGTTCATTAGCGTCAATGGCCAGGCAGAAGCGATGGCGAAATAGGTGCCGATATAAGCCATAATCGTCAACTTGGCCATCAGGCTCATCTGGCTGCCCATAAACCGACGGAACAGCGGTGTGATAGGCCCTCTCGTCAGCCAGTAGCGAATGGGATGGAATAGTAGTTCGGCACAGCCGTAGGCGTACTTCTCCCATCGGGACAACTCGTCGTAGACAGTCAACGAGACACCTTCTTTGAACTTATCACCGTAGTAGGTACAGAAGCGCAGTACATATCCCTGCGCCTGCAGTCGTAGAGCCATGTCAAAGTCTTCTGATACAGTGTTCTCGGCCCAATACTTGTCTATGCCTTCGTTCTCGTCCGTGTACCCGACGGCCTGAATGGCAGACCATCGAAGCATCGCGTTGTGGCCGACGAACGCGGCGACATCCCCGTTGGCCACGGCGAACCGGATGGCCGTATAGACGAGGTTGGTAAAGAAGGTGATGGCGAGCTCGAAAAAGCTCGTTGTTACGTTCAAGACGCTGGACGAGAACTGAATAATAGCCACCTCGGACGAGGCTTCCATCTCGGAAACGGCCTCGAGTAGGCAATCCTCGGGTACGCGGGTGTCGGAGTCGACGAGGAGGATGTAGTCTCCAACGCGGATGTCACCTCCACCCCAGGTCCGGTCGCCGTCTTCTGAGAGAACCTGGTCGAAGCATGAATGGTAGAGACGGTCTTCATCTGCTTGGTTCCAGCTAGGGGTTCGTACCACTTCCGCCATCTTGTCCTCGATCCGGTTGCTCACGTTGAGGCAGAAGTTCATATTGGACGCTTTCTTGAATTTGCCGGCTCTGATGAAGATATTGTTGCCCTTCGCATCGCCCTTAGGTGCGTGGTTCGGCCGAGCGACCCACCCAATACCGTTGTCCTCGTAGTATTGAGCTCGTCTCCGCGCTTTATCGTCAGAAATGAGTTGCATGCCGTCATCGTTGATGAAAATATTAGCACTACCCCCTTGTAGTTCGTAGGTCGAAATCGCTTTTTTGAGCGACAAAATTGTCGGATGGATGACAGAGTCGAGGCCCTCTTTGTATACAGGACATTGAATCGTGACATGTGGCAGGGGCGCGTCTACGCCTGTCAGACGGACGGATGACCGTGCTGAATAGAACCGGGAGTTTTCTGTCAACTGTTGAACAGGGCCGATGATTTGCGCAATACCGTTGACCAAGCTGGTGAAGAAAAACCAACCCAGCCACAGTTGTAAGGGTGCGGCAGCCAGAATCGCTAATCTGGTGTAACTGTTGTCGATCTTGATCTCGAGAGCAATCTGCCTCCAGCCAATGGAGAGACAAAATATTGTGAGGATAGAGACACACGCCACAAGGAAGGCCTGGTAGATGACTGTCTTCCGCGGCTTATCCCAAACACCTTCCTCATCAATGTGTCTCGAACCAGTTGACCTGTCTGGGGACGTAGCCACCTTTTCCTTCGCAATCAGAATCTCGTCCTCGTCATCCGAGCTATCCATATCCCACAGCATATTGACAAGGAGTGTCTCGATCTGCTCAGAACGGCTGATAACCTCGGTCGGATCTTCCGCCCAGACGACGAGCATGCCCTGGCTGCGGACAAAGGCGGCGTAGTGGTGTCTCTTACAGAAGGACAGCGCACTGATATCTTCAATGATTTGAAGGTGCTGCCCCTGACTAAATGGCACGAAAGGTTGTTGGTATTCCTGGAGAAATTTTCTGATCGCGCTCGTTCTCACAGTCATGGCAACCTAAGACTAACCTCAGTTGACGCTCATGAGAGACGAACAGACTTGCTTTGAAGAACGTACCTTGACATTCAGCTTTTTGATTTCGTTGTAGAACCCATTGACATGTTTCGATAGATCCGCAGGCTGACAGATGAAGTCGTCTTTACTTTTCTTCAAGATGACACCCTCTGTAGAATTGCCTTCCGCCCACCTCTTTTCCAGCTGCTGCTGCCGCAGATATAGTAGCATAACTTCGAACTTGACATTGATGCTGTGATGTGGCTTGCGCTCTTCTCGCGGACTTGATCTTGGCACCGCGACAGCATTGCCCACATGACTGATCGAAGGGGTGTCACTGCCAGTTTCCTGGGAACTTGTCTCCACCGTCGGAACCTGAGGTTTGTTCGTCGCCTTGGATCGACGGGGAGGCCAGGACCAGGGCTTTGTTGGCAACATGGCGCCTCCCATGAGGAGAAGGACGGCAGTGTAAAGCGGTCAGGGTGTCACTGCGATGACCGGTCAGCGGAAAGTCCACGAGGCATTCATTGCACATTTTGTAAAGTCCCATGCTTTCCAAACAGAGAACTTGGAGTTCCCGAAAGACCTCCATCGCCCCGGGACCGGTGTCACAAATGCGGGTTCTTTCTCTGGCTGGGCCAGAGTCTATGGTGGACCATTAGTTACTAACGAACCATCCCACGGTGGACATGAAGAGAAATCCCTGTTTGGAAGGCCTTCTTGCTTGTTTGTTGACATCATCGAGTGACAAAATTGAATGGCTAGACCCAGCCTCGTGGCCTCGTGGGAGAGGCTTTCCGAAAGCAGTAATCTCGAAGAAGAACCCTGCCGTTGATTCCGCGTAGCGTTGTGAATTCCAAAACTCTCATCTTCTATTGAAAAAGATTATGCGCCTGTTGCAGCCGTGCCGTCGCGACGGCACAGTGGAAGTCCTAATGCAGTAGAATTTGGAGCGCTGTAGCCGGGCTGCGGTCCGAGCGGCGGACGATGGATCTCAGCCAGATCTTGCGCCCACGAGACTGAGTTTCCACCTTGACCACCGTCAGGCTGGGTCCCTCTGATAGACTCCTCATCAATCACCTGTCAGATGGGCTTTGGTGGTCTGTGATTCGATCCTGCATTTTTTCTCGGCACCTTTCCCATTCTTGATCTGGACTTTTCCATGCTACTGAACTCAAATGACGAGCCCAAAACGCGCCGTGTTTGGTGTCCGAGCCTCCGAGAAGCAGTGTATCCCGCTGACGGACACGATGGCTGGTCATCATTGTGCTGGGATCTACCACAGCTACCATATTTTCCCGGGTCGTCGCCCTTGGATGGCTGCATCATGTCCATTCTCTCACCTCAGGAGCCATGCCGTACCGATCTGGTGCCATCAACAGCGCTGTCATCAAGGACACGGTGACAGAAGAATCCCACGACAGTGCTATCCTTGAGGAGCCTTCTCCCAGTAGCAGCGTACCGATCACAGCCGTCATCACAAATTCAGAGATTGACCGCCAGGCCACCCGTTATTCTGACAATCAAGATGCAGTCAATCGGGCAGGCTATTTTCCCTCTGTGGTTGACATAGAAACCTCTGATGAGATTGTCACTCAGGTCGAGTCGTCAAGCCGGAGAATCTCTAATGCCAGGCGTCCATCCCAGAATCTATGGACGAGATCAAGATCCTTTGCAGGATCTTACCTCAAGCCTCCGGCTCTTGTAGAGCAAAATCGAAGAGGCGTGTTTTCTGAAGTACAACTAAGCTCCAATGTAGCACCGCCATTTGGAACTATAGGCCAAGAAGATGCCGGGCGGGCGGCAGGGGACAATTCGCGGGGCGACAGTCGAAGGGGTTCGGTGAATAAGGCCGCCTCCAGCACATCTGCCAGTCAGGCTGGAAGTCGAGCTGGCTCGTTCTCCAACCCCCTGAGAAAGGGATTCAGCCACCAAGAGGGATTGCATCGTCGGTCAGAGAGCATCAACAAGATCAGTACGGAGGAAGGTCGGAGGCGATCAACCGCCACCCCTCCAGAAAATGCTTCACTGGCTACAGGTAGCACCAGGCCGTCCTTGGAAAGGACGCATTCAGCTCCTTCAAATTATCAGTTCAAAACTCCTGAAGCCTCAGCACCAGCCTCTGAACCACGGGGGGCAGCCGCATACGGAAAACTTACTCAGCATACCTCAAAAGTGGATGAACCCTTGCCAGAGACAATCAACAAAGTGGATTCCTTACTCCGGGTCCACGAGAAATCCATCCCTCAAGCTGGTCTCTATTTTCGATCTCGTCGTATCAAGGACCGCAATACCGATCGTTCCTGGCTTAGGCCACGGAAAGATCACCGTCAGAAGTGGTTAACCATCATTCCTCTCATCGGCATCATTTTGGGATTCTGCATCGCGGGCGCATATATTTTCGTTGGAATTCAAAATGTGCCCGTTCATAAATATTGCATGGTGTACGAAGATACCTTCTCATCGGGAGATTTGGACTTGAACGTATGGACCAAGGAAGTCCAGGTGGGAGGGTACGGCAACGGGCAGTTCGAGGAGACCACTGCCACCGACGAAAACATCTTTATCAAGGACAATATACTCCAAATCAAGCCCACACTCCAAGATATTGCCCTTCTGACTGGCAATCACACCCTGAACCTGACCAAATTGGGGACATGTACCAGTGACGAATGGTCCAACTGTGTTGCCACAACCAATACCACAAACGGCACAATCATCAATCCTGTGAAATCAGGGCGCATCAATACCAAAAAGGGTGCAAACATCAAGTATGGCCGTATAGAGGTCGAGGCGAAAATGCCGCAAGGCGATTGGATCTGGCCCGCCATTTGGATGCTGCCAAAAGACTCTGTCTATGGTACATGGCCTCGCAGTGGAGAAATCGACATCGCCGAGTCTCGTGGCAACAACTGGACGTATCCCACTGGCGGAAATGATATCATGTCCTCGTCTTTGCACTGGGGTGTGGACAGCACTAACGACGGCTGGTGGAGGACGTACCGCAAACAAAATGCTCTTCACTCGACATTCTCGGACAGGTTTCACACCTATGGACTTGAATGGAGTGAGAAATACCTGTATACGTACCTCAACGGCCGGTTGCTGCAGGTTCTATACACCAAATTCAGAACCCCATTTTGGCAAAGAGGCGATTTTCCTCTCATGTATGCAAACGGGACTGCTATTGTCAACCCCTGGGGGAAAACAGGCAATGCCGCCACTCCGTTTGACCAGGACTTTTATTTGGTACTGAATGTAGCTGTCGGCGGGACCAACGGCTGGTTCGAGGACGGCAAGGCGAGCAAACCGTGGGTAGATACGAGTCCGACGGCAAAGGGGGAGTTTTGGGCTGCGAGGGATCAGTGGTACCCGACGTGGCAGACGGAAAACGGCCCCGCTCTGCAGGTGAAAAGTATCAGGATGTGGCAGCAGCAGGGGTACAACAACTGTGGCAGTGATGCGAAGAGTATTTGACTTGCGATGTGAGATTAGTTTAGACCTCCATGGCTGTTGTATTTCCGCCTTAATGCCATCCGTAGGCGGCCTCTTCTCTTCGGCAAGAGTTTGACAATCCAGTGAGCTTTCGGGAGGGGGATGAGGTACACAGGTAGTGTAGGCTTGCCGCGAAGAAAGGCTCTCTCTTCAGAAGCACCCAAGTGTTAGAGCCTGTAAAAATCGAGTCTGCTCACAAGGTTCTCGCGGTGTGACAATCTGCAGGTCTCGAAGATCATGCAGGTGACTTCAAATTCGGGTTCGTGGGTGATGGATTTGGCCAACGGTTCGCTACTGTCCGGTGGGAGTTGATCTGAAGCATATTTTCTGAGTGGCTAGCATTGAACTAGTTGGCTTCAAGAGAGCTGAAGGGGGCCAGGTAAAGGGACGGAACAGCCATGCGTAGCCATTCAATTGCTGCATGAGTAACCGACAGTAAAACACCAGCAATCCAGTTGATCTGGACCGGAGGCCACCCTCACAGCCACGTTGCCGTCGCCACAGATGTCAAGTGATGAGTGTGGTGTCAGCCTGTGGCCGCAGCGCAGCCTGTGTTCCCCGCCATCAGCCCATAAGCCCGAGGTTCTTGGGGCTAAGGACTTGACTCTTGGGCAAAACTTGAAGGATTTCTCCGCCATAGCCATAACCGCTCGGGCTCCTAAGGCTATTTACTAGCGGTGCTAGTAATTAATGGTAGACCCCAAAACAGTCCCCCAGAGACAAAACTCTACCTGCGCCTCGTAACGAAGCGCTCTGGTGACTACTCTTTCTCACCGACACCTACACCTTTTGGAATCACCGCGTTGCAATCGTCCCGGACGATTGTTTTTATTTCCTACTGTTGATTTGGTTCCCTCACCCCTCGCCAGAGTATGAACAAACCCTCTACCATCTCCACGGACCGCTTCTGTGAGGCCTGCGACGAGCCTGGGTAACTGGGCCGATCGTGAGCACTGGGCCCAGCTGCGGACTGGGACTACCAAAGAAAGAAATACTCAGCAGCTCTGGATCTCGAGTCCTTGACAAGCATTAAACAAAGTGTGTCTTGTATGCGCGACCTTGGTGACTCTCGCCGTGCTAATATTTGTTGCAGGTCCCGACACGAGAAAATCTCTCACAATGTGCTTCGAACGCTTGATCAGCCTGAAGTGCAGCCACTATGAATCATACCAGATGGACAAGCAGGGCTGCAAATACCAGGCTGGCCGTCGGTGCCCAAACTATGTCCAACTGAAGATTCGTGAGGAGAAAAGCAGGAGCTGCCTCAAGTGCAAGGCGCATGGTCTGGCCGTGTTCGGAATCGCCAGTCCGAGTTTGAGGGGAAAGTAGGACAAAGTCCTGCGTCATAAATGTCATGGCCACTAGTCGGGTGCTTCAGGAGCTTTGCTTGAGGAGCGAGTGTTGATTTCGGAAGATACGTTCGTTGTTCACGCTGTGGCAGGTGCAAACTATGTACGGATACACGGTGGGGTGTGGATGAGGCTTTTTGTGCGGCACATTTGAAGGTCGACCAGAGTATTAGATTTCTCAATGTAGAGCTGCATATTGTTGCGGGCTGTCAAGTAGGTAGTTTTCACGAGCATTCACGAGCATTGGCATGAAGACAACAAGACCGAAAGAGAAAGACCAATCTCAGTCGCGGGCACATGGCACATGGCACCTACAAGGGTTTCCCACCTAGGATTTCATAATCCCCGAGAAAGGAGTGCAGGCACTGTGACATGATACGCAGGTTCTTGTCTCTTTCGTAATCACCCCAACGTCATCGCTGGATCTGCTCCCACGACGTCACGTATGTATATGTTATTCTCCTCGAGCTGTGCGTGCTTCCACTTCGCTTCTCTTTTTATCCTTCTATTAACTCTCCAAGAATCAACTGTCGCATTAAAACAACACTCTGATTTCTCGTTCAGACACCACCCCAAGCCAGACCAAGTCAGTCCATCTTCTGCATACTTGCTGTGGTACCGCTTGCTGATCAGGTTGACAGGCTCCTTTACATCGAAAATCTGCCACTATGTCTGCACCGAACGCAGGTCGCCAGTCGCCAGAGCCCGAAACCCAGACCAATGCTCAACAAGGACAACCTCAACCTGGCAGTGGAAAGGTATGACATATCAATTCTTCGCTCCATAACACACTCGCAGTCCCTCCCGTCGCTGCTATCCAGTCACCCCACCGACAATAACTCATCATATTCAAGGTATTAACCTGTACTCCTAGATCGACGAATCTAAGTCCAAGGATGAAGGCAAAGAAAACCAGCTCGATGGCTTGACAAGCAACCCGACCCATATCCTCGAAAAGCACTCTGAAGCCACGACGAGCAAAACCACTTGATGACCTTTTTGATGCATACGTGGGACATTATACAGTCAACTGAGGCCGGGTCATAGTAGAGAAAAGGGCCACTGCGGAAATCAAGCCTGGAGTGGGATGTATGAAGGCTGTGCCAATTTAGACATACCAAAGTAATGGCTAAAGACGGATTAAACCTCATCATCCTACTACTTGACCCTATTCTCCTCCTCCAATATCTATCATTCTAGAGATATCTAAAGCGGATATACTCTAGCGGCAAGTTCTATCCGATGTTCAGGTGGATGCGTTGCCCTACTGACTATCGTTCTCGGATGTTCTCGATTTCGCCCATGGTGAATATCGCTTCCGCCTTCGCCTTCGTTTGCATGCCCGGTCTGGCCGAGTGCATGTTTCCAAGTCCCAGTTCTTCTCCTCGTGCATCTGCAAACTTCTCTATTCATACTCTGCTCACAGCCATGAACGGTCCCGGGCTGTGCCAAACCTGATGACACTCTTTCCATAATAGGACCCAAGCACCTTGAAGTTGTAAGGTCGCGAGCAGTGTGCCTGTGGTGGGCGTGTCATGTAGTCATCGTCCTCGTAGTCGTCGTCGTCTTGCATCCCGCCGCTGCTGCTCTTCCGGAGCTCACTGCAGCAAGGGTGGCAATACTGCAAGTGCATGACGTATGTCTATGTCTGCGTGCGGAGGCGGGCCGGCCCGTCTTTAGCGCTGCAGCTGCCCTTCAAGTTGCCAGGTTGCAGGAAGCCCGAACTGCGCTGCGCCAATTTCCTCTGGCGAGGAAAAGGAAAAAACACATCTGCACCATTTCCATGTCTTGACCCCGCCATGTTCTGGTCCCTGCCTCTGCCGCTGCCTTTGAACACCTTGGTGGTGTTTTACTTGTCCCTCGCCACCTCTGTGAGCGCCGTCGGCGAGCAAACGAGTCTCGTCGATGGAGCGTCCAGAAAAAGAGGGTATTTCAAGGGTGACCTGATCCCCGTCAGCTGCTTGAATAGGACCATGTGAGTAGGGAAGATGACCCTAATTGGATTGACACTTACCTCCGTAGTGAAACTGGTGAACATGTACGTTGAGCGCCCACCTGCTTGCATCCTCGCGTATCCAAGGCGGCATGGCGAGCTACTCGCTACACTTGTATCCTCGATCTTTCTCCGAGTAACCTGTACTCATGTCACCTTACCCAGATCACCGATGCCCATGGCAATCTGCAGTATATACCATTTCCGACGTGTAACGAAACGAACGAGCCATTATCCTTCCTCTATAACACCCCACAAACCCAGACATGTACCATCGATGCGCTGCCCGACGAGCTGTATCATTTATTCGAATTCTTCGTCCACAGCGACGTTCCTCTGACGTGTCGCATTCCATCATACCCCTTGTCTCAGGATGGGCTTGATATCACTTCGTCACTGCCTGAAATTGATGGGACGGGCGCAGATAAAACATTGTGGACACCTTTTACAATTGCCCTGCAAGGCACTCTGCAGTTGTCTCACCTTCACCTCCACACGAACATCAATGTGCTTTTCCATATGTCACAAGACCCAGAGTCGTCGGCGACTGACATTGGGTCGCATTTGATTGCCTCGGCGGCGTATTCTCTGCCAAACACCTCATATTCGGCACCGATGGAGGGTACCAAAATCATCCGCAACGAGCCTATGGTCCTGACCTTTAATGTTGGCTGGATAGACGGCGCTGTTCTACCTGGGATGGTTGGCCGGCCTGTTTTAGGAGTAAGAGACCACAGCATTGGATTTTCGTTGTTGAGTTTCTTTGCGCTGGCTGCCAGTGCTGGGGTTGGTGCAATGGCCATGTTGATCTACGAAAGGCAAAAGAGTGGCAGGAGCGGAATCTATGGCAATGGACTACTCGGCGGGAATGTCGGGAACGGCACCGCGAGAGGCTCAGGATATGGAGGGTACGGCGGTTACGGCGGCGGGTTGGGTAAACGAGACTGAATATAGCTGGGAACACGAGTGTGGCAGCCACCGGTGTATTGGATATGCCCGGCCGTCGCTTATGTCAAGCATAGTCCGGCACCCATGTCGACATGTGAGAGAAGAGAGTTGCGGACGGACATGGTAGCATATTGCTCGGCTTATCGCAGAACCTGACAAATATGTATCTACCCGAAGAAAGAGACGACAACCCCTTCAAGTTACGGATGGCACAGGGTGGAGGAACTGCAGACCTCGTGCATATCATGACCATTGGACCTCACGCACGAGATGCTAAAGGACTCGACCAGAGGGCCAGCTCCTCCCTTGCCTGGGAGCGTCAGATGCGTCCTGATGCATGGACATGGGCTTCCTTTGCTCCATTTCTTTCTCCGTCGTTTGATTACCGTGGTGGCCCTTTTCTGATCCTATCCCGGTGCGCACGTTCACTTTTTTTGCAGAGCACAGGTCTCGGGATGGCTTTGTCGAGTACGCGCGTGGGTTCTGATCTGAATGGACAAGATCAATCTCGCCCCGGTCCGATGTCAACATTGAACGTGCAGGTGCAGCAGGATGAAGAGAAGATGGATTGACGCGATGTGACCGTCATGATTGGACGATAGGCGTATGAGGGTGTACGAAGTATACTAGAGCCATCGATGCCGGCATGCAGTTGTATCTATCTATCTTCTATTGACTCGGAATGCCGCCTTCTTCCTTTTTCGAATTCTAAATCAAGGGAAGCACCTCTGTCCTCTTGCCTTTTCCATTTCTATTTCCATTGCTGGGTTTTTCCTTTTCCCTTTTCTCTCGGAGAAGAGCAACTCCCCAATCCCTATGCCCTTTTCCCCTTTCTGAGCCAGGTGGCAGTGGCGGTGGCAGTAGCAGAGGCAGTGGCAGTGGCAGATGACATTCCGTCCGACTCAATACATACTAAAGCCACCGGAGGCATTGACCACCTGACCGGAAACCCAACTAGCATCGCTCGAGGCCAACCAGCTGACGATGGCGGCGATTTCGGGGGCTGTGCCCAGCCTGTTCTCCACCGGGGTATTGAGCCTTTGCATCTCGACCAGGTCTGGGGAAATGGTGTCGAGCATGGCGCTCTGCACGGGGCCCGGGGCCACGGCATTGACGGTGGTGCCATCACTTCCCAGCTCGCCGGCCCAGGCGCGGGTCAGGCCTTCCAGCGCCACCTTGGACGACACGTAGAGCGAGTAGTTGGCGAAGCCGGCGCGGGCGCCGACCGACGAGATGTTGATGATGCGCGCCGGCGCGCGCAGATGCGGCAGCACCGCTTGGGTCATGAGGATGACGCCGCGCACGTTGACGTTGTACACGGCCTCGTAGTCCTGCGTCGACAGGTCGGCCAGCCTCCTCGTGATCTGCACCGCCGCGTTGTTGACCAGGATGTCGATGTGCGGGCCGAACGCCGCCAGCGTCGATGCCACAATCTCGCGCGGTCCCGACTCCGACCCCAGATCTGCGCGCACGCTGATGGCGGCCGAGCTGGCCGAGCTGGCATTCGAATTCGAGTTCGCATTCGGCAGGGCTTGGATCTCCGACACGATCTGTGCTGCCTTGGCCGCCGACGACGCCGAGGTATATGTCACCACGACCTGTCATGTTGGGTGAGCACGGAGCGAGCAGAGAAACAGACGTGGATGTAGATGTGGACGTGAATGTGGATGTAGATGTCCTGGTTTTACCTTTGCTCCTCGTCGGGCCAGATCCATGGCCATTTCCGCCCCCAGTCCACGCGACGACCCGGTGACGATGGCCACTTTGCCTTGGAGCGTCTGGGCCGGAAGTGGGAGTTGTGACATTTTCAAAGGCTCGCGCTGGCTGGGTAGACGTCGATCGATGTATCGACAGAGTTGGGTTTAGGTATCTGTTTCTGTAGAAAGAGGAGAGGAACCACAACTTGAAGACTCATAGACACACGGCCACGTTCACGATCACGATGATATGGATCCAGGGTTGTGTGCGTGTGCGTGTGCGTGTGCGTGTGCGTGTGCGTGTGCATGAGCATGTCGTCGTATGGTCATTGCGTGCCATTCAGTCCACATCCACGTCCACGTCCCATGCAATGCGGATACACATGTCATATCAATCGGACAATGCGGCCGCAAAGTCCGTGGGCGGCGAGCGGGTTTTATGTCCTTTTTCATTCTCCATTCTCCATTCTCCATCCACTTCAAAGATAACGCCTGTGCCGATCCACGCCGAGAGATCATGGTCTCATGCCTCATGTTTCATGCCTGACAATTAATTGTCGACCGGATGGATTTTAAAAAGACTATATTTTACCTACTACCCACTAGCGCACATCGCACATCGCACTCCCATCTCCCATCTCCCATCTGGACGTCCAGCGTATAGCGTGTAGCGTAGGTATATATTGTACCGCCTCTGCCTAGTCTAGAGTGCTATTATAATTCCATGATTATCCCACAGATACATGATACATACAACCTGAAAGCATATACCGCAGGACTCTCTTTAGGCGTGGCGTGCAATGTACGCAGTACGATGCTGAGATAGAATTAGAAGGGGGCTGGGTAAAGTATCTGATTAGTAGTACGGAGTATATAGCGAAATACGTAGGGCAGCGCTCTATCCATCTCTTATTATAATTACTGAGTACGGATAAGCTCCTTCAGCAAGGAGGGGAATGTAATGCAACCCCGGCGCTCCTTCGTGGCAAGTATCTACATACATACATAGGTTAATTGGTCAGGCTGACCACCTTACTCAGGCAGAATATCTGTATGTAATTAACTGTACAGAGTATATTTAGTAGTATATGTATAAGGTACCTTAGTAAGTACGGTAGCGGTATTCGTCTGATAATGTTGCGCCCAAATCCACCATCCACCATCCACCTCCGGCGCAGCATCTCACCCTCAGCCCGGTGCACCGCCTCATCCTCACCCTCATCCTCACCCTCATCCTCACTCTCATCCTCCCCTCATCCTCATCCTCATCCTCAAGGCCCCCACGGTTCACGACAAATACGCGAATACCATGTATGGCTCACCGTGGGCCCCCCTTGAGCCTCCCTTCCTCTCGGGGCTTATCCTGATCCCTGATCCCTGATACTGTTATTATCTGATACCGCTATGGATGGGCTAGGGCCTTGCCTTAGGCTTTTGATTGAGCCGCACTGCACAGGCGATTCCACTTCCACGCCTCCTTCGGGCCCTGGCCCGACGGTTCCTGACCATCCAGAATCGAGATTCTAGATGAGCCTTGGACCTTGCGCCTTGCGGTATCTATACATAACCATCTATCAGATCCCAGAGGGGCGGGAACAGGACCTTAAGGTAGGCCAGAAAAGTAAGCCGGCCTGAATTCATGCAGATGCAGAACCTATGTACCTAATGTTCTTGTTCTGGTTCTGGTTGATCATATTACTATATAATTCCCGGCCAGGTTCTCTCAAAGTACTGCAGTTATCAGTATATTCCAACTCTGGTCTCAACAACACGTCAACACTACCATCACATAATTCGAGATAGGAATCGGAATCGGAACAGCATCAGTCAGTCCGTCAGCCAACCAGTCCGTCAGCCAGCCAGTCGGCCATAACCTCGAATCTACCCTCGAATCTACCCTGAATCTCTTGTCGTCTCCAAGACTGTACAGGCATTTACATTTCGACTCGTTGCAGCTTCAAGACCTTCTCACCGTCACCGTCACCATCACCGTCACCGTCACCGTCACAGTCAAAACAAAACAAAACAAACCCCTGAAGTCGCGCAGAATGGTCTCCTTCTCACTCACAACTGTCGCCTCCGTCCTACCACTCCTCCTTTCCAGCCTCAGCCTCAGCCTCGGCCTTGTGGGCGCCACACCCATCAGCGCACGACAATCTTCGGCATCCGTGTCGGTGACGTTCATCGGCGCCGCCGACGGCCAATATACCCTAGACGTGCCACTGGACAGTGTCTTCACGCCGACCAACAACGCCCTGAGTGTCAGCCACATCAGCACCGTGGGCGCCGGGCCGTGCGTCTTCTTCGGCGTCGACGGCGCCGTCTACGTGTCTCCCCCGGCCGGCGGGGAGGGCGACGTCGGCCCGCCGCAGACCATTGCGGGCGGCATATGTGGTCCCTTCCCGGGTCATCAGTACGGCATGTGGTGAAAGATGAAAGATGAATATCCGGTTATCAGTACGGCATGTGGTGAAAGATGGAAATCCAATCCCGCAACTACGATTTACCTTGATTAATGATTGCCCCCGCAACTACGCTTTATTTACTGTGATTAATGATCGCCGGCGTTCGAGCGCGTGCCAGCCGCGAGTAATGTGGGAACTGAAAACTGAGAACTGAGAACGGTTGGACTTTCCATCTCATCTTCATGATGTCAAATGAAGGTTGAAATGTTCCATGTTGTCTATCAACGCCGTTGGTCGCAGGCGGAGCGCATGCTATATAGTATATAGTATAGATAGCACGCCTAGACCAGGCTTCTGGTTAAAGCATAAGGCTGAGACTGCCTAAGTTTCAAAACATGAATCGTCGATCGGTGGTGGTGGTGGTGGTGTCGTATGAAACTTAAATCTTGTTTTTAGAGCGACTGTTATGTCATCCGAGATGGAATCTGACTATAAGGTACTGCTCTTCAAGACTGTCCCGTATACTCAACCATTTATCCGTACATGGAGAATTGACCGCGAGTGGTTTACTAGGACAGTATCAGTGCGACTTGGCCCCTCAATGCTTGGCAGGGGATATCAGCCTCGCCACAATGAGATGGTTTGATTTCCATGTGAATGTGGACTTCCAATGATAGAATTGCTTGCATGACTTTTCTGATGCCTCGTATCCGGACAACCCATGTCTCTGTGTTTCTACAGCTGTCTGTCTCATTGCTGGCAAACTTATCTTATACAATTCCCAGCTATATCAGTTTCCCTTTGGTCACAGCCCCCGGTTGTCAAGCTCTGCTCCTCAACCTTCCTGGACGCATATTGGCTATAGCTAGCTAGTTGTGTAGTTGGTGCAACATGAATACAGCTATCATCACTCACGCTCGCTGAAACTCGTTCCACCTCTAACGCAAAGCCATGTTCTCGACGTCTCTGTTGAAGTCGGGTGTCGTCAGCTCCGGCTTAAGGAATGGCTTGGAAAAACGGTAGGACCAGCCAGATCTGTCCCCATTCTCATTCTCTTCATCTGTGTTCTTTTCTTTGTCAACCTCGACGTTTGCTGTTTCGGTTTTCCGGTCGCTGTTGATGGTGATGTGGGACAATCGTGTAATCACCCTGCCTAGTGTCCTGCCAACAGGTGACTCCATAAGAGTAAGACTTCGCTTTTTGGCCTTCGATGTTCCGACATGGAGTTCCTTCTTTCCCACCCCAGAGTTCTCCAATGCTGGCTCATTCAACTTGTCTGGTGTGCTTACACTTCGCTGAAGAGAAGGTTCCTCCGCAAAATTTCCAGGACTCATGTTCGAATTCACTTCGGAGATCCTGCTCAGCTGCGCACTTGATCGATCTTGCACAAAGACTCGATCAACAACATTTCTCACTCCATCTTGGTAGAACCATCTCTTTTTCAACGACATTGGGACCTCTTGGGCATTGGAGCCTAGGATCGAGCTGTGAACTGCAAGCCGCACTCCACGGTTGGAGAGACGACTCCTCAGGGAATCGTCACTTTCGATCCTTCGGATATAGTTGCTAGCAGGAAGGACGTCTTCAACAAGGGGGGTGTCAACTCCTGTAGCCGAGGACAAGTTCCGTCCATGGGCACCAGGCTTGAAGGACGGCACAGGGTCTGTTGTTGCTGCTGATGAACTAGATGTGCTATGTTCATGTGATTTGTTCGTAAATCTGTGCAGTTCTGATATCGCTTTTCTGCTCGCAAAGACGGATTCGAGTATGGCCCGATCCTCTTGCAGAATATGAGGCGACGATTCGGCCAGACGGTCAGGTGAGCTATAGCAAGTTAGAATGAAAATTCTTCCCAGGCCCAGAACTACATGCTTACTTTTGTGTGCCGTACGATTTGCCATGGTGAAGGACCATCCGCATGACAACGAGTGCGGTCTTGTTGGCCTCCAGGTGCTTTTGTACCTTGCTCACGTATCGCTTCTTCTGCAACCAACCAACAGTACTCTGTTTTGGCCCATCCGCCTTGTGCATTTCACTGCAGCAGTCTGCTATGTCTTCGAAGATCCCAGCCAGGTGAGTGCGTATCTCATCCAAGTCTTCATCAAACGCTTTGGTATACTGCTCCTTATTCGCACTAACCGCGCTATCGAGGGTCCTGAGCTCGGTGGCAAGGAGCATGAGCTCCAACGCGACACTTGCGATGCCTGTAGAGGTACTTTCATGACCACAGCCGTGACGCAGTTGGTTGAGTCCTCTCGATAACGTTTCTGCTTGGTCTGCGAGGTCTCGATGGCCTTCGCAAGGTATTTCACTCGAGGATTCTGCCATGATTGTGAAGTGCCATCAAGAGGAATCACGCATATTCTGTGATTGATTGCGTACCAGGTCAGTATCCGTCGTCGTATTGATGCCGAATATAGACCCTGGTACAAGCTTAGAGTGGGGTTTGAGGATGGCGAGATGATGTGGAAGGAAGAAGGAAGAATGTAAAGGTAAAGGTGAAGGTGCAGCCTTCTGTTATCGGCTGGATGTAAAGGAAGAGAAGTTACAATACACTTGCTCATTTCAAGCTCCTAGGGCGCAGTGATAACTGGATGCAGCAAGCCACTGACTTTACACAATTCAGCCATTGTGTGTGAGTCCATGCTGTACTCAACTCACTGACCGCTCAGTCAATCCTCCCGACACAGGTCCAGCAGTTCCCAGCTTCCTCATTGTACTCCTTCCACTTCCTATCACATAGCACTTTGGCGACATGGTTGCATACCCCCAAAGCGTTGGACTTTGCTTGCTGCAGGAGCCAACATCAATTTTAATAGTACCAGGCGTCCTTGCGGCAAAGCTTGCAGCTGATGTTGATAGCAGTGTAATGGTCGTGGCCGAGTGTGAAGTTCCACTCACGTTTGCAACCAGCACAGCGGCCTGACTCATTGACATCTGCCACGAATTGCTTGAAAGCATATTTCAGATCATCCAACTGGTCTTTCAGTTTCTCCTTCTCCTTCTTGAGAGCGTTCTTGAGCTTTTGATGGTCTGCCTTGTGCTGCTTCAGAGCCAACTGGACATCTATAAGCTGCTTCTTTAGTTTCTCTGCATCTTCAGCAGCGGTGTCAATCTTGGGCTGATTGTCTGCTTTTGGAAGGTTGCTCTCTTTGGTCTTTAGATTTGAGACCTTGGCCATGAGCAAGTCCATTTGCAGAGACTTGTTTAGTCTTTCGAGCAACTCCGCCTTGGCTGCAGAAGCAATTTCATTCACCTGTGCTGTTTTTAAAGCCTCTTTCACGGTTTCCATATCCTTTTTGTATGTATTCTCGGAAGACGTGCATTGGCCTTTGAGAAGCTCGATCTCGCCTTCGAGTGCTTTGGCTCTCTGCCTGTTCTGTTCGTTTGTTTCGTTCAACCGATTGCGTTCAGTTATCCAGTTGGGATGGAGCTGGGCGAACAGGTCGAAGGTGGTTCGGTCCAAATCCTTCATGAGCCTGGACAGGGAGAGGTCCATTCCTAATGCCGGAAAGAACTTTGCGTAGAGACTGAAGAATGGCTTGACAAATGCCTTTTCCTTCCGCAACACCAAGTCTGCTATCTTATGCAGATCTTCAGAGAGAGGACGTCCCAGCTGTAGCTCCTTCTCGAACCATGCAAGAACCTTTTTCATGGCCAATGCTTCCAAAGAAGTGATTTTTAGCTGCTGAGCTGCTGCGAAGATGTCCAGCTCTTGGGAAACCTCGGTGGGAGAATTGCAGGACTTTTCATCGTAAAGATCCTTCATCACACGTTGTTTCTCCGTCAATACAGACCATTTACGAGTGTTGCTGATCATATCCAGTTCCGCCGAAGGAAGGCCGTTGTCTGTTTTGGCTATAGGTTTGCCAATCACAGTTCTCAGGAATCTGTCAGTATGAGGAAATGTGCGGGCGAAGTATTCCAGAGGTGGCGGAAGCCATTGAGGGCCAGCTGGACGCAGGAGTTCCGGGAACCCAGAGATATCCCCACAGTAGAGAAACGCGAGGATCTTGCGAAAGACGGTCAAGGGGACATCGTCGTCCACAAGGTAAGCCTCGCCATTGAGGAACTATGATTCTCCATTAGAACGGTAACACCAAAGTATAGGACACTCTGAGAGCCTCACCGAAGAGTTACACGCCTCAGTCTTCAACACGGCTGATTGAGGGCCGATGACTGCCTTGTGGACGAAGAAAAACTCTCCTTGGCAGATGATGATGAGATCGCAGCCTTCGGCAGTGGTGAACAGTTCTCGTAGAGTAGCCATGTTTGCGAGGGAGGTCAGTAGCGGTGATGTTTGTTGTAAGTGGAATGCGTGTTGCTGAAGTTGGGGCGAGGTGCGCAGATGTAAAGAAGGCTGCGGAAACCACTGCGAAGTTTCCTACAATGCGGGTTGTGTCCTTTTGCCAAATAATCACTCCTTAGCACTCCTTTCGAGACTGCACAGGCGACAGCCATATATACCTGCACAGTATTCACTGAACTTTAACAGAAAAGCATGGAAATACAAGTAGTCAATGCCAGCAGGTACGGGCCATCAATTCAGCAAAAATCTTCACACCTCACAGCTTTCAGTCACCAAACAAGTCCTCTAGAGTCTGCAACATTCTCTTCTGGAGTTCGCGCAATTCACCCCTATCAATCCTTCCCTTCGGTGCCCCAGCCTTCTCGGGGCCTTTTTCGAGGATCACCAGATCATGCTTGATGGCATAGAACGGCACACCAATGGCTCTCAGCTGTCTGTCAAAATCCGATGCCATAGCCGTAAGTCCTGCATACACCTTCTTGTCATAAGTCTCTAGCTCAGCTTGATTTGCCGCAGGGTCAGAAGGAGGCATCGGTACCTCCTTTCCGCCTAAAGACTTTAACAGCGCCGCCACCTGCTGTGAAGTGCCAGACCTTCCTTGCTGCCTAGCCACTATGCCTTCTCTACCTGCCCACCACTGACGCTCGTGCTTGTGCTGTTCGGAGATGAGGTGCTTGAGGCGCCGGGAAGCTTGCTCATTCGGAACTAGATGGCGGGTAACGTGCTTGAGTGCTGCTGGCCACGTAGTGATGGTCGACGCGTCTGGCACCGTGGGAGTCAAGGACGTACTCGGGATATCTTCTGATCGAGCAGTGCAATTCAACTGTGGAGGAGTCGTTGCTTGATGTCGAAGAACAGGAGGAGGAGTGATTGCCCTCTCCTGGGGCTCTGGATCAGCAAGCAAGTCTAGCCCCGGTAGCACGGAGGCATGCGAATTTGCGTTGGAGGACAAGTCCGTACTGAAGGCGCTCGCCTCTGGAGGGATAGAGAGAGGCGGAGCATAAGTATTCAAGGCTGCAAGGATCTTCTGCAACTCCGGATTTCGTTGACCATCCATTCTTAGGGCCGGGGACTGGTCGAATGCTTCAAGTCTTCCCGACACCAAGGCACGACTCCATGGGGGCAAGCAATTACTAGTCGCTTGCTGCAGAGTGAGATTTAGTCAACTAAGAGTCAGACAAGTGCCGATCAACAGCTGAACATTGCAACGAGAGCGAGAAGTATAGGGTCTAGGTTTAGTGAAGTTGGAGTTGAAGTTGAAGTTCGAGTTGTCAAACTCCAGCCTCTTGGCACCATCTGCGCCGCGGGAGCCAGTTAATTAGTACATACACTCGGGTATAGAGCCGCTCTCACTTTCTTTATTCTCTGACAACCACCCGTCCACGTAAGGGGGTATATATGGCGGCGCAGCCCTCGGCTTTGTCGCCTGCCTAAGGTGTACCTATACCTAATGTCCCGAAGGTGCATATGGCTCCCATATGCTCGACCCCGGTTAACTCCAGTCATAAATTTGGTCGCATCTTTAGAGACAAGACCCGTCAGACTGCAGGCCTCCTCGAGCTGGAAGTGACACCGCTAGTGGGAGTATCTTGGAGGGATTGTTCATACAGAGGCTACGGTTGTGGGGCCTGCAACAACAATGCGAGTATCACAGCCAGGAAGATACCATTGCGGATGCGATACTAGCAGTACCTTCGACGAACTCTCAGCCCGGAGCATGCGGCGGAGGTCGATAAATTAGCAGATATGATAGGATCTAATAAAGCCTGCGGAACATCGAATGCCTGTTTTAGCATTCGCTTCAGTATGGAGTCGGAACCAATGACATTTACTTAACGACCATCTCGATGGTGCTACTCGACAAGCGCAAAAGGCAGCCTGGAGATAAACACTGTGGCCCTTCACTGTCACTGGACCTGATGGCAGCAGCAGATTCTGCTGCACCACTTCACTGTTTCCGAGTCCTGCACATGGCACAGTCACAAAAAGAAAGAAAAAAGGGACAAAAAAGGAGAGCGTACTCTACCAGATTCGAACCCCAACCTCACTTCGTGAATCCAAACCACCAAAAACTCAACCCCCGGAACCCAGCTACCCGTTGTAGCTGAGGTCCGAGGGTCGAGAAACCTCTCCGTTACCAGAGAAGTTTTTTGTCCGATCGTATTCGTCAGGTTGCCTCCTACCATAGGTACTCGGATGAGTCCATGAATGGTAGGGACCTTCGACCCTCGTCCGTAGTCTCAATACCGCTACCCACCGGTAAAGTGGAAGGTGCATTGCTTAACTCAGAGTCAGTCCAGTCAGGGGTCCGCCTCTAGGATTCACGGCTTCGCCCAAGAGCAAACTGTCTCATATCTGGTGGCCACACCCTCACGCCTCAGCTAGCCTAGCAGTTGTGGAGCTAGGGCCGAGACCCGGGATAGATATGAGAATTGTTGGGAAGAATTGCGCACATATAAAATATATGGGAGTGATTTCGAGTGAAGTGAGGCTGGCCAATCAGACGCGAGACCTAGCAAGGGGTACGGCAGTATCCTAAGGGATTCACTGCATTTGATAATGGTACTGGTACTTGGAGCCCCTTGGATTTACTCACTTGGCACCGGTGCTGTTAACGGGCCAATGGTCCATTCTCCAGCCCAAGCTGGTGCTTTGCCCTTGCACTCCATCGACAGTAGCCGCTCGAAGGGCGTCGCGGTTTGCACCTTTCGAGTCACATCGTGCTTGGTATGACAGCGAGGAGGTATAGTCCATGTCAGGGATCAGGCGCAGGCCAGGGCCTCGACGGACGTGATATACAGCAATACTCCCGCTTCGGAGGTCGGGGAACATCTCTGCATCCTGTGAAACACGACCATAGGTCACCGAACCAAATCGACGAGAGGATATGCCTGGTACGTGGATGAGTGGTCAGGCGATTGACAAGGTGACACGCAGATCCAGCGCCTCCTTCCAGTCTCTGGGGAGCTATTGGCATTGCATCTCTTGCTATTGCTTTTGAGCCATCGCATCGACACGGAAGATGGCAGCTTGATGTATCCCGGCAGATACAGGCATTGGGGCATGGTCAGTATCTCAACGTGGCTTATCGGAAGAAGATGCCGACGACAAGATAGCCTGAATCAGAGATACTGTCCCTCACAGCACACATCAGCTGGACGATTGTCGATGGCGAACTCCGGCCTGCTCCTTGTGTTGAAAGAAAACGTGCAGCCTTGGAGCTGTTTGAGACTTTCTTGTTCCAGTCTAAGTCAATTGGACGAGCCGAGGCCGGAAACGAAGAAAGAAGTCCGTTTAGGCATGTCCAAGCTGCTCTCGAAGGTATCGAGGACGATTTGCCCAATGATATGCGTGAAATGGAGGTAGGCTATCGGTCCCGATCGTTACAGGTCAACGAACAGGATGCCGGGACAGTCTGCCAATGATTCCAGTGTGCGACTAGACATCCCTGAGGTATGAAGACCTTGGGATATGAAACTCGAGGTCAAGTTGAGCTCTGTTGCGAGGGATATCGATTGTCGGAGTACAGTATGCCCAGGCTCCGCCACGATGAGACAGGATTGCATATCTTGCAAGGAGCACATCCGGTAGAAAGCATACTTCGGGCGGATGGATGGCTTAGTGTGCCATAGCACACGGCAAGATAGGCCATCTAGCAGAAAAGATCGAAGGTTGCCCAACTCCTACGACGGGAGGATTGATGAGGGACAAACTACGGATAGGTACCTATACAGCATTATTGTGGCGGTGGTGTGACAAAACCCTTGTGCCAAATCGTGTATCAATACCGTATCGTAACGTCTTGCTGGCGGCCAGGATGGAAGCTTCAATACCGTACCTAAAGTTCAAGTTCCCAAAATCTTCATTTATCCACATCCACCATCGACGGCATCGGGAGACATCTGCCTGAATCTGCACCCTCTTTTGTCCATTATCCGACCCGTGTATTCTAATTCTACCTTTAGACTCTCAATGGGAGTCGTGTAGCACCACCTCCTTCTTGTCCGTCCTGCACCTTGTGCCCAATGAAAGCGTTCCCATCGACCATGTCCCGTCGACCTCCGTCCGACGCCTTCACCCGCTTCACCTCGACAACACCGCACGCTATGCAACGGCCTGCAACCACATTCACCTACCAGCCAGCGTCGCGGCCGGCGGCGGACCCTCGACTCTCGCCATCGTCCTCTTCATCAAATCCTCAACCGCCTCGTTCTCAGGGTCATCCTGGCGAAACGCCACAAGAAAGAGTTGCGCGTCTACGAGCGGCTGCCAGAGCCGCAAAAGAACAAGCGGCCTACTCACCAGTGGAACGCGTGATTGAGGTGGGCCGCCGCTGGGCGGACCGCGCCCACCGCTTCACCACGTATGGATTGCTTCTGTTCGCAGGCGTTTCCACCGTCTTTGCCGTTTATGGGACCACCAGCCTGATCGCCCACAATCGCCGGCAGAAACGGGCATGGATTGAGCGTGAGCTAGACCGGCTGGACGCGGCCCGTCAGGCCTTCCTACGTGGCGAGGCCAGCGCCGAACAACTGCACCTCTTGGAACAGGAGCGCGCGGGCCAAGAGATGGACACGGCGAGGAAACACGAGGCCGAGAGAAAGAAGAGCGAGAGTTACTGGAGCAAGCTCAAGGGACTGGTTGGTGTGCAGATGGCTAAGGGTGAGATGGGCCAGGAGACCGAGTCGCAGAAGTTGGAGAGAGAAGCCAGACGGGCCAGGTGGCAGCAGCCACAAACAGCGGAACAAGGATTTGTGGAAGGCGAGGTACGACCGGTGACCGTTGCACAGAGTGGTGTCAAGGGTGTCGGCGTCGACTCCAAGGGTCGACCGGTCCCGGCGAACACAGTGGAATATGTTGCCAGCCACGGCGAAAACGAGAGGAGGAGCGAGGGGATTGAAGCCACGGTGCACACGGGAGCCAGAGGCGGTCCACTGGATGTCCTCGCCGACAATGTTGCGGAGGCCGTTAAACCCTCGACTGAAAGCCGAGGATGGTTGAGTTGGTTCAGAGGCAGCAAATCCTAGCGGTAAGACAGTTGGGCAAGATGTGCGCTTGTATACAAGGACATGAATTGTGCCTTGATTGAACTAATGGCGCATGTGTGGAATGCTTGCGCCACTGGTCTCAAAAGCAGACCGATTCCTGTAATAAGACAAACCCCCAAACCTCCAGAAGTGTACGAATGACAGCGATGAAAAGCTCTAGGTCATGCATGCAGTTCCTTCTAATACAACAGCTTGTCATCATGCTCTCATTATTCTTCGTCGTCGTCGTCGTCATCATCATCGTTCTCATCATAGTCTACACCCACGGTCTTGTTTCAGATCATGTCCACAGTATATGACTGTAATGGCCTGGGACCTTTTGGACGCACTTGTCACAACCGTTGAGAAATCCCATATGGAGTTTCGCCGTCCTCGAACGGCCAGGACTCGAATTTCTATTGACTTGAGCTCCATGTCTCTCCATGAGTCGAGATTCAACGGCGTTATTCCCATACACGTGTCGATCATCTGGGCCATTGTTTGCTTGGTCAAGCATCATCACTGTATCCATTTCCTGGTCTTCCGTCGGACTGGGCAGCCCATCTCTGCTGATCCAAGATTCTTGTTCAAACATCGGGCTGAGGTTGGTGTGCACTGGCGGAAAGTGATGCCGTGAGACGCCGGGCAAGTCATTCATCCGATTGTCGAAATGGCTACTGATCGGAGTGGGGACCCTTTCCCTGTTGGAGATGTCGATGGTGCTGAGGAAATTCGAGTCGCGATATGGAGCGATGATATCGTTGGATCGGGCTCTTCGTATTTTGGGTTGAGAAGTCGAGCTCAGGTTAAGTTCCATCTCAACATCAACGGGGTCTGCATAATCTGCTTTGATTGAAGACATGCTACAGTTGCCATCGGGCCGACGATCGTCCATTGAAGAGGGCCGGCTAGACCAGTCATGTTCGTCCCTTAGATGCCCAGAACTTTCATCGTCTGAGGTGTCCACTGGTGTTGGGGGTTGTTGGTAGATTGAAGTGAACATCGGAAAGGTTGGAGGAACGGATATTTGCGGACGCGATGGTGACGGGCGGATCGGCAAAGCATGGGTCGACCTTCTTTTTGCATCCCGGTTGAGGAAATCATGACCGAGATCTTCATGTCCTCGTTTTCGCTTGCAAGGAGCAGCGTCAAAATAACAAGCAGAATGCACATCGGCCATGGCTGTTTCGGCGGGGACGAACGGATTGGGACAGGACATGATGTGCCTAGCGATATTGAGCGAAGGTCAATGTCCTCTTTATCTGTCCAAGGACATGTCAAAGCCCCGAACAAAAGGGGAGTCGATCAAACGGTGGCAGTGTCGGGAGTTGACGAGGATGGGATGATGAAACATGAACAATCTCAACCAGGACCAACCAGGGCGCGTCGTTGAGCAGAAGCGACCAGATGCGACCAGATGAGGATGCCGGCTTGTATGACGCGATGTTCGGGATGTCAGCGATCCGGAAAGAGGACTGCAAAGCTGTGACAAAAACTCATATCATGAAGTAAAGGGATGCTGAATACGAAGTACTGGGGGAGGAATGAAAGGGAGAGGGTAGGCGGAGTACTAATGCTAGTGGTACAGAGTACTCGTACTGCTGGTAGGTAGTGGTCATGCAGTCTCTCAGGTACGCAGTGCAGTGGTGAGAAGGAACCAATTAACGTATTTTGGAGAAGGAGCAGGGGGGTAAGGCTCGAGGCGCAGGCGCAGGCGCAGGCGCATACAGTCTCCTCCGCCTCAGCCACCACCTGCCACCTGCCACGACCACGACCACAAAAAGACGTAGCCACACGGTAGGTATTACGGTACCATCACGTGCTAGTAGTCCAGCCTTCTCTCTCACCGCCTTGACCTCCAATTTTTTCTGCCCCCATCTGACTCCCAAAACCCATCTTGTGTCGGTGTGAATCATACACATATGAACTTACATTATTATTCCACTCAAGAGTAGCTATTTCTCACCAAGTTGCCCAGAAGCCTTCTGTCTAGGTCTCATCCGTACTGTGGTCTCCTAGCCTCGCTCCGCCTTCCCCTCAACTACCGTGTCTCTCTTCGTCGTCCGCATAACTCAACATGCCCGCCGTTGACGCCCCCTCTTCTGTCGAGGTCGCCGAGGACGTCCGAGTCCTAGGCTACGACCCTTTAATTTCGCCAGCCCTCCTCCAGAATGAGGTCCCAGCCTCACGAGCCTCCCTAGAAACAGTCGCTCGAGGCCGAAGAGAATGCAAAGAAATCATCCACCAGCGCGACGACAGACTACTGGTTATGGTCGGCCCCTGCTCCATCCATGACCCAGCCACGGCGTTAGAGTATGCCGAGCGGTTGAAGACACTCGCCGAAAAGCTCTCCTCGGAGCTGTGTATCATTATGCGAGCATACCTTGAAAAGCCCCGCACAACCGTCGGCTGGAAGGGTCTGATCAACGACCCGGACATTGATGAATCCTACAAGATCAACAAGGGCCTGCGAGTGTCGAGACAACTCTACGCTGACCTGACCAGCATGGGTATGCCAATTGCAAGCGAAATGCTCGATACCATCTCCCCTCAGTTCCTAGCCGACCTCATCTCTCTCGGTGCCATTGGCGCCCGCACCACCGAGTCACAACTGCATCGCGAACTTGCTTCTGGTCTCTCCTTCCCTATCGGCTTCAAGAACGGCACCGACGGCTCGTTAGGAGTCGCCATTGACGCTGTAGGCGCTGCTGCCGCCAAACACCACTTCTTAGGTGTGACCAAACAGGGCCTCGCTGCCATCACGAAAACAAGTGGCAACGAGGATGGATTCGTCATTCTGCGTGGTGGCTCTAAAGGTACCAACTACGACGCCGAGAGCGTCAAGGCTGCAAGAGAAGCTCTCAAGAAGAAGGGACAAAGTGAAGTCATGATGATCGACTGCTCGCACGGCAATTCTAAGAAGAACCACAAGAACCAGCCACTCGTTGCTCAGACAATCGGCGACCAACTGAGACAGGGCGAAGACGCTATCGTGGCTGTAATGATCGAGTCGAACATCAAGGAGGGCAACCAAAAGGTCCCCCCTGAGGGTGGTCTCGCGAATCTCCAGAAGGGTGTCAGCATTACCGACGCCTGCATCGACTGGGACACCACTGTCGACGTGCTGGAGCAACTGGCCGATGCTGTCCGGGCGAGGCGACAGGTCAAGGCGAAGCAGCAGAACGGCGCAAACGGCGTGAATGGGCACCACTAGGTTGGTGAACAATCGTCGCCTGGCGCAGATGCAGCTTGTCGAGTTGTTTCTTTGCTGACGAGTTATACAAGTTCGATAACGGGTCTGATGTTTTTATGGCAGCCAGCTTCCTCATGTTCCGTTGCGTTTGGGGATATTGTGTGCACTGGGATGGAGCAGAGGGATCTAAAAGTCGAATAAAAGCTACAACAGGGGTCTTATGTTAGATTCGGCCTCGCCTCAACTTGGTCGGGAAATGAATGTTCCATGTGAGATGGCGGCGCTGAGCATGGACTCGCATGAAAGAACACCAACGCACACATGCTGAGAGGGAAAATGGGTCGGTCCATCTAAAATTATATCTCATCAATACATCCATGCTCACTCATGAGATTCACGGAGAAAGCATTTCCCGACGACTGTGTTATGCTCCCTAATAGCTTGCAGCCCATACCGTGCTATGCGGCCTTTTGTCCATCCATACTGATAATCACGCCTACTGTGACAGGTGTTAACTCTGCAACCGGAGCTCCTCCATTGCATTTTGGTCCCTTTCCAGGCCTGATCGAGTCCGTCTGTCCGTCGTTCCGTTCCCAGCATGTTTGATCCATATTCGCCGTCGTTACCAAAATGAGCACCATCCAATGTAGTGCTGGCACAAATTCTCCACGTTTGTCGCTTGAAGGATTAGTCGATCCACTTGCTCGGCCACCCCGAGTCCTCCAACGCCCGCCATGGTCGTTTCAGGTGTTGTGCCGGCGATGGAAACCGGCTTGTTGGGCTCTCCGCCAATGCCGGTTGCGTTGTTCATGGTTCCACCATTGACATTCATCAGAGCTTCTAGACCGAGGCCGTGCAGGTCGGCGGCCAAGCGAGCGACACTGGTCCCAGGAGCGGCAGGCTTAAAATCGCGGCCAGTCAACTTCTCCTTGACGCGAGCAAGAACCTGAAGAGCACGAGCGTTTTGGACTTCCTTGGCGTCAGGGGCCGTGGTGTTATTGTCCAATCCCTTCGTCGCATCAAGGATGCTGCCACCACCACCCATAGCCGGATCCAGGATGCTGCTGCGTCGGTGCCGGCGGCCTGGCGGTGCGCCCACGTGGCTCTGCGATGTGCCAGCTATCATGGCTGCAGGATTGTTGGCCGTCTCCATCGGACTGCGGTCGTATTCGGCCCCGGGGGCTCCAGGAGCGTCGATGATGCTCTGTCTGCGTTCGGATCGGAAGTGTGGTCTCGGGGGAGATTCACGAGTGTTGAGTCGCCAGTTAAGCAACGGATCGTGTATGAATGCTTCCAGCACAGCGAGGACAGACTCTTTGTTTTCGCGAATAACCCGCATGACATTTTCGCAGGTGATTCTGAACGAGCCTTCGATGTTGCTGACCTCCATAGCAAAGGTAAGCATCCGGGTAAGTCGGAAAGGCACTCGTTCCGGGTATTTCTCCCGATGCATTGCAACCTCGAAGCAGTCGCCAAAGTCGATATGAATGATCTTACCAGTGATCCGATCGAGCATGAGATTCGAAGGATGACGATCGCCCAACCCGAGGATGTAGCCGACCATGGACATCACGGCCAAGGAACGGGTGTAGTTTGTTCGTCGATCTAGCCAGGCCTCAGAGCTCTTGGATTTGAGCCACAATACACGGTACAGGTCCTTGCCCGTCGTGTTGTCCATTGCATACCCAAATACCTCAACCTTCTGCATAAGTGTGAGATTGTCATAGTCGGGGGCCATTTGCAACATGATCCGGTGCTCAATGTTGAGCAAGATGCGGCGCGATTCTCGATATTCTTTCACAAGGTTGTGGAGGGTGTCGGAGTTGGGCACCCAACCCAGTAAACCAGAATTCTGTGACAGAGGGATGGCCGGGAAACGCTGGATACTGAGATGACGCTTGAAGCATTCAGTGTCGTTGGTGAGAAGCGTATTGACAAGACCGAAGAGCTGCATTACCCGTTCGTCTTGACGGATATCTTCGTGGCCCTTCAGGACAAAAGCATACGACACACCGTCAGAGCCCTTCAGGGTCATTTTCCGTGGGCGCTGCTTGGAAGGTATGACAGTGAGGACATGGTCGAAGCTGATAATCCTGATAATTGGCTTGCCAGACTGGTAGGTGCCGGGAACAGCAAGGTCGAGGTCATGTGCATCCTTCAGCCGGGGCGAGACGTACTTGAGGTCGAGGCTCATCAGCTGGGGCAGCTGGCGAGCAATCTTACGGAAGACGGCGTAGTACAAATCCCAGGCCTGGTTGAGATCACCGATTTCCTTTGACCGGCGAAAAGCGTTGCAGAAGGATCTGGCTTCAGCGAGATCGTGGCCGAATGCCTGGGCAAATGATATCTCCCTGAGGGTTTCAGGCCCGCGATCAAGCAGCTCATGCAGAGGGGCGAGCGTGGCAAGCATTCCTTCCACGTCGTGGTCACCAAAGTAAAGCCGGGAAGCTTCCTCGAGACCCTCATGCCAAAGCTCATGCCAGAGTACAGCCACTCGGATGAGTTCATGGCTGACGAGATCGGCTTGCTCAACAAGTCTTGGACTGTGCACTTTCATGCTGTCCATGATTTGAGTTGCCGAGTTTGCGCGACGTGCAACCGACGACTTCATCGCGACAGTCAGAGGATAAACGAGTGCTTGTGGGTGAGCCTTGCCGACTTCTGCCAATAGCCGGTGCACAGCCGCCCGAACTCTCGTGTTGGGCTGATTGATCCTGGCAATCAGTTGCGGGATGACTTCCAACCACGTGTCGATGCTGACCGACGCAAAGCCTTCGGTGACGATTTGGTTGACCTCGGTGTGGCCGCCGTGCGCGAACCAAAGCGTCAAGAGTCGTAGCGTGTCTTGCAAAGAGCTTGTTTTGGACAAGGCGATCGATCTGAAGAAGCCTCCTATAGCAGGCACAACGTGATTCTGAATCACATGCTCCGGGAGACTGCGCACCTTCTCCTGGTCGGTGTGTGATGCCATGGAAGTGACCACCTCGAAATTGGCCAGAGCAAAGGCATGCCACGCTTTATACCAAGACACGTTGTACTGTGTTGCAGCGTGATATGAGTTCAGGATGTCTCGCACGGCCTCCTGAGCTCGAGGGCTCGTCCAGTCACCTCTAAGAAGGTAGGACTGCCATTCTCCTTGTCTCAAATAACATTTTGCCAGGAGCTTTGCGCATTTGTCCAACTCTTCGTGTTTCCGCCTCTGAGCGATTGTGTCATGGCCATTCATTTCAAGTCCGTTCATGCCACTCAGCCTCTCAGTGTGCATGCCAGTAGCCAGGGCAGTATTGGCCTGTTGAAACTCATCGGCAAGACGCATCGTGAACTCACGGAGATACGACAACGCCTGCTGTTGGTTCCCTGTCGCCCAGTTGAACTTGAGGCGGGCATACGCGACAGGAGGTGGCGCTGCACCTGCTCCGGCAACGAAATCACTGACGCCCCCCAGAGAGGCCAGAGATCTTTCTGCCAACCCGATCCGATCCGATTTTCGACACAGGTTGGCAAATTTAATCCAAATTTCAGGATTGTCAGTCGGAGTAAGCACAAGGGCTCGTACCTTGAGCATTCGCTGCCATACCTCCACGTTTGACTGGCAGCCCAGCAGCCTCTTGTTCCACAACATCTTGAGAGAATTCTGTTTTTCAGACAGCCCCTCACTTTGCTTGTAGACGATGATTTCCTCGAGCTCGGCAAGCATCTGCGTTCGGACAACTACACCATAAGCTCGATTGTAAGACTCGCCGATCGTAGCGGTGATCTCTGAATTGACGCCGTCCCGAGCGCGGACAATGAAGTTATGGGCTTCGCCAAAGTTGTTGCGTTGTATGGCGAGAATGGCGCCGAAGAATGCGCGATCAGGAGAGCTTTCCTTCATGACACTGATGTAGTTGTCCATCAAATCCCATTCGCCCCGGCCCCATGCTGCAGCTGCAGCCAGAGCTGACATGTTCTTCCGATTTTCTTGAGTTGCGCTGTTCCAGTGTTCTTGGGCAATTTCCGAGAGCATTTTCCATTCACCCAAAGCGTGTAAGCAACGCATCTTGCCCATGACGATATCGAAATTGTCCGGCTCAACTTTTTCGCGTTTCTGATATGCGGCCAATGCCTCTTCCCATCGCTGCAATTTCTCGAACCAGGCTTCTTTCAGCTCAACTTCGCCAAAGACTTGCGCCCTACGCAATATCCCAATGGCTGCGTCGGACTGTTGTAGCTGGTTGTTGATGCTGATTAGAGCCTCAACGCTTTGACTGTTCTGGTCCTGTTCGAATTCAAGCTCCTTGTAATGTAGCGCTTTAGCGAATGCATGGCACTTGGCGGCAAATCTTCCAAGTGTCCGTATGTCAATTGGCAGCGATTTGTCGTCGTGTTCCATGAATTCGGCCAGATTGAGCAGTGTTTGAAGAATATCGGGGGGGATATTCGTGGATGTCAATGCTTTTTCAATCGACCGAATGAGCTCTTCCTGATACTGGTCGTAAAGCTCTGTCCAGCACGAGACAAATGCAGAATTGAACAAGTCCTTGGCCAACGGCTGATAGACCGTAGCCAGACTGGCGCATGCCCGCAAAGCATGTGATGGAGATTCCTTCAAGAGTTCAACGCTGAATCTTCTCATCCACTCCTGCCAGTCCTCCTTCGTTGATTTCTGAGACGTGTCCCAGGCATTCTTCAGATGCTGTTGGTTGACAGGCAGTCGCATAGACGTGATATTCGAGTATGACGTATCCTCTGCTGGTATGCCATATTGTTCTTCAGGATAGAAGTCAACAGGTAATGTTTTTCCTGTCTTGAAGTTCTCGATTAACTTCTGAAAGCGTTCCGAATTGATTTGGCCAGCTTTGGTGGCTCGTTCAACAAGCGACAGATAATGTGCGAAATCTTGTCCTAAATGATAGATTAATGCACAGATACAATCCAGAGCTGCAGCTTTGAGCGAACGCTCCGCGGAGTTAGTGACGACCTTCTCTGGGGACGCCAGTATTTTCGCAAGCGGATGGATCATGAGCGAGGCGAAGTCGGTCACATTGGCGGTTCTGGACAGTTTTCCCAAGGTATCTATGGCAGCCCGCCGAGCATTTGGAGGCGCAGCTGGGTTTTCGAAGATGCCAACAATTGCTGGGACAATCATATGCATGTATTCTTCGCCGCTGGAGCCAAAGACCAAGAATGTATGCAGGATGCGGATAGATGCCTCTCTTCTCAAGTCTGTATCGTTCTCAATAACCGCGAGCATGAGCGGCAAGAGGCCAGCCAAGTATCTGCGAAACTCGCCCTCCAGAGACATTGAGATGGCTTCGATCAATGACAAGATGGTCGACTGAACTTGCCTTGATGTGTTCCAAAACTCTCTAATCACCTCGATGATTTCAGGCAGGAAAGCTCGTATGTGCTGGCGCACGATGTTGACAAGAACCGCAAGCTGGTTGAAGTAAGACTCTAAGCGCGTCGGGTGGGAACTGCGAATGACGCTGAGAAACCCCGGGATGATCTGACCCAAAAATGGTACGCATTTCATGCCGATGGTCTTGAAAATGGTCACCACGGCATCGATCACTGCACTATGATATTGGACCAGGGTGTGGTCGGCGAGGATTGTCTGCATCAGGGTGTTGATGACGACAGTTGGATAGTACTCCTCATTCGACGGTGTTAATCCTTGCATGATCAGAGCTACGTCGGAAACAGGTTGTGTCTCGGCCTTGCTCTGTTTTTCCGCGACCGATTCGCTGAGCTGTTGATACTTATAGGGATCCAAAGCGCCCAGGATGCCGACCAATTTGATCGCATCTGTCCGAAGCTTCTCGTGAGCCTCGGTCTTTATCGTGTTGATCAGGATACCGAGCAATTCGGGGTATTCCAGGTAGGGGTCGATCACATATTGAGAATTGACGGCGAGAGAACCCAGCGTTTTCATCGCTGCCTCGCGCTTGTCGTGTGACCCCAGGTCTTGTAGCGCGTCGATGATGATAGGCATGAGCTCGGGGATATGCTTGACCATGGCCTCACCACCAACTGATGTTAAGTCTCCGAGAGCCTCAATTGTCGTCGAGGCCACCCCCGGATTCGAGTCTGTAGCCTTTGGCAAGAGAGCTGACACCATCGCCTCAACATATGTCTTGACTAGAGACGTCGCATTCGATACGAACAAGCTGATCAAGCGGGCACTCTCCTCCTTCTGCTTTGCTGTATTGGAGTAACCAAGGCCAGTAAGAAGATTGACCAGTAGCTTTCTGAGAGGTGGGAACACGTAGGCCGGATTCACCGTGGTCAGCCTGCCAATAATCTCGATGGCGGCTTCGCGCACAGGGAAAACTTCGTCGTTGACGGCCAAGAAAAGACACCTTATGTTCTCGGGCCTTGCCAAATGCTTGTCGAATTTCTTGTCTAGAGCTCGGAGAACCGTCATTCTGATATCAGGATCCGGATCGCCAACCGCCACAGTCAGCAGTTTATCGACGACCTCACTCACGACTTGTATAGCGTTATTGCTCGTCTGATGCAAGATAGGATCCTGCATAAACAGCTGACAGCAAGTCAAAGCTGCCGCACGTCGGATTTCCGGGTGATCATGCGTGGCATAGCGAAGAGTGACGTCCCTCACGAACTCGTTGAGAATATGGCCAGAGAAGTCAAACTTCCCAAGCGTCACAAGGGCAAGGGTGATCTCATGGTCCTTGTGCTCGGCAGGAAAACCACCATAGTCCTTAGCAAATGATGGAAGCGGGGGCGTTGCATTGGCAGGACAGCCCAAGGGTCGGTAAGGAGAATGGACCAGTATCAGACTCAGAAGATCCAATAACATGTCCTGTATCGTTGATCGGATTGGCGGAATGTTGTGCGCCATATCCTCCAACGCGGTCTCCATGGGCTCAGTGAGGCCACAGGCGAAAATGGGATCGAGAAGAGCCTCCATGTACTTGCTGAGGGTTTGTCCCACAGCGCCAGCAAGCATGCTGATGCATTTGAACATTGGTCCTTCATCCACAGCACCCCGGTTCTTGGTCTTTGCACTGAGCGACTCCCGGATATAGAGGATAATGCCATCAAGGTACTGCGCGATGGCACTCCCAACAGCTTTGGCTATCTGGCCAATAGCTAGAAAGGCTTGGTTGCGCTCCTTCTCCCGTTTCAGCTGCGCTTGGAGGTATATCATGAACTTATGCAAGTAGTTGTTGATGAACTCGAGCGGCGCATACTCAGCAAGAACAGGAATGATCTGGACAATCTGCGTGCGGATCCGTGGGTCGCGGTGGTCCTTGAGCCTCAGCACTATCTCGCAAGCATTTCTGTAGAAGTCGTGCATGAACATGTTTCCCTGTTGGAGCAATTCCATCAAGATCAGGAGGCATCCAAGCGTTTCATCGACGGTTGTATTTGGCCGAAATCCTTCCAGAGCCTTGGAGTATATTTTTTGGAACCAGTGAGCCTGAAACTGAGGGTCCCTTGCTACCATGACCCCAAAGCACGCACTCACAGCCTCGGCTCCAGTTCTCCGTATGAGGTCTTTTGGATCCCGAAGTGCGTTCCAGATCAACTCGAAGATCTGAGGGATGAAGCCGTAGACCAGAGTGGGAGAATTCTTGGCCATCTCGCGGATCAACAAGACCGCGGCTAGTTTACGACTCTCCTGTTTGCTCTCCGGTTGTAGCCACTCAAAGGCAGATGTCATTTCAGCTTCGACCAATTCCGCAGTGTAGGCCCCTCCCGGCCGGGCGAGATGTCCCAGTGCCCGACTGGCGACATCCAGGACGGTGTAATCATTGCTCTTTAAGGCGGCGCGTAGATAGTTGGAGTACTTCGAGGCCTTCTGGGCCGCATCCACTGCGTCACTGTCTATGAGACGGTCCAACGCCAGGATTCCGCCCACCTTGTCATTTGGGTCCGGAGCCTGGACGACGAGGTTACTGATGCGTTGGGTGACGCGGTCGTAGAATGCGCTGAATCGTTCAGGTGACCACTCTGTGAAGACAACATGTTAGCAGTGGTATGGGGGATGTACATCGATCGCTCTCACCTCTCGAAACCAGGGTGATGAGGTCCCGCAGCTCGGTCGCAGCCTTGTTCTTGATTTCATCGTTTTTGCTGCGTAACTCGACGAAGATGCGCTCACTTGGGTCTGGACCCTGACCTTGCAACGCCATGATGCAGGATCATGATCCTCCCAAGTTCGCAAGCGCGGAAACAGAGGGCAGAGGATTACAGGATGCGCCTGGAATAGTTACAGCACCTTGTGCAACTAAATGTCCGTCTGCACTTTTGAGATGGAGGTTGGTCCCAGCGGGTGAACTGCCAGTACTCCGCACTACAATTTGGGGAACAAACGGGTGACATGTGACATTGCTTGGCAGCCTATCTAGAGAGGAGTATTTCGACATATAATGCAGGTATAAAAAGAGGCTTATTAGGACATGAAGATGCTTCGCTGCGGACGCCTTTTTAAAATTCCCGTATTCCGTACAGCGGACTGGACGCTACAAGTCAGGCTTGCAGAGGGAGTTAGCCATAATTAGGCTAGGATGCATGTCGAACTTGCGCTTGCCCTGTCGGCGATGTTCAGCCTTGCAAATCAAAGACTACCCGACCTTGAAGCGCATTCTTTTCCATGAGCTTGAAAACCTCTGTGGCATTTTCCAATCTCTCCAGCTTCACACGTGTCTTCACAACCCCTCTATTATCGTGGTCAGTAAAGCAAATGATAGCGAAGAAGGTTGGGGCAGCCTCCGCCTGCCTGCTTACCTTGCAGCCATCTCCATCAGTTGTACAGCCTCGAGCCGGTTCCCGACAGAGCTTCCAACAATACGAGCTGCCAGATTGATGGCCGTCGAAGGTGTCGCATTAGGAATTGGGACTTCTTTGCCCTCCGGAATACCCACACAAACCACTGTCCCACCGATCTTTATCAAGTCCAATGCTTGTGCGTAAGCAGCGTTGCTGGCCGTACAAACCACGACAGCCGCAGCGCCTCTGCCTCCGGTTGCTTTCTTCACATCCTCGGCGAGACTCACGCTGGCGTCCTTGCTGTATTTGGCGATGTCGAAGAATTCTTCTGCTCCACATTCGCGAGAAAGACCTTCCTTGTCGCCCATGTCTATCCCGATCATGCGATAGCCCATGCCCCGGCCGCCGATTTGGAGCGCCAAATGACCCAATCCTGTAAATCGTGACAAGTCATTAACCTTTGAACCAATGCGCACTTTGCTGAGAATCTTATGGGACAAGGGACCTCACCACCACCGGAGCCGGGAATAACGACCCAATCACCAGGCTCGGCGCCTGCCTTCTTCAGGGCAGCATAAACTGTCAAGCCAGCACAAAGCAACGGAGCTGCCATTTCACTTGGCACAACATCAGGAATTGGCGTCACATAATGCGCTGGTGCAAGAGCGTATTCTTGAAATGTTCCAGGGTACAGGTATCTGGTCAATTTCCGCTTAGTAAGAGAGCTTCTCGTCCTTGTTCACTGGCCAACGCCACTTACCCTGAGACCTTCCCAGTTGCGCAATATGAATCAAGACCCTCCAAGCATATAACGCAGTTCCCACAGCAGCTCGCCGTCCACTTGATGCCAACTCGGCTCCCAAGCTTCAGGCCGGATGTCTCAGCAGCGCCAGGGCCAAACGCCACGATCTCACCCACGCCCTCGTGGCCACCTATTTGACCCTTCGGCGTCGGCGCTTGATAGTGCCACCCGTTGGTCATTACGGACAGGTCACTGTGGCACACCCCTGAATGGGTGAGCTTCACCAGCACCTCACCCACGCCAGGTTTTGGCGTGTCGACGAATTCCACTGTGGTTGAGATGTGTCCAGGGTCATTGTAGATGAGAGCCTTGTGCTTTGTTGGTATCACAACCGAGTCCGACATGTCTCCCATATCAACGTGTTCGCGGTTTTCTGGCCAACAAGTCCAGTGGATAATACTGAAGTAGATATTCTTCAAAAACTGACGCACCCAACCAACAAGCTCTAGAGGTAGTTCGACTATGTACCTAGTCTTTCCCGGGATTTGACCGTTTATCGACCTTGGTAAGGTCTTTATCGATCTCAGCGGCACCCTTAACTGTGGTGTTTTTGCTGTCACTAGGAGCGTCTGTATCTGTGGAGCAGCCCAAGGAACGATGTGTTTTAGGGCCTTGTTCTAGCAAACAGCCACTGTTGTGATAAAGTCATGAATGAATAGACAGGGGTCGAGAAGGGCCGGACGATTCTGCTTCCTGAAAGACCCCAAATTGCATCGAGTCAACCATCAAGTAATCGTGCAACTAATATAATAGCAAAAGCCATGGGTAGATAGCTTATCCATGTCCACAGTATGAAAACCTACCTAAATCGTGATAGTCTGACAAGAAGTAAAAGCCCCATCTCGGCGGATATCCTTCACGGAGTTGCACGCCTGTGGGCCGTTTCAGGAAGGAGATCCTCGATCGGGCTAGTGTAAGCCTTGTGCCACTGAGTCAGACTATCTTGTGCCGCTTCAGCCTGCAGAGCACCCGCAGAGCCGGGCTATGTTCTTGGGGGCATTATGCGTGTGCTAGTTGTAGATGCTATGTGTATTGGCAAATCGGTAGACTGCTTCGGGAAAAGGTAGAGCGATATGGCATCCGGTAATGTCCCTCAACTGGGTCTTTAGCAGCAAGCAGCATGCCGTCCGCCGCTCCTCAATCCCTCTCTGCTGAAGTGCGTCAAGCACTGCAGCAATGAGAAAAGGGTAGTAGCAGAAGCAGGGAAGGCAGGCCCCAAAAACACCTTGCAGCTGCTATCATCGTGGCATCCATGTAAGCTGATGTTGGGTGATTTGGAGCCCGTCTGTAGTTAGATTGGAGACCTGCGTCATGCGGTGGGGAGAGCTATGGCAGGGAAGTGCAATGAGTCTTCACGCAAAAGACGTGCCAGAGAGGAGGTCAGTATCACATACCTCTCGTAAACATCGTTGTGCGTTCTGCAAATCTAAGCTTGGAGCTTTCAACACCGATCGGTGATTGCTAGGCATCACTTGGTGGCGGTGCCGAGCAATGAAGATTCATACCCTGGGAAGGGCACAGTCAATCAATGGAGGTAAAGGGGTTGAGCTGCAAAGACAGGACGTTGTGGAGGGCCTATGGAGTTGAACCCCGCGATAGTAGCTGCAGTCAAAGAGTGTGATCTCCGCGTTGGTATCGCGGCAGTCTCTGCTGTGTCTCGAAAATTATGATGGGACCCCTAAGCCATTGTTAGTTCATCTCGAGCCCAGTTTGGGCGAGGGAGCTTGCGAGTGATTCCACTCCAGCCTGCGAAGAAGTCGACGCGAGTTCGGAAGGCCTGTTAGTGAGGTCGTGCTTCGTGTCTTCGGTGTCATCTGGAATTGGGTCAAAGGCAGGAAGGTCTGAATTGGGTTTGCCTGTAATTTTCTCAAGTGAAGGAAGCAGTCTGGAGGTTCGTCTGACTCTGGCAGGAGCTGTTGCTCAATAATCATAGCTAACCCGCTGCAAGTGTGCTTGCGTGACCATTCTTCATCTAATTCTCTCATTTGGCTTTAGCTGCCGCACCCTTTCGTAAGGCAGACTCCCTCGTTTGTAGGTCCGTTTCCATGGCTTCTGGAGTGCTGTAGCCTCCGAGTATGACTGCGTCAGCCAGGCTGATGGATTTGCGAATCGACGGCCCTAATTCAGGCCTGAGGCTCTTCAGACGATTTGCTCTTCTTTCACTCCTAGTGAGTTTCTTGCTTTGGTGTTGTGAACTCTCGCTGGAGGAACTGGAGTCCCCATTCTTCATCTAGCTGTCGTCAAGCTGTGGGGACCATGCAGCAAGCAATATCAACGTACCTTCGTGCCGGACTGTTCCTTTCCAGCACGGGTCTGCTTAGTTTTGGCTTTCTTTGAAGGAGGCGGGGCTTGTGCAGATTCGCGGTTGCCGATGGCAATAGTGCTGGTGAGTATCGGTAGCGCAGGAGCGGACCGGGATGGCGCATTAAGACCAGCTGTGGAGAGATTGAACAACGTCTGTCTTTGAGTGTCATATGTGGTAAAGTTGCCACCAATAAGGCATTCTAACAAGCTGTGGGGCTGTCCCTGTAAACTTCGCTCTTCATAGGCACTGAGTCGGCTCACGAGGGTTTGGTGAGCTGCAGAAAAGCAGTCTATTATGTTGTCGATCAACCGTGTGCCGCCGGAAATATTGTTGTCTGGGCGATTTGGATCGACAATGGTCAAGCGGCCATCTTTATCGTTGAAGACGTGGGGCATATAAGAACTCTGCACGGGTATGTTAGTAGAGTCAGACGGAGAGGTAAATTCTTACCTTATCGACATATCCAGGAGGATCAAGTCGGATCGCCACAGCATCTTTGTCAAAAACGTTACCGTAAAGATTGAAGAACTCGAGTAGGACTTCGCCTAGATTCGTACGTCGTTTTGTCGCCGGCATATGTTGAAGGAGGCTTGTGACCAGACATATAGTAGAGAACCCACCCAAGCCACCTGTAGCCACGTCGTTAAGTCCTCGAATCATGAGAAACTGTTTAACAATGGCCACAATAACTGGCATCGCAGGGTATTGTTTCTTCCACTGTTGGAATGTGTCGATCGCAACGATGCCAGAATCGTTGTCGAAAGACAAGTCAACCTTCAGGCCGCTGATTCTATCAACGAACTTGATAATGGGTACCTTTGCGCCACTAATAACGACGAGTGATCCAGGCTTTGCAATGTTGTTGGTTCGAAGAAATTTAGAGAAGTGTGGCAAAAGCCTTCGACCATCTTCTCGCGTTGGAAGCCGTCCGGGTCTGTAGCTACGCGTGAAATAGACGAGGTCCATGTCACTTGTGGGCAGATAAAGTCCAGCTGCATAGGATCCAAATGCTTTAAGCTCCCCGGGCATGCATTTTCGGAGCTCGGCACTGAGGCGTTGGAAGACACTCCGCCGAACTTGCTCCTCGTAGTCCTTCGGCTTGACCCAATTATAGAAGTCGATGATTTCCTTGTGTAGACTAGACAGGTCAGCTCACGCAGGGACAAATCATCTGGAAACACTTACGCGATGCCAGGAATATCAATCCCGTCAGACATAGTCACCCAAGGTGCCGAGTCTATGCCTTGGACAACTGCCCACCGCTTTTGCACCAATGAGTCTCCGTAGACCTTGCTGTGTGATCTCTTCCCTGGTATTTGACTTCCCACAGTCTGTCCTCTCTTTCGTTTTCCAAGGACTCTATCTTCTGGCAGAACGTCGTCCTCTTTCGACGTTTCCACGCGCATTGCTGCGTCGGATGGTGGAGATGGAGGCGAGAATGATAGCGGTGCTGAGTCTTCAGCATCAGATTCATCCATATCGAAGGAGATGAAGTCATCTGCGCTAGCAGCAGTCTGGCTTCGGGAAGAATCAATCCGCGCCTTCCGTATGAGTCTAAGGACGTCGGTGCGCTTCGCAGTAGTCTCCCCTGCAGCTAGCGGAGGAAGAGAGGTATAAGGATCCGGATTTGACCATTTTGGGACAGTAGCCTCCGCGGCGAAGTCTGGCTCATCTATGCGAGCACGCTTTGTATTTCTCTCCTGCTCCCCATCTTCGGACAGAGCCATTGCCTCTTCGTCACTGTCGGTCATCTCTTCAAGGTTGCGGAACCTAGATTCTGCGTGGGGATCCAACAGAGAGGCATTTTCGGCATCGTCATGCTTAAGTCGGAACAGTGGCCGGTTGGCTGCGGTCCTAGGCGGGGGAGGTCTGCGATAATGATCTCTGCGCATCGCCTCATTTCGCGCATTAGTATTCCTGGGTCGTGCTCGGTCTGAGGTTTCGTTTCTGTTGTTTTGATCGCGATTGCCCTGGAAAAAATACATTCCACCGCTTGAATCGGCGGGCGGCCAGGGCAATGAGGCATTGTTGTCGCTTCTGCCGGGGCGGTAAGAATCGATATCGGTGTGCGTGCGACGACTCTCGCCGCCTGGCCGGTACGAATCCATCAGTCCAGGAAGGTGTTTCTATACCGTGAGGCTTAGGAAGTAGCAATGAACCATCCGAGACTGGACTCGAAGCAACACTGACAAGAACCTTGAAGCGGCAGGTCCAAAAATCGTCGCCGCGAGGTGGACTAATCCGTATTCGGAAAGATACCCGATGGCGCACTTTAGCACCGAAAGAGATATCAGCGAGATTGATCTCATTAAGACTGCAACTGGTGAATAGATACAAACTATACCGATCTTGCGAGAGACAAGTTGATCTCCTAGCTCCATGCAAGACCGAATTCAGCTTCGCCATGTAGCTTTGTCTTTGTCGTCAACAAGACCTTGTCACAGCCCAAGACTTTCCCTAACCCTCCACCTTAATCCTGGGTAACCCTCTTTGTAGGTTACCAATTAACACTTGATCCAGGGCGTCCTCTATGAAGCTGACCCTTCCAGTCCACCATTGAAGCCATGTTTCTGCCCTTGAGCCCTCTTCCGCTCGCAACAGACCTATACTCACATCCACCAGATCAGGTCTTTCCTGACAATGCCAGAAGACTGTTGCACCGCAAGTGCCGCAGAAATTGCGAAAGCAACCCTTGGAACTCTCGATCTCCTTGAGTGCCCCCATACCATAATCTATCTGCTTGCGATCAGACTGCACGAGATTAGTCCTGGGAATGAAAGCCCAGGTCTGGATCGGAGACCCAGAACCAAGCCTACAAGATCTGCATGCACAAGTTCCGGCGAGGTATTTCGATTTGTTCGCTCGCAGCCACCACTTTTCGTCTGCTGGATTTGCCGAGCTTGACGAATGATATGGAAGAAGCAGGTCAGGGTAAGGCGAGGAACATGCCTCTGAAGCAGCATTTGGGCGAGTAACCCAGAAGGTGACCCCTCCACAATGGCAGCCCGCGCTGAGTTCGCCTATATGATTTGCTGCTCCGAGGGCCTCCGGGACCACACTGTGGATGGTGCCTGACGGATGAGACAGACCTCGACCGGGATCGACTGTCATCTCAATGGTTGCTCCAGCGGACTCCTGGCAGAAGAGAGGAATTGAGTGGCCATCGGGGTCAGCTAAGCAGAGCGCAATGCCGCCGTCTTTGGTGTCGCCCACGAACTCGTGCTGCATGATATTCTCCAAGCTAAGGCGAGAAACTTGCTCATGCCCCGCTACTTGATCGATCACCCCCGAACAAACCGACCAAGAATCATCCTTGGTGGTATTGATAAACATCTGTGATCCGCATGTTGGACAGAAGTGCCTAATCAAATTTGGAGAAGAGCGGTATTCGGCTAAGTCAACAATAGTATTCGGTTTGGATGGAAGGCGGAGGCAGGAAAAATACAGTACGCCGGTGGTGTATCGGCAAATGTTGCAAGAGCAGGGAGATACTGGTACTGGGAAGTGGGCTTCCAACCGGAAGGTCTCTGTGTTTTTTCCACACAGGCAGGTGACACGAACGGTGGCCATGGGTTCTTGAGTGTACGGATACACTAGAGAATCACCATGTGCTAGGGGATGAGACCTCGAAACAGGACTCCAGTCTTGGCTTGTCTAAAACAGACAAGGAATTAGAGGGTTCGGGGTATCAGAGCGTATGGGCGAGCCAGAGCGACTTCATGAAGCGCGGTAGGCCATTGACGAGGCCCGAAACATTCGCGAGGCAGGACGGGAAAACACGAAGACGTGTCTGATAGGACTGGAAAGGACCACATGGATACCATCTAACAAACGACGCAGAGGAAAGTATAGATCACTCTTCAAAGCAACGTAACCAACAGGACGGAGGTTTGAGATCCCACCTAGTAGTCTGCGCAGAGAAGTGTGGATGGAGTAGGGAGGAGGAGGGGCGCAGGTGCAACTGCGCCCTCTGAGTCGCTGCCCGCCCGACTAACGACTAACGACTAAACGGCGCACCTGATCTTCCTCTCCGTGCTCTCGACCAGAGATAAAACGTGCCCACTTCACCGTTCTGCTCTTCTCCCTCCTCTTCCCTCCTTTCTCCAAACAGCAACAAGCAATCTCACCAGTCTTTGAAATTTGCGAAATACGCAGTCAAGCACCACACAAACAACACTGAACCTATAACAAGTTCCCAGGAACTCATTAACCACTACAAGATGGGTATGGTGTGCAGGACCCAATGGGACTCTAGCCAGCTGACTTTTGACTACTAGGTCCTTGCGGCTGCAGTTGCGGCCCTAATTGTGAGTCCCTTACTTTTCGGATTCTCGAGATATGAGATCTAACATATGCTACGATCAGGCTCCTGCCCTGCTGGCAAATGTACATGCGTACGCTGAGAAACATCCTGTTTTACATCTCAATCCTGACCCTGGCATGCAGAAATAAACGCACTCTCCTTCCAATGGAAGGCTTTCTGTACTAGTCTCTACTCTCCGTCTTAGCAACGAAACAAGAAAACGATGTTACCACTCTGCTGCTGGAGATGAGGTGGAATTGAACACTCGTTAGAAAGCCGAAACGGCGCAATTCAAGCAGGTAGAGCGGACAAAACATATGCAGATGGCTTTTCTTAAAAAAAAACAATGTCATGAAACAGACAATTGTCGAAGGTCACCTTTTCTGTGCCAACGTGTCTTTGTGATTATGCTCCAAACGGGGTTGGACCGCAGTCTGAAGACCCAAGTTTGTGGAAATGTCCGACCACCTGATCCGAAACGTAACCAAATCCACCCTTTTGGTATCCGGACCGTACTGCTGCAAATACTGTTTCGTGGTCGAGGCTACGACCTGATAGCGGGGGTTGTGTTTCTTATCGGGCTTATCGAGGCGGTTGCCGGTTGGCTCGCAAACTTCTCTCCTCTGTACGTGGTCATTTACGAGGTACTCCGTACTCAAAGCCGAGTGGCAACAAAGCTGCCGGTGATAGTTTCTAAGATGAACTGGCCATCAGTCTTAGTGAGTCCGTGAACGATTCGGCCGGCAATGTTACCGACTATGGCCTCGAGCCAGTGCTCAAGTAACGCCTTGAGAGATACCGGACCCTTGGAGGTTGGGAAGTCACTGACTCAGAACAAATCCGCAGCACGGGATATGTCGTCGACAGCCTTGAAGTTTCTCTCTGGGCCCTTTTCAAGACGGATAGTCTTGAAGAGGGCACGGTACTTGTGGTGAACTTGGGCGACGATGCGGACACTGTGGGGGCGATATATGGAGGAATTGCCGGTGCATTCTGGGGCGTTGATGCGGTTCCACAGCGCTGGCAGCGAGATTTTGCAGAGAATGGATCTTCTTGATGAAGTTGTGGAGGAAATCCTCACCTTCAGAGCCAAACACGTGTGAACGTAGTCCTACAGAGTATCTAGACAATATGCTTCACCACGCGGAATCCAGCAAGTCGGCGGCAGGCCTCTCTAGCTTCTCGTCTCCAGCCTTACACAACAACTGAGGTACTCGGACTTACAAAAGATAGCCACACCCCTATGGATCTGAGACGGGCCACCACAGTCTAGACAACACGGAGCACATACCTGTTCAACTCGACGCCTGTTGGCAGGAGTACGAGTACAGACCAATGCCCAACCCTCAAACATGTGACTCTACGTCATAGGAACGTTCTTCCATTCTCCCCGCATTCACGTTTTTGATTGAAGCGTGATGGCGAACGCGCAGGGAGTGACTTCAAGGTCGTTTGCCACCGACAAGGCACCCTTTAGCAACCAAGTATCACATCACTATCCCGGATATCCCGAGCGTGACGGATCTCGCCACACGATGGACCAAGTATAAAGCCGACCCCAAGTCCAACCTCAACCCCTGTCCATCGATCCTCCGAAATAAAGTGTGAAGCACACTACAAACAACCAACCCTAGCAATTGAGACCCCGACAAAGAGAGACGAGAACCTTTTCATATTACACCTTTTCCAGTACGCCCTTTCTTTTTGGTTTCGGATTTTGATACCGGTGTTGTGGGACGACGGGCCGACCAATTGAGCATTGAATTGGAAAATGTCGGACCGCCAGAATAACTTCAGCTACTCGGCGTCTTCGTACGTCTCGTCCAACTTCACACAGTCCAGCTCCTCTTCCGCCTCTGCCTCCGCCTCGTCGCCAGGCTCCTTCTCTGGATCTGGCACGACGAGACGGTTCACCGAAACCATGACAAGCAACGATCGCGACGGCACCTCGATCCGCCGTACGCATGAAGAATCGGGCAGACCTACGGTGCAGGAAGAAACATACATTCCACCTGCTGGTGGGCGCATTTCAGGAACTGGATTTGAGTCTGGATCAAGATCGGCGTCGGCGTCGGCGTTGGGCGGACTGGAAAGGGGCAGGGTCGAGGATGTTACGGATGACGCCGAACAGGCTGAGAAGGATAGGCTGTACGAGGAGCGGATCGAGGACGAGTACGCGAAGCGTGAGGGCGGGGCGTGAGACCTGAAACAGAACAAAAGACGCCTCTGACCACGAAGCGGGCTCGAAGTGTAAGAAGCATCGTCCATGCAACCGCTGTGCACTACATGTCGTTTGGATTCAGTACCCGCTGTATCCAGCTTCAAGGAATTAGCAAAATTGGATTCTCTTAGGAGCCAGTTGGAGCGTTTGAGATTTCTTGATCTTGGACAAAATTCTATCGATTTCTACAAGGTAGTTAACGTAGGTAGAGCGCCGTATCGAAGGATAGTGGAGTTGGTGAACACCCAACAGAGTTCTTTGTCGGATCACCCCCAGCTTTCTCCCATCTTCTCCAACATCGATGCAAACCCATAGATGTCTAGGAGTTCGCTATTGGCCAATGGCACTGTCGATGTTGGTGTGGGCATCTTGGCTAAACTGATGGCTGGCTCTTATCTGTGCGATGAATTGCTGTCTCGGAGCCATACACATTCTATACCACACTCTTAGATTTGTAGCTCCTCCAGAGATCCACCAGTGCCGACTTTCTTCAGTTCGTTTGCAGGGCTCATCACAAGGTCAAACTTCTTCGTACAGATCCAAGTCGAAGCGTACATGTTGACACTGTACAAGTAAGTCAGTAAGCTTCCTGTATAAGGACAAACGCTTGGAGCAGGTCCTAGCACGCACCGATCAATACATTTCCCTGAATCTCTTCTTCCAACACATTTCGCTTCAAACCCATTCTGCTCGAAGATTTGCGTGTACCAGGGGCGCAGTGCGGCTGAGCGGAACATTACACGCCCGCTCACCTTGAGCACCTTGTTGAGAGCAACGATCTGTTCTTGCGCGGATGTTCCAGTAGGATTGAACCAATCCATTGAATCCATGAGCTGTGTGAGGCGTTAGCTGGTTAGCTAGCCAGTCCGCAATTGGCTCCATGGCCTAGTGGATGAATACTGACAATGGCAATGGTTAGGCTTGAGGGACTGATCCGTGCAATCACTTCCATGAGTTCGTCTGTGTGGATTCGCAGTCCGTCAAACGCACCAGGTTTGGACAGAGTCGTGTGGGTCTTGGGCGCGAGGTAACGAGGATGACATCTATCCACCGTAAGCAAACTCAAGCCCTGTCTGACATATAGAGACATCCACCTACTTTTTAGAATATTTCCCTTCTAGGCAGAGGTAGTAGAAATAGTTGTCCCGGCTGATCTGCGTTGTCTCGACCACCGGATCCAGCGTGTCAACAACGTACTGCCATATAGCATCGCCACAGAGTTTCTTCGACTTTGGAAGCTTCGTTCGTTGAGAATAGTCGTCAAGGATGAGCTCACGTTGAGCAGGAGGGACACCGGCCGCCTTCCACGCCCACCATTCCGTCGACACCACGGCCTGATGGAGGGGCCAGCTCAGCAATATCCTTCTGATACATGGCCAAATCTCTCTCTGCTCATTCAGAGTCTCTACTTTACACATGGTGTGTGCCTTGGCTGTCAGGCTGAAGAGTTTGAAAAGCCAGCGAACGAGGTTGATTGCGTGTCTTGAGCCCCCGCTCCCGTACAGACCACCTGGTGAGCTGAAGACATGAGCTTTGTTGAGCCAGTATTGGAATGCTTGGCTGGACATATGAGGGCTTAATTTTTGAAGTAGCAGGCTGCGGAAGTCAGCATGCTTGCCTTCTCCGAATAATTGCCAAACGTCACAATGAGGCAGCGCAGTGAAAGCCGCGATCTTGAGCTCGAGAAGATGATTCTGATTGGGATTAAGGTCAACTGCGTGAATGCGCCTGGGCTTTTCGAGGAGGTAGTCTAGGATATTGTCTCCGGCACTGGTAATAGTGAGAATGACATCGTTTTGGTCGATATTCAAAAGTTGGCGGTCAACCTTCGGGTCCTCCCAGTTGAAGGCATAGATGTATTCGTTGCCAAATTGTTGATGCTTGGTGAGCAGGTCATTGTAGTATATTCTCCAGTGATGTTGCTGATAGAAGGCTGCGGGCAGCGGAAGATTGGAGCTAAGGTTCACAATAGCAGATTCGTAGGATTTCGATCGAGGAACATTTTGCTGAGCATCCAGCGCCCGGTGCTCTCGGAATTTTGTCGGCGACAAGTAGGGAGATTCGGTAAGAACAGCATCGAATTTTGCAAGAACTTCCTCGCCATGTGCGGCGCAGATGTCGGCATCTCTCCTGCATCCGATGAATAAGTAATAAGGGATGCTGTTAAAATCGAGTCAGAACTGGCTGATAGTTTGGATAGCTCCCGAACTTTTCGGCTCGAGGTACCGTGTAATTGCCACAGAAAACTGTGTACTCGGGGGCCTTTGCTTTTACAAAGGGTACGAGATCAACTTGTGTTCGCAGAAATGACCCTGACTTACCCGCCTAAGAGATAGTTGCGCTCGCTCGCTGAGAGAATGGTGCCAAAGCGATACTCGACGTAGTCTCGGCGACCGCCATCAAGGTTGACTCGATCCGCGTCGAACCATGTCCGCCAGAACATCCGGCCAAACCAGTTGACATGACGATTGAATGTTCCACCGACATAATTTCTCGAAGAGATGTCGACGATGCTCTGGACATAGAAGTCGCAAATACCAACCAGACCACTTGGAGACAGGAAGCCTGCAACCATGTCGACCACGCTGTAATAGTCCGGAATCATTGATAAGCTGTAGCTCATCGTGATCAGATCGGCAGATGAGGGGGTGCAGGAGATTAGCCGGGCATCTTGGCATAGAACAGTAACGTTCTTCCAGCCGTGTGCGCGCGCTCGTTCAATTGCGACCTCGCACAAGGAAGGGGACAGGTCGACAAGGAAAACGTGCTCGAAGAAACCCTCAATGCCGACCAACTTGTCCATGACCTCGATGTTGTAACCAGTCCCACCTCCCACATCATACCAAACCGGCTTACGACCTGGATTCGACAAAGTTCTCGACTGTAGCTGGGCGGCAAGAGCCGCCAACATATCTTCTCTTCCCTGAAGGAGACGCTTTCTCGTAGCGTCGTAGACACTTGCCTGAAATGAATGAGTCGAAGAAAAGAATGAAACGTGCAGTCCTACCTGAGAAGAGTAGAAGCTTTCTAGAGCTGTCCGTTGTCCACCATCGATCCCCTTTTCATGAGGCTTGAGCAGACAAGCATATGTGAATCGGACAAAGGGGTGCGAGGTGATTTTCTTCACAGTAAGTAGCCCGGTAAACCTGTATGAAACGGCGCAGAAGACGGCCACAAGGACAAGGATAGCAGTCCCTACCAATCCGAGCCTGAGGTGGAAGTCCTTGAGACGCTGCCATTCTGCGAGGTAGCTGAAGCGATCCATGGCTCCGTGACTGACACAGAGGGAAAGCTGTTGGCAAGGCGATGGGGAAGGGAGTAGAACACCGACTTCACGGCGGACTGGTTCGCCTTTTCTCACCTTAAGAACTGTGCATCAGAGAACGAAGCCTCTTCAGGGGAGACTGCGTTGAAGAGTATTCCAGCGAATCAAGGCCATGACTAGAGCCATCTGTCGGATCGAGTGGCGAAGACGACATGCATCGACGCCCTGAAAAAGGGTCCATCAAGAGCAACAACAGCAGTGCGTGCAGTGCATGCAGGTTGCGGCTTCGACTTGAGTTTGACTGTATCAGGAAAAGGGAGTTCGGGCCGTTGCTTGAGATGGCAGAGCAGCCAAGGTCCAAAGCGAGCCAATTGGCGAAGGGATTGCGGCCATGCGACGTCTGGACTGGGCACCGAAACTCCCCCAGTCGTGCCAGTCGAAGCTGTCTGAGCTCGAACGTGCTGCTGTCTTCGAGGACTCAAATCTAGCGAAGCATCCTCAAGTATCCACCTGACTGCGACTGCATGGCGGAAGCTTTGTTAGGAAAAGGTCGCTCGCTAAGATACACGAGATCGATTTCTCGTCATTCGTCGTTCGTCATTCCTCTGATGAATCATTTCTCGGCCCACCTTCCAACCGCTCAATCAAGTCACGTGCTAGATCACGTGCTCTCGCGGCCTCGCGGACGTGCTCGCTCCTCGTCGTTTCTTCGTCGGGCTCAATCGAGAGACTGGCAAAAGCATGATGGTCAAAATGGGTTTCACGGTCACTCAAGATATCGTGGAGATCCGCAGTCCAGAGGGCAACCATAGCACGAAGTCGAATCAGTTCAGCCTCGTCCATGTACGGCAAGGTCGCCATGCATGTATCCATCTTATCTGCAATTTCTGTAGCCTGTTCAAGCTCTCTCAGCTTAGCTTGAGAACCGAGATACGTTCTGTTGGCTCTTGGGGATAACGTGGGTGATTCGAGGTTGCTTTCGCCTTCGGGAAGAGTAGAGGCAGCAGGAGAAGTTTCTGCCTGCGTGACGTAGATCCAGATATTGAACATCGCGAGATAGAAGTCTACGGCATTAACAGTCCCTGGCCAGGATTTGTGGTAAGGGTGCAGAATGATGAGCCTCTCATAGAAGCGTTTAGCATTCTCAAAACCTTCACCCCAACCACCAGCACCTTGACTAGGACGCCCTTGTCGCAACAAAGCCTCTGCACCAATGCCCATATAGCCATGATTGCGGATGGCAGAGTTGCGGTTGACGATATCTGTTCTGAACATCAAGCCAAGGGCTCGTGATGCGCGGGTGAAATCCTCACTCAGCAGGCTCCGATGCACTATTGCTGTCAGCGCAGCGAGATGCTGAAGATGCAAAGTCCTCGGCATATGATCAGCCTTCGCAGGTGGCGTGGTCAACGATCTCTCAGGAGCGGCGATCCCATCATCACTCCAACTCACCGCGGTGGCTTTTCCAGCGTGCGGGAACGGAAATGGTGGAGGGAGTTGATCCAGAGGCTGGCCAGCAACACGGCGTTGGTACCTCTCCAACGGAGAGACAACAGCAGTGTACTCCAGTTCAATAGTGCTCTTGACGGTCTTCTGTAGCATTTCATACTCCAAGTCTTGCTGCGCATTTCGCGTTGCCTTCACCCGCTTGCGCTTCTTTCTCAGGGATTGTATTCGGCCGTCGAAACTAGTACGCTGAGTACTGATTGCTGGCGAGAAGATCGTAGACATCGTGACATCTGGTGTCTGCTACGCTAGGAAAAATGATCACACGAGTATTCTCACTGCAGTTGAGGCGCAGGATTCGCAGACTGCGTGGATGAGGCGCTTGGACGGAGGAGACAGCCGAAGGTGATGTAATATCATCGACGAGCCGTAGAGCTCTAGCACCGCGTAGACTTTGCAGGCTGAAGTGGTGGAAACGATAGAAGAATCAATGGTTCTGGAAGAAGACTGTTACTATTGGTTGGGGCTGGCTTGTTTCGGAAGAACCTCCTGGTTGTTTGAGCAATCAGGCGGATGATGTTACAATAATAATCGCTGGCGGTGTTGGCAGGCTGCGTCCGTGCTTCGCATCGCCATCTTGGTTTGTGGCCGCTCTGTCATCTCAGCCTTCGAGCACCAACATACCTTAACCTCAGTGACGAGCACACGCGGGAATTTCACTGTCAATAACACCCTCGATACCTTCTCCCCGTCCACAATTCGAAGGCAGATTCGAAGCCGAAGTGGTCTCCGCTCTAGCCTCAAGCGCCTCGATGATTCTCTCCGTGTGCTGACATCCTGGACACACCTCACCCGTTCATGCCGCCGACATTGTCCATTCCCGTCCCTCAGCCTTCACAAAATCTCTTTGTACCTTTGCACTCACTTCTTGCCTAACGGATTGATTACGAACTTGATTCTCCTCTGTTAACCTCGGCCATGCCACCATACTAGCCTTGCCTGTTGACCAGCCTGCGGACCTCAGACGACATGGGAAATACATCCTCTGCCCCCGACCGGGAGGTCGATGACGGTCAGCTAGAAGAGCTTGGACACATGAGGAGCGGCATACAGAGACAACATGCTGACGTCGTGACCGATGGGAGAAGTTCTCGACTTGGGAGAAGAAATACTCCATCATTCAGGATAACCGGACAAAGAGCCAGCTCTCTTTACGACACATTTCGACGTCACAGATCCGCAGAAGCAGTAAACTTGCGACAGAATGCAGGGCCCACGCCGTTGTCTTCTGACGAAGTTGGGGACGAACAAGAGGACAGACCACTGGTTGGTGGAGATGTCGAGATGATAGACACCAATCCAACTCCGGCTGTTTCCCAAGCTACATTCAGAAGACGAGCAACAATGTCACGACTTGGATCGCGACTGCTACCAGATTCTGTCGCTAGAGGTATATTGAACAGTGGGGAGGAAACCGCGCAGGAAGGTCGCGCACTTCGAAGTGGGGTCTCGGAAGACTCACGTCCATCCGTCTATGAGAGGCCACCAAATTCCGATGCCAACAGTCGAATATTCCTTACAGGATCAATTAGAAGACGAAGCGAGTACCGCTCCAACCTCAGACGGCGTGCGATTCGAGGGCCGTTCCCGTTGTTGCAAGGGGCACACGACGGTCGCCGATCCAGTACCTTAAGGAGTGAGTCTATTGATAGTGTTCAGGATTTGTCGCTGCCTGCAACCAACTCAGTGCGGCAACGAAGCAGATTTAGTCGAATCCGCAGCTCTGTTTCTATCGCCTCGAGGATCTCTAATCTGTTCGGGCATTCGACGGATCAGCTTGACACAGGCGAAACAGGACAAGAAACTCCTCGCGCACCAGCCAGAAACACTTTTGCTAATGAATCCGATCATTCACTTCCTTCACTCCAATCAATCGACCCCCGTCACGATAACGAGGAAGCCCCTCACGAATTGGACGCGGTTGAGCCAGAGACTCGAACGCTTTTGTCAGGACCCCGAGTTACATCGGGCATGAGTACTATTAGACGTTTCCAGCCTGGTCTGCGCTCCCGTTCGACACGACTCATTAGAAGGGGTGAACATCCACCGTTATCGCAGGTTCTACAACTTGCAGCAGCAGCAATTGCAGCGCAGCTCTCAGGCCACAATACCACTGGCCACTCTGGGGGACGTCACCTTGGTGCTGATACCTTCGATGGCAGTATTCAGAATTTCGTTCAAACTCTCCAGGATGCAGCAACAGCACAAGCTGGAGAGAACATCGATATGATTGCAGCCGATGGCGATCTTCCGCCGGTCAATTTCATGAGAGTATTCCAGTTCCCCAACGATGAGAATGGCTCCCCTATCGCATCCCAGGCACAATCTAGAGATGTTGATCAGATGGATCTAGACTCTATCGCGGGGCCGGGTGAGGGTGACAGGTCGGTGACCCTAGTTTTGGTTGGTGTCCGATCTCTGCCGCATGGGCAGGATAGTACCGGCGGTGAGAACGGTACACTGGGTCCCAGCCTCGACACGCTCTTAAGCCTACCCTTCTTGCCACCCGCCAATGTGCTACGAAACGGCAGTTCTGGGGCATTGTTCGGCCGGTCTGACGGAAGAGCACGATCAAATCCTCGAAGACACTCCATGACCAACTTCAGCTTTCCCGCACAGTATGAGACTCAGAGACACCAGCGCACTAGGACGCATGCAAGTCGATCGTCTAACAACTCAGACCAGAATATACCAGCAACCCCGGAGGCGGGAGGCACCTCGCATTCACTGTCGGAAAGTCCACCGGGGCCTAACCCTCCTCCATCCACCCCAGCTGACATCAGGAGTGGTCAAGCGACACCGATACGGCGACCGTCGTCGGCATCAGCTGCGCAGAACCCAGTCCTCTCTGACCTTGCCGAAGATCTCCCTCACCAGGATCTTGACACTCCTTCCCCCGAACCTTCCTTTAACGCCGCTCGGCAGAGGAGGCGAAGTGACTCTGAATTTGCTCGTCGCCCAGAGCTGGGCTCCGGTGCAGCAAGACGCAATGGGGTAGTGGAGCCTGATCATCCGCCTGCAGGAGTCGCACGTAGTTGGTTGATCTATGTTGTTGGCACGAACGTCTCACCAGATCATCCTGCTTTTACAATGCCTAGCCTGTTTACCGACAATCCCTCCTACGAAGACATGCAGATGCTATCCGCTCTACTTGGACCAGCCAAGCCTCCTGTCGCAACGCAGGAGGATGTAAGCTCCGCTGGCGGGCTTTTTCGCTTGACAGTTCAACAAGCTGGCTTCCTTGGAGAATCACTCTCCGGAGAAGACAGTTCCTCCATTCTTGTCAATTCAGGGGAGCGCTGCCTTATCTGCTTGTCGGACTATGCAGATTCAGAGGAAGTGCGGCGTTTGGACAAGTGCCATCATTTGTATCATCGCGATTGCATTGATGAGGTTTGTCTGAACCTTCCACACTCGCACAGCTGTTACTGACCATTCTTTAGTGGCTTACCACAGGCCGTAACAGTTGTCCAATGTGTCGGGGCCAGGGTGTGCCAGAGAATTCCAACGCTTTAGACGTCAATACTGGTACCGCTCCTGCAACAACAATGTGATTCTCAATACGTCAGCCCCCTGCGAGCTGACACACACTCGGTCGGACACCCCCACCGACGCTCATGACGCTTTACGAATTCCCTTCCAGCATCTTCCGGAATGGCTAATGGTTTGGCGCCGGTTGGGTAGCCTGTGGCTTTTGTTTTTAATGCAGCGCAAACTCTAATGAATGGTGCGCAATGAAGGGAATCTTTGGCGGGCGGGCTGCGAGCTGTCTCGCTTCCAACCTACTACTCACAGCTATGAATGAATCTGGGGTGCTCCGGTTTAGGCAACGAATATGTTTGCGTGTTTACATACCCCAGCAGTAATGTGCCCGGATACTGATTGGTTTGAGATGAATTCCTTGTGACTCAGCTGGCACATATGGATGGCCTTCATGAAACTCAAATTGACGGGTCGTAGACCTCCGGAGGCAGGGAAACCCTTGCAAGGAGGAAGACCCTGACATGCACATCCTACGGATGCACGTACTTGTATCACAGCTTTCGATCGACCCTAGCAGCACCCACTGCCAGCCGCGCTTGACACGCAGAAGAGGGTGTGTCATGTGGATGTAGAACTGTCATCTATTGGCGCCGTGGCCGAGCAGTGACCCGTCAATACCTCGATGCTTCCGCCTTCGCAGACACGCAGCTAAGCGTTTGTGAGTAAGCACCCATGGCATGTAGTAAGTGCGGATGAGGGATCGGTACAGGGCAGGCAACGACCCGCAATTTTCGATGTGGCATTTGACTGTCCACCGTGAACTAGCTCGCCCGCGGATAGAGCAGATCGGCCCCAGAGTCCAATACTGGGACAGCGCGGGCCTTGCCTTCCTCGAACCTGGGAAAAGCAACAGGGATCTGAATGGCAAATGCGCGTTGATGGATCCTTGCTGCGTTACATGTGCGTCGCTTTGGGTCAGCTTTAACGAGCGAGGATCGATTCGAGCCTTGCACCGATTGAGCTGATCCGCAATGAACGTGACCACTCCCGTGTGCAACCGTGTAGCTTTGTGTAACATGAGGCCAGGGACCACGGTGCAGATGGAAGATTTGTGGGAATGTGATGATATGGTACAGACAAAGTGTAGGCTAACAGGTATCCGTACGTAGTCGAAACCCCCAGGTACGGGAGGAATGCTGATTATTACCTGATCGACCAGGGCCTGAGCCTGAGCCCCTCGTCGATGCTGCCTGCGCCTGCGCCCGTCCCAGCCAGGTCTGACCCTCAACTCCTCCAACCCACAATGGTCCGTCCCATCCTTTCCCATCGCTCCCAACGCAAAGCGGGCCAGCGCGCTCGAGAGAAAAGCCTCGTCGACCTAATTGTTTAACCTGTTACCTCCCATGTCTTGCTCCTCTGTCATTCGTGTCAAACGGGCGCATGAAGGTCTATCTTTAGGCACGCCCTCCATCCAGTGTCCACTGTCCACTGTCCACAGCGAGCTAGATCATCTGCTCATTTCCAGGCCGGCACTAGACGTCTCCACGGTCGAAAATCCATCGAGATTGGAGAATCTGCCAGAGCGTTTTCATGGGTCTGTCAACGTCCCGAAAAGTCAGACGGTGGCGGTGGGATTCTCCCATCGGGAGCACCACTTGGACTCTTGCCTGGCTGCAGCAGGTCTTGCTGTAATTAGCCCAAAGTGGTCTGAGAAGGGCCCGCCTTCATCAAATTCAGACTACTGCTGGCCACGTCCTCTAGCAAGCTTTCCTGGCCGACATGACCAGAAATCATCGTTTTGTTTCAGCAAGATGACATGACCAACCTCTTCCTGCAGCGCCGGCTTCGTATCACACCAAACCCCTCTGGCGGAAGTGCCCGTCAAGGATACAGAAAGAGTGGATATGCTGAATGGCAGTATGATCTGCAAGGACAACACTGGCTGCGGAGCTAAGTTGCCCGCCAATACTACGGTACCTATACAGAGAGTGGTCACATCATTCGTTCAACCTCAGTGGCTGTCATTGGGCCCCCAAGGCATCATCTCTGAGCATGTCAACGCCCATATGCATATGCGCTAGCTTTTGACACGATAGTGCAGTTGAGCCTTGACCAGTTTTCGACCCATGGGGTTCTCTCAACGCTTGGCCCGGGCGAATGACTCGTCTAGGAAGAGCGGACGTGAATGCAGATTGCCTATCTTTGCACAGTCTCATCAGTCTCCCAGGCGCGCCCGTTCCCCGCTCCCTGTGACAACGGAGATGCAGCTTCACATCACAATCACTTATGTTTCAACCGCCACCAACACCCATCAGTATTGTTGACTCTTTCCCCTCTCTACCTGGGTCAAAGTCGATCATACAGCATTGCAATTTGATGCTTTGTACAGAACTTGGTCGATATTCAAGTCTCAAAGAGGGGAGCCCCGATTTGGCGCCACTGATACAGAATGGTTCACGGCGGGTGCCTCGGGCCAACAGCCAAACCCTGCGGACCGAGAAACGTGGCTTAAGCTTTAGCTACTGAGACTTCGACCCCCTCGAGGTGGCTATGTGTGTATCCGTACAACTGTGCAGTACTCTTTCCCGGGATCATCCCGTAACGCACACCTGGCAGGGGCCCGATAGGCATCACACTGAATCCCAATGCTGCAGCATTGGTTACACAAGTTTAGTTCAGTATGCGGGACGTCAAGTGCCAACCATTATTGTCCATCCCGCGACACACCAGGATTCAGGCCAGGGGTCGCAATCTGAAATGGGCTTTGCAAAAGAGAAAACTGCTTCCGAAAACCAACATTGTCTTGTGGAGGCACTTCTCTTCCAGGATAATGGTTGCAGGCCCACAACAATCCACGGGGAGGCAATAGAGTCACCCCCGGATGATGTCCCACAGGCTACATCCGCTGTCCCCTCGAAAATGGCAGCAATGATTCCACCCATGATGTGGGCACTGGAGTTCTGGTGTAAGCCAATTTCCCTTGCACCTTGATTCGGGTCCCGACCACTTTGTCAACAAGAGGAATGATACGGAGTCCTATGTTGTTACAAGCCCCTTTATGATGCACGAGCTGAGCGTGCTATCTTTACTCCTCTCCTGGGGCAGGGGAAGAACATCTTTCCGATTTCAACACGCCAAGACTGATCAGAGCGTGATAGCTTTACAAGGTCGAAATCATCCAGGCATGATTCAAGATCACTGGAGCCCCTTTGAAGTCAAGAGTCAGATCTTGCACGTGTAGCCTTAGCTTACTCCATGGGCGTCGCTCCAACTGCGTCATCTAGTACAATCTATCAGCGCGATCAGGGCCACCTAAGGGCGGTACGGCTCCCCTTGACAAGGAGGATGCCGAGTACCAAACACAAAGATTCCGGCGGACGCAATGGAGATCATCTGGCGCTGTGCAATGGGGCAGCTCGGCCACTCCTGGGGCTCCAGATGAAGTCAATATTCTCGGTGTAGGGCCGTTGCTCGATCATCGGTATGGGATCGACCTCAAGGGACCCCGGTCGAGTCCTTGGCCGGGTCTGACGACACTGCGACTAAAACGCTACTGGGTTGTGGACTCGGGACTTGCACTACTGTATACACCCTGGTCTCGCCCAAGCACGGCCGCCACGGAATCGCGCTCTGGCATTCCACTGGGGGTTTGGCATCGGGGCCTAACAAGCCTAAGAGAGAAGACCCCCTCCAACTTTCGACTTTTGCGCTTTGCGTCTTTCAGACTTTCACATCTGTCCCAGAAACGGGCACCCTCTCATCCTTTGTGGTACAATCGCGTTCTGTCTCGCTTTCCAACGGAGAATCCATTCCTCGCACCGTACCGCCGACGTTCCTCCAACTTTGATGACCCAACACCCTCGAATGCCAAATTCTTCTTGTTTTCGGTCGAAGTTATGTTTCGGCGAGACCGGTCCACTGCTTGATAAGCCCTTGAGCGACACTCCCTGAGACTGACAAGTGACTGGCACCTCACGAAACGGTGGCTTCTGTTCCTGCCAGTTCGCCCCGTTCAAGTGAACGAATTACGCCCATAAAATCCTCGCAATCCGGCCGTCGACCCTGCTGTAGAAGTTTATTCAGCCTCGTTGGAGTAGTGCTTCGATTTGAAGGAATTTTCGCACTCCAGGCCGAGGCCATATCATGATCTGAAGCCTTGCTTCCACAACCAGCATCAAATCCTATTATCCATGGTCAGCACTGATATTTCCCACTTACCTACGGTTATACTGACTTCGCGACCCGCGCCAGGTCTCTGATCGACGTTCCTGCGACGTAACCCCCGTTCTTGTCGTCAATTGACCCGGTCCGGCTCTGAGACAAGCAGATCGGAGCTTCTGCTCTGTCATACTGTATTCGACAGCTAAGTCGTGTGCACTACTACCGCGTTGTTTGTTTCACCGACCTGTTCGCCATTTACAGGCCCTCGGCGAGTATCACGAAGTCACCACCACGCTCGTCGGACGCTTTCGTGTACCGGGAAGTACTGGCCGGCGCACAGCCACCCAGTCCGCAATCACACTCGCAGACCTCTCCATTGGGCCTTTCTTCCTCGAATCTACTGCGGCCGCTCTGGTTTTGTGCCACGGCGTTTTCTAGCATAGTCTGTGCAACTCCATCATTACGGGATGAGCGGACCGTTTGACCATGGCATGAACATGCCGCTACCCAGAATGATGGACCCCGGCTTCCCGGTCTACAATGGCAACTTTCCTGCAGCATACCCCGGGTTCTCAGGTCCTCCGACTACCAATTTCGATGGTAGCGCATTTTGGTATAACCCCGATGATTCCGACCAACTGTTTGAGAGAGAGACAAGCATCTTTGGGGGTCGAGGTGTCGCTCTTCCACAAACAGGTATGGAGGCTTCGAGTGTCAAACATCGCAGGACTCGCAGTGGTTGCTTCACTTGCCGTACCAGAAGAGTCAAGGTAATTAATGCATTCATCTCGAATGGCCGTCGGTTCCTCGCTGATCTTTATCCCAGTGCGATGAAACCCGACCTGTTTGTGACAGTATGCTGCCGGATCAAATTCTTCCACAAGGACTCTACTGACTCAAGCCTAGGATGCAAGAAAGGAAGTCGTGAGTGCGAATTCCCACAGCCGGCCACCGCTTCCAAACGATCTAAGCAGAGCGAGAGCCGAAGTCCGAAGGATACAACGAAACACGAGAACAAGATTGAGCCCATGTCAGGACTAGCCACCATCAAGGATGAAAGCGACAGCGACAACGAGCCCTCGAGCTCGAGTACAATACGGCCTGCTTTTGGCCGCCTACGTACTGACAGTGGTCAATCAGTCAGTCAATTGAGCAAATCCAAAGATGTCTCCGAGACGCCCTCGACGGGCAAGGAATATACAAGCCCACAGTCGATAGACGCCTCAGAGACCCGATCGAGGGACGAAACACCTGCTTCGTCACTGCGGACCGTCGCCAATTCGGCAGAGATGCAAGCGCGACAAGCAAAAATAAGAGCGCTCCCACCTGACCTGCAGAAGTACCTTCAGTTTCAACAGGAGTACATGACACATTACCACTATTTCTTCAAACTAGACCCTACAGACTTTGTGCATGGCGAGTTCATCGACCTCGCTCTGTCCTATGAGCCACTGTTGTACGCGGCCGTCGGGTTCGCTGCATATCACTACGAATTGCAGCAGCCCGACGCCAAGCTATCGCACTTCCTCGGATACCATAGCAAGTCCCTGTCCATGCTCAGAAAATCCTTGGAAAGGAATGCGAAGGTGACGGAAGCTACTCTACTGACGGTGTTGCAGTTGGCAACGTTTGAGGAATATATCGGGGATTGGATGCACCTTACAGGACACCATCGGGCCGCTTGCTCCATGATTAAGAATATGTTCACCTGCGACTCGATGATGGAAACCGATATAGGAAGACGTATCTTCAGCTGGCATGCTCGACTGGATATCACAGTCGGCCTGATGGCGGGTAATGAGACCCGGCTAGGCCGAGAGTGGTTCGAGGCGAATTCCACGTGGTACTTTAACCAAATCAACAACGACCCTGAGGGCGACCTGGACATCGAAAATATTTTGGCCTACTTTGTGGCAGCCAATCGACTGATCGGGATGGATTACGCATACTTTTTTGCCAAGTTTTCAGAGCGTCAAATCAGCGAGGAAGCCTTCCGTTCGGAGGTTGCGAAAGTCGTCGAAAGAATGGAATCTATGAAACGTGAGATCGAGCTTTTCAATGACGAGTACTACCGAGTACAAGAATTCCCGGTTGAGCAGATCCGGCCGTTGACCAGCGACGACATTGTCAATCCGTATGCCCCTGGAGGACTCTTCAAGGATGCATTGTGGCCCCTGAACTTTATGTGGATCGACTGGTACAGCCTCGAACAAATGCAGAAATGGCAAATGGCGGCATTGCTCGACACACCAGCGCCTCCAGACTTGGAGCAGATAAGCCTTGAGCAGTGTCGCATTATGGAAGCCATTGAGCGATGGCATGAGGCGCCGAATGGAGCTATTCTTGGAGCGCATGCAAGTCTAGGTCTTGCCTCCATATTCTTGAAGAAGGATGAAAGGCATACAAGGTGGCTTAGAAGGAAGTTTGCCACAGTGGAACGACTGGGCTATATCTTCCCGCCAACATTCCGCCAAAAGATGGCGGTAGCATGGGGGTTGACTTGCAGCGAAGTCGGAGAGAATGAAGCCGTGGAGAACTGGTGGCTCCCAAACGATGAGGGAAACATTCCCATGCTGAAAGAACTTCGCAGAGTGGTGACCGAAAGGCATGAGAATGACGAAATGTCCGCCATGGAGTCTCTCGCCAGTGTGAGAGACTTGAAGGCCATCTTCGAGAAGATGGACATACGAACCCAGGCCCTCGCCGAATCTGGGATGACGGCAGAAAACCCCAGCCCACCCAGCGATGGTGGGTCGAGTGACCGAGGTAGCAATGCCAGTTTCAGCCCGACAAGCATGAGTTTCGGCGAAGGTCGCAGTGGCATAGGGTCTGCTCAGATGCAAGAGGGCGGTTATGCGGGAAGGATGACACGAGCGAACATGATGCTATGAGTAACGGAATTTCAAAACCAGCCCAGTGGCCATTTGGCCGCGCACAGGCATTACCATTGCGACCGCCAGGACACGCCAACAGGTTTTATGGATTGTGATTACACACTTGGATGTCACAGCAGTCCGGACAGGACTCCCAGAAGAGATCCGGGAGAGGAACTCGAAGCCGGTCCCTCTGAACCTCCCCAAGGCGGGCGCCGTTATATTCACGCTTCACACCGGCCGTCTTGCTTCTGCCTGTTGATTTGTTCAACTCTTCCACGCCACTCGCCTTCTGCAGAATTCACTTCATTGACCTAGCAAACCCTGATCAAGCGGAGTCCCAGGAACAAAACAGCAGGCTTGGGTTCGAAGAGAGACCAACCAGCAAGCTGTCGGCCGAATCCCCGAGCGCAGTGTTTTGCTTAATCTGTCGGCAATGGTCGACGCCGTCGAGAGATACACAGTTTCTCCAGGGCTCTATTGTTGAACGATCTCTACGGACTGTTGTGCTCGACATGGATTGCACCTTCCAAAACTCCTGGACCTTGTTCTTGACAGTGGTCAGTCAATGGAGGGCTTAGGGCCCCCAGAAGGTGTCTAGCCAGACGAGTACAGAGCAGATGAGTACAGAGCAGATGACGCGCAAGACTGGATTGTCACACCATCTCGTCAGCATTGATGACTGATCAAACCCGGAGTCAACCAGTCTGTTGGTGTGGCCACTGGCCAGGTCCTTGATTGCAATGATCAAGGGGATCAGATTGAACATGCATTGGCCCTCAGCTTGCTGGGGCTTTTCCTTTTTGTACAGTATTCGAATACACTGCTTGCATCAAGGAAGAGGGTACCCTGCGGGATGAGACTCGACGACTCGACGACTAGAAGGAAATCTGAGTCCTCCACATTGTCCCGACCATTGGGCAATCATGCGCATGTCGAAGTTGGCGGACCCCGGCCTCAACCAGGAGAAACTGGAAATGGGCCCTTGACTACTCCGTACAGAGTACGGATACAGTGCGCCCCGAACACCGGCCTCACATTGCCATATCTGGAGAAGGCCGGCGCCCACTGGCATGAAAGTGTACGGAGTAGGGGGTGAGAAAAAGGACTTTTGCAGCGATACTGGGCCAGTCAGGACTCGGTGATACACATACTCTATCCATAAAGTAGTTTAGTTGCGGAATATGCCGGTGCTCCTTTTCTTTCAGTTTTCCCCTACTAGTGATTAAGGCAAACGCTACTGTAGGTGTAGCTTTCGTTCTGCCAGCATCTCACTCCACTAACTGGCACCAAACTGGGGTGAACAAGTTAGTACAGAGTACTAGAATAGTGCGTCTTGTCCCCCGTCCTACTAATTCATGTGAACTACCGCAGAGTAACACCTCTAAAGAGGGCCGAGATATTAGTAGAGACTTAACTCAAGACTCCCCCAAGCTAACGCACGGCGGTTGAAACACCCTTTGTGGGCAATGGTCCGGTCATGTTCTCACTGGCTGTACTCGGTACTCACTCCACTTCCGTGGCAAGTGATTGGTATGCGTGCCCAGGTTGACTCCTGCCTCGAACCGTCTTGAGGCACGACGGCATGTGCAGAAGATGGCCCCGTCGGTCGCGGACGAATTTGGCATACAAAGCAGCGGAAAGATAGAGTGCTCCCAAGGATATAACCGCTGGGTACCGAAACTGGTCCGGTCGAGGGAAGATGATGGTGGGTACAAAGGCACACAGTTCAAAGAAGTTCTGCAGCGACATTTCGACGGCAGAGAAAGTGCCTCGGTGGGGAGGTAGGATGGATTCTTGGATGATCAATTGAGCGCACAGGTCGAAAGACCACAGCCCAAAGCGTGACAGGATGATGCCGCCGATGAAGAGTGGGAGCACCGTTCGAGGAGACGAGGAGGAGCCAGTCCAGAGTAGTCCAACGGCCACACTCGAACACGCCGTCTGCCATGACAGAAACCAGATGCCGGCGCGGACAGGGCCGATTTTGGACATGATTTTGGGAGCGATGAAGGTGGACGAGATTTCCACCATGGTGGAAATGGTCCGTAGCATCCCTACCATTGTCGACGTTATTCTGGGTTCGGGTAGTCCCAGGAGAAAGGTCGTCATCTGGCCGGAAAAGGATAAGACAGTCAAATAGAGAACCGAAAGGGCGAGAGACGGGAGAAAAGCTGACTGGCGGACATAGGTGCTGAGGGGGCCGACGATTGGCGCCAGGTATCTTGCCGTGAATCGTGACCCTGAAGGCGGTTGCTGCTCGGAAATTTCGAGCTCGGTTTGGTCTTCGCCAGTGACAGTGCCAGTGCCAGTAGTCTCGCCCGATCGACTGCGGTCTCGCAATGCTGGGATTCGGTGGAACACTCTGGCGATCAGCAGATACTCAATCCCCACCGACAGAGCGTTGGTGGCTAGAGTCGTCCAGACGGCAGCGATAGGAGACCAGCCGTGGAGGAGAGCAATGGCCAAGGGGGCCGCCAGCTTGCAGACTAGATCGATCCGGCGCATCTGTGCGTTGAGAGTCTGAAGCAACGCCTCGTCATCGGCAGCAATGACTACCACCCAGTCCCTTTCCACCGCCACCGTGTTTGTGATGGAGCTGAGTTTCTCTATACAGGCCAGTAAGACCAAGATGCCGAGGAGGAGCATGAGGACAACGGACGAAAGCGCTTCTTCCCGGCTGACCAACAGCGCAAAGATGAGGCAGGAAACTGCAGCGCCCAGCCGTTGTCCCACGATGGACAATCGAATGATCCGGAGACGGTCACCCGAGTCGAGGAAGCGCCCCAGAATCGGTGAGAGGCATACGGCCGCCAGGGCACGGATCAGGGCGTAGATAGATACTGGGAGTAGTGTGCCAGGATAAATGCTTGCGAGGAAAAGGACCGCGCCAAACTCAAAGCCTCGAGCATTCCACATTGATAGGAAGTGAGAGACGTAGAGGGCGGGCGCGATAGTTCTTGACTCCATTTCCATCGCGACACGGTGGGTGAGCCTGAACTTCAGGGTTTGCTCAAGAAATCAGAAATCCAGTGGACCAGTTCCAAGGGCCGATGGCACAACGCCGTCCGACTGGTGCTGGGCCGGTTCGTTAATTGCAGGAGACGAAGGTCCGCGAGGACTGGCTCAGGCCCTCGAACTTAGCCATTCCATGTCAGAAGCGGTAAAATACAGTGCCCTCGACAGAAGGGCCATGAGGCAGGAGGAGTACTATCAGTACCTACCAGGTAGGGAGTGGGAAGACGAGGAACTGAGGATTGAGGATATGTCTTTGATACTGGAACAAAGTTATGCCGACTCTGACAACCCATAGATTACATAATCTGGCCAACGCGTCCACCGAGACTCTTGTAACGGCGGGCAGGCGACACCTCAATTGACGGCTGCCAAACCTCGTCCCCTGTACCCGTTATTTCTCCCTCATACTGTGTCCATTTTCTTCCATCGAGGCTCTGTTCGCGTTCTCTTGTCCTCCTGTCCTCCTCTTTCGCTGCAGCTCCACGACAAGCAGTGATCAGTCTAGTCATCAAGCCCATTCCCCGGCGCTGCAATTCCAGGCCCCGTTCTGGTTGTGGATGTGGACAGCTTAGCAACAATGTCCCGCGGAGTCGCCGACCATCCCTACGATGACGACCACGCCGTCCTTGACGATGACTTCCTCAACGATGGTATGGAAGGATGTGCTCTCTATCGCCCACTCTCCCTGACTAACCATCAACAGAGGTCGAACCAGACGAACCCTCATACAACACCTCGGACCGTGCTCCCCTGACGGGCAACATTCAATCCTCCTCCTCGAGCGCGCCTTTGAACCAAAATTACTTGACCTCCAGAATACCCGGCGAGGACAGACGTGCCCCTCAGAACACCATTGATGAAAGCGTGTGGGAAACCGTCTCTCGAGACCTACTGGCCGTCTGGGAAAAAATGAAGCAAGTCCTCTACCCGAAGTACCTGCTTGGTGGTATGCTGCAGAGACAAGGCTCGGGCATAGGTGACGAGGAGAGTCAAGGCTTCGGCCGAGACCTACGCGGTCTGATAGGAAGATGGCCTGATGCAGACGGAATCCTCCAGGGAGGTCTGAGTGAAGGTCTGCGAGATTGGGATCTGTGGTAAGTAGTGCCAGCTCAAGCTGGACAGACGTGTCTATGACGGCCCAATGACTAACTGGTCAACAGGGGCCCACTCATCTTCTGTCTGCTCCTGAGTGTGTTTCTGTCAATGCGAGCTAGCAAAGACCAGAGCGACCTGGTCTTCTCGGGAGTCTTCTCCCTAGTCTGGATCGGTGAAGCGGTGGTGACTCTTCAGATCAAACTGCTGGGAGGAAACATGTGAAAAGCCCACTCCGTTCTGTACGCCATGTGACTGACTGCGGCCTAGTTCCTTTATGCAATCGGTATCCATCATCGGCTACACCTTGTTCCCGCTTACGATCGCTGCCCTGCTCAGTGCTCTGGGATTACCGATGATTGCGCGTGTTCCGGTCTATATTGTTCTTGTGTCGTGGTCGCTGGCAGCCGGGGTTAGCATTCTCGGAGGGTCAGGGGTCGTCAAGAACCGGGTCGCGCTCAGTGTGTATCCTCTGTTTGTCTTCTACCTAGGCCTTGGATGCCTGTGTTTTATTAGTTAGATCTCAGTAACGGGTCCAAGTCGTTCCAATAAGCGGTGGCCACGAGGCGGCGCGTCCGTTCCTCGACGTATAGTAGATGTAATGAATTGATGCGGGAGATTCAGAGCCATAGCAGGCCTGTCCCATTGTCTGGAAGGGTTAGACATCCTGTCTTCATGTTGTGAGACGACATGCTACATAATGCTGTGTGTATGCACTGCTCAATGACGGTGGGGCGGATTGGTGGTCGTGACAGTGCGGAGCCTGAGGGAGGGCGCATCTTCATTATTATCATTTAATTACCTAGTCGTGGGCATTGCGTTGTTCCTCGACCTGCCATCCCATCGCCTTTGTCCAAGGTGACTCTCAACAAACCCAGCCTTGCTCAGCGGGCCTCGATCACGTCCGGTTCGCCAGCACTCCGCCGAAGTGACACGCCATAACACCACACTGTGGTTTCAGTCACACTTCCTCCACCCATTCCCAGCGTCGTCTCGAGTCCTTGCAGCAATCACTGCAAGCCGAGCCAATCCATCCACACGCCCTACATCCTTGCATCGATACAAGCACAATAAAGATAGGAGATATAGGAGGTTAAATCAAACCACAGTGGCGCAGGATCGAAGAAGTCCTCTGTCGCAAAGCCATCCAAGAAGCGAGGACATACATCTGCGCTGTGGTGAGTCCACAGGCTTCAAAGTCAGAGCCCACCCCTCCTACTACGAGAGCCCGACGTCTCGACCGATGAAAACCCTTGAATGAGCGGCATCTCTGATTCGATCCAAGGCCCTAAATATTCCAAGGAACTTCCTGATCAGGTGTTGCTAGAAGGCCACACCCACTACGTAGGCCTCGCGGGCGACGTTCACCGGTAATATGGCTTCATCAAACGGCGCAGAGAGGACTGCCCAGACCCTTGAGCATGCGGAAGACATTCACGACCAAACGCCTCAAGACGGCAGCTCCGACGGTGAGGGCGGGGAACGAACAGCGAGAGAAAAATTGAAGAAAACATCCATCGCCGGACTCTCACAATCCTTCAGAGGCAAGGCTGGTGAGAGCGGTCCGGCTGGTGACCATCCTCTAAGAGAATCAGTCAACGCAGAGTCTGTTCCAGAACCCCATGTCGAGGATGGATCCCGCGGGCGGCCCTCGAAAAAGCGATCCTTTGAAGATCTGCAGACCGAAGATTCTGGTGCTGGCGTGGAAAATGGGGGTCCTCCGTTGCCAAAGAAGGGCCAACACAAGAGAATGAGGTCAAGAGAGGTCTCCGGAGATGACCCTTTGCAAGGACTCGAGAAACTGGAAGAGATTGCGAGCCCGGTTCAGGAAGAGAGTGACGCAGAGGCACAACAATCTCCTGGTGGACCGGGGGTCTTGGTCGCGGCTCGTCAAAAGGAAGAAGAGAGCGGCGGGTCTACTACCACAGACACCAAAGATCCAACAGCCAAACCCGACGCTGAAGATGTTGCTGGCGCTACAGATGCGAAAGCTAATATTTCCAATGCTACGAAAATGTCAGAGGAACAGCAGCCAAATTTACAACTCCCACCATCATCCGGCTTTGCTAACGCTTCAACTGCGTCCCCATTCAGCAGTTTCAAGTCTCCCAAGTCGCCATCCAAGGAGACAGAAACCATATCGTCGCCCGGAAACCCCACATCCAACTCGGCTTTCGCTTCATCTGGCCTGTCAGCTTTCGCATCGTCGGAGAAGTCGCCATTCGGATTGGTCGGTTCCAGCGCCAAACCCTCTGGAGGTTTCGGCGGTGTCGGCGGACAAAGTGGCTTCGGATCATCCTCCACTGGCCTCGGTGGCCCTTCACCCTTTGCAACTAAACCTGTTTCTGGGTTTGGCTCAGCCGGAGGGTTTGGTTCTGTCAGCGGGTTTGGTGGAGCCGCGAGCGGCTTCGGAACCCCCAAACCATTCAGTAGCGGATTGTCGACCTTTGCAGGTCCAGCAGGAGCAGCCAGCTCGTTTGGGAAACCCAAGCCATTCGGATCCTCCACCCAAGATGACGAAGACGGGAGTGAGGACGGCGGGGAGGATGAAGAGAGAGAAAAGACCGAGGAAGATGGGCAACAAGATCCCCGGTTCAAGCAGCAAGAGCGTGAGTTTGTTTCACATTTTAGGAATCTCCGGAGGCGGAAGGAAACTGACGCAGCTACAGTGGAAACGGGCGAAGAAGGAGAGGAGACCATCTTCCAGTGCCGAGCGAAGCTGTACCACTTTGATAAGGAGTGGAAGGAACGTGGCGTCGGAGTGTTGAAGGTCAACATTCGTTACGAAAGCAAATCAATTGACGGAGAGGCCGAGGCCGAGGCCGAAAACGACGACAGTGAGACCGGGAGCAATCCCAAGGAGAGCGAAGAAGAGGACGTCGAATCGGGTGGCCAGGCGGCTTTTTCCACGGTTGAGCGCAGAGCTCGTCTGATCATGCGAACGGATGGAGTGCATCGGGTTGTTCTGAACACGCCTGTGTTCAAAGACATGACCGTGGGCACACACGATGGACAGGAACCCAGTGGAAAGACGATGCATCTGACCGGGCTAGAGGAGGGAAAACCCACGTTTTTCCAGATCAAGGTAAGCGCCGACTGAAGCATAACAGTTCTTCTCTTTGCAGTATTACTTTTCCCAAGATGTACGGCACCGATTGGTATCTGACATACGTTCTCTCCCCGCAGGTCGGAAAAGAAGATGCTTTGAAAGAGATCTACTACAAGATCCGAGAACTGCAGGAAGAGCTGTAGACCTTTGCACTGAAAACGGCAGGGTCAGGGTCAGGGTCAGGGTCAGGGTCAGGGTCAGCGGCGTCTTTTGCGATGCTACTGTGCATTGCAGTTTCAGGCGGACAAGTGCATACACGAGAAGTTTACAATGTTCAGCGCAGGATCTCTGCGGGTGTCTCCTTGCGCGACGAACGAGTGACCGAGGCCAACCGGGGGAGGCCTACACTTCTTCCTTGCTGGTTTTCCCACACGAGATGAACGATCTGGGTTGGAATGGAATGGAACGGACTGGACTGGACTGGACTGGACTGGACTAGAACTGAACGAGTTGGCGATACATAGCACGTTTGGAAGGAACACTGCCTGCCATGTCTGCCATGCTAGCCTGGTCAAGTCTCCGGAGTCAAGACAGACATTGTTACAACAGGAAGTCAAGTCAAACTCATCATGCCATGCCCATGCCCACTCTCTCTCAGACACTTAGACACCCAGATATAGTTAACTCTTGTGAATTGGACGCGTCGAGTTCGTTGCCATTACAACTAATTAATTACATGTAATGTATATATGTATGTATGTATGTATGTATGTATGTATGTATGTATGTATGTATGTATATGTACCCCAGGCGAGGCCGACCTCAACACTGGCCTTGGACCAATCAAACACCACAAGCCTGACTTGGCTGATTGCAGTACAGAGTGTGTGAGCTGAGCCTGTGCGAGTCAAGTGCTCATTGACTGTAGCGGAACGAACGGGAACAGAAACAAGAACACAGCCGCCAGTGAATGATGGAAGGACTCCTGCGCAGGCCCTCAATGAGACGTGTCATGGTATTTGGAGGGTCCGTCCCGTCTGTTGGCTCGTCAATGGAAGAAGTTGTCTTTCTTGCTTGTTTCAATTCACAGGCAACAATAGCCTACTTACGGACGGGTAGTCATGCTCCGTAGTAATGTATATATCACTTCACAGAGTAGCAATGTATGTATCACTCACAAACTATCCTCCCTCCACCTCGACCGGACCCTCTGCCAACCCTCTCGCTCGCCCAACCCACCACGCTTCTCCAGCCCCAGACCTCTCTCGATCCACTCCTGACTGCCCATCTCGCTCAGCCGGCTCAGGGCCCGGGCAAAGGCAAAGCGCTCCTCGTCTCCACTAAAGAGACTGCTCTGCTTGAGCATGCTCATACTCATGCCTAGGTCGTCCATCAGGTTGCGCATGACATCGTCGACATCGGCGCCTTCGCCTTCGCCATCCGGGTCGATGGCTTTGGCATGGTCCGACACTTTCTCGTCGCTGCGGTTAGACGAGACCTTTGGGTTCGCGACGCTCTTGGTCACCTTCCCCAGCGAATCTTCCAGCTCGGCCTTGGACATGAACAGCTGCGACAGCGGGAGCGCGGTGGTGAGCACCAATTTCGCATGCGACTCGTACACGGCGTCAATGAAGGTGATGAACCGCCGTGCCCAGTCCCGTTCGCGGTGCGTCATCGACGGCACGTCCGTCACGACAAACGCGTCAAAGTGGCGCATCATCTCGATGTAGTCTGCCGCTCCTGTCGCCCGGCCGATCAAGTCGTGGAACGTGAACTTGGCGCATCGCCCGGACACCAACGGAACCTCAACGTCTCGTCCCCAGACCGTGATGGTCGTCGGGTGAGGAGGGTCATGTTCGGGATCACCCAAGAAGTGGAACCATTTGTTGGCGTGCGACACGGCCGCCCGGTCTAGGGGGTGGTGGTATACCCCAGACGGTGGGCGAGGGAGTTTGCGATAGTCGGTTGACGAGTCCAGATTGATGACCTTGAGTTGTTTCTTGAGCAGGTTGATGCACGGAATGAAGGATTGCCGTTGGATCCCGTTCTTGTACAGGTCGTCCGGATGTCGGTTGGAGGTGGTGACCAGCACAACGCCGTGCGACATGAGCGATTCTAGCAGCCGGCGAAGAATCATGGCGTCGGCCACATCGGTGCATTGGAATTCGTCGAAACAGAGCACCGTCGCTGTCTCGGCGATGTCGGCCGCCACGAACGGCACTGCGTCGAAATCGTTGCCATACTGCATCCGGACCTTGTGTAGCCGTTTGTGGACGTCTTGCATGAAATTGTGGAAATGGATGCGTGTCTTTGTCGCGATGTTCGGTGGCAGAGTATCGTAGAAAAGATCCATCAACATCGTCTTGCCCGACCCGACGTCTCCATACATGTAGAGCCCCTTGGGCAGGTTGGGAGGTAACTCATTGATCACCTTCTTCTTTTTGCCCCCGCCGAAGAAGGATCCTAGCAGCGATTTCTTGGGAGGGTGCAGATCCTTGACATCTGGGTGGCTGACTTTCGGAGGCTCATAGTCCTTGAGCGTTTCGTGGAGGTCTTGTAAGTGTTCCACCAGGCCTAGTTTCGTCTTTGGTATCAGCACGAGCCCAACCCGCACAGGTGGTACCCGCGCCTGCGCCTTCAGCGGCTGGCTACTCGCCGGGATGCTCACCTCTTTGATGCTGATCATCCCTCAACCTGCCCGTGTGTACCCGTTCATCATACTCTTCCAGAGGTCCTCTGTTGGCGACGTCGCTCACAGTGGCGAGCTGGCGTTTCGACACCCGCCGAACCGACGCGGCATTTGCACGACCCAAGCGGTGTGCGTCGAAGTGGTGGTGGTGCTGCAGAGTGTGCAAGCCTCGGCCCCGGCGACTGAGGTCCACTTGCGCAGCTATCTGTGTTGGCCGCAGTTGGCGGTGGTGGCCAGACCGATATGTTCTCAAGCAGTCAGCACATATCGTTTGTCGGAGCGGTTGAATGGCGCCAAAGTCAGAAACAACGGCCCTGATATAGGCTTGAAAGGCATTGTGGACAGGATGCACAGTGGCCTTCATGGTGCAGGCGCCCTTGACGCTAAAGGAAACAAGGCTGGAGAAACGAAGAAACGACAACACGACAACGACGACGAAGGTACGAAATGGTAGGAATGTGCAGTGAGCAGCGCATGAAGATGAAGCTGGAGTGGGAGTCGGCGCCGCTTTTCGGAGGGTGGAGATGTCGAGATTTGGGGGACGGGGCATAATAAATTGCCGGCCATGATGAATACGGAGGACAGAGGACGCAATATACAGCATACACTGTACAGTATACAGGATGGATCGATCACAGTATGGGCAAGGCGGTACCAGTCTTCCATTATAAAGCGCAGTTTCTACAGCCCTCGCTTTCTGTCTTCTGTCTGCTCAAACTGCAGTGCATCTCTGTGTTGAACCAACGGCCATGCCATGCCATGCAATGCCATGCTGCCATCCCTTTCCTGCTCATCCAGCAAATTCTTCGCAGAAAAGACCCTCCAAAATGATGTGAGCCGGCCCAGCCCGATTTCGCCTCCCCTACACCCTCCCACAACTTTTGTGAGAACCGCTGGTCGAGAGGAATGGCTCTTCCCAAGTTCCGAAACCCCCAGTGCGCCGAACGTCACCGCGTAAACACATAGCTCATCAGCAGCTCATCAGCATCTCATCACTCTGCCCTCGTTTCCGCCTTTGTGTTCCGAGCCCCAGGAGTACCGCGGCAGCTGGCCCAGTGCTCGTTCGAGTGCCCGTTCCAGCGGTCTAGTCTATCGACCAGCATTGTTTCGATACACGCCAGCGGCCGCGCCTTTCAACCGGCAGCAAAGTTGACGTACAAGGTCAGCTTCGGGTTCCGCTGCAGCGCCACGTCCAGATTGTCGTCATTCTCCAGGCTGAGCAGGCTGTTCGTCGCTTCATCCTTGTACTGAATCACAAAGTCGTCATTCACCTTCAACCGTTCCATGAGCTTGTCCTTCAACTGCAAGAACAAAATATCCTGCGGCACTCGGATCGCAATGATATCGTCCTGGAAGAACACCTTCACCTTCATCACTCCACCGGCATTCGCGGCCTTCATGCTTGAAGAGGTGGATGCCTGCGTCAAGTTACTAGCCTGAGAGTGTAGGAAAGGCGGCCCTCCCAACCCCATTCCCACCCCAGCTGACATTGGGATCTGAGACCGTTGTTGTGACGCCCGAGTCCCCGGAGGTGGCATCCCACCATAACCCGTCCCAGGCTGCTGTGGGTTGGAAGACGCCCGAGAAGCCGGTTGCAACGATTGCTGTGATCCTCCAGATAGCCGATAGTCTTCTCCCAGAGCATTCGGATCTATCTCAAAGTCTTGATTTGCCCTCGGTTTAAACAAGTTCCTCACAAGCATGCTCTTGGAGATGTGCGGTGGCATGTCTAGAATTTTCTTGATATACTCGTCGAGGTTTTGGCGGCGTCCATTCGAGATTGCATCCGTCACATGGGCCACGGGTCCCGGCATAAAAGGCAGTGTGCGAGGCTTGCCCTTGTTACCGGCTTCTTCGGGAAACATTTCCAGCAGCGCGATCTGGAAGTCGTAAAAGTCGGCATAATAGCGCGACAGTTCCCACCACCGCCCATCTTCCATTTGGCATTCTATGATGTACCAATACATATCGTTGTCGAAGCAATATCTCGGAACCGAGGCACTGATGGGGGCAAGGGGAATCTGCGATTGTTGTGACGTTCGTGGGCCTGTCTGTTGCGAGTCCTTCGTCAATCAGTACGCATCCGCCATCAAGAAAAACCTGCTGTCACTCACGTAGTTGTTGCTGGACAGTGACTGCTGCGAACCAGCGTTCTGCAAACTCATTCGAGCCATGTCGGCAGATAGCTGAGCTTGAGGACTGTCGAATTTGCCCAGGGTGATGCTGCTGTTCTTGTATTCGGCCGCAAACTTCTTCCATTCTTCCACTCTGGGAACGCCAGCCTTGCGGACGGCCTCGAGAGGGTCTGGTACCGATTGCATGGTGGCGGTGTCTTTGATGTCGATAAACGACACAGGAATCAATCCAGGTCCTCCCAACCGCCCTATCGGCTTCGCAACGAACCACTCTGGATTGGACTGGGCCACGACAATGATTGCTTCTCCGGCTTTGGCGTCAAGCTCGTCTGCCCTCTCGGCGTTGAAATCATACAGTACCACCCCATACACCATGGCCCCAGGACTCCTTGCCGTCATACTAGCTCCTCTCTGATGCGCAGCGGGTCTAGTGGTGGCGGTTGACTCGGACCGTGTGTGGCCAGAGTTGGTCGAGCCTTGCTCGGAGAATCCGGAATCGTGGCCGTCTGGTTTCTCCCCAGGCGACGAAAGGGAATTTCCGCTTTGTCGCTGTTGTTTGCCCACGACTTCGAAGAATGCGACGGGCACGAGACCTCTAGCAGATGGGATGAGCGGATTGCACGCCTCGTACCACTCGGTATCATCTTCCCGACTCAGGACGTGAAAGAAATCCCCCTTGTGAAAGGCCAGCTCTTGTCCATTCCCGTTCTGCGGCCGGTAGTCGTAAAGGGCCTTGATGACTTTCTTGGGCGGGAGGGCCTGGATCGTCTTTGGCGTAATCGACAGGCTCGGGGCATGCTTGGGCTCCTTGTCGCCCTTGAGAGATCGGCGAATGGCCTAGATAGATCGACTGCGTAAGACACCAACCATTCCTTTCATAGAGTCCGTATGCGCATGCGAACACGAACATGCGAAAGACAGGAGTGGACATACCTTCATTGTCGCATTTGATGAGCCCCGCAGTGGCATGAGCGAACTTCGACGCAGGAGGTTTTTTGTTGGTTCTAGATGGGGCGCATATGCAGCCGCAGGATGAAACAAGACTGCTCGATAGCTTGCCCGGCGCTGGCCAATTCCGATCCGAAAGGACCTCTCGGAGGACGCTGTTTCGCGTCACGGCGATAGATTAAGGACGGCGTCCAGGGCGTACACTCCGTTTTCGGTCGACAGAGGAGGGAGATTGTAGACAAAACGTGTGTCTCAAGGAACTGGGACAAGGGCGGCGGCAAAGGAAGAGGGCACAAAGTGACAAGGACAGGGATTCTGGGGTCGAACCCAAGATCGACTAATTACTGGCTGAAGGTGCAGCAGCCTGCAACCAAATACTGACGGCCCCCAAGCAGTGAACAAGGAGTTGTCCCTCATTTAATACCTGGTAGGCCATTACTGCACACTCCGTACTGCAACTACTGGTGCTCCCTAATATTGCTAGGTACGTACGGATACTTGTACCTGATATCCACAGCCTTCCATCCCATCATCTTCTGAAGCCCGACTGCACATCCTACGTCCTGGGTAGGTAGGAGGAGGTAGGCTGGCACCACAGACCATAAACTCTCGCTTATTGACCCGTCTGTGCCTCTGACTAGGTCCATGACGGCCAGCTCCGACCTAGCTTTGTGCTGGCTACTCGGTACTCCATCCTCCATCCCCGTGTGCGGTCGAACCCCTCCCTCCATTTTCACCTTGGTCGCGCGTCAGTCTTTGTTTACCGAGATCTCTTTCACAACAACGCGATGTGCTCGAGCCACCCGACGGAAGAAGCGTGCTACCTAGTACGTCGTTCCATGCGCAGCCTTCTTTTAAACAGGCGACCGACAAATTCCGGCCGCATCCGACATTGGGCGTGGATCTGACAATCTGTCGTCCAACCTCATGCATCCGGTCAGCCTTCTGGGCATCCCTGCTAGGTGCCTGCCAAAATGAAACACATGCAGGCTGAGTTTCACACTCATTCTCCCCACAATGCTACTGCAGTATTATCATCACGCTATGGCCTCGACGAAACGATGCTCTCAAATGACTGTCTGTGCCGTTCGCTACAGTCCCGACTCACCACAAGATTGCTCTCGGTAGAATACTAGACTGATTGGATAGGGTTGTTGCAGGACCAGCTGTTGCAAGACCTTTGGTTCATTAGCTTAGGCGCCACGTCTGATCCATCCTTCGCTTCCTCATCTCAATTGTTCAGACAGCTCTATGATTGACACAACTGCAGCTCCAATTCGGCTGAATGCAAAATCAACAAGGCACCGACCAGAGTCAAGAAATAATGGTCGCACAGTGACAGTCCTTGACACAGGTCGAATTGATAAAAGATCGGCTCCGGAGGGAATACCAGGTACTGTAGGTCTTGCTGGCACCCATGGTCATGGAAAATCTCTACCCTGGAAACTGTACATTCTTCCATGGCAGCTATGTACTTCCAGAGCCAAGTGTCCCGACTCATCCGTCTCCTTGAACCTTGAACTCCTGCGCTACGTACAAAGATCGCCGGGCTGACACCCGTAGATCTTTTGAGTGTTTTCCCAGATCCAGCACACGGTTGCTTTCCACTTTCGGTATGCTATGCGCGCCATGAGAGATTGAGATTGCACTTTCCACTCCCACAGTGCCTTGGATCGTCGCGGCTGAAATAACACATTTCGTCGACCATCGGTGATGCAGAAGAAAATGTCCAAAACGCTGAAATAACTCGATGAAAAGAGGACCAGAAGTAAATGTTGGAGCAGGGCCATTACCGCCTGGGTGATCCACAGAAATAAGGGGTTTCGGGGCGGCCAAGGAACGGAGCAAAGCAGTGGAATGGGATATCTCAAATCTGGCCCTTGATGTCGACCAGCCCGAAGGCTCTTGTTTTCGCATTTTGGAAGATCGATCCGACCTTGCCGGTTAGAAAGCGAACGTCGCCTTCGCGTTCTTCAAGAAGATGCGACGAGTCTTCGGGTGCATGATCGAGAAGGAATTGGCAGGCTTCTTCATCCGATTCAAACCCGAGTTCTTCGGTGACAAAACGCAATCGGACATCGGGTTTATACCTGTTCAACATTAGCTACAGACCTCGCATGGGGTAAAACCGGCGAACCCACGCTTTGCACAAACACGCTAGTGCTGCTAATCTCTCGCGTTCTACAAACATATCCATCAAGTACGCTCCCATGTCCGGGACAGTAAGATATAACTTGAAGAATTTGTGGTAGTTCCCAAGAGCAAGGGCAGAGCGCACCTCCAGGGCATGTTTGATCGCGGGTTCCTTCTTGTCTGCGGGGGTTAGATCAGAGAGCACATCATTCATGTCAGTCTGGTTGCATGTGTGGATAAAATAGAGGATACGATATGCCTTGAATTCCACAGGGTGACCACCAAGATTCTGCTTGTACAGCTCCCGAAGCTGTGTCTGGCATTGGTTATACTCACCCAGGTCACCCCTTTCTAACGCGATTCGAGCATGATATTCGTAAACGCTTGTGGTGAATTCGTTCTTGATATGTTGCACGGTCAAATCTTGCCGTAATGACTTGAACTGGTCGCAAATATAGACATAATTGCCGTCACTGCGCCACTTCTTTTTGAGCAGTTCCAGCGTCTTGCGTAAGACCTCCAGGGGCCGAACATCGTCGGGATTGGGTGCCGAGGTCAATCTGAAATAATTCTTCTCAAGCTTTTGGCAGCGGCCCACGATCGGTCCGGTCACCTTCGCCTCTGGTGAAGCTCCTCGTGATGATTCTTGTGTACGTGGGGAATTGGATCCGGCACGTGAGTCCTCAAACCGGCGTCTGCGGGATTCCAGGCTTGCACTTGATTTACTTACGGATGTGGTCATGTCGAGCTTGGGCCGTTTATCAGACGGGGCGAAGGAAACTCGGTCTGCCAGTGGTCCAGATGACTGCGCACTTGTTCTCCAAGGTGGTGGAGCCGTGGCATCTCCGGCCTCTTTGGAAAGCTCGGTGGATTTACGCTTACGGGGAGCGTCAGGGTGAGGCTGATATGTGGTCGTAGACGGAGCCGAGGCAGGGACAGCGGGAACATAATATGGAGGGGGTACAGGGGCAAGAAGAGCACGGTTTCGGTCCTCCTGGATCAGCTGCTGGGGGAGTGGCAGCTCTTTCCAATTAATTGTGTCGAGTCTCCCGCTTTGTGTGGCCTCCGTGATTATTTCTTTGAGCTTTGCTTCAATATGCTCCTTCGTGATTCCCGGAAGTGCCGTGGTCTGGGCAAATGATCGGTTGACGTAGTCACGAACATCCGGAGACCAGTTCATCTTCTTCTTAGCAGGGGGGGCCAATGGCGGCGGAGGAGTGTTTGTAGGCGGCGATGCCATGTAATGCTGAGGCGGAAAGTAGGTCGGCGGTGGAGGAAGAGGCGGTTGCGCACCAAACGTTTGACGGGCTGGAACTTGTATGTAAGCATTCTGGTTGGACGAGTAAGACGATTGAGCCTGCCACGGAGGGTGGCCGGGAGCCGAAGAACTTGAATACATGACGGCGCTTGCAAAAGGAGTCGTTGTGAAGTTGAGAAGACAGGACAGAGCACAGGAAAGATGGTGTGTGTGTGCTACGCATCGCTGAGGCGCGGTTAACAGACGATTCCAGGAAAAGCCGAGCCAAGAAATAGCTACTCTAGTCACGTGAGCGATTTTTTGGTTATATCCCATCGGTTACAAAATGACCATAAGATCCGCCGTAGTAGTAGCAGCGGTATATGGATACGGAGACAAACATCTGCCACCCAAGCGCCAAATGGTCAACCACATACCATACCACATTGTCCTTCTGGACATGTCCCACTCATCATCGACCATGTCGGGCTATCTGCAATCCTAGTACAGTAGGAAATATTCTTAGCTGTATCCTGATCTCTGCTCGAAGATGATATGCAGCCTCCACCAAAGGCCGGATGTTCCTCAAAAAGCCAGATTTAACTGCTGGCTGCCGCCCAACCCTCTCCCAAGATGAGACACTGCTCGTGGTTCAAGACGGGGTGGGCCTTTACGAAGGGTCAGCATTGGCTTCTATCATTCTTTTTTATCAGGCAGAATCTCACTGCTTGCTAGGAAATACAAGATCGCCTCCTGCCAAAAAGGTCATGCCTACTTGACCTCTCACCGAGCTTGTTATGTTGATGATGCCGATCCACGAGCCAACTCGTGGGCCATTGACCTCAAAGACGTCGAGCGTCATGAACATCAGGTATTTTGCCCCTCACATAGTCAAATCCCAATTAACCCAGTCGATTCAGCCAGGCTTCCTGAAATCATCGGCCAAAATAACATTGTACCCTAAGCCGATCAAGCGTGGCTTCGGCTCTGTCAGCAAGTCAGCTGTTCCTCAGTCTCCAGCATTTCAAAGGGTGACCTCCGCGTCCTCTCCTTCTTCTCGCTCGAGCAGCCCGTTCCGACCGTCGGCAGTCTCACCAGCAGATCTGCCTGTAGTCATTGGGACTTGGGTTTGTCCCATCTGCTCTTTTTCCAATCCCGTGCCGTCTAATTTCGACCCTACAATTGCCACGGAGGCCTTCCCACTGCCGCCCTGCCTTGCTTGTGGTATCAAGCCCCCTTTTGCTACTGTCCTCAAGGCGGCCATTGCTGCAAATGCTAAGCACTTACCGGAGAGCTTGCCCTCATCCGGGGCGGGATCAGTGCCAGACTCCGCAACTGGGCTACACCAGTCCTACGACGATAGCAATACCTCGGATACCATCCCTTGTCCTCGTTGTACATTTCACAATTATCCAGGGATGCGTATCTGTGAAATGTGTTCTGCGCCACTTCCCACGCCGAACCTTCTCCAGAGAGTGGAATTTGAGGACTCACTCGCACGAGCTGGATCTCCAGGACCCGAAATATCCGGCCTCACTTTGGAGGAAGGGGGGGATCCTCCCAGCGTGAAGTTCTCTTTCCGGAATGGCGGCGATAGAATCTTCTATGACCGGTTAAAGAATGCAATGATACAGCGGAAGTGGCTGCTACAAAACGCCCCGCCCATCCCGCGAGGAGGTGTTGACCATCCGCCAACCCCCCTTGATATGGCAAACATTACACCAGCGTCTGTATCACGACCGGTGTCTGTCGGGATTGCTGGGCTGGAACAACGTGGCCTGCAAACTCGGAAGATCAACGAGACAGTTTTAGGGAATGCATTCGCAGACCTGGAGGCCTTGATGGCTTCGGCAAAAGACGTTGTCGCGCTCGCTGAGAGGTTCGCAGTAGAATCGAATTCAGGCTTAGGCTTCTCGGGCCCCTCTTCTGATGTTGTGCTTTCTCAATCAGCGGCTGCACTAGGGATGGTTACAACAAAAGATGTGCTCGGAGACAGTTCAACTTCGCTCTACATCTCTGAGCTTGCACGAAATCTGGCTGAATATGCTACAGACGATCGACGAGGAATCCTCCGACGCCAAGGGGGCACCATGAGCCTCGTTGACCTATGGGCGATGTTCAACAGGAGTCAAAATGGGGTCGAATTGGTTAGCCCTACAGATTTTCGCAAAGCCGCCGAAACATGGGAAAAGCTTGGGCTTCCGGTCAAGCTGCGAAGGTTCAAGAGTGGTCTCCTAGTCGTGCAACGACGCGACGCAAGTGACGAGAAGACAGTAAGCCAGATCAAAGTGTGGCTGAACTCCTTGAGGGTGGCTGAGGTTGACGAAACGCCAACTTGGGAATGGGCTACCTATGGCTTTGGAGTTACGGCGCAACAGGCAGCCGCACGATTTGGTTGGAGCCTTGGGGTCGCCACCGAGGAGCTCGAGATGGCGGAGGAGAGAGGGGCGCTGTGTCGAGAGGAGGGAGTTGAAGGGCTCAAGTTCTGGTTAAACTTCTTGCTTGAGGATGAATAGATGCTTCTGAACGTCCTACGCCACTGATCCAGTGGTCTTTCTTCCTAGTGTTCTCGTATTGACTCCAATGGGCCACCACAAGGCCACAAGGCTCTGACACTTTCGCGCAGTGGAGAACTTGCAGGTGGGCAGGACGACGCGACTCGGCGCACTTGCCCTTTCAGGGATCGGGGACTCCTGAACCCCGACACTGGTCGGGGGTTGTAGCGACAGGAGGTATTGTCCTCTAATACATATGCGAACGGTACGATGGGATTGTCCGACCCAAGTCACTCTTTCAACTAATACTGGGCAAGTATGGCAAGGCTAGGACGGGGTGGCTTCCTTGCCCTCGCCGTCATCTTTCACCTGGTCTATGTTTATTCCATCTTCGATATTTACTTCGTCAGCCCCATAGTCCATGGCATGAAACCGTACAAAGTCGAACAGGCCCGTCCACCGTCAAGGAGACTTGTATTATTTGTCGGTGACGGACTGCGCGCGGACAAAGCGTTCCAATTCTTCCCAGACCCGTCGCCTGCGGACCCTGCCAACGCCGATTTGACCCCTCGACCCCTCGCTCCTTTCCTGCGATCCCGAGTGCTCGAGCACGGTACCTTTGGGGTTTCGCATACCCGGGTACCCACAGAGTCACGGCCTGGTCATGTCGCCCTCATAGCCGGCCTGTATGAAGACGTCTCGGCGGTTACGACTGGCTGGAAACTGAACCCGGTGGATTTCGACAGTGTCTTCAACCGCAGTCGCCATACGTGGAGTTGGGGCAGTCCTGACATCCTGCCAATGTTCAAGGAAGGAGCGGTACCGGGTCGTGTGGACGCAGATCAGTATGGCGAAGAGTTTGAGGACTTCACACAAGACGCGACGAAGCTGGACACCTGGGTGTTCGACAATGTCAAGGCACTGTTCCATTCTGCCAGCACAAATTCGACTTTAAACACTCTGCTACGAGAGGACAAGATCGTCTTTTTTCTGCATCTGCTTGGTCTGGACACGACTGGCCATTCTTACCGACCCTATTCAAAAGAGTATTTGCATAACATCAAGGTTGTGGACAAGGGAGTTGAAGAGATTACAAATCTGATTGACAATTTTTATTCTGATGGGGAGACATCGTACGTGTTTACAGCTGACCACGGGATGAGTGACTGGGGAAGCCACGGGGACGGTCATCCTGACAATACGAGGACTCCCTTGATTGCCTGGGGTGCTGGTGTTGCCCGACCCGAGGTCTATCCTGATTCAAGAGCTCCAGGCCATGAGGATGGGTATTCTTCGGACTGGGGCCTGGATCACATTCGACGGCATGATGTCGATCAAGCCGATGTCGCCGCTCTGATGGCCTATCTGGCCGGGCTAGAATTTCCAGTCAATTCGGTTGGGAGACTACCATTGTCTTATCTTGCAGCTACTACCCAAGAGAAAGCTAGTGCAACACTTGTCAACGTCAAGGAAGTTCTAGAGATGTACAATGTCAAGGAAGAGCAGAAGCAATCGACCTCACTGCACTATCAGCCATATCCGCCCTTCTCCAAAGCCAACAGCTCCGTTGCTGAGCGGATCTCTGCCATTGAAACTGCGATTCAGAACAGTCAGCACGAACATGCCATCGATTTGTCCTTGGATCTGTTCCATCACACTCTTCAGGGGTTAAGGTATCTGCAGACATATGACTGGCTTTTCCTTCGAGCTCTTATCACGGTGGGATACCTGGGCTGGATCACCTTTGCTGTCACAACGGTTATCGACCTTCACGTCCTCCATGGGGCAGTCCCAGACGAGAGAACCACCGGGTCGACCGTGGTATTCTCATCCGTTTTGATTGCATTGTACTCTTTTTTCATTTTTGAAAAGTCACCCTTGACATACTACGCGTATGCATTCTTCCCCGTTTTTTTCTGGGAGGAGGTGTTCGCCCGGAGGAAGGCGTTGGTCTCTGGGTTCAGAGTTTTATTTGGCCATGTCAAGCAACCTTCGGATTGGCTAGTTCTTGCCATCCAGGCATTTCTGTTTTTGGGAGTTGTGGAAGCTTTGGTAAGTCTGGAGCCTCGATTAACATGATCGTGAATGTGTTTGCTTACTTGTTCAGGTCCAATCATACTTCCATCGCACTGTATTTACCGTGTGCTATGTTCTGGGTGCCTTCTCCCCTCTGTTTTACGGACTGGAACTTGTTGGAACGAACAAGATGCTCGTGCTTGCCTGGGCGGCTGGCTGCCTGGTGCTGAGCACTTTTACCCTTCTGCCAGTGGTCAAGGTCGAAGACGCCAACACCATTAGCGCTGGCGGACTTCTCATGTTCGGAGCTGGTCTCGTCTACCTGTATCTCGAGGACCACATCACGGCCCGGTCGAAATCTAAAACTACCCATGCTCAACCCAATGCTGTCTCTCGAATCCTTATGGGCGTCCAGGTTGGCATCATCTTGCTCACAATCATTGTCACGCGTTCAAGCATTGCGTCTATTCAGGCAAAGAAGGGGCTCCCCCTGGGCAATCAAGTCATTGGCTGGTCTGTGCTTGTGGCCTCCCTCGTTCTCCCTTTTGTCCACCGGATCGCACCGAACGAGCATTACCTCCACCGCTTGGTCATCATCTTCCTCACATTCTCGCCTTCTTTTATCCTCTTGACAATCTCTTACGAAGGTCTCTTCTACGTTGCATTCTGCTTTACTTTGCTTGCCTGGGTCCGCTTGGAACATGCTATCCAGGTCCACGCCACATCGGGGGTACCATCTGATCTTTCTCCCACTACGGCACACGCAAATGGGGTGACGATCACATCGACATCAACCCAATCGACCAACCTTCATCCCGAGACGACTTTTCGGACGTTGGCGCTACCGGATCTCCGACGCGCCCTGTTCTTTCTGTTCTTCCTCCAGTCAGGGTTCTTCTCGACGGGCAACATTGCGTCGGTATCTAGCTTCAGTCTAGATGCGGTGTATAGGCTGATCCCGATCTTCGATCCCTTTTCCCAGGGAGCCCTACTTTTATACAAGCTGCTAGTTCCCTTTGCGATCATCTCAGCAGCCTTGGGGATCCTCAACCGCCGACTCGGTCTTCAATCGTCGGCGCTGTTCATGACAGTCATGGCGGTGAGCGATGTCATGACGCTGAACTTTTTCTGGATGGTCAAGGACGAGGGCAGCTGGCTGGACATTGGCACAACCATCAGCCACTTCGTGATTGGGAGTGTGCTGTGCGTATTTGTGGCCGGACTCGAAGGCGTTAGTCATGCCCTGATCAGGGGCGTCGAGGTCGACGCCTACGAAGACAGGGTCAAATTGGCTGGAGGAGTGGAGAGTATCAAGGCCATAAGGGTCGAAGCAAATGGCGCGGCTAATGGGGCTGTAAAAGCAGCGGCTGGGGACGAAAGGCCCGTCATCGAGTAGGCTGTGTCGCGTCCTCAGGAGGACAGGCCTATACAGCTTCCTCGATTTGGTACAGAAATGCTCAGATCACACTCAGAGTGAATCGCATGTGGTCAAGGTCATATTATTGCCTTTTGTGTGGTGTCTATTCGACGACAAGCCAAGAGTCTTGCGTGAGGAACACCTCCGTGAATAAAATGCCCATGGAATGCCTTCATCTCCTGGTACCTCGAAGATACTCAGAGCGTTCCATGCAAGCCAGCCAGTGTGATGTTCCACCTAGCCTTGATCTCCTACGCCATTTTTCCATTGTCTCAAATGACCCATGACTACTCGACAGCCACTGGAGAGATAGACACTTAACTCGTGTAAGCTTGCGGTCTGTGTCTGTGTCTCCACCTCAATACTGCCCTCAGAGCGGTCGTATTGTTACTTCCTGGCGCTGTCGCCCTCGGCGGCAAGTTCGACAGCACTCACAGGCTGCTTCGACTCGGCACCGGCAAGAGTGGCATTATGTTCAGGTAAGGGGCCTCTGGGATGGTCCCCCTCCGACAGCAGGCCCCCGCCAGCTGTGGCACCGACACCTTCAAGGCCGGAGGTCTGTTTCTTGCGGGTGTGTTGGCCTTCATGGCGGATCTCAGTCGATGTCTGGCCCTGGCCTGGATGTCCTAGTCCTTGGTGCACGTCGGCCGAGGTCGCTCCAGGCAGTGTGCTTAGAGGGTCCGTTCGAACACCTTCCTTTCCGTGACTGCGGAGGACGTCATCGTTATTTGCTTGGCCTGGTACTTCAGACACCGGATTTGGCGTGTATGTCGACGCTGGAGGCGCTGAGCCGGCTGGAAGCGTCTGGGCTGAGAACTCTGGGGCGAAGTCGGCCGGGGTGGACTTGACACCGACTTGGTGCTGCAAGAGGAAGAGCATTAGTTTGGACTGTTGTTCTCGGGAAGAGAAGACAAAAGGTCCGGGTGACATGGGTGTGTACTTACACCACCAGTTTCGAGAGGCTCAGATCTTGGCTTGTGAGGTGTGAACTCGCCTTGGGCGTTGGTGGCTGAGTCTGCGTTCCTTGATGCCATCTCGGGGACAGGGGCTCTGGGTGAAACGTGGTTCTGGTCTGTTCGTTGTGGTTCCTTCGGTCGTGTTTGACGTTCGATTCAATCAAGTCAGTCGTACTCCGCTGGAATCAGTAGTTGATTGAAGTGAAGAAAGTGTGCGAACAATTAATACAACGAGTTCTCGCTGTGACTTGAAGTCGAGATGAAGTCGAGAAGAGTCGGTCGTGGTAGAGAAAGGTGAGTGACGTCACCCAGGGGATGTGTGATCTCATCTCCGGCTGCGGTGACAGTGGCAGTGAAGATTCTCGTCATTTCAGGGTAGATGAAAGTATACGGTTATACAATTACAGGCTGTGCTCCGGTGAGAATCGGTGCCAGTGAGGCAAAGAGAACATCAGAGGCGATGATGCGGCAGGGACATCATTCCGCCAATCAAATCAACACATTATTCGCCTGGACCGGGGAGCCTCCTAAGCCTGACGTATTGGCGGTCACCATTATTGAACAGTGCATACTGTACTCGTACACTCCGTCCAATACCTGAGAACTCCCCTGCACTATGACAGTGTACTGTTCATTACCCAAGGTACTAGGTATCTACCTAACAGCCGTGGAAGCACGAAAGCAGGCGTCCTAAATACGACAGCATGGTTCGTTGAAACGGCAGGATAGCACCCAAGCTGGTCAGTACAAGCCTGGACTGGGTGTCAGATACATATACCCTCCCTAAGGTAGGAAGGTAGGTATTAAACCACACCTGGTAGGTGCCTGGTCTGGTACCTACAGGGTACGACTCGGATCACAGATCATCCTGTATTGTGACGTACATACGATGCCCAGATACCCAGAGCAGGGATGTCGCGCGACGCCCACCAACTTCTCCTCCATCGAACTGATCCTCCGAGACTGTCGTCAAGATATCTTACAATACCTTGTCCATTTAGCCGGTAGTGCCCATCAAGACCTCGCTCGACCAAGTCTGATAAGCCTGCACATACTACTAGGTATTCAACCTCCACTCCTTGACACTGAGAAGTCACCATGTCCGATCTCAAATCCAAAGGCGGTGCAACAATCGAACAGGGCGATACAGTCAGCACACCGGTAAGTGGGCAGCCTCTATAAACGCGCTCGAGACAAGTCTGCTGGGAGGATACGATTAGGGGTTTGGGACGAAGGTACCTATATTTTGTGCAAAACGCCTGCTGACAAAGGTATTGGCTACTATCATTAGTACCGTGGAGGCAAACATGAGGGCAAAGTCGAGCAGATCGTGACCGATGAAGATCAAGCGCGCAGCCTCGATGCCAAAGGCGCCCGCCATGCTCCCGCAGTCGTGTATACAGACCAGAACAATAAGAAGGTGGCGCATAAGCCGAACACGGTGACGGACTTGGATAAGGAGTGGTGAAGCATGAAACTTTGAGAATCTCACTCTGATTCAATTCAACCTCGCCAGAGCCTCTTGGTAAGGTGGGCGCGGTCCTTTCAAGATATGTAGATGAATATCAAAATAGTCAGACTCGGTTGACCGCCGATACGATGAGCCTCCCGAGTCAATCCCGAGTCATTCATCCTCCTCTGTATCACTCAACCATGAACCTCCAGATATCGTAAAGGCACAGTGCGTAATTTGTTGGCTTCGTTTCATCCGTGCCCACCCATATCCGGGTCAATCCAGATCTGCCGGACGTAGATCGAGAGGGTTTGGACAAGGCCGAGGAGTGAAGGAGGTAGAGGAAGACCTCATGAGGATTGACGTCTTCCTGGGTTTGGTTTTGTAGCAGCGCCCTCTCAACATTCATCGGCTATAAATCCCTTAGCAGCACCTGTCCTATTTGACGACTGCCAGCAGGAAGCCGTCGTAGTTCTTCTCCGAGACAGTCTGAATGACCACAGCGTCCACCTTTTCATTGCTTCCGACTGCCTCTACCAGTTTCCGTGTGCCAGCAACACGGGGGTCTTGTTGTGCGGCAGCCTCGTCAGCAAGCTTGCCCTGACGCACAACATTGTCGACGTAGATGCAGGTTTTCGGCTTTGTTATCTGCAGAGCCAGCTCAAAATACGCCAGGTTGTTCTCCTTGTCTGCATCGATGAAGACAAAATCAAATGGTTCGCGCTTGCCAGCCTTGACCTCTTTGACCAGTTCAGGTAGGACTTCCAGCCCAGAACCCAGCAACACGCTGATTTGGCTGGAGAGCCCAGCATGGGCTATGTTTTCTTCGGCTACTTGTTTGTGCTTCGGATCAACTTCCACAGTGGTTACTCGGACATCTTCGCCGGCTCCAGATGCCAACCATATGGCGGAGTAGCCTCCTAGCGTCCCGACTTCCAATATGTTCTTTGCTCGCGTGATCTGGACTTGAATGGACAAGAGCTTGCCCTGAGCTGGGTACGACGCGATGTCAGGGAGCCCTTTGGCAAGCGAATTGGAATACGCAAACTCAAGAGCCTCATGGTATTTGTTCCGCGAGGGCGAAAGTAGATGGGTTGCAGCGAAGGCGTCGACGGCACTCCATCGTGGATCTTGCTCAAACCTGAGTTTATCATCAAATTTGGGAGCCATGGTGGGCAGAAATGGGTGATCGTCGTATTACCTGGTAGCTTGCTTCAAGGCGCTGGTACCTCTGGTCGGTGGCATCACTTTGAATTTCGACAGAGGATCAAGCCTGCTTATCTACCAATCTCGCCTCGGCTGCGGACTTCCTAAAAGCGAGATCGGCCGAAATGTCGGGATGAAGAGGTGTCGCCATTACCATTGCGATGGTATAATCACCGTCGTGACTGATGCTCAACTGTGCTGCCTGCTCAGTGATTCGATTGATTGGTGGAGGGTCGCGCGCAAGACGGGTGTCGCAGATGACTTGCACCCTCCCTCCGGTTTCGGGCTCGACCCTCAGATCCCGGAATCCAAGCAGTGTGGCATCCCAGGCTTTTTTGGCCGCTTCTTTGGCAGCCCAGCGACCGGCAAGCCACGCGGCAAGCTGTTGTCTCTTTAGCCCATCGTGTGATTGTGCGTCCTTCCAGTTGGGAAACCGGTGATTCAGATCATCGAGCTCTCTAGGGTGCAGAAAGCGGGCAGCTAGTCTAGAGAGTCGCTTGTAATCCGGTTGCAAGGGGGATAAGATTCGACTTGTGGCTACAATGTCGGTGCCAATGCGTAAGGACAGAGGAAACGGTGCTCGCATCGGGTTGGCCCTTTTCACAGCTGGGCACCAGGGACGTTGCTTTGTCGGAAGAGCATCTGCTGGCTAGCGACGGAGACCTGAGAGCCCTAGAGTGAGGAATGGACGGTATGGCCCCCACAGAAGCTATGTATCTACCTACACAGAGTTGTTGTGATGATGATGAGCAGCAAGAGAAGTGCCAGGTTGGTTGGTGAGACGAAGTGGTTGGAGCTGAAGGCCTAATTAAGGCATAACTACCTATAAGGCTCCTTTTAGGCACAGCAACTGCGCAGCATGACTGTCGACAGCGCCTGCCTTATCCTACGCCGCTGCTATAGATACCTCGATGATTGATCGGCTCTTGGAACGGCCACGTTAACTATACACATCACCGTTCCAATCTGGTCCTCTGTACAAACAGCTTGCCTGTGTTTACGATTCATGCGTCCTCCCGCAGTATTATCACTCCGCTATCTCAGGGAGCACAGAAGATTATGGGACTGGCTCGTAAGGCCTAAGGGCTTAGGGGCTTAGGGGCCTCCCAATCCCGCTCAACTCCGCATCTTGGAGTTCCTGGGCCTCAGCAGCCGGGAATTAATAATTGAGATCGCTTCATCTTGCGAGCATGGCTCCTTCCCGTACAGACTGTGTCCTATACATAGTTACGGCCGGTCAGGATGAAGCACGTTAGGTGTTCAGGCACGCCATATGAAGTAAGACAGTCCATCCATGTGAATATCCATCCCTCTGAACACTATCTAGATAGGCCAACAGCACGGGCAAGCCGCCAAAACCGAGGTCCATGGAAGCATTGCTTTCTATACCCAGTTTTTCGAGGACCGCACCAAACTCTCATGGCTTCAGGTGCGCGACGTAGCACGGCGCTTCCTCCCTTGGCTGGAAACCTCATATCCCGAATTTGTTGAGGAAATGAAAGGGGTGGCTGATGGAGCCGGCCTGGATCTGGAGTCAATAGTCGCCCTCAATGTTCGCACCGAAATCGCATTTGGCATGTTGAGTGATGGCTGTACCGCATTGGCTTGGAAGACATCAGACGCCAGTTTCCTGGCCCAGAATTGGGACTGGAGGTTCGAACAAAGTCCCAACATAATCTCACTCTGGATCGAGCAAGCCCCCAAGCCGAGGATACACATGATGACCGAAGGCGGCATCATTGGGAAGATTGGCCTGAATTCGGCTGGTGTCGGGGTTACACTGAACGCCATCCAGGCACTGGGTGTCTCCTACAGCAAACTCCCATGTCATCTTGCCCTCAGGACCGTGCTTAACAGCACCTCCAGAGAAGCCGCCGCAAACACTCTTCGACAGATAGGGGTGGCGTCAGCCTGTCACATCACCATCGCCGATGCGTCCACGGGTGGCACAGGATTCGAATGTACGGCTCATGATATCGTGGAAATACCTATGGACCAGAACGGGATCTGCACTCATTCAAATCACCTGGTCAAACAGCACAAGGTAGAGGGGACACTGTTCGTCCAGGACTCTCCTTTCAGACTGGAACGCATCCAAGAACTGATCAGGGGGGTCAACAAACCGTCTGTACAGAACCTCGGTGAGATCTTGAAGGACGAAAAGAACTATCCAGCTGCCATCTGCCGAGCTCTGGGTGAGAAAAGTACCAGCGCAACGCTGTTCTCCATCGTGATGGACTTGAAGCAAGGCTTCGCAAGGGTGAAGATGGGACGACCGACTGAGGACGGGGCAGTGTTTGAGTTGAATCCATGACCACGGCAGTAAGTTGGAAGAGTTACGTTTCCAATGCAGGAAGCAACATTGTTGTAGCTCTTTTTTTCATCCATCTAGCCTATGTACAAGACGCGAATCTCTCTGACTGTGATCTCGCCATACTGAAGTGATTCTTGGGCCTTGTTTAATGAGCCTCCTTGCCGGAAATCTTGCTCGCCTTGTCTTCTTGCTCAACCGACTGCAAAAACTCTCTGGGACGGGGTCAGGCTTGTTTGCGGGAGTTGGTTCTGCCGGAGCGGTCCTTACTGAATAAACTTCTCCTCATCCTTGCTTGAAGCGTTGATGGGGGGCGTGGTTGATTTCTTGGATGAACCACCTCTTGTCAATAGCCAGGGAAGGCCGAAAGTTGCGCCGAGGGTGGCAATAGCCAGCTATACATCGTCAGTTCGTCGAAGGAGAATCGTGCCAGGATTGAACGGGAAGGTAACACGTTGGAACGGCTGCTCCGGGCCAACGTACATAGTGCGAACCGATCTGGCGGCCGGCAACGGTATACATGGCGACCATCTTGACGGATTTGACAGGATATGAAGTGTCGAATGGTAGGATGGAGGACGTGGGCGTTGGCTGCAGGAAAAGAGTATTTTGTATGTTCCGTCCTGCGATTTGAACGTCGCAGCTTGAGCTCAACCTGCTAGTCCCAAAGAGGGATGGGCTGGTATCTACGGTGGATCAAGAAGAGCTTCAATGCACACGCTTTGGGGGGCAATTGCGGTGCGTCAGGCTGCTCTTGGGCTCCTTAGGCCCTGGGCGCCCCCAATACACTTCCCGATGGCCTCCGGATTCAAGCATTAAAGGCGGAGCTGCGCCCCTTGTTGCCGCACGACTCAGATGTGGCTGTGTGTATAAAAAAGCGGCAGGTAGCTTCATACCTGTCTTGTCTGACATTGCTCTCCTTCCAGCTGCAAGATGGCCGGCAAAGACCAGAACGATCCTCACCCCAACACCGTCCCTTTACGAGAGAAGTTACCCGATGACCTGCAAAAGCTCGTCGACAAGCAAGATGACTCTTGGGACAACGTCTACGAAGGCGCGGGGCCAGATACTACCGAATCCAACGTACGATATGCTGCCTACGCAAACCGCCTGCGGACCATTATGCTGAGCGCCCACCGTTATGTCGCGTACACATCAGACATCGGCGAGTCTTTTCGCCCTGTCGCCCATCCCGTCCTCGTTCGAGGCGCATACGCTGTGTCATGGGCATACATACTTGGCGATGTCGGCAATGAAGGCTGGAAAGCGTACAAGAGAAATCAGAGGCTTCTAGCTCCCAAGGCAGAAGAGTTTCACAATGCCACCCAGAAAGACTCTACAGAGAAAGACCAGTCTCTAGCACAGACCACACCAGTCGAGATACCTGCCATCGAAGATTACCGGAGTGTTATGGTCCAGCGAGCTGTATTTCAGAGCATAGCATCCATGGGATTGCCGGCATTCACTATACACAGTATAGTAAAGTACTCCGGAAAGGCTCTGAAGAATGCAAAGAACACAACCATCAGGACGTGGGGTCCGATTGGGGTAGGCTAAGTCTCGCATTTTAGGTCTGGTGTACCGAACTAACACGATCGCAGCTCGGTCTGGCAGCAGTGCCCTCGCTTCCATACTTGTTCGATAAGCCTGTCGAGGAGGCTGTCGAATGGACCTTCTACCATGCCTTCCGCGCCGTTGGTGGTGAGAAGGCTGTTGGCGATAAACATTCTACAGGCAGAGAAGCGGCAATGCAGGCCGATGCTAGAGCAGTAGCCAAAGCGAATAAAGAACTGTAACCTACCCAGATATGGTGAAGAGGAGGCTGTAATGGACAGTCTTTGGGCGTCGTCTTCTGCCACATGAAACCTTTGTACTGCTGTATCATCAGAGGCCCCAGGAAGCCTTCTGGTTGACAGTTCGTTCAACCAAACCCATCTCGCTCCGCAGCAAAATGTTAGATACGTCGTTACTCAACCAAACACGATAATACTAAGATCTCCAAACTCCTCGAAGTAGCTGGCTCATCTTTTGGAGGCCAAACAGTCTAATGGATAATTAGTTTAACCCCAGTAGTCTCGTGCTCGCCCCTTGTCGATAGGACAAGGTGGGTGACGTCGGATCGGATGCTGATGACCCGAAGTGGAAGCTGAAAGTTGACTCGAACAATTATTTATCAATCCTTCAACAGCAGCTTTCAATGCTGCGCCGTTCTTTGCTCGACACATCGCCTGTGGGCAGCCCGGCACCCCGAACATGCCTTTGTCGTCCTAGGGGAGGGTTGGTTTTCCCATCACCGCGTCCCGTAAATCTCCTCCAATGCGGCATTTCTCGCCGCAAAAAGCTCCTCCACCATGCCCGGCCTCGACCCCAGACAATGCGAAGAGCCTGCGAGGACTTCAGGAGCCGCTACCGCTGTACGGAAACCCCAGATCCTCGTCCCCGCCGTAAGGCCAGGACATTTGGAGCCGGAGAAGGCGACGCAATGGAATACCACGAACCTGGGACTGCGGTTCGGTGCTGATCTTACATCTGCCGCGAGTGCTTCGGCCGTGGTAGCGCCTGTGATCTGTGTGATTGACCGGTATGTACGGAGCGCTGTGGTGGTCTGGCAGAAGGGATCACCATCAACACCACCCCCCGACATGACTGCCTACAACTGTCAAGGCACCATACGGCGTAGCGGGTTTCCCTGTGGACAGGGCCCTCTGCGTCTGATCCTGCAAGACGAGGAACACCCGTAACTAACGGCGAGAACTAGATCTATTGTGGAAAAGGCCGCGAAGGGTGCTACATTCTCGTCCTGTCTGCTTCGATCACTCCGGCCTGCAGTCACCCGTCCACACACATTTGTCTTCTCTCGGCCGTTCCTCCTCATTTTCTCCTTGTATCTCTCCACCTACGCCACAGCCAACACCGTCGACACGGTCTCGTCGATTGTTTCGTCAAGTCCAGCATCAACGGTCACATCAGGGCCCACAAAGTTCGCCGCAACGTCTTTCGTGAACATGAGCATGTGTGTGTACAAAGACTCGTGCTTTGCGAGGATGTTTGGAGTGCCTGTGCCCTCCGCTTCCACTTCACCGGCCGCAGCGGCTGCGGCGGCAGTTCCAAAACTCTCCTACGCCTTGTTTGCCGTCCGAGACAGCTTTACCATCTTCGCATCGTTCAACCTACCTCCTCTGATTGCACCACACCTCTGCAACTTGCCTGCGCGCATTAGGTCAAGATTCTCAGCCCTCCTCAGTACCGAGGCCGGCCGGACAAACACGGCGCAGTTCCTGGCGCCGGCGGCGGTCCAGGTGATATCCACACCAATCCACTTGCTTGGATTAGACTTGTACAACAGACAGGGAAGTCTGGGATTCCGCAAACGATATCTCCGGGTCCTCAGAGACTGGAGTGTGAGTACCTTTGCTAGAATGGGTCGTATCGTTGTAAGTCATAAGTCACTCTGCCGATTCATTGTCTCGGCTCGATCTATGCCGGCTGTTTCTTGCTGACTTGTACTGCGTAGCCTGCGTTTGGCGTCGGCGGCGTCGTAAATTCCAGCATGCGAAGAAATTTCATGACCAAACTCGAGGCGTGACGGCCCTGGTGATGATATATGACGGCGAGCATGATGCTGTGGTTTCGCCCTCGAGTATATGAATCGAGCGCTTCACGACCGCCACGGCCTTGTTCAAGATGAAGTCGAGGACTACTATTGTCTACTTGTTCTCCTGGAGGCACAGCACGGCGTTGTTAGGTCACTGATAGAGGCTGGCTGGTGGCTCCGAGTCAGGATCAGGATCAGGATGTTGACATGGTCTTCAGAAAGGAAAGAAAAAAGTTCAGCTTTGGGTTGCCCCCGTCTATGTGGGGGAAGGAAGTACACAGTGTATATATGTATGTTCCTAGAGCCAGAATATAGCCATCTTCTTAGACGTATATGGGTATCAACAAGGGGTGGTACATATCCATATCCACATAGACACCGCGGAGTGTAGAGTACGTGCTCCAAATACTGTAATACAGTCCAGTTACTGTTTCTGCACGCATGGGCAAAGGGCAAAAAGCAAAAAGGAGGCTAAACGTAAAATGTCATGAGTGGCGACGACCAACCCTTGCTAAATACATCCAGTACGGATACAGTTCCAATAAGCCCAAGCCCGAATCGTGTGACGCCTGACGCCCTTTCCATCTCAGCCTTGCTCCCCGACTCCAGATATAGATATCAATGTCATACTCTGTTGGCCGACCATCTTTGCCGGGCCCTTCACACATAGCCCATCGTATACACCAGCAGATAGTCATGCAGCCTTACCTTGAGCTCTCGGTGCTGTATATCCCTGGTCTCTGACCTGTCATCACGATTCTCTTCCTCGGCCCGCGAGCTTGAGTGTCTTCAACGCCTTTCTGTTTCTGCGTCTCCGCACCCATCCCTTCAGCGATGAATCCGATAGTATAGGCACCGCCACCGAGAGCTGCAACGATCATGACCGTCTGTTTCAAGCTACGCGTGAACCGTTTCCAAACCCCGTCTCTCTGTTCGTTGGAAGTGCCCAAGGCAGGCTTGGGCGTGGACGTCGACAACCTATCATCCTCAGCACTCGATGACTGGGCTGCTGCATTTGGTCGAATGGTGCCGGAAAACACCTCTTCTTGCCTCTTCACCCGAACTTGGCCTACATCGCCTAACGGGCGAGAGAAGCGCGCTGTTGAGCCCGCCGGTCCAACGGTCTGTTCGACTTCTTTTGGTATTTCTTCCAGCACCGTGGCACTTGAAATTGCCGACTCTTCGTTAGCACGAGTCTTCGTAGCAGAGGCAGAACTGGTTGAGGCTGTCGCAGTGGCGGCCTTCGGCTCCACCACCCTTTGTGCGGGCGATGAACCGGAACTATGCTCGGGCTGTTTCTTCTTGAAGATGAGCATGTTTTCTTTACCGTTGAAGAGTGAGTAGCCTGCCCTCTTCAACAACGCAAAGTGCCTCAGGAATTCGGGAGCGTTTTTGAGTCTGCTCAAGATCCCAACGGGATCGGCTGCTTTGTGTGTTGGCTTTGCCGGCTCGTTCATGGGCGAGAACTCGACCTTGCTTGTGGAAGGATTATAAGCAAGGATGATAAACTTTGAATCAAACGTCCCCCTTCTCAGACTCTCAATTGAAGGTGGCTGTTCATCATTCCAGACCGGTGAACCAGAAGGTGTGAACACTGGCTCGGGCACCTTCTTCGGTTCTTGTGAGGGAAGTACTGCCGAGGATGATGCCTTGTTTTCTAAAGGCATTGTTGAATGGCCGTCGCCCACCACCTCCGACTGATCCGCCTTGTTTGCCGACATCTCCTCCGCCTGCCAATCGATTCTCTTCTGGCCATAGTTGGGGCAAGGCTTATCCAGAGCATTCCACACCGTTTCAGGTCTCCCGCTTTCGATTGCTCGAATGGCCAAATGAGCTTCGTGCAACTCTCTCCGGACATCTTTTGTGCCGTCGATAACGGTGCTCAAGTGTGGACAGGCAGAGAGAGCAGGTCGGATCTGCTCCACTTCTTCATCAAGCTGTCGAAGCTGAGATCGAACTTCTTTGGCACTATCCACTAGCGCTGCGAGTTTGGGCTCAAAGGTGCCGACGTGTTCGTCAATAACTGAATTAACCGATACCCCGGGTTTGACACTGGCGCTCAGCAGAGGGTGAGGCTTGGGAGGTGGTGCTGAATCCCCCGTGCCAGCTTTGGTAGGAGTGAGTTCCGGCTGCCGATGGCTGACGTTGATAGTGCCATACCCATCCTCATATGCAGCTCGAATGTCAGCAGACAATTGAGACAATTGTACGTCACGAGCCTCTGCCTCTTCCTTCGCTCCGATTGTTGCCCTTCTCAGTTTGATAGTCCGTTCAGACCTTTCCTTGTCGGCATCCAGCACCTCCTGTGATGGAGTCAACTGTTTCGATTCTGTCTGCATTCCTGTGTTCTTGTATATCGAAGGGGACTTGCTCAATGATTGATCTTGAAACACAAGCTTGTCGGTCAAGGATTTCGTGCCTTCGGGTCGCACATATTTCTTGTAGTTGTCATTGAAAGCGTTCACAGAATTCATTGTTTTCGCCACTATGCCATGTGGGTATTCGCGAATATGATCCCAGACATGATTGACCCTTTTCGTAAGCTTGCTTGCAAACGCATCAACCTCATGACCATCAACTGCTTTCCCCCCTGCTAGTCGAGATGCATAGTCCGCCTCAAGTTTGGCCCTAGCCTCACTCTTCAGTGTTTCTGCTTCTTGCTTTGTCACTCTCGCAGTTCTTGTAGCTGCACGTACGTCGCTGCCCCTTAGGAGGTCTATATCTTCCTCTGTGCTTGCCGCCAGATAGTCCGGAGTCTTTGGCCCAGCCGGAGCATCCTCAGCCTCCTTCAGCTCTTTCTTCAATGCAGAAGCATGGCGATCCACGGCCGTTTGTAGCGTGAAAGGTACCTCGTCCGCTCTTCCATCGGTGTTTGCTTGGATACGATCCAATGCTGGCTCAAGCCGACTGGAGGATTGTTTGATAAAGCCCTTAAGGGTTGAGTCCGTTGTAATGTAACTCACATCCTGGGATGCCTCTTGAGTTACTGCTTCAGCCGAATTGGATAACTTGCTTGGACCGATGGCTTCATTGCTAAATCGGTCGGCATATGCAGTGCCTGAGAATAACGGAGTGCTGTCATCTAGCTCGGGTGATTCTTGAGCCTCTGTTGGAATAGTTAACTTGTCAGAGTCTTCTTCAGCCTTCTGATTGGGGCGTGATTCGGTGAATTGGGCAGTGGTGTCAAGGTTGTTGCCCTTGATTCTTTTCATGAGATCACGCATTTCCTGCTTCCTACCACTGTCAAAGGGGGGATGCATATTGCCGCCCCTTGCCTCAGACCCCAAGTCCTCAGCTTCTTGAGTCGACGCACCATATCCAGATCCTTGGTGTGGCTTATACTTTTTGACAGGGATATCAGCATCGTGTTCTGCAAAAAATTTCTCCAGGAAAGACTTCTTCGGCTCGGGCTCGACCTCGGCGGCCGCCTCTGGCTTTTTGATTGGCACCTTTCTCATTGAGATTGGGTCATATTGATAGTCTTCTTCAACGGGAGTAATGGCATTCTTGTCCCCTTCTAATACCTCCGAATGCGTCACCGTGGCATTATTTGCGTTTTCTCGAGGAGCGCTCTCATGATCCGCTGAGTCTGGCTTGCTAGGCTGTACAACCTCGTCCTTATGTAGATTGTCCCGGTGCGATAGCCAGGAGAATCCAGTCCAGGAGGGATTGGTAATCCACGGGTGGCTTGCCATTCGCCTCCCAAAGAGCGTTCTGTAAGGGTCTCTTGCGAAATTCCGATCAAAAGCTGCTCTGAATGCGTCAAAATCTCGGTGGAAACCTTCCACGGTGCGCTCTTCCTGTGTTGGCTTTGCTTCTGAAGATTTTGTCGTGTCCGATGGCTTGTAGCCACAAGATCTGCTAGACCAATACCGATCTGAAATGTGCCGCGGCCAGTCTGTGTGATCCTCTCCCTCCCACATTGACCGTCTCCTCAAAAACCTCGAGTATCTTGACCTCATGATCTTCTGGTGCCGTCGGATGCGATCCTCCAGATTCTCATCCATTGAAGTGACCGGCCATTCACTCGACTGACGACCCCACCACCACATTGTCCGCACCTGGGCGGCATAGCTGCGATCCGTACGATGTATCGTAGTCCGCAGGCAAAGAGGTGCCTTGTTACTGAGGGAGGACAGATACCCCTGAGAGATGAGCGGTACCGGCATATCGATCGATCAGCGTGCACAATGCACGAGGGGGGCTCACTGGGTCAGCTTTCCCTTCGCAACCAGAACAAGTTTTCTGTAGCGCCCATGCAATGCTGGTGACGACCACTTCAAACTCAGGATGACCTGGATGGGATGGGAGGCTGTAGCAAGGGGATGTCACCGCCCAGGACACACCCTGATGACGGGTAAGATGCACACCTAACCCCGAAAGGTGCACGTTGTACGGAGTATGCTACCCTCACGCTTGCGAAGCGCCCAAGCAACTGGTAGACGGCATGGACTACTCATCCAGCATGTAGAGGTAAGGAGGGGTAGTGATAGCCTTAGGGTCGCAGGCAGCACCGCGATAACGATAACGCGCGGGATGCGGAGAAACCCCGATTCCGACGCGTCGGCTTTGGGAGTCCTCCGTATGTGGATGTCGTAATGCAGCTTTCTGGCAACTTTGCCGGGCTCACGCAAATTCGTTGTGTTTGTGACTCCGACTTTCGCAGGCGATGAATTCCCATGCTTGGACGGCCAATGAACCAGCCCGGCTGTGTCACTTTGCAGCAAATTCCTTCTTCTCTCGTTGTGTGGGCTTCTCTATGGTAAAGACACTTCTTCCATTCAGATAAATTCCCGAGTCGACGGACTTACTCTCTCATGCATCAATTTCCATGTTATCCTTGCTCGCTCTTTGTCCATAATGAAACATGACACAGACCGCTTTGACTCGGTCTACTACTTCGCTGAAGGGATACTACTTACCCAACCCTAACAGAAATGTTGCTGCAGATATTCTGAGAACGTACCTCCTCTCAAAACCAACACCGTCCTTGTGCTCGTATCGGTCATATCGTCCTCGACTCTATTCTTCACAAGCTACCCACCGATCAGATGGGCCAGACCGCTCTCCTGGGCCCAGCGTCGAACTGCTACCTGAAAATGAGGGACGGAGCTCTTTTGAACGTCGATCTAGACAAAGACTGGCAAACAAGGAGTTCTTCACCAGTCTCCTTAGCTCCGCAGCTACGAAGCGAGACGCAAAAGCGTTCATATCTCGGCTGAAAAGCCCTACCAAGACATCCTCTTTGAAACATCCTCCATCTACCACCTCGACCAAAGGCCAGAGTCAGGTGAATTTGGATGACTTGTTTGGCCCAAGTCGAGCTGTGGAAGCTAGTCCTGTCTTTACCCAGTTCGAGAAGGAGTCAGGACAAACGGCAGAAGAGCAAGAGACCTTACACGTTGCTTTACTCAAGATCAGCAATGTCAGTTCCATGTCTGACGATATCCTCGGGGGCATAGCCAAGACTCTTTCGTCTCTAGCTCGGTTGAGCATGGTGCCTTGTGTGGTGCTGGAGGAACCGGAACAGCTTGCTGGAACGACCCGCCACGAACATTTACGCCAGACAGCTGACCGATTGGTTACAGCCATTGACAGCGTTAGCGAATTTGGGGGTAGAAGGCTTGACAATGTGTTGAGTTTTGATTCAGATGACCGGGCCCGGGTCTTCATTCGAAAAATTCTTACTCGTCCTCTACGCAGAAGCAAAATTCCTGTGGTCGTGCCAATTGCTTATTCTGAAGAGCGCCAGCTCGCAGTATCGGTTACGGCCGATGAAGCTGTTCTGGCACTGACCAGAGAACTTGCAGGTCTCGACTTCAAACCCAGGACGGATGAACATCCCGAGAAATTGGCTGAAAAACTGATCACGTTGCACAAGCAGATCTCCCTGGACAGGATTATTGTCATTGACGAGACCGGAGCCATTCCAAGCACGAAATCCATTGACCGGAAACATGTTTTCGTCAACCTCGATCAAGAATATTCGACAATGCAGGAAGAATTGCGAAGCTCTACGGACGGGGTTGTCTCTCCGAAACATGCGTCCAATTTGAAGTTGTTTCGGGATACCCTAAAAATGCTGCCGCATTCAGCGTCAGGCCTCTTGACCACTCCGCTCGAAGCCGCAAACACAGCGAGGGCGTCGAACGAGGATGTATCCAATGTCGGGACGAGACGACAAAAGAATCCACTGATTCATAATCTTTTGACCGACAAGCCTGCATACTCATCATCTTTGCCTACTCGGCGACTGGGTCATGATAACCCATTGGTATCTGCAACAAGCTCCACCTTTATCAAGCTCGGCATGCCCTTGGTCATGTTGCCTCATCCTGACGTCCAGCCCTGGACGGCAGCGGGAAAGCCACGGCTGAAATTGACCGACCCCAGTATCGACCTCGATCGACTCACCTATCTGATCGAGGACTCTTTCAATAGAAAGCTTGATGTCGACGCATATTTGAAGAGGGTGAATGATCGAATAGCCGGAGTTATCATCGCGGGAGAATACGAAGGCGGTGCAATACTAACATGGGAAACTCCGCAGGGCGTGTCTGACGGTGACACGGATCGACTGGTGCCTTACCTGGACAAATTTGCCGTGCTCAAGAAAAGTCAAGGGGCAGGAGGGGTCGCCGACATAGTTTTCAACGCCATGGTGAGAACATGTTTCCCCAACGGCGTGTGTTGGCGAAGCAGGAAAGACAATCCTGTTAACAAATGGTACTTTGAACGGTCAGGGGGGACATGGAAAATCCCCGAGACCAACTGGACCATGTTTTGGACAACTCCCGGGCTCTCGGACCCGGATAAAAGCCAGACGTTCCTGGATTATGAGAGTGTCTGCCGAAATATCCAGCCAACCTGGGCTGACGGGAAGACAATCCCGGACTAGATAACAGAGACTGGGGACTTATTATCACCCCTGAATATCTATTGTGAACATTTCCACTAAAGATCCCCAGTTCGGGTGTTATTCAGACATATCATGATTTGCAGACGACAATAGACGGACATAGTACAAAAATGAAGACGCCAGCGTATCATGCTATAGGGTCCTTCTCCGTGGTGAAGGTTGACGCCAACCCCCTAGCCTCCTTAGGCTCGCCTTGGGCAATCGTCCCGTCTGGCATAACAGCCTCGTTCAGCCCTCTATGTAGAGGAGCATCCTCCTCGGAGGCACCCGCCTTCTTGAGTTGCTGGACGTTGCCTTGGAACAAAGCTAGTAGATAACTCGAGCCGATGAATTCGACCGCGTTGGGCTTCCCTGCCACACTGCCCTCTTCCGTCAGGGCGTTCGCATGTGTTCGACATAAGCCATCCTCCCGCACCTCGCCTGCCTCCGGGTCAGTATTAGCGGAAGGCTTTTTCGAGATCCAGACGTTCCCCAATCCAATGCTGGCAAGCAACCCTAGCCCCAGGATGGGTATGATCGAAATGAATGCCCACATTGTCGCAGTGGCGCCCTGGGATCGAATCAAGTTTTGCTCGCCAGCTGGCAGGGTCGCAATCGTGTTGAGAGAAGCCTGGTTGTGCATACTGAAAGTCCCGTTGCTACCAGAGTTTACAGTACTCGAGCCGAAATAGTCGCTCATCTGGTTCTGGAACACGGAGCCCATGATTGTCAGCGCCAGCGTCCCGCCGAATGGCAGAGCGAAACGCAGCAGACTGTATACAGGTGCCAGGTGAGCACGGAACATACCCGCCAAATGCAGGTTCGAGGGCATGAAGCGTAGTCCTGTTCCGGCTCCCGCCACCGCCATCATCACGTTGACCAAAGTCTTGTCCCGCGCCTTGACGGCGTATGCAAGGGTGGCGATACCCCCAGTCTCGACGATAGTGCCGAGAAGCAGTGGCCAGAACGTCTGTCGCGGCCACATGTTGCAGATGAACATGGCGCAGTAGACGCCGACCCCAATCCCCGGCACATAGTATAGCAGTTGAACTCCGGCATGACTGGCCTCGTACGCTTCCACAAGCGTGAAGTAGATGCCAATGAAATAAAAGACGGAGTATAATGCGGCCCCGGCCGAGGCAGCAATGCAGCAGACCAGACTCACGTCTTTGGCGCCTAGAATTGAACCTGGAATCATCGGGACGGTCTTCGGGAACAGCCGGTTCAGAGGGCGTGAAGGAGAGAGGAGAGCTTCGTAGGCGATGAAGACGATGATCAGAACGGCTCCGATCGCGAGGCTGGATATTACCGCGCCAGAATGCCATGGATAGGTCGATCCGCCCCAGGCCGTGCCCAGAATTATCAAGCCCACGCCAAAGATGAAAAGAACAATGCCGCCGACATCGAGGCTTGTAATGCCGGACATCAATGCCTGGAGTCGAGTTTGGTCACTCGGTGGCCGGGACAATGAAATTCGGCCTGTTTTCAAGTCCTTCCGCAGCAGGAAGATTGTCACATTACTGACGACGGAAAGACCGGTGCAGAGTACGAAGCAGTATCGCCAATTGGAATTGGTGATATAACCGCCAATGACTGGACCAACGCCTTCATAAACGTCAGAGAATGGCACTTGCCGATGGCATTGTGAGTTCTGTAACTTACTGTATCCTACTCCATTCATCAGCTGGAAGATACTGGTGTTGACAGCCTGCTCTCGCAATGAGACCTGATCTGCAAGAATGATCATGGCAACATTGGAGACCCCTGCTGTGCCCATTCCCTGTAGAGCTCGGCCAAGTAGCATGACAGCCCAGTCCGGTGCGGCTGCGCAGAGAACGCTGCCGATAGTGAGACACACAACAGCAGACTGGACAGCTGCATGTCGGCCAAAAATGTCCGCCAGTTGCCCCCACACAGGGATAAAAGCGGTCGATGTCAGCGTGAAGGCTGTAACAATCCAGTTGAGTTGATTAAACTTGTCTATTGTCACATTAGTCTGAGTGTACAGCGGAGTCTCCACTGTTGAGACACACCGAAATGGGAGGCGATTTCAGGAAGCGCGGTAGCAACAATGGTCAGGTCGAGACTGGAGACAAAAAAAGCAGGCAGGAGACAAAACAAGAGCTTCCACCGGTATTTGCGAGCAGCCCTTTTCTCTTGTGCACACTGTGGGCATGGCCTTTTGGGTATGCGAGGCGGAACAGTAGCGGAATGAAGTGGTGAGCCTTGGGCCGTTGCAGGAAGAGCTGGGGCTACTGCTGCCTCCTCAGCCTTCCGCGCCCGATATGCCTTGACTTTGCGAGATGCGTATATGATCATGACGAGGACGGGAGGAAAACGGAGTGTCCTTGGATGGCCAAAGCAAGAGGGAGAGGGGTCGACAAGCTGGACATAAAATTTGGGCATGGCCCTTTAACTATTCCCTCCGAGTCTCTGTATTTGGGCATCTGCGCGAACGCGAGGGTGGGGTATGGCTTCTCGCAACCTGAGTTACAGCCTCTTGCGCAGCATGGGGGTGTGCGCCTTGTGAGGCCAGGCAACATACGTCGATACGAGAGATTTCGCAAAATGGACCTAAACCGGAATGGCGCGTCTTTGGTGTCGATAGCCAAAACAGGGTGTTTTCCGCGAAAAGTTCCCGTCTTGACTCGCTTGCTAGGCTGCGGCGTAGGCCATAGGTCAAGAGCTGTCGTTTAGCGCCAGATCGAGATTGCGGATCGTTCTCATTTCAGTATACTCCACGAAGGGACGAAGGGTCAGAGGACACAGGACACAGTTTTCAAGAACAAGTTAAGGACAACATTGCTTGTTGATGGTGTTGATGGTGTGCCTACGACTGCCCCGTAATTAGGTGCCCCGTAACTAAAGAGAAGAGGGCGACTGCGGAGCGCAGTTTAGGTCACTGCGCTTTTACAATGCAATGGCCCGCCGTAGTTTGGAGGAACTTACTACGGCGAATGAGCCGCAGCGCAGTGCAAATCCCCAGACCTCGACCCTCGCCCTAGAGATGCCTCCCTGACATTACATCGAGGTAACTAACTCGAGTGGTTCCATTCCTTGTTATTCGTACACGGCATACGGGTTCCTGAACCTTCAAGGCGTCGTCCGTCCACCGTACGGGCCAGGCATGCCGATATGCATCACATGCAGCACTCCTGTCAAGAACCTGTACACTGTCTACAGCAAAGCCGATGACAGGACGCTTGGTAAAGGCGTCCGTCTCACCCAATGTCCCAATTGCAAACACTTTGCCGACAAGTATGTCGAGCACGACTTTGTGGTCCTTTTCATCGACCTGGTCTTGATCAAGCCCCAAGTATGTGTTGTAGCTCTGTGCCCTCTGACTCAGGCGAGGCCAGCATCTAATTGCAGTTTAGGTCTACCGTCATCTATTGTTCAACCGACTTGGTCGTTCCGACGATAAATTTGACCCCAGCATTTTGCGGCTGGGAGTTTTACTCGTTCTGTTTGATGTCTATATCACTTGGGCGAGGATAGAGAGATCAAGTGCTGCAGCAGGCGGTACCGACGGCGGCTTCAGGCTTGCCGAAATGCCCATACTTACTCAATATCTTTTCTTCCTTACGATGAATGTTCTGGCTACGATTGCCCAACACGGAACAATCCGAATGCTAGTACGCCACCTTCTGGCTCATACACAGAAGCAGGAAGGCAGCAACGACACCAAATCGCCGGTCTCAGCTTCGATCGCGGACCTTACACTAGGCCCACCTGCTGGAACGGTAAATTATGCTAGTCCAAGTGCAATCAGCACAGCATTGCTGGTGTCAAGTTGCACCAAACTGTTCCCTATTTTACTCGTCATTTGGCCTACCGAAGCAAAGGAAGGCGATTCGTTCGGGTTCGCATTCCGGGCGACAAACTATGTCGGCTGGGCCGTTCTTCTAAACAATATCGAGGCGTTGTTGGTCTTGCTCAACTGTGGCTACATCGTTGCAACTGGCCTTGCGGTCTCTGGTGTCCTGGCCCGATGGGTTGTGGAAGGTTGGGTGTTGAGCCTGTTGGGCTTGGGCAGGGAGACTGGGCCAGTGGGCGACCTCCTAGCAGCCTGCAAACTGATCCGAGGTTGGCTTACGCAGATATGAGAGTCAAGCAGGACAAGATAAGTATCGGTCGTGGATGGCCCGATGTTCTCCACGAGGCTGAGCAATACAAGGAAGAACATCTACGGCGCATTTGCAGTAAATATATGTAGCTTCTAGTACCAACGACGGATAGCCGTCTCGCCTCGCTCAACGCGTACGGTCACTGTCGTGATAATCCGAAGTTTATCCGACTACGCGAATCCCCATCGCATTCTCCTCCATGTGCAGAGTCCAGTCTTGTAGACACTTTCCTTGGACGTGACATAGACCTACTGAGTCTTGCTTCCTGTCAACCCGAATCCCGGCATGGACGAGTCATCTGGCCGTGGCCACCGGGAGAAAAAACCTAGCGAAAAGGTCAAAGAGCAGGTGTCGGCCAAGGTAGACGGGTTCGAGGACGAGAAGACGGTTATTCTCCCAACCTACATCGCGCCCAACGACCCGAAATTCCTCCAAGATCAGAAGGAGGTCCCGAAAATCTACGATCACACGAAGATAGCACCTAATGGCGACAAGATCGAGTTCTATTCACTAGGGACACAGTATGCACCTCCCGCTCAGTTCAATGGGACGTTAACTAATCCGATCAGTGTGGAAAGTAAAGAAAAACGATACTATGTTCGTGCAAAAAGAGATCCCGACACTTTCTACTTCCATGCAGATGAAGCGCCTCCTCGATATGCCCGTCTCAGTGACGAGAACCATCCCCAATGTGGAGTTGAGGGGCTCAAGAATACCTTCACCAAGGACATGTTAGGAAAGAGTGGAGAGTTCGGCAGCTATACTACAAGAGCAAACGTCTTTGCAAGAGAAGGGAAATTCTTCTTCGAGGCAAAGGTCATCAGTCTAGCACCTCCGGGCAGAGAGGCCCCAACACGTGCTCTTGCGGATACTCAGAACCCTGACCGAACAGCCACAAACCGGGGCGGACTTCGGGTTGGATTCTGCAGGCGGGAACACCACTGGAGCGAAATCCTAGGAGGAAACGCATACAGCTACGCCGCCGTCCTCAGGAGCGGCAGATCGAAGGAGTATGGGAGTGTCCGATTCAACACCCTGATGTACCACATGCAGGGCGAGGGCGCCCTCGATCCTGAAGACCTTTCACCGGGAGATGTCGTTGGGCTCATGATCACTCTTCCGTCGCTGGAGGTGCACAAGAAAGTCGTCGAGGGCACATTCAACCCAGCGGAATACCCGGATCTCAAATGCGGTCCTGCTGTCATTAAAAAGAAGTCAGGAGCTGGTAAGAAAGCCGCTAAGAACGGGACCAGAGCCAAAGATGGCGAGCCTGGAAAGAGCAAGGAAGAGACGAGCAAGAAGTCAAACACTCGCAGTGCAATACGGAGCGCATTGCATCCTCTTACAGGCTGCGCCCTACCATCGGATCATGACATTATTCGAGATCGCAACCCATTCCTGCACAAAGGCATGACTTACTTCGAAAGCCCCGAATACACTCCGAACCACGATCTCAGTCGGCCGACGCTGAATTCAAAGAACAAATCAGTCAATCCGGAGACGGGTAAGAAATATGATCTTCTCACTGATCCTCACCCCAACCACGACCTACCGCACCTCCGTACGCTACCTGGAAGCAAGATCGAACTTTGGGTGAATGGGAAATATCACGGAGTTATTTGGGAACACCTCTTTGCATTTCTGCCGCCTGCGTCCTACATCGAAAAGGGCAGCCGCGCTGTGACCGGTCACGGCGACGTGGATGATGGTCTGTTGGGGTACTACCCGGCAATTAGTCACTACACGGGCGGCGCAATCGAGTGCAAATTTGATGAGCCATGGTGGTACGGATACGGCCAGGACGGCCCTCAACATCCGGATGCTCGCCCTATTGGCATCCGGTATCAAGAGCAGATTGTCGAAGACATGGTTAATGACCTGGTGGACGAGATCTACCAAGAAAAGTTGTATAATGACCCGGAATGGATGAAGAAGCGAGTATTGAATGCTGCCCCGGTCAATGTACAGCACAACTGAGTCGGAGGGTGTGGGGGCAACTCTGATCTGTTCAAAGTATCAGGCCATTCCATTCTTCGGAGTGATCGTGCGATGGCACTGGCGGGCACATATGACGCTCACGGCCGACAAAGGCAGACGTGGTGTGCTCATGACGGGAAAAAGTCATCAGCGTGGGTACGACTAGGTGGGCAGGGCTGACATGAGCGTCAAAAGTTGTTTGTAGCATTGCGAGATACCCCTTCTACGATGAGATGTAGGAATAGTCTGAACTGACACATGATTCATTTCTGTGTATCCGTACTCGGTACTCCGTACACGGTATGTTCAGCATCAGCGAGGCCTTGTCCCTTGAGTAATACTGTACACATACCCAGGTAGTGCCGCTGATTGGTAGTGTTTTCCGATATCTTACAGCTGCAGTCAGCTCCGTCTCTTTCTACAGCAATATTGAACAAGGCCGATTGATTTCCAGGATCCGATCCCGGCTGCCAGGTCTCCCAGGTCCTCCAGGCGCCACTCTGTGATGAGAAACCCCCTGCATCATTGACAGTTTTGGGCTCACAGAGAAGGACATCTCATCGACAGGAAACAGTGGGACTGGTGGAGATCACAATGCTGCAAGGTGCGGCTGACGAGTCTGAGGCTGAGCTGAAGGCAGAGGGGAGAAGGGCAGCGAAGCCGGAAGCAAGGGATGGCGTGGGCTAGACGTGATGGCGACCGTGAGACAGGCTGCGCAAATGGTGGGTCGGGATCAGGAGCTGATGGATAAGCGTGGGTCAGATGTGAGACTCACGGCATGCCACCTCAGGATGAGGACGAGGACATGGACGTGTCAAGCTTCAGGCGCAAGGGGCACGTTCAAGAAGTTGTGGTCGTGGGTGGATCCTTGGCGCCCCTGAATCGGACACTCTGGCCTCTATTTATTCAGGCTGCCTGCTCCCCCTTCACCCTTCACTCACCACTGTTCACCATCACGCTCCTCTTAGTCGACCTTTTCTCTTCCCTCGGATGATTGACTTCCTCCACTTTTCTCTTAACGGTTCTGCCTGATCACCATGCGTCCGCCTTGAGGATACGTGGTCAGTCAGACCCGGTCATAAAACAATCAACCTCCCACCTACACCGACACTGTGTCATTATTTTAAGTTTATTCGTCTCCGTTCCATTACGCTCCATTTCCACCAACTACCATGGATTCCTCACCCAACGTTGTCGACCCTGCGTCGCTGAGTGTTAGGGGCTACACCCAAGGCTACCCGACTCCCCCTCCCATGTCAGACGACAAAGAATCTAGCCAACCACCGTCAGACCAACCGTCGAAGAAGAAGCGGAAGGCCTGGGGTCAACCGGTTCCGGAGATCAAACAGATTCTTCCTCCACGCAAACGAGCCAAGACAGCCGAGGAGAAGGAGCAGAGGAAGAACGAACGGATACTCCGAAATCGAAGAGCTGCAGACAAGTCTCGACAACGTCAAAAAGCGGCCGTCGCTGAACTCGAGGCGAGGCAAGGCCGGATCGAGAGAGAGAATGCCTGTCTTCGAGACCTTCTCGCTCGATATCAGTCGAGGTTCGGCGTTCAGGATGACTTCCCGCCTCCAGTCGCCCCCGAACCCGCCTTTATGGACCTCGAACTAGATTCACCTCCGTGTGAACAGAAAGCCGATTCCTTACACACGCCTTTTAGTCCATCTTCCTACGGCACCCCAGACGTCGAATCCAACCACCCAACCCTCGTTGCATCCGACAACACACCCCCTCTCAAACACGAATCACCCGTCCTCGCACCACAATTGAACTTGATCAACGAACACACCGAGAGTGAACAAATTGACTCGATGGTGAGCTTCCAGAGCTTCCCAGCGGTCTCCGGCTTGGCACAATATCCTGCTGCGATATTGTGTGACCTGCAGTGTCAACCGGAGACCTGGGCTATGAAGCTTCCGGTGGTTCCCTCCAGTCAGCAGTCCAACCTTGGTCTCAGCTACCTCCTCCAGGTGTTCCAGACTTTGACGATATTTCACACCTTCTCAACGACAACGCTCTTGCCGATCTGCAGTCTCTTCCAGATCTTAGCTCAGCGATTGTCAATGACCTCGACGGAGCAGGATTTCTCCTCCATCCTGACCAACTTCCCACTAATTCATTCTTTGATTTCGATGCCTTCGACATCGACCAGGCCAGCGGTCTTCCGCATGAAACTTCTGAGCCGACTACTCGCGTGCAGCCCACACATGGCGCGCCTATTACTGGCAGCGACAGACCGGGCTTTGCAGCAAGTGGTTAGCGAAGATGGTTTCGCCGAAGACCCTGACCGTCGATGGACTTGGTCGAGTCTCATGACTATTAAGTGGGTTATTGTGAGGTTGGAACGAGAGCATCGGAAGATCCGACGTCAGGTCTGGGCGAGACGGGAGGGACTTTCAAATCTCAAGGTTATGGCGGGCGTTGATTATGGTGCAGTGGCCAGGAGCTCACAGCTCTGGCAAGGTCAAGGCACGGGTCCGGTTTCCAATTGTATGACTACTAGAGATGATGGTTGGGTGCCAGCACAGGAAGTGCACTAAATTGGCCATACTTTTGATAAATGAACAATCAAAAAGGGGTTTGACAACGATCACAATCTGGCGTCTCTATATGACCATCGTAGCAACGTAGCATCATCTATCCACCTACGAAATGGCAAATGAGCAAGGTGTGGACAGGTGCTTGTATCAGCAATGGTGGTGGCACTTGAATGAGACTCGCGTAGTAACATATCACGTGACCGTAATCTTGGCAGAATTTGTATCGCGCCAAACTGAGTCGAAGGTGAAACGCGACGCCGAAGCATCGCAGTGAAGGGAGGCGCAACTGCAAGACCAGCATTGCGCAACCACGCAACAATGCCGCCGTTCAAGGATGAGCATGTGCTCGTAAGTACTTCGTACCCCTACTAGTAGCACGCCGTCGCACCGCGCAACGCGCATTAACCATGCAACTTCTTAGATCATTGCACCAGGTTCGCAAATCACAGCGGCGCAACTTGGCTTGCCCGAGTCCTTCACCCCTCCACGATATCGTTTTCCCACTCGCATGTTCCCGGGAACCAAGCCTGATGAATGGGAACCCGTCAAAATTCGCCCGAAACCCACGCCCCTCCCAGGCCCTGCGGAACCTACGAGCAGCGGAGAACCGGGCGATACTGACCAGCCAAATGGACAAGCAACAAACGGCGATTTGCCCAGCAGCGAACAAGCCAACGGCCACCCGGTGCCTTCTGAAGATGTAGAGATGAAAGAGGCGCCAGCGGGAGAAGAGACTACAGCCGCTACAAACCCAGCCTCAGAAGCACCCCCCAAGGATACACCGCAACAAGAAGCCTCACAGCAAGACGTCCCACCGGACGCTCCACCAGATGCAGACGATGAGACGACGGAAACGTTCGAAGACGATCTTTGGTCTACTGAAGGCGCCGTCTATCCCATTCGCGAAGGTCGGATAGAGAATTGGTCTTGCTTCTTCGCTCTACTATCACACATCTACAATATGATGTCTCCTCCGTTCCACATGCCGGTTCTTTTTGTCGCACAGCCGTGCTGGACCAGTAGAGATCACGAGAGGATTACTCAATTTGTTTTCGAAACTTGGAAGGTTCCTGCCTTTTGTCTCATGGATGCCGCGCTGACGGCTTGTTATGCCTACGGGGTTCCGACGGCCTTGGTAGTCGATGTCGGCCATGGAAAATGTGACGTGACGGCGGTGACAGACTTTCAGGTCAATGACATTGGTCGTGGCATCGCCATACCAGATTGCGGTGGTCATGCCATGACCAAGCGGTTGCAGCAGGTACTGGAAAGTGATGCCTTTACCGAAGACATGGCAGAGCAGTTGAAGAGGAGCCCTATCTGCGAGATCCTCCCTACGGGAGTAGAGGTTCCCCAAGGGATTTCCAATGATGCAGCTCCCAACCCTGCCGCTGCCGCTTCCACCGGAGCACTGGATTCGGGTATCAATGCCAAAGATGTTGACGGCCTACGACCTGGTCAAGCACCGAGAGGCCCTGGGATAGGTACCATGGTCGGTGAAGAGGGGCTAAACGGTAACGAAGAGGAAAACGATGGTGTTCTCGACGTCGCTGCTATTGTTGCGCGGGACAACGCGGCTGAATTACTCGCAAGGCGTGAAAAGGAGAAGGCTGAGAAGGCTGCGGCGAAGAAAGGAGCTGCAGCTGATGGCCTCAAAATAGTCCGGCTGAGGAACTCGGAGAGGGAACGGGCTTCATTCACATACGTGGACTTCCTGCCAATCGAGGAACCCGCAACGACCGACGGTGAGCAGAAAGGTCGAAAGAGAAAGCGCGAGATCGAGGTTGGCGTGGAACGATTCATGGCTGGCACACCACTTCCAGGGGTGGGAGAGGGAGTGATTGACACTATCGCGGAGGCGATCCATCACGCCGTTCTGAGCGTCCCCGACATAGCTCTGAGGTCGACGCTGTGGGAGAATCTGATCATTCTCGGCAATGGAAGCCGCATCAGAGGTTTGTCCGATCTGTGTTTGTTATACGCGGAAGGTGTGCTCATTTACTCTAGGCTTTACTCCATCCTTACTATCCGTCCTCCATACCCGATACGTCCTCTCACCCTCCACTGCAACCATTTTCACCTCGGAGCTTCCTTCGAATTTCACAACCCCTGTTGCCACGCCTGGCACGAATACACCTATTCCCGGACAAGGTGGCCACACTCTACACCACCCGGGCCCTCACGGGGTCAATCCTCTCTTGGTAGCGGCGACCAAGAATATGATGCAACCCAATCAACATCTGCCAGTCCCTGGGCAACCTGGCTCCGTCCTAGATCCTGGCATACACCACATACACCGAGGCTTCAGCCAGACTCCGAATTCCATCAAGATGGTCAAGGCGCCTGATTACTTCCCCGAATGGAAGGATCCAAGTGTACATGGCATGGAGGAGGCGGGTTTCCTGGGAGCACAGGTGGCGGCGAAGGTGGTGTTCATTGTTGACCAAGGGAATAGTAAAGGTTTCCTGACGAGAAGTGAGTACAACGAACTCGGACCGACGGGCATCCATGACTGCGCCATCTAGGATTCGCAGTGGGCAACGTGTATATCTGCTTCTAGGCGTGATTCGCCATGGATACCTCATTCAGTTTTTGCCAACTACCACAGCGGCGCGATTGTGATCGACTTTGATGAATGGAATTTCTGGGCACGGCACCGGCGACTATGGGAGGCATCTGTTCAGGACTACGCAGATAGACGTCAGTTGGAGCGCAGTCATCTAGAACATTGTAGGAATGATCGGCCTGGAGACTGGAGAATGGAAAGGAGGGTTGGTTGCTTTACACCACCAAAAAGCCATGGGGGGAGTCTGGGCCTTGGTTTACATACGAGGAAGGGAGCTTTAAGAGAGAGCTGACGGAGAGAGAGCTTCCAGGCGAGTTGAGTCTACTGAGCGACGAGCCTGTGCGTTTTGACGTCGACCATGTTGGACGGTACCGGTGCTGCTACTTGTTACTGCTGCTGCTACAACGCCAATAGTCGACCGCACTGACCATGCGTTCAGCATGGACCGTGGACCGTGGACCATGGGCCTCGACCCTAGGACCTAGGACCCAGGGATCCTCTCTCACCATTGTATCTACTATCCAGTGATAGCTGAATGAAATCTGGACGCTGACGATGATGACATCTGCTCATCTCGAGATTCGACACCATTGAAAAACAGCCTTCTGCCTGCCACTGCCACTGCCACTGCCACTGGGACCGCACTCATCCCGACCGGCGATGGATTGTTCAACAGTATGGTTTTATGCTTCCTTCTGATCTTCTGTGTCTGGTTGGCGTTGCCTGCGCGATGCAAATGCAATGACATCCCCGCCAATCTCGAAAACTTGTCCGAGCCTCTCAAAGCTGAGCCTGAAGAGGTGCTGGGACAGGTAGGTTCAGACCTCACGGGTGGCCAATCCATCATTGCTGACCACCCGGGACAGTCTCTGTCCGGCATCGCGCGTCGAGCTTCTTACCACTTCGATCCTCTCGCGAACGGCCTCAACGTTGTCTACTACGGGCAGAGCAACCTGACTGGTAATGTCTCGCTTACCCAGATCTGCAACGATGAGTCCATCGACGTGGTCATCTTAGGGGTTGTCAAGAGTTTCTATGGACCGGATGAACCCAGTCAGTTGAACATCACACTGGACCTTCATTCGCTCTGCTCTGGGCCGACCGCGGCGCAGGTGAAAGCTCGACAGGCTGGGTTGTTAGATTGCGTGAGCGGTGGGTTTGTGCAGGAGATCGCCAGCTGTCAGAAGCAGGGAAAGAAGGTCCTCATCAGCGCCGGTTCTGCCAGCGGCAACCTCTACATGCCAAACTCCAAGGCGGCGTCCAAGGTGGCCAATATGCTATGGAACTTGTTCCTGGGTGGCACCGATTCGACAATCATGCCTCTGCGGCCCTTTGGGAGTGTGGTTCTCGACGGCTTTGACCTGGGTGAGTACACGTACATCCATGCCCGTCCCCCACGCTGTTCCTGGTTTGGATGGACTGGTCCTGAGTGACGCGTCTTCAGACAACGAGAACGCGACGAACGCCAAATACCTGCCGAACCTGATCTCGTTGCTCCGTAGACAGCTGAAGCACGACAAATCCAAATCATACTACCTCAGTGCCGCGCCCATCTGTGCGTTGCCGGACCCGGAAATCCCGGTCGCCAAACTCATCAGGGACATCGACTTCTGGACCGTCCAATTCTATAACGCTCAGAAATGCCAGCTCGGGAGCGGTGATGGCGTTCTCGGTGCTCTTCAGGACTGGTCGGATCTGCTCCTCGAGGGCCGAAAGCTGAAATGCACCAGGACCAACAATGGAGATAGCTGTACAGTGCCCAAAGGCAAGTTCCACGTCATCAACAACGGCGTTACCTACCCAAGACTCCTCATCGGCACACGCGCGTTCTTCTCCGCTCCGGACACTGGCTATGTCGACGTTCAGACGTACATGTCCATCCTCGAGCAGGTCAAGAAACTGGACTTGCCAAATCTCGCCGGCGCCACCTTCTGGGAGGGCACGTATCAGTATCGCTCAGCAGAAGAAGTCGACGGCAAGAACCTGACTTTTGCAGAGGTTGTCAGGGACGTTCTCTGATGGAAGTATCGACTAATCGTGTCCCCTGGGCAGTGTTGCCGGATTGCGATGCCGGCAACGGCCGCGAAAGTGCAACAGAACGCCCTTACGAGCAACATAGATGAAGCGCGAATTGGATGGACAAGTGATTCCGGTACATCAACACCCAGCCAGCTACGAAAAGTATGCCGGAGGGAAGAACCTGTGGCTTTCCTAGCGGCCGGCCATCCAATCCGATGCTAGTTTGTTATATAGCACACCTCCTGAGGGTGGCATTCATCCCGTCAACCATTCTGGCGTTTCTGTCTACATGTCCCGGTATGGGTGTCGAATTGGTCACCGTAGCATCACCATCCCGCCATAATACAATACCCGACATCTTTCTCATAGGCGGTCGATTCTCCTCCTGCATCGGCATCCAAATAAACCTCCGAGGATGGCGCAAAATGCCCGGTTGGCCAATCAGAATTGCCCTGCTGGAACTGCCTCGGTGTGCCTCCGAGGGTACAACATCAACGCAACATTCACCTTTCATATCTCCTAAGGAGAGTATGGAATTCCATCATAGGCGCCATGTCTGTTCTTCTTGAGACGTGCTCGCGGGGGACAGCGTGCAACGGACCTATGTCTAACGTCTCCAATAAGCTCGTGGTGGTTACGACGTGGTGTCAGACGGTACGCCCAGTAAAGAGACGGGACTTCAGCGTCAGCGCGAGACTCGGCGAAGCACGTGTATCTCTCCGGGGAGCTGAAGTCAGGCAGCGAAGTACATCCAAGGTCTTCAAAAGTGCCGACGATGCCATTGCAGATCTGAAGGACGGCACCAGTATCCTCAGCGCCGGCTTCGGTCTCTGCGGAGTAGCAGGTGAGTCTACGCCAGTGAGGGATCAAAGGCGAGCTCCTTCCATACTACCCTGCTCGGCCATTGTCAGGTCCGAGGAGAGGCTGACCACACATCACGCACCACGCAGAGACACTGATCGACGCGATCCGCAAAAAGGGAACGCGCAATCTCACGGTGGTGTCGAACAATGCCGGCGCCGGAGAGTATGGATTGGCGAAACTCACCTCGAGAGGCCAGATTTCGCGCATGGTGGTGTCGTTCATCGGGAACAACAAAGCTCTAGGCAAACAGTACCATGACGGCCAGGTCGCAATCGAGCTGTGTCCGCAGGGCACCATTGCCGAACGACTACGTGCCGCTGGGGCGGGGATCCCGGCCTTCTTCACAGCCACAGGAGCCCGGACGCTCATTGAGACCGGTGGCATTCCGATCCGGCTGGGCGCGAAGGACCCGCACACGGGAAAGCACGAAGTGATCGAGCCGGGCCGGGCGCGAGAGACGCGCATATTCGACGGCCGAACGTACCTGATGGAAACGGCGCTCCATGGCGACGTGGCTATTGTACGGGCGTGGAAGGTCGACGAGGCGGGCAACTGCATCTTCCGCACCACCACCAAGACGTACGGCGTACTCATGCCCAAGGCGGCCAAGCTGGCCATCGTTGAGGCCGAGCACATCGTGCCCGTCGGTTCGCTGAACCCGGACCACATCGACTTGCCGGGCATCTACATCGACCGGATCTGCCCGGCGACGTCGGAGAAGCACATTGAAAAGCTGGTGCTGGCCTCGTCTACATCCACATCCACGCCGACGACCAGTCCTGAGCAGAGCTCAGATGCGGAAGAGGAGGCGGAAGCTGTGAAGCGCAATCGCATCGCCCGGCGCGCGGCCCGCGAGCTCAAGGACGGCTTCTACGTTAACTTGGGCGTGGGGATCCCGACGCTGGCGCCCTCGTTCCTGCCGCCCTCCACCAAGGTCTGGCTGCAGTCGGAGAACGGGATTATCGGGATGGGCCCGTATCCGGCGTCCCGCGATGCCGCCGACCCGGACACAGTCAACGCCGGCAAAGAGGCCGTAACTCTAATCCCCGGTGCGTCGACCTTTGACTCGGCCGAGTCATTCGGCATGATCCGCGGAGGCCACGTCGACGTCTCCATCCTGGGCGCCCTGCAGGTCTCGGCGACGGGCGATCTGGCCAACTACATCATCCCGGGCAAGGCGTTCAACGGCATGGGCGGCGCCATGGATCTCGTCAGCAACCCGGACCAAACCAAGATCATCGTCTGCACGTACCACACCGACAAGAACGGCCGCAGCAAGATCGTCGATCAGTGCGACCTGCCGCTGACGGGCAAGGGCGTGGTGAGCACCATCATCACCGAGCTCGCTGTGTTTGAGGTCGACAGGTCCGGTGGGAAGGGCTTGCTTTTGACCGAGACTGCCCGCGGTGTTTCGGTTGATCTGGTCCGGCAGAAGACCAGTGCGACCTTTACTGTGGCGGAGAAGCTCGGGACCATGGAGTAGAACACTAGTGATGGTACAGACGGTTGAACCTGGAATCAGGGACGGTCTGTATCTGTACCTCGGGGAGTACTGGTTGGTATTGATGTATCTAGCTGGGGTACAGGTTGACAGCTTTGGTACTGTACGTCGGTTGACACATCCATCACCCATCAAACCAACCCAGCCAATCAAATCCAAATCAACCCAAGTCAAATTCAACCGGTGGGCTCTAGATGCAGCTCGAGCTATATATGCAATGCCATACTAGACATAGACATAGACACAACCTCTTCCGAAGGCCTTCGTTTCCGTCTCACGTCCGTCTTGTTTTAGAACTGTCTTGTCCACCACACCGTCCTCACTCGCACACCAACCCACGCTGACACTCACACACTCTCTCTCACACACACACACACACACAGAGAGAGAGAGAGAGAGAGAGAGAGAGAGACTACAAAGCATCAATCCGGCCCAAAAGCCACTGTAGATGGCGGAAACTGCTGCGCGGCTGGAACTGCGGCTGCATATGACCGCTCAGATAGGTTTCGGCCCACATGAGGCCGCGCTCGTAATGCTGCACGCCCATGACGCCCTGGTAAGCGTCGAGGCCGTCGAAGCCGCTCGACACAAAGACGTCGGCGTACTGGATGTCGGGGATCTTGATGACGATGGGCGTGGCCGGCGCGGTCTGGAAGCCCAGCTTGCCGTGCCACGTCATGTTCTGGATGGCGAGCATGGTGCCGTTGGTGAGGACTTCGAGGTCGAGGGCGCCGTTGGAGCTGGAGGAAGAGGAGGAGAAAGAATGTTAGTTGTTCTGATTAGGAAGGACGGGACTAGACAAGGCGCCATTTCCGGGGAGGGGGGTCCTTTTTGCCATTTCCGGCCATTTACAGGGAGGGGATCCTTTCTGCCAGAAAACATCGACGATAACGATTCACGCTTAGGTACAATAGGTACTTACATCAAGACTCGATTCGTGGCTTCAATGACCCGAGGTAATACGCCCTGCAGCGGATCCGGGCTCAGGTCGCCATACCCCTCGGGACCGCCGTCGGCGACGAACACCGGCCCCGTACACAGTTCCCAGTCGGTGGTCAGCGGGGCGTGCATGGCCTTCTTGACGTCGGTGCGGTTGAAGTACGGCGGCAAGCCGGGATACGAGTAGATCAGGTCGCTGGGGAACCCCAGAGGATCCGACAGTAGTGGACACTGGAGGTTGGGCTCGTAGACGTTGAAGCACGGGTTCACCCCGTACGCGTTGTCGTACACCGCGTCCCACAGGTCGCAGTCCGGGTCGGCCGTGGTGTTCAGGTACAGTGGTGGCTGCGTGCCGTTGGGCGGGAAGTGCATGTAGTCCTGCCGGAATTGCGCATACCCGCACTGCTTGTCGCGCTGCGCCAGCAGCGACACAAACGATTTGTTGAAGCCCAGGATGTTGTTGTACTGCTCGATGAACGGGTACACTGAGATGGCGTTGGCGTATTCAAACGACCCGATGCACGGATCGTAGACCAAAGCACCTGTCAGGAAGGGAGCATGTCAGTGAGAGAGTTCTCCTTCTCCTTCTCCTTCTCGTTCTTGTTTTGGTTCTTATTCTCGGAGACTTCTTATTCTCGTTTCTGCACATGTACATTGGTCTCTGCTTGCTTGCTTGGGACTCACCTGAAACATTGAAATGCTTGGTGTCGTTCTGATCGAGCATGGCGTTGGCCACGTAGGGGACGTATCGGCCCGCATAACTCTCTCCCGTAACGTAGATGTTGTGGTTGCTGATGTTGAAGATGTTCTATCATGCGTCAGCTGTCTAAAGCGCTGATCGAGACACCCGAGGGCGGTTGATCTGAGGGCATACTTGGAAGTTCTTGAAGAACTGGACAAATTCGGCAGCGGGCTCTTCTTCGTCGATGGCGGTCGCATTGCCAGGGGAGAATCCCACGCCGACCGGGTATTCCACCCAGAGCATATTGGTCAGATTGACCCACGAGTAGGGATTGATTTGGGGTGAATATTGGCCCCAGGACCATTGGATCCGGCCGTTTTCTTGGAAGAAGCCTTCGAGGGAGCTGCAGCCTGGGATATGATTCAGCAATTGACCTTCCTGGACCGAGCCATGAGCCCTGAGCGCTGAGCCCTTCCTTACCCGGACCGCCATTGAACCAGATGGTAATCTCCTTGACCGGCTCGCCAACCCGCGGCTGGAACACAAAAAAGAAGCCACGGCTATCGTCGGACATGTTCACGGGAATAATGCCACTGTACATCTCGGTCATGAAGCTTTGGGGGATGTCAGGCAGTGACTCCACGAAGTACTCTAGTCCGGATCGGATCGTGGTTAGCCGCACGGTTCTTGGTGGGATTAACAGTTGATACTCACTTTTGGTGGCATTGGAGTAGTACTGTCTTTTAGCAACTGGGGTGTCTCGTCCGTACAGAGATCTAGCCCGCAAGTCTTCCAGTGCCTGAGGAGTGAAGCCTCTCCTATTAGCAACATCGCGACGATGACCTGAAGCGACGGCCAGCAGGAGACTGCCAATCAGCAGCAGCTGTTTCCCGAGTTGGAACTTCATCTTAATCTTGACGCAAACCACACCTGGATGTAGTCACACTGCAGTGGAAGTAAAGGTGCAGCTATTCAGCTAGATATGGAGATGGAGATGGAGGTGCGGCTGAGCGAGCTGCGTGATGACATCGTCGTCCATGCCACCGTTCCACAAAAGTATGGGATCGATAGGAAGCACCGGTCTCGTAAAGCAAGATCCCGCTCGCCAGTCAGTAGACGTAGACGTCGACGGACTAATCCACAGGTTTAGATCATTTAGTCAGGTTCCCTTCCGAGGGAAGCCTGCATGCTCCAGACAGGCCCGGATAGCTAGCATCGCCGCGAAGTGGTTCGATGACGGCGCAGGCGGAAGACCCCGCTCAGATAGACGTCCATACACAAAGCTGTGTTGACCGTGCACTGCGTATTGTATGTAAGTTTGCATGGCATGATGCAGGAACGTACTAACAGCCATAGCACGAGGGACGGGACCTTAGATCCGAAGCGATGCTACCAATATGTCATCTGAGGCTTGACGTGGAGCTTCTAAGAGCTTGTTGCTTGCTGCTTGCTTGCAAAGCTCCAGCTGGACAGCTTGGGTAGCTGCATGCCGATTGGGACGTTGTACCAAGGGCGGAGATGTGATAACAAACGTACAGTTAGTACGCTTACCGTGTCCCACAAATACCAATCAAGAGGCGGGATAGGCATGCAGGCATGCATACGGAGACTTGCCAGCATTTTAATGTTACCTTGAAAGCATCGCCAGCTTCATGCGGGGTAGAGCGTGATACAGGGAACAGCCTTGACGGGACAGTGGCGCCGGGCACCATTGAAAATGAGATTGAGATCTCTGCTTCTTGGAATGTTTCCCTGAGGATTTGACTTGATATCGAGGCGGAACTCTGTGATTGCGATTGCCCGGGGCAGTGGACTGCTTCCTCTTGTGAGACGATGGGATGGCAGATTCAGCCGAGGTCTAGGGCAACCCAAGCACTGGCACTGGCATTGGCACGGAACAGGGATCACAGGGCCGAATCGGGTGCTTATCGGTAAGGTTACAGTGTGGTAGCTCTCGAGCCGATCGTATTGTTACATGGCATCATGAGAGTGGAGGAGGAGGAGGAGGAGGTGAGCAGAGCACAAACAAAGGTCGAGGTGCCTGATAAGCTCGGGCACGAATCACAGGCTCGTCGCCGTCGAGATAAGCAATGCTTTCAATGCTTGGCACATGAGTCAGTCAAAACCCACTGTCCCAGCCTGGCTGAGTCATGAGTTGTCTAAATCACGGGAATTCAATGTGGCGGATCACGTGCCCGGCAGCCTCGCCAGCCTTACCAGTTTCAGTTGTTGGTTTCCTACTCCGTACCTATTTTATTGTTAAGCAGAGTGGTTTCTCTAAATGGATGAAAAGAAGCTGCTGGACCGGCGAAAGGACGCCCCGGGCACCGGGCCAGGGCCAGTTTAATAACCTCTAACCTCTTCACTACACCCATCCTACTTACTGACTGGCGGTCCATGCGTTTTCCTCCGCCGAAGTCACGGTCGACGGACCAGTCGCTTGGTCAGCAACCGTTCACCTTCAAAAGAGCCGGCAGCCTCCTGCATTTTCGCAATTCCTCCGCCGCGCCCCCGGCACTGCTCCTTTGCATATGCTACATGGTGCCGCTGCCATTCAACACTTCTCCGTTACGCTCTAGGATGCAATGTCTGCTTCGCGCAAGACCAAGACTGTTCTCGATAATGACGCGACCGATGCCGAAACCCAGCCGAAGAGGAAGAAAATCCGGAGAGGAACCCGCAGTTGCTGGGAGTGCAAGCGGAGGAAGATGAAATGTGTGTTCGACTCGCCCACGGACGCCGTGTGCATTGCGTGTCAGCGACGGGGGACCAAATGTGTCAGCCAGGAGTTCCCCGAGGAGGTCTCGGCGCCGGTCGACAGGAGCCGCATCATGGGCGATCGGGTGGTGAGGGTGGAGAACATGGTTGAGCAGCTGTTCCAGAAAGTTGCCGTTGGCGATAATGGCCGGCTCGCCGGGGGCGGACTCGGAGGGACCGCCCGGAATGGGAACGATGGTGGAAATACTGGCCAGGGCATTCTCACTCCGGCGTCCATTGGCTCGGAATCTTCGCGATTCCTGGCTTTATACAAGCCATCAGAGGTGCGTGTTTGAGATCCCAGGGTGGTCGTCTAATGCGTGGTGGTGGTAATTGTTCGTTACTAACTCCTCGGATCAGGACAATGACAATGACACGGGCGACAGTGAGATCCTTCATGACGCTCGTGGACTGTACAGACTTCGATCAGTCCCCAATACGCCGGCTGGACCGGGCAAATACCGTCAGCTGTCGCGGGCTTTGCACGAGGCTTTACCCTCGCGAGACGACGTCGAGATGATATGCAGACCCAGCGGCCAGCGTGGCGTGATGTACCATCAATTTCTAACCATACCGTACACGAATCTCGAACAGGACGGGCTCGAATCGCCAGAGAGCCTGCTCGAGATACCTGGACCGGACGTGCACCCAGTTCTGATCGCGAGATACATGCTCCACGTCGCCAGTCACCTGCAGAGCCTCCATCCGGATTACCACAAGAAGATCCAAACTCTGTCGGAGGAGCCGCTGGCGATGATGAAACGGCTGGCAGACACGGCCATCAGCCTGGTCACGACCAACGACGAACTCCTCGGCAGCATCGAAGGGCTGGAGTGCGTCATGCTGGAGAGTCTGTATCAAAGCAACCTCGGGAATTTGCGACGGAGCTGGATCGCCGCCCGGCGAGCCATGGTGATTGCACAGGCGATGGGCCTGCACCAGCCCGGCGGCGTGGCCCGATACACGGTGCTGGACCCGGGCACGAAAGCCCAGCCACGGCACATGTGGTTCCGCCTTGTCTTCTACGATCGCCACCTCTGTCTGATGCTGGGCCTTCCGCAAGGGTCGCTCGATCGCCGAATGGCGTCCGACGCCGCGTTCGCCGCCGACACGCCCATGGGTCGTCTCGAACGCATCCACTGTGCCATCTCGTCGCGGGTGTTGGAGCGCAACGAGGCCGAGGCCGAGGCCGCCGACTCAAGCTCGCACGGCTATGCCCTGACCCAGAGCCTCGACCGGGAGCTGCAGCGAGCGGCACGGAGCCTGCCCAGCAAGTGGTGGCTCATGCCGGACCTGAGCGCGGCGTCCGACCCGCAGGCTCTGTTCTGGGACACGCGGCGGATGTTCTTGCAGCTGTTCCACTACGACCTGCTCAACCAGCTCCACCTGCCCTACATGCTGCGGTCGTCGGCCGGGCGCAAGTACGAATACTCGCGCATGACGTGCGTGAACTCGTCGCGCGAGGTGCTCTCGCGCTTCATCACCCTGCGCAGGTTCAACTCGGTCACCTTCAACTGTCGCACCGTCGACTTCCTGGTCCTGATGGCCGCCATGACCCTGCTGCTGGCCCACCTGGACAGCCACCGTCACCGCTCGGGTCAGGCCGAGAACCTCCTGGCCCACCAGTACCTCAGCGACCGTGCCATGATGGAGCAGGCACACGAGAACATGGTCGAAATCACTCGTGTGAGCGCCGACCCGCTGAGTGCACAGAGTGCCGACCTGCTGCGCCGCCTGCTGGCCATCGACGCCGAGGCGGCCGACGGCCATACACATGGTGCCGAGAGCGTGAGTGTGCAGACACATGGCACCGAGACGGCCGCGCCGGACGGAGAGGATGACCGCAACAGCGACAGCATCGTGCGCGTGCACATTCCTTACTTTGGCATCATCAAGATTGCTCGCGAGGGCCTCATCTCCAAGGAAACACCAACACCGCCCAAATCACGACCTCCAGGGGTAAACACCAGCCAGCCTCGGCCCATGGTCCCGGTTGGCAGATCCAGTGCCAGTGCCACCAGCTCGGAATCTCTGCAGCGCCATTCAGGCCTTTCTGGGACTGCTCATGTCGAAGCCAGTTCCAGTTTATCATCCGTCGGAGCGGGCTATGGCAGTGTCAGCAATCTTCGCACCGTGCCGCGAGCAGCATCCAACGCCTGTCTGGAGCCCCCGGGTGGGGTTCCAGTTCCGTCCACCACCAGCGACGACAACGGGTTCACACCACACTGGGAGTTGACCCCGCAACTCCCCAGTGCCACTGTCGGTTCCGACTCTCTACTACAGCAGCTCCCCTACCCTGGGGCAACGGCCGGGGTGGACGACTGGGCGTTCCAGGGCGTCGACATGGCCTTTTTTGACAGCTTGATGAGAGGCGCCGGGGACGACGGAGAGGGTGGGGCGGAATGGGCGGCTTGGCCGGACGGGTCTTGAACGCTGAACATTTTGGGAAGGCGGGAGTTTGATGTCTATATGTCCTATAAAACCCTGCAGCTTGCAGCTTGTAGCTTGTAGCTCGCAGGTCAATCAGGGCGTATCTAGCAGGATGTAAATTACAAGGTGAACAGCCTGCGTGCGGGTGCGGGAAGACGTTATTCAGACGCAATTGATATTTGGCACAGAGCAAGCGGAGGATCCCCCTCCGCCAGATCTGTAAACCGCTACTACTGCAACAGGTGCAGATACTTCAACTACCCACCAAGTAATGGAGGAGTAGGACGAAACACTGCTCAAGATGACGATGAGAATGTGAATGTGAATGACTTGGGACTTGGGACTTGGGTATCTAGATGATTCAAGGTGATTGATTGATTCCTGGGATTCGGTCTCGCGCGCCAGACATGGCGAAGATGGCGAAGATTGCAAAAAGGCAACCCAAGACTCATGATCCTGATATCTATATACAGAGAGACAGAGGCAGAGAGACAGAGGCACCGTGTGGGTGAGCTTTATATCCGCCCATAATGGACCAAGGCACATTTCCATTTCTGTTTCCATTCCACCCATGTCGATGTCGATATCAATGTCAATGCCGGTGTCGATGTCGGCTGTATCAATCAAGCAAGGCTTCATTCAGGGACGGCCGCAGTAGTGTGGCGACTCACTCCATAAGCTATGTAGATGTAGCATTGGTTCCGTTCCGTTCCGTAGCGCGTGTTCCGGTGCCCAACGGAGCAGGAACATTCTGCTGAAAAAAGAGGGAGAGAGAGAGAGAGCACAAGTGTTTTGTTTTACCAATTTAGGGTATCGGCTTAAGTCATCGATGGGATCTTATCCGGCCCGTCAACGTAACGTATTCCTCTCTTGTTCTCTCCACGCATCGTATCCCTCTCTTGTTCTCAACCCGTCATCGTCATGACCTCCTCTCTTTCTCAAACCGTCATCGTCACGTATCCCTCTCTTGTTCTTAGACCGTCATCGTCATGTCCTCCTCTCTTTCCACAGCCCAATCTTGCACGCACAATCAATAGAACTAACAATGAGTGAATACTCCTCCAAGCAGACACATAGCACAGCTTAGATCTTGCTCAATACGTCGTGAGTGTGCCACCACGCCCTCAGCCGTTTCCCGAAGATGTACATTGGGATGGTGGTCAGGCACAAGGCGAGCTGGATGCCGCCGAGGACGTAGAAGAACTTTCTCGGACCCCAGCGGGCGACCCAGTCGTTCAGGAAGACTATTTTGGATATGGTGGTCAGTGATATCTGTCTTTGTCTCGTTTCTTGCACACCTGATTTGGTGCAGTCGAAGGAACTCCGAGTGCAAGCGAAAGCCAGTACTGCTCAGACGAAGGGCTAACATGAGAGCATCCTTACAAGAGAAACCAAAGAACAAAAAGTTCTTGACCACCATGGAAATGATAAAGACCTCGACGCTCATGTTGCGATACGCGTCGACCATGTAGCTGCCGATGGCGACGACCAGGAACTGGAGGCCGGCCAGAACAACGGCCCAGATAGCGGCCATACCGGCGGCAGACTTGCCTTCCTCAATGAGGGCACCCAGCAAAAAGTACCCGACCGCAGCTAGGATGGTGGCGGGGATCACGAGCGTCAGGCGGAACTCTGGCTCGTACACGCCCTGGTTGCGGCGACTGATGTATTTGGCGATCGGGTCGGCGATCCAGCCAGACACCAGACACCCCAGTGTGCCTCCCACCACGGGTCCGGCAGATAAGTAACCCAGTTCCTCGGTGCTGAGGAGATAAGGCGGCGCGCCGAAGATTTGAGCTATCACAAAGGAAATGCCTACCAGCCACAATGTCGGGATGGCAAACAGAACCACCGACCAAACCACGGCTGGGTTCAGAAGGATGAAGAACGGCCGGAGGACCATTTTCAGGATCGACTCCTCGGTGAACGTCCCGGTCACGGGTAACATGCGCTTGAGGAAGGAGTCTCGCTCAAGGGTGGCAGTGGTCGATGCCGTGGTCGTCCTTTCGAGGTTGGCCTGCTGCGTTTGCTCTGTGTTGCTACCCCGTGTGTGGTCGCCCTCGGCATGTGAGCTATACCCTTTGACCTCTTCAATCATTTCAAGATTCTGCTCTGAATGTCAGTGAGCTTTCCAGGCACGATAGAAGAAACCCGAGCAGAGGGAGGGGTCACACCTCTTGGGAAGAAGTATCGATGTTGTAGATGGCGTTGCGGTTATAAGCCGTCTCCCAGCCAAAGACCACGACGCCGAGCCATGCAATGCCCAGGAAAATAGCCAGCAGCCAGAAAATCCAGCGCCAACCCAGGTCGGTGGTGATTTTGCCCGCAAGCATGGCAGGCAGGTTGGCAATGCCCGAGTTCGAAGTGACATAGATGGCCATCCGAGAGCCTCGCTCGTGGACGTAGTACAGGTCGCCCACGACGGAGAACATGACGCTTTCGAACATGGCCACACCGAGACCCTGGATGACGCGGGCTCCAAGTAGCGATCCGTACGAGTTGGCGGCACCACCCCAGAGGGTGCCGGCAAAGGCGCAGGTAGCAGAGAACAGAAGGCAGGGCCGTTTACCATACTTGCGAGCCAGCGCGGAGATGAAGATACCGGCGGCGCCAGTCGCGCAGAGGCTGTAGCCGGTGAGCAGCGAGACCTGGGTGAAGCTGATGCCAAAGTCCTGGATCAAGATGAGGGCCACCGAGGATAGAATGGGGCCGATGCTGCATCCTAGTGAGTCCAAACCCACATACAAATAAAATACAAGCCTGCGGCTACGGCCACGGGATGCGCTCACCCTCCAATGCACAACAGCGTGGCATAGCAGTACAGCAGGAGAATCAGATCTCGCTGCCAGAGCGGCCAGTTGAGCGGATCATTCGGGCTGTTGGAGGGCTGTGGCACGAGCAGGATATGGGCATTCTTCCCCGTGCCTCTCTTCAAGTTTGCCGACTGCTCGACCCAGGCGGCGTCGTGGGTATCGAGGAGATTGGTGCCGGGGACATGCTTGATGCCACTGCGGGACTCGAGTACGCCGTAGCCCATGGTGAATTCAGGGTAGCAGCGAATGCGTGGTGTGGTGTGGTGATGAGCAGACGGGTATCCAACATAGCAGTGGACTCACACGCCTTCTTGATATGTATCGAATGCCCCAGACCACGATGCGAGCGCGGGTGTCCTCCACATCCTGGGTCCGGCATCGCCTGATCAGTCTCTTCCCATTCTCATATTACTTCATACTGCATGTTTTCTACCCCAGGTCTCGAGGGTCCGTGCTTGTCTCTGCTAGCTCCATCTCCATCTCCATCCCCATGTGGGGGATCCGCTTCCGAAAAGGGACGGACGCTGGGGGAGGGGGGGGTATGGACGAGTGTTTCCCACTTCCGGGACCGAGAGCAGCTATTGCCGTCTCGCTCTAGGCTGAAGATGCCCGAACTGTAGGCGTGGCTGACAAGATAGGACTTAGGGAATCCGTCTAGGCATCTCATCATCGGAGATCAACACGGTACGGAGTACGGAGTACAGAGTACTAGGTATCTAGGTACTATTAATTATCATGGCTTGCTGTACTCCGTAATTACGTGCCGCGTGGCTCACCGCCCTCCAGCCAAGCTCTTCGTTAAGCTGCATTCGGGCAAGGCCAGAGAAGCGGCAGAAAAAGAAGGCGTAATTGGCCGTTAGGCGAGTACCTATCTACCTATTACCTATGTAGGAGTTGGCATGGGATGTTAAGCGCCCGTAGTGAGGCTGAAGGCGATGCTGCCCTGCCTCATCTGCCTGCGCTGGCGAGTCGACCTCAGCCTGATATCTGATATGCGAGACAAACCATCCCATTTCTCCCGGTCGTACCTTACCATCCCCCTCTCGTGGAGGCCTTTTCCATCCGATCTTGCGTGACATGTCCTGATGGCGCAGCGTGTCCGCCCCCACGACCGTGACGACTTCGAGATCGCTATCATCTGCGCCTTACCCATCGAGCGTGACGCCGTCGAAGTATTGCTGGAAGCAGAGTACGAGACCGACGGCTTTTCGTACGGTAAAGCGGCTCGTGATCCTAATGCCTACACAACCGGGCGATTGGGCAACCAAGATGTGGTCCTGGCATACATGCCGGGAATGGGTACGATCAGTGCCGCTGCAGTCGCCGCCAATCTTCGCATCAGCTTCAAGAGAATCAAACTCGGCATCGTGGTTGGCATCTGTGGCGGGGTGCCAAAGACATCGGATGGGGAGGAGATCGTGCTAGGCGATGTTATCATCAGCACATCGGTGATCCAGGTCGACTTCGGTGCACAGTATCCAAACACCTTTATCCGCAAACAGGAGGTAGAAGATACTCTTGGGCGAGCGAATCCGGAGGTCCGGGCATTTCTAGGCAAGATATCAGGCCATCTCGTCCGAAAAAGACTCCAAGCCGAGACCAGCCTCTTCTCGGCGGAAATCTGCGCAGAAGAGGGGTTTTCCAAGTCGGCCTACCCTGGGCCTTCCAAAGATCTTCTGTACCCGGCCGAATATCGCCATAAACATTGGATATCAGCCTGTACCATCTGTGCCAAGTGTCAGGATCAGCACCATGATGTGTGCAACGAAGCACTGAAGAGCTTTTGTGAGAACCTAGGCTGCAAGGGTGTCCCGTCGACACAACGCATTCGCATTCAAAGGGCAATGGGTGTTGCTCTGACACCAAGCGAGATGGAAGAGGCACAAAAACCTTGCATCCACTTTGGTCGAATCGCGTGCAGTAACCACGTGATTAAGAGTGGGCAGCACCGGGACCGGGTAGCTGCCGACGAGAAGGTGATTGGGTTCGAGATGGAGAGCGGAGGTACATGGGATTATGTCCCTACGATTGTCATCAAGAGTGTATGCGACTACGCCGACAGCCACAAAAACAAACAGTGGCAACGCTATGCTGCAGCGACGGCCGCAGCTTGTACGAAGGCTGTACTCGGGCGGTGGAGAAAGGAGGACCGGCCGGTGCAGAGGGCGGCAGTCCAGGAACTTCCAGGTTAGCACCAATACCTGTTGACCATGTCTATAATATCCCGTGTGGTTTTATTTTAGGCAATACTGACTGATTTTCGTCAGATCCCTGTCTGAACTCTTACCCTGTGCACTGGATCGTCGCTCGGTCTCCTAATACCTTGTTTACCGGTCGCGAGGATATTCTTCGTGAGTTGGAAACCACAGTCCTCGGTGCTGTGGCGGACCCTTTGCGTCAGGATCGCTGCTCGATTGTTGTCTTCGGCATGGGTGGTCAGGGCAAGAGTGAGATATGCTTACAGCTAGCGCACCGCGTTCGTAAGTCGTGAGTACTCTGACCCCCATAATTCGAGTCGCCTGTCACTAAGGATATCAGATTCTGGGGCATCTTCTGGATCGACGTCAGCACTACATCGTCAGCCGAGAACGGCTTCTTGTATATCGCGAGAAGACTTAAATGGACGGTGCAGATATGGGAAGATGCTCGGCTGTGTCTTGCCAATCTGAAACAGCCATGGTTGTTGGTGCTGGACAACGCTGACGATCCCGAGGTTGACTACCAACCATATTTCCCAGCAGGACCATCAGGCGTGGTGATCTTGACTTCACGGAACGAAGAATGCGAGCAGCATGCCACTACAAAACAAGTCGATCTAAGAGGATTATCCGACGACGAGGCTCGAGAGCTCCTGCTCAAAGCTGCACGTCTGCCTCAGGATCAACACGAAACACTCCAAGACGACGCACAAGCCGTCGCATCTCTTCTACGGTCACACGCTCTAGCACTGATCCAAGCTGGAGCCTACGTATCGGGAGGTCATTGCACGCTCAAGGAGTATCCGAAAGTATATGAGGACCAACGGCAACGACTACTTGGATTCCGGCCATCCCAGGCAAAGTCACGGTATGGAGACGTTTATGCAACATTCGAGGCGTCGGCAGAAATCCTCCAATCATCGAACAATGCATCGGCCATCGATGCCCTGCAGTTGTTAAAGGTGTTGGCCTCATGCGGACCCAGTCGATTTCCCCTGCTATTATTGTTCGAGGCGGCATGGAAAGGGGCGCGAGAAATATCCCCTGTCGAAGTCCCTCCAGTTAACTTATTGACCTTGACACCTTGGCATGTTTCGCATCTTCCACGACTCTATCACGTACCTACGGGGCACGATAGGTGGGACTCATTTCAGGTCGTCGAAGCGATCAATCTTCTCAAGGCGTTCTCTCTCGTCTCTACTGATACTCATGACGGGTTTTTGTGTATCTCAATGCACCCATTGGTTCACGCCTGGTCAAGAGACCGCCTCGGCCCGGAGACACAGCACGAATCTTGGGTCACCACTGGGTGTTTAGTTGCTCTCTCATGCTCCAACAACCTCTTGTGGCGGAAACAAGCACGGCACCTCCAACCTCATTTACAGGCTTTAGTCTCGTCTGAGATGAACACAATCTTTGGCTCCGAACCTGTGATATTGATAATTCGGATTTTGATGAAGTGTGGGTGGCAATTACGAGAGATGCGCGCGGACGCAGCGCTCTTCGTACTGATTGACCACATGTTCACTCATCTCAACTTGCATCGGTCAACTGTCGCGCCACAATGGCTGGGCATGTATGAACTTAGTGCGCAGAGCCTCTTAGACCGCGGTAAACCCAACGATGCAGTGCAACTACTCGAGGAGGTAATCAAGATCCAGAAGCAGACACTCGCGGAGGATCACCCAGATCGACTAGCATCACAGCATAACCTAGCGATGGCATATAAAGAGAATGGTCAGATCAAGGAGGCAGTGCCACTACTCGAGCAGGTGGTCGAGATTCAGAAGCAGACACTCGCGGAGGATCATCCAGATCGACTATCATTACAGTATAGCCTAGCCATGGTATATCAAGAGAATGGACAGATCAAGGAGGCAGTACCACTACTCGAGCAGGTGGTCGAGATCCGAAAGCAGACACTCGCGGAGGATCACCCAGATCGACTAGCATCACAGCATTGCCTAGCGATGGCATATAAAGAGAATGGTCAGATCAAGGAGGCAGTGTCACTACTCGAGCAGGTGGTCGAGATCCAGAAGCAGACACTCGCGGAGGATCATCCATATCGACTATCATCACAGTATCGCCTAGCGATGGCATTTCAAGCGAATAGTCAGATCAAGGAGGCAGTACCACTACTCGAGCAGGTGGTCGAGACCCGAAAGCAGACACTCGCGGAGGACCATCCAAATCGACTATCATCACAGTATAGCCTAGCCATGGCATATAAAGCGAATGGTCAGATCAAGGAGGCAGT